ATTGAAGCGTTCCAGCAAATAACATTGGAGTACACCAGGAATATTTACCGGCACTGTCTCCACCCTGGCGATAAAAAGAAAAATGATAAATAAATAGTTAAATGTGGATTCATGGCAATATGAATTTATTCAAATATTATTTATTAATTTATTATCAATTCATTCCATTCCACCAATCCAAAAGTGAACTTTCAAACTTCATAATTCAAAATTCAAAACTTTGTCACGAACTTGAATCAGGAGGACAATATCGATCAAGTTGTTTATCAATCAAATCTATTTATAAGTTTTTGGAATCATTCCATTAAAACTCTCTATCTCTCTATGGTCACTAACTAATTCCATCAAATAATTATTGATTATTTATAAGATTAAATGAACAAGGTAAATGTGTCCAGTAGAATGGATGATCAGTATACTCACAAGTCAGAGGTTTGTCAGTCTCTGACTTTTCAATGAACAAGACTCTGGCAAGTTTGGGTACGTTTGAGTATTTGCCGCACCATGGTATATCTTTCAAAAGGTTGTTATGATCAAACAAATCGGGAATGGATTCGAAATGGAAGTTGGTTTGATCATAAACATGGTTTGGACCAATTGAATATATCTTTGAAAGGTAGTCAATCATTACTGGTACTGATGAAAGGTTAGGATCGGAAGAGTTCMACTCTCATCTCCAAAGCTTTATAATCCCATTTCAATATAATAATAAAATTCTCACCAAGTCGAAGCATTGCATTGGTAATTTATCTCAATTGATCATTTGATAGTTCAAGGTCCTTAATTTTCTCTTTAAGTTCAGACATGAATAAGGCCTCTAATGTGATGGTCTTTGTCAACAATTAGTATAATATTTTAAGTATTTGATCATTAAAAGAGTAATGGTATTTGTAATCTTACTCTTTGAGTCAAATATGAATCCAATATTGTTTAAACAATAATACAAAGACATAAGAATATTAATGAACATTATTTAAATATTTATAGATAATTAGATTCAAATAAAATAGAAATATTAAAGGGGTCACCATTAGGTACAGTATTTTATTTATATTTTTATTAATTTAATTCATATGGTACCAGATTAGTAAGGTAATTATAATTTTGATGATGATGATCCGGAAGTCAAGAGTGTCAAGAGCGGGACAGCCACCTGTAACGAACAACATCAACAACTCAAATGGCTTAAGGAACTAGTTCCTTTGACAAGAAGAAGAAAGAGATTGAAGACAACACTGACACCAAGTGAGGAAGAGATGGATGATTAGTTCAATAAAATTGTAAAGTTTAGTTAAAGAACAGTACTTGGAGCCTATTATAATTGTTATGGAAGTATGGAGTTAATAAAGTATACATGAGTTAGAGGTTGTCTGACAAACGGGTCAGTCAGACTGCACTTACTCTTGTAAAGATCTGAGGGAAGAATGAAATGAGGTTAAAGACAATAGTATTACAATTGGCAACTTCCTGGAAGTCCTGGCTTGGTCTAAACCAGGCTGGTCCAAATATGATTGACTGGATGATTTGAATGAATGAATGAATGATTAAATGAGTAAGTGAATGAGCATGTGATTGATTGATTGATTGATCCATCCATACCAGATTACTTGGAGTCATTAGGGACTCCTTGGAGTTCTGACATATCTTGGTCAGCAACTCAACGCATAGATATATGACACTGTAGTGTGGATCATCCATCTGGATGATGACAGTCTTGATTGCCAATACTTTCTCCAAGGGGTCCATTGATCGCTGTTGTATCTCCACCAACTTGCTGATGCACTCTGCTGGGAAGATTGAGTCTGGCATGAATCTGAAGTAAGCCTTGAATACGCCAGCCATCTCATTGACCTTGAACTTATCAATCTTATCCACTCCAGTTATCTCGCCCTTATCAAATGACACCTGCATCTTATCAATCTCAAGCTTTGATCCACTCAATCTGAATAGTCCTTCATGATTCACTCCTGTTGTTGTCGAGGTAGTTGGTCGGATCAGTATGGTGGTACCTAAGCAGGCCATGACCAATCAAACATGTGTTTGACTTACTGGGTGTGAGGAAGTCCAGTCCTATCCTGATGAGGTGAGGTACGCCTTTGTCTTGTGCACGCTCGATTGACTCTGTGATGTTGATTCCAAAGAACAATGGGTCTTCGATAGCTGTAACTTGTTGTAATGTATCATCCTTTGGCGCATCTATTTGATTGATGATGATCATCCATGTTAGTACCATGACAGTCAAATGAAGTCACGGCAAGGCAACTTACTCTTCATTGCATCGATCACAGTGAGTGGCGTGTTCATGATGCCCTGGGATGTGAGTGAGACGAACTCCATGACACCGACAACGGGCAGGAGTACGACACCGCCGACACCCTTGACGACACCTTTGGCAAAGCCGGCGACACCATCCTTCTTGGCACCTTTATATGGTTGTTGTACAATGCCAGCGACACCAGAGACGATGCCGGTTCCAATGGATGCCAGGCCTCGCAGTGTGCCATCGATGAATGTCTTTGGCTTGGCCGGTTCATTGGCTGGTGCTGCTGCCGTGGCAGGTATGATCTGACCATCAGGACCTGTTTGTTGCTGTGCCGGTGCGTCTGATATCTGAACAGTACTCCTCAGGTCAGAGAAGAATGAATTTGAGTTCTTTGATAAGTTATCACTTGTCTTGCGGTATCCAGTACCACCTCCACCAGCAGCAGTAGTCGAGTCATTGTTTGGCTTTGCTTTGGCACTTGTTGGAGAAGGTGTCTTTGGTATCAATGATGCTCCATCATCTTCTTGTTTCTCATCCATTTTCTTGTACATGTCTTCTCTTTATAAACTTAACTAACTAAATAATGTAATAGTACTATTTATATATATGATTTACAAGTTATATTAATATATCAATCTAATCTAAACTAAACAAGAATAACAAGTTGAAAGATGATGATTGATTGAATGAATTATCGTAATAAAAGATGGACGATCGTGTGGAAATTGGCAGTTGAGGTCACAAACCATCGCTACTACTTTCTAGAATGATTGGTTGTTGACAACAACTTGTTTTCAGACTTTGATTAGCACCTGTGCTGCAAACTTCACACTTTATAACTAAAGTAAGTATTAGACTTACATTACAACAACTATGTTATATTTATATATATGTATGATGTTGAATGAGTAGATGAAGATAAATCATTGAATTGTGAAAGGTCAATGCAGAGAGTGATCTCAAATTGGCAGATGATGATCTGAATAAACGAAACACACACATTCACACGCATCTCTCTTGTTATAACAACAAACACAAACACTCACTCATTCACTCTCACTCACTCATTCAGTCATCCTCTTACCTACTTGTTCAATCAATAAATTCTTGGTAGCATTATTTATATATATTGTTGTTGAGGACCAAGAACATCAAACGATAAGCAAACCATGGACGCTGTAGTAACAAAGATGGAGGAGACGTTGGAGAGGAAGAAGTCAATTGTACATATAGTAGAGAGGAGGACTACTTCAATAGATTATATAAGAAGAATACATGAAGCTGCTTACTATCCCAACCAAAGTGCATTACATTGGATGAACGTAGCAACCATCCAAAGGCTAGACTTTGAGAGATCAGTTGAAATACAAAAGAGGTAGGTTCAATGATTCAATGAAGTGATGTGATTGAATGATTAATTATCCCTTTTATTATCAGGTTGCTACCTTGGTTCAGTCTTGGATTGAGTCTTGCACCATTGTTGTCAACAGAGAAAGGACCTGCATTGGTTAGAGCATTGGTACAGTTGATGGAGGAGTATGATTATCATTATGAGATGGGCTCGGCAATGCAGGGCGTCAAGGTGTTGCTGTCAAAGAAGCAACCAGTCTACACGACAGTGAGCGAGAATGAACATATCAAATCAAAGATTACAAAGATTGGCAATACTGTAGTATACGAATTCCTAAAGATATTCAATATATCAATGGCCAAGGATTTGGACTACTTCCATGTCGTCTTCAGTCTGTTGGAGATTCTAGAGTTGATATATAAGAAGTTTGACAAGGAGACGTGCTCATCAAAGTACGTCTACGAGGCCATTGTCAAGGTGGACAAGCGATTCAAACAGCAGATATTCGGATTCCTCTCAAAGGAGATTGACAAGATTGCCACGCAGTCCATTCGCGAACAACTAGAATTCACTCTCCTGTGCACATCGACCAAAGACCGCGACATCCAACAACATCAACAGATGCAATCCAAGCTATCAAACAGTCTATCATCCAACAGCAAAGAGATCAATACTACTGGCAGCGGTAGTACCTCATCAGATGATTGATTGATTGATCGATCACATATACACATACGCTACACCATTCCATTGACAGGCGTGTCAATGGGAGATGATATATAAACACCAACAAACCAATGTACATGCATAATATCGACTTCCTTCCTCGAGGATACTTGTATTGATCATTCATTCACTCACTGATGTAATAACTTATTGTACAACATCCAGGCCATCCAGCCAGTCTGTTGGAACACACTGGTACTTGAACAGTCCCAGCTGGACAGTGATGGATGAGACTGAGCTGGCCACTCGTCTCCGAGTGTACCGCTGCTGTTGCTGTTGTTGGCTGCTTCTGCTGTTGCTGCCACTGAGATTGATGCAGATGTCCACACTCATACACTTGTACTCATCCATCCATCTATGGAGATGAGGTTGATTTGCTGTCATCACCCTCTTGGTTGTTGACAAAGCGTGGCACTGTGCGGACACTCTCCATCAACTCGTCGTTCGTGTAGATTGGACGGTCAAACTCGAGCCAACCCGGTGCAGAGTACTGTGGCCTCCAAGGACACACACTCCTGAGGAACCTAAAGTAGGGATATATCTCTCCTGTCTTTGGATGCACTCTCGTGTACCAAAGGATCGATGTGTTGTGGATTTGATCGCGTGGATCATTGGAAGCCTGTAGCTGATGGAATCTAATCGAACTGAGTCTTTCCAATCTAACTCTGAATGCCCACATAACTAAAAGTCGAATGATTGATTGGTTAGTGATCACTCATTCGTCCACGCTGGGCCTTGGACCCGACTTACTCTCTCCATGACAGACGATGACCACTCTCTTGTTGGCACATTCTCTCCTCAATGTTGTGAACGTATGCTCGACTCTGGAACAAATCTGTGCGATACTCTCTCCTCCAGGAGGTGCCCAGAAGAAACTAAATGATTGATTGATTGACGAGGTCAGTGGAATAGTTCCATCATGTCCAACAAAAATATAACATATAACATACCTATCTCTCTTTCTCAACTCCATCTCACTTGAGAAGTTCTCATTCTTCTCTGTGAATGAGATGTTGTCCATCTTGCCCTTGTCACGCTCACGTAGCTGGATCTCTGTGAGCCATTGAGCATCATCCATACCGAGGAGAGCAGCCGTCTCCATGGCTCTGACATACTCGCTCGTGTAGTATCGATCAAACACCTGGGCAATGTTCTCTCTGATCCACTTGCCAGCGGCATGAGCCTGCAAGATACCCTTGTCTGTCAGACGATAGGTAGATGAGTGCTTCTTTTTGAACTCTGGCGTGTAGGCGCTGAGATCACCGCGCTTGGACCTGGCCTGTGCTTCGTTGCCCTCGCTCTGACCGTGACGTACCAACACCAACTCGTAGGGCCAGTCGAATGCCGGGTTGGGGTCGGATATGATGCTCTTGAGTGCCGAGCTGCCAATCTTGCGCTCCAACAGATCGTATATCTTGCCCTCCCTGCGTACCATTCTCACGCGCTTCACCACCTTCTTTGGCTTGTCCTCACTGCCACTTATATCACTACTGCTACTCTCTGTAATGATACGTCTTCCACTAAAGTATAATAGTTGTTCTTGATCTATATCACCACCGCCAACTGCAGCATCATTGTTGTTGTTGTTGAATAACTTTGGTGATGGTACTGCCATTGGACGTTGTTGTGGTGATAGTACATCAGCTGCAGCAGTTGTTGTAGCAACAACAGTTGTCGTTGTTGTTGTATCCACCTGCATACTATTATCATCTGTACCATTTGATGGAATTGGAGGTGTTTGGACCTCTTCCTCATCTACCTCCAACAATCTCTTTGCAGTCTTCTTCTGCTCTGGTAAATCATCATTACTATTACCATTATTATTATTATTATTATTATTATTGTTACTCATTTCTTTATATTTACTATATGGTATTATTTGTTTGTTGTACAACAACTGATAGCCAACAAGAGTGAGTGAGTGAGTGAGTTTGAGAATGAAGTTGTTGGTGATGATCATCAACTTCACACACCCCATTAAATCAATTTATTAATTAAATATTTAATCTAATGATTGGAAAGTACAAATGTAGTAAAGCTACAAACAAGGTCACTCAATCAATTGTCCATCTCTATCCATTCAATCATTCATTCAATGATACAATAATCATAATTACAATAATACTTATAATCACAATAATTCATGAATTCCAAGAGAATGATGATATTTTCAAAGTTGATGGTAGACCTCATTTTGATAGCCAAATGAATCAATCATTCAACAACAATGAATACAAATAATAATAATGGAGGACAAGAGCAAACTAATAATATTTGTACTTAATAATAGAGTACTTAGGAGTATGATATTGAAGGAGGTTAGATGGATACACGATCGTCAATATCTTAAAGAGTTGATTGATGGTGTTAATAAGGAGGACTCAACAAGTTGGTACGCATACACTTGGTTCAGACTAAAGTATAATCAATGGACAAACTTTGATCGCATTGTAAAGTGTAGACATTATGGTCTGTTGCGTGATCGTATCAAACGACATGAGCACGTCGACGAACCAAAGGACTGGGAGTTGCGCAACTTTGTCGAGAGCAACGCTGACAATGAAACATTCGACTTGGTCTACGACAAGTTTAAATATTTCTTCAAAGCTCAGAGCAAACGATTGTTGTCACTCTCTGTCAGAGCTGGCAACACTCACTTTGCTCATACAATGTTGCGCGATCTCAAAGTAGACAACGATCTGAATAACTCCCTTTGGAGCTCGGCCATCGCCAGCAAGAGCACCGACATGATCAAGTTCCTCCTTGAGAATGGACACATCAAGATTCCAGATGCAGAAGATGATCGGAGCAAGTTTGTCGAGTATATCTTTCAGACTCATTCAAAGGAGTTGATCAGATTCGCTCTGGACTCGGCATGCTTCCCCAGTGAGATGTCTGCACTGGTGCGCTCACTTGCTCCAAAGTCGTACATCATTGAGGTGCACGTCATAGGCGATCAACAACTAATGGATGAACTGATACCAGCCGATAAACTCAGCAATCACACGTGTGTCCCTCGCCTATCCCACAGAGATCAACTAGCTTACAATGCACCAATCGAGCAACACATGGAACACATCGAGTTCATGTTGCGTCACAAGTTGGTATGTGGCGGTGATATGACAGATCAACAAGCTTATGAGTCACTCGCGAGTTCAAAGGAGTGGGCCAGAAAGATCGTTGTTGGCGAGTCCGGCACTGGAACTTGCACTGACACTGACACTGGGAGTGATGAGAACCGATTGGCCATCATAAAGTTCTTCCATTTCATAAAGGATCGATATACATGGACATTTGACAACATAGTCAATGAGACATTGAGCAAGTATTTGGCCACTGGTGATTATCAACTCATACCATACCTGAGTCTCGCCACACTCAGCGATAATATTTCATTGCTCTCAAACATTGTCCAATGTGGTACCATTACACAAGCCAAGTTATACATTGAGTACATTCAAATGCATCATCCAAAATTGATACCCAGAATAACAAAGAGGGACAATGGCAAGGTGTACAAGTTGTTCCTGAGGCCTCATATGTCATCGCACAACTCAGTGCTCAAGCTCGAGGTGCTAAAGATACTCAATCTTCACATGCTACAATTGGAAACGCATCGAAGATACCTTCCTTTCGAAGGGTCAATGGAGTTGCTGGAGTTCCTCGTGTCCAGCACAAACAAGGTTGTACAGTTCAAGCCACTGTTCACCGACATCAACCAACTGATCTACACGCTCGGGAGGGCACCGAAACTGGTCAATCTCGAGCAGCAACTCCAACTCGCTCTGGCACTTGGTCATCGTGGTATGGTCGAGATCATCTTCAAACGAGGCTACAAGCCATCAGGGCACACGTGGGTATTCGAACTTACAATGTCTGGCCGACCACAACATTCAATGTTCAAGTGGTTGATGGAGAACTATGCCACAATAACAACGTCCTCCCTATGGGAGCGTATTGGGAAATGTGGCGACATTGAAATGGTTGAGCTGGCAATACAGTACTATCGAGAAACAATCAGTAAGATACCAACAACTACACTTTTTCTATCATATGAGTCCAGGATCAAGACAATATTGGAGTCTGCGATATCAGAGAACCAAACACATATCATCGTTCATATTTATACTCATCATACATCATTGATAACTCCTGACACATACGACTTGATTCGACTTCTGGCAATTGGTTCTGGAAATTTGAGACAACTGGACACTATTCTTGGATTGACCCCAATGACATTGGACTTGGGCAACAGTGTCTATGACAATGCCAAAGGAAAGAAACTTGTAACGGCATTCGAAGGCATTCCAGTCTATAGTTTGATAAAGGCATGCATCTTTGTCCCTTTGGGTGTCGCACTTCTGGAATGCCTCCTCAAACATTTCAACAGTCAAGACCTCGCTCACATCAAATCAATATTCCTGCCCCTATTCACTGTTGACTTGGTCAAGAATGATAACACAACAATGTTACAATATCTACTGGACATTGGTGCTACGTTTCAAACTAAAGGCTCTACACAATGCACTGCCTACAAGAATAATCAACTCATTCGATCAATATTCGCACAATATAAACAAGGCAACAACAACAATAATAATACGAACAACAAGAAGAGGGCCAGAGACAATGATGATGAATGAGTAGCAAGCACTCAATCAATAAAATATAATATATTAATCGATTATTATTATTATTTATTGTTTTTTGTTTGTTTGTTTGATTATATTGTTGTTGAAGTAGTAGTAGTACTGATGGTAGTGGTGGCGTTCGTAATGGCCAGAGCTACAAACTGCAAAGGCAGTTTGAAAGATGCATAAAAAAAATATGTTACTCCGTTTGGTCTTTATCTAATAAATCATTAATTCCAACTAAAATGAATGAATGAATGAAAGATTGATTAGTACTTGTATCCTCCAATGTTGATCAATACAACACTTACTTCTGTCTCTCTTATTTGGATTATTGGTCGTTGGGGTACCCTGAGATGGCTCATCCTGTGAAGATGTAGGAGTTGTTGTTGTTGTTGTTGTTGTTGATGATGTATAAGATGGTGGTGATGGAGTGGAAACAGGTGAAGGTGTCCAGTTGCCAAGTGGTCTTAAATTGATATTGGAACTTGGGCTAAATGGTTGAGGTGGCATTGGATTGAATGGTTGAATATTTAGACCGTGAGGTCGTGAAGTGTGGTGGATATTCGCTGGAGATCCGGCCGGATGGAAGTCTGCGGAATGTCCAAGTGTCGACGTTGTGGTGGAGGTAGTAGTAGTAGTTGTTGTTGTGGTGGTAGGAGGAGAAAGAGTTGGAGTAGGTTGGCGAGGTGGAGCATGTGCCTCTGGTACCGGTGAAATGGAATGAGGTGGAGAGGAGCTTCGAAACGGGTTCGACCATTGAGGAGTTGGCGCGGTGGGAGAGATGGGTGAGGTTGGTGGCGATTGGGAAGATGGTGGCGGAGGTGGAGGTAAACTACGAGGATGTGTTGGTTTCTTCTTCTTGTTGGGTGCGGAGGACCTCCTTCTGATTAGGAATGGATCATTCTTCTCCTTTTGTTTGACCTGACCAGTCGTGGAACCTATTTTAGATCTCCTCTTCCTTGGCCTTGGTGGGATCATCTTCCATGGGTCAGCCCCAGGGTTATTTAGACTCCAGAATCCATTGGCATGCTTCTCAGAGCATCCCGACCTGAACCAATCCTTCTTGTGTGATAATATGTCCTGTATCTGTTTGTGCCAGTTCTTTGAAGCTGATCATGAGCAAGTACATTTGTAAGTTTATTAGTTTATATGATCAATCCATTGTTGTTATTTGTTGTACAACATAACATACAATCCTTCTCATGACAGAGATCCTTCCAATGATGCTCCATCAATCCATAAATGTCATTGGATAGGTTGAACATGTTACCTGGCGTGTTGGGGTAGGCATGTGTCAGACAATATAACACAACGAGCATTACATTGGACCATCTTCCATTGTCGTTGGTCAAAAATGGTGCACCCCTCTCACACAATAGACAGTGATCCTGCAGTGGACATCCGGATGTGGATTGTGCAACTTTGTGGATTGGGGGTTGGGGAGGTGGTGGCGGAGGTGATTGCAATTGTGGCGGAGAGGATGGAGGAGGTGGAGGCGAGGGCGTTGATGGAGGTGATGTAATATATAGTCGATTGATGCCCTCATGTGATGGTTGAGGTGAGACAGGGTATTGGTTGTAAGGGATGGTATATGGAGTTTGTGAGTTTGAATGGCTATTTATATGTTGTTGTTGTTGTTGTTGTTGTTGTTGAAGTTGTTGTTGATGTAGATGGTGTAAATAATATTGATATTGTTGCAAGGTCATATTAGGATGGAATGGTGATTGGGTACGAGGGATATTAGGTGGTGACAGGGACAATGGATATTGTTGTTGGTGTGGTTGTTGTTGATGGTAATGTTGGAGTTGTTGGTGTTGTAATTGGTGATGGACATATTCAATATTTGGATAATTATAATGGCTGGCTGAGAACATTGTGGACTCTGTGTGGCCTCCAGTTGTTGGAGATCTGACGCTGTTGTTTGTTGTGCTGGTGGTGCTGGTTGTACTGGTGCTGGTGTTGGTCAAAGGCAGACTATCTCCTTCCTCCTGACCGTCTTCCTCTTCTCGTTGTAGTTGTTGTAATCTTAATTGTTCTAATCTTTGAAGTTGCCTTTGTTGGAGTTGTCTTTGATGTTGTCTTAGTTGTTGTCTTTGTTGTTGTTGTTGCTGTCTTTGTTGTTGCGTTTGTTGTTGCGGTGGTTGTTGTTGTTGTTGTTGTTGTTGTGATTGTTGTTGATGCTCTTGACTATTTTGGGCCGGCCGCTTTCGCATTGTATTGGTATGGATATGGATGTGGATATTGATGTGTTTGTTGATGCCTTACATGTTGAGGAAGAATGTAAATATTGAATAAATGACTTGCCCAGAGGCATGTGCACAAGAGTTTAGTTTAACAACTGAGTTTAGTTTGTGATTTGAGTGTGAACCAGATTTGTTTGAGTGAGTGAGTGTGTGGGTGAGTGAGTGCAGGAGACTGATTGAATGTGTGTATGTGTGATTGTGTGTCAGCTGACTAAATGATTGATGATATGGGTTGGACGGTAAGAGGCTATGAGTGGAGCATGCCCATGGATCGATGTTCTCATACCTCTGCTAGGAAAAGTCCCTCATTAAGCTGGACAAAGAAGATCGGTCATTCACAATGCCTCGATGCAAATGGCCCACACATACACACTCTCTTGACTACTTTGTCAATTTACTGATCATCTGACCCGACTGACCCATTTATGTATGTATAAGCATAGAGAGTGCTAGCATGAACTGAATGAACAGAATGAACTGAATGAACCAGCACCGGTTGATTGGGTACGAGGTGAAGTGTGGTGCTTGGGGGTAGGGTAGAGGGCCTTATTGATGATTGGTCCTCCTTGGATGTTGATTGTTGACGAACAACGTATTGTTGAAACGGGAGAACTGATGGACATTGCCCCTTGCCCATAATCAACAGTTGCTTGCTTGCCGCGGAAACTGTTGGGGTGGCGACCACACGAGTTGTGTTGTGATCGAGGAAACATAAATGTACACACACCCACTCGCTCGAATTCAATCAAGAAGAAACATCTTGTGATCGCACATTGCAAGTCAAGTAAAAGCATGGACCATGTGTATTAAATTGATGGTGAGCAATCAAAAAAATCCAATACATAGTTATGGTGTCCTCCATCATTAATGTCCATTACCTTTCATGGTCCAATCAGTGTCGCACCAACATTCATCCATTCAATTTTGCAACTCTCTTTGGACTGGACCACCCCCCATTAACTCGAGGCCAAAGGGCCTCCAACAAACGATCACGGACGCGGAGGTTTACAACTAAATCTTCATATTCAATCAACGTGCGACTCGCGCACAGTCGCTTACTAGATACGGCAAAGATCTTTCTTCATCTTCCTCGGTCCACACACAACAGGTCGTCTGTGAGGGAGAGGTGCTAGACGAGCGTGTAGCCCCGACTTTTGATCCAGAGCGCCATTTGTGTCGTTCGGTGCCCCCTTTTGATCACGGCCATTTAGCGATTGCCCACATACAGAGACATCCAGCCAGTTGGAGGATGGGGTGAACGTCATTGCGAGCCTCGAGTCCAATCTTTAAGCATTGTTCTTGTCCTGCACTACTGCAGCGGACGAGGATGTTGATGATAATGACTCCTTGTGCATGAATGAAAGCTCTGTTTGGTAAGTGGAAGTAATATCCTCACGGTTCCTATATCATTTGATTGATCGATTGTTGATTGATTGGTCAGGTGATTGATATGATTGATTGTTGGTTAGTTGGGCCGGCTGAGTGGGCAGGTGCGGTCGAGGGTGGTGACGAAGTGTGTGAGTGCGTCATGGTTACCGCTCTCTTGTCGATTTTAACAACATAGGTCGTGGATGTGTCTGTGGCAAGGTGGTAGGCAAGCCCTTGTTGACAACCAACACCAGCCAACGCCAACATCACACACATCTTAACCGAACAAACATAAATGAATGAATAACACAAATAAATTGATACTTACTTAACAAGATTGCCAATAATGTTCTTTGATAACAAGAGTGATGGGGAAGTTGAAGAAATGTCCTTCTTGATCTCAGTGACAATGTCATCGACTTCTCCAAACTGATTCCAATCAAATGTGATAACATTGGATCCTTTCAGCTTGATCTCCTTCAAGAACTCCTGGTAACAAATATCCAAGCCTTCCAAATAAGTCAATGGTATCGTCTGTTCACATTCCTGGGAGAACAAGTTGTTAGTCAACTCGCTCATTCAATCACTCAATCACTTATCTCATACATACTCTCTTTCTGATTGATTGTATCCTCCGCAGACATTCAGAAGGCGACACGTTGAGATAGAGGGTGATGTTGGGTATGGGTACATTGAGTAACATGCTGTCACGAATGGCCGTGTACTGTTTGAATCCTTCGGGCGATATCAAACCTTCTTTCCTACAGTTCTCCGCAAAGACCCAATCAGAGAACATCGAGCGATCCAACACCACTCCACTATTGTCATTATTCAAAGCATAGTCCAATGCCGCCAAGTAAGTATTATATCTCTGATTCAACAACCAAAGTTGCATGTCCAATGCATATCTCTTTGGTTCCGCATAGAACTGTTGCAAGTATGGATTTGTAGTAGTTGGCTCCAAGAACACCTTATAATCAAGTGATTGTCCCAACTTGTTTGACAAGTATGTCTTGCTGTTTGAGTAAGTAAGGAAGCAAGTATGTAAGTAAGTCAAAGTAAGTGATGGATCAATCACATGTCGAGTAGTTACCCTGCGCTGATGTTGCCCTCCAACACTATGATCTTTGATGAAGAGGAGTAAGCTCTGGTGATTGGTGAATGTGTAGTTGTAGCCATCCTCCTTGACAACAACAACATTGATGCTTGTTTGTTGAACATGTAAGAGTGTTGTAGTTGTAGTCAATGCGAATCGTTTGAAAAGTGAAGTTGAAGTGTTCGTGAAGTTGACTTCTTGGAATCATACGTCCGTGTTGTTGGACCGACCCCAACACGTGACCATGACGAAGAGTAAGATGAAGATCATGACATTGTCATGGGATGATTGTAATAATAAACTAATATATAATAATCACTCATTATTTATTATCTTGTTGCTATTGACACCAGTTCAAACTCGTTCTTTGGTGCCCTTCGCTTGAAACGCAGGAACTCTGGTAGTTGACACTTTCCAGTCTCGTCTAAAGTATGATGAATCAATGTTAGTATATCTGATTGATTGATTGATTAATGTTATGTAGATATACATACGTTTGTATTTCTGATATGCTTGGGTATGTGTAAAGGGTGGGAAACAGTCCATCCAGAGACTCTCGTAGACTACCTTTTGGACTTCGTCGAAAATGGATGAGTCAATGTCGTCAGCCATGCGCTGACGTACTTGCTCACGACTGATGGCGTCGATGTTGAGCTCCAACTCACTGCCATTCTCCAGATACTTGTCAAAGATGAGTTGTGCGCATTGCTTGACCTCCTCCTGTGTCAGATATCTTGTGTTGCTGTTGTTGTTGTGCTCGTTGTTTGAAGATTTACCGCGACGACTCTGCTTCCTGTCCTTGTCGGACTGGTGCAGTGGCGTGGAGGCGGCCGACTCGCCCATGAATGGCGAGCCGGGTGGCGACGAGGCCGACGACGATGATGTGTCCAGAGGGATGGATGTGAATGCGCTGACACTGATGCCTGTCTCTACGGGTGGGGCAATCGACTTGAAATGCTCTATCTCCAGCCAGAACTGCAGTGTTTCCGAACAGTATATAGCCTTTAGGTAATTCTTAAAGAGTGTGCATCCATAAGAGTCGCGAAGGACTTCGTTCATAACATCATTTGGATATATCATTCTCTATTGTGTATGTTTGTATATATTGGTTGGGTGGAAATGTGATTGATTGATTGATTGTCGCTTGGTTGTGGATGGGGAGTTGGATACAAGGGTTTGCTCGTATTGGTCTGTTGGGTTGGCGATATGGATACTGGATATCAGGTGAAATAAATGACTCTGTTGTCTTTTATGTGAAGTTGTTGGTAGTATAGTAATGGTATAATATTGATTGATTGATTGATTGGTTGAATAAATAGATAATTGATTGGATTGGCTGATTGATTGATTGATGCTTGCTCTGTTTGAGATAATAATTGTATATAATGTTAGATTAGGATGAACTTTCGGTTTGGCTTATAAAGTAATGATAGAAGTAATTGTATAAATAAGGTGGTACAATGATTAATTGATTGATTAATTGATTGATTTGTATATATCTAAACTCGTTAAAGTGATGGGTATTTATAATCGATTGGTTGGTAGGTAGTGGATGGTGGACTAGGTTGTTGGGGTGATGTGATGGATGGCTTCAGGTGATACTATCTAAACACTACTAAAACGAGTATAGAGTAATAGATTATTAAACCAAGAGGCCAATCAAAAGGTGATTGTACATATATGTAAGGGTACAGGAGATAGTAATAGTATTTGTATATATGTATGTGTATGTGTGTGTGTGTGTGTGTGTGTATATGTTTGGGTGAAGAGAGTTCTAAGAGTGTCAGAGAGACATCAGGCTGATTGGATATATGTCTGGGTTGAGCTGGCAGACGTGTGATTGTTGGTCAGGAGGGCACGAAGTGAGGTGACGTGAGGTGGATGGATGGACCATACCACTCGACCCCACACACGAACTAAATTAAGGAGTGTAAAAGTGCGCCCAACGCTTTTTTGCCATGATAGACAAACAAACACACATCTCGTCAAAATAGACGAGTTGGGGAGACATTGGTGTGATTTTAACGAACATCTTTTGTGAGTGTGAAGAGTGTATGAGGACCCGAGGAAGTTCAACTGACACTTCTCACGTCAACACCACTTATCTCCAAGTTTGAATGATTGCATGATTGAATATGTGATGTTGGCAAGTTGAACTGAACTGAACTGGTTCACTTGGCAAGTGAATCAACAAACTAATAAACAAAGATCACTAAGTAGATATCTCAGTGATAAGGATGTGATATGTGATGTGTGTATGTGTGAATGAGTGTTTGGTCGGTTGATGATGACTGCCGCGTGTTCCAGATGTGATTGGGGATTGGATTGGCAGAGGGACACATGATCGTTATATTAATATATACTTTTATGGTAGTATCACAAGCTAACCTCGTGAGCTTAAAGGTTGATGTAACAAGGACCTGTTTGTAATAATATATTGTATATTTGATATATATGTGATTGTGTCTGTATATTTGTACAAGGGTATGTATGTTGTATGGGATTGGGAATTGATAGATTGATAGGGAGATGAGATGTTGTTGTTGTTGTTGTTGAGTGAGTGATTGCTTGAGTGCTTGAATGAGTGAGTGTGTGCTATTGACTTCCTCCAAGCTGCTTGCCTGTCTGCCTTTTAGCACAAGTATATCATGAAAGTATGAGTGATATGGTCCGACCAAGATATCGGTAGACGCGCCAGTCAAAAAGGCAAAGTCTCTCACTCACACACATACTTTGCCTCGCAACTCTCTGGTATCTGACATGGAACCACTATGGATTGCAAACACATATGTATGGTTATGGTATGAGTGTGATCAAAAGTGGTCGAAACAGTTTAAAAGTCCGTACCTCATGACACTAATTGGGGCCACATTTTGGTGGACCTTATGCGATTTTGACAACAAACATTGTGTGTGTGAGATTGATCGATGAACAATAATGTTACATGAAAACGCGTCCTATTTTTGAGACAAACGCGCGAGTGTGATTGTATGTGAAGGATTGAGCTTAAAGTACTACTTGCTATCCTATCCAGGTCGCAAGAGTGTCCACCTACTACCCTTGACAAGTGTAAAGTCGTAGGTACAAAGAGAGTGATTATGTGATTGATTGATTGGTTGATTGACATGTTTGTTAATACTTACTTTAACCGAAAAAAAAGGTAGGAAGCAAGAACTTGTTGTTGTTGTTGTTGTAGAAGAGGATGTTGGAGTATTAAGTAAATGTAATAGTACAATGTAAGATGATTGATTGAAGTACTACAAGTAAATATTGTTGATTGATTCCAAGTTGGAACTAATGTGCAAAGTTATAAATATATTATGTAATGTATGTATGTGAATGACTGGATTGATTGCTGGCTTGCTTGCTTGGTTGCTAGGTTGTGACCGTCTGTCGAGATTTCGTTGGACACAGTGGAGGGTGATGTGATGTTTGGCAATGACCTCGGAGGCTTTCTATCTGTGATGAATGAATGAATGATTGATTATGTTCTAGAGTTTAAACTACTGGCAATAATAGGCTGTTGTCGGGTAGCTTGCTAGTTATGTGTGTGTGTTTTGTGTTTGAATGCTTTGGGTAGAGTGTGGAGATTGTTTACGAAGTGGAGCCAGCCAGTAGCAGTGATCGATTGATGGTCGAGTCATTTCACACCACCACTTAGCCCCGCTGGACAATCATTAACGATGATTGTTTACTCATATTTAATTAATGGGTCCATAAGCCACACCCCTCTCATACAATGTGTATTCACTTGCAATACTCACTCTCTCCGACCATAGGTGGCAATGGATAACACACATTTTATCCTTTCAGGAACACCCATGCGAATGAGTCTGGCGGTCATCACAAAGGTTGGTCTGGTCGTGTCCAGTAAGACGCGTGGTTCTTTTTTTAGTCGATGGAATTGTGTGGGTTCCAGATGGATTTCTATTTTTGAAGCCAAAAGTGGCGCACATTACACAACAGTAGTTGACATTCGTGATCAACTACATCAATGATAGACCCCTGGTATACCAATGGGTATTATACTGTCATGTCCTGTCAAAATAACTGATCGTTTGTTTATGTCTTTAATGACCTGGTTGTTTGATCATTTACGAGTTTTATGTTTACTAAAACCGACGATGATGAAGTGACCATCATACATACTTAGATAACAAGAATACACTTGATGTCGTCTTATGGTGAACACCATTTTAGCCGATTGATCAAAAGTGTTACTCTAAAAGGAGTGCTCGTTCAAACACTTGTCCAACCATCCAACCCAATGTCGAACCCAGTAATCGCATAACCATCAATGTCAACAAGTTCCAAACTTTGGCACTATTTAATTCATTATCTTTAGATAGGAGTTATCTATTCTCTATTTGTAGTAATTAGTATTAAGTTAGTTATTGTCATAGATCAGAGATGTCAATGTATCATTAGTACCAGGGAGGGACCACTCGCCCCGAATCACACACCTTGAACTAAATTCTTTGATTGTTCCTCAATCCAACAAACACATCAGTATCACACACTGACTTTACAACAAGCAAAGAGAAGCATGAGGTGAAGTTGATAGTGAGGGTTGTTGTTTTTTGAGTCATTATGAATGAATGAATTAAGTGTTGAGAGAATGTGTGTGTTTTGAACAGGATTGAGAACAAAACAATACTCTTTGCTCCCTCTCACTCTCACCTTTTAGTTGTTCAGTACAACGACGACTACTATCCATCCATTTCAGTTTGTGTCTGTACATATACATGCATTCATTTACTATCTTGTCTATAACAATCATATATTTATTATTTAATAACCTCTACCCGAGATCACTCATTCTATTGTTGTAGTAATATCTAGATATGTTGATAACTCATTGTTGGCATCTATCAAATAACTTCTTGAAGCACTTTAGATAGTATATAATAATAATATATACATACATATATATAATAGCAATAGCATACAACTAGTATACATTAATCAAACAAAGAAACAAACAAAGAAAGAAGAAAGAACAAAAGATGGCAAAGGCAGAACACTCAAATGCGAGCAGTATTGAGATGTCTACTGCTCTGTCTGCATTGAGCACACATCAACAGGAGTTTGAGAGGGACCCTGATAACTTGTCAAACCTACTAGGTTATGTCAATTTGTTGTCTGCTCTAAAGAAACAGGCTGTGTCCGCACAGAAGGAGTTGACACCTCCACCATCACCATCCAACAACATGACGACAGTGTCACCATCAACGACACCAACATCTGTTCACAGACATACAACAACTCCTCACAACGTAAACAACGTCATATTAAACAATAATAATAGCAACAACAACAACAACAACAACAACAATGCCAACCAAGTATTCATTTACTTGGATCGACTGAAGAAGTCACCATTCATTGCCAACGACCTGTTTGAGGTGTCATCAAACACGGTCGTCTTTCGCCCCGTTCAAAGACATGATCATTATCCTCCTGTCTCCACTCGTCTCCCTCCAACGCCACCTCCACGATTCAATCAAGGCATCTATTCACTCTACAACAACTCCACCTCATCATCATCATCGACATCATCAACATTCATGCCAACTTCATCTTCGACACTCTTGCCATCGCCACCACAATCATCCAACGTCAACAACAGCAGTAAAGACTTGTGGGGCAACAGTACTGTCAAGAACGAAACGATATCAGACTATGCACTATCCTTTGACTCAACAAAGGAGTCGCTGTCGACCTCTCAGATGTCGATACCAATCGTCACAACAAGGCTGGTGGCGAACAACACGATTGAAGTGAACGGCGCCAACCAGCTGTTCGGGTCGTCCACTTCGCGTCTCAACTCATTCGCAGGCATCATCGATTCATCACCTCAGCAACAGTCACCACTGTTCAACTATATATCCGAGGACACCAGTCCCCTGTTCAAGCCACAGGATCATCTCATGTCGGAGGACTCGTCGACACTACCGCTGCACTTACAGCAGCAACAACAACAGCAACAGATGACAAAACTACAGATACCAAACCGACCAGACGTTCGACATAATCCCAACACATTCTCACTCACACGATCATCAGAGGGCATCACCACGCAGACCCTATCGAGCCTACAGAACCTACAACTATCACCGATCATGGAGTCGGTGGTGGAGCCACCAAAAGCCCGCAATTGGTCATTGGAGTTCTGGAAGGCCTTGCAAATGGAGCACAACTGTGGCGTTGAGAACTTGTAAGTTGGGCGGTCTATCAATGACCTTGAGTCTCTTCATGAACACTTACTCATTCAATCACACATCAACGTTATAGGATGAGAAGCCAAACCATTCAGAAGATAGCAGAGGAGTTTGTACAGGTGGCGACTAAGCATGGCATTACGATCATCAAGGAACGTGGCATGCTCTCGGGCTCACACTCCATCCCTCCAATCGGTAGGTCTTCATAACTATCATCAAGCGTGTATCCTTACTTACTCTATTTGTTTGTTAGATGTTGGAGGAGTTGCAGGCGGACAAAAGTTCTTGAAGGATGGCATCTTTTACAAGTTTGCCTTTGACGTCTATGGTATCTATGGCGGCGACGCCTACGCTATGAAGGCAGCGGGTCACGAACTCAAAGGCCTGATGGGCTACTTCAATTGCAATGTGGAGGGACTTTACCTGCCACTGATGGCTCTGATCGACTACATGGGCTACCGACTGATTGCCACCAGCCACTTGGCAATTGGCACCTCCACACTGGTCTATGGATCGGACGACCAGGGCGAGCATGTGCACGACGACAATCCAATGATGTCCCAAAAGATGAAACAGGCAGCAGAGATCATGAACCTGAAAGGACACTATACTGGTCAGGCAAACAAGCGCTTCCTTTATGGCCCATGCGACATTGAGGGCCACATCACACTAGATGGTCACTGTGTGGTGATCGACACGGCACGCATCTTCCCACCCGAGAAGCCCACGCCCGAAAGACTGGGCGCGCACCTATACTACCTACTGCGGCCAGAGTTGGTGCGCACCAACAAGGTACCTCTGAGCTCGGATGCCTTCACCAAGTTCAGTGGTCAGGACAAGGAGCGCAACAACGAAGAGGTGGAACGAGCACAAAAGAGGCTATTCTTCCAGATTATTCCAAACTTTGTATTGACCTGTAATCAAAAGTATGTTGACTGACGACAAGCGAGCACACAACCAATCACGCAAGCCATTAACACTCAATCAATCAACCAATCAATCAATTTTTTAGAATTAAGAAGATCAAGTCAGTGACTATTATGGAACTTGCACATCAGCTGTCATTGATTGATAGCATGCACCGTGAGGGCATCAACGTGCGATACCTGAGTAGATTGAAGACGACAGAGGTCTATGGATTGGATCCAAGATTGACCACGATCATCAACACAGAGATCATCGCCAGACGCATCAAGAATCAGCTGCGCGAGCTCCAACGCGAGACGATGGCGGGCACACCAGACATTAGCGCCATCGTCAAGTTCCTCAACCGAACGTTTGTCATCTCGCTGTTGCAGGCGATTGACATTGACGGCTTCTCGCTGGAGCTGCTCATCCACCGTCTGTCCCAGATGACAGGTATTGAGTTCAGTGACAGTCTGGCCAAGCGCATGGAGGACACGTCCTATCTCATGACCGAGGATGACATTACCCGCATTCAACCAAAGGTTAAATTCCTACACATGGTTCCCTATCAGCAGGGTGTCTCGCTGTTCCATCAAGCGATGGCCATCATCACCAATGCATCGTCCAACGGAAACAACAACAACATAGTCAACAACAAAGACAACAAGAACAACAATGACAACAAAGACAACAAAGACAACAAAGACAACAAAGACAACAAGGATAACAACAACATAGTCAACAACAACAACAATAGTAGTCAGATAGACTACCTTTTCAAACAGGCTGCAGACAAGTTCTCACAGGCAGTGCAGTCCAAGCCTGATGACTTTGAAATCTTGACACATTGGGGAATGCTACAGAGTCTGCGAGCCAAAGCCATACTGAACAATGCCAAGGCCAACAACAAGGGCAAGCTCACGGGCGAGGTCAAGAGCGAGGCCTACAAGCTGTACGATGTGGCCATTGAGAAGTTCAAACAGGCGGTCAGGATCAAGCGTAACTACCACTATGCGCTCTACCAGTGGGCAGAGGTGTTGCGTAGTCAGGCCGCAATCAATCCAAGCAAAGCTCGTGTGCTTGAGCTGCGCGCCAAACACAAGCTGCGCGATGCCGGTGTCTTTGACAAGAAGTGGTTCTTTGGCACGCTCGAGACCAATGGTGCCGCCTCGCTCCTGTCAGGCAAGGAGGCAGGATCGTTCATTATACGAAACAGCAACAGTCGACCAGGCAGCTTTGTTTTCTCCTACCTCTCCGATCCCAATCGCAAGATCATGCACTCAATCATCAGATCATCATCACAAGGTTACTTTGCAGAGAACTTGCCTGCAAGAAAGGTAGTTGAGGAAGATGAGAATCTTTCAAGTAGTGCCAATGGCAGCAGTGGCGGCAGCAGTTCATCAACATCGTCATCATCATCGTCTTCGAAACAGAGCCTAAAGTACAATGAGTCTGGCACGAGCATGCTTGCATCGAACCCCTCACAATCATCATCGTCAGGTGCCGCCAACAAGTCCATCTATCAGACGCTCGAGGACTTTGTCTCTGACAAGATCAAGCAAGGTTACCTTCCAATCACTCAGTCCTATGATTAGTTCGCAACATCGTCGTCATCGTAATCAAGGTTGGACCAACCCCTAACTTGCAATCTTGATTTTGTCTAATAAAGTACTACTCCTCGCTTGCTGTTGCAACCTTATCTTTGACCACCATCCAACTATCTTTGTCCTGGTAAATTTCGAATATAACCCCCGATTAGTAGTAAAGTAGGAAGTTCTGCAAATGTAAAAATAACTAAATATCCTTTTTACTCGTTTTTTTTTTTGCTAGATTACAAAAAGGAAATTTGGACTTTGGGCTAGCATGAACGATGATGCAAACATTGGGAACTCGCATCCTCAAACCCACCCCTACACCTCGGCTCACACACTCTCCTCCCTCACCGCGATCCAACAAGTCAATCTGTGTGTGGTAATAATAACCCTGACAATCATTCAATCCACGTTGTTGTGTTTGTGTCGCTTGAACATAACCCAGGTTGTCGTGTTCACTTTCATTCATTCATTCAAACACACACTAGTGTTACAACACATCAACAACTCACACTCATTCATTCATCATACATTAGTCATTCATTCAATCATTCAATCATTCAATTTCAATACAACATATACTTACATACATACATACTCAATCAAGTAAACTAAGACAAAGATAGAGATAGAGATAGATATATATAATTATGTCTCACGAATCACAGATCAAAGTCAACTTTGATAATGAACCTTATAGAAACGAGGAGTTTGTGGTGAATTATAAAGCACCATTCAATGCTGAACCTAGACCTGAACGCTTGGTTCAATCGTTCATTACACCAATAGAGCATTTCTATGTCCGAAACCATGCTCCAGTACCAGTAATCAATCCAGATACCTACATGCTAAAGATTGATGGACTTGTAGAGAACCCTGTACTCCTATCACTCAATGACATCAAGACAAAGTTTGAAAAGATTACAATCACTGCTCATCTCCAGGTATGATCGCTATCTTGATTGATTGATTGATCAAGTATCCAATCAATCGGCTGACACTCAATCTCACACAATCAACCTAATCAGTGTGCAGGAAACAGAAGAACAATGATGAGTGAACATAAGAAGGTTAAGGGTGTAGGATGGGGCATTGCCAGTCTTTCGAATGGTACTTGGTCAGGTTGTAGACTGAGGGATGTACTGATGTATGCCCGTGCAATGCCTTTTGAAAGTGGCGCACATCATGCTTGTTTCTGGGGCCTCGATTTTGGCTGTCCAGAGGACAATGGCAAGTCATATGGCAGCTCGATCACAATGGAGAAGGCACTGGATCCCACTGGCGACGTTCTGTTGGTGTACGAGATGAATGGACAGACCCTGCCTCGCGACCATGGCTTCCCACTGAGGGTTGTCGCACCAGGCATCATTGGCGCACGAAGTGTCAAGTGGCTGGACAAGATCACCGTCAGCAGCACCGAGTCGGAGAGCTTCTTCCAGCGCCGAGACTACAAGATCTTCCACAATGGCATTGACTGGGACAACGTCGAGAAGAACTGGGACAACCATCCATCGCTCCAGGAGCTGTCGGTGCAGAGTGCCATCTGTGTGCCAGCGCCAAACTCCCGTCTCTTCCTCCCATTCACCCTTTATGGCTACGCTACAGCTGGAGGCGGTCGTAAGATTGAACGTGTCGATATATCTCTAGATGGTGGTCAGACATGGGATCTTGCCGAGCTGATGGGTGAGAACAAAGGACCATGTAGCCGATACTGGGCATGGACTCTGTTTAGGTACACAATCAAATCTATCGATTCAAAGGTGGCCAAGAAGATCAATATAGTCTGCAGAGCATGTAAGTAGAAACTTATTGATTGATTCATTGATTGATCATGCAGTAACTAACCAACAAACAAACAAACAATAGGGGACTCTGCGAGCAATACACAGCCAAAGTTTGTTGGCGATATTTGGAACTTAAGAGGAGTGATGAACAACTGCTGGCACAATGTCGAGGTCACTGTTGATCCACTGTGTTCCAAGTTCTAGAACATGGTAACTCACATCACAATCACAATCACAACACCTCCAACTGGATCAAGTACACTGTTCATAGTTTGGAATAAGGATGTAGAATACACATCCAAATAAACAACATAATCAGACTAGTTTGTCACTCACTCAATCAATCATTATCGATAAAGAAATATATTGTATTGTATTGTAATGTATTTCAAGGCATGGTTGCCAATGGTGACATTGTGTTCATCCATTTGAAGATGCCAGCTGCCACCTCCCAAGTGTTGCCAACTGTGTCGGCTGAATAGTAGATGTTGCCATTGTTCCAATCGTTCTCCAATTGTTGAATCTCCGTCTGATAGGTGTCGTCGTCAAACTCCTCGCCAAAATTGAGAGAGGCACCAAGTTTGGTCAGGAAGTGCGTCCATCGCATGGCATAGAAGTCTTTAGTCAATCCTGCAAGTATCTTGCCAGCATAGTCGTGTAGGGTCGATGTTGGAGGACCCCATAGCGTCACCAGGTTCCTCGCGTTGAACTCATAATGATCCTGTTGAGACTTGTCCACAGCCCACTGCCTGGCATCATTGGTCCATTGACCTAGCAAGAAGTTACGATGGGTCGATGTGATTTCATCAATCTTTGTGATGATGTCCAGCATTAACTTTGACATCTCATTAAAGCCCAGCAGGTTCTTGGCTACGTAAGCTCTTGACATCCAAACAGTGGCATCATTGAACATGTTTGACAATGCCTGCATTGTCACTTGTGCCAGGTCATAGCTGAATGTGTCGGTCTTGAGTATGTCCTCGTCAGACACACCAAGCATCTTCTCCATACTTCTAACAATGAGGTTAGGGTCGTAGTACACACCGGCAGAGCTATAGAGGCGAGGTCGTTTGACCAACACGGCAGGAGGTGAGCCACGGAACATTGGCGTGTATATTTCACGAACAATATCATTCCAGACAACGGTCAATGTTGGGTCCATCTTTCCATAGCGTCTGGCAACAAAAGCACTAGTCCACCATTTTAGGTCAATTGGTGTAGTCCTCCAAGACATCTCATTCATCAGATCATATAATATATCATTCTGACCGAGGCCTTCTGGACACACACCAATTCCAATCATAGTCTTTGAGCGTGATCTACTAGCCAACACACTGTTGACAATGTAGGACATCTTGCCATACCTATTGATAAGTGAGTGAGTGATTAGTGTCTCTTACTTTGTAAAGTTGCCCAAAGACATTGAATGTACTTACATCATGTTCCTTCCTCCAAAGTTATGAAGCATGCACCATATCCAGTTATGTCCACTAAAGTCATTGGTCTTGTTCCAACCAGCAAAGAGGTCGGCTGCAAGGTCAAGAACGATAAGTCGACCAATCGGTATACCAGAGAGGAATGCATTGACTTGAGGTGGACGCCAGAAGTTGAGTGGATTGGAACGTACAAAGAACCATCCCTGTAGGATCCATATGGCATCAGGATCAGCTTCGACCAAAGTGTTGTAAATGGCTGCCGATGTGTTTGTTAGATACTCCTCGTCATCAGTTGGTGGGAAGACCTCATTGAACGGATCCAGGTTGTAAAAGTGATCGGTACCATACACCTCTGTCTGCTCTTTGATGAATAACTTTGTAATGTTGGCGAATAGAGGGTCGGACGAGTCGAGGTAGTGGGTACCCGTGAAGTTGTTCCAGCTGTCGAGCTGGTTAATCTTGGCTTCGGGGAAGTAGTCTCCTAGGGTGGGTGGGACATGTCCAGCAAAGGCGGGTAAGACTGTCTTCATGCCATATAGTCGCATGCGATCAACAATCATCTCCTGAAGATCCTTCTGACTTGTGATCCAGTCCTCGAGTATGTTGCCACCCCATCCATTCAAATTGCCCATCCTATTCCAAGGTAGAAAAGCAGGACCAGTGAACCAATTTATGATCTCCTCTCGTGGGATGCCCAGTTGGGCGTACACCTTGCCCCAAATATACTCCTGGCCAACAAAGGCCAAGGGTAGATTATATCCATTGAGGGCCATCCAATCAATCTCTCGCTCCCATCTCTTCCAGTTCCACCATACAGTCGTATAACCAAATGTGACGGCATTCAAATAATATCGATACTTGGACACAACAGGCTTGGTCTTGCGTAGTGCGCTGGCCAATGTACTTGGTGTGATCTGGCAGTTGTCACCATTCCAAGTGAATGAACAATGGCAATAGTACTTGAGGTAATAGTTCAATCCCATGGCCAATGCAATATGATTGTCTGCATCCAAATGAACGATTGTTTGATTGGTTGTTTCATCTGATGTCGTCCATACTGTAAAGTACTCCTTGCCACTGCCATCAGGGTTCTCGGTCACATTCAATATGAATTGATTGACAAACTGTGGACCAAGGACACGACTGATCAAACCTTGGACTGGCTGTTCATCCACCTCCACGGCCATCTTCTTGAGACCTAATTGTTTCCTGGCGTCGACACCATTATAATTATTTGAAAGAATAAATAATATTACTGATAATAATATAAAGATATTATTATATCTTCCTCCCATGTATCGAACTATCTCTCTCTCTTATTCTATTATTTGATTGAATTGATTGATTAATTGATTGTTGGATATGAGGATGTTGGGAGGATTGGAATAAGCACATTCAGAAGTATTGCAATGACATGTTATCTTCGAAGATGAAGCCGCAAGAAGTTGACATCTATGCATCCGTCATCCACAACAACAAATTAATTTCCAGTGTGACTGGAAATCTGTGTGTGGTGTGTGATTGATTGGTCGGGTGTGAGAGTGGGTGATATGATCAAAGAGTAAGTTTACAATCGCGAGTGTGTAGTTCTACACATACTATTATATCATTGAGCTGTTGTCGGTTTCATGTTGGAAATCTGGCGTCATAGATTGGTTGTCATTGATCAACTTGACTACAACAAGGTAACAAATTGACAAAGTGTCACGTTGTAGCGCTGTGCATGTACATGGGTTTCATCATCACATCAAAATAACATTATTAAATCGACAGTGTTTATGAATGTACGAGTGCTAGCATTGAGTGACCACATCCACAATGTACTGATGGCGATGATGATGACCGGTCACCATCATCAACAACATTATTTGTTGTAGCCTCGCTGACCTTTGATGATTGGTCAGCCATGGATAAAAGTACATTGCTTATCGATTCAATCGGTTGTGGACTACATTGATTGTCGCCATCTGGACATCCGACATAGACATGCTCGCCACGACCCAATTGGAAGTGTTCGTTCCAGCCAAACGAATAAAGTTTGTTGTCCTTTGTCAAGCAGAGGATGTGCTCGGAGCCCATTGAGAAGTTGGCGATGCCCACGCTGTCAAATGGCGCCGACGATAGACGCGAGAACAATGTGCGGGGCGTTGATTGGAAGGTGCCATTGCCCAGTGTGCCATAGTCGCCTCGTCCAACAATGTACAGTGCGCCATTGGCCTTGTCAAAGAGACATGAGTTGCTCCATCCACATTTGATCTCCAATGAGGCAGCTGATGACTGTGCCACTATCGATTGTATGTCCACTATGCATGGCGTTGGTCTGTCCTCAGTGTCGCCCAATGCCAGTTGTCCAAACTTGTTGTTTCCAAATGACATCAGACATGCATCCGTTGTCATCACCATTGTATGTTTAGATCCGCACGCCACGAGTGCGCACCTATGTTGTTGTTCAACAATGCAGCCGTCGAGTCGTGTTGGTGTTGAGACAACCTCATTCGATCGATCAGTCAAGCCAAGTTGACCAAACTTATTGCAGCCCCAGACAAAGAGTTCTCCATTACCTGTTGTATGTTCTCACGCGTTAGAAAGGCGAGGCGGTAGTGTCTGCCTTGGGATCAGGGGTTGACTTACTTGAAATGGCAGCACTGTGCCGCAGGCCACATGCTATTGATACGATGGTAACATCGTTGGGTAGTTGGAGTATGCGAGGAATGTATTGATTCTCTTGTTTCTTCCTTGTTGTCTTTAACTTGATACGTGACTTTGGCGCGGCGCTACTGCTGCTACTAGTGGTGTTGCTACTAGAGTCAAAGCCAAGTTGGCAATGACCATTACATCCCCAACTATATACACTACCATTAGCTTAAGAGTGAGTGAGACTATGAGTTAGATTGAGATTCAATCAGACATTCCAGACGTATCAATCAACATACAGTCCAATGCAAGTGAGTGATTCCAACCTGCTGCAATTTCAACAATGTGCCCAGTCTTTGAATAGGTGTTGTTGAGAGGAGTAAGACGTTCAATGTTGGATGTTGACTGCCCATTTGATTGATCTCCCACACCTAGCTGTCCACAGTCATTCCCACCGGCAGCATACAACTGACCCGACGTTGTCAACAACAGAGTGTGGTAGCCTCCTCCGGCCAATCTCCTTATCAATGGTTGTGTTTGTGTTTGTGCCTCTTGTGTTGTTTGCGATTCGCTATCACCTGAGTCAACATTAAGACACTGCGATGGACTACTCACATCGAGACTGTTGCCCAGTGCCAGTTGACCCGATGATCCTGAGCCCCCTTTATCAAGATGCGCATAAAGTGAATGAATGAGTGAGTTGAGTGAGTGTTGTTCAGTCATGTGATGCCCATCCATCAATCCATCCACCCGTCCATCTATCAATCGATTCGATCATCAGGTGCTTAACCACTTACAAGAGTACAGTTGAATCAATGATGACATATCTTGGTATCTCTCGATGTATCTGTTGGCCGCAACAACTCACTTCACAAGTTCGCGCTTTCACCATCCACCCCTTGCCACTCTCCCACATGCGTCAAGACTGAACTTTCTTCTTGTCCACCCTGACCCAATACAAACATCCTTTGGGGGGGGACTAAGAGATGGGTCATGCTAAGGGTGAGGTGTCAGTCCAATCTCGATTGGAATCCGATACAGTGACAAGTCCGAAGTAAGTAGTATTTGGAGTATGTTGTAACTCTAAACCTCCAGAAGTCCAGATCTATTTAATAATTTATATTTATGTTTGAGACGAATCATTTAACCTCGTCCAACCCAATAAAAACAGTATTAATAGCATCTTTTGATGTATATATGTTTGATCAATACGATTTTAGGGTTCATCGGTCGAAGCCCCATCAATCACAAAACGAATCAAGCGACCAAAAATCAACTCGTCTCACAACAATTATTGATTGGGGCCAATCAAAGGGGTGATCTAAGGCCCAATGAACAAGGTCGGGTGCCCTGACACAAAAAGTGTCATAAGCAAAGATTCACACTTGAGCCCATTCCACCAACTCCCTTGGTCGTCGTATCCAGACTTCATAACTTGTCAACAACAATACTCTTCCATCAATCAATCCATCACCCCAAACCAAGCACTTGCATGGTCCATAGGGGACGGTCGTCGCACTTCTAACCTTCATGCTTGTTTGTTAGTGTCGCTTAAGTTAAAGACAACTCAACTATTCCCATTTCCATCCGTGCCCCCTCCCAAACAACCTATCTTCGTCATCACAACCATCAACAACATCATTACCCTATTGTCCACGTGTACCACTACTAATATATAACATATACTTACTTATTACTACCTACTTGTTCTACTACTACTATATCAATCAACTTCAAACGATTATACATATACACATAGAGAGACTACGTAATGTCACTCTACAGCTCACGACATAGCCATGCTTCGTCGTCTTCGAGCCACAGCTCATTTCATCGGCTATTCAAGTTCACAAAGTCATTCGAAAAAGGTGCCTTCTCAGTCATCTATGCTATGACCAAAGGCAACACCTTTCCCAAGATATTGACAATCATTAGCACAATCATTGAGTTCATTCGTAAGTCAACCCTCGACGACCCTCAACCCTGAACCCTCGACCAACCCTAACCCTCGCCAACCCTAACCCTCGACCTAACCCTCGACAACACTCAAACTCAAAGAGTTGGCATCATTTGGATTCAAACCAAGCTTCCCATGGGGAGGACAGGCAGGATATTGGATACCTAGGATAGTGTCACCATTCTCTCATCCATCAAACCTGTTCAACTATTATGGCTACCAGGTGTTATACTTGATTGTAGTGTCGTTCATGTTGCTAGGCTTCCTCAACATGATCTACGTCGGCTACAAGTTCTATCAGGGCAAGATAGCCAACATCTATACGATTCGTACGCTGCGCTGGTTCGTCAGCTTCACCGTCAATGTACTATACATACCAATCCTCTCGCTGTTCCTCATCAGTGTGAACTGCGAGCATGTCCCGTCCCTGGGCTACTCAGTGCTGGCCAAGTATGTCAGCACCGGTGAGCTAATCCAATGCTTTGGCGGTACCAATCTACCCTATGCCATTGTATCAATCGTCCTCATTGTCATATTCAGTCTTATCTCATTCCTCAGTCAACTCACCTACTATGAGTATGACACAACATGCAAGACCAGGTTCGCCAAGCCACATGCAAGAGTATGTAGTTAGTGCCCATCTATGTTTGGTTTAACCATACTAATGCTCCACCTTACTACTCATTTATAGTTCGACATGTCAATCTTACTTGTCAAGACCATTCTATCACTATTCTTCACTCTATTATCAGAGTATCGTTGGGTACTTTGTATTACATACTTCCTCGGTATGACTTGGCTTGTATTTGGATCAACATTTATGCTTCCATTGAATAATCAGAGACTCAATCAAGTAGTATGTATTGACTAAAAATTTTAATGCGGCCACACGACCGGTAACAGTGTTACCACACCAGAAGCTCAACCATGAGGGTGTCCATAATACTAACATACATACTTACAAACAAATAGAAAACAGGATTATATACAGCATGTCTTTGGATGTCAATTATGTCAATCGCTACATCAGCTGTGAATAATTTAAGTTCACCGGCAACAGTTTATCTGGCGATTGTAGGTCTGGTACCATCGTTTGTAGCTGGATACTTTATCAATCGTGCCTTCCACAAGTACCTTCAATCACGTCTGGAGGAGTTCTACGAGATCAACTCTGGCAGGAGTCGCACCAAGTCTGATGTCAAGGCTGCCTTGTCATCAAGTGGCACCAAGGACACACGCGCGGCCGCCGTCGCCGAGATTGAAATGACCCCAGTTGGCGGCGCCAAGGACTCGCGTGCTGTCACCTTTGAGGAGAACCACCTCGGATCGAAGCGCGAGATCAAGTTCCCCTTCTTTGAGAACCGATTCGTCTTCTCGCACTTTGTCGAGATCATGATCCGCAGTCTGTTGATGGAGGACGAGCCCACCGAGCGTGACATTGACCGCGCCAACCTATTCTACCAGTGCGGTCTCCAGTACTTCCCTCGCTCAACCCTGGTATGGATGGCCTACACCAACTACCTGATCTCCATTCGCAAGGATCGTCACATTGGCTATGCTTCACTCGAGAAGCTGCGCTCACTGTCGCCACGCATGATCGACATCCGATTCTTCCTCTACCAGCGCGACCGTGAGCGCGAGCAGATGATGGACTCTGAGCTGCGTGGACCACACGCTGGCAAGATCGAGGACTTTGTCTCGTACATGGAGTTCAAGAAGCTGTACTCTGGCGCCCGTCGCTACCACTCACAGTGTCTCACCTACATTGGTCGCTTCTGGAAGATCCTTTCATATGAGACCATCGACCTCAGCCGTCTGTCTGCGCTCTCGGGCAGGATCGCCTCTCGTGAGAGTCTGGCCACAGAACAGTATGAGCGTCTACTCAGCCTCAACCCCAGCTCGGTGCGTGTTCTACGAGACTACTCCCAATTCATTGAGGACGTTGTCAAGGATCGCTACCTGGCCGCCAAGCTCGCCAAAAAGGCCGACCGCATCGAGGAGAGCATGAGCAAGTCACTCTCGCTTGAACATGAGGGTGGTGCATCCAGCAACAACATCCACGCCCAACTGGACGAACACAAGGACAAGGGAGGATTCAGCTCGGGCGACGACACTTCAGAGTCGAGTGGATCAAGTGGCCGCAAGTCATCGCGTCGTTACCAAGAGTACCAACAGTCCAACTCAATCACCAAGCTGTCATGGCTGATGTTCTTCACCTCCCTGCTGTCGCTGGCCTTCCTCATTGCCTGTCTGGTGGTGATGCGCAATCAAACTTACGATCAGAAGTATGCGTTCCAGGGAATCGTCTCGCTGGGCGAGGCTGCATCTCTGTCCGTGCTTATTGCCAGCAACATCAACAGAATGTACGCATTCGCTCGCATGAACAATCTTGACGGTTTTGAACAGATGCGCAATTCAACCAAAGGCTACGTCAACTCGCTGGAGAACATACATCGGGCGATCTACTGGGGCGAGACACAGCCTTACAGCTTCGTCGGACCAATCTTTAGCGACCTGCTCAAACAAAAGGGCTACCACGTCTACGACATTTCCTCGCGTGTGTTTGACTACAAGGAGTTCAACAAGACCAGGCCTGTTGATACATCGTCCAAGGAGCTCAACACCCTGTACAACACTCCGAGCTTCACCCTCAACTTCTACGTGACAATCAATTCATCGAATATACCCATGAAGTACAATGGCTGGAAGGCTGGCAACCAGTTTGTGGGATCTGGCTTAGAGGTGCTCGAGTCTGAGATGCCCGACTGGATCGTGCCAGGCTTCCAGAACAGCACGCACTATCAATTCGTCGTGAGCAATGGCCCACAACTGATGACACAGGCCTACTTTGACATCCAGCTGGCCTACATCACCAAGAACCAGAACGAAGCTTTGAACAATGTCTTCCTTATCCTCATCCTCTGGGGATCCATCTTTGTTCTGTTCGTGTTGGTGGCAGCACTCCTTCTTCGAACCGTTGTCGTCAGGATCACACGCGAGACCCTTCGTACGATGATGCTGTTCACCTTGGCACCGCGCAGTCTGGTTCAGATGATGTGTCAGCGAGAGTACAAGTTGTCCAACCTTGAGAGTAGTTCAGACCGTGACTTGGATTTCTACAACGAAAATGAGGAGGAGGAAGAAGAGGAGCCAGTGGCCGATGAGGAAGTAGATCGCCCAGCTGATGGAGAGAAGGAGCATCAACAGTTGCGCCAGCGCAACGTCAAGGAGAAACAGGTGGATGAAGAGAAACAATCACTGTTGCAACAAAACAACGAGGATGAGTCCACGGCACTGGAGAAGAGGAACGTCAACAAGAAGTCACTAAGATCCGTGCACATGAAACTCCACTACTCGTACATCTTTGCCCTGACCATATTGTTCGCCATCATTACCATGTCGTTGTTTGTGTCATTCTCCGAGACACTCAAGGACATTGGAGCTGGCAACGAGCTGACAGACAGCGCACAACGTTCCGGCTCGGCAGACATTAGCATCTTCTACGCCTTCACCTATGCCACGTCCAAGAACCCCCTCCACGCACAGTACCTCATCAACGCCACCAACACAATGCAGCGTCTACACCAGTCTCTGCAGACCATGCCTCAGACCCGCACTTTGATGGAGGGTGGCTATGGATGCTACATGATCGACCAGTCCAGGTGCCGCACACCCGAGGACCCCTACTACTTTGACGTGTCTCTAGGCCTCGACTGGACCATCAATCAGTTCGTCCAGAATGCCATGGAGATTGCACACGTCACCAACGTGTCCAACCTGTCTCCCATGATGGAGCCACTGCAATGGATCTCCCAGGTGGGATCCAACGAAGTGTTTGACGGTATGAAGATCGCTACATATTTGTTCTACAATCATTGGCAGACCATCCAGGATGCAAGCGTACGCAACCTGACCATTGGATACGCAGTTGGACTTGTTGCCATTGTACTTGTCTACTTCCTGTTGTTCCGTCCATTCATCAGTCGTCTGCGAGTTCAACACACTCACACTCTAGCACTTCTCCGTCTGGCGCCCAAGGAGATTCAAATGATCGACCTCGACGACAAGGTCATCTATGGATAAACGTACAAACAATCAATAACAACATATAGTTTATAAAGGGTAGCTCCTCTAAGTGCTGAATTCCCAAACTCCAAACAATATGACCATGATGGATGACGATGGACTGCGTTGATTTATTGACTTGCGTTCATCCAGGGAATGGAGGATGATGATGTTGATTGATTGGATTATTGATTGATGAGAAGATTACATACGGAACACACCAAAGCCGTCTGATGGTGGGTTGATGGGCTGGTTCATACAGGCGCTAAGACTGAGTGCGATCACTTGACGAGTGTCGGCTGGGTTGATGACTCCGTCATCCCAGCAGCGAGCCGATGAGTAGTATGGTGAACCCTCAACCTCGTACTTGTCTGAAATTGGCTTCTTGAATGCAGCCTCCTCCTCAGCAGGCCAGGTCTTGCCCTCCTTGGCCATGTTGTCGCGCTGAATCTGGGCCAACACGGATGCGGCCTGCTCACCACCCATGACACTGATACGTGCGTTGGGCCACATGTACATGAAACGTGGGCTGTACGAACGGCCACACATACCGTAGTTACCGGCACCGAAACTGCCACCAATGATCACAGTGATCTTTGGCACACGGCAGGTGGCCACGGCCATGACCATCTTTGCGCCATCCTTGGCAATACCACGAGCCTCGTAAGACTTGCCAACCATGAAACCAGTGATGTTCTGCAGGAAGAGCAATGGGATGCCACGCTGGTTGCACAGCTCGATGAAATGAGCGCCCTTGACGGCCGACTCAGAGAAGAGGATACCATTGTTGGCGACGATACCCACTGGCATGCCGTGGATCTTGGCAAAACCGGTGACCAGGGTGGTGCCGTACAGCTCCTTGAACTCATCGAAGCGACTGCCATCGACGATTCTAGCAATGACCTTGCGTACATCAACATTCTTGCGCAGGTCGCTTGGCACGATACCCGACAGTTCGCTGGCTGGGTAAAGTGGCTCCTCTGGTGTGTGGATGACGACTGATGGGTTCTTCTTGCGGTTCAGATTGGCGACAATGCGACGAGTGATGGCAAGAGCCTCCTCATCATTGCGGGCATAGTGATCGGTTACACCAGAAGTGCGGCAATGAAGGTCGGCACCTCCCAACTCCTCAGCAGTGACAATCTCACCAGTGGCAGCCTTGACCAAGGGTGGACCACCCAAGAAGATGGTACCTGTGCCCTTGACGATGACTGACTCGTCGGCCATGGCTGGCACGTAGGCGCCACCAGCTGTGCAAGAGCCCATGACGACGGCAATCTGTGGGATACGCTTGGAGGACATGTTGGCCTGGTTGTAGAAGATACGACCAAAGTGATCACGATCGGGGAACACATCAGCCTGACGGGGGAGGTTGGCACCACCAGAGTCAACCAAGTAGATACATGGCAGGTTGTTCTCTTGGGCGATCTCCTGAGCACGGAGATGCTTCTTCACGGTGATTGGGAAGTAAGTGCCACCCTTAACAGTGGAGTCATTTGCAACAATTACACACTCAATACCCTGTACTCTACCAATACCAGTGATGATTCCACCAGCTGGTACATCATCCTTTCCGTACATCTCGAATCCAGCCAACTGTGAGAACTCCAAGAATGGTGAACTAGTGTATGGGAACAATGTGTAAGTTGATCGAGGTCCCTGGACAGTGTCGACACATGATTGATTGATTGATTCATACCCTGGGTCGACTAAAGCATCGATACGCTGACGTGCCAAGAGCTTGCCTCTGGATACATGACGCTCGTTGAGCTTGGCGCCTCCACCCTGCTTAATCTTGTCAATGACATTGTTGAGTTGCTCGACGCTCTGAGTCATTCTCTGAAGGTTCTCCTTGTACTCCACTGAGTTCCTGTCAACAGATCCATCGAGGATGTGCATCAAGTTGTCTGTATGGTATGATCTCTGTATGTATCCATGTAGTGTGCGTGTCAACATCCTATCCTATTCACTATCTTATTACATCCAATCGATCAATCAATCAAACACACATACCATGAATGATGGACGAGATGTAAGAAGGGCAGCAGAGGCCGAAGCAGTCAAGCTTCCACTTCTGAGTACATGGCTGGATCGCACGATGTTTCTTGATACAAGTGATAACATTGTTGTGTATCTGTATCTGTATCTGTATCTGTATGAATAAGTATGTCGGGATGAACAATGAAGTCGACATCATAGTTTGTGGTCCTTTTTTTGATCAAAGTTGGCCTCCCACACACAGATTTTTATTCACAAACGAAATTTCCATCATGGGACTCTGTTTTGTCCTGTTATCCAAACACACAATGCAAGGTATAATTATTCAATCAGTCAGTATACATATTTAATTACAAGTAATAGTATTTATATATATATATTATGTAAATATACACATTTAAAAAAAGGGTTGACAATAATTACAAATTGCTGACAATGCTTAGATCAATGATGTTGTCTTGATCTCTGCCACAGCGTTGGTGCTTTGAAGCAGACTCTCCTTCTTGCGCTTCTCCAATGCCCATTGTACAGACCAGAGTGCTAGTGGACGCATGTAGCTACCCGCTCGATAGCATCCATTCATATCCCATGCCTCTGGTGTCTATATTATTTGATGATTGATTGATTGATTGAGTGAGTGAGTGGAATTATTCCGGATTGGTAGAATAAAAGTAGTATGGTACTTACTTGATAGTGGAATCCCCACCTGTGATATGATGAATCGATTATTCCTTGGATCAATTCCCATCCTTCTTTATCCATAAAGTGAAGCAACATGGTTGCAGCCAGACCAAACGATGTGCCAATCCAGACCTCACTAGACTGCAATGATGTAGTGTCCACAGTACCCTCTGGTCTCATTCCATTGACTGCACCACACGATCCATTCGAGTATCCTCTCACATTGTACTCATTGATGATACTGAGTGATGAAAGTGCCTGGTCCAATGTGATGTAAGATTGCAAGCCACACGACACCAAGTACCAATGTCCAGCCAACTGATCAGACATGATGCTATCATAGTGAGGGCTAGAGTTGTTGTTAGTACATGGATGTTTGAGATTGATGGTCTAGCTTCTAACTTACTTCTTGCTGCTGTCATAGTTGAAGTAATGTCCATTCCAAAGCTTTGAGTTGTAGGACCGCTTGCCCTTCTCAAAGATCTTGTTGTAGACGATGACGTCCTCTTTGAGGCCGAGGATCTTGGCGATCTCTGCCGCACACTTTAGACACGCGAGCCACAGACCGCCTGTGTAGGCACTGCATCCCATCGCTGACCAGGTGTCGTAGGTCTGATCGGGGAAGCCCTCATTGTCGACGACGCCATCATTGTCAAAGTCGAACTCGTAGGCGCGACGGATGGCTTCTTCAATGACGCCCCACATTTGCAACAGGAAGTTCCTTGTCATCATTGACCAGGTAGTCGCGATACACCTGCAGTACAAACTTGCAAGGCAGGTCCTTCCAACGAGAGATGTCCTGAATGTTGTATGAGTTGACGCGCTTCCATGGGTCCTCGCCCGGGTTACCCATGTCGTGTGGCACTGCGCCCCTGATCTTACGCGGCATTGTCTTGCCTGAATGAATGCACTCGACCATCTCGCCATAATCAAGCAGTGTGGCGTCGGCAATGTCTGTCTGAAGACTGATCTCGAGTCGCGGCCACAGCATGGCCAGAGCAAACGATGCGTAGAAATGCACGTCGTACGTGTTGTACATGAGGTACTCTGCGCTTTCGAGGTATGCGAAGCGGCCAATGTAGTTGACATCGTTCATGTCTTCCTTGAGCAGCTTGCTCACCATCAGCTTCTGATTGTTGGGCTGCTCTGGAGGCGACCCGTTGGTCCACACCGAGCCTCCGTCCACAAAGAAGTAGAGCTCGTTGAAGATGGACATCTTGTAGAAGGCGGGCAGCTGCGTGTCGGCCAGGATGGGTGCCTGCCACTTGACAATGTCCTCCTCCCACTGCTTATAGTTGAAGATGGCGTCGCTGGCGATACGTTGGCTGTTGTTGCCAGACACACCATAGAACTTAGTGTAGCGACGGTAGTAGCCCGAACCTTGAGTGAAGCGGCACACTGGTGTGTCCCAGGCGATGGCGAACACCACCTCCTTGGTCTGGCCGGCAGGCACGCGCACCTTGGCGGCGATGGCAGCGGCGATAGGCTTCTTGGGCGCGGACGGGCGAGTGTCATCTGAGTTGTCAAGGACACCCGACCTGTTGAAGCTGTACCACAAGTTGGCCGCGTCCAGTCTGTTTGTTGTCTCGAAGCGCGTCTGGTATGAGAACTGGACGTCAGGGTCGTCCTTGACCGATATCGAGAGCTCCAGTGGGTCGAGGAATGAGGTTGGTTGTTTCTCGCTGGGCTTGATCTCTCGCTTTGTCATCAGTGTCACACCATTCGTGCGTCTACCCTTGTCATCAGTATACTTGAAGCTCCTGTATGTATGTGAGTCGGTTGTTGATTGGGTGTGTTAGTGAGTGAATGGAGTGGAAGAGACGGATGATTGATACCAACCTGTTGTGATGTCCACCGGCTGCGTCGACGCTGGTGCCATCACTGTTTTGCCATGTGAACATCAGACTGACCTCGGCATTGGATGACGAGGTGTTCTCAATCTTCCAGACAAAGACTCCGCATGGATATGATGACTCGCGGTAGTTGTGTGGGATGACTGGAGACAGCTGCTTGCACACGAGACGGATGTCTGGATGTGGCTCTTCGTACACCGTCCATGCACGCGGGAACTGACCAAAGTAGGATGACTTGTCACCTTTGAAGCCCCAGTTCCACACATCGAGGTTGAGATTTGACTTGGGCTTGCCGGGACACAGTACCATGGCCTTCTTGGCCGAGGAGAAGTGGTTGTTGGCTTCATTCTCCATGTTGATGTACACTGAGAACTTGTTGGCGTCGACAATCTCGTTGGTGACGAGTCCATTGTGCAAGTTCCATCGCACAAAGTCACCTCGCCAGCCACGTGTGATTGATCCCGATCCAATGCCACCGATCGGTACCCCCATCACGGGACCGGGCTTGGGGATGTTGAATGGGTCCATGATGGGAACGCGACCAGCATTATATTCGCGTTTGACATACTTCCACATGCGATAGCCGAGTCCCATCAGTTTGAGACCCGTGCCAACAGACACTTGGAACTGTTTGTGCTCGGGGAATTGGAAGTCGAGTCGCTTGGACCAGCTGAACTTGGAGATGTCCTCTCCGAGACGCAGCCACTTCTCCAGGTCTGTTGAGCTGTCGTCAAGAGCTGCATCGTCCTCGCCCAATCCATTCCAAAACATGTCCTGACTGATGTTGAGCAAGTTGGACTTGGTCGCGCTGAATGCCTTCTTGAGTGAGCCTCCAAGATTGGCCAAGTTTGAGCTGCTAAGCAAACTTTGTGTTTGATCTGAGGAGTTGTTGTCATTGTCATTGAGGTTGGTCTGTGTGTCTAATGGTCCGCCATTTGTCGCTGAAGTAGAAGTTGTTGATGAGATGAATGAGGGGGAGTGAGCGGGGACAGCGGCAGGGACGGGGACGGGTGATGGAGCAGGGGATGAGGATGGCGATGGGAAGAATGAGACGGACTTTAAGCTCGACATGAGTCCCTTGATCTGACTCGTTGCCGATGGTGATGATGATGACGACGTAGTGGTAGTTGATGCACTTGTAACATTGATGACTGAATGAGTTTGATGATGCTCGCCACGATGTTGAAGTGAAGGTGAATGTTGATCCAGAACAACATTGTATGTTGAGGTGTTTGTTTGATTGGGCGTACTTGTCGTCACAGTGCTAGATGGCTGCATTGCTGGTGATGTTGGTGATGGTGGAGTTATCGTTTCAAAGTCATCGTCAAAGTAAAAGTTCAACTTTATAGAGTCATTAGTTGATGTCGTAGATGATGCCGTGGTCATCATCGAAGTTGGCATTGAAGCATATTGATTATCATATTGCTGTTGTTGCTGTTGCTGTTGTTGCTGTTGAAGATATGATGTAGCGCCACCTGATTGTGACAAGAAGTTAATCTCTTCATAATCATCAACGCTTGAGTTCAACAAATCATTGTTATTGTTGTTGTTGTTGGTACTACTATTAAGTTCATGATGATTGAGTTGTTGTTGTTGTTGTGAGGTATCTGTATAACCTCCAAATAAATCATCCATTTCTCAAACTACACTAGTTATATTACTTGTCTTTATAATGTATTATTACTATTATACTATCCTATCTTATCTAATAATCTATCTATTATCTGTTTATTTATAACTCACATCGAGTGATACAATAACACAATCAAACAAATGAATGAAATACCCCTGGGGTGTGTGGATTGTTCACCCAACTTCACCAATTTTCATTCGAAATAGGGAGGACTTGCCGAGAGGGATCGATGTCTCTCAATCAGATAGCACCTTCCAATGGGATCACTCATAACCCAACTAATACCTCACTTTCAAATTATTGTTGTTGCATTCTTAACAATAAAATGTGATGTCATTGATTGATGAGTGCAAAGATAAATAAGCAATTCTTTAGAATACAGGAATATACTTATTGTCTAACTTCATTATTCATTGACTACAGGTATGTTCATTTTGTTTGTTTAAAGATTACCTAGGTATAATACTCTTCTATCAAGTATGATTTTTAACAGACTTCATAATCAAAATATTCCGTATACCAAATTAGGAAATAGGCGGGTTGGGCCTTTTTGAAATCAAATTTTGAAACTGTAACGGTTTTTTGAATCAAACAGGTGGATTACATATATTCAACCAAAACACTTTACATATTAGGTTCATCTTACTTACCTACTAGATAGATAATATACATATAAATAAGTTGTTGATTAAAGATACAATGACAAGACTATCATCCAATGTTATGGATATCAATTGTAGTTTAGTTGATTCAACATCACTCAATGCTTTCACAGTTGATTGTCTAAAGAGATATTGTAACAAACAACATATTACATTATCAACATCATCAGCTACAAAGTCAAACATCATACAAATAATATCAGATTATCATCAATCACTTGTAGCCACAAGTGTCAACAACAACAGCAACAATGATGACAACAATGATGAACAACATAATGACAATGACAACATGGTAGTACTCATTGAGGAGTACAATGAAGATGATGACAAAGAGAACATCAATGTCAATATATCAAACAAAAGTAGCAAGATCAAACAACAACAACAGTGTAATAATATATCAATCAATGAGGAGGAGGTCGACCAGAAGAAGAAGGGATGCTTGAAGTACAGTGTCGCGAACATTGAACCACCTGCTACTACTGCCACAGCAGAGAAGAGGAGAGTGACATTCAATCAAAAGGTCAATGTTAAGTTGATCCATATAGTGGAGGGAGAACGTACACACTTCATACCATGCTTCAATGATAAGAATAGACGAATAATTGAGAAGTACGAGCACGAGCTGTATCTCAAGGAGAAGTTAAGGGAGAAGAATGGAATGGTGGGTGATGGAGAAGGCGAGTGCGGTTCCCCATCCTCTCCACAATCACCTGCCTTCAAGCCGACATTGGAGATCAGACACATTGAAGATATACAGGGTGGCACCGAGGAGACATTCGACACAGACACAATGTCCAGAGAGGAGTTGATCGAGGTGTTGGACATGAACGATCTCGACACAAAAGGTTCAAAGGCACAGCTCAAGGCAAGGCTGGAGAAGTACATCATCAGTATGAGCACCGCCACCAGTGGTGGAGGTTCAGAGTCGTCAGAGGAGGATGAGGATGCGGAGGACACCAATGCCAAGGGTAAGGCCAAGGGCAATGGTAAGGCAAAAGGCAAGGCCAAAAGAAAGACAAAGGTGTCAGATGTCATTGCTTCGCCAGAGGATCATTATGAGCAACAATGGAGTCAATGGAAGACAGAGATGATTGGAACACGATCGTCAACATTTGATGAGCATCAGAATCTATATGATGCATTCACCTCTGCCCTCACCATGACATCTAAGTCAAAGACAACATCAACATCAAAGCCAAAATCATCAACAAAGACAACAACAACATCCAGTACTTCCAACAGCAGTAAGAAGAAGAGGCGAGTATTATAAAGTACATGTTTATATATGTGATTGGTTAGTTACTTTCAACATGATGTTGTACGTGATTGTGTATTGTTTGTTGGTAGAGGGGGTTGGCGATGTGACCGCCTACTGTTGTTGCTGTTGCTGCGACTTGTCGGACGAGGAGGTTGATATAGTGGGTGAAGCGTTCGAGGAGGTTGATTGTTGAGTAGAGGAGGAGGAGGATGGAGATGGGGAGCCTGTTGATTTGACCACATAGGTCTGTTGTTGATGCTGCTGGTGCTGCTTCTTCTTTTGGTCGCCACCACCGCCTTTCTTCTTGTATCCACTGCTGCCACTACCACTGCCGGCGCCAAATCCAACCTCACCATTTGGTAATGATTGTGGTTGTTGCTGCTGCTGCTGCTGTGGCTGTGACTGTTGTGACTGGGACTCTTGTTGTGGCTTGTGTTGCTGCTGTTGAGAGTCAAATGAACCTCTCTGTTTGTATGTTCGCTGTCCTTTATCCCTATTATCTCTATCAGGTCGATCGGTTCGCTCGGGTCTATCTTGTTTGCTACTACTGACATCAGCTCTGTTGTCAGATCTGCTGTCAGGTCTGTCGGGTTTGTCTTGTCTATCCCTATCCTGTCTATCCCTGTCCTTGTTGGACGACTTGCTCTGATGTCCTGGCTTGGGTGAGTTGTTCGAGACTGTGGATGACGCGCCGGCAGCAGAGGTGTTGGTCGATTGTGAAGATGAGGATGATGGAGGTGACTTTACAGCTTCTTGTTGGGGCTGTGTCACCTTATCCCACGATGGCTTCTCAATCCACGCGTTGATGGTCGGCTGGGGTGGTGAAACAGTTTGCTCAACGATCTGTGCTGGCTTGGATGATGGATTAGAATCATCGGACTTGGTTGCATCGATGTCCTTCTTCTGGTAGGTGCCGCTGCTCTTGAAGCTGCCTGAGCGCTTCATGTCCTTGGGACCTGATTGACCATCACGTTGCTGGGAGCCACTACGATCCTTGCTCTGCTTCCTCTCTCCGCGTGGGCCCTTGTCGCCTGTCCTTTCACTCCTGCTGTCAGTTCTGTCAACACTACGATCTAGCTTGTTATCAACTGGTGGCCTGTCCTCTCTCTCTGGTCTACTGCTACCACTGCCTCGGATATCTCTGTTGTCTCTGTTATCCTTGGTGTCTCTGTTGTCCCTCTGATCGAACCTCTTCTTGGGCTTGTCATCGTTGCTCTTTGAACTGTCTGTGCTGGACACAAGATCCTTCCTGTTCCAATCCTTTGACTTGCTCCTAGGCAATGTGCCACTGCCTTGTCCTGATGAGGACAAGGTAGTGGTGGTCGATGTCTGAGATGGCAGATGCTGCTGCAGTGGCTGCTGTAGGTGTTGCTGCTGCTGCAGTGGCTGATGCTGATTCTGCAGCGGCTGATACTGCTGATGGATGTTTTGTTGAGGGATTGGTTGAGGCTGTTGAGAAGATGGATGCTCCATTGTGGACATGTGCTCCTTCTTTACAAACTCATCTCTTGACTTCTCTCTCTTCAAGATCTGTGTCTTCCTGTCGAACTTGTTATTGTTGTTGTTGTTGTTGTCGCGCTGTTGATGTTGCTGTTGTTGTTGTTGTTGTTGTGGGTCGGAGTTGTACTGATTCTGATGTTGATGCTGTTGTTGTTGTTGATGTTGTGGCTGGTGATGGTCATTCTTGTTGTACTTGTTATATGGCCTATCTCCACCACCCCTCGGCTGGTTGAAGTTACTGTTGTTGTTGTTGTTGTATTGCTTCTTGATGTTGCTCGACTGCTGTTGTTGTTGTTGGGGTCTGGGTGGTTGTTGTGGCGTATCTACAATGTCACGCTTCTGATCAGCAACATCTCCTTCCACAGGATTAGTTGATGGCTCGGGCTCCGACGACTTTGGTGTCTCAAGTGCTGGAGTGATCGCGACCGGTGTGTGTTTGGATTCGGTAGTGGTTGTCGAAGTTGTCGAGGTGGTGGATGTGGTTGGGTGTTCTTGTTGTTGTGATGACTCTTGTTGGAGAGGCGAAGACCTTGGCTCGTGTGCCACAGCAGATGATGACTGCTCCTGCTGGTTCTTCCTGGTGGTGTCACCCAGTGACTTGTCTCTGGACAAGATCCTTGATGGCGGGTGCTCTTGAGACTGTGTGTGTGAAGGTTGGTATGACTGGCGATATTGACTGTGCTGGTGATGCGGCTGCTGCTGTTGATTATGGTGCGGCTGCTGAGGCTGATAGGGTTGTCTCCTATCATCGGTTGGGAAGTGTCTTCCATCCTTTGGATGATGGTAGCTACCTGGTCCAAATGAGTGTGGGGCATAGTGGTCCCTGTCGCCACCACGACCCTCGTGATCAATATCTCTATCTCTATCCCTCCTGTCGTCGTCGTGATGCGAAGGGTATGGACCATGTGCAAAGGATTGTGGAGGCCTCTTGTTGGGTGGATAGCCTCCGCTTCCTCCTCCGTGCCAATTGTCAGGCGGGTCTCTAGGTCCCGACCTATCACGCTCGTCGTGGTCATAGTGTGGGGGTTGTTGATGGGGGCCGCCCATTGGCCTTGGCTCTCGATAGGGAGCATTGTCAGAGGGGACAGGGGGGTGGTCTCTTGGACTACGGTCAAAGTCTCGCTCCATCGAGCCAGGTCTCTCTGATGATCGCCTCTGTTGTGGGTAGCCACCGTCCTGAGGATGTGATGGGCCCCTGCTGCCAGACGACCTCCTATCTCCTTCATATTGCTGTCGGAATCCAGAGTCCTTCTCGCGTGGTGGTTGGTCCCTTACGCCCCATTCTCTATCTCTCGGGCGGTCGTTGTCGTATGGAGGCTGTCGATTGTAATTGTTGGACTTGTAGCCGCCAGTGGAGTAACGGTGTGCAGGGGGTGGCCTGTCATCAAAGTTCTTGTTGCCTCTGTCATCGTTGTAGGGCGGTCTGTTGCGTTGCATGTCATCGGACTGATATGAGCCGCGCCTATCATCGTATCCACTACCACCATGAGGCACATAACCGGGAAGCGAGCGTCGACCATCGTACTGCCTGTTGCGCTGGTCATAAGAGTAGGAGCCTCCTCCCTGATGGGGTGGACCTCTATTCTTCTGCTGCTGTCTATATCTCTCCTCTTCTTCCTCACGCTCGCGCTCTCTCTGCAGCTCTCTTTCGCGCTCCAGCTTTAGACGCTCTTGCTCTCGCTTCTCTTCCTCCAGACGCTCCTTCTCATCGAGCTCTTGCAGCTTCTTGAGAGCACGCTCGCGACCGATCTTCCTGTCCTCCTCTTGTTTCTCGAGCTTAAGCCTGATGCGTTCGGCCTCTTCACGCTTGCGCTCGGCCTCTTGACGGAGCCATTCTTCCTCTCTTCTCTTCAACTCTTGTTCGCGTCTCAGGTCCTCCTGTCGCTCAAACTCGATACGTTGTCGCTCCTCTTCCTCACGTCGCAGCCTCTCCTGGAGCACGCGCTCTCTGTACTCGTCCTCCTCGCGCTGTCGTTGCCTCTCGCGCTCTTCCTCCTGACGCTTCAGCTCCTTCTCACGCTCCTCGGCCTGGGTAATGTTCTCGTCGATAAAGACCAGGGGCTTGGAGTAGTCCATGGGGTCCTCGTCGTCCTCGGCCCAATCGGTGTTGCCCAACGAAAAGAGGTCGACTGTGGGGGCCACTACTCCTCCACCTTTCATTGGAGATAGGCCACTGCCAGGGGCCATGTTCGATGAGCTTGAGGTGGTGGTCGTGGTGGTGGAAGTCGTGGAGGTGATGGTGGAGGTGGTCGAAGTCATTGGTGGTATCAATGGTGAGTTTCCACCATACTTGGATCCAGTTGTGCTTGCGGGTGATGAGTGACTTGGCTGTTGTGTCTGCTGATGCAGTTGTTGTGGCTGATGATGTATCTTTGATTGTTTGTCGAAATCCTTGTCAACAACTGAGTATAATTGATAAATGTTAGCGAATGATTGATTGATTGATTGATTGATTGAAAGTTGCGAACAACATACTTGATGCTGGTTTTGTGAAAGAGTCTGTGCTGTTCTTCATCGATGAGTTCGACTGGGCATTCGAGTGCGGCTCTTCGGAGAGCTGTGGCGTGGTCGATCCAACGACGGGAGTGCTGGGAGAGGGAGACGGCAGGAGTGAAGACTGCGTCGCGAGATTGGGACTGTTTATCGAGAGAGTCGTGGCGATAAGTGAGGCGACTGTTGTGGGCGTGTCATTGGCGATGGGTGGGGTGGGGCAGTGACCCACGCCTGTTGTCGACGCCGCTGACACAATCGCTGCTGCCGTGGTCACAGAGGTGATTGACGTGGGCGGCGTGGCAGAAGCCACCGTTGACGTCGAAGAGCCGGCTGGGGCCGTGCTGTTTGGTCGGAGAGCGGCGCCGCCCCACACCGAGGTCGTCGACAGCAGCTTCTCCTCGCCTCCGCTTTCGCTCTGTGTGCTTGGCAGATTGACAGGGAGGAAGGATGACTTTGGTTTCGAGGAGGTCGATGCTGACGATGCTGTGTTGATCACGACTGGCACCATCTGATTAGGTTGTTTGTGTCTTCCTATATATATATATGTTTGATCACATTCATTCAATCCGTTGTATGAGTATGATAATGTTCTTCATCCAATCTTAAATCCAACTCTTACATCCCCTCGCACTATCACTCTCTCTCTCTTCACTCTCTTACCCATATTCATTGGAGATGATCCATTATTATTGTTATTCTTTAGTATCTTGTGTGTGCTTGGTGACTGTGGAGACGATGTTGATGGCTTGTTCATTATCTGTCTATCTATACTATAGATTGTAAAGATATTTATAACATGTTAGCAAGTTGAACTTTGAACATTTGTTGTCCCTGCTGTGCTCAGATCATCATATGTTTGTTTGATTGATTGATTGATTGTTTGATCGATTGTTTGATTGATTGAATAATGAATGATTGATGAATGATCATAATATCATTTATGCCAATTCTTGACGTCGATTGAATGAATGAATGATCGAATGATTGAACTTGACCATGTGAGTGATGATGATGAAGATGATAATGTCGCATACCATAACGTCTGTTTGTATTTCGAATGTACAACTGCAGGTTCAATATATGTAATAATATATTGATGATGATGTATATGTATGTGTGTATATAAATATATATAAATAAAGTAAAGTAATGTAATGAAGTGGGATATGTTTGGTCCTAATGTTGTTGTTGAGTTTGTGTTGTTAGGATTGTTTGTTTGTTGTTGGATGAGGACAGAGCTCAGGCCTGACCAAACACCACAACCCTCACACCCTCTCACTTAATTTATTTTTTCACACAAGCACTTTATTGAGAATCTACCAAGTTTATGAACTTCCTGTGTCTAGTTGTACAACTTCCACTTGTCTTTGGAATGATCGTTGTTGTGATCGATCAGTACTGCGCTCTTTGGGTGTACGATATATGGACTCGGTGGCATTGTTTCGTAGTGAGCTGTACCTGGCAATAGTGAAGAAATAGTCGCTCAACCTATTTACATACTTGGATGCTGTTGCATCAATCACTTCGTCTCGTAGCAATGGTACCATATCCCTTTCACATCTTCTACACACTGCTCTACACACATGTAGTTGTGATGAGACAAATCCACCTCCCTAATTGTATACAATTGGATTAGTATTGTTGTTGGATGCCCAGGTCATGTGTCATCTCATGGAACATACTGGCAATATAAAGTTCCTTAGAGGTGGCAGGTGTTCGTCCATTCGGTCGATTTGTTCTTCAAGATTGTTGACAGGCTGTTCGCCAAACTCTGTTCGCTGGAGATGTGCATCAGATGATGAGCTTCTTGGTGTTGCCACATGTGATCCAAGGTCAAGTAACAAGCATTGGATCTGGGTGAGAGATTGTTAAGGCTAGGACTTGTGTGTGTATGTACGCGTGTCAATCATACATACCTCCTCCAACTCCCTGATCTTCTCGATAAGATGACTATTCCCATTAGCATTAATGTAGTCTATGGCAAGTCTAATGATGACGATGATGATGAGTATGTGTGCCTGTAGGGGCTACTCACCAACTCACTTACCCAATGTGAGCAGACAGTTCATCCAGAGCACCCAATACATTGAATATCTGATCGTCTTTGCCACGCCTCTCTCCATTGAATAGACTTGTAGATCCTTTGTCACCAGTCTTGGTATATATCTTAATACGCTTCGAACTACTACTACTATTGTTACTCTTTGTCTCTGAAGACTTCAGACTGTCTCCCGTTGTCGTTGTGTATCCCCTGTAACTAGTGAACATCATCATCCTTAATGGAGATGGACCATTGATTGTCGAGATTGATCTTCTCAACAGTGATCTCAAGGCATAAGATGGTAACATTATGTGTTGTAAGTATCTGTATATGTATAAGTATCAAACAAGTTTGGAATGTCTTGTCCAAAAAGCAATGATCGGGGGTGTCTCCGCGCGACTCTTGGAAGTCCCACCTCGTCTCCCGCCAGCCCGCCAAACCATTCGAGCGACGAACAAAACAAAGTTGTGGCGATTGAATGGTATTGACAACAATATAGAAGCGCTGCTTTATTCTGATTCGCCACTAGAGTATATCTTCAGCTTGGTATCAGCTCCACCACTAACAATCTTCCACTCGTCATTGGAGTTGGTAGAGTCCACATTGCGTAGCCAGTCTGTACATAATACCTTGTCGGTGTGCTTGTCTAGAGAGAATAGTGCGATCTTGCTTCGAATGTCCCAGAGCTTGACGGTGCCATCGTGCGACGACGACAGCAGCTGTGTGGCAGAGTTGGGCTTCCAGCGAATGCTCGTCACCCAGTTCTTATGTGAGAGCAGCGTCTGGATGTTGTACTTTCCATCAGTGATGCGCGGGTCCCACAGACGCACGGCGTGGTCGGCGTGTGCCGATGCGATCAGACCGGCCTCGATCGAGTAGGACAGGTCGTGCAAGGCGGATGGTGCCATCATAGTGTCGCTGTTGGCCATTGTCTCCAAGTCCCACAGACGAATGCTCTTATCCATCGATCCAGACAACAGTTGGAACTGTGTTGGCCAAGTAACTGTCGTTACGGCCTGTGAATGAGATTCAAGTATACTAAGTGTATCCTATATTGATGTGATTGATCGAGTGAGTGATGGAGCGAGGGAGATGGTGGCGAGTGAGTGTACATACTGTAATGATTGCAGCTTGCTCGGTGACTGCTGCATCGCCAGAGGCATTCTTTCTCTTCTTCTTGGACTGTACTGCTGCGGCGGGCTGTGGAAGGTTCTGGAGATCCCACAACATCAACTTGTTGTCGTAGCCACCAGAGGCGAATCTGGTGCCGTCTGGGTTGGCGCTGATCGACTCAACGCTTGCGGTGTGTGCCTTGAAGACAGCCATTGGACATGTTGTCTTGGCATCTACGTCAGCGGCCCACAGTCTAACAGTCTTGTCGAGTGAGGCCGTGAGGAATTGAAGTGCGTTCTTCTTTGATGATTGGGTCCAGGCCACAGCCTTGACAGCGGCTGTGTGGCCGACTGCTGTGAGCAGGGTGGTGGCCGAGCCGTCGACGATGCGTGCGCCAAAGTCGTAGCAGCCTGTGAGTGCGAGGCCGAGCGAGGAGCGTGCGTCGACTGAGGAGATCCAATCGTCGTGCTGGTTCTCCTGCTCACGCTTGGGTGGTGTGACGGCTTCGACGTATTCGATGGTGATGACGGGCTCCTCGCTGAGTCCTGCCTTCTTGAGATGCTTGTCGAGCGTCGTTCGAATGAATTTGCCATTGATGAGGAAGTCGAATGGTTTGTGCAAGCTGGCGTCTGTCTCCTCTCGCAGATGATTCACAACCTCTGACAGACCGAGTCTGCCCAGTTTGAGTGTCACAGCGAATGGTGTCTCTGTCACACGAATACTTGGGTCATTTGTAACGAATCTAACTCTAACCTTTCCCTCTTCTTTATGTGGATTCATCTTTATCTATCTATCTATCTGTCTGTCGCACCTATAATACTACAAACTTGTATATGTATATATATGTATAAATGTATATGAGTGTATCTGTAAGTCAAACAAAGTGGATCATTTGATCAACATTGTGTCAAATCGTTCGTTTTTGCTTTTCAAAATTAATTAATTTTAAATTAATGAATTTGGTGTGAGAGCAAACCCTTGAGCCCGGGAAGGGTAAGGCAAATAAAAAAGATAAAGTGGAAGTTGTGAGGGATGGAGAGGCTGATAAGGCCACTCAGATATATATTATTGTTGTTATGGTATGCTTCGAATATATATATGTTTACAAGTGGATGGTACCGAGGAGACCATCGACCAGACCAAGAACTGAGAAGAGGACACCATTGACCACACCCTCGACCACCAGGACAGTTCCACCAACCAGCTGGGTCAGTCCAGCATTGTTGTTTCCAGACTGGCCGACATTAATAGCACCTGATGTGGCAATTGAGCTCTTGGACATGGCGGAAGTGGAGGCGACGTTGCCCATGGATGAGATAGATTCTATTTGGTTGATTGTTTAGTTAGGATTGATTGATTGTATGATTGAATTATAGTATTGTACATACTCATGATAGTCATTTTGGAAGATTATTTGATTGATTGATAGTTTATAAGTTTGATTGATTGATGCTTGTTTGATATTGAATAACAACTTTAAAGTTGCCTTATTTATAGACAATGAGTGCACTCATGATTGATATTGATTGATTCATATGTCATATGTGTATAATGGGATGATGTGGATGGGATATAGGTCCTTAGAAGGCATGAATGTGGATTGGAATGATTAGTGACTTTTCAACATCTATAAAGCATTAAATGTGATTGTTAGGAACATGGAGTACATCGAACATATTATAGGCAATCCAATCAAATTGATTGATCAATCTAAACACGTGTGATGATAAAGAACAGATCACAGAATCGTGATTGATTGTTTCATAAGGCATCACTTTCCTTTCTAAGTAGGTGTGATGGTGTGGTGAAGAGTAGTGATGTGATCAAAGGGCACGATGAATAGTTCTATGATCAATCAGGTCCCCCTACATACACAAACACCTCATCTGATCAAAGACTTTAATTCCCCACCATTTGATTGATTGAGCGCTAGTGGGTGGGTAAGTCAGTGACACTCGCGGTAAMCTCTAAGTTGTTATAACTGAAGAAACTCGCTTTGACATTCAAGTAAACACAACTTCCTCATCGACATTGTCAATAGAGAAAGAGTGTGTGTTGTCAATCAATCAATTGATCAATCGATACCACCTACTTTCGTATATCACGTCATATATTAATAAATAGTGTCTCTACATTAATTCAAGAACCTCCAATCGAATTGAGTTCCATTCTCGCTGTACAGATTGGGTTCAATCTCTCTACACTATCACCTCTACTCTGAATAATGAAGAGACTCTTTCACCAAGTTCCACAAAGATTCTTTCCAACAAGTTCACAATTATAAATAGGATCACTTGATACTACTATTTCATCATCAATCAAATATTCAATAAATAATTCTAACAAACAAACTAACTTTACTCCAAAATGACTATCATGAGTAAGTACAATTCAATAATCCTATGAATTGAGGTCACCCAAATACTAACTTTATCATCCTTTAGAATCTATCTCATCCATGGGCAACGTTGCCTCCACTTCCGCCATGTCCAAGGGATCCATCGCCTCATCAGGTGGTATTCATGTTGGCCAGACTGGAAACAACAATGCTGGATTGACCCAGCTGGTCGGTGGAACTGTTCTGGTAGTTGAGGGTGTTGTCAATGGTGTCCTTTTCTCAGTTCTGGGATTGGTCGACGGACTCCTTGGTACCATCCACCTGTAAACGATATCCATTAACTTGGAAACAATATATATAAAAACCCTTTGCAACTTTGTTGCCATTTTATATTACCAAATCATTTAAATCAATTGTTTATAAATATTTATTTCGGGTTATAATTTGGAATGATTCCATAAAAAAATCTTTTATAATATCATATTATTTTATAATCTAGACATTATTATTTTAAAAAAATTCCCCTTCCTTCCTTTCAACGAAAAGACTATTGATAAATCACATTCAGGAGATTTAATCAACTACCTCATATTATTTCCTTTATTAGCCAAGGGTAGGTGTAGTCTCCTTGAGTAGATGAAACGACCCAAACATCAATCAATCATTTCAAACCCCATCTCAGCTGATTGATCAATCAAAGTACACTACCACACTGTTAATTTCAATCTGGTGATTGATTGTTTGTGTTTGGTGTGTTTGATGTGTTTGATGTGTTTGATGTGTGACATCATGAATTAGGGTATCGTGGAACCCATCCATTAATCAATCAATGAATCAATCTAATACAATCAATCAATAACTACTTCAAAGAGATAGGGCAACCTGTACAAGGTTCCCTTGACCTTTCGAATTTGGAGTTGGAGAGCACAATTCCATGATCTAAAGGAAGTGTTCAAAGGGCATTATCTTAATATTACTATCCTAAACCTCTACATCCAATCACTATAAATATGTAATTTCAGTGATCATTATTTCCATCATCAAACTAACAATTAATCAATTATTAATTAATCAATCAAATAATCTAACAATCCAAAAATGACTATCATGAGTAAGTACCTTCATACTCGACTATTATAATCCACTTCTTTGTTTACTAATTATATTACTTGTCCATCAATCATTAGAATCTATCTCATCCATGGGCAACGTCGCCTCCACCTCCGCCATGTCCAAGAGCTCAATTGCCACATCAGGTGCTATTAATGTCGGTCAGTCTGGTAACAACAATGCTGGCCTGACCCAGCTGGTCGGTGGCACTGTCCTGGTCGTCGAGGGTGTTGTCAATGGTGTTCTCTTCTCTGTCCTTGGACTGGTCGATGGTCTCCTCGGTACCATTCACTTGTAAAGTAACAATTTATATATATAAATTGCAACAGTAGTTATGTCTGTTGCCACCATTCCTTCTTTCCATCCAATTGCCAATGATTGAATGATTGATTGATTGCGTCCAAAGTTAGATACTGATCACTTTTAGTATGTGACAGCCAAGCCTTGAAGCGAGACACAATGCATGTCCTTGATCAATCTTACGCACCAACAGGAAGCCATCACATTTTGGTTGAAGGTTAGTTGCGATGAGTTTGTAACACTTGACATTGGGTATCAGTGAGATCAATGTACTGATGAATTGGTTTGAGGTCACAGTGTTGGCATACATTGGTATGATCAATTGATCAAGACTGATGGTCATCTTACGAAGCTGGGGCGATGCACGATGCGTGTTTATCGTCATTGTACTTAAAGAGGATGGCAAACTGACATGTATTCGATCCACCCATTGTCGTAAAGTCAAGCACTTCAAGTTCATTGGATAAACGATATCGATCAGATCCAGTGATTTGGAGAGTACTGTCATGTTGATAAGTGATGGAGGTAGGACACCAGACTCGATATCCTGAATGAATGACAACCCCAACGTGAGTGAGGTGAGCGAAGATGGAAGTGCTCCCATTGGTATATAACTGTTGAATGAGCTACCAAACTCCAATGTCTTGAGTGTTGTTGGAAGTGATCCTGGTATCAATGTCCTGTTGAACGCATAGCCCATCTGTAGATTGGTGAGCGATGGTGGAATTGTACCTGGGAGTATATCCTGATCAAAGTGTGCAAACTTGAGTGAGGTGAGTGTCGACGGGAACATCTCTGTTGTAATCAGTCTGTTGAATGATGTGGCCAATGTCAATGATTGTAGTCCAGTTGGATACTTTAAAGGTACAGCACTATCTTCATTAAAGTACATGTGTTCAATGTGTAACGATGTCAATGATGATGGGAGTACATGTGCACCATCTCTTGTCAAGGTCTTGTAACTGGTCTCTCCAATATGAAGTGTGCTAAGTGATTGTGGTATAGATCCAGTCAGATCATGATCGTACCTTGAATCGAGACTAAGATATGTGAGTGATTGAGGGAGACCATCCAGACTCGAGTTGAAACCGGTGCCCATGTGACATGATGTCATGCTGGGAGGCACGATACCTTTGGTCAAGGGATGGGAGAATACTAAGCCGAATCGTAGTTGAGTGAGCGACAGAGGTAAGGTGCCCACAGTGAACGGTTGATTAAAGGAGTTGCCAAATGTTAGTGACTTTAGTGAAGAGGGCAGAACCCTTGGTGCAATGACCTTGTCGAACCTTTCTCCAAAGGACAATGAGGTCAATGAAGTGGGGAGCACGCGCAGTCCTATACTCTGGTTGTATTGACTCTCAGGGTGAAAGGTCAGAGTCAACAATGAGGACGGCAGAGTGTTTACGACCAGCACTTGATTGAATGATCGACCAAATGTGAGAGAGGTGAGAGAACTGGGAAGTATGGCTCGCAACACACAGTTGAATGTGTGTCCAACGTTGAGAGTCAATAGACTGTCTGGCAACACCAAGTCATAATCCAATGGTTTGAAGTACTTGTCGCCAAGATACAATGATGTAAGTGATGATCTAGTTGAGTTGGTAAAGTCTATCTCTTTGTTCTCGTCCCAATACATGAGTGTATTACTCAGTGCTACCTGATGTATTGTCTTTTGAGCGACCAGAATGTTGTTGTACATTCTTTTACAAGTCAATGTGAAGGAAGCGACATCTACAACATTGTCACCCAAGTCATCAAGAACTTGTTGTATCACAATCAATGGCAATGTTTCCATTCCTTTATATTTATATATCTCTATAAGGTAGTGCAAAGTCAATCATTCTAATGATTGAAAGATTGACAAGATGACACGACTTTACAAGTTTGGGATGTAAACCAAAAATGGAAACAAGTATGAGTGTGGGTTGAGACCTGGTCTCTCAACTTGTTGTTGTTAATACCATTTGACATTTACTTCTTATTACTATTTCATAGTTATAATATAAAATTATGTCTATCATTATTCTTCGCTCTATTGAGCAACCTGCCAAGCTCATGTAACTTTGTACTAGGACGAGATGTTCAGCGTGAAGGAATTAGAAGGGAACATGTCAAGGCTTTGAACACCAATCAACAAATTGATTGAGTTTACCAGTATTTATTAAACCAAATCAGAAGATTTTTAATATAATTTTTTACACAGCTTGGGCCCATTACTAAAAGCCACACCCCCGCCTTTGCAGATGTGGATCATTGCACTACAACCCACACCAATAATAAGCTACTTCTAAAGATGATGAGGGAAAATACTGTAATTAAAATAATAATTGGTGTCTGGCAAGACATTGATACACTACAACGACGAGGATCACTATTCATTATCACTCAACTTGAACTTATTAACAAATACACAGGTGATATTATTACTACCCATTCCACCAAAGATGTCTTTGTTTGTCTCACTGATCCTCATCGCAATTTGCACCAGGTACGTACTGCCTTTCCACTGTTCCCTCATTCTCACTGACATTTCACTCATATCTCCACAGTACGGCGAATGCCCAGTTTCCAACCATCACGTCATACACGCATGATGGCCAGCCCGTGATCTCTGTCATTGGAACCAACTTTGCCAACATATCCACCACACTAGTCCTTGGCTCGTTGAGCATCAGTGCGCCTCCACCTGTTAGCTCCACGCTCATTGTTGTACCTCTCCCACTCTCGGCGCGCAACGGACCTATGTACCTGCAAACCAACGACGTCAACTCCAATGTTTTCCAAGTCAAACTGACGCCCTACATCAGCAATGCATCGCCAGTGCTCTCCACCAAGGGTGGCAATTTCACGATCACCGGTCGCTACCTGAACTCTCTGCGCTCCAATGGAGACAACACGAGCATCACAGTGTCCACATCATGCTACTACTATGACTTTGACCATCGACCCTATTTCCAATATACAACGAGAACCTTCCAGTTCACTCCTGTTCGGGATTTCTCCACCAACGAACAGATGGTGATAAATTATCCAGTCGGTGCTGGCCAGCTTACTGGATCGTTCTCCATTGATGGTGTCTCAACGGCAGGTAGCTTCACGCCAAACTATGGCAACCCCACGGTCATCTCCTACCGTCAAGACGCCTCAATGTTGAACATGATCTTGACGGTCGACTACTTTGGACCGTCCTACTGTTGGTACAGATTCTCACGGGATGGAACTAACTATATCTTGAGCCCATCATGGATCAACTCAACATCTTTTTCCATCAGCCTGGAGTATAGCCAAGGCATGTTGGTTCAAACACCCAGGGACACGACGTTATATTCTGCCAACAATCAATTAGACATCAGTTTCAACCTTATCTCGTCCTTCCAGGTCAGTGGAGCCGTTCCAACTGGAGGCGGTTACCTCCCAGTGAAGAACAAGATATGCTTCCTCAATCTCAAATCTTGCACATTGGGCAACCAAACTATCAATGGTCAATTTCCTTGCGATCAAATCCCCATCCCTGCTGGGACAGGTCTCAACAATGTTCTCAACTGCACTGACACCAATGGTTTCCCGATATCCAGCTCGGTCACCTTTGACTATGGTCCCTCAGTTGGCCTCTACTCCTTTGACATTGACACATTGGTTCTCAATGGCTATGATTTCACACCCTCCACCACGGTTAAGTTTGCAGATGGCAGCCAATACAAAGTGTCGGATAACTCTACCCCAACCAAGGCCTTCGTCACGATGAACCCAAACACTCCTCCAACTGGCAGCTTTACCGTCACAGTTGGTGGTGTCTCTGCTGGTCCGTTCATATACAAAACCAAACCTATCCTTCTTAAAGCGACCATTGCAGATCAACTCGACCCCTCAGGTAAGATCATACCAGGCCAAGTGAAGGTAAGTTTCACTGGTCTCCTCTTGTCGCTCAATGGAGGTAGTGCTGGTCAATTCCTTCCTCTGTCGATTACAGCAGGCTCCACACCCTGTCTCGGTGTTGGCACAGACCGCCCTGGCCAAGTTTACTGCATTCTCTCAATCCCAGCATCACTTCCATCTTCCATTCAATTCACTGTGACAATCGACCAACAGACAAGTGCTCCATACTCTGTATTCTTCCCTCTGCCGGCACCATCCATTACATCGATTCAGCCAATCTACACAATCAGTACGATCAGTGTCCAGGTCACCGGCAATCTCGTCAATGCCACCATTTTAAATGGTACGAACGCTGTCTTTTGTCAGTATATCAATGCAACTGTCGTCAATTGCCCGCTATTCTACGGTAACTTGACAGCCTATTTCCTTGGAGTGTACAGTGCTTTAATGCCATTCAACTACCAACCCAGAGTCTCCAATGAATATTTTATCAACAATGGTTCTAGGTTGACCATCACCGGCTCCAACTTCTCTCCCTATGCCTACCTTCTAGGATTAAGAGGAGGCGCCACATATCCAATGACATCATCGCCCAGCTCCATGGTATTCAACTTGGACAGCAATCAACTTTCAACCAACAACATTCAACTAGTATCTTCTTCGCAGATTCTCTACTTCAATCTGTACATCCAACCAGAGATGACAACCACCACCAGCCCGACACCCTCCACCGGCATTAGAATCCCACCAACTCTTACCTTGCCTCTGATCCTCTTTGCGATCCTAATGTCCATCAGCTTATAGACAACAACATTCTAATATTACGCAATAAAGGATACTTTAGTGTAATACAAGACCATTATAAGTGGTGTCATCGCTGAGGAACACGGCCGACATCCTCTACTCACTGATCGCGCAGCTCGACAAGCACTTCATCGAGTTGTCTCGTGCAGCCACCGCCAGTGCCACACCAGCCAAAGACACTGGCAACATCATCTGCCTCCGTCAAGCTGTATTATTTTGAACGTTGTCAAAGACGTCGCGATGACGAGACATCCTGTTGGTACTGGCTACTTCAACGAGCTGCGCATTCGCTCCGTCGACAACTATGTGTTGTCAAGGTGCAGTAACTCGCTGTTGAGGGCATTCGTCAATGGGTGTCTTCAGTGCAACCATCATCATCTGCTGTTGCAGCCGCTGTGGAGTTGTGGTCATCATCAGATGTAGAGGAGGAGGGCCCAGTATGTTGCTTAGGCTGCTGTGCAGTTGAGCCATTGGCATTGGAGGTGGCCTGACTGAACGGCCTTGTTGAAGGCAACGGCCATCTGCTGCTGACCAGGTTGTTGCAGCTGCTGCATCATCTGAAGTGTCGTCCGAGCTCCTCGTCAGTCAGTTGATGGAACTCGCCTCTCTTGATGGGCACTGAGAAGTTGCTGCTTTTCATGATGGTTGCGTACATGCCAGAGACGTCGTACTTGTAGAGAGGGCCAGTGTATGTGTCGGCGAACCTCAATGGACCATTCGATGCCTTGGCTATCCACTTGGCCTCTTCTGGAATGACATGCTGGTTGTGTTTGCTGAATAGGTTGAGGGCGGCCTTGTTAATGTTTGATCCTGTAAAGTACAGATCGATGATGCCATTGGTACATTCTTTGAGCGCATCGATGTAAACCATTACCTCATACTTCAATCATACCATTCAATATCAATTTATTGACCAAGTGTCTACTTGAACCACTTCTTTCTATCCTGCTGGTTCCAGCTATTCCAACTTCCATCGATGGACAAAGCGTATAGAGTCAACTTGATTGATTGATCATTAAACTATATTTGTTTGTTTGTTTGTTTGTTTGTTCGAATCTAAAAGTGAAGTGAAGTGATCATTATTGTTTCAATCACATCACCTTTAGTTGGTGATTGTTGATGAGATAAATAAATGAATTATTATTATGATAATGAATGGTCTAACTTTGAAAAGTGGTTGTGTTTCTGATCATTCGGGGTCTGTGGGTGGTGTGCGGGTGAGTGGTGGAAGATTCCCATGAATTAATTGTTTACCAATTAATAAAATCCAAATCAATCAACTCCGCCGCTTCCTCCAAGATCTCGTACATCCCTACCCAAGCTCTCAATGCACATTCGTTGTAAGTGTTTAACTCATTCATTCAAACATATCATTTATTTATTTATTTATTTATTTGTATAACTATCAAACTCTATCAATAACATAACAACAATATGGGTAATCAACAAGGCAAGGCTGCAGAGGAGAGTAAGTTTGTGATCAAACACCCATTCAATCAATCAACTTTATAACAATCACTGACAACACAAATGATTGCAATCAATCAATAGATGACCCACAGAAGAAGAAGAGAGAACAGGTGTTGGAAGAACTGGTACAGACAGAGAAGTCATATGCCAACTATTTGTCGGTGATTGAGGATGTGTACATCAACCCAATGTCAAAGAAGAATGTGATTAATAAGGAGAGTCACAAGGAGCTGTTTGCAACTGTACAGCCCATCATTCAATTCCATCGTGACTTCTTCTACGAGTTGGCCATCTCCTACAACTCGTTCACATGGGTCACCAACCCCATCCCAGTCACTCGCACAACGACCAACGACGACGGCACTACCACCGTCACAACGACCACCGTCGCCAAGACCACAGGCAAGAAGCCTGCCAACACCTTTGAGTCAATCGTTGCCATCGTCGAGATCTTTAACAAGAATGTATGTAGACAGTCAGAGTGTGCATCGGACATCGGACATTGGACATTATACTGACATCCCTATCTGTCTGTTACACGACATTGTAGAAGAACACCTTTAAGATATACAGTGACTACATCGTGTCATATGATGGCATCATTCAGACACTGAGCAGACTAAGGAAGAAATCCTCCGTTGCCACTTTCTTAGATGTAAGCACGCCAAGCCAACTGAGTTGTGTTGCTGAGCATGTCTAACACATATCCTCCTTAGAAATGTAGATCAGATCCTCAGAGCAATGGTCAGGACTTGAACTCATTGTTGATCATGCCAGTCCAAAGACTGCCAAGATACGTCCTACTCCTCTCGGTAACTATCAACCTGCAACCTGGCACCCCAATGACATTAGTTATCCATCCTCTAACAACATCAACACAACAATAGGAATTGCTCAAGAGCTCACCAGCAGGTAGCCCCATCATCAAGACATTGGAAAGCTGCATCAGTGGCATTAAGAACGTCACTCAGTTCATCAATGAGGCCAAGAGAGACGACGAGAACCAGAACAAGCTCAAGGAGCTGCAAGATACTCTCATTGACAAAGTCGTAAGTGTCATCAATGCCTCCCTTGTCCACATGGCACTAACAAACACATCTCAATCTGAAGAATGTAATGGAGCCCAACAGGAAGCTATACTTGAATGGTGAATGCTTCATTCACTCAATGTATCCAATGAAGGAGGAGGATGAGATATTGAAGCGTGTGCACAAGTATCGCAAGGCAAAGAACAATGCATCGATGACCGAGAGCAACATCTTCCCAGACGAGTTCAAGCTGGCGGCCACCTATGGATTCTACGTCTTCAACGACAGCTTCATCCTGATCTCCAAGCCACCCAAGTCATCGCTGTCCAACTTGATCAACTCCTCCAAGGTGTGGATCGTCAATGACTGCTCCCTCCTCAAGGACACCAAGGTCATCGATGTTATGGACATATTCAGTGAGTATCAGGTGATTGATTGATCGAGCGGCACTGGAGTTTGGAACTAACACGCACGCTACATCTTCAGACTTCAAACACGCCTTGTTGCTGGTCACCGAGAGATCATGCTACTTTATCCAAATGTCCAACGAGGAGAACAAGCAGAGATTGTTAAAGACAATCGCCATGGGTAGAGTGGATTATAAGAAGAACACTGCTGATGCTGCTGCGGCAACTGGCGAGTCATCATCATCCAGTCTACCAAGTCTACTGACATTGAGACCACAACCTGGAGCCAAGAATGCTGCTCCTGCCTCTTCGTCGACCAAGAGCTCAGTGTCACTGTCTGCATCAAGCAGTGCCACTACCAAGAAGAAGGATGCACCACCAGCCAGTGGTGGATTCTTTACTCTTGGCAAGTCGAGTGGAACATCAGCCAAGAAGTAAGTGGAGTGTCAGTACAGACAGTGGAGTTAATAAACCTATGTCATGATTCAATGTTATCTTCAATCCATCTGTTCGCTCTGATTGATTGATTGTAAGACCCTGGATGGAATTTATTGAACTCGAAGGATGACCCAGTGGATGGTCAATAGCCTTGATTGATGAATGGACGGACGACGGGTTGTGAAGAGGAAGTTGATGCTGAGAATGATGCTATTGAATTACTCGTCCTTCTTTCCTGTGGAAGGTGAAAACCAGAAAGCTGGTCTCAAGAGGACAGAGTAGTCGGGCTTCTCAACCTTCTTCCACTTCTCGACGCTGCGCTCACCCTTGGCCTGCTCGCACTTGGCACAGAAGCAAGCCTCGGTGTAGACGCTGCCAAACAGCTGATCCCAGAGCTTGAAGAAGAAACCGGTGTGGTATGGACGGTTCTTGATCGAGATGGCGTGGTGGAGGTAGTGCTGGAAGGCGGTGTTGATCACTGGGTGATGTGCATCGGGCCAGCTGAACTCGTAGCCCCAGTGCAAGTAGGAACCGTAGCCGTAGAAGAAGATGGCGTACTGCAGGAACATCATGTCCATGTTGATTGGGGCGATCATTGGGAACAGCAGCAGGGGAGCAGAGCGTACCAGCTGGTCGACGTACTCGTCGGCAATGACGGCGAATGGCGATGGGTTGTAGAACTGGTGGTGATATCTGTGGATGTTCCAGAAGAAGTCGTACTTGTGGCCGAGTCGGTGGTAGAAGAACTCGTAAAAGTCCGAGGCGATCCAGACGATGAAGAACGAGGCGATCAGGTATCCCCAACCAAACTCACCAACACCGCAGTATGCCTTTGAGGCACCACGCTGAGCCAATTGCAAGGCCAAAGCTGGGCAGAAAGTCGCAGTGACCATGCCCTTCAACATCATAATAATCTCATCCTTAACCTGTAGTTGTTATAGTAGTAGTTGTGTAGTTGTTGTTGTTGGAGAGGGTAGTGTAATTATTTTGTTAGTGATCACGTGATCAAAGTGTATGATGTCAGCTGATCGTTATAATGTCAGCTGATCATTATCCGGGTCAGCTGATCAATGATAAACATACCTTTTCTGCGGATGGGTACTTTGGATTGGTCTTCCATCTCCACATCTCGTATGTAGGTTTGACGTAGTACTTGACGAACACGATGCCTGACAGAAGAAGGATAAAGAACAGACCAGCGACACTCAGCAGTGTCCAAGTGGCCATGAAGTTGCCCCACACGCTAATTTCACACAACATCCTGTGATTAATCAATCGAGATTAGTTAGTGAGTAAGTGATGGTCGGTCACGTTTGTCTTTGATTGTTTTTTTTAAGATGACACAAGATACGTACTTGTATTAATAAATAATGTTAATACTTATTATAAGTATGTAATATGTTTATGTGTGTGTATGAACGTATGATTGATGTGAAGTTATGTGTTTGAAGACAGTCTTGAATTGCCAGGCATTGGTCTCCCTCCCTCTCTCTGGTCACTTGAGGGATCATCAACATGATGATGTTTGTTGTTTCAATTTATTTTATTTATTATTTCATCATCATAATATTTATCATAAGAACTGCATCGATTACTTGATCAGCTCGTGCGAACAATGCTCACCCACACTTGTTTCATCACCCCAAATATCTCCCACAGCAAAGAAATCGATTTCTTATGATGACCCCACTCCTGCCCTCAATACCAAAGTTGTGCAGTGAGTGCTCTACACTGATTGTATTGTTCGGTCTTGAATGGTGAATAGCAGTTACTTTAATGAGTAGTAGTAGGTGCCGATTCGTCAATTTGGAATCCTGCAGCATATTTGACACTGCCGCGAAGTCCTTTGAGTGAGTCTGGTTTGAGCTCCAAAGCCATGAATGCATCACCCTTGAATGGTGCATCGATAAGGTGCTTTGTAAGTTGTGATGTGAATCCAAACTTGGTATAATACTCTGGATGACCAAGTACTATTATAGCTTCGTAATGTGCTGTATCTGACTTTAACCAATCCAAACTCTTGTTGATCAATTGTCTACCAATGCCTTGCTTCTGATGTTCTGGTGTCACTGCCAGTGGTGCCAACGATACTGCATTTACAACTCTTCCATCGACCTTTACATCCAATCTAGTATACATTATATGACCAATTATTACATTATCTACACTATCTATTGATGCCACCATTTCTAGTACAACATCACCATCATTCCTTAGTCGCAATACAAGATCAGCTTCATCATTACCACCAAAAGCACGTACATTAACATCATGTATAATGTCTTTGTGTATTGGTAACTGAGCTAGCTGGGTGATGATATTATTGTTGTTGTTGTTATTCATTCTCTTTAAAGTAATAGGATACTATTTGTTTATGTTTGTTTGAACTTGTTTATCAACAGGATGTAGCGAGGAAGTAAACTTGAAAGTGTGAGAATGGTTGAAGAATGTTAATGTCCCGGGAATTGATTTCCCGAATCACAGTGAATGAGATTATTGAGAATGTCTTTTGAATGTTCCAACTAGATGGTCTATCCTTATATGAACTTCAATCTAAACTTATGATCTGACTACTCTGGCATGATTGGATTGCACCAAACTTCAAAAGACACACTTCAACTTGATCATTCAAGTTATGATGATTAGTATGAAAGAATGAAAGAATGAAAGAATGAACATATTACAATGTATACATAAGTGTCAGACACAAGTTAGTTAAAGTAGAGATAGAGATAAATAGTAATGATAGATCAAGTGTTAACACTTAGATTATGGGCCAATAGGGAGGATGCAACAATCAAAGAGTCCACACCCAATCACTTCTTGTTGGCCATAATGTTCTATTATGGATTCAATAGATCACAAGGTCTAAACATGGAGGAGCATGCCAAACATCTGGCCGCATGCATCGATCATTATGAGCCTGCCAAGTGTTGGGCACAAGATCAGTCGCCACAACTAAAGAACCAATCACTGTGGAAGCGTGTGGAGTGTCCCGATGGTCGTCTCGTGTCCAAGCATCCCATCCACGAGTTTCTGCACCAACAGCTTGAACTCGCCTCCTCTGCCTACGACGCCGACAACAACGACCCCAATCTCAAGATCCTGTTCGCCTCGCTGCACTACTGTCTGGCCGTGCTGCACAAGTATCGATGGGGCGTCGAAGAGGACATCAACACCTCTGTCAAGCATCTGTTCATTGGCGCTGAACACGGTGAGATACACGCCTCATACCTGCTGGGCATGGTGTACTACTTTGGCCTCCTGCCCGACCCCAACAAGCAGAACATTGACCTGGGCGACTACCTCCCCCGGACAGAGTCCAAATACCTCGACACCTCGTACCGCTACGTCGGCTTGGCCCACGACATGGTGCGATGTAACTACGTGCGCGCCAACCAGAACTTCTTTCTCGCGCGCAAGTTCATGAAGCACGCAGCAGATCGTGGTATCAAACAGGCGAGGAACATCATTGCTCGCATGTATGTCAATGGCGAGGCTGTACCTCAGTGCGCTCGAGTGGCTCGTGAGTGGTACAGCAATGCCAAGGAACTTGGCATCTTTGGTTACAACAAGATGTTGTTCCAAGGCCGCTTCATTAAGCAGGACTATGATGGAGTGATCAATGAGAAGGCCAAAGTGTCACAGGCATTGACACTGCTCCAATCAATCAGTCTTGGAATCAAAGGGCAGACGGAGGGGTCCAAGCAGCTGCTGGAGGGCATCTCGTTGGACCTGCCCAAGATCTTGGACCTGTTCCGTGAGACCTACCTTCCAACCATCCCCTATCGCTCTATCGTCACCGATCCAAGCATAGTGATTGAAGGCAACTTTGGTCGTATTCAGAAAGCAATGATAGGTGAGAAGATCTACGCCCTCAAGACACTAAAGCCAGAGAAGATAACTGCAGCCATGCTTCCATCATTCCAAAAGGAGATAGAGATATCAATGTATGAATATATCAATCACTCGTTCAATCAATCAATCAACCATTGACACCCAATCAATCAATCACATTAGGAGTCTGGATCATAAGAACATTGTAAAGTACTATGGCAGCACGATCATTGGACATATCAAGTTGGGCATCCTTACGGGTATACTTATGGACTGGGTTCCAAACTCTTGGTCAAGTCTACTTAAGGAAGAGACGTACCGTGTGCGTATCCAATTGGAGTACGCCTTGTATGTTGATGGAGGCGGTGCTGTTCCATCGATCATCAAGACACTCAAGGGTGTTGCACAGGGCATGGAGTATCTTCATCTGAACGGTATCCTCCATCGTGATCTCAGACCAAAGAACATCCTTGTTGAGCAGGATGACACTGCCAAGCTCTGTGACATGGGTATCTCAATGGTTGCCAATACCTCGGCCGCAACATCGGTGTATAGTTGTAAGTCTTACATGTACCTCATTGTATGAATGATCACTGACCCTCCTCCTTGATTGGACCAGTTGCCAACAAGCAAATCGAGCAGTCAACATTAATACAGAACCGAAAGGAGTTGGATGTGTGGACATATGGAGAGCTGATCAATCGAGTCTTGAACACGCTCAATGTTGCCGATTCAAAGTTGACCCAACTTGCGAGCGATATCATTGACCAGAGAGACAACATCACGTTCACAGACATCATTTCACGCATCGATCAGATGTACTACAACGTGGACAATGGTGCTAGCGTCACTGCCTTGGCAGCCCAACTAGGCAATACCAATGTCAATCCAGTGGTGGAAGCTGAGCTCATGATCGAACAATCAATCAGGGCAAAGATGAAGGCCAAGTCCAGCTACCACCTCGGCATGCTTCATCTCCGACAGAACAAGGTGATTGACGCCTTCAACTACTTCAACGAATGTGCCAACTTCTACTTCCCTGCCGCAGTTGCCCTATCCTTCTGTCACTCCAGTGGCAATGGAACAAATGTCAACGCAGAGCTGGCATTCAAGTGGTGAGAGTCGGCCTACAACATGGCACTGGCTCACAACTATGATGGCGTGGAGAAGGTTGAGCTTGAGCTACTGCTGGACAAGCGTGATGAGGTTACTTGCACCCTGGCCTTTTATTACTCAATCGGTAGAGGTGTAGACAAGAACGTGGCCAAGTCATTTGAGCTACTCCAAAGTGTACCAAACACAGTTGAGGGCTCTCGACTGTTGTTCAAATACTGGAGGGAGCAGGAGAAGATGTCGACGGGTACTCCACCAGCAATCAGACAGTCTGACGTGTACTATGATCTGTTCACCAAGTTGCTCCAGGCTGCTTACAAGAAGTACTACATTGGATTGATTGATAGACAGAGAGTACACTTTGACAGTCTGACCACTTTGGATGGAGTGCCACTTACCGACGTGCCGCTCAATGATTGGCTCCACTCCCAAGACTTGCCCATGTATATAATGTGTCATGGCATCAAGTACGAGTTCTCGCACTACAAAGTTGATAAAGAAAACCTCAACACCGAGGCAATGATATACTTTGATGTCCAGAGAATAAGGTAAGTCAGCTGATCAATCTATCAATCAATCACATACACTAGCTCACTCACTAACTTGATCCAACTCATTAGTAACATTGGACAAATGTCAGTCCAGAAGTTTATCTCATTCAGCTACAGAGAGAAGACGGGAGACTTGATCTATCTTCACGAGGTCATTGATTATCCAACTCTACCAGAAGTATTGGAAACACAACAACTTACACCCGATCAACAGATGTCAATGCTCAAGGGATTGTCAGACTCGATGGTTATGTTGTGTGAAGACCTTGACCTCGATCACCTGTACATCAACTTGACACCATCAAAGATTCGTGTCAATCCCAAGACCTTGGCACATTACATCCCCAACGACTTTGTCCTATCAGTTCAGATCAACTTCCTCAATCAAGATCCTGGTAAGTTTGAGTCCGCACCATTCATCCATTCATCGATCACTTACTCTATCACTCATACACTACAGACACAATCAAGGAATTGTCGATTAGATCGTTTGGAGATATCATTAGCCAATTCAATTTAACAAAGGACAATGGCAAACTTAAAGAGCTCCAATCCTCTTGCAAGATATATCCAAAAGAACTTACATTTGACAAGATCTACCAGGCATTGTCCTTGATGTAACCCTTATCCCAATGAATCCCAAACCAAGTGCATCCAGTCAATCAAACAATTGAATTAGGTCCTATATTTGAAGATACTATCATTCCTCTACTTTTAATAGGGGAAAGCATGTGAGTCGTTGATTCTTCTAGGGAGTATATGGTTGTTATGTACAGGCTATGTCCGATCGAATGAGGAACCTCATCCATATCCAAGTCATATTGGATATATCTCCGATGGAAGGTCTACCAGTTTGAGTTTTCCATCATGATATCTTAGTATCTTGACAGGCTGAGCCAGTTTGCTTGCCGACAGTAGGTCTCGGGTGAGATGAGCACCAGCCTCATCATCTCTATACTTGGTCACAATAGTAAGGTCCTTGACCACAACCATTGTCCATACATTGGCCTTCCTCGACGCTCTTAGGTATATAAATTCTCCATCCAACTCCTTGCAACGATTGACGACAAACTCTTTGTCGTCCTCGGAAGGTTTGAACATGTATCTATTCCATGTTGATTGATTGATCGATTAGTATGAATGAATAGATCCAGTGATTAATTGATTGGTTGGATGAGCATACCCATTGTTAAATAGGAATGTTCGTTTGAAGGATCGCTCAATGTATCGAAGTAGTGGACTGCTCTGTGCCAGCCCAAGATCATTCACTCTATCAGTCTTAAGTGGAGTGTATTTCAGTTGTTCAATGATCGATGGATATATTGAATGGAAGTCTACCAATTCGATACTGGTGCCATCCCATTTGTTGTTGTTGTTGATGTCATTGTTGTCGTTGTCGTTGTTGTTGTTGTTGTTGTTGCCATCTGTTAGAATGCACTTGACCATCATGACTCGCTTGCCAGATGGATACTTTGACAATTGATCGATAAAGTCATTGAAGTTTGACTTTAACAATGACTCCTTGGTGTATCGTGATGTCCTTATCTTGCTCCTCCAAGTGACCGTGTAACCAATCAATTCAGCAGCTGACAGACTGTATACCAAGTATGCCAATGTTATATTCCTATCATTTAAACTCTCCATCTTTGGTACCAAGCAATTATTAAAGAAGTCAAGGTGGTACTTGTTGTCTTCTTCGCCAAGGAATCCTAATATACATCTATATTAGAGTTCATTACATAAGTAAGTAAGTACCAATGATGTTGTTGGTTCTTGTTTGTTCATTGTTTGTTCATTGTTTGTACCTTTCCATCCACAGCCATCGTACCCAATGTTGTTTGGAGTACTTCCGATAAGAGACTTTACTGTCATTTGGTGCTGTTTGAATGATTGATTGATCAGGTCAGAGGTGGACGACCATCATTCAATCATGCTTACCAGTAACATACCTATTCTATCATTGTCGCTCAATTGCCTAGTACCAACCACTATGTTCTCCTCTACACGTACAAGTGAAGGATCTGGTAGTAGATCTTTATAATCATCGTTCTCAGGTTGTTGCATGCTTGCTTGTTTGCTTTAATAAGTTAATAAGTCAAAGTACTCTCGCATGCTCTACAACTAGAGTGACTGAGTGAGTAAGTATATACTAATATCTAAATATATCTATTTGTATACAACAACTGTTGGCAATAACATTGCAATCGCTCGGCGATAACAACTCATGAATTTAAGTTGAGGGGCACCTGACTCCGAAACACTCAACTCAAACGACACTAATGGTAACCAAACTTTGACCAACAGAACTTCAACAAAGAAAGAAGTGAATGAATGACAACAGACCAAACAAATAAACATAGTAATAATAATAATAGTAATACAACAATCAATATTAATGAACGACTGAAGAGGTATACATATCAAAGAGATCGTGTTGAGGAGAAGAGACGACTAATGTGTTTGTATGATCGATAGATCATTGACCGAACAATTCAAATGATTGAACAATAGTTTGGTATGGCGAGTGTTTTAATGATTGATTCGATTGGAGACCATGGTGATGGTCATCATCATCATTGAGTGAAGGTAACAAAGTTCGAGAGTTGTGGGAACCCAACAGTCACATGACACACAACCAATGGCACCCTAGACGTCTAACTATTCTCTATAACCACTGCTTCCATTCGACATTTATGGTCATAGACTGGAATGGATTAAAGTAAGGTGAATATAACCTGTCTACCAATCTATCTATCATTGAATGAATGATGTTTATAAGTTCGTACATTGAATACCTTTCTTATTCCTCTCTCATCATCATTCAAAAGGGTACATAGCTAGGCAGCTACCTACCCTCGCCATTGGACCCAACAATGATTACAATAACAAGTGTCATCGACATCAACGCACACACACCGGAAGTTGGTCGCACGCCTCACCCCTCGCAGTCAATCCAATCAAAATCATCTGTTGCTTGCAGGAGTCGAAATTTCTGTTACGGGACATTAATTCGTCGCCTGTGAGCGAGTGTTAGGCAGTGGCAATATGCCAAACATAGTTCGACACCCGCCCATAACCTACCATATTGACTCGCTTCACTCACTCACTTGCGACAGACACACTTGGATACTCAGGCACAGGCAGATCATGTCGGGATCGTCTAGGTCATGTCCGTCTAGACCATGTGACCCTTCCCCCGACCTCCCCAACATGGAATCCAAAGCAAGAATAGTCAAGAAGGAGGTCCTAGAGGTCGACCAAGACATTGTCTGGAACTGCCAATATTCATGGCTGACCATTGGCTATTTAAACAGGACCATGGTCATTCATCAAACATCATCCAAATCAACAAGTAATAATTCTAATACTTTAAAGTTTCAATCAATCAAATAATCTTCAAAATGAGAACCGTCTTTGTCTTTGCCATCATCCTTATGATCGCCGCCGTCTCCTTCGCCGCCGTTGAGGAGGCCAACGGAAACTGCCCACCAAACACCGACACCCGTACCTGCATCTGGTTCAACAACCTCGCCTGTAACGCCAACAAGGCCTGCCCAACTGGAAAGACATGCTGCGCCAACAACTGTGAGTCCTTCTGCCAGACCAACTCCTGCCCACCAAACACCGACACCCGTACCTGCATCTGGTTCAACGACACTGCCTGTAACGCCAACAAGGCTTGCCCAACTGGTCAGCTGTGCTGTGCCAACAACTGTGAGTCCTTCTGTGCTTAAGACCTTAAGTCTTCCGAGTCTCCTCACCCAGGACATTTCTTTCTAAATAAAGAACAACAACCTTGTTTATTCATACATATAATTGTTAATTCAACGTACATGTTTGAGCGAATTATCGAATGATTGGAATGATTCCAATCACTTACAAGTGTACCCTCATTTTCATGGATGATGTGAGACCTAGTGTCAATCTACAACATGTCACCAAATAGACTACTTGGTCGCCCTCGTTTATGACGTTCAAATTGATTGACTTTGCTTAGGTGATGGAATTACACCAGTATGACATCAGCCAGATTAGGGGGCGCTAACTCATTGTTGACGACATGATCATACAATAGCAGGAACAAGCGTGAACGAGTGAGCGAGAAATACAAGCCAACAATACAGTGGGAGGAACACCAGTTCCAAGTGTTTGCAAAGTTTGAGGATCGATGACCATTTGATGTGCTCGATGCACTAATCATGTGACCATTCCAGTCATCATCCACCAACAATCAATCAATCAATAACACACACTAATCAATTTGACAGGTCTTCTGACGACGCCTAATATTGGGCGACCGAATGAATAAATAAATGTGTGATGGGTACCCCATTATTATGTTATAAATAACCAAAAACTTGAAGTTTGGGATATTTATTTAAATGATTCTTCACTTTGAAGAATAGGTGTCAAGTGATTGATTTGTTAATGTGGTGGTGATGTGTCAATTGGATAAAGATGAAGTTTCTATTGTAACCATAGTCACCCCACGGTTATATGGTATGGAAGCACCCACATGTGTCTGCTGACCCATTTCCAATCAAAATCACTTCTTCATCATCACCACCTCTTAATCTGAACAACATACATCATAGGGTCACCCTTCTCCCTCCCTTTACCCCTATCCCTACAAATACATATCAAGTAGTTGTACCCCTTCGACAACACACACACACACTTCACATTAATACCACTCGTCTTGTTAAGGATTGGGCTAGACTGTCACAACTCTGTGTGAACCCAAGGGAGATTGAGGATAACAATAAATACAAGACATGTCAAACATACAATCTTTATACACTTCAACATACACTTGAATAGTAACAAATAATAACTTTACAAAGTTTAAATATACATATAATATATACACAAATGAGATCATTCTTCATCTTGTCTGCAATCATTTTGTTGGCCACCGTCGCTATGGCCACTGAGGAGGTCGCTGAGGTTGCCGATGCCTCTGGATCAATGGGTCTGTGCCCACGTAACACTGACACTCGCACCTGCATCTGGTTCAACAACTTGGCTTGCAATGCTAACAAGCCATGCCCCAACGGTCAAGCTTGCTGCGCCACCAACTGCGAGTCCTACTGTTACCCACGTCGCCCAACCCTCTGCCCACGCAACACCGACACCCGTCAGTGCATCTGGTTCAACAACCTCGAGTGTAACGAGAACAAGGCTTGCCCAATGGGTCAGACCTGTTGCTCCACCAACTGCGAGTCCTACTGTTACCCAAAGGCCCCAGTCCCCACCTGCCCACCCAACACTGACACCCGTCAGTGCATCTGGTTCAACAACACTGCCTGTAACGCCAGCAAGGCTTGCCCAACCGGTTCCGTCTGTTGTGCCAACAACTGTGAGTCCTTCTGTTACCCAGATGTTCCACAGACTGCTTAATTATTAAAATAATTATTGCCACTCCTTTATTATTATTCCAAATATTCAAACCGGTTTCTTTACACTTCAGGCTTTCCTCACATAGGGGGACTCGGGAAAGGGTGCCAAACTCATAGTTGAGGAATTCCTGAAGTGCTTATTTTTGTCATTGTCCTACTTGAAGTGAATCCAAGACATTGAAGTCGTTCTGATCAAAGAGGAAGATGCTTGTCTTGGAGTAGTATATCAGTCTGCAATACAGGTTCTTGGTTTCTTGTAGTGAAGATGAGGCTTTTTTGAAATAGTTTCATTAATTTTAGTTTGGATATTTACTATAATGAAGTACCTTAATATGGAGTTAATATAACTGGGTAAAGGACTGCAGGTGTCGCCAAATATAATGAAGTATTTTGGATCCAGACACACAAGTAATATAGTTATATAACTAATAGGATAAGATAGATATCAATCAGAAGGATAATATAGACACCCAAGGATTTAAGATGGGAATAATTGGATGAGCTTTAATGAATGAGTACAACTACTATATGTACCAGTTGTGATTAGGTGAGTGCGTATATTGTATGGAACTGAGTGTTTGTTAACTGACACTATGGGAAGTGGTTCGATTGAGTATAATACCAATAATCTATTATACCAATATCCGATGTGAGATGATCTAGATGTAGTAGTCCATACTACAACGAGCGCGAGTTAGTGAGTAAGATCACTACATTACTCTTTTTTTTGCTGCCAATACCAAGGCAAAAACAGAGATATCTTTAGTATGGTCTCACCTGCATTTTTAGGAAAGTGGTTAAATCCGCCAGACTCAAGTTCTGGTCCGCAAGGTTCGTGAGTTCGAATCTCACAGAATGCATACAAACCCTATTGCCACTCATCAAAACCCTATTGCCACTCATCAAAACCCCTATTGCCACTCATTGTAACATGAGGAACTTCCAGAGTCGAATGATTCGTTTTCCAAAGTGTTTTGATGTCGCTTCGCGCACTCAATCACTTCATTCGTTCATTCATAGACAGTGGGTCTTCAATTACTAACTGTCATACTCTCAAGGTATGTCCTCTTGTTACACCAATCAATCATCATATATATAAATAAATAAGTTTATATGATTCGTTCATTCATAGACAGTGGGTCTTCAATTACTAACTGTCATACTCTCAAGTGAACGTTCAATAATATTAAGAGTACATCTCTTTATATTAAATCATCAAAACCCTATTGCCACTCATCAAAACCCCTATTGCCACTCATTAAAACTTATCCTTCCTAAATTTGTAATCTGTCTGTATTGTGTAAACCTAACAATGAGTACAATTACTTTGGAAATAATTTTGGCCCTACTTTGTATCTCCCCAGAGTATATATGGAGAACTTTGGGTAATTGCCCCGAGATTTATCTTTGGAAGTTGTTAAAGAGTCTATTTAGGGATATTTGCAATCAATGATCATTTTGGTATGGTTCATAACCAAAAAACATCTAGATGGGCACACAAGTTATTCCAAAAAAATCAACCGAAAAACAAAAGACAATGACGACGTCGTCACTAATCAATCAAAAAAGGTTAATGAAACAAATCATTTACTACAAAGTTACATCATCATCTCGATACTGCAATCAAAAGGGTTCCCAAACAGAACCAAATCATTATTCATTCATTCATTCATTCATTAAATCAATCAATTACACATCAACCTCACATTACAACATATCATAAGTTAACTCCGATATATACATACATACACATACTCTCTAGCTAGGTGATGGATTCATCAAACGATGACAATGTTGTGGACAACCGAGTCCTTCAACATGGTACGTTCATGCGTATCAAGGTCGTGTCTGATTACTCTGACTACAGTCTCTCCTATCTCAGAGCCGTAGTCAAAGGCTTCCCCGAGTACTACAAACCTGCAAAGTATAACAATGTCACCCAAGTGCCCTTCCCTCCCCTAGACCTTGTTGATACCAGTAACATTCATTTACAACTTGTATGATCGATATCAATCATCTCAATCACATCAAACCCAACTCACTCAATCAATCAATCAAACAATAGGACTGCTTTGAAGACCTTAGTATGACAGGAGCTGGCAATTCATGGAGGGATGCTGATGGTGTTATCATTGTGTATGACCTTTCAGACAGAGAGACGTTCAACAATGTACTGAACTGGGCAGGTGAAGCCGAACGATTCACAACACCTGCTGTCATACTCATCATTATAGGTGTGCACTTTGACCGACAACTGGCACGCCAAGTGTCGTCGGTGGAGGCCAATCACTTTAAGGCACATCACTGTCTCGAGTTGGATGAGCTGGCGACACACAATGCAACAGAGGAGCGACTGCGGTTTGAGAACCTGTTGCTCGAGATCATGGTCACCAAGAATATATACAATGACAAGACGATACCCTACACACCGATCGATATAATCAGACGCAACAAGAGACAGCTACTACAGCAACAGTTTGAGATGCGTCAACACAAGCTAAAGGCAGCATCGAGCCTCGCTACGAGCAGCACATTGAACGATCGAATCAGCCAGGTACTGCAAAACATGGTGGTGAGGCGCACCATCTGGAGCGCCGTGCGTCGCATCCACGAGAGGATGGGCGTGCGCGTTGGCAAACACAAGGACAATCAGTTCCTCTTTGAGAATGGATATTACAATGTACTGCGACAAAAGGCGGCACGTGGCGATCCCCTCAACCTATGCGATCATCTGCACAACAGCAAGAGCTCATTGTTCAGATTCCTACGTGAATGTACCGACAGCAGTCTGGTGCGCCACGTCGTGTCCTCACTCAACCATGACACAGATTTCTTCCGAGAGCACGTTACAGAGTTTGCGGACGAGGCTTGCATTGCTGGCAACGTCGATGTCTTGCGATGGCTTCACAAAGAGTATGGCATTCGTTGTTCAGAGCGAGGCCTGCGCACGGCCATCGTATTGGGTGACCTCCAATTACTCATTTTTATCGCTGAGGAGATGTCCTGTTGTGGCACTAGCGGCGGAAACAACAACAACAACAATAATAATAATAGTGGCAGTGTTGGAAAGCATCACAAATCAAAACAACAACAGATCAACTACCTCGAATGTCTGGGCGAGAAGGAGAGAAGCGCACTGATAGACCTCTCCATACAGTATAAACACGACGACATCAAGGAATATATCGAATCACACAACAATCAACACGGCGGCAGCGGCGGCAGCAGCAGTGGCGGTGGTAATAACAACAACAACAACAACAATGGTTCCAATGGCAAGGTTGGCAAACCACGGTTGTCATCCTTTTACAACAAGATGAAGTCAATGTTCAAGTGATTGATTGATCATCACCTATTTGTAAATAAAAGTCTATCTTATTATATTATCCTGAACATGCATTGATTGATTAGGTGAATGTTCCATGGAATACCCACAACACGGTATGCCGAATCCGACGAAAGGGTTGGGACAACTGAAATTTCCATGCATGTTGACATGACTTATACATTCACATTCAACACCTTTCATTCATTCATATATATTACACATATACATACAGATAGATAAGAATGGACTCTGATAAGGATATACAACGATTGACTAACTTTGTCAATGGTGAGTTCGTGGCCCCTTCATCGGGCAAGTACATTGATAACTACAACCCATCCACTGGTCAGGTATGCTCAAGATGTATTGATGTTAGATGACAATGACACTGACACTGACACTGACACTGACACTAACACTAACACTGACATATTATATGATATTGAAATGAATCAATGATTAGATCTACACTCTTGTTCCCGACTCTAATGAAGCTGATGTCAACAGCGCGGTTAGTGCTGCAAAGAATGCATTCCCAATGTGGAAAGCAAAGACAAACCAAGAGAGATCCGCTATTCTTAACAAGGTAAGGCGACACAACAGACAGAATATAGACAGACGACAGACAGACACAGGGACAGCAATACTCATACATTCAATCAATCAATCAAATATATATATTTAGATTGCAGATGGTATTGAAGCTAGACTACAAGAGTTTGCAGAGGCAGAGTCAAGAGATCAGGGCAAGCCAGTTAATCTCGCTGCTACACTCGACATACCTCGCGCTGCTTCAAACTTTAGGTTCTATGCAGGCTATATACTGTTTCACAACGAACAAACCTATCATCAGGACAATGTCGCATTGAACTACACCAAGAGAAGTCCACTCGGTGTGGCCGCACTGATCTCACCATGGAACCTCCCACTCTATCTGCTCACCTGGAAGATCGCCCCAGCCATTGCCGTTGGAAACACATGTGTCTGCAAGCCATCAGAGATCACCTCGTACACAGCCTTCCTGTTGTGTCAGGTGCTGGTGAGCGCCGGTGTACCCGCCGGTGTCGTCAACATCATCTTTGGCAATGGACTCAATGCCGGCACGGCCTTGGTCACACATCCCAACGTACCATTGATCTCGTTCACTGGTGGCACGAAGACTGGTGAGACCATCGCCCGTCTTGCCGCACCAATGTTCAAGAAGCTGTCGTTGGAGCTCGGTGGCAAGAACCCATCATTGGTGTTTGATGACTGCGACCTGGAGGAGTGTCTTACCGTCTCGGTAGCATCGTCCTTCAACAACCAAGGTGAGATCTGTCTGTGCAACAGCAGAATCTTTGTCCAGGACACCATCTATGAGGAGTTTGTCCGTCGCTTTGTCGAGAAAGTCAAGTTGTGGACGGTTGGCGACCCCAAGAGCAAGGACACCAAGTGTGGCGCCCTCGTCAGCAAGGAGCATCTTGCCAAGATCGAGTACTACGTCGACCTGGCCAAACAAGAGGGTGGCAAGATTGAGATTGGAGGCCAGCGCGCCGTCGTCGGCGAGGAGGGCAGCCCACTGCGCAACGGTTACTTCTACCCACCGACTGTGATCACTGGACTCGGAAACAAGAGTCGTGTGATGCAAGAGGAGATCTTTGGACCAGTGGTCACCATCTGTCCATTCAAGGACGAGAAGCAGGCCCTCGAGTTTGCCAACGACATCCAGTACGGTCTGTCGTCATCGCTGTGGACACTCAACACAAAGCGCGCACACCGCGTAGCTGAGCAGATTGAGGCTGGTATCGTGTGGGTCAACTGCTGGATGGTGCGTGACTTGCGCACACCATTCGGAGGTGTCAAGGCCAGTGGAGTTGGTCGTGAGGGTGGCGAGCACTCCATCGACTTCTACACCGAGCAGAAGAACATATGCCTAAAGCTGTAATTAAAGCCATCATTCATTCATTCACATTCAATCATATGTCCAATATTGTTCCCTCTCTCTCTCTCTCTCTCTCTGATGGAGGGGAGCTGTATCTGGTTCTAGGTATGTAATATAACTTGTTCGTCGTATGGTTTATTCGCTCGCTGTCTTTGTGTATTGGACCGTGTTTAGGCGGCCTCTGACTCAGCGCCAGCAGCCTTGATCTTGGCGACGATCTTGTCTGCCTCCTCCTTCGACACCTTGTCGGCGATGACCGATGGTAGCTTCTCAACCAATGCTTTAGTCTATGATTATAATGATGATGATGAGTTAGTATCCCTGTCTGTTGATGATGATGATGCATCATCTGCTCACAATGTCGATGATGATTGACACATACCTCCATCAAACTCAGTGATGGCTTAATCTCTCTTAACTCTTTGATAATCTTGTACTTGGCTCCATCTGGGACCTTGACCAAACGAACTTGGAACTCTGATTTGGGTGGGGCAGCAGCGGCTGCTGGGGCGCCGGCGGATGGTGCAGCACCACCACCACCACCTCCGCTAAAGCTTCCTATATCGATATCTGGAACGCCAAGTCTTGTCTACAATGCAATGAATATATTGTATATCTGTTAGCCAACATGATCATCATTATCTGTATGTTGTTGTTGTCGATATTGACATCGCACGAGTCATAAGTGTCTCTATATCGCCAATGATCATATGTAGTTGCTTCGAAGGTTGTGATCACTATCTGCTACTACTCTATACATGTTGATTGAATGATTGATTGATTGAATGATTGATAATGACATACTTGAAGGACTTTGGTCAACTCGACAACCTGTATCAAACTCAACTTCTCGATCCTCTGTACGATTTGCTCGACCTCCTCTGAATGGGAGTCTGGCGATGAAGTGAAACGGCGGCTACCAATGGCAGCGCTGTTGATATATCTAGTGCAAGGTGTGATCCTACATAATCATTGAGTCAGCAACTTGTTTCAACTCCACTCCATTCATTCATTCTTCGTTCGTTCGTTCGATGCAGCTTGAATGAATGAGATATAATATAGTAAGTGAATGCCTACCTTGAAGTATATGAAAGCAATTTGAATGATCTGGACAACATTGTTAACGTCTATAGTCGACTCTATACGTATAAAGGTCTCTTCTAATGATACCGGTAATAGTATGTATGTATTTTGGTGTAAGAGATGTGTATTTGGGTATAGTGTGTACCTGTTGTTGCCGCAAGAAAGACGTAAGAATGAAGTGCTCCACTCTCGAGTAGCTGGACCCGCTCTGATCATGCAGTTTAACACACATTCATTCGCTCGTACTCCCAATCACACACACAAACTTCTGAAAAAAACAAAACAAAGTCCATTGTCAACTAAACACCACATTCCCACCCGAATGACCTGTAACGTTATTGTCTTGGATCGTGGAGTGATCAATCGATCAACTTACAGGTTAAATTAAAATGAATGGAGACGTACACACCTGTTTATTGGAGCGCCATCATATCAAAGAGTTGAGGGAGTAAGGTGTACCATGCCAGTTCTCATTGGATCGTTCCATTCAAAGAGAGAGCGAGCCAGAGCGACAGAGGCACAGAGGTTGAGGTATTGAGTGAAGAGCAATGGGTGTCCAATTGGAGAGTACCTCAGGAAGTAGAGGTTGATCGTGTGGAATGGGAGGTTGAAGCCAGCAGAGATCAATGCTGCATGAATCTCACGAGCATCAATTGTTCCAGAGTAGTTCTACAATGAATGAATTTGAGTGGGGATGTGTCAGTTTGTGGGCATGAATGTGTTTGTTTCCATGTGGCGATGATCAAACATACCCTGTCATTGGCAACGAAACATCTGTACAAGTGATTAACAAAGGCGTGGAGTGCAGCGTATTCATAAAAGTCTGTTGTGTGTATGATTGAGAGTGACAATGTTAGAGAGATCGGAATCATACCAGCCAGCCCGACACAGTCCATTCATTAACATACCAATTTGTCCATTCCTGTTGATATCAAAACATCTGATCAGTTTGGTGGCGGTGTCCAGACCGAGTGGAGTACCACCTATGACCAAGTACTGCAGCTCAACATTTGAGATGGTACCCGATCTGTCTCTGTCCATTGAGATGAACCATCCATTCATCTCCATCAACTGGGCCTGCTGGAGTCCAGTGAATAGTGAGTAGTACTGTTATGTTGTTGGGGAGCGAAGAGTAGCATGAGCAAAGGGTAACACAAGGTCAATGAATGAATGAATGAATGAGTCAATGAGTCAGTACGTGGCATCAAAGGGTGACCTGCCCCATTGCAAAAAAAAATGATACATACCCAAAGACCTTGGAAGCGGGCAGGTGGGGCGAAACCCATTGGAGCGGGAGCATATCCATACATCATGAGTTATATATATAAGTAGTAAGTTGTAATATATGTAGATAAATATTAGTTAGTTAGTTATGTGTGTGTGTGTGTGTTGTTTAGATTTATTGAGCACTCGATGAAGTTGTTGATTTGCTATGGTCGTTGCATGATGTGTTTCATAAGTTTCTGAGATAAAAATCAAGTTTCCCAAAAGTTCAATTCATCGATTTTGATTGATTAAATTAATTAATTAATAAATATCTTATCACTTTGATTTATCATCAATCATATATGATTGTTCAATTTATGCACAATATATATTTAAAATAATCAAAGATATAAACATGGTTGTTTGACATAATAGGGGATTCAAACTTATAGTTATGGGATGTCAGCCCTGCAAACAATTGGAAGCCAATCATTCGATTATTTGATCAAACATTGGTCGAGACTATCCAGAATCATTTTCAATAATCAAGTTAACTTGATATTAATATCAGTTCATTGGTCTGTGTCGAGTAGTCTGGTCAAAGATACATAATAAACACACTGGACTCGTTTGCAGTTCTTACCTTACCCCGATCGGATTTGGTAATGGATCTCGAAGTGCAAAACAGATACAGGTAATAATGCAAAATTGTCACCACACCCACCACATGTCTTTCCCAATCGGGTTCAAGGGCCTCGAGGGGAAATGGTGCCTCCAACCCTCGTCCTTAGTTGGGTCCCAGGATCTGGTATAAACAGTACTCCCCCGACCTACCCACCTTTTATCCAATAATCGAATGAAATGAATTGGATGGCGGGTTGCGAAGCTCATGACCATTGGGCGATCATGACCCACCAAGGTTGGTGGTCGGTCGTTGACAATAATCCGTTTGGATTTAGGGATATAGGGATAGATTAGATTAATAGGAATAAAAATATTTTAATGTAGATTGAACAAACTACAATTGCGATGCATTGTTGCGATATCGATAGGGTAGACTACCTTTGACATCGCCGACTTCCCAATTTGAACAGTGCACTATTCTTCGGCGGGTACTCAACACTTCTATGTTCTCATCAATCTTACACAAAAGTCCCGACTCATTCATTCCCAGTCCAATCATTCATTCCACTTGTTCCAAAGAATCTTCATCAAATATATATATTTATTTTATATTTATTCATTGTTACAATTATATATATATTATAATAATCATATATAAATACCAAACTTGTTGTTGTACATTATTATATATATATTTATAATTAATACTAATAATAATTAAATAATGGTACTTGGACATATTGCCAAATCACCAACTACAGAGTTGATCACTCTGTCACAATTTGAAAATGGTGCTGATGGTACTTCACAACCATCAACCGAAAAGGTTGATGTTGAGGCCGATGTCGAGATTGAAGATATCCCATCAAACAAGTTCAAACCTTTATCATCATTCTGTAACACTGTTAAAGGATTCGCTGGAGCTGGATCATTTGCCCTTCCGTAAGTCCATTCACTCTTCATACTCAATCAATCAATCAAAGTTATCTAACTTTAAATATATAGATGGGCAATTTCACAAGCTGGTATTTGGATTGGGACCATCGGATTGATCCTTGTGGCCCTGTTCTCAAATTATACTATGCACTTGTTGCTTAGATGCAACTCAAAGTATGTGAGGGAGATAAAGAAACCTGGTGAGGCACCTCCCTCTTTTGCAGACTTGGCCAAACATGCTTATGGTCGACCTGGTGAGCTGTTTGTTTGTATCACTACCTGTGGCATCACAATATCATCCTGTATAGCATTCCTCATCCTCATTGGTGAGAACCTTGGTTCATTAGCCAAGTTCAATCAACATACCATCATCTGGTTCATCCTTCCCGTTGCCTTTATCCTCTGTCTTATCCCAGACATGTATGTACACACCTTCATTCAATCAATCAAACATCATCATCTCACTAATCATTCAATCCATCGATCAATCATATAGGAAATACCTTGGCTATACAAGTGTGTTTGGAGCATGTGCATTGTTGTTGGCAATGGGTACTGTGTTGGCTTATGGTGGAGTTGACTACAAGATTAGACCATTGAGCGAGTATCATACTGATTACTCAAAAGTACCACTTTGGTTCGGAGTTGCCGCCTTCTTTTACTGTAATCACATCATTACTATACCTGTGAGCCATGCCAGTGGAGACTGCACACGTTATCCCAAAGTACTCAACTATGCCATGTCATTCATCACCGTGATCAATGTCACATTCGCCCTGCTGGCCTACCTCTTCTTTGACTCTTATGTCAATGCCGATGGAAAGAGAGGAGTACCCTCATCAATCACCGGAGTGCTGCCCGAGGGAGTCTTTGCCAGTGTTGTCCGTGTTGGCATTGTGTTGGAGTTGCTATGCTCATACCCCATCGTCAATGCTGCCGGTCTCAACACGGTAGAGTCGTCCGTGCGCCTTTACAAGAACTACCTGTCACCATTCCCACAAGGTAACATGCCCGACGACAAGGGCAAGAGGAAGTTCTTCTCGAGGAACTGGAAGTTCTACGTGTTCCAGGCTGTGCTGAACACTGCCATGGCGGCCATCGCCTCGACCATCTCAAACTTTGGCTCGTACACCTCACTCATTGGTTCGCTATTGTTGGCCACCTCTGGATTTGTGATCCCAAGTTTCATCTACTTTAAGTTCTTCCCAGAGATCAGCAAGAAGTTCAAGGCACTCCTGATCGTCATCATTATCTTTGGAATTGGTGCCACGGGTCTGGGTACCTACTACGCCATTGACTCGTTGATCAAGGATCCATAATCAAGCAAACAATTAAATAACTATTGTACCATCTCTCTCTCTCCCCAAACTAAATACCAGAAGTTGTATATTTATTAAATGGTCCAGAAGGACCCTCCCCTTGGAGGTCCTTTAAAAGAAATTGATATTGATGGCATTTGGATTGTTGTTGACAAGCGACTCGGTGTAGTGGGCATAGAGTTCGGGTTGGTTCTGACGCAGGATCTCGGGCTCCATGACGTAGCAGACAAAGGTAGTAATGACACCTGAGTAGACATTCTCCAGGGCTACTGAGATGTAGGTGAACGTGTAGATGAAGGGCAAGATAAAGCCTGATCCCAGTCCATCAGTCATGACGGCCCAGATCAAGGAGCCGATGCCTCCTCCAATGAGACCGCCCATGACACTGGCAATGAATGTGGTCACTCTGATGAATCGGTCGTTGACGAGCAGGTCGATACCACGGCTCTTGGCAAGCTCCACGGTGTCTCTGGCCGAGTGGCAATATGACTTGCCGTAGATGGCCACCTGGGTGAAGGCGTAGGCGTTGAACAGCTGAAGGGCCCTCTTGACACAGTTCAGGAAGCAGGTGAGGACACAGCTGAGTGCGCGGACGACTGGGTTGTTGGAGTTGCTTCCCAGGTTGGCAGTCCAGTCGCGCACCGTGGAAACGATGGCGATGACCAAAGAGCCAAAACAGATCGAACCGAATGACGTGGTCATGGCACGCTTGAACGAGTCCTTCATGGGGTCGGCTGGCATGCCAACATTGCCCCTGCCCTCCATAAAGTACCATGTGCCAAACAGGCCACTGACGGTGGTGTGCAGGACGTTCTTGATAACATTACACACCCAGTAATAAGAGAAGGTCAGGAAGATTATGATCAAGTACCCGTAGCTGGTGTCGTTGAACACGTAGACAGTACGAACTGCGGCAGCGATCCACAATGTAGTCCACAACAGATTGACTCCAATAGAGATCAATGCGGCCTTGAATGTGCTTGGGTAACCTAGGATGGAGATGAATGATGGAGATGAGTGATTGATTGAGTGAGTGAATGAGTGAGGTTGATGGAATGATTCCATAACATAAACATACTCTTTAACAAGTCAAGTGCAGAGGTCATGAGGGCGGCGGTGAGCTCAATTCTGTTTCTCCAGCGGAGGAAGAAGAGCACAGAGATGAAGGTGCAGAAGAGGTAGAAGATGCCCCAGAATGGTCGGCCAAAGAGGAAGGCCAGCACTGTGATGACAAACCAGAGGACGATGTTGGCAATGTAGGAGTACCTGATCAGTTGCTTGGGATGACGGCCAGCAATGCGGTACCAGCAGAACACAAATATGACGGAGACGATGGCACTGCTGATTGGCGCAGCGAGGAAGTAGAGGAAGATTGTGATGAATGAAGCACCATGCGCGTGAAATGACCTGTTCTTGAAGGACAACCCAACCAAGATGGCGATGACGGCCAACACATTGATCACGAACAAGATTGCAAACAGCACGTCCTGGTACTTTGGCTTCTCTGGGAATTTGCCAACCTCTTGGTTATTGTTGTTGTCAGTGTCGATGGATATTGGCTTCAAGGGTTGCATTGGCTGCATGGGTTGCATTGGCTGCATGGGAATCATTGTTGGCTGCATTGGCTGCATGACGGGGACGGTATCCATGAGGAAGTCTTGGTTCAGGAGTGATTCTTTGCCTTCTTTCTTGGTGTTGTTTGATTTGTTATAGGTGTTGCCATTGTAGTTGTTGTAGTCGTAGTTTGGTGCCGACGAGGAGGTGGAAGTTGATGTGGTAGTGGTATGCAAGGTATATTGTGGCTGTTGTTGTTGTTGTGATGGCATGATTGGTTCATCCATGAATGGATTACCATCATTGTGGACAGTGGGTGGATTGTATGGTTGATATTGTTGGAGTTGTGGAGGATACATTGAATTGTAAGTCCTTGGCAAATTGTCAGCATCACTGCCAGTCTTGTCAAGTATGCCCATTTCTTAATTGTTGTTGTTTGTTGTTTGTATCTCTTGTTGTTATTGTTGTAAGGTGTTTGGGTGATTGATTGAGTATGTAACTTAGGAGAGACGTGATTCGTCACTCAATAATAATAGTTGCGATCACAAAGTTTTCCCTCATTTTGGGGACACGTGTACTTGGATTTGTTTTGATTCAGGCAAAAAACATAACCATAATTGGCCAAGTAGGATCTCCGATCTAGATCCTAGCATAGGATTTGGAACTGTTCCAATATTCAGTTGGTGTCCAACATACACTCACAAAGTGATCAATAACAAAACATTGGTACAGTCCTTTGTGAGTCTATCGATAGATCGATGGATGGATGGTTGGGTCCATCTTTAAAGTAACTTTGATCATGTCAGTAGTAGTCTGAGTTTAAACACCTTAATAATTATATATATAATGTTGTGTAGAGTATATACTCATCTAGTATATATATATATATATATATATATTCATCAAATAGATTGAGTTATCTGTTCGACTCGAGATATATTTATCTCATTGGTACTGAAACTCGTTTGAAATTGATCGTTTAGTGAGATCACATTGCCAAGTTTTATGTTAAAAGTTAAAGTGGGTGGATCCTGGCCCATCATTTTGATCACTTTGTGGCTTTTGGGTTTACCTCATGTGACCATGGTAGTAGGGTGAGGTGGTCACCAATATCCAACACTCCCTCTACCTTTGATCAGACACTCACCAACTAACCACGCTGTTTAGTCAACATTTGATCGAAGCAAGGTAACAGTAGTAGTAGTATACCAAGAGGCAACAGGCATCAGTACACACAGTTATACATATATTAATTGTTTGTTTGGTGAGAAGACATAAGCAATACCTTTCTGTACTCCACCTGGCACAGCTTTACCCATCCACAACAACAACAACAACAAAGCCATAGTCATAGCCATCATAAATCGACCAAGTCATCACCCATAACACACACAAACGTACAGTTCAATACAGGCAGAGTACGCCTTGTGGTGTGTTAGTGCCAGTCAGTAAGTGAGTGAGTAGATTACATGGTCTCTGGTCCAGTCTAGTCTAGTCTAGCCAAGTCTACCAACAGGAACACTCTCATCCTTGTGTCCATAGTCAACTACCTTCAATCTATCATACAATCATACAACAGCAACAACAACAACAACAATATACTTATATAGTTATAAAGATACTACAACATGGATAACACAACAACAAATGGAAAGGATGGTGTCCAACCACACCCTCAGATGCTACAGCGACAGCCTTCAAAGAAGAAGTTTGGAAACATCTTCCACATGCACTCGAGCAGCACACCAAATCTAAAGTTACTGGTCAATCAACATCAATTACAATTACATCAACAACAACAACTCCAACTCCAACAACAACAATCACATACTGCACCGACATCTCCAACCAAGGACAATGACTCGTCATCCTCGTCCACACCTGGAATCTCCTCGGGCTCATCCACACCTGGCAACACTCATCAGCAGCAACAACATCCAATGCTTCTCAGACGTAATTCAACAAGAAATGACCTTATATCATCTGCTCCATCCATTCCAATAAGGGTGTCTGGCGAGAACCATGGCAACAACAACAATCCGGCAACAGCTACAAGCACTCCACCAACCTCACCAAGGAGCGACGACGCCTCACCACCATCTTCATCATCAACTCAGTCAAATGGCAACAACAACAAATCAAAGAAGAAGGATACTTCTCGATGGTCCAATGCAATGCGTCGTGTAAAGACCAGCAACAAACTGAAGAAGGAGATTGAGGAGTTGAGTATGAAGACAGGACTATCACAGCAATACTCCACCTTTGACATGTACTACGAGACACAACGAGCAAGTCCTGACACAGGCTTGGTGGATCCAAGCTCATCACCCAACTCTCAACGCAAGTCCAGGTTTATCGAAGCAACAGAGAATGTAAGTTGATCGATTGGATTGATTGATTGGCTGGGTAGACTTGCGACTAACATTCCAACCAACACATTGACAGTCCACCGAGGAATACTCCAATATACCAAGGGCCATTAAGCTCTCGATTGAGCATCTGTTTGAGAGATGTAAGTACCAATGTCTTGCAGCGAACGATATGTTGACCGTGGACCTAACACATCGCCCTCACTGTCTATAGCTCTACAAGTGCCTGGACTATTCAGAGAGTCTGCCAATGCGATGGAGTTGAGCAGACTGAAGCTACTAATGGAGTCGGATCGCGATGTCGACCTGACCAATGTCGGTCACCATAACATTGCCGGTTTGGTCAAGCAATACTTTAGAGATCGACCCTCTCCCATCTTCCCCTACGACCTCCACAAGCAGATCTATGACCTATATGGTAATGTCCCTCATCCATGTCCTTTGATGAAGTGTGGCGCCAGCGGATACTAACCAAGCATGCTCAACTCACCATTGACGCGCGTGTCAACAACAGAGTCTGGACAGCCTCAACAACAGATCAGCGAGCAGTTGAAGAGCTTGTTGAAGACTGAGCTGAGCAAGGGACAGTTCTTGATCCTTCGATATTTGTTTGAGTTGCTGCACGCTATACATCTTCAGTCAGAGGTCAACATGATGAATGCTTACAACCTGGCGGTATGCTTTGCACCCACCCTCATTCGCTCATTCGATTGCTCTTGCATTGATGTCGTCACCAAGTTGATCGATGACTATGAGCTGGTCTTTGGAGAGAATGTCCTGGACGTCCCTACCACCACTACCCCAATGCAAGCGCTAGAGGACTCACAGGGCACAGAGGCATCGGCCACCGAGGACACACCCGCTGCCGCCGCTGCCACCACCACATCAATCGTCCAAGCACCTAATCCTGATGAGGAGTCAACCAAGTCAGATGTGGCGTTGGCCGTTGTCGAGCCTGCCAGCACATGCGACAATCAAGATAGTGTATTGAGTGATCCGGAGTATGAAGCAGTGGACAGTATGACGATGGTCAAGAGGAAGCAGAGATCAAACAACAGGATGGCACGACTGTCGATGTTTGATCAAAAGAAGCAGTCCAAGGATAGGGGCGTGGCCGCTGATGGAAATGTAAAGCAACGTCCGCGAAGACAGAAAGACAGGCCAGTGTCTTGGTCGCCGTCCAAGGGCATGAAGGAGACTCCAGAGGAGCAGGACGCCACATTACTTGAGCAACAGAGACGTTTTGCAGTATCAGCGTCAATGTCCTTTGAAGCCGACGATGAGATGATCAGTGACCTGACGATCAGCAAGGAGAACACCGCGTCATTGGAGTCCTCTGAGGCAGCTGTCAGCACCAGCATGGGCACAAGCATTGGCAGTCCAGACCTGGATAATGGCGAGCATCATACCTCGGGTGAGGAACACGAGGTTCTTGAAACAATGGCGCCACAACAGCAGGAGCATCTGTCCACTATCGCTGAGGATCAGACAACACAACCAGAGATGTCAACACCTGTAATTAGCGAAGATGTAGAGGACTCTATCGATTCACTGGACATCACGGGCATCGACATGTCCAAGTTTGAGCAAATGGAAGAGAGTGGCGATGAACTAGTGCTGCGACCAGTTAGATCTGATCATCGCGACGAGCAAGAGGATGAGGAACAAGTACAACTTGTTGAACAAGTGCAGCCCGTAGAAGAGGACACACCAGTTGATGGATCCGAGCAGACGGTCTCGTCTGTTGATACTCCAATCATACTCCAAACACCCGTTGCCCATGAACCCGAACCCAGTGAGCCGACACTGGAACCTGTTGTCCCCATCTCAGTCCCCATCCCTGCCCCCATCCAACCAATCACACCAACAGTCATTCCTCCAGTCAACTCTGTAGAGGTAACAAAAGATGTGCCTGTGAGTGTAGTGCCTACTCCTGTTGCCACCGTGACCGTGGAGGCGATAAAGGGAAATGATACACAGACGTCACCAACTGAGCCCAAGGTCGTGGCTTCATCCCCACATCGCAATACTATTGATAGCAGTCGTAATCCAAGTCCAAAGAAGATCATTGAGTTGATGCAAAGCAGCAACAACAAGACATCACCAGTTGTTGTAGAGACTCCATCCAAACTTAACAGAAGTACCTCATCCAGTCAATTGATGTATGGCCACCATCAAGCACCAAAGCAACAGACAATGGTCTATCACAATGTCAAGAACTTCTCAGTCCCAATCCAGACATCCACATCCACATCCGAGACCAACCTCATGTCAACATCATCGTCATCACAACGACCAAAGTTGAGCCTTTCCTCGCGATCCACCACCTCTCCATCATTGCCACAATTCAAACCATCATCAAGCAGCAGCAGCAACAGCAACAGTGTTACCAACATCAGTCCACACAAGCAGGGCAGCTCCTCATCCTTCATCTCTAAGACATCTACGCCCCTATCACCTCCATCCTCAACATCATCGACGTCCTCATCATCATCATCATCGTTCAAGTCAAAGATCACATTCTCAGGACTGCAAGCATCGATGAAGAAGACACGACTGTCAGCACCAGGCAGCAGTGAAAGAGTTGGCTCGATGCCCAGCTCCACCTATCAATCACTTATCAACAACATTGTCCACAGTGAGCAACACTCCAACATTGTCACATCCAACCATGAATCTGTAAAGAACCTCAAGTCCATCTGGGAGAACCGCAAGGAATGATTGATCACTGCCATCCATCCATTCATCAATCCAACAATCCAACAATCCAGCCATCAATCCACTCAATCATTCAATCATTTTTTTTTATTTCTCTTGCTGTGCTCCAACTGCACTGTCTCCACTGCACTGATGGATCAATGTCCTTAATCAATTACAATGATAATAATAATATTTATTTATTTAACATTACAATGACAACTGGTCCAATGGATTGATTGACGAACTTCGAGATGACGACCGTTGTCAACCAACAAGACGTGCTCTCACTCGACCCCCCAATCAATCAATTATTTAATTTTTTATTGTATTTGTGTGGAGAAATGAAGAATGAGAGAGAGACTGGACTACATTGTTGTTTCATTTTAACTTGAACCCCAAACACACTCACATCACACACACAAACAAACAAACAACTAAGTGTAAGTAATACTAACATAATAATAATTAATAATGAATGACATCCAACTAAATTATAATGTACTTACCAATTAATATTATTTAATATTCAATCCAGTTTAGTTTATCTCCAGTTTTACTACTTCAAACAAAACAAACAAAACACACCTAGAAGGTTAAGACACTAAAGCAACACCGTTGTTTATTTAAATCGATTCGCGTATGACCTCAATTCAGAACCTCTCTTCACTTGATCCCTTCGCTGAAGATTCAGGTTTAGGTGGAGATTCGACCAGTGTTCAATACTGTCATATCAGACTATTTCAAAGAAGTGGACGTAAATCGTTGACCACCATTGAGAACATCCCCAAGGAGGTTGATCTCAAGAGGGTACTCAAGCATTTCAAAAAGGTACATTCATATATACATTCCTCGACGAAACGAGTTCGTAACTAACAAACGAAACATCATTCAATCATTCATTCAATAACTTATAGGTTTTTGCCTGTAATGGTAATATTATCGTAGACGAGCAAGTCGGTGAAGTTATTCAATTGCAAGGAGATCACAGAAAGGAGGTCGCTCAATTCCTCATCGAAGAGAAGATCGTCACCAAGAACTTCATCAAGATCCATGGTTTCTAAAGTCAACATACCAATTCGGTGACCCTAAAACAACCATTTGTATACATCATTCAAATAATAATCATCATCCCCTCCAGCGCCTAAATCAAACCAACATACATACATTCATCAACTTTATTCAATCACACAATCATTCAATCAAACGTCAAGCAAAGTCAATGCAACCTACCTTTAAAAGTGATATGGTAATACACTCTTCATTAGCCGATTGCGTACCATCAGCAATAAAATGTCATTACTATAGTTGTCATGAGACTATCTACATCCTACCATGTGTTTGTCTCTCTTTATGCTAAAGAGACGACAAGATGCATTCGTCGTTTGAATGAAGATGAACGTTACTTGTTCAAAACACACACTCCCGCTTGTTTCATGAAAAAATGTGTGTGTGTGGTCAACTCGTGTGAAGCTGAGGGCTGAGTTCATGTCGTTGATCATCAGCATGACTTGAGCTGAGGTGTTGTTTGTGCACAAACACAAAGTGAGTCATGATTAGCTTGCTACTGTAGAACAAGTAGTAGTAGTTGTAGTAGTTGTTGTAATAGTTGTTGTTGTTGTAGAAGTAGTCAAATCATTCATTCAAACAACTCTATCACTCACTCACTCACTCACAACACACTATCAATCAATCAATCAATCAATCAATCAATCAACTCGATCAACTCAATCACTCGATCACACTTCATATGGAGCAGAGTGATGATAAGAAACGTCGTGAACCACCGGGTGGTTCTGACGAACCAGCCTCAGGTGGAGGTGGTGGTCGACCAACAAAACGATTGTTAACAGCATCAGACAGTAACGCCACGCAACCGAGCAGTGGCGGTAGCACCACACCCTTGGTACTCTCTACAGCCAGTTCATCAAGTCTCACAGGCAATGAGTCAAGGGTATGATATTTTCATCATTCATTCAATCATACTCATGATGATGATGATGGTCTAACCCAATCAATCAATCATATTACATCTTTAGGATCAGAACCTGTTATTGTTTCAGAACAGAGCTATGATGATACGATTGGAGGAGCAAAGGAATGAGGTCAAGGATAAGGAGTACAGGATCAAACAACTATCACACAAACTACAAGGTTTCGAAGACACGTTGCATAGCGTCTGTCGTGTTTGGGACCAGTTAAACAGCGGACTGAACCTGATATCCGGCCGACTGGATCTCGAACCGTCCTTTGATTGTCTATTACCGAAATATATAACAGGTATGTCAGTCTTTGGTTTGGTTGACTTGTTCCAATTTCTGACACTCATCGATCATTCAATCAATCAATCAAACAGATACTGAAGATAGCAGTGACAAGGGATGCAATCATCCTTTCATTCAATCATACAACTTCCTCACCACCTTTATATCCGAGCCACAAGTACTTGATGAGAACTACACCATTGAACATCTGCACCAGAACAGGGTCAAGAAGACACAATCAGTGTTCTCACGCATCGCCAACAGTGTAGAGAAGGAGCATCTTGCACTGTTTTCCCTATTTCGCTTGTTAAAGTCATCCAAAGGTATGATTGATCGATCACTCAATCAATCAATCACTCAATCAATCACTCACTCACTCCACCCAACTCTCTCAGACATACAATCAGCCGATATTGAACGAGAGTTGATCGATGAGAATGATAGACTATCACAACAGAACCAGATATTGCATTGCTCACGTGATAGAGTACTGCAACAGATCAAACAGTTGAGCGATCAGACATCTTATTACGCCGACCAAGCTAGCTCTTATGATCTCGAGATAAAGGACCTGCGCCAAGAACTGGATCGCACCGCTGATGAGTTGAGCTATGACCGCGAACGCCTGGCTAAACTACAGAGCATGGCAGTATCCAATTCTCTCAAGTTGTCGTCGCCCACATTGACGTCGTCGACGGCCAACGGACAGCAACAACAACCGAGCGCCGGCAACGTTGTGAGGAACAGCGAGCTCAGTCTTCAGATTCAGGCGAGTGAGGAGTACCAGGAGCTGCAACGACAGGTGGAGGCCCGTTTCAATGAGGGACGCAAGCTGCGCGAGGAGAAGGCTGCCCTGATGAACGAGCTGCAGCAGATCCAGATGGAGTTCAGGAACATCTCTGACGAGCGTGTTCTCAACTCAATGCCCTATCAGATATTGCGAGCGCGACTGCAAGTCATGCTGGAGGACCTAGAGTTCAAGAACGGCCTGTTTGCCAAGACGCAGCACGAGATACAGCAGCTGACCATCGCCAGGAAGGTGGACCGCGAGCAGATCGAAACGTTTGAGCAGATGAGACGCCAGGGTCTGGAGCGCAGGGTTGTGCAGCTGGAGAGCGAGGCCACCAACCTCAAGCTGGAGAAGGAGCGACTGATAAACATCATTGACCAACGATCGTCCACGGCACCGGGCCAGGAGTACTTGACCGAGTCGAGGACACTGCTGGACAACAAGGACACAGAGATCCAGCGATTGAAGGACATGGTGGCGAACCTTAAGCAGGAGATCGACACGTTTGGCGAGGCCAAGACTGAGGTGCTGCACGCTGAGCAGGACGTCCAGAAGGAGATTGAGACCAAGAACCATGAAATCAAGGAGTTGTTTGACAGGCTGCGCGAGTTCACGCGATCCAACGACGAGCTGAAGCAATCAGAGAGGCGACTGGCTGAGAAGGAGAAGGAGCTGAGCCTGTCCGTGGAGCTGCTAAAGTCCAGCTCCTCGGAGCAGGCCGATGTGATTGACCTGTTGATCTTGGAGAGGAAGCTGAGCGCTGAACTGGACGAGCTGAAACAGCAGTTTTCTCAGAGTGAGCAGCTGCAGCAACAGCATCAGACAGAGGTTGGCCAGACCACGGACAAGTACGACGGCATGATCAAGGAGTTGGAGCAGTCGATCGAGCAGAACAAGGCACTGCAGATCAGTCAGAAGCAGGAGATTGAGGCGTTGGCATCAGAGATCGACTCGATGGCCACCGAGTACCAGCAGCAACAAGAACAAAACACCCGACTGATCAAGCAGATCTCGGACAAGGAAGACACGCACGCGCATCTCATGGTCGAGAACATCAAGTCGCAACAGACCATTCGTCTGTCCAAAGAGACGCAGTCCATGCTCGAGGACAAGATACAGCGAGGCGAGGACAGGTTCAAGTTCCAGACCGAGGTGATGGCCAAGATCGAAGAGAAGAGTCAGATGCTGCACAAGCAGCTGCAAAAGGTCAACGACGATCTGGTGTCTTGTAACTTTGAGCTGGAGAAGCAGAACAGGAAGGCAAGAGAGTCAACAGAGTACGCAACCGAGCTTAGGACACAATGGGACAAGCTTGGAGTCATGAACGCAGAGTTGAAGAAAAAGGCAGACGATTCCATCTTTGCCCTTGAGCGAGAGGTCGACAAGTCGAGAAGATTGGACGTAAGTAGCTCCCCGTCTCCTTGTCAAGGATGTGGAACCATCATGACTAGTCAACTAACAATCAATCAATCAACATAGGAGGAGAAACATTTACTCAAGAAGAAATTAGACAAGCTGAACTTGAATGTTCAGGCGCCATCCTCTACCGCCGAAGAGGAACTTAGATTGATCAATGTATGTATATAGTTTGGGTGGTAATGGATAGATGATGGTGCATAGGACTGACAAACTCTACACAATAACAGCAACGACTGCGATGTAGTATTTGTAACGATCGCCAGAAGAACTACGTCATTGCCAAGTGTTTCCACGTGTTTTGTAAGGAGTGTATATATTCGAATATTGATACGCGGAAGCGTAGATGTCCAAGCTGCAAGAAGCCATTCTCAGAGAGCGATGTCCACCAGATATACATCACCTAATAAATTAAAGTAATACCCATCGGCTACTGGTCCTTGGTGGGCGACAACACCTACGTGCGTGTTTAACAAAGATTCCAAGCATCCATTCACTTTGGTAATGTACCTAAGTAATTTATTGTTTAATGATAATTACAACAACAAGCAATTGCACATATTTATTATCTTGACATATCCTTTTCTGTAGGCAATATGACGCACTGAAAGGATGGTAGTCTTGAGTCTACGTGTGCTCGATGCTCTTTGGAATGGAGACGGGGATGATGGTGTTGACTCAAAGAGATAGCTGATCAATTGGTGATTATTGTTTGTGGCGAGATGAAGAATTTTGTCCATTGAAGGTAGATATCTTTGGAGTTGTTCCAAAGTTGTACAACGTTGGTGCACCAGTCGAATGATTCCAATATTGCCTTCATGATAAGCTTTTCCAATTACAGCGAATAATTCAGTATCCTTTCGCATGCTGCCCAACTTGAAGTAACCATTGTCAATGATGTATGATAGGATTGATATGTCTGATATCGTTGTTGGGAATAGGTCTTGAGGACGATGTATAGTGATGGCCAGTTTTACAAAATAATCAAGAGATTCCAAGTCGATTCTCTTGATACATTCTCCGATTATTTGTTTGTAATCGATCTTAGAGACCAGTGATGATGTTGTTGGTGAGGTTTTAAAAGTATTGAACAGTTTGATCATGGAAATTGACTTTGAGGATGTGTTCAACAAGAACTTTGTGATGTCTGGGAATGATTCTCTACTTCTCTTGAATCGGATAAACTCGATTAGCACATACTTGATGGTGCCACCGGGCTCGCAAAATTTGGTGATGAGTCCACATAGTCCGTTCGTGCTGAACAAGTCTTCCATCCAGGTCGGATTGAACTTGCCAATTATCTTCCTGGCCGTGTCAAAGTCGGATAAGAACAGAGCAGTATCAAGTGCACCTTGGCAATCGATATTGAACCTAGAGTTGAAAAGAATCATGTCTATGACCTCTATGTTTCTTGCGTTTATAGCATCGCTGAGTACATCTTTAAAGGTGCACTTGATGTTTGGGTGTGCCATCAATCTCTCCAACAACTCCATGTTCAATATCGTATCACGTACACGATTGATCTCAAGTGTATTTGTGATTGGTCTGTCTTTAGAGTAGTCCATGATGTAGTTGACTATATCCAAATGACCTGTATTTAGTGCACAGTCAAGTCCTGCAAGGGGACTCAAATCAGAATCCAAGGCTGACGAGAGGATGTCATGGATCTTGATAAACATTGCAAGTTTGCCACAACAGGCTGCCATATATAATTTTTGTATTGTGATACTCTCAAGTGGAATGTGACCAATGATGTAATCAAAGTGTTGCGTATCTCCTGCCATCAGAACCTTATCAATTAGGTTGCTAATATCCAAATGATTACCACTTATTAGTTGATCCAGACATGTATCGACCATGTACCTTATAAGTGATGTGTTTTTGGAATTGACTGCTGAACTAAAAATTTCTCCTTGGCATCCTCTAGTCAACAAATTGTTATTGTACAATAGTTGAAACATCTCCAATGCCCATGGGTTTGTGATCCAACCACTTATCATTGAGTTATCACAAGTCTTTAGCTCATTGGTTGGACTTATTAGACCAAGTTGAATGAGCTTTCGCATGAATGATGGGTGTCTGACCATTCTTAAACTGTCATTGGAGACAAAGAGTGATCTGTTGACAATACTACTGTTGCAACTGATCGTTAGATACTGGTCCAACATGTACTCCCATAATGGATTGGTGCAATGTGACAGTTTGTCAAATAGGTCACCTAGGTATCCAACTCGATTGTCATCGCCGTTGATTGGAATGCTCATGTTGGGGTTGTCCAGTAGGATGGCCAATGCTCGCTTGTCACAGTTGGCCAGTGCTTGAAGAAGTAGAATTTCATTGAATGGATATGAGCTGGCAAGAGGCATATATGATTGAATGAACCATTCAGTTGCACCATAATTGATATATTGAAACAAGCTATCATTATTTCGCAACTGTCTACCCTTCATAACCTTGCCAACCATCTTTCTCTTATGAATGAAGTTTACCATTCCAAGGATGTGGCCACATAATGTCTTATCCATGAATACCTCGTGGATCAATGTCTCCATATATGGCGATGCCATCTTGATGGTTGAATTATGTGTTGGATCGTGTGATGGTCTTTGGAGAAAGTATGAGTGACTGATATACTGATTAATTGATTGTAATTTTACTTACCTTGGGCGGGTGATCTGTTGCTGGATTGTTTGTAGCTTGGCTAGACATAGGTTGATCACGTGTATGTATGAACTCTTATATAGTACATGTTGGATGATTCTTGATTGTTGTAATGTGGACATGTTGTTGAATGTCTCTGAGTTGAAATAATACTCTAATGAGTGATAGTTATTCCTATTGGATGCCATGATCAACGTTTGGAGATTGATTGGTAGTTGTGGTGGCATTGAGTGATTATGATGATGATGATGAGATTGACGTGACATCACCTCTACAATCTTGTCATTGATGAATGCCTCGACGATCACGGCGTGTTTTTGAGTGGTATCCAATTTGAACAGTCCTAGGATGTATTCAATCACATTGATTGACTTGTTGGACATTGCCATCAAACATATGTCCGGGTCATTCCTGATGTAATCGAAATGATTGAGCACCATCTTGATGGGATCCAGTGATGTTGCATTGGTAATAAGGTCCTTGACGGCTTTCTTGATTGGGTTGACGTGGTCCTCCTGGAACTTGAACTCTCCAAACAATATTGACATTGTCTCCATACAACCATATCTAATAGCGTAACAAACAGATTGTATGTTATAGGATATGCCAAATTGCTGATGTATCCTTTGCATTACAGTTGCCGGCACACCTGCTGAAATGTATGCAAATCCCATATACTCTTGTGAACTGTAGCAATCCATGAATTTGCAAGCTATTTCAGGAGTGATGAAACTTCCTGGTTTGCCAATTGCGCCCACTATATCTCTGATTGGATGTCCTTTTAACGGTTGACGTTGGACGCGTGGACTGACTAGCAACTCAATCATTGGCAATGACATACTCTTGAAATCGATATCCTCCAAATCATTGATCTGATCAAATAATAACTCGACCATAGTTAGATCATTGTTGAGTATTGCTGCACGTAGTAAAATGGTGCCAGTGCCAAGGCCAGGGCCAAAGCCTATCTTGTCCAACTCCCTCTGCATGTAGTTCTCGAGGCTTTGGTCTAGGATGCCTTTCCCAAAATGATTGGTGATATAGTAGTTGACGAATGAGAGTGGACCTTTCTTGGCGGCCGCTATGACTGCTAGTGCGAAAGATTGTGAATATATATAATGGGTCTTGGTGTTGGGAAATGCTTGGCATAGCAGTTCAAACATTGGCACGTTGCTTTTCGAGCAACATTGACGCATCGATTGTCCGAATGAGGGAGGTAGATCATATGAGCTTAAATTGGAGAGTGAGGGCCAATTGTTGAGCAAATACTTGACACTTTCAAACTGGTTGCAGCTAACTGCGTGTAGCAGGATCGATTCGCACAATGGCTTGATGGGGAACAGCATGTCGAACTCCTTGTGTAGGACACGGAGCATGTCTACACTGATGCCATGCCGTCCTTTGAATGACATTGATAGTTGGGGGTCGGTGTAGTTGGAAGGGTCCAGTACGATGTTATTGAGTAGCAATCTAACAAACTGTAGATTGTCCGTTTCAATGGCGAATGGAAGGAGCTTCAGTGTAGTTGGGGACAGAGGTCCGGCAATGTCAAAGTATCTAAGGAGTAGGTCTACATTGGCATGCTCTATGATGGGCTCCAATAACTTGTCCATGGGATTCCAATATCCAACGATCATATTGTTATCGTTTGTTAATAATAAATGATATATTGCCTCTTTGTTATTGTACTTGGCAGCACATGTCAACAATGTATCGTTGATCGGATGTTTATGTATGTGTGAGGATGAGGCCAACGACTTTGCCAATGCCATTGACACTTGATCATATGACTTGATGAACCATTGAGTTGCATTGTACTTTAACATCTCTTCGAGATCACCATTATAAAGTAGTTGTTTACCCTTTATAGTTGATTTGATGTTGTTTGTGTTGGATCTAATCCATCTTTGGTGTAATGCTTCGATATGATTAACGATCAATCTGCATATTACTTGATTATGGAAGACCAAGTTAAATGGGTTACCATTTGTGTTTGTATTCTTGTAGTTGTTGTTGTTATTATTGCACATTGTATGTTGGATGATTGAAAGAAAGTAGTTTAGTCTGATTGATCAATGGTTGGGGGGGGGACAGTTATTGATCAAAGTGGTGGGAACATTGGATGGAGGAGGGGGGGGCATCGACATTAAGATCTTGTGTAACTAAGGAGTTGGAAAGTGCCCACAGAGACTCTCTCTCACCTTCATTCAACTCTGCCACCTCAAGTCTAACAAATATATATATAAATCAACAAATCAACATTCAAACAAACAAAGATCGAGAGAGATATAGAAAGGAAGAAACAAAATGAACAACACATTGAGTGACCCTATTGATGCAGATGGTAATAGACTGTACTTCTGTAGACATGAGGTTTGCTCAAGGAATGGCAATCCAAATAATAATGTGTTGATGCCAGCGGTGGGCTTTTCAAATAGTAGGAATAGACGTGATCATGAGAAGGACGCAATTCATCATCTATGCAGTACAGAGTGCACCCAGAGCAATGTATGCAAGAGGGGCAATGTCGCGCCAGACCAACGAATATTCCGATGTTACCACAGTGGTTGCGATCGCTGGTTCCCAACAAAGCGTTCACTAAATGTACACCTGGAAAAGATTGGCAAGAAAGACCATCCACGTTGTAATGAGCCAGACAACCGATGGCAATGTCAATATCCACCATGCAAAGCATACATATTGCAAACACATGATTCAAGTATGTAGTAGTAGTTGTAGTTACTAGTTGGAAGTTGTTATTTCATTGAATAACTAACTAACTCATTCATCATTCATTCATCCATTCATTAAATTATGAACAGAGATTGAAGTATTGATAAATAATGAATGGTCGTCAGAGGAGGAACAGGAGGAGGTAGATGAGAATCAAACAGTCAAACATACAACAAAGCCACTTATATTACTGGGGAAGAGACAAAGAGATGAAGAAGAAGAAGAAAGGACTCAACAACAATATTATAGCGATGACTAATGTACATTACAATGGAAAGAAGGAGAAGAATAATACAGACTTCGAAGTCGCTCTATTTATTGGACTCACTCATTATGGTTGTCTAGTGTCTGTCTTCATAATGGTGGAGACGATTGAGTGTCACGATATGTTCCAATCAACATCTTCCTATTGCTTGCTTGGTTTGTGGCCATTCCAGTGGTGTTGCTCGACGTTGTTGTGGCTGGTGCCGGTGCTGTCGTTGTAGTATTATCCACAACATTGCCATTGTTGTTGTTGTTGTTATCGCCAGTTGTTATATCCTCCTTATGATTTGGATATATATTGTTGCTGTTGTTGTTGTGGTTGACGTTGTTGTTGCTGTTGCGGTGGAGGTGGAGTGATGTTAAGTGGAGGCAACATATCAAAGCCCTTTGGAGGCTGATGAAGATGCTGTTGTTGTTGTTGTTGATATGATTGTTGATGTTGGTTGTGTAGATAGTGTTGAGGTATAAAGGGAGGTGTGTTTGGTGACAGTGGCGTGGAGGATAGTTGTGGGAAGTTGTTGTTGCTGTTGGACGAGTTGGAGGAGATTGGCTTGTTGGGCGATACATGTTGTGTGTGAGCTCTGGATGTTGGCGGTGATGTCCTTGAGAATGAGTCATTCCTCGATCTGTTCTTTGATGTTGACGACGAAGATGACGTGGACTTGTATGATGCTCCGCCGCCACCATTGTAAGACGATGTTGGCGGTGATTGGTTCATGTGGCCAGACAATGTAAAGGGATGCTGCTGAGGAGATTGATACTTGGGTCCATATCCATAGCTACCTCCAGGGGCACCACCAGAACTATTCTGGAGGTATGAGTCGCCGCTGGAGAATCCATGTCGGGGCGGTGAGTTCTTGATCGTGTAGTTGCCATGGAAGCCACCCGAGGGTGGCGATTGGAACATGTTCTGTCGGTGATCGTACGGACTGAACGAGATCATGTCGTCGTAGTGTGACTGAGCGTCGCCTGTAATTGAGAAAGCTGGAGGGATGCCCCATGGCATCGACGAAGCGTGCTGCTGCTGTTGCTGCTGCGAGTGCCATCCGCCTTGCTGGTCGCCAAGCTGTATCGAGCCAAAGCCCGAGTTCATGTCGTCGATCTTCCAACCGTGAGGGTTGGGCGCCATCCTGGACTGGATAGGGCTGTGTGTGAGCGGGTTGGACGAAGACGACGACGACTGCTGGGGAGTGAGCTGGGGTGTCTGTTGCTGCGATGGTAAAAGCTGTTCGATCGGGAACAGCATCTCGTTCTCTGATGAGGAAAGGTTCCAGTTGTTGTTCATCGATGACGAATCAGCTGCGTTAGGGCTGACAGTATCGATCATAAGATGAGGTATGTTGAACTGAGGAGAGTGTGGCATGAGTGGTGAGTTGGGTATTGGTGGTGAGTTCTGCTGCATGTACTGCTGCTGCTGCTGCTGCTGATGTTGTTGTTGATGTTGTTGCATCTGTTGTTGTTGGTGTTGATGTCTGAGCTTGGATTGATGCGTTTGGTTCTGGAACTGCTCGCCATAACTATGTGATCGGAAACGATTGGAGCCCAGATGATCAAGGTGCATTCGAGGTGGCAAGTATTGGTAGCCGTAGGACATTGAGTTGTCAACGGGCGGCGCCAGTCCTGACTGTGATCGCTTCCTCTGTGGTGAGTTCATCGGATACATTGGAGGCTTATCATCATATTGATCATCAGGGTTGTTGCTGTTGTTGTTGTTCGAGTTATTGTTGGGGATAATGTTGGGATTGTTGTTGGGGTTGTTGGCGTTGGCCTTGTCTGCAGAGTTTGGCGCATCACTCTTTGATCGACCCCTCCTTGATGATTGCTGCTGTTGTTGTTGCTGTTGCTGTTGGTACATGCCCTGGTCTGATCCCCAGGAACCAAAGTACGGCGACATTGAGCTGCTGTTGTATAGTGGACTGTAGGGTACGGGTGGGAACATGTTGGACGGAACGCCAAACAGTGAGGGGCTCTGGCCCAGTGCTAGATGCGCCGACTGTGAAGATGAGTATGGCGCACTGAACATGCCACGTGGCGAGTATGATTCGGGATATCCGTTGAACTGGTCGGTCTGAATTGGATGCTTGAATGAGAGACCTGGCATGCCGCGTGACTTGTTGAAACTGCCGCTTCCACCATTGTAGGCATAGTGATTGTGATTGTGATTCGATATTGGCTTGGGTGCTGTTGACATGTACTGCTGCTGTTGTTGCTGTTGCTGTTGTTGTTGTACTTGTTGTTGCTGTTGCTGTAATAGTGGTCTCTTTGATGGATCGGGTATGAATGGACCGAGGAATTGTGAGCCAGTGATGAATGGATGATCCTTGGCTTGCATTGGAGACCATCTCTCGTTCGGATCCATCTTAAGCAGGCCAGATATAAAGTCAGTGAACACTATCCTATTATGCTTCTCTGTCTCTAGCTCCTCAGGTGTCAGATTCTTCTTGAATGAATAGTTCTGAATGATCTCTGGTAGTGTCTTATAGTTGAAGTATTTCTTTGATGGTTGTAATGTCTTGTTCGTGTCCTGTGGATGGTGGGGATTTGTCAGTCAGTCGCGTCCACACACTCGCTAGCTCACTCAATCAATCAATCAATCACATGACATACCCTTGAGTACTCCTCGTCGGTCTTGAGAGTGTAACAGTATTTGCCATTATCGAATGTTCGCCTAAAGTACTCTTGTGTGTTCTTGCCTTTGTCCAGCAGGTCGTTGGGGAACATGCCACGCATGTCAATGATTCGCGACACTTGGTTATACTCTGATGTGCCTGGAAACAGTGGCAGGCCGAGGAACAGCTCGGCAGAGATGCACCCCAGCGACCACATGTCTATCGAGCCAGTATAACCAACGCCCAGCAACACCTCTGGCGATCGATAGTGGCGAGACTGAATGTAAGGATACACCGTCTGGCTCTCATAACACGCTGATCCAAAGTCGATAAGCTTGATGTTTGGGTTGTTGACGCTGTAGGGATGGGGAGGGGAGGGGAGGGGAGTCAGTCACGTGATCGACCAGTGGCAACGACAATGGTGAACGTACCTCTGTAACAATATGTTCTCTGGCTTTAGGTCGCAGTGGATCATGTTGGCTTTGGATAGGACGATCAGTGAGTCTAGGATCTGAATGAGGAACACCTGTATGAGTTTGATCGATAGGCCTTTGTATGAGTTCTGTTTGATCAACTCAAACAAGTTGATGCTCAGCAACTCCATGACGATACACAGATGATTCTTAAACATGAATGAATCCTGTAGGCGTAGTATGTTTGACTTGTTCTCAGGGTCGTATTGTACGTTCAGCTGAACGTAATGTTTGATTGATTGAGTGATTGAGTGTTAGCCAAACTGATTGATTGAATGAGATCATTCAAGATATGGTCTTACCTTCCTCAGCATCTCAATCTCAAGCTTGCCCTGTTGATAGTATGCTGCCTTGTTCTTTAATATCTTAACTGCAACAAGTTCATTGGTGTCTAGGTTCTGACACTTGACAACCTGACCAAATGTGCCCTGTCCAAGTGAATCGATCACCTTGTATCTGATTAATTGATTGATTGATTGATTGATTGATTGATTGATTGATTGATTGATTGATTGATTGAGATGGAGTTAGTCCATATGCCTGTGATTGATGATGTCCAGTCATCATCACATACCTCTGGTTATACTCTGATCCAATGATGTCATTGACGTAGATGATAAAGTCCGAGTTCTCATTGTCGAATCCGTCGTTGAGGACACCTTTGGAGGGCTGTGTCAACACTCTTCTAGGGTTGAGGGTGGATGTGTACGAGAAGTCGGGATTGCTCTGTCTGTATAGTTGTAGCAGGTAGCTAGTTGACATGATGATGGGCTACACAATACAACACAACACAATACAATATTGTTAGCGCGCGATGGTTGGTTTGGACGAATGAGCAAGAGAGTAGCAACTACTTACACCTCGATGATTGGTCAATGGCTTCTTGCCATCGGACGATGTCTTTTGCTGCTGCTGCTCCTGCTTGGGTAGTGATACATGATAGCTGAATGCATAGTCGTGGAGGATGGTGATGCCCTTGCCACCTCCGATGCTTAAGTTTCTCGAATGTGATCGATAGTGGAGCTTTGATTGTCCTGTATTTTGTTGTTGTATTTGTTGTTGTTGTTGCTGTTGTTGTTGTTGAAGGGGAGGAGTCGACGTTGACAATGAACCGGCAGTTGCCGTTTGTGCGGACATAGCGTAGGTGAGTGATTGATCAAGCACTCACTCACTCAAGGTGATATATTGCCCCTGTCGGTAGTAGTAGATAGATTGATGGTAATAGGATGGATGGTTGGAGTTCTACCTTGAGTGCTGTGCTGTGTCGTCGTCGTTCATTCAAATAGGTGTCCGTCGTGTCGTGTCGTGTCGCGTGATGTAATACTATGTGTATATCTGTGTATTCTAAGAAGATGATGATGGTTCTCACCTATATATATATATAATAATGTAGTAGTAACAAAGATAAATAAATATATATGTATTCGTTCGCTTCTTTTTAAATTGATGATGATAATAATGATTTTAATTTATGTTGTTGTTGTTGTTGATGTTATTACTAAGGGATGCAAAGCAGGGGGACAGAGAGACACTCAACTCTACTCTTCTCAGTGTAATTAAAAAAAATCAACTTGATAGTTTGGTTGTGTGTGTGTGGTTGTGGTGGGATTGATACAGTGTGTTCAAGTCCGACTTTGATTCAATTCAAATTAGTTGAATGATTCTAGATTGATTGATTGATTGATTGTTTGATTGGTTATGGGGTAGAGAGAGAGAGAGAGAGAGAGAGAACAGGTCTTTATAAATCAAGATATGATATATCATATCTATATCAATGTTGGAATAGATACCTTAATAATGAGATGAGATCTGATATAAGTTGTATTGTAGATGTGTTGATAATCAAATTATTATTTTAAAGTCAACTGACATCATATCCATCATTCATCAACCTATCATACCTCAATCCATGATAATGTACTTGTCCAACCCTGCCAGACATTGCATCCTCATGGACCTAGTTTGACCAATCAATCATTGAACTACAAAGTGTCTTTCAAATCGACACAACACCACGCACCACTTATCAATCGATCAATCGTGAATTGCCACCTGAACAACCAACAAGTACAACAGGTACAACAGGTACAACAGGTACAGGTACATCCAAACAAATGAGTACATCTTCACCTTCTTCCACTGGTAGTGGAGGCGGAGGAGGTGGCAGTGGCAGTGGAGGAAAGTCACACCATCAAGGAGGTGGAAGAAATAGAGATAATAGAGACAGAGATAGAGATAGAGACAGAGACAACAAAGATAGAGATAGAGATAGGGATAGGGATAGAGATAGAGATAGAGGTGGCAGGGATAGAACAAGAGACAGAGACAGAGATAGAGATAGAGATAGAGACAGGGATAGAGATGTATGTTATGTTAAGAGCTGGTATGCAAAGGCCGACTGAATGATAATCTATTGACACATGCGCATACACATACATAGCATGACAATGACATAGCTACCAAGTCGATACTTACAAAGAATAGAACATCAATACCGACCGGCTCAGTAGTGGGAACAGGTTCACCAAAGAGGTTGACTGTGGATTCACTGTCCAATGACAACAACAACAACAATGCTCAGCTTTCACCTTCGATGCTACTTCAAAAGACACAGTCTACATCTCAACAGGATAATAGTAGTAGTGGCGCAGTAACAACAACACAACATCATCAACATCAAAACCAACATCAACAACAACAACTTGCAGAAGACAGACTATCACTGAGTAGTGGGCCTCCCACTCACGTCATCTACTCCTCAATCAGTATCCTTTCATCAAAGTTCAAGTTAAGCACTGATAGTGCACTTAAAGTAAGTCTGGTGGTCCACCATGGATGTATCCTTTGACTGATTGACCGACTGTCTGACTGATCGATCGTTACCACATCTCTTAGTTGTTGACAAAAGACGATAGCTTCATGGTGATTGGTGTGTTGGGCGGACAGTCCAGTGGCAAGTCCACCATCCTATCATCATTGATCACTCAACAACCGAATCAATATCCATTCGAAGTGCAGACTGAGGCCAACTTCTGTCTTGGTAGTCACCAGACCAGGGGTATCGACTTCTACATCACCCCCGAGCGATTCATCTATCTTGACACACAAGTAAGAGACAGTCCACATATGATGGTCATTCATTCATTCACTTACGCTTCATCCTCTTCCTCATCCAGCCACTACAAAGTATATCGATCGTCTGTGAGATGATTGAGAAGACACCAAATAACTTTGTATCGCATGAGCATCATCACCATGTACAGTGTCTAAAGTTGATAGTATTCATGCTGAGCGTATGCAACGTTGTCTTGGTAGTCCAGGAGAGCAAGGCCATTGACGTTCCTCTCTGTAATCTAATCCGTACTGCTCTCATGCTAAAGGTATATATTTTATTGTCCACATCATATCACTCAATCACCCAATCAATCAATCACTTTATTAACCATTGGTGATCACAATCCAAATGAGTAGAATAGAGTACCAGACGTTACCAATCCAGTATCCACCAATGACATTGAATCACATGAATATTTATCCAAGCTTGTCTTTGTATTTAATAAGCTGTCAGAGTTTGACTTTGATATCAGCTCATTGGACAAGCCATTATCATTACTGATGGGAACCAAACTGAAAGAGTCACAGCAGTCGATCGATAGTAAGTGTCTCCTCGACTGGATGGATGGATGTGTGGAGTGGCGAGTGACTGTGGACTAACAATTATTCATTATGTAGCATTCGCTGTGCCAGATAGGTTCATTTATGGCAGTAACATTAGTGAGGCCAATGATTCCAGCCAACAACCTCAACAACAAGCAGCATCTGGTACGATCAATATCCAGCAGGGAAATTATAATGACTCGATAGAACAGTTGCGTAGACGATTGTTGTTGCTAAGGCCATCAACAAAGTTCACCAAGCAGATTGGTGAGCGTGAATGGCTGGAGAACTGCACCAGATTATGGGACTTTATTCAGGACTACGAGTATATTGAGAGTTACAGCAAACTACTTCAAACAAAGAAATACAGATAGTTCTAGGTTAATGGACCAATGTAAGAGTAAGGGTCCTTGGTGGGAGGCTTCTCTTTAAGATGAAGCTCTCTCACATTTATTGGATGATGGGGGAAGGAGGGTCCAACCTTGGTAGGTTGATATATTTGATGGAGTGGACGATGGGTACGGACACTGTTGAAGATTGATTATGTTGGAATGGATGGATGGTTTGATTGTTTGATAGTTTGATTGATGAATTGTACAATGATGCCTCCAAGCATGACAACTTGATTATGAAGTGACTTGACTTGTGATCACTTCTCACTAGTGCTCGCGAGCGAACTACCCAAGAGACTGACTATCTCTGGGATGGCTTTAGATGATCATCCACTCTGACTTGACCTGATCTGATCTGATCTGGATGGTCGGTAACTTGACTTTGAACTTTGATTGATATTTACATATTCGTGTCCACTCAACTGTAGACCTTGACAACGGGATATAATGTACATGGGTGGCTACGATATGGTACAGTACTTGGGTTACTAGTTTAGAGTGAGCCCGCCTCTACAACTTGAACCATTCTGAACCATGAGTACTCTCTTGTCCTCTCCTCAGTACTCTCTGGTAGAGGAGTGAGTTGGAATCCATCAGAACGATTCAATTTGTTTGGAGTGACCTCCATTCTCTGGCTCTCTTGTGTAGGTGAGCCACTTCCCACCGCCAACAACTGGTCAATTGATCTTCCTATTATATGTATAATGTTAATAAGTGATTTTGGTCTTGCATAATCTAATCATACATACTTAACAATGACATTGTCTCTGACTTTATGGTCGATCACACTTATAATAGAAAGTTATAAGTTATTTGGTTATAGATAAGAGTTAGATAGAGTCAACAAACAAGAGTTGTTTAGAATTAGAGATGGAGGGAAGAAAGAAAGAGATATGGAGAAAGTAGGACTAAATGAAATGGTTCTCAATCCATGGAGGGTTCTTATCAAGATCACATCCCACCATCCATCCACCCCTCTTGCTAGCACCATTCACTCACCAAAGACCACTCACTCTTGGATATACATAATGGGCACTGATGATGGATGAATGTGCTTCATGGAGAAGTGGGAGTCGTAGAGTGGGGTGTGAGTTGTCAGAAGTAATTGATCACATGATCCAGGGGTACTTGGTGTGTAAGTCAATTGTCATTGGCATTCTGTGTGTGTGTATGTGTGATGATGGAGGAAGCAATTTGTGTGTTTGATGATGTAGTAGTATCTCAAAGAGGTGTGTATGTAGCATGGATTATAATAAATCAATATCATTATCTAAATAATAATTGGATATGTTGAATATTGTGTGAGTATATTGGTGATGGAGAATGTGTCGATTGGATAATGTACACACTATCATGGATTATTATTGAATGATTGGTTGATTGACTAATCCTTGCAATTCATCCCACATATTCTACCACCATGCATTGGCATGCCCCTTATACAAGAGGTATACCGGTCTCCAAGGACACTCCTCTGATACAATAGCCCGGTCGTATAATATTCGATACGAATCGAAACCTTTTAAAGATTGAAGAGTTGAAGAGTGAGTGAGGGATGGCGTGGTTCCACATCCAACCGACGTCCTCCGGGTATTTATAATTAAATTAAACTGGGGGCATGTGTGTTCATCGACTCTGCATCGCCAAACTGATTGGTGGAGAAGGATGCCGGTTGGTTCGTGGGGAGAATGACATCTGACAGTTCCACTTTGATCAATCAATCATCCAAGTGTGACATTGTTTGTGTGAGTGTGGACATGTCCCCTGTTTAAGTTTGATCACCCAGTATTACTCTAAGGTGTAATCCGATGACCAATTGATTGATTGATTGATTTGATTGATTGGTTGGTTGGCAGTTGTAGAGGTAGTGGTAGTACAATGACACTTCTATGTTTGACGGACAATTGACAATGGGCTAAGGGCTCTTCATGCCAAGCTTCTCCTGAATACTATTGACTATTGATGAAGGTGATGATGATGGTGATTGTTGTAGGCCAAGTATGCTGGCAAGTTGAGTCTGCTCTTGGACACTATGTAGTAATAATAATCGGTTAACATAATGTCCAATCAATATCTACTATCGATCTATCAACTAATCAATCAATCAATACTTACTGAGATATACCATCGGTGAATATTATATCAAAGCATGGAATGAAGTTCTTGAGTTGATTGCTACTCTTTAAGGTTGAATGTGCTTCAAGTCGGTTGCGTTTGATCTTGGTCAACACCTTTGTGCCCAGCACCCTGTCCTGTTGATCCAACAAATATCTATCTCTTACAACTTCAATCTTTACCTCTGTGTATTTCCCGATTGTAGACGACGCTTGGTTGAGGTAAGGGGTGTCAGTTAGTACTGGCGGAAGTAGTAAATGACCATGAAGTACATACCATATGATTGTAAACCTTCCTCACTCTTATCAGTACTGATTGCATCAAGGTTGTTACCAAGTATATGATTGATATTCAAGTGTTGAGGTATGATTGATTGACCAGCAGCACCAGACGACTTGTTTGCAACTTTGATGTTGTGCCTAAGTTGATTGGTGATTACTAATGAACAGTTTGAATCCTTGACTAGTGAGTGAATGCATGCCAGTGAGTCTGTGAGCCATGAGTACACTGCCTGTCCATTGCCATCAAGTTGTTCGAATGGGATCAGACCAGCCAGACTGTCAATGACGATCATGTTAAAGAGTCGTTGTTTGAGTGACCGTGAGATCATCGTGACCACATCCTCAGCATACTTGGGCTGTGATACGAAGCAACGAGATAGGTCAACACCCAGCTTCATTGCCCATTTGGCATCGAATGAGTTCTCCGTGTCGATAAAGAGCACTGCGGCATTGGGTGATAGCCTTTGAGTGGCGGCCAAAAGATGTAGTGATAGACTTGTCTTGCCAGATGAGCTCTCGCCACATATCTCTGTCATGTGTCCAAGTGGAATGCCACCAATGCCAAGCTTAAAGTCCAAAGACACGATACCCGATGGTATCACACTGATCTTCTCCAATCCACTAAAGTCATACCATGACTTATTATAAGAGCTATAATCATTATTGTTTTGTTCATCATCCTCTTCATCATCCTCATCATCATCTTCATCAACAGTTTCCAAAGGTCTTCTTTTTCTATTGTTTGTTGTTGTTGTTGTGATGTGATTGCCAGCTCTTCGTTTGAAGTGTAGGTTGGTATTGGTTACAGTACCATATAATACAATTGATGATGGTGATGATCTGTGACACTCTATGCCAAACAATGATGATGATGTACAACGAGGATAACGTATCGTTGCAAGTTGCATCAGTGTCCTTGACACAAGTCTTTTGGTAACCATCAACATGTCTCTGTCTCTCTCTCTGTATCACGTCCTATGATGTTCCCAAACTCAAACAATGAGCAAATGTTATTGAAACATTGGACTGGTGTGTTTGACGCATTACAAAGTTGTCTTCTAAGAAAAGAGAACTTGTCATCTCATTGTTTATCTTTGATTGTTTGGAGGTGTTGTTTGATGAGAAGGACGACACCCTTCTCATCGCACAACGGGTAATTTCTCGCCAGTGGTGATAAATGTACGGATACTATTCGAAGTAAGAGATACGTCTAGGCATACATTGCGTATGATTGCGACATCTCTTTGAGACAAACCGAAGGTTTGTTTGAGGTATGTTTAGGTAACTGATTTGAAATAACCCATTCAATCATCATTATAAACTTCACTATCCTCTGATCTTATTGTGGGATTGGAGTACTCCCACAAAGTATCCTCCATTCAACAATATTCATCAGTACAGTTCCTACTTGTATCCATTTTATTTCCAAAAACGGATACCATCACTCACACTCAATCACTCACCAACCAATCAATCAAATATTAATATTAATAATAATAAATATTATTTAATTCTAATACTACAACTGGTAATATGTTGATCAATAGTATTGGATCTTATCGGTGATGGTAGTCCTACACAGTGGACATACCTTGAGTACATTGGAGCATGTGTCACACAGGCATCGATGCTTGCATGGCAGCAGCACGATGTTGATTGACCTGTCCACACACACCAGACACAACACCGTCTCCTCCTTCTCCTTTTGCAGCTTCAGCAGTTGCTTTTGAAGCAGCTGTTGCTTGGCCGAACCAACTTCTCTCAGACCTGTGTGATGGAACTCTTCCAACTTCTCAAGGTCCTCCATTGCCAATTCTTTCAGGTCTTCGCCCAGTATATGTCCAAGCTTGACGTGATACTTGTTGCCAAACTTCTTCTCCAACAGATCACTTGCATCATTCTCTGCCTTGGACTCTATCTGTATCTTATTAATCTGTTCCATCATCATCAGGTTCTCCTTCTTCAATGCTGCGATCTGTGATTCAAACAATGACTTGGCTTCCAAACTCTGAAAGTTGTTGTGTTGTTAGTATTGCAACTATGCATGGACCCCATGCTCATGTATATTATTCATTATACATACCCTTCGAACCATCTCTGCCAACTCCTTTCCATTGGTACTTGTGATTGATGATGTCTTTTGTTGCTCCCTGATCTCGACTTTGAGCGCGTGGATGATGTCTTCTTTCTCCTTGACGACGGCGTTCAGTTTGTTGATCGACTCTTGTGCTTTGGTCTTGCGTGACTGCTCCTTCTTGTGACTGAACTCAAGCTTGGCCAGATCTCTCTCCAACTGCTCGTATTTGGTCTTCTCGATAAACACGCTCTGGTTGGCCTCGGTGTGAGCAACCTTTGTCTGCTGCAGCTCGTTGGACAACAGCTGCTTCTGCTTCTGCTCGAGCTCGAGCATCGCCAGTGCGTTCTGCAGCTGTGATTCAAGATGCTTTGGATGGTGTTTGTAATCGATGGTTATGGTTTCGGTGGAGTTTGGTTGGAGTGGAGGTGTGGCAGCTCCCAGTTGTTGTTGTTGAGTGTTATGTACATTAGGGGAGTTGGTCGATGTTGCCAATGTTGTTGATGTTGTTGTGGATGTTGATGTACTCGTCGTGGAGATTGGTCCTGGCGTGTTTGGTGTCGATACTGAAGTGATGGCAGGCGAGGCCATAGCCGGTGATTGCTCGGGCGGCGGTGGCGGCAGCAGACTCTTAAGATCCAGCGTGCACATGTCACTGTATATCACGCCGGACGAGCAGCCGCCATAAACTATCATGTCGTCCGTGTCCACCAGATTACTTGTGTGATGGAATCGTGTGAAGAGGTTCAGGCCAGCGATGGATGGCTGTGGGATCCACGTCCAGGTGTCAACGTCGAGCACGTGAACGTCGTTGAGGAAGTTGGTCTCATTGCAGCCACCATGCACAACGATGTATTTTCCAAAGCTGACAGAGGTGTGGCCATTGCGCGCGGGAGGACTGATGCCCTTGGGCTTGACCTTGTTCCAAATGTAGTCCTTGGTGTCCAGAACATAGATGTCATTGTATGATCGCTTGCCATTGTATCCACCAAATATAACAATGCTCTCTGTGTCCTTTATGAGGTTGGCTGTGTGGCCTGACAGACCACCGGGTCCAACACCCTTGATCGTTGGCTTTATCCATCTGATCGTGTCGTTTTGACTGCGAGGCAGTTCCAACACGTAGGGATTGCTCATGTATTTGCCAGAGTGACTGCCACCAAACAACAGCATCTTATCCATGCCTCCCGAAGTGCTGGGAACATATGTGCACGAGTGTCCTGCACGTACATCAGGTTCAACCTTTGAATCAAAGTGGAATGTACTCCATGACATTGTTGCTGCAAAAGTGATCGAGTGAAGATGATGTTAGTCATGTTCTATCAATCAATGAATGAATGAATGAATGAATGACATACGAAGATTCAAACAATATAGGTCGTTGAGGTACTTCTTGCCATTCCTGCCACCAAACAACATGACGCGTTGGTTGTCGACCAGGGTCGTTGAGTGACCGTATCGAGATGATGGTGCCTTGCCAATTGTGTGCGCCTCATTCCAAACACTGGTGGTGGAATCATATACACAGATGTTTGAATAGAGTGACTCGCCCTGTCCACCAAACACATATATCCTTCGTCCTACACTGATGCTGGCGTGACCCCATCGTGCCTCTATCGAGAAGTGACCTCCTCCGACCTTTGCACCCGATGAGAAAGTGATCCTATTCGCTCTAATTATAATGCGAGATTCCTGTTGCTGTTTCCTCTCGACTGTTTGCAGTTGTACTAGTATTAGAATTAAGAGTAAGTAATCATTGTTCATTGTTGTTGTTCTTGTTGTTGTTGTTGTGTAGTACACTTGCACATACTCTCAGCCATCTGTGTGATGCAAGCAAACTACTGCTTGTCTGTCTGTCTGTTAAACTGAGCTGGCTGCGACACAACTGATAATCTATCAAATGTGTTGTGTCCTGATATTATAAATTAACAAATAATAATATAATTATATTATTATATATTATATATTATTATATAATATGTATATGTATGTATGTATGAATTATTGAGATACAGAGTTTGAATGAATGAATGAGTATCGTCTCTCTCACAGTCACACACACAAACACATCAGCAACTCAAGAAGTTGCCAAAACCAAGAGTTTCAGACCATAATGTTGAAAAAGAATGATTTTATTATCAATTCGGGTTTGAAGGGTTGTGCAGACTCGTGTTGGTCGATGTAAGGTGATGGTGGGGAGGTGCATTGATGGGTATACAGAGGACCAAGATATTTGTCGGGATTATACAATCAGATGATCATGAAATAAATAATAAACAAGGACCTTACACTTTTATAATTATTAAATGTTGGAGTGAGACAACTTGAAAGAGACAAAGACTCAGATCAGATTCAACTTGGCACCAGTCTAGTTGGAGACAGAGACTCTGGGTCAAGCTAGTACAGCGTGATGATTGCCAGCCTCAGGACAGACCTTCGGCACATCTAGAGCGTGTCTTCTTTGAGGAGAGATACATGGAAAAGGCCGAGGAGCTGGCCAACCTGATTGTCCACACAATCCTTGGTATGCTTGCAGTGTCCGCCAAGGCTACCACCAGCGTCAGAACCTCCATGGTCGGCCGTCTGTCAAGTTGGAAGTCTCCAATTGAGAGAGGGGCTCTGTGCTTTGGTCTGGTCAGTGCCTTGTATGATCAGTACTCCGGTGAAGTAGTTAGTCGTACCACTCGCAGGTTGAGAAAGTACTCATTGATTGAATGATGCTCTGTCAGTCGACTGACCAACGGGCGGGCGCAGGTCTAATGTTCACGTCCAACAATAGTGCTTAAGGTTTCCCTTACCCTACCCTACCCTTGCCCTTACCCTACCCTTACCCTACTCTTGTTTTTGGAGAAAGAGTTACTTTTATTGATAACCTGGACACAAATAAGATGTTGGGCGTCTTGGAGTTCAAGATGGACGTGGACTATTGTTGAATAGAAGTCCATCTGATGTCAATCATCGAAACCAATATGTAATTGGGCCACGACGAGGCTTGTGCAGCTAAGGCTTGAGTTCTTGATATCAGCAGTACACAAGAGCATGGCCCACTTGCCCAGGGTTGACAAGGATACTAGAAGGCCATGAATTGTGGGTCTTACAGCTGTCATACTTCCAGCTACCAATGACGACGTTGGAAACTGTGATGCTGCTACTCATAGTCACAATGAATGAACTTGTCATCAGATGTGATTGATTGTTAGTGAACTGGTGGTTGTGTATGCATGCGATTCCTATATAGACTATACCAATCAGTGTAGTACTTACCTCTTTGTCTGTGTTGCACAGGGTTATCGATGTGCTCATTGTTGATTGACATCTCATTAAATGACACCATTGCTATTGAAAGTGAATGGACTACACTCTGTTGTTCTTCACTTTAGTTTGATGAATAGTGAATGATTGAACGAGATTGAGTGTTAAGATCAAGTTGCCAATGAGTGATGATGAGTAATGGGTGAGTGATTGATAGGGTAATCCATCATGATGGATGTCAATCAGTGTGCGTGTCTTTGATTTTGAAATTGAAGGCGCCAAATCCCTTGCTTTGTGAACATCACTACCTACCACACCCCTTCAAAGAACCAACCACCTTGGTTGGACAAATAACCCATTAATGATGTGTAAGATGAGGCCTTCTCAGTTTAAATAGATCATTGATTTAATAGTCTATTCGTGATGATCACCTACAGGTACATTCTACAGTTAAGTCGGTACTACCTGTATGATTGACAAGCAGGGGAAGACAACAGTCGTTATGCTGGGGAGTACAAGTAGGGAGACAGAGTGAAAAAGCCCGGCACGGTTGCTGCCCGACGGCAGCAAAAAAATAAAGGCAGCGCTAGACCAAAGAGATAAACAATCTCAGTGTCAGAGCTCGCCGCCATACCTGTCTCAACGCTGCCCAAACGTCTAAACTGACAGGGGTAGTACCAGGCCGTGCCCAACCCTCTTACATGTTGGGCCCACCCATCCCTCTTACATGATGAGCCGACCCATCCCTCTTGCATGATGGGCCACGACCATCCCCTTGCGGAGATGGCCAAATGAAAACCAGTATTGACTGGTTACACATCAGCTTGCTGTTGGTGTAGTTGAAGTTGTGGAAGTGATTGATTATGTTAGTGTGTTTGTTTACAGAGTGAGTGGAGTGTTGATTGTGATTGGTTGTGGAATGATAATGAATAGGTGAGTAAGAGTATGATTGAATAAGTTTAAAGTATGATTGGAGACAATTGACATGTTTGTTGTCTTATGATATGATTTAATGGATGTATTCATTAATGATGATAGAATTAGACATGAAAGGTGCCATTGTTATTGAATAATAGACGTGTTGATGGAAATGGTTGTAGAAGGTGGATGAAGTTAATTGGCCAGTTTGATGTTTGATTGATTGATTGATCACTAGGTATGAGTGAAAATGTGGAGGTGAAACATGATGGTCGAAAGATTGATGACGGATAGGAGTGAATGATAATGATTACATACCATGTGTTTTCTTGAAGCGGTACCTGTCTAAATGAATGATTGATTGAGGGGAAAGGAATGTAGTCAATAGAAAAAAAAAAGAGTGCCAGTGGCTGGTTGGTTATTGAGCTTACGACTCGACCAAACAGCCACCAGCATTATACCTCCTCGTCGTCCTCCAACTCGCCAAGCTGCGCCGCACGAATGTTGGACATGATTTGGGCTTTCGCCGCCAACCACTCCAAATCCACTTCGTCCTCCTCCTCAGTGATCTCTTGAACCTGATCCCTGAGCGAGAAGGTCACCCTCCACTCGTCCTCGAGGGGTGTTGCGTACATGTGGGCCAAGCTCGTTGTTCTTGCTCCGAATATTACATCCTTTATAAGAGGAATATCCTCGACAACCCCAACTACTGGATACCAGAAGCTGAGGACTGGGCGATTACTTACTACGTCGCCCAATACCATCAACTTTGGCTTAGTTGAGTTGAAGAGTCTGTTAATAGTATTGGTTGAACTAGTTATGATTGCTGACATTATTATAATGATTATTATTATTGCTGTAGCGTTTGAAAACACTGTTTAAGCGATAGAGAGTATAGTGATAGAATGTATTGCGATATGCGCGGTAGAGAGTCTTGAATAACAATATTAATAATAATAATAATAAGAACAAAAACAATAACAATGTACAATATTAATGAAGATATATACGATAGATAAAGTTGATTAATATGATTGATTGATATGATATAGTTGATTGATTGAATGATTAATTAATGTTAGTTAGTATTATTATTATTAAATATGATTGATCATAACATAGTAACATTATATATGTACTTACAAGTAATAATTTGATATTGGTAATGAATGATGTCGAGCGCGCTTGTCTAAGAACATTCCCCAAATCACACACCACAATATTGGTTGACCGTCAACATTGAATTCGAATCACTCATTGCACTTCAGTGCCAATGTCAAAGTCATTGGTTGACATTGAGCTTCAAAAGCTGATACAAGCTTGTCACATTGATAATGATGTTCACTCACCAGTTGTAGCTCTAGATTGAATAAATTGGTTAGATTCCAAGCAAGACCCTTTGTAGTGAACTTTGAGTGCTGTACAACGACCAACATGTGAAGAAGAGACTTGGTCCTTTTAATTGATTATGTTGTGCCATCAATCAAACATTTGTTGATGTACTGCTAGTAGTAGTTGGAAGCACATCCATTGCACCTCCACCATTGGGACTACTGGCTGTGGACGATGATGCAACAGCCTGTGCAGTCTTGGGTCCACGCAAAACATACTTCTTGAATAGGAGGCCACCGACCACCGCGGCAACGACCACCACGCCACCTGCAATCGACACTGGAATAACAAAGACTGGGAACTCGCGCTTACTGTCGACTAGTAGACTACCATGTGGAACGACAATGTCCACGGCCATTGGACGGCCACAGACCAGGTTATTCATCGGACATGTCACCGTTGAGTTGGAACCGTCCTGAATGACGGCGCCGCTCGGACAGGCGACATACTCTGAGCCTATCAGTCGAACGAACAACGCTTCGCCTTCACATTTGGTCTCGTAACAGCGTGGGGCCACCTGGCTTGTCTCATTCCTAAAGTTGTCCATGCTATTGACCGATGTTCCATTGACTGTGCTGTTGCCCGTGCTGGGTGACAGGGTGGTGTTGACCATGAAACAGCGACTGTAGATTGAATGGTGATCGGTGCATAGGCTACCAATGCGTGCGATGTTCATCTCGATAAAGGCGCAGTAGTCAGTGACGTTTGGGCCGCCTAGATAGGGGTTTGGATAGTGCACGTAGTAGGGTGATATGTCGCTGAGGTTGACCTTCATTTGCATGATGTTGCAGTTGCCAATGCCGCGCAGGTCTGCTGTGCACTGTGGGGGTGCACGACGATTGTCACAGAAGTATCCCTTCTCCTTGCCATCCTTCCAATTCTCGCAGCGTCCATTGAGGAACTGACAGCCTTCATTCTCGCCCCAGTGAAACTCCTGTGCCATCCTCATGTCCACGACGTACCATCCCATGTCCTGCAAGAATGCCAATGTGAGCACAGACAACGTCATGATTGGTGAAGATTGAGTCGGATTCATCAACTCTGAGTATGCTGTCCTCGAGTCCCAATGTGAACCTGTGATCGATGGTGTTAGGTGTGATTGATCGTGCGAGAGTAGAGGGAGAGAGGTGAGCTTACACTTGGCCATTTGATCAGAGAACTTTGCTCCCTTGTTCTCCATTTCTAGTCCATCACAAGAGGGACAGTTGAAGTGCCTCTGAGTGGCATTGACAAGGTGTGGCGTCTTCATCTTGGTGTAGAATCGCTCGATGGGCTGGCCATTGATACCAGTGTCGGTCTGCTTCTCCACAACGATGGGGTCAACGTGTGGCACTCCATTCTTATCCAGGAAGCTAGTGTACAGGTTCTGTGTGAAGCCCAGCACGTGGATCAGCTCATGCACTGTCGATTGGACAGCCTTTTGGAAGCCGTACTTGCCAGGCACGGACATCAAGCTGTTCATGTACATTGGGGATAGATTAATTGAGCCGGCCAGGGGGCGGCCAAAGATGACGCGACCATCATAGGTGTGGTCGTCAAAGTCAAAGTTGCAGGGCGTGCCAAAGGCGATGACGCTGGTCATCATGATTGGCCGCAGAGTGACAAAGAGCAGCAGGTCGGTGTCGTCAAAGGTCTTCTCGCCGTACGTGCTATTGAGCTGGACAGTGGGTCCACACTTGCCCTTGCTCATGCGAAGCATGTCGCGGTTCAATTGAAGAGGACCATCGCGCGTTGGCACCATGACGATGCTCTCGATGATCGCCAATGATGTTGGGATTACGTCGTTGAAGACGAAGCGAGCCACGTCGGCCGTGACCACATCGTTGGCCGAGCAATTGAGGTAGCATCGATACCTGACGGTCTGATTGCAGATGGGCCATGAACGGCTCGTGTCGTTGATGCCCACTGGTATCAGGTCGCCCTCCTTGCTGCACTCTTGTGAGCTCGACGCCGATGTGTTGAAGAAGCTCATGTCGGTGCGCACTCTGATGTAGTTCCAGCCCTTGACATGCAGCTTTGCATTGGGTGTTTGAGGTGTTGGTGGCAAGGGGAATGTTGTAGGACGTGTTGGATCGATTGTCCATCGAGGAGGAGTTGATCCATTGTTTCCGGTTGAGGGTGGAGGTGGCCATGAATTTGGCTGAACTCCACTGCCCTGTTGTGATGATGTGTCATTTCCAGCAGAAGAAGCAGGTGAATCGATTGATGTGTCGCCCAGTACGTCCATGGCCAATGCCTTTGAAGCAGAGAATGAACTGACCAATTTACTACGCAAGCCATCCATCATTCCACTGACACTATCTGATGAGAACAATGAAGATGATGATGCCGCTGACAGCTTCTCCTCCAACATGCTCTCCTCTATCGTTTGGAACAAATCATCTGCCAACTCGCTATGTATACACGTTGATTCATAACTCCTTCCGGCAAAGCGTGGAGTCTTTTCCCTCCAACTTCCATTTCCATTGCCATTGCCATTTCCATTTCCATTTCCATTTCCACCATTGCGACCATTAAAGTCTCGCCTACTGAATTTATTGATGTTGTTATCGCTGCTGTCACTACCACTGCTGCTGCTACTACTACTATATTGTTCCTCTCTTACTAATCTTGATTGATAATTTCTATCTATTATTGTTGCTATATTATCGTTTATCTGTTGTTGTGTTATATCTTTGTTGTTATTGCCATGTTCTCTGCTGCTGCCACCATTATGTGAATCCACTACAACAATCAATGACAACAATGACAACAACAATAGTAACAATAGTGTAGTAGTAGTCCTCATCTAACTAAAATATATATATAAATGTATATGTACAAACAACAACAATGAATAATAATATAACAATAATAATGATGATGACCTGCTTGCTTTGCTTGCTCTATGAACAAACAAACAAACAATGTTGTTGTTGTTGTTGCTTCTTACTGGTGCAAGTTAGAGAGAGAGTCTATTACATCGACGTTTCTGTCCAAGTCAGGTAAGAATTTAGCTATTAGGTTTGAACATGTCCAACAACACACTCACGATAGTTTATTTGTCGGTTGCAATAATAACATTCATCGATCCATCCATCCAGGGTTTTGTTTTCCCACTCACCGACCCTCCCTTCCAGAGAGCATGCACAAAGAGACTGTGCATGTTTCCACTTCTGTTTTTTTAGCATCAGATCAAGGTGTTGTTGGTGTGATAGAAACGCGACAGAACCCGCCTCAATCCGATGTGGCAAAGGGTTGCTGGTGCGTTGGTGGTCGATGTGATGACCCATCAATCATCTCAAGGTGCACACACACTTTCAATTTGGCTTGAGATGTTCATTTCCATTGTTATTGTACATGTAAAGGGTGATGAGAGATTAAGACCTTACACCTGTGACCTTATCTCTCAAGAGACACACTAGTGATAGTAATAATAATAATAATTGTTGTAATAGGTTGTTCATGTTTTAGTGATGAGAGTGGTAGGGTATTGGTAATGTGCACATGGGTTGGGGATGTAGTTGGACTTTGCTGATGGGCTGCACAGGTCTGACTTGATTGGTGGCGGTCCATCATGATGGTGATGTTGATGTTGATGTTGGTCTTGTTAACAAAAGTATTATTTATCCTTCTTGTCCTGATCCTTCTTCTCATCCTTTTGAAGGTTCTGGATTGCATTCTAAAGATGATTCAATCAGTGTTAGCCAATCAATCAATCAATCATTCAATCAATCAATCAATCTTATGTTAGTTACCTTGATTCTCTCATCATTTGGATTTACACCGGGCAGGTTAAGCAGGGTTGAGTTCAAGAACTCTTGGTCGTTAAAGGCATCAGTGGATGGCTGTTGTTGTTGCTGTTGTGGTGGATTTGAGTCTGTTTGCATGGGCTCAGAGCTCTGTTGCTCCAACGAGAGAGCCAGTGCCTGCTGGAGATCGGGATCATCGCTAAAGTTGAAATCGTTCGAAGACATCTGTACATCGGTATTGGTCTCACTAGTTGAGCCTGGCTTGTCGCCCTCACGAGACTTTCTCTCTCTCTCCACACGTTGTTGCTCCTCCTCCAGCGATAGCTTCAATGCCTAGTTGTATTGTAATAATAGACATGTTAGTAAAATGGACAAGGTTATGTGATTGCTCTCCATCATGTCATGTGACGATGACAATGGACTTACCAAGGCCAACTCTGGGTCAGTATCAGCATTGATAAACTGAGCACCATAGGTACCTGATCCCTCGACTATAATCTTTGACTCAACGATCACATCGGATAGAATATGTGGGCCAGCTGGAACTGTCAACAAGTGGCTATGGTCGTGTGTCAGTAAGTGGACAATGTATCCCTATCTAAAAATGATAATAATAATAAGTGTATACAATACCTCTCATCATTCTTATTTACATCCTTGATGAATGCATCCAGCTTCTCGACGTTGACAGACTCCTCTCCAAAGTTGATAATGTCGACGGCAATGTCATTCTTCTTGAGTCGCTTGGCAAGCACGCTCAGCTCCTCCTTGGTCTCTTTCAGGGGACTGCCAACAAACACAACGATTCTTGGATGCTGATTCTTATTCTGACGATGACGCAGTGCCAGCTGTGCTATCTGCATTGATGTCGTGAAGTCTGATGTGCCCTGGATCTTAAGTTCATTGTAGCTCGACAATATCTTGCTAAGGTCCTGTGTCAATGTGACCAATACCTCTGGTCTGTATCCATGTTTGATTAATTGATTGATGAATGAATGATTGAGTGAGTGAGTGTATGAGTGATGTTGATTGACTTGAAACATACGATCTGCCAGCCATTGATAATATAGCAACACAGCTCTCTGGGTTAGATTGAGTCTTGGCAGCTGGTTATTATAATGTTGATGTTGATGATGATGAATAAGTGTGTAAGTCATATGAGGATGATGATGTATATCTAAACAGTACACTTCAATCAATATGATGATGATACAATACCGCATATTAAGTTTACGGCATCCTTCTGTGCGTCGTATCTTGATGGTTGGAAGTCACAGTTTCTCATCCACTCTGAGTTGTCGACACTGTATATATCAATCAATTGCAATTGTTAGTACAAGATCTTGTTATTCGTTCCTTGATTGGCTGACTGAATGCTGTGATCTCAACTCAAACAAAGTATCATCGCGTTCAATAATAAACAAAGTAGATTAGATCATACCATATGATTGTAGCCTCTAAAGTCATCTTTTTGTAATTCTATATATTTATATATAATGAAGAAGTGTAAATATATGTATATGTATGTATGTAATATATAATGATTGTAATGATAAAAGTAAGAATGGTGATTAAATGAATGAATGGTGTTGTTGTGTGAGTGGAGTGAACTTGATCATGTTGAACATCACTCATTTCAATTTAATTTATTTTACTTCTACTCAAAGTTCGTGAAGTAAAGTTAAACTCATTCATATTACTACAAGTAATAAATAAAGTAATAATAAATATATATTACTGTCAACAGATGGATGTAATTCACTAAGTTCAGTGTACCTATTACCAAGGTTCCACCAATAGACCTCCAGAAGTATTTTATCCTTTCAATCAAATATTAATTTTCTTTGTTTAAAGTATTTGTAGTTAGTTTAATGTTATCTATCCACTTTTGCAAAAGCTATCTTGTTCGAAACCAATGGTGCCATTACCTTCATGGTGTTGTTGGGATGAAGTCGTTGCTGGTAGCCAGCCTTCCAATCAGATTGCAGCTCATCACGCTAATGACTTGTGTCTGTTGTGTTAGATTAAGCTTGGCAGGTACGTTCATCTTAAGATTGAGTTAAGTGAATCAATCTAGACTCATCTAACTTCCTTCCAATCTCAGAGTGAGAGTACTGATTGGTCACTGCTGAACACATACTGCCGAGCCTGCCCCAACATTGCTTTGAACAGCCCAAGTGATCGACTAAAGTATTCTGTTGAATTCTCCAAAACAGACCCAACATAGTAATGTTTATTGACACTGGGTATGTGTTGCTTCGCCATTGGACCAGCGGTTGGAAACCATGACTTACCATACCCAACCAACATTACTAGGCTATCCAATGCGGTGGAGGCCTAGCCTCAATGGGTCAGTCAATCAATCAATCACTACTCGACGACCACCTTCTTAATTATTACCCACGAACGGTTGATAAGTTGAACGGTTATTTATATCTCTGATGATGCTCCCCATTTCCAAAGTACTGATTAACCTTACCATTGAATGTGTAGAGCGTCCCTTTGCGGAAGGCGGATCAACATCAGTTCGCGCAACAAATCTAAGATGTAATCCCATCACCGTATTCGGCGACGCCATGCATGTATTTGCAATCCTGATCTGTATGTATCCAACCAAAGTCCTCGAAGCACCATCAAAGGCTCTATCAGGGTGGCCGTGACTGTCAATCAATCAATCAATGAGGTGGTCGTTGAAGACTCCCGCGGGCAGTCACTTACTTAAACAAACACACCAACAAACACACGATCAGGTAAACTAAAGAGGAAAGGGCACGCCATCACACACCAATTAGCCATCGACTTTCGCATGCCCAAGCCAAGTTGTAGAACCCCCTTTGCGTCGGTCTATTTGCCAATGGGCTCAACCCAAGTTGTGATTTAACGAGAACATAAGTGAATCATGATTCCTTTGCCGGTGGAGCAGTGTGTGTGTATGGGATTTTGTTTAATGATTCCCTCCCTTTGTTTATGTATGTTTGTACCTAAATTCCAACAACAGGACGTTGTACGCAAATCAGTCGACAAATCGTGCTGTTGATATTTTAAGCAGCTTATTTTGATGTGTGAGAGAGAATCAATAACTGCACCACACTCAGTGTGTGTCCTGTTTTGGGTCAAACAATCTAACCATCCAACCAGTGAGAGATGAGAGAGGCAGGCAGCTATTACACATACACACACACTAACTCAACTCATCTCACTCGTTGGCTCTGATTGGGAATAGTGGATGGCCTATTACAATAGTGGTATGGTAGGTATGGTAAGTATGTAATATTGTTTGTTGTTAAGATATTTCTGTCGCTCACCCATCATTGCAAGGTCAAACGAGTGCACTCAATGCCTTTGTTTGTTCCTAACACACACAGGTCCATCAGCAATTAATAAGTGACCTTGTTAATACAATCATCATCGTACTCGTCTTTGTTGTTGTCTTTGATAAGTAGTACCCATTATCTCTTTCATTCATTCAAACAAACAAACAATCAAACAAATACGAATATTACTCGTCAACAATATATAATACTACATACATACATACAAACTAAATTAAATTATTAATATAAACTTAATATCATATAATATATCTCAATAATACTACAAATATATATATATATATAATAAGGAAGATGAAGAATATATTCTCTTTATTCTCTTTCAAAAGAAAGAGCCCATCATCAAGCCCAAACACTAGCCCAACCACGAGTCCTACACTTAGCCCTATTACAAGCCCAGTGCTCTCTGGCCACAAATCAACCAGTATCTACTCTTTCCAGTTGGACACTGATACGCCATCGTTGAGTGATGTCCTTGGAGGCGGATCATCGACAACAATGTTTGGCGCCCCACTCAGTCTTGATGGCGCAGTCGACTGGTTCACCCCATCCAGTGGTGCCAAAGACGCCTCGTCGTCCACCAACACCTCGACCTTTCATCACTTCCAACAGTTGGGCGAGGAAGTAAAGATTCACATATTCTCCTTCCTGAGCTTCCGTGACATCCTGTCATTGTCTGTGTGCTCGCGCGACATGTACAGATACAGCCACGATCGCATCCTCTGGCAAACCATCTTTGAGCGATCTGGCTGGCCACTCTCCCGAGAGATCAAGCTCAACAAGAACTTCAACCTAATGAGATACTACTACGACAAAGCAAACATATCATCAAATGGTAGGTTATATATACATATATGTACAAAAGTGTATATTGATCTATGGAACTAATCCAATGATAAAACACAATCAGACACCATCTGTTGGAGTTCAATCACAAACTCACATGGAAGGATTCCAACAAAGAGATACAAGCACACTGCCATACCCTACAAGAACTACATTGTCCTCATTGGAGGCCAAGAGACAAACGCCAAGCGCTTTGGCGAGATAATATACTACAACACCAAGACCAACACGTTCGAGACCCACACGGTCAAGGGCGATCAGATTCCCAACTTCTCGCGCCACACCTCACGCGTCATTGACAAGAAGGTCTACTTGTTTGGTGGCTACAATGGAGCAGGCACCTACTACAACCTGGCCATTTACAATCTGGAGAAGAGACGCTGGAGCAATGTGCCAATGTCCGCCATGACTGGCGACATCCCTCCACCACGCTCCAACCTAACCAGCGCCGTGGTCGGCACCGACTTTTATATATTCAGTGGCAACAACACTGCCGACAATGGCCAGTACACCATACTGGACGACTTCTATCGTCTTGACACCAACACTCTGCACTGGACTCGCATTGAGGCCTCGGGCGATGTGCCAACCGGTCGCGGTGGTCACTGTATGGAGGTGATCGACAACAAGATCTACCTGTTTGGCGGTGGCGCATGGAACCCAAGCGGCGGCTGGGCATCACGCTTCAACGACATCCACGTCTACAACCCAGTCACCAACCACTGGACACACCCTCAACTGAACGGCGTGTCACCCGCCACCAGCACCTTCCCCGCGTCATTCGTCTATGGCCGCTTCCTGGTGCTGTTTGGCGGTGGCTGCCACCGCACCAACCGCGTCACCAACCATCTCTACGCCCTGGACACAGACTCAATGTCGTGGATCAAGCTGTCAATACCCTCATCGGTAGATGAACTGCGTCCACGCGACATGTCCACCTCGACCGTCATCAACAACCAAGTCTACATCTACGGTGGCTTCTCTGGAGGTGCCATCGATTACTTTGACAAGCTCACCTTCAACTTTACACCAGCTACAGCTCAATCATGCTAACTTTATAAGTTAGTCATCCATCATCATATGTATATTTGTAGTTTAGTGTAATGTTTATTTAGTATGGTATAGCAGCCTACAGTCAGTATATATAATACCTCCTCCCCTCCTCCTCCATCCAACCATCCAACCATCCATCCAGCTATCCATCCAACCATTCCCAGCCTATCCCCTTTTTTTTTTTTCCTACCCTCCTACCTTCCTTCCTTCCTTTTTTTTTTTACCCTACCTATGTTTATATAGCGTATGCCTTAGTATCTACTTATCCAAATATATATATATATAAAGTACTACTATTATAATCTACATCTCTTCTCCTTCTTGTTCTTGTACTAATACATCATGTTGTTTAGATTGAGGTGAGAGCACGATGAACAAAGATGTTTCCAGGTTGTCACCTCCCACCCTTTCACTCACTTGTTTGTCGTTTTGACTTGTTTTTTCTGAAGTCGACAATTCATTCAATGTTTCATTCATTCATTCATTTAGATATATATATATATATTTATATAAATAGAAGTTATATACACTCTATCAATCAATCAATATTGGTTACTATAGTGTGTATGCATTCGTGCAAGTTGATAGGTTGAGCGAGGTGCGTGCCATCGAGATATATAACATTATTCATTACCAACAAACGAGAAGCGACAACAACAACAACATTTTAATAGTTATTATCATAAATATACTTATATATAGACCAGACGACAGTATATACATACATACATAAATAATGAATAGTGGATATGATAGTCTTAGAGGCAGTAGCAGGAGCTCTAGAGACTCACATAGATCACCAGCAGTCAATTCAAATACATCAGCGTCTATATTCTCACCAATTGATTCATTGACAAACTTGTTCAGATCGAATAATAATCTGGTGCCACCTCTAAATACATCACAGCAGCATCAGCCACACTCACCATTGTCATCGCCAAACTCTAGCTTTGGTCATATACAGGCGCCACATTCACCTCGCGGCGGCAGCTTCAATGCCTCGGCCAACAACGCATCATCATCATCGCCACACTCCTCCACCAAATACAACAACGACAACTATGCCAACCTGCTGGCGGCGTCCAATCGCACCGACTTTGTCATCTTCTCAGAGTTTAGCGAGCAGACGGGACCGGTGGCGCTCAACGTCATCCCCGAGCATGTGCCCCTGTACGAGGGCTTTGACATTTCCAAGTACGTCGTCAAGATCATGTCGGTGGACTTCCAGAACAAGACAAACGACCTGCGCACCTACACCAAGGACTCACAGATGTTCTTCACACTGACTTCGATCGAGCCAAGCCAAGAGCTGTACGCCTACGTGCATCACTTCTCACTGTTTGACATCAATGCCCGTGGATACGTGCGTCCACTAGTCATTAGCTATGTGACACGCGACGCCAACAAGATCATCAAGTCATTCGATCGCTTCCTGGCCAAGTTCACATCGATCGTTAACTTCCTCAAGTCCAAGAACCACGTCATGTTCGAAACAGAGTTTAGACAGCGCATGTGCGACCTTGACTACAGTCTCAAGTACTACAAGTCTGATGAAGCAGCAGGTCTCACTGATAGAGAGAGGGAGATGAATGTAAGTGTGATGTGCGAGGAGGGATGGGACTGATCATGGACGAAGACGTCGACGCAGCTTGCTAACTCCACAACAACATAATAGATCACAATTGTTTCGGACTCAAAGTATGAACTGCGAGGCATCGAGGCACTGTTTGAGAGGGAGAGAAGCAGTAGAGTGATTGTAGCATCGTCTACGACCAATGGAGTCGACGGTAGTGCTGGTCCGGATAGAGACAGAGATAGAGACAGCTCACTGAGCAGCAGTGGACAGGTGTATAGGAGGAAGAAACAACACTCTGGATTGAAGATCAAGAAACATGGCGCACTTCCACACTGTCTCGAGTCATCATTTGGCATGGTCTACATCAATGACATTGCGCCCACTTGCAGTGAGCCCAAGTTACTGGACTCATTGAACAAGACATCACATCTAGACAAGCCACTTCGCGAGATTCCCGAACTCTGTTGTCAGGACATCTTTGACAAGTTTATCTCCAAGTTGGAGAAGTGTCACAGCTACTTCTCAAAGTCATCAATCCAGTTGGAGTTTGATCACATTGATTCACAGTCATTATGTAAGTAACCTTTATACATTCGTTCATCCACTTCATGTTGCTGACTGCCTAGCCCAACCAACATTAGTTCCAACAAGTACATTACTATCAATTGGACAGACATCAATACTCAACTTCTATTTCAAAGAGGATGATGTGTAAGTAACATGGACGAGCAAGGTGCATGCATGTCGGACGAATAACTAACTAAGGATCAATGATTGTGTAGCAACAACAAGCAACACTACCCAAGATCACAGAGGAGAGATATCAAGCCCAAGAATCATCGATCCAAAATCCAACTTGATTCATCCTCTGGATCAGAGTCCAGCTCATACCTCTCAGTCTTCTCCTATGGATCAATGTGAGTATATCCCATCTGGCAAGGAAGTATAATGAAAGGTCAATCAGTCATACTTACTCAGTCACTCAATCATGTAGTAATGACGCACTTGAAGAGCTGTCACTATCACCATCGGACTATTTAAAGCTATCGAACAACAACTTTATTAACAACTATACTTCAAACTCACAAACTCAGTCGCCAGCAGCACCAACTGCACATCAGAATGGTGTTGTTGGACCAGCGTCACAACATTCAAACTCTCCCACGACTACTACTACTACTACTACAACCAACAACAACGGCAACAACACACAGACCTCAACGAACGAGCAGATCCCAACAATAACAACAACACAACCAATGGTACCAATTAACGAGATCAAACTTGAGACCTTCTCCAAGTACCTATGGGGCATCAAACCGCATTATGGCCACGGTCTGCTCAGGATGGCCACAAAGTACATATGGATGAGACATGCCATTTACTCGTTGCTCAAGGGTCGTCCTGTACTTGTCTTGGCCTCACAGGACAAGTATCAACTTATGATCGACATGGTCATAGCGCTGAGCATCTTTGTCATTGGATCACGCCAGAACAACAGTCGCGATCCAATCGATCTTCACCGAGACAATCCAATCACACTGGCAGACCTCTCATGGCTCAAGCTTGCCGGTGTGCCCAAGACTCCACACTTCAAGATACCCACCAATGTCAATGTAAGTTGATCCAATCAGATTGTACAGGTCTCGCACCTCCTAACACTCGTCTCCTCCATCTGTTGCAGTGCTACATCAGCAAGATTGACTTGGACACAGAGGAATACACTGGACCATCTTATCAACAGACACCTGGACTTATTGATGAGATGTTGGGCTTGAAGAGACAGTGGGTCGACAATGAGGGCGTCTATCTCAGTCATGTACTGAACACCTTCTTCGAGCTCTCCATCAAGAGTTTCTCATACTACCATCTGTGCTGCGCCCACTCTCATCCACTCAGGAGCGACTGCCATCCATTCATCTCATCGCTCATTGGAGCCATTGCACCACTGTCCTACTCCACGTCTGAGCTGCCATCGCTCACACACTCGGGCATCTCAATGACGCCGCCCGACGCCGACCGACCGGCCTCCGACCTGAAGTCCTCTACATTCACTCTGCGCAAAAGGCCACCAATCATGCCCATCAAGTTCAGGTCAATGTCCGAGTCGCAACTCACACCGCCCGAGTGTGGGCAGGCTGTTGATGGCCTGTCAGCCACACTCAAGTCCTCGCAGAACAGCAACAGTAACAGTGCCAGCGATACAAGCAACAGCAATAGCATGAGCAGTCCACTCGCTCAGACAGCGATCAAGTCATCTTTGGGTGTCCCGGCAATAGTGGCAAATGGCAAGAGGTCTTCATTGGACAGCTTCAGCTGTTGTCCAAAGACCTTGTTCAAGCGATGGGAGCTAAGCGCACACGATCAGACCATCATTGAGTTCCTGGCCGAGGTGATCAAAGAGCAACAATACTTTGAGTTATACACTGCCAAGGGTCAGGACATTGCGCCCATCATCAAGCTGGACTTCTCTCCAGTTGTACATCTAAAGAATAAACGGTAGGGTGAGTGAGTTAGTGAGAACTCATCAACACCGCGACATTTCCTCCATTTGGTCAGAGTATTCCTCAAAGACCCAGTTGACGCCAGGCTGGACACCAATTGTTTACGGAATAGGGAATCTCGGCACCACTTTGAGTCGTCGTGGTTGTTTGTGAAGTTAACACTGGGGGTGCTTTGGGGTTCAACTTAATCTTTGGGTTTGGAGAAGAAGCGATTGAGACAAGAACAATGCTCCACGATCAATGTTCTCAACACAATAGAATCAAACATTATTACTTGTGTGTTGTTATAATTATAATAGATAGTTATATTAGATAGATAGATAGATTAATAATGAATGATGAGGATACATTTATGTTTGATAAACAATCAAATGATCATGGTGGAGGTATAAGCTTGGCAAGTCTAAAGATTGAAAAGCAACAACAACAAGATCAACAACAACCAAAGGAAGAGAATACATCAATGAATAGACATCAACAACTACACCAACAACAACATGGACAACATCATGCACAGCATGGACAACAACAACCTACTGCAGCTGGTCATGGCATCAATTTCTTGAATGCCAGCTCAAGCTCAATGAGAGCATTCATGACAGAGAGTGGTAATAGTCTGGGCAATGTTATAGATGCAGAGGATGAAGTAGATAGTATCAAACACAGCAATAAGATACGATTGTCAAGATCATTCTATCACTTGTCATCATCGTCGGCAAGCATCGATAACCTCTACTCGACAATATCATCGATGGAGCTTGAGATTGATGACTTGGCACTGGAGCTCATCATCTATATCTTTCAATTCCTTTCGCCCTTTGACATTAGACATGCTGCAACAGTATGCAAGTTCTGGTCTGTGCTCTGCTCAAGTGATGCAATATGTATGTTGTCATGTTGTCATGTGTCCGTGCACGTGCGTATTCATTCAGTGGCATGTCTAACAAACAACATTAGGGGAGGATCAATGTATACAACAATGGTCATGGATATGTCAAGATATTCAAACTCGCAAGAAGCATACACATAATAACAGTCCATGGAAAGAGTTCTATCGATTCTTTGATACTGAGGTATGTCATTACTCCGTCGCAATCTCACTCTCCGAGACTGACTCATCAATCCTCCATGACTTATGTCTAGTATTTGAAATGGGTTGGATGGTACCAATACTCAATGACTCGCGAGTCTGCCAACAATGTTCTACAGAAGATGTCAAAGGGTACATTCTTGATAAGGAAGAGTTCAAAGCCAAACAACTTGGTCATCTCTTACAATGTCCACACAAGACAACCACAACATCTCTTGGTCTAGTATGTCCAGACATCATCATTCCAAATCCAATCAATCAATCAATCAATATTAACTTATAATCATTCTAAACAGTAACTTGGGACCTCATACTGGTGTATTCCTCAATGATGACATTGGAACAATATTCCCGACATTGTCGACACTGGTGAGGGAGAAACAGAAGTTCTTGAAGCGACCATATATTGATGGAAATAGGTACGCCACCAAACAGCAGGCCAAACGCGACTACATCGTAGCCATGATGAATGATCCAAAGATGCGTGAGGGCAAGTCTTTGAACGACCTCTGCTTGCTACACAAGGCAACAAAGGTAAGAAAGCCCATCCCTCGAGTCTTGGACTGAAAGACCCTAACTCAATCAATCATCCAATCCAATCAGTGGTGCTTCCTAGACCTTGTCGAGCAACTTGTACATCATAAGTTGGGCATCGATATCAATCATGTCAATCCAAAGAATGGTCGAACACCTCTTCACAACGCGTTGAGCTTCATTCATGGAGAACCATTGTCTGACGTGAGATTCCAGATTGTCTCATACCTCTTGTCCAATGGCGTTGGATCAGCGGTCAACATTGTGGACAATCGAGGCAGGACTGCCCTGCACATTGCGGTCAAGCAACATCAATCAGACTTTGTTCGTATCGTCGAGTTGCTGTTGGAGCATGGCGCCAACATCAATATGTGGCAGAGTAACGGTTTGCATCCACTGCATATTGCAACAAAGGAGAACAACTTGGCAATGGTCAAGGCATTGTTGAAGAACAAGAACGTCGATGTCAACTGCAGGATATCAGAGACACCTTGTTCAGTGAACAATCTCAAGGATCACATTGGAGACACACCACTTCATATGGCTGCACATGGTTGCATGTACCCACTCGTCAAGGAGATGTTGGAGTGCAAGAACATCGAGGTCAACATCTTGGACAACAGTGTCATGACGCCACTTCATCGCGCTGTACTAATGGTATGTGTTGTGTATGCGTGGCCGCGCACTCACCTCGCTTACTAACTAATGAATGACAGAATCAAGACTGGCTTGGCATGACAAGATTTGGAAAGCCTTCCAGACATTACTACTCGCATCAGGTGGTGGAGTTGTTGTTTGATCATGGTGCTGACCCGGATGTAGTGTCCAAAGGCAACAACACACCGCTACACATATCGATTGCCAAGGGACATCGTCAGAGCACTCTGTTGTTGATGAAGAAGATTATTGCTAGGCAACAGGCAACAACAACAGCTGGTACTGGTGAAGAGTATCAAAAGAAGATGTCAGTGCACTACAATATACCTCGTCTGATGAAGTCCATTGAGATTGGAAGCACCTGTGCCGACATTATGAAGGCACGAGATGATCTTGGCTATGCGATCATGTGTGGATTCAAAGAGATAGCAATGAGTGATCTGAACAAGACCATTACCAATCACTTTGAGAGCATCAGGAACTCAGTCATCAAGCACATGTCTCCATCGCCTGCCGTCACCAACCATGTCCCTGTGCCGCCAACACAAGCCACCACCCCCAACAACCAAGACACGACCGTGTCTTTACCTGCTACAGCCGAGCAACTTCAAGACCAGGAGGGATAGATCCATCCATCAATCCATCCAATATCCTTCCAATAATGTACATACTTCTCCAAACCTTTTTAAAGGGAAAGCCCTTTCACCGAGCTTGGTTGTCGGGCCTTGATACCACCATCCATGTTGTTGATTTTTCATTCGAAAGCTCACCATTTGCCAATATCTGTTTTGTTGTTGGGCCAGGTTTTTGGGGTTTTGTTTTGTTTTTTTTTTGATCAGGAGGTCTACCTAGAGGGTACTCACTTTGCACCCTTGCATCCCTCTCAACACGTTCAAGTTGAATGTCTTCTCGGTTTCATTGTTGTTACTTTATCTCTCTCTATCTATCTTGACACACACACAATCACACAATCACACACATACTCAACATTACAGGATAACAGCCACACACAACACATGACATTGGACCAAGGTTGATTCCAGTCACCCAACTACAATAGCAATAAGGATAGGATAGGATAAGGATAGAATAGGATAGTGTGTGATAAAAGAATGGATCAAGATGATAAGACAACATCACACACGTTTAAAGCAGTTGGAACGACATCGTCCACAACATCATCTGGTAATGGTGGTGGATCCAAGTTGAACTTGGCAACTGGCACACATAGGACGATAACATTCTCAAAGAAGGCATTGCCTGGTATGATACAGTTTGGTGCCGCACGATTCAAATCACAGCCAGATCTACACAAAGACACCAATATACAAGACGAGTCCTCACAGATATGGCGATCATCCCAAGGTCAACAAAGATCAGATGAGCTATGGAGTGCATTCAGATCAAGACTCGATTCGACAGAGGTATGCTTGTTTGATTGATCCAGAGTCGATTCCATGCTCACTTACTCACTCAATCAATCAAATGTTAGGAGGCGACCAACACTTTAAAGAAGTTCGTTGCACATTATAACCCTTGTTACGATCAGTGGAGCAAGGACTTGCAACCAGACAGTCATGATATGAAGTTGGTGGCCATAAAGATAAAGGCCACTCCACAGATAGATCTGCCTTCATTACAGTTTGTAGCCACTCAGCTCTGTACATTTGTGCTCAATCTCTCGGTGGCCTTGACAGATGACAACGTGGCCATACCCGAGGGTCTCTACCTGATCGTGCTCATCAACATCTTGTCACGCGCTCCACACAACCTGCAGATCATCCTGCAGGAGAACGCGCTCACCCATCCATTCCAGGCGGCGCGTCTAGCCACACTCAAGTTGTCATCGTTCAAGGACCCGCTGGCCCCAGTCTTTGTCAAGTGGTGGCCGTACCTCAAGGTGCTACTCGGCAACTTCTGCCAGATTGTGAGCAATATCGCACATGACAGGATTGGCTGGCAGATGTCGGTACGTCAGTCGGCCAACGCGCTGGTGGGCGGCGACTCACCAGTCTTCACACCGGGCATCGGCGAGGACATGTCGCCAACTTCATCGTCGCCGCTCAGCTCATTCACCACGCTGCCTTACAGGAGCAGCGACATGTCCTTCTCGCCAGTGACCTCGGCCGCCTCGCTGCCGACTTCACCCATCATGATTGGACTCAAGGACAGCATGAACCTCAGCCACAGCACTGGCAGCATGATCAATCTCAACAGCAGTATTAACCCACACAGTCTGGTACCGGCCTTGCCGTTCTCCACACAACAGTTGCTCAAGCTTGGCGTGGTGGGCATTCTCATCGATTCGCTGCAGTTCTTCAACGATAACTTCACTGCCAAGCGGCCAAAGGACAGTTCGCAGACATTCAGATATCTGATCGCTGATACTCTAGGCGTGCTGATCTTCTCCAATGGCAACAGTATGCATTGTAAGCTCAAAGAGAATGGTTCCGAGATGAAGACAATCATTGGCGCCATTGGTCGCAAGCCCTACACATTGCCCAACAAGAAGCATTCGGCACTTCAAGCCGAGTTCCTCTTCCAGCTACACATGCTTCGTGTGATCAGAGAGTTAACGTATGTCCTCTGTATGCCCGACCTTGCTGCGCCCCTTTACTCACTATCCTATCCCAACACATCACAGACATAACAACATACAGAATGCCAAGCAATTCATCAACCTCAATGGATTCAAGACCATCAAGGATGTCATACAGTGGACGACAGAGTGCTTCCAGCCAGAGAGCTTCCACTACACTGACGATATATGCCAGCAACAGAACTTGTTAGGCATGGATGCATCGGACGCGACGTCCATGTCGGCAAGCAGCTCAGCTTCATCATTCTCTGACATCTTCTCCAACTGCCAATGCAACGCCTATGACAATTTGAACACGGTGCTGAGCAGCCTCAAGTACACAACGTTCTCGGTGGGCACCTCTGTCAAGCCACCAACAGTTCTCAAGCGCAGCAGAGTCAACCAGCTCACTCAACTCTTTGGCATCATTCATTCACTCTCTTTCACCGCCATACCCATCTCCAAGATTGCCATTTCCAAAGGCAGCAGTGGATCATTCTTTGCCGCCAACAACAACAACAATGGAGGTAGTGGCGTTGGTGGAATCACTGGCCACAGTCCAAGCGGCGCGGGCAGTCATAGCAGTACAATGTTGTCCTCATCAATGATAATCGATCAATCCGAATCATCATCAGCCAACAACAACAACCCCAACACCAACACCAACAACAACTATAACTATAGCAGCAGCACAAGCAATATGGGTACAAGCAACAGCACCAGTTGGTCAAACTACAGCTCACTACATAGCAGTACAACCAGCATTCACTCTGGTGTATCCACCAGCAATCCACTATCGAACAGTGGTAACAACTCATTCTTGATGAGTTCAATGTCTGGACACCAGAACAACAACAACAACAATATGAGCAACAGCTTGAACAACAACATGAACAACAACAATGGTGAAGAGAGGAAGTTTGTAAATACATACATCATTGAGATGGTCTTGGAGAATCTGTTCAAGGAGAAGACGAGCAAGAAGTCGACACGAGCACTGGACCTGATACGCACGAGATATCCAGAGTTACAGCTCATCGTGTTGGAGTATCTCACAAAGATCATCATGGAGAGCGGCGAGATGTTGGACATACTGCGCAAGCACTTCATGTGGCGCCTCATCATGAAGTCGCCATTCTTCTACCAGTGCCTGTTTGACGAGCGCATTGAGGGTGCCGAGTCCATGGATGCCGCTCAGACCAGCCGTGCACAATACATGTTCAAGGGCGTGCGCTCCAACACCCTGTCATTCGTGCGCTTCGTTGCCACACACAACAACATCGAGAACACCGAGGAGGTCATGATGCTGCTGCACTACATGAAGGAGAACCTGAACAATCCCACCCGTTTGCTCGAGATCACTCATCTGCTGGTCATCATCACCAAGAGCAATCCAAGCACTGTCAAGGCATTGATTGCCCAGAAGATATTCTCGCAGTTGGCCGACATCATTCAGCTGCTGTTGCAACAGGGTGACACGGAGGACAAGGCAGCAAAGCGTGCACGCAATGCAATATTTAGCTTCTTGGGTCAGCTTGTCATCCATGAGGAGCTATCCCTCTATGCACTGACTGACAAGTACCTCATTGAAACCATGTTCCAGATGCTGAGGCGTCCTGAGCTCAAGACTTACGCCCTTACCCAGATCATTCACCTGATGAAGCTAAACCCTGAACCAATCACCGCGCTCGACGAGATCTTCAATGTCTACATTGGACACATGGCCAAGTATGTTGTTACCTATCCGACAATCCAGTCGCCACCCTATCTCACTCGCACACTCACTCACTCAATCAATTAATCGATCAAACAGGATAAAGGAGGATGCATCACCGGATGGAGGCTTCGAGATTACTTTGGCATTGCTGGATGGCATTCGCCAGGTGATCAAAGCCAATCCCAAGAAGCAACAGCTGTTCAAGGAGTTTGGTGTGTTCATCAAGATCGTCACACTGGTCAACATCGATGTGAGCAGCGCAACAAAGGAGCGCATGTCCGCCCTGTGCCACTCGGTCATTAAGACTGTGATCGTGCTGATGGCCAACAGCCCTAAGATCAAGAAGCATGTACGTCGTCGCATTGGCTACGACTCGCTCAAGAACATCATCGTCAAGTACGAGACTGTTATCTCAGAGACAACGATGAAGCTGATCTTTGACATGATCGTCGACGACGAGTTTGATCGCGAGTACAACTATGTGATCCAGAACAGCGATGCCATCTTGCTGCTGTTCAGCTTGCTGCGCAACTTTCCCCTGGCACTGCAGCACCGCATCCTGGACACGATCACACCAATCGTCCTAAAGTGCACAACCAATCAATCGGTGTGCTGTAACTCCAACCTGATCTACCACTTGCTGGACGCCATCAATGCATCCAGCGAGATGGACATCATCACCAAGATCCTTGGACTGATAGAGTCACTCGGCTACCACAGTGTCAATGTGCGTGAGCTCAAGAAGATGTTCCGTTTGCTCAAGAGTGGCGACACGGGTGACAACCGCCCACCAATCACCTCAGTTTTGCTCTCCACCCTGCAGAACATAGCCATTACACGCAATCCAGGCCCCCAAGTATACTTTGACTTTGATGGCCGCGTTTCCAGCATCAACCTGCCCACGCTAGACAAGTGGCCATTTGCCAAGGGCTTCACATGCACGACGTGGGTGCGTATCGAGTCCTTTGTCGACCCGACCGGCACTCCCGACTACAAGCCTCGCCTGTTCAGCTTCCTCAACGACAGCGGCAGTGGCATCGAAGCTCTGTTCATCTATCATCAGCTGCAGATCCAGACCGTGCACAACTACACTCCTTCCAAGCCTGTGCTGACCACCGGAGCGCCCTCCTTTGACGAGCACAAATGGTATTTCGTCAGCATAGTCTACTCGACCAACCTGTTCTCTGCCAGCGAGATCAAGGTGTATATTGATGGCGCTCTGCGCACCAAGACGTCACTCAAGATGAATACAATGAGCGGCGTCATGAACAACTTCAAGATTGGCAACAGCATCGAGCTCGAGTCACGCACCAACCCGCTGTACGGTCAGATCGGCGCGTTCAACATCTTTGAGGAGTCTCTGTCCCCATCGCAGATCCAGTCGATCTTCTCTCTGGGTGCCAACTTCAACACATCGTTCACAGACGTCGAGGGCTCAGGTGGAGGCAAGAGTAGCCACGCCACCGACCAATCACTCACAAACAGGTTGTTCCTCAGTTACAATTGTCGTGCGATTGACGGTGACATCTGTCTAGACAACACACCAAACATTGGTGTCGACCGCAACTGCGACGCTGCACTAGTATCCATCAACCCTTGCATCTCACGTGACATCAAGGACATCATCTACTGTCTTGGAGGCATCAAGGTTTTGTTCCCGCTGATCCCACAGGCCAACCAGTCCAGTCTGGGCGGCAGTTCACTGAGCAGCAGCAGCGTCATCGACCCTTCCAACAACGCCCGTCTCACCATGCAGATCCTTGCACTGTTCAAAGACATGCTCCGTGGCAGTGAGGCCAATCAAGAGGAGATGCTGCGTTGCAAGGGCCTCTCAGTACTCTCGTATCTTCTGCAGCAGATTCCCTCGGACAACCTGACGCAGTACGTGCTCAACATCTTCAAGGACATGCGTAACCAGATCACCGACCCCAACCTCGTCGAGGAGGTCTACTCGATCCTGCTTCTGGACTTCCGTCTTTGGATCAAGACACGTTACGAAGTCCAACGTAGCCTTTTGCTGACGATCAAACAGATTGTCCAGGACAAGCTGGATCAGGTGCGCGATATTATCACTGTTCAGGTGTTGCTGGACATCATGGCCAACTTCTTCTGGTACGAGTTCCACGAGACTAGCTCGATACTCAATGCCAAGGACATCATTCAGAAGCGTCCAAGCATCAACAACATTCTATCTCTGCGCCAGATCACACTTGAGATCATCCAGATCCTTCTCAAGAATCCCACCACGAACGATGTTTCATCATTGTGTCGCTACGCCATCTACACACTGGACTCTCGAGCATCGATCGAAGCCCTCGAGTTTATCATGGAGCTCATCGCAAAGCCAGGCGCAGCCGGCCAATACCAAGCGTTCTTTGACGAGTTGGAGAAGCTGGGTAGCACCGACATCTTCCTCACGCTACTCTCGAGAAAGGAGGAGCGCGTTCGCATCATGGCGCTGCAACTCATCGCCAAGATCTATGTAACACACTACCAGCACACGAGCTCTAGTGCCAGCAAGCTAACGATCAAGCGTCGCACCAAGTCCATTTTCCAGGACTCTATCATCATCGCTCGCTCTCTCCACCTCTTCCCGCTGACCGAGCTGACCTATGGCAACCTTCTGGCGTTCGCTCTGGGAATTTGTGAGGTCGGTTCAACATTCCACATGTTGCGCCTCGAGAACATGATGGCTGAGGCCAGCTGCGACATCGTCTTCCCCGAGGTGATGAGTGTCATCATCAAGCTTCTGCCAAGCGCTGACACGATTGTGCTTCGCCAGATGATCTTGCACAACATCAAGATGCTGTTGGTTCAGCCTAACAACTCAGCCAATCGCACTGCATTCCTCCAGATTGACAAGTGGCCCGAGCACCTGTTCTCCGTGCTCAACGACACTGAGATCAAGAATGACGCGCAGTACTCCAATGTCACGGATCTGATCATTGACATCATGAAGGTGCTGGCCATTCACTCAATGAACGAGGTCAAGGGCTTCAAGATCCTCGAGCAGATCCTCGCCACACTGCGACCCTACGCCGAACGTGGAGTGCTCAACTACCACTTCCTCACACGTACATTGCTCTCCAACATCGTTGTGGCCGTCAAGTCCGAGGCCATGCGTGATAAGGACTCGCCACTCAACAATAAGTCCAAGAAGTTGTCGGACAACATCATCCATTTCCTGATGGTCGTTGAGGAGTTTGTGTTCTACTCGCCTCTGGACGATGTCAACTCACTGTCCAACTCACTGGTCCTCGTGGATAGTGCTGCGTCCATCCCCGAGCCCAGTGGAAACGGCCATCAGAGTGTCAACTTGCGAGCAAGTCTGGCCAGCAGCATCAGCTTCCTCACCGTGAATGATAATAACAACAACAACAATGGCGGCAGCCCTGGAAGCTCGCCATCAGGCGGCTCAGGCACACCAGTGATCAACGCACCCAGCCACTTCAGCCGCATCCATCTTAACGAACGCAATGAGTGGATCGACTACCAGTTGGTGACTGAAGTACTTGACATGGTGGACACACTCAAGATTGGCAACTACACAGCCTACGAAGGCACTTACAGCAACAGTCTGCAGACTGGCAAGGCCATCCAAGTGTACACCACGCATCAGCAGCGTATTGTCCATCGCATTCTGCTCGAGACGATCAAGGAGGCTTGCAAGCGAACAGGCGAGCCCATCTCAGTCGTTCATCTTCACATCTCGCGTCTACGCACGTTAATGGATCGCGACCTTCACAGCAAGTCCGAGGAAGTCAACATACGTTGCCTGTACGCGCTCTCACAGTTGATCAAGGCGATGCGCAACACGATCGACAACAATCTGACGGCGTACCAAAAGTTGTTGGTGCCGCCAATGAAGGACATCATCAGGAAGGTGCGTTCGGGCATCACGGCCCACCTCGTACACCGCCACACCAACACATCCCGCCACAGTGTCAGCGTCAGCGATATTGAACACGAGATCGCAGGATGGGTGTCTGAGTTGTCGGACTCCACTCGCTCTGACGACTTCTGCACGATCGTCATGTGTCACGTGCGCTGGACACACGTATGCGAGTACGTCGAGGAGCACTCAGCGCAGTTCTACCACGAGGAGAAGGCTATCTCGCATCGCGTCGACAAGCGCAAGAAGAAGCGCCAGAAGAACTTGCAGGCAATGGACGACAAGGAAGCCGACACCTTCTCCAACACCGAGAAGAAGGCCGACGCTGACATCAAACATGTCGACCGCACGCTCTGGATCCCCGAGCGCGACCGCCGTCTGGCGCTGCTGACCAACATGCAGATGTCCACGTATGAGATCGCTGCACAGTGGCGTCGCATCATGCGTGAACTGTGCAATGAACGTGGACCTTGGGGCACGACCGAGACTGTCGTTCACTGGAAACATGACAAGACTGAGAACAACTCCCGGATGCGTTACAAACAGAAGCGAAACTACAAGTTCAACGACCATGCCAACTGCGCAATCGATGAGGATGTCAACAGCCCTGGCTCGCTGGCTAGCATTATTTCAAGTGACAGCAGCCGTAAGGACTCGTCCATCTCGGACCTCAAGGTCAAGCCTTTGCTCAACAACAAGGACAACGACCTCTTGGATGACTGGGCACTTGTGGAGGAGTCAGATATGCTTCTTGATGACCAGGCATCACCGCCTTTCTCACCTGGCGGTCCCCTGCCCAACTTTGCTGGCGCTGCTTCAATGCCAGCCGCAAAGAAGATCCTGTACACTACTCAATGCGACTACGTCACGCCAATGAACGTCAAGAAGGGTCGCCTGGACATCACATCCGTTCACATCACCTTCACTGAGGAGCTCACTGATGAGGCTGCCGCAGCTTCAGCTGCCCAACTTGGTGCGCCACGCATGCCAAAGATCAAGACATGGGCATGCGAGGAGATCAAGGACGTGCATTTACGACGCTACCTGTTGCGTGGCAGTGCACTCGAGGTGTTCATGCGCGACCAGACGACATTCTTCCTGAACTTCTCAAAGAATGACCGCAACAAGGTGTTCTCCAAGATCCACTCTGTACGTCGCACCTACTACAAGGAGAGCATGGCCAATTCATTGTCGCCACAGGACACTCTCAAGAAGGCAATGGCAGACTGGCAACAGCGACGCATGTCCAACTTTGACTACCTCATGACCCTGAACACCCTGGCCGGTCGTACCTACAACGACCTCACCCAGTACCCCGTGTTGCCTTGGGTGTTGGCTGACTACACGTCAACGACACTCGACCTGTCCAACCCGGGCGTGTACCGCGACCTCAGCAAGCCAGTGGGAGCGCTCGACCCCGACCGTCTCAAGGTGTTCCGCGAGCGTTACGACACCTTTGACGACCCCGTCATCCCCAAGTTCTACTACGGATCTCACTATTCTAGCGCGGGCATTGTGCTGTTCTACATGATCAGGATGGAGCCATTCACATCACACTTCCTGCAACTGCAGGGCGGTCGCTTCGACCACGCCGACCGTATGTTTGATTCGATCGCGCAGGCCTATCGCAACACGCTGAGCAGTACGACCGACGTCAAAGAGCTCATACCCGAGTTCTTCTACCTGCCCGAGATGTTCACCAACCAAAACAACTTTAGCTTTGGCGTCAAGCAGGATGGCCGCGCCATTGGCGACGTGATACTGCCCCCATGGGCGGCAACCCCACACGACTTTGTTCGTATCAATCGCGAGGCCCTTGAGAGCGAGTTCGTTTCAGCACACTTGCACGAGTGGATCGATCTGATCTTTGGCATCAAGCAGCGAGGCCGTCTCGCAGTCGAGGCCTTCAATGTGTTCTACTACCTCACGTACGAGGGTGCGGTCGACATTGACGCAATCGAGGATGAGATGATGCGCAAGGCTACTGAGTCCCAGATCAATCACTTTGGACAGACACCAACACAATTGTTTGCCAAGAAGGCGCATCCCTCTCGCGATGCCTTCCAAGAGAGCCAACAATCAATCTTCAAGTCGCCACAGTACTTACAGGCATTCTACCTCAAGATAGGCTCAAAGCCACTGGTCTATGTGTTCATCCCCGAGCAGGCCCAACCCATGTCCTACATCCTCTCGGACAAGGTCAGCATCGTGGATCGCTCGCGAGTCGTCACCTGTCACAAGTGGTTCCCCAACACACAGAACGAACGTTCGCCATTCACATTGGAGCTGGACCCATCGTCCAACAGCAACAAGCGTCGCGTCGGTCTTCCATTCGCCAACGACGTCAACATCTCACAGAACTGCTTTGCCGTCACCAATGACGGACGCTTCGTCATCAGCTGCGGCCACTGGGACAACAGTTTCAAGATCTCGTTCACAGACAGTGCCAAGCTGATCCAGAGCGTCGTTAAGCACAAGGACATTGTCACATGTCTGGCATGGTCGTCAGAGATCCAGACGCTGATCACTGGCTCGCGCGACACCACTCTGATGGTCTGGAATCTGCGCAAGAGTGGCGCCACTCCCAAGTTTGACAGCGTGCCCACTCACATCCTTTATGGCCACGACGATGAGATCACCTGTGTGGACCTCAACGTTGAGTTGGACATATGTGTAAGTGGTTCCAAGGATGGTTCATGCATCATCCACAGTCTGCGCAAGGGCGAGTACGTTCGTACAATCTATCTACCAACTCAATCATCAGTCAGCATCTGTTGTATATCCAATCAAGGACACATTGTCATTTATTCACAAGTAAGTAGTGTTGTGTGGACGTGGACATGGACATAATGACATGATACTAACCAACTCAATCAATCAATTATAGGATGATCTGATCATCTACTTGTATAGTATTAATGGACATTTGTTGTCCACAGTCAACACTCATGAGCGACTCCAAAGTATTATCATCAGCAAGGACTCTGAGTACTTGATCTCTGGTGGTGAGAAGGGAACTCTTGTAGTGAGGACATTGTATAAGTATGTATAATGTATTGTTATAGTAAGGTGTTCCATGTATCTAACTCTCCAATCAATCAGTCTTAAATTCGCACATAAGCTAACATTGGATACACAGATCACATCATTGGCATCTGATCAGAGACATCTAATGGTTGGAATGGAGGATGGACGTCTACTTATTGTGGCCTCAAGTCTATCACATAACGCCTCATCATCGTTGACCTCTCCATTGGCATCCTCAGCCAGACAGAAATAAACTCATTCAATCCCATCCATTCATCCAACAATGATTGTTATTTATTCAAATCATACTTGAAGGAATGATGCATCACAATAGAAACTGTTACAACCATGTGGAGCTGTTGTGAATGCTTGTAATCTGTATCCATTGGAGCACTTGAGGACAATGCCTGGACAGAGTTGTCGATGTACTGGTGTACATCCATTGGGCACGACACATCTGTTTGTGTTGCGAATGAATGCATTGGTCTCTTTGGGATTGTCACACTTCTTTGGCAACACCTCTGGACAACCAATCTCACGATCCTCCACATTGACATAGATACCCGTGGCCATGAACTTCTTTCCATTCAATCGTCCACTGATCAATGCATAACTTGATCTCTTGGTCAAAAGGTCATTTAGCCACTTATGATCAAAGCCTGGAACTGAACTATAAGGATGTGATAGACTACTGGCCATTACATGTTGATCTGTGTTGACCATGTCCAGACGTAATGTTGAGCATTGTAGTATATCTTGGCAGTTGGCTACTGATGATGAATCAATCATATAAACTGGATTCTTGGTATCCACTTCCGGTACTACATTGCTGCCAAATGGGATAAACATTGGAAGTAATCTGTAGACTATGTTGACTTGCATGTCCACCACTGGCGCACCACGTACCATCATTCTAGTTGCCAAAACTCCTTTAACCAATACATTGTCCTTGTGTGCAGAGTCTACTATACTCTCATTGAATCCATCTTTGAATCGAACAGCATTTGGTGAGAATGATACATCTCCATTCAATTCACTTATTGTGTACTTGTTGTTGCATGTGTCCTCCTCAGTCTGTTTTACATCCTTGCATTGATTGAGTCTCCAGTAATTTGTTGGTGCATCATCTCCAGTTGTTGCCAATGTACAAACTACAGACAACAACAATAATATGGATAAAGTTTCTATTCTTGAAGAAGACATATTTTAGATTTGTTTGATTGTTTGTTTGATTGATTGTATGATTGAGTGATTGATTATATTGATGATGTTGATAATGTAGTGAAGTGGCACTTCAGACTACTCGCTTGTCACTTGTGGAAACAAACATGGTTGATGGCTGTGATGATGTGGATGACAGTATGAAAGTTATAAACCAAGACATATTTGATTGGAACGGTGTGAATGTGTGAACTGCCAATGACATTCGAACTGGAAGCGTTGACACTTTACACTTCAATTCACTTCACACCACACTCTTCTCACTCACTCTTTGTCAATCTAATCCAATCCAATCCAAACAAATACACAACATGGTACATATATATATAATGTTGAGGAAAAAGATAAAGAGAGAAATAGGAATTATAATTATTCCTAAACAGATGTTGTGTTTAAGTTGTGTGAGGATCGATCATGAGCAATGGCGAAACAAAGAGTACCAAATATTCGGCAGCTGGATACCGAAGTAAATATCAATTGACTGATTTGCACAATGGGGTATCCTCCTGTACAAACAAGTGTAAGGGGGATAGAGATTGAGGCATGGTTGTGCAGGGTTGTTTTTCCGATTGATCAAGTGATCACTCACTGCCCTATTTGCCCCTGCGTACCTACACATAAACAAAGTTATGAATGCATAGGGGTGCGAAAGATAGTCCTGTTGTTGATGTTGTTGGTATCAGGATAGGACCACATTGCCCAAAAGTAGCGGCAGGATTAAATAACGATTAAACATGACTGATATCGATTTGTTCAAACAATCATTGATCGACCATCATACATCGAACAAACAGATATATATATATATAAACTTCAAACAAATATTATATATTTAGAACAACAACACTTATAGTAAATTCATAGTTGAGTTGGTTCGTTGCAGAACAAACAAGATTGATTGAATAGTGTCTCTATTCCAACAGGTACATACATATATAACACAAACCCCACACACAAATAATATTCATTCACACTTTAGTGTTGCCAACAGTTAGTTGATCGATCAACAACAATACCACCCAACCACCACCTCTATCGATTGATTGATTGATTGATTGATGTGTTATAAATCATGTGTGTGTGTATTTCATTGGCAGTTTAGTGGTAGTAGTGGATGGTGGAGTCAATGTATGTGTGTGTGTGTGTGTTAGTGGTCAACACATCTTGGAAGATCAAAGGTCAGCTGAAGGGAGGGAGAGTGAGGGAGTGACTCCAGCTTCTTCATCTTAAACTGCTACTACACGTTGTTGCAATCGATGATCGTTGTTGTTATTTTAAAACAACCTCACTGGCAATAGAAGGTAGCAGCAGCAGCATCTGTATTAGTAGTAGTAGCAACAACAAGTAGTGTCATTCATTCAATCACAATCAATCAATCAATCATAGCAATACTCCAATCACAAACACTACTATCATTCATTCATTCAACAGATATATTAGATTAAGAGAGGATGAAGGATAAAGTAATTCTAACCAAACCTTTGGCTGCATTGGCCTCATCACATAAGTCAGACAGTAGTGTATTACCAAAGAGTGTTAGTTATAACCTGAGCAGTAGTAGCAGCAGCTCAAGCAAGAGTAGTGGAAATAGAAGTAATCGTAGTAGTGCACTTGTTACTTCAATATCACTAGCTGATCACTATCAACAACAACAACAAAAGAGACAACAACAACAACTATTACAACAACAACAACAAGATTTGGAAACATATAATGATAAAGAGGCAATGATGGTTGTTAGTTGCCTGAAGAATCAGAATACACCAGACACAATGTGCACGACAAATAGCACTCTACCACCGCCATTGAACTCGACTGCATCGTCCTCCTCATCCTCTTCCTCCTCGTCATCATTTGGTTCAAGCAAACAAACAATGACTGCAATTATATCATCATCATCATCGCAGCACTACAATGAGTCTGCTTCCACTGCTGTTGCCATTCACACATCACAACAGCCAGGACAGCCCGCACAGACACATAGACCAACACAGCTGTTCTTCACAATGATAGCCAACAGCCACATTTGGAAGTCGATCACAAAGCACGTGCTGACCAGACGCTCGATATTCTCTGAACGTCTGTCTTATCGCCCGATGCAATGCCAGCGCTATAATCAGATAAACTCGGCCGAATGGATGATGGCCAACGATCACTTTGGACTGCTGCTCGACAAGATGAAGACGCAGCGCCCGCCAGTGTTCAATCAACGCGCACTCATTCAGTTGGCCGGCAAGTGCCGGAGCGCGCAAACCTTCCACCTGGTGTTCCAGGCAAAGCGCGAGTACTTTTGCAATGATACGGCGCTGGTCGAGGCTGCCATTGAGGGCGGCAACCTCACCGTTGTACAATATATGATGGATGAGCAGCACTGGCTGCTGCCTCCCACCGCCCTGGAGCTGGCGGCGCGCGCAGGTCACATCGACGTGCTGGACTTCCTAATACACAGGCGCCAGCCACTGCCGCCCAACACCGTTCCCGCGCTCTTCAAGATCGCCCTGCAGCACAATCGACTGGCAATGGCGCGCCACATTTTTGGCAAGATTGGCTTCTTCCTGAGCGGCCCTGTCGACCAATTCTTCCGCCTGCTCTGCTGCATGGGCGACTTTGCCTTCTTCAAGCTGGTGTACGAGTCGCTGCAGCTGGTGCTGGCGTCGACGGCGCTCAAGGAGTACTTGACATACCTCTCAGACCTGCTCAACTACCAGACGACGCCATTGACACGCGAACACATTCAAATAATCAGCTACATTGAGCGAGGCAATGGCCGCACTACACTGCCGCCAATCTCAGCCACAATGAGCGATGCGGCCATGTACAGTCTGTTTATCCGCTGGATCAATTTGAATCGCCCACAGGTCGTGGGCACAATGTCCAACTCAATCCTGAGGACCGCCGTGTTCTTTGATGACGCTGAGCTTTACGCCTACACCGTCAAGACCTTCCCCAACGCCCATCCATGTCGCCACATGCAGCTGGCCTGCTCACAAGGCGCACACAACATTGTCCAGTACCTCATCGAGAACCAGATCGAGCCAATGACGCACCGCTCCATCCAGCTGGCCTACTTTGGTCGCCACAACACACGTCATCAACTATATCCGCAACAACGTGGCGGCCATCAAGATTGAATCATCGCACAGCAGTCGCAAGCCATTCGAATATCGTGGCGCCTACCCCATCGAGATCTTGGAGGCGGCGCTGCACTTTGACGAGGTGACCGACCCAGTGCTGCGCATCCTGGCTGCGCCTGGCTACATGGACTCGGACACCCTTCAAGAGATCTTTGTTGGCGCCTTCCACTCTGGCGATACAGACACATTGCGACACATGATTGAGAAGCGTCTCGATGACATCAGTGTCACTCGTCCACTATGGCAAACGATTGCCAAGATTGGTGATCCTGGACTGTTTGAGTCGATGGTGGCACTACATCGCACGACAAAAGAGGGCCGCACTCGCGAGCTGTCATTGCTGACGCTGGCCACACGTTTGTCGGTGGACGCATCGATCTGGGGCCAACTAGAGTTGCTGGTGTACTTGATACAGACTCACAAGGTGGATATGGATCAACAACAGGTCGAGTACTTGGTGTCATCGGCAACATTCAACGGCAACAGTGACATTGTACAATATTTGATGGATAACTACAAGGTGTCAAAGAAGACGCAGGCATCATTGATGAAGCATGCCATCAATTACAAACACTTTGACCTCGTACGACTCTATCATCAGCACTACTCGATACCCATTGACAAGAAGTTGATCAAGACCACTGGCAACTGTACTGTCGAGTCCTTCAAGAAGCCCAATAAAAAGAAGATGACTTAAGTGTCATTAATGAGCTGACCATCAACCAATCTGTTGTTATTATATTTGTTTGATCAAACATGAGTGGCAATCAATCATGTAGATGGTGTGTTTATTGAGGCAAGCTGGTTGGACTTTTAAAGAAGAGACATGATCAACGTAGCAAGGATCATTGAGGCACATCCAATAACTTGGCTTGCAGTGGCTATGTATTGAAAAGTGATTGTTAGAATGATTAATGGAACAAATGATTGATTGATTGAATACATACATTTCAATTGATCATTATTCAATTGGTTCAAGAGACAGGCTTGATCGTCAATGTGGCAATTGGTGTTCACAATTTTGCCATCAGTAGAGTTGCCTGATGCTCCAGTGGTCGAAGGGGTAGAGGTTGTCGAATTACCAGATGTACCAGTAGTAGTGGCTCCGTTGGTGGTAAAGTTTCCTGAACTACCTGTGGACGTGGAAGAGTTCCCAGTTGACCAGTTTCCACTTGTTGAAGTCCATCCGGTAGTCCAGTTTCCACTACCAGTTGAGGTACCGCTGGTGGTCGAATCCCATCCTGAAGAGGTCTCGTTGCCAGTGGATCCAGATGTCGAGGTCCAGTTACCAGTAGTGGTTGAATCACCTGATGAACTGTTCCAGTTTCCTGTGGTTGAGGTCCAACCAGAAGTCCAGTTTCCACTTGTGGTCGAGTCCCATCCGGATGTGGTATCATTACCAGAGGTTGTGGTATTCCAGTTTCCAGTAGTTCCGGTAGAGGTCCAATTTCCAGACGTAGTTGAGTGTCCAGAAGTTGAGGTAATATTACCAGTTGAGGAATGGCCTGTGGTAGTTGCATTACCAGTGGTGGTAGAATTATTGGAACTATTGGTAGTGATGGTTTTCAATGCCATGGTGGCAGAGGACAACACAATCACTAAAGCCAAGATTTGGAAAATATATCTTTGATTCATTATTCAAATAATTATTATTACTATTATTAAGAAGAGGTAGTGGAAATATTATTTCTAAACAAACTATTTATAGAGAGTGATCAAGTCGAATTTGGACCAATTCCAGTCCAGATCATCATAATCAACATCACAAGCTATCTCGTTGATCTTAATTCCATCAGTTGTCACCCTCCTAATGAATGCCAGCTCAACATATTCGTCATCATCCATGAACACCGAAGAATGAATCCCAAGGAGGGATTGGAGATATCTTCTTCGGCGGTATGGATAGAAGGTATTTTTGAAAGGATCACTATGGCTAGATTCAGACTGATTACCTTGTGCAAGCATATGATATTGATCATACCATCTGTTTTCTGTTTACGTTGCAACATTGTTTTACAATTTTTCTGGTCATTGGATCTTTGCACACTTGGACAGACAAATCAATTTTATCAATCTGCTACGTCATATCATTGTACAATGATATTATTGGAGTGTCTCTAGTATTAGCTTCCGAGTTAAAGTGATACCGAAAGTCAACGTGTTTATTGATCTTTCTCTCATGTTGGGAAGTCAAAGACTATTATTATAACAAACCATCCAACAAAAACAATATATTTATTTATCAATTTTATAATAATAATTATTATAAATACTTTATGTATTATTTATTTATAATAGATTATTTATGGATCAAAAAGAAGGGTATATGGCCGATACACTCAATAAGCCAAACTACTAAGATAGACTACCCCATCACTATTATCTTGTCAAATGATTACCATATTCTTAAACTTTGACCTTTCAAGATCACTTAGTATTGGATACAAATGATACAATTATCAATAAGATTACAACTACAATAATAAACTATGTTGATCCTACTATCTATTTACCAACATTTATATGTTGGTCCATGTCCAAGAACATAAATTTGTTGATTTTGAAAGTTCGATAAAAATGATTTGTTTTTGATTAATTGTGCAAAAAATAGATTGATTGAAAACGAACGAAAGTCATAGTCTATGTTGTTTGAATGAATGAAGTCAGATAGATGATCAAACGGTGAATCATAATATATATATACATAAATAAACAAAGAAGAAAGACACTCGATCATGGCAGAAGACTATACATTCTTACATCAACTACCGGATGTACCTCTACCATTCGTCAAGCCAACTGGCAACTTACTCAACAAATGGGATATGAAGATGGCCAAGACAAAGGCATTCGGCTATGGCGCTGTCAATCGTATTCAATTCGACACAAACAATCAGATGTTGGTCACCTTTAACAAGAGAGTGATGGTACTGAATCAGGACCCCAAGGCAATCATCGCCGCATCAACCGAGCGTATCGTCGCCGACTACAAAGACAGTCCACCATACTCTGCAACACTTCGTAGTGATGGACGTCTGGCCGCTATCGGTGGAGAGCAGCCACTAATCAAGTTATTCAACGTCGAGACACGCAACATACTCCGTACATTCAGGGGTCATACAGGGTAGGTCACTCAATCATTCAATCATGCAATCACTCAATCAATCAATCACTCACTCATACTGAACAAACAAATCACTTTAGACCAGTACACGTTGTAAGGTTCATTGGAAAGGACAGGATCATCTCTGGTTCAAACGATCAGACCATTAGGATTTGGGATATAGATACGGGCGAGGAGACTCAGTTGGTTGGTAGACACACTGATCAGATCAGAGCGTTGGTCGGACATCCAATCAATAATAACTTGTGGCTGAGTGGTGGATATGATCACAAGGTTAAGCTATGGGACATTGATAACAATACATGCGTACACACCTTGGATCATGGTGCGCCCGTTGAGGATCTAATCATTCTCAAGTCGGGCTCGATGGCAGTCAGCTGTGGAGGCAACTACATCCGTGTATGGGACCTACTTGCCGGCACCATGGCATTCCAATCGTCCAACCATGCCAAGACCATCACATCACTCTATCTCAATGACAAGGGAACAAAGTATGTTTATCCATTCAATCAATCAATCAAGTTTAGTTGAGTGACTAACTCATCCATCAACTATAGGTTCCTCTCAGCTGGTCTCGATCAGATCGTAAAGGTCTACTCATCGACCAACTATGGTATCATAAGCACGATCAAGTTTGGCGAGCCAATCCTAACGATGACAATGAATAACAAGAAGCTGTACGTGGGTACGACATTGGGCTCGATCCAAGTCGCCAAGAAGAAGATCCAGACCAAGCGTGTAGCCAAGCGTGACTCAAAGAACAACGTCAGCAAGACCACCCTCACAGACGTTGCCGCTCTCAACCGTTTCAAATGCTCAAACGTCGACAAGTTGCTCAAGAAGTTCGAGCACAAGGCTGCCTTTGATGCTGTATTGCTCGTAAGTCCTGGCATGGAAACATCATCTTGATCAGACCAATACTAACCTCTCTCCTCCCCATACATCAGATCGAGAAGAGCAAGGATGTATTCTTCAAGGTTGTTTGCGAGTTGAGTAGACGTGAGGCGTTGGATGGCGTGATGATGGGACGTGACACAGAGGGATTGACAGCATTGTTGGAGATGATCCTAAAGTTGGTCCAAACGACCAAGTATACAAGCTGTGGCGTGATGCTCATGGACAGAGTGTTGGATCTCTACAAGGAGACATTGCTGAAAGAGAAGGATACCGCCAACTTGTTCTTCAAGATCAAGTCAGTCGCCAAGAAGGAGCTTTATAAGCAGCGATCGGTTCTCAGAGTGGCTGGCGCTCTAGAATTGCTGTACAGCAACCAAACAGAGAACACATCAACTATACAATCAGCAATGGCAACTGATGCCGCTGAGTCAACTCTACCATTGCCAATCAACAGCAGCAGTAACAAGAGAGATAGAGAGGAAAATGGTGATAGTGAGGAATCCTCATCGGAAGAGGAGGCCTCCAAGCCAACCAAGAAGTCAAACAACAAGAAGAAGGAATCAAGCGAGGAAGAGTCACAATCAGAGGAAGAGAGAGAGACAAAGAAGACCGCCAAGAAGAAGAAGAGTTCTAAATAATAACTTGTGTGACACCAACGAATAAAGGCAAGGACAAGATAGAAAGAATATATAAGTTATTGATTGATTGATTGGTTGGTTGATTGGTTGATCGTTGGAGGCTATATGATCGATTGCTGGGATGAATGGATGGATGGAGGTTGTACAATTGGAGTGTTCGCGCTTGGAGCATGTGATTGGATTGATCGGTTCATTCTGGGAGATTGGACGGACGTCGACTATTGATTGTTTTGTTGCTGATCCTTCATCTTGGCGATCAGACTATTGTAGAGCTCAGCCAAACCTTCTTCCTTGGCCTTGTTAAGGAGATCTAATGTGTAATGGAATGAGAGAGAGGTTCGAGGTCATTATGGTTACTCTCGCAAGCGCTTCTTTTCGGATGTCTTGTTGTGCTTGATATCTTATATGGAAAGGGAATGGGGATGGAGATGACATTCAATCAATGATTGGTGATGTGTTTACAACAACAGAACGTCATCATGTTGGTTATGATGATGTTGATTAAGGGAATGTGATGATTATGATGAGTGTTGGAATGTCCACCTACCTTCGCCATTAACATTGTCCACGGGTTGCACAGCTTCCTCTAGTCTCTGGGCAAACGCACTTGAGTTTGAAGTCTTTTGTTTCTGTTGTATGAAGACTTGTTTGTTAGTCTCGTGCAATGATTGGATTGTTGCAACAACAAACATACCTTGTTCGATGATGGGTCTCTATAATTCTGACTCAGTGGTCTTGGCTCTGGGGCAGACTCTTGTCGTGCAACATCAATCTCGATGGTATCAACCCATTCTTGTGGTATGACTCCGTTGCTTGTGTTGGTTGTCGATGTAGTCGATGTTGATGTAGTGGTTGTTGGTGCCGTTGTTGTTGTCGTTGTCGTCGTTGTAGTTGGTGTTGTCGCTGGTATATTATTGTTGTTGTTATTGATGTTGTTGTTGTTTGTTTGTGGTTGAGCTACATAGATAGTTCTAATGTTCCTCATTATAACACCAGAGAATGGTGCCAATCCAGGATTGACTGAACTTAGACGATCTTGAATGAATCCATTGATAATGATAAAGGCATCCTCTACACCACCTGAGCGATTGGCAATCTCTGTGACCATCTCGTTGATGGAGGCAGTGGACCATTCCGAAGTCAGTTGCTTGATTGGGTTGCTCTCTGATGGCTCCGACATGACAATCTTAAAGATCTGGGTCATGTACTTCCTAATGAGTGCGATCACCACTTGATCCAAGTTGCTATTGGGCACAATACGATTCCTGACCTCGAGTGGAATGTTGTGCAGTGTTGTGAAGTATGGTCTGACCGACTCGATGAAATCGTCGATGACGGCGTCGTAGCCTTGTGAGGACGTGCCAAAGTCGTTCATGAGTACGCGTCTGATATTGGTGTGACCTTGCACATTCTGTGCCGGCACGTCAGAGAAGATCATTTGCATGTCCATAAAGAGCAGAGGCAACTGTGAGGTGAATGAGTTGCCGTTGGCATTGTTGTTGTTGGCAGCAGCGTTGTTCTGGTCGGCGGCAGCTTGAGGGTTAAGTAGTTGGGCCATCATATCCATGAATGGCTGAGCTGGGTTGGCTTGGCCAGGCTGTTGTGGCTGACCTGGTTGTTGTCCTGGCTGCACTCCACCACCAAACATTGAACCCATAACATTCTGAATTAGACCATTTAGGTCGAAAGGCAAGCCTGGTTGTTGTCCTTGTGCTTGTTGTTGTTGTTGTTGTGCTTGTTGTGGTTGTCCTTGCTGACCTTGTGGTTGTTGTCCTTGAGCTTGTTGACCTTGCTGACCCATCAATGATCCCATAACATTCTGCAAGAGATTGTTAAAGTCGAATGGAAGAGCACCTGGTTGACCAGGCTGGGGCTGTTGTCCCTGAGCTTGCTGTTGTTGTGCTTGCTGAGCTTGTTGTTGGAGATTGGCAAACACATTGGGGAATGCTTGGGCTGGGTTGGGTTGACCGGGGAATACCTGGCCAGGGAATGGCTGGCCTGCTGGGAATTGGACGTTCGCAAAGGGGGCGCCAGGGAATGGCTGGCCGGGAGCCTGGCCTTGAGGATCGATCTGCACATGGATCTGAGATATCTGTGCAGTGGGTTGTGGTGGGGTGAAGGTGGCCTCGCCTGGAACACTGCCAGCATGGAATCCACTCAGGTAATGCGCCATTGATGAGGAGGCCATTGATGTGCGCTGGTAGGCAGCCTGTAGGTCTCTGATCTGTTGTTGCAATTGCTGTCTCTGTTGTTGATCATCAAGGTTTCTCTCATTGTCCAACGCTGTGATTGCAGCATCAGTGTTCTCTGTGAGCCACTGTAGTGTTGTTCTTGCCGACCTCAATGACTCTGCCATCCTCTCACTTGTTGGTCTATCATTGTCCTGAGCTGGTGCTGGGGCTGGGGCTGCTTGACCTGGCTGTTGTTGTTGTTGAGGGTTTGCGACAGAGTTGAATATGGTACGAATGTTCTGATGCATTGATTCAGGGTTCTGTGGAGCACCACCAACAACGACACGGTTCGCTCCAGTTAGACCTCTAAGTACATTCTGGATTGTGATGTTGACATCACCAGGTATACCTGGTATTCTACCGACCTGTGGAGATTGTTGCTGTTGTTGTTGTTGCTGTGTCTGACCCTGTGCACCACCAGCAGGTTGTTGAGGGTTCTGTTGTTGATCGGGTGGTCTCTCTGCCAAGTGTAGAGTGTTACCCTCTTCAATATCTAAGTACTTATATATTAATAATCAATCATTCAATCAATCATTCATACAACAATACACATACTATAGAATTGAATGTCCTTGTCATCCCTCAAGACCTTTCCTTTGAATATCAGTCTCTGTTGAGCAGTTGGTATAGTGGACAGAGTCTGCAAAGCTTGTTTCAAGTCTGTGATACTCATCGAAGGTGAAACCTTCAAAGTGAACACTTGTCCATCGAGCTTCTTTACGTTTATGTTTAGCTCACTCATCACTATACTATATATCTATCTATCTTGTTGAGTTGATATTAATAATATTGTTATTGCAATTGCAAGTTGCTTTGTTCTAGTATAGTATAAAGTACACACTCAATGTCTCTATGTATGAATGAATGATTATCTAACAATGTTGTTGGTGTTGATTGGCTGATTGACAAAGTCAAGTCTCAAACTTTGTCAATGTTCACCTTCTCAAATAATCCAATGAAATTTCAATTGAATTTCATATTCAATCAGTGGAACCGATTGATTGTTGAGAACAAAGATATCAATCTAAGTACATTCAAAGTATGATTGAATAAATAATAGTTGAATCGATTGATTGATTGATTGATTGAATGATTGATTGATTGATTGAATACTCAACTACTTTTCAATAATATCTTGATGATTGATCAGATAAACACTTCTTCTTGGAAAAGATATTATCTAAGATGAATGATATATCTGCAAGTTCTGTATTATAACTAACATAACTTAGATGAAAATATTAATAAAGTGTAATTACAAGATAGTAACCTGATGGACTGGAATTGCAAAAGCATCGTGTAATCAACTACAATATTATTTTTTTTGAGTCGTGAGATGAACGTGTCGACAAAGGAAAGTGAATTGCGCATGATCATTTGATGTAGACGATAATACCAATTCATTCAATCATTCATTCATAGTACTGTACAGAGAAGAAGAAGAAGGAGTGTGTAGAGAATGAATCGTTGTCTTTACAGTACAATTGCCAATAGAAGATTGGTAAATGGTGTGCGATCGCTCTCTACACCTACATCATCATCATTATTCAACAACAGTCATAGTGCTCAGCAGTTGACAATACATTCATATAATGATCAACGTGGATTGCTACATCAACAACAAGGACAAGTCACTCAAGTGCGTTACAACTTCATCAAGGATGTGATCAACAACTTCAAGCTCCTCATCGACGAGACTCCAGAGTACAAACAGACCTTTGACGAGTTCAGACAGCGATTCCCAATCTTTAAGAGGAAGCCAAAGAAGGGCCCCATCGAGGACACCTCGGGCGAGGGCTACACAGGTCCGGGCGGCATGCCCTTCGGAAAGGAAGGCCAGCAGCAGGAGGGACAGGACATGGATCAGACACAGCAGCAACAGGGACAGGATGGACAGACAACACAGGAGCAGCCAAAGGAGAAGGTGTACGCCTCCAAGGAGGAGGAGCTGCGCGATAAATACAAAGAGTACTACAAGGACTATGAGGCACGCAAGGCTCAGGCTGACATCATGTCGATCTTCATGGGTCAGATGACAGAGGCCCAGACCGAGCAGCTGAACAAGGCCTATCAGGAGACATTGGGCGTGCGTCCGCCCTATCCCCCATGCACACGTTATGACTACTCAAAGATTGGCGAGGAGCTGCGCGATATGGCATTCGTCGAGCGTATGGAGTTGCCCATCGAGTACTTTGTCGACTCGATACCCATTGACTTTGACGAGATGCTCGAAGAGACGATTGATGCTGCCGACGAAGAGCATCTACCCGATCTGATCATGTTAATGAAGCAACGCGAAATCGAACTACGCGAGCAAGGATTGGATCCACCTCCCGTCGACTGGGAGTCCATGACATCAGTCGATCAGTTTGACGAAATTCCAGAGATATATAAAGACAGCTGTAAGTACATCCACGCTCAATCATCGATTGATCAATCAATGGAACTATTCCAATCACTCGAGATCGATCAACTCGATCACTCAATCACCTGGAACTATTCCAATCACTCGAGGCCACTCACTCAATCACTCGATCACTCGTTCGCTCGATCAACTCCATCACCTGGAACTATTCCAATCACTTACACTCACTCAATCAATCAATCAAATATAGTTGAACCAAATGAGAAGGAGCTGGAAATTATTGAGGGCTATAAGCTGCCCATACCGATTGTTAGAGATAACTGGTGGAAGCTGTTGAATAGACGCGAGAGGTTCTTGGAGGGCACGGCCAAGTTCTTTAACTATTTGCCATCATTCGGCGGCAACTACCTCTATTACTACATGGGCAAGATCTCGAGGATGTTCACCAAGAAGAAGTTCAACAAGCTGTTCATGGACCACAAGGACTACATTATGCCAGGCTTTGACATGCACAAGTTCCAAGAGATGGCCAGAAGCCACTTCTTCCCCGAATTCCTGAATCTGTTCCTGTCGGGCAACCTCGAGGAGCTGGAGGACTACTGCAGCGAGTCGGGATACAGACTGGTCAAGGGTCTGGTCGAGGCCAGAGAGTCGGGCCACAAGGTGCTCGATGGCAAGTTCATCAGTTTCGATCACTTTGAGTTCACTGGTGTCAGATTCTCACAGACCTCCGAAGAGACCCTCTTCACATTCTCAATGGTGGTCCATCATTCACATTGTATCAGAGACTATGCATATGAGATTGTACAAGGTGGTGATGTATGTATCATTCATTCAATCATTGGATTGGACTGGGACATGGACATGGACATGGACACTAACAAATCACTTAATCACTCAATCACAATAGAATGAGGTTGTCTCAACAAAGATGAATGTGGCCTTGGTGTTTGACCTGGATATGATAGACTTTGGATATGTTGTTCATCGAATCAGAATTAATGTATGTATATTATTTGAATGACATGTTATGAATGTGTACAAAGGTATCACTAACACTCGCCAACACTATCTATACGACACACAGCCATCAAAGTCGATCTATCTCTAATCATTCATACCAATAAAGATAGATAGATAGAGTATCAGTCAGCTGATTGGAAACAACAACATAGTCAATCGATTATTATTATTATTACTACAATCGTTCCTATTCATTTCTACACGTAGAATCACACGCCAATTGCTCTATTATTATCATCAACATCTCAACAATATTCATTTTCTTTGAACTTGTGTGTGTTTTGATCAAGATTGTGTTTGTTTGGTTGTTGTTGATGCTGTTTCACCCATTCAACACACCTTTTTTTGTTCCATTGCATCACCCATTGCAAGCGAGATGATGATGTAAGAGAGAGCTAGACTGGATGGCAACAGTTAAAGTGGTACCTACCCAACAACATCCATCATACATGCCCGGGCTGAGGTCCAAGGTCGCGACTGGTGCCCTCTCTCAATCATTACTTCCATCTAGCCCATGTATGATCACACTTATAATATACTCAATGAATGAAGATGAATGAACAACTACAACTGCAACATCAACTACAACAACATAAAGGAGAGAGTGTTATCCGAAAGGTACTGGGTAACAGGATACTACTTAGAGAGGTGTTTGCAAGCTGGAGGAATGGTTCCAGACATCATAGACATAGTTGGAGATCAAAGTATCATCACTGGACACATCTCAAAGACATCATTGCATCGTCACATTGGAACTTGCTACGCTCAAGAATCAATCTCCAACAATATGTTGTGATTGACAATCAATCGATATTGAGTCTTTGTCGACGATGCCATGACTTTACACTATTCCAAACGATATATGTTCGCAATCGCCAACTATTCCTCGACCCCTATATATTGTTTGAGGCAGTCAGTGGACGATCATTACCAATCGTATCGTTGTTGGCTGCCCAGGAGACACCAATCAGATTCGCACGCTCACGCAAGTTGCCTGGCCACACTACTCTCGAAACAATCATGGGACACGCTTGGGCCGTGGGCGCCATCGATATCTATCTCCACCTACTCCAGGACGAAGGCCTAGACACCATCGAAGGATATACATCTAGTGATTACTTATTGATGGCGCGTCAGTTGATGGCGAGTGGGAGTGCCTCTCACTACCACTCTGCGCTCGAACAGTGTGGTCGATACCCCAGCCTGGTCAAGGGCGTGCAGGAGGCGGCACTGGAACATCATCAACTCATCCTATCCATGGGCGATACCAAACTGATTGATCAAACTGTACAAATCAACAAACCGATGGTGATACATGAAGCGGCCACCATGCGATTCCTCATGAACATGGACCTAGACCGCCAACTCAGCACACTCATACATCTCGCTCGAACTTGCTATGGTCTGGACATCAACTACAGCGACTTCCCAGTGATCATCAATGATCTGATCGATACACTCTTGGTACAATGCCGTGCGTGTGGATATACATTGGACAGGACAAGGATCATTGATAGCAAGCTGTTGGAGAAGAGGCTGATGCTAGTGGAGATTGTGAAGTTGTTGCACAGCCAGTTCAAGAGTCGCGCTGCACAGATTGATCCCTTGCTGGAACAGTACCAACAGATTATCAATTGTCTGTTGGAGACTGGAGAGTTGTTGGTCGTGCCCTACATTATGGATTTGAGCCAATCGGGCCGAGCCCTGGACGCCATTTGCATGAATGGCACATGTGATCAAGTTAGACTGGCGCATTTGTATCTCGAGCAAAAGGGCGAGCATACGTACACCTTGCAAGAGCATGTCTTGAGCAAGGTCTGTGCACGGGGTGACATGGACGCCCTGCTCTTCCTGGTCACATGGCACTCGACCAAAGGACATGAGGAGAGCGCGCGAGGACAGATCAGGCCATGGAGATATATCAAGAAGCCAATGAAATATGATCAATTCAAACGTTTATACAAACTATGTCCAACATTGGAGAAGATGTTCATGGATGATATGTGCTGCATGGTTGACCTCGACCTCGTGCTCTTCTGTCTGGACACACCCGAGCTGACCGATCAATTTGACTGGAAGGTCACATGTCTACACGCTGCACGCAATGGACACCAGGAAATTGTAAAGGTACTATGGGAGCGTAAGGGAGTCCTGTGCAAAGATTGTCTGATCAATGCCCTGTATGGACGACACCTTCAGATAATCAACTACTTGTTGTCCAATGACTACGAGCTCACATTCCAAGACTGGCTCAACCTTGGCGAGCTGGGCAACATTGATGACTACGAGTTGATAAGACCATACATCAAAGCTGACGTGTTGCTATGCTTTGACATGGTGATTGTACAGGTGGCGACGACAGGTGGCCACACGTCACTAGTTCGCCACATAGTTGAGCGACATGGACGCAAACTGGAACTATCCCCACAACTTGGCTCCAACGCATTCCCTGACATAATAAGATATTATCAACCTTGGAAGGTCCTACCCGATGCCAAACTTTACCAAATGATTGAACATACCGTCAACTGTTCAAACATGGATGTGTTGGACTTGGTGTTCAACAATCTAACCAATATACAACAGCGCCATGTATTGGAAAAGGTAGCGCCATCACTCACCGCCTCAATGATCCGGTCGAACAATATGCAAATGATATATCAACTGCTACACTATGGTGCCAAGTTAACGATTGATGAGAAGACCTTTGGAATGAAAGCATTCATGGAGAATCCTACTCTACAGACATTACTATATCTCAATCAAATCGGTCGTTCATCATCATCATCATCGTCATCGTCATCATCAACAAGTGTCAATGCCAGTATCGCAGTCACTATTGACAATGAACATGGCAATACCAGTGACAATACAGGTTCCAGCAGTCGTAGTAACAGTATCATCTCAAGTGTTCGTACACTAAAGAGAGGAAGTATAAGCAGTTCCTTCAAATCACTATTCAACCGAGTCAGCTTCAGCAACAACAACAACAACAACAATCAATAAGCAATCAATATGGAACCGACCATTGACATGCTCTCATTCAACCATTAAACTGTACATTCTTACCCTACCCTTGCCCTCGCCCTTGTTGAAAGTTGAACCTCTCTTTGAAGTTCAAATTAAATTGAATTTTGTGAATGAATTGTGTTGATGATGTTCACACTCTTTGATCAACTTCAACATCAATAACACTTCACTTTATTCATCTCACATAAACATAAACAATTAATATATATTTTATACATATAATACATATACATATACATATACATACTAGAAAGAATGATCGATGCTCTTAAGTTGACTGCGCTCCCCACAAAGGAGGTCCCAATGAGACAGGCTCGTTTCGAACCATACGTTGATAATGGAGGGTATGATTGATGATGATTATAATTGGACACCGACAACATAAAGAATGAATGAATGAATGAATGAATGATTGTAGGAATAGAAGAAAGTATACTGACATCATCAACAACGATTAAACAGAACGGTTTTGGCTGTTGCAGGTAAAGATTATTGTGTCGTTGCAGCTGACACTCGTATGAGTGATGGTGGTTATGGCATTCAGACGCGTAAATACACAAAGGTCTTCCAGTTGTAAGTGTTCAAAACAGTATCAATCAATCAAAGACAAGACAGTTGTGCGATATATAATTGATTGATTAGATGATCAGGTGTATAATTACAAAGGACAAACATTAATATATTCGAACTTGATTGATTCAATCAAACAATATAGGACACAGAAATGTGTACTTGCTACATCTGGAATGCAAGCCGATACTATTGCTTTGAGAAAGCGTTTGGAGACAATGCTTAGCCGCTACCAGAAGGAGCACGGCAAGCCAATGTCCACACCAGCGATCGCCCAATACCTCTCCAATACATTGTACTACAAGCGATTCTTCCCATACTACACCTTTAACCTGGTGTGTGGAGTCGACGACGAAGGTGTTGGCTGTGTCTGGACCTACGACGCCGTAGGCTCTCACGAGCGTGTCAAGTTCAGCTCCCAAGGTTCTGGTAACCAATTGATCCAGCCATTGCTCGATAACCAGGTGAGTATATATACACTAAACATCTCCTTGTCAACAACATATATACTAATCATCAATCAACCAATCATATTCAAACATATTCATTCATGATAGGTTGGAAAGTACAATCAATTGATCGTTGATGGTCCAAGAGAGTTGACTGAGACACAAGCTGTTTCATTGTCCAAGGATGCCATTACATCTGCTGGAGAGAGAGATATATACACTGGTGACTATGCCGACATTGTTGTGGTCAACAGCACAGGAGTCCACTGGGAGAAGTTCGAGCTCAAGCTTGATTAATCCGTCTGGCTTGCCTTGGCCTCACATCATCATCCATCATCATTATCATAGTGTAGATACCATACCTTACCATTCCATTTCATCCCAGCATCATTCATCGAACTAAGCCAAACAGCTCTCTACATCCAATCCATGTATTCATCTCATCAACTCAAACAACAACTCAAACAACAAACTCAACAACCAAGTTATATTAAAATAATTATTTTTTGCTCTTGATATATGTATGATGATGATTGGGTCCATCCAATCAAATTACACTTGACAGCCGTGTATTTGTTCGTTGGTCCATGTTTCAAGTGTGGTGTTGATTGATCGTCATTCGCAGTTGGACCAAAACAACCTGAATTGGTCCATTCGAGGTTTGGGAAAGGGTGTGGGGCTTCACAGATGCAACGATGTGCCACCCGTCATTGAATACCTTCCGCGAGTCAACCAACGGGCCAAACACCACCTCCAACCAACATTCGCCAAATCTCACTCATATCCATTGACTGATCTCGCATTGAGACAGATTGACAGATAGAGATAGAAAGATAGATAGAGAGTGATAGAGGTGTTGACGTCCAATACCACAAACAAACTCTCACCCCGACAACAACAACAACAGTGCTAAACAAGGCGACAGTACCCTGCAGGTTAATGAAATAAGAAGGGTGTATCATTGATTGATTGATAGATTGATTGATTGACCGAATGGTTGGAACGTGGAGGAAACATATATAGAAGTGCACATTAGACATTGGATCATTCAATTCAAACTTCCAATCACCCTAATATAACTCAATACCTAAACTTGGCCTGTTACCAATCAAGCATGAATACTACTCTTTATAATAATCACCATCATCAATATACCAACAACAACAACAACAACCCAACTACTACATCAACTACAACTACTACCACTACATCTACTGGAGGCTCTGCATACAACTCTCCCACGGCTTCAAGTATAATACCGGTCAAACAAGAAGCAGCCATTGTAGAGTTGCCAACTGAGGCCAATGAAGCCTATCAACTAATAAAAGAGCTATGTGGTGTAATATGGCAGTCGATTCAAGTGGACAAGAACTACTTTGAATGCGACGGTGAGCCCAACCTGGACGCATTCGTCCAGCTCTTCCTGGAGAACGTCGGACCCATCGACCAGCCTGGCCTCGTTCAATATCTGGAGGACTACATCGATGTGATGGGCGACCTCAACTCACTGACCAAGGAGCACTTCAAGTCCATCGACCTGTACTACAAACGCTATGTCTCTGTCCTGAAGAACAGCTCATTCGAGCCATGCACTCTAAACTCAATGCGATGCAAGTCCAAGAAGAACAACAATCTGGCCAAGGACTCGACCAAGGTGCTGCGCGACTGGTTCATCAGCAACCTGGAGAATCCCTATCCGACGCAGGCCGTGAAGGAGCAGCTGTCCAACCTGTCCGGTCTGTCTGTGCATCAAGTGTCCAACTGGTTCATCAACTCGCGTCGACGCAATCTCGCCCGACTTCGCAAGCAGCACAACATTGTCGTCAACGATGAGCAGGCGGCATTGCAGGAGTCAAATGCTGCCGCCAGTGGCAACTAACAGGTAGCTTGGTGCCTTGCTTTCACACATTGTCAATGGCCCATCGAGGTGCCATGTTGTTGACTATATGTTCCATGATGTAATAAATATATATATATAAATAACGAAGATTGATTGATTGATTGATTGATCGAACGTTAGACAGAGTGAATGATACTCTGCTGTTGTTATTTCTTTGGTCTTGGGAAGGTCCAGTGGAACTGCTCGCCATTCTTCAGATGGGACACTTCGCCTGTGAACTCAACAGTCCACTTATTGTCCTCAGTCGAAAGCTTTGACTCGACAAACTTGGTAAGACTACATACACCCGATCGGAAGGGATAGTTATTGTCATCAATCACTGCTCTGCCCAGTGCAATCAATGTGGCAGCGTGTGTCACAATGATAAACGTCTCCCCCTTGAACTTCTCTTGTAGACGAGTCATAGCAATCCTATTATGATGATGATTGATAGGTGTGTCAGACATCGATGGATCGTGATGTCATTGCATTGATCCCATTGAAGAAGACACTTACTTTGTTCTATTCATCAAGTCCTGCTCTGACTCTGCGCCTGGAAATGAAGCTATATGTAGTGCATGAGTTAGATCACCATGATCGATTGGCTGAGATCAACTTAACTTACTTGTTGTTGGTTGATATGTCATGTCGATTGGGTATGTCTTAGACAACTCGGCTGTTTGATTGATCAATTGAATGAATGAGATAGATGTAAGTATAACCATCAATCACAACACTGTTAGCTAGCTGTGACAATGCTACTGACCATTGGTTAGTGGCTGTAACTCCTCCTCAGGATAGTGACCGAGATACTCGATGACACCATAGTCAACTTTGATTGGGAGGTTAAGTTGCTTGGCAATCTCTGTGGCCGTCTGTATGCATCTCTCCATTGGGGATGCGATGATGTGCTGGATGTCTGAATACTTGTTCTTGCAGGCCTCGCCCAGCTCGGCGGCGACCAGGAAGCCATCGGCAGACAACGGTGCGTCTGATGGTCTTGGTGCTGTCTTTTTCCACTCGCGGTTAGTCCAATCCTCTCTTAGGCCATGTCTTGTAAGGTATATTGACATATTGTTGTTGTAGTTGTGTTGTTGTAGTTGTAGGTAGTGTTAACGTTATTATGTGTAACTAGTTGTTGTCGCTTATTGTTGTTGTAGTTGTTTTGTTACTGTTGGGTGTTGATTGATTGATTGATGGGTTGATTGGTTGATCAGATGAAGATGATGATGTGTTTGAAATTGATTGTGTGTGATGATGTAACTTGTTTTTTTGTATTGGTACGATCAATGGTATGATCACCCTTTGTTTCAATTACTAAGGTACACTATGGTAAGATCCAAGTAATCTCCGAACAAAACCTTGAAGGGTCCATTACTTTGGCAAATAACATGTACTTTGGTTATTCCTTTGGCACCACCTATGGACATTACTTACTCTGTGTCCTACCAAGTTGGTCTTACTTTGTCACCAATGTATTCTTGGCAATCTACTTTGATGATGTACTTTGGTAGTTTTAGTACACAACTTAAAGGTCAGCATCTCTATAGATAATTTGAGTCTATTATTGGTCTTTGCAGGTGCAATTGGGGATGGTAAGGATTTTCAATAAACTATCAATTTGTACCTATAGTTTATGTAAACTAATTAATAGATAGAGAGATAGAATTAATATTAAAAGATAGATTGGGCTCAATACTTTAAGAATGTATTATTAAAGTAGAAAAAAAATCAAGTTATCACAGTAAACGGTACATACAAGTTGATCAAAAGTACATAAAAAAATCTTCGACTGAAATAAATAAAAGTTACGCCCAAAGGGGGGCTCGAACCCCCGACCACACGGTTAAGAGCCGTGCGCTCTACCGACTGAGCTATCCGGGCAACTGTGAAGGGAATACATTTTTCATCGGTTAAGAGCCGTGCGCTCTACCGACTGAGCTATCCGGGCAACTGTGAAGGGAATACATTTTTCATCGGTTAAGAGCCGTGCGCTCTACCGACTGAGCTATCCGGGCAACTGTGAAAGAATAAGATGTTTCAATTGTTTTATGTGTAAAATTTGGGGCTTTTGATATTAAGACTAAAAAACAACTACTTTGTTTGTTTCGCATGCGAAACTAATATAAACAATATCTATATATTCTATTTCATGGACACCTACAAATGATCAAAGCTAATCTACCCAACATATCTAGGTTTATTACTGGTAAACATTTAGATTAAAATAGTGGGTAACCCTTAACCTCCATCATTACACCAATTTTAAATTAATGGTCAATCAGTTATAGATCACACAAATAATAATGGACAATAATAATAATAGTAATACAGTTCTTAAAGAAGAGGTTGATACAGTTGAAAAAGAAGATGTTGATGATATTATAGATAAAGAGTCTAATGAACAACAACATGATGATGATGTTGATAAAACAACTGAACCAGTAAAGGTTTCTGAAGCAGACTCTGAGGTCTACCTGCAGGGCAAAGAGTTGGTACAGCAATCAAAGACACTGCTGGATCAAATCAAGGAGATGGAGAGTGGAAAGGATCTGTTCAAAGAGGGCAACGCCATCGTAGAGGCAATAGTCAAGCGAGAGGAAGCCAAACAGTTGATGGAAAAGGGCATGGCACTGCTCACACAGGTCAAAGAAAATGACGACGCCAAGAAGATAATAGCAGAGTCCAAAGAGATGGTTACATTCTTCACCAACGAAGAGAAGGTCAAGAGTCTGCTTCATGAGGGCAAGCAACTACTTGAGAACATTGTATGTTGTGATTGATTGATCGTTTGATTGAATGACTATTGACACATTGTCCCCGCCGATACAGAAATCAAAGGATGCAACAGTCACCAGGGAACAGGTAGAGTCATTGTTCAAACAAGGCAGTACATTGTTAAAGGACTTTAAGGATAATGAACAGAGCTCATTATACTTGGAGAAGATGAAGAAGATGTTCTTTGACCTCAAAGAGGAGGAGTCTACAAGAATCAAGCTCATGGCAGGACTTGAGGAAGGCAAGAAATGGGTCGAGAACCTCAAAGCCAATGATCCCTATATCAAGTCAATTGTAGATGTAAGCATCATTCAATCAATCAACCAAATCAAACTCCACTAACTCAATCAATCAATCAAATCAGGAAGGTGAACAGATATTCTTACAGTTGAAGAATAGTGAGGAGTTCAACTCATTGATTGGTGATGGCAAGAATGTATTGATGGACTTCTTGACAGACGAGAACAAACACTTCTCGCGTGACTCTCCAGAGTTGTTGAGTTTGTTGCAGCGTGGTGGTAAACTTGCATCCAATGTTCAAGAGACACTCAAGTCCAACAAACTGGTTGGCGAACTGACAGAGAAGGAGGACTTTAAGAACATCCTAGCCAAAGGCAACAAGTTTGTCTCTGAAGTCAAGTCCAAGCAGCAGTTATTGGACTTCCTCAAACAGAACAAAGAGTATGTTTGTTCATTCTCACGACCAATCAGAGAGCCAGTCTCTAACATCCAACCATTCATCCAGCTTCATCAAGGAGATTAAGAACACTATTGTACCATTTATAACAGACCAATTACTCAAGGTTCAGATGCCTGTGGTCACTGGCATCAACAAAGGATTCAATTATGAGTTGTCAGACCTGATATTCGCTGGCCTGCGTATCCTACCAGAGAATGTAAACGTTGACTTTGATGAAGTGAACAAGAGTATAACAGTGGCAGTGTAAGTTGATGGATACAGTGCATTGACAACCCTCATGTCGACACATTAACTTAACACTACTACTGCCAACCCAACAACAGTAATGACTTTACAGCGCAACTCAAGAACTTCTCTTGGAGTTACAAACAGGATGGATTCCCATTCTTGAAGGATACTGGATTGGCATCTGCAGATGTACAGAAAGGATGTTGTTCACTCTCATTCGAGATTGATACTCGTCCTGATACCAATACACCAGAGATCAAGATCACTGAGATCAAGTTTATCCTTGAGCATTTGGGTAAGTCAATCGTTCATTCAGTCATGGACCTGTCAACTGACCATTCATTCAATCAATCAATCAATAGAGATTGTAGTTGGCAAGGGAAAGGCTAAATGGTTGTACAACTACTTGATATCAAAGTTCTCAGAGTCCATCAAGAATACGGTGGAGACAAAGATCAAGAATACGATCAGTACACATTTGAATACGTTGACTGGAAAGATCAATACGGTGGTCGGTGAATACTGGGAGAAGTTGATGACCAAACTGAAGGGTTCACCAACATCACCAAACAAGATCCAAGAGCTTGATGATGCAAATGCCAATGCCAATGGAGAAGGAGTACGTTCACCACTGGCCATTGAGAACATTAGTAGCAACAGCAATCCAACATCACCAATTGTTCAGACCAACACCAATCCAATCACTGTTGGTAATGCATTAGACAGACTAGATGTTGAACAACAGGGCCTCATGAAGTAAATAAATGATGACCATTGTTTAGATTTAATTGGAACCGATATGGAGACATTGGATGTACTGAATTATCTCATCATTCTTGGTGATCTCAAGTGCATCATTGAGATTGATACGACACTCGGTTCGATGCTCGTGGAGATAATGGATCATAGGTATTGAACCATTGCCAATTGCACACATGATGGCCATTGGTGTACAACCCTCTGTTCGATTGTTATGTAGGTACTCGACTACATCCAGATGATTGTTTCGTGCTGCATTGTCCATGGCATCAGTTGTACAACCCTCTGTTCGATTGTGATGTAAGTACTCCACAACTTGTAGTTGTCCATCTTGAGCTGCACTGTTCATGGCATCAGTTGTACATCCCTCAAACAACATGTTTGAATGAAGATACTCAATCATTGCAAGGTTTCCAGTGCCAGCAACTTGGTCCAATAAATCATCATTACAGCCTTCAGTTCTGTTTTGATGGAGGTACTGAACACAGTCCAACCAACCATTCATTGCCGCCTGATCCATTGCCTCTTCAGTACAGCCTTCTCTTCGATTGAGATGCAGGTACTCCAAGACTTTGACGTGTCCATTCGCCGCTGCCTTGTCCATTGCATTGGTTGTGCAGCCCTCTGTCCGATTGAGATGCAAGTACTCCACGACGTTAATGTGTCCATTGGTCGCAGCCCTATCCATTGCATCTGTCGTGCACCCCTCAGTCCGGTTCATATGAAGGAACTCTACCACTTCGAGATGCCCATTAGCAGCTGCACTGTCCAATGCCCTGGCGGTACAACCTTCTGACCTGTGTTGATGCAAGTACTGTACAATGTCCAACTTTCCGAGACCCGCAGCTCTGTCCATCGCCTGATTGGTGCATTGTTGTCTTTGATTGGCGCACAGGTATTGAACCATTTGTAGTGAGCCGGCACAGTCCAATGCAAGAGGCGTAGGGTCAAGTCCAAGAGCGACCAGACGTTTGACAATTGCAAGGTCACCAGTGGCAGCCATCCAATCGGTGACGTACTCCAAGTCAATGACGAATGCAGGGTCGTAATATGTTCCATCATCACATAACCTCTCTTGTCTTAACAACAGTACATAGTCAACAATGTTGCGGTGTCCCTTGTAATAAATAAACATTGGTAAATGTACTGACATGGTCATTCTGGTCAGGTCTATATTGTCGCGCAATGGTTCTTGTATCAACATGAGCCAATGTTTAATCAATGAATTCCATAAGTGTCTCTTCACATTCAATTGATCATGTATCAAACCAACATAATTGAATATCTTCCTTGATAGCCATCTATTATTTATTATCTGTTTGAATATATTTGTAGTTGTTGTACAACTGTTCATATTGTTGATATTTGTTATTTGTTATTCTACTTCTTCAGCAGAATGTTATTTTGACTTTTTGTTTGACCCAACAATCTAATCAATTTGGAATTTTCCTTGTGTAGTTCATCGGAATTAGGTTGTGTTGGGCAATGAATGAGTTGCCTGTTGTTTTGAAAACTTTGCAGGAACCTGGGTCACATCATGGTGGTGATGAGAACAATAAATCCATAAAAATTCAATAAAAATTGGGAAGATGTGAAGCACCAACCCACACGTTCATTTGCTGGACTCTGGTTGTGTGGGTGGTTTGAATTGAATCAGGTGACAGTAAGTCAACGCATTTTGAAATTTTACATTCATTCCACTTCACGATCAAACTCACACACATACACAAACATTATAACAAATACATAAACAGAGACAGATATTTAATTCTCTATTTATAATTTCATAGTAAAAGGTAAACTTCTTATTACAATCTACTTTTTTTGCACCCTCTATTCTCTCTCTACTCTCTACTCTCCACTCTCTCTTCTCTTCTCTCTTTTATCTCCTTCTCTATAATCTCTCATCTATCTATCTCTCTATCTCTCTCAGCTCAGTGACACAATCAAAAATATTTAAAAAAACAAATAAACCTTTATGTGTTGTACAATGTCTTTTCTTATTTTGTTGGAGACAGATGTTCAACAGCAAAAGCAACAGAAACAGCAACAACATCAACAACAACAACAGCAGCAGCTACAGCAACATCATCAGCAGCATAACAACCAACAACAACAATCTGACAACAGAATGTAAATTTCGGCGCCATCACTGTATTCATTTACAGTCCTGGTGTAGCGAGAGATGTAACGGCTGTCAGGATCGAATGTGATGTGGATGGATGTATTGTATGAATGAATGTGGTGTGTTATGTCACACATTCCAATTCACCACACCCAACTCAATCTTTCCAACAACAACTACTATCCATCAATCTATCCATTAACCACACCAAACACACACACAACACACACTCGCCAACAACAACACAACAAACAGCAGTCAGGCAGTCATGCAGTCACACTACAGTTAATATTCAATGCCAATGCCACACTCCCATTGGCAATGCCTTGCCTAGCATTGCAAGCATTGTTGTACCTCTCTCTCTCTCTCTTTCATTCTCTTTCTCACTTCAATTCTCTCTCTTTCTTATTATCTCACGCCTCCTCCCCTCCCTTCACCTCATTCGTTATCGCCATTGCCATCGCTTAGATTAGAACAAGAACATATATACTTACTTACTTTCTTGCCACTCCATTCAAATAGAACAGAAGATCAGATCAGTAACATTATATATATTTATATATCTTTAGATTATTTATTTATTATTACAAACACACACACACATCAGACTTATGATAAAACTTGATCAATGTCATCATCACTAGCCAACAACAACTATACAACATATAGTCCATTGGCATATATAAGCAACGCAATGTTTGTTGTTACAGGCTTCTCAAAGATGTTCTGCTTGTACGTGGTGGGCCTGTGGCTCATCATTAGTTATAGCAACGTCCTGGCATCACCCTACCTGATCGCACTCTCACCATTCATTGGTTATATTGGCGGTGTGGCCGTGCGCTCCACTCGCTCACTGACCACCTCGGTGGCCAACTCCACACACCGACTCAACTCATATCTGGACAACTGTTGGAGTGCTGCCGACGATCTGTCCGACGTGGCCTCCAGCGTCAACAACACAGACTTTGCTTCACAGCTGTTTAGTGACAACTGCGTAGACAGCAGTGGTGTCGGCATCATTGCTGACGACAACGACGTCACCTTTTCCAACACCGTACGCACCAAGCAGTACTTCCCAGCTCAGCTGCATGACGACCAAGAGTATGTCAATGCCACAAGAATGCAAATGTATGTCGCACGTACCTACCGTGACGTGTGTGCACAACAACCAATCTCGTACTATGATTACGAGAACCATCAGATTACATGGAAGTAAGTATAATTGACATGACACGTGATGATCAGTGGATGATGTCTAACATTCCGTCCTCCAACAGCACACCAGATAAATACGAGATTGTACATAAGGTTGGAAGAGGCAAATATAGTGACGTGTACTATGGCGTCAACTCGGAGAATGAGGAGAACATTGTTGTAAAGATCCTAAAGCCAGTTCAACATCAGAAGATACAGCGTGAGATCAAGATTCTGGAAGTGCTGCGGGATGGCCCAAACATCATCCCACTGCTGGACACTGTAAAGGACGCCGAGTCGGGCACAATGAGTTTGGTGTTCCCATACTGCCAGAACATAGACATTAGAGAGCTGGTCAACTATCTCAACGACACCGACCTTAGATTCTACATGTTTGAGCTGCTGCGGGCCATCGACTATACACACTCCAAGGGCATCATGCACCGAGACATCAAGCCACACAACATCGCCATCGATCATTCACGCAAGAAGCTCTATCTGCTGGACTGGGGTCTGGCCGAGTTCTACCATCCACACAAGCAGTACAACGTCAAGGTGGCATCCCGTCACTACAAGCCACCCGAACTGTTGGTCAACATGCACGATTACGATTACAGTTTAGATATGTGGAGTGTTGGTTGTGTATTCGCTGGATTAGTATGTATCTGATTGGATCATCATGCTGTGTCGACATCAGTCACTAACATCCAATCACCAAACAAATAGATATTGAATAAGGATCCGTTCTTTGATGGAAGCAACAATGACGATCAACTTGTAAAGATAGTGAAGGTGTTGGGAAGCGATGACTTCTTTAGATATATTGATAGGTACGGCCTGCAAGTCAGTTCGGACATTGTAAACAAAGTTAAACAGTATGTATCATCATAATGATCACAAGCCAGATGTAGAACAAGTGACTAACATCCATCCTACCCTAACAACAACAATAGTTACGAGAGAAGACCATTTGAGAACTATATACCATTCGAGAACGATGACATTGCTCATCCACTGGCCATCGACTTATTAAGCAAGCTACTGCGTTACGACCCTGAGGAGAGACTGACAGCCAAAGAGGCCATGAGCCATCCTTACTTTTCAATGTATAATGGAAGCGGAGTTGTGGCATCATCTGCCGTCACTGCCGATGTGGATGACAAGCAGCATCCACAATAAACATTACTTGCACGCCTGTCATCTTATGATGGATGGCGTGTAAGCTTACTGCAATCAATCAATCAATGAATCATGTTGGGTTGTATAATAATGAACGAGGTGGAGGAGGAGCTGTAGTCTAATAGAAGAAGTTAACTTTAGTCATCATCATAATACTCATAGTCATCCTCTTCATCGTAGTAGTATTCCTGGTTGTCGTAGTCGTCATTGTCTTCGTCTCTATCGCTGCTGTCCGAGGCCTCTTCCTCCTCGTCCTCTGGATAGTCTGTGTACCAGTTCTCCGAGTCTACACTCTCGTCCTTGTCAGACACGTCGTCGAATCCATACTCCTCGTCGTCCGCTGGGAGTTGTACTGTCTCAATAGCCGATGTGTCCATGTCATCCGCATGCTGTTCAGTGTTGAGATAATAGTAGTCATAGACATATTTCGGTTGTTTCTCAACAGTGTTCAGATGTTCCTTGAGCATTGGTCTGAAGTTACATATCAGCTTCTCTTCCTCTGCTGTCAATCCAGAGAACATGTCCACTGATATTGATGATCTAACAATGATTGAATGAATGTGAGTATGATTGATTGGACGACAATCCAGTCCCTTTCCAGACAATGCTTACTCATCTGTCCTTTCCAGCTCAATGACATTCGCGTCCTCCTTTCCTAACAACTCTCTATTGGACTTGATCTGTTTGTATCTTGTTTCATTCCTCTTTTTCTGTTATGACGTGTCGCCAATGATGAATGGATGTCAGTAGTTGCCAAAGGGTACCAACAATGAATGAATGAATAATGGCAATAACATACAATAGTATTCTCTTGCTTTGCCTTTAGTATCTTTGGTGATGATATTTTGCCCTTCTCCCTAAAGTCTTCAAAGCGTTGCTGTTACATTGAGAGGGAGTCGTGTCAGAACATGAATGGCATTGACATTGACATTGACCACAACTATGACCACAACTATTCTTACCTCTATCTTTGTCTTGCGAGTGTCATCTTTTGAAAGAGTAGCCTCATCAACTGATGAGAACAATGTGAATAGATTCTTCTCGACGACCACTGGTTTCTCCTTCTCCTTCTCAAACTTAATGTTGCCATTGGCATCGAGTGTTGTTGGTGGTGCGCTGCAGTTCAAAGAGAACTCCTTGAATGAATCGAGGAATGCCCTCTTCTTTGGTCTCTCAATGATGATTTCTGCAACAGGTTCTTCATCAATCTTTCTCTTGATCTTTAGAAAGATCTTCTTGTTGTTACCAAATGCCTCTGTTGCCTTGCCATTGTTGTTGCGTGTATCTGGTGTAGTCTTTACAGTGTTATTGGCAATGTGTTGATGTATCTGTTGGTCCAATTGATCAATGTCATCTTGATCCAATTCATCATCATTGTCATTGTCATCATTGTGTTGTCTCTTTCGTTGTTGTTGATGTTGTTGTGACTTGATTGATGATGCAGTAGGTGATAAGATTGAATCATTCTTAAACTTATGCTTGACTACATTAGGAGTGAACACCTTCTTTTGTTTATTACTATTATTAGGTGATGTTATATTATCATTATTATTATCTTGTTGTTGTTGTTCAGTATTAGTGATCTCAACTATATTGGACATATTTATAAAGATAATAATAATATGTTGTTGTGGTTGTTGTTGTTTGTATTTATTTCAATCGAACAAAGAGTGAACATTCAACAATGACATGGTTTGTCCAGAACTACTTCACTTTATAACTTCACTTCAACGGACACCAAATTAACTAATTAATTTTTAATAGTTTAATTATATTAATTAAATAACTAAGGTGTGATTGATGGATTGAGATGGATGTCTTATACTCTATTCAATAGATACAACATCCAATTGTTATATTATCTATGTTCAAACAATGCAACTTATCAAATTAAAATTAATTTGTCGTGTTTTCAAAAGTTTCTTCGTTTGATTCGTTTTCTTGAATAGTTGAACGAGTTGTGTCAATGCATTCATTCAATCTCTTTGTAATACATTCAACAACAATAACAACAACACGCTCTCTCTCTAGCGTTGAGTAGAACATAGGATATCCTACCTCACGACTATAAAACAACCAACAACTATATCATGAGCAAGAAGAGACATTCAGAGGATTCAGCTGATCAGAAACAGCAATCAAATAAGAAGATGAGAGAAACAAATATTAATAATACAGTTGAGGATAATAACAACAATAACAACGACAATAATACCTCAACATCATCAACAACATCAACATCATCAACTAATAATAATAATAATATTGAGAACCCATCGATCAATCCTTTAACTGGCAAGCCATATTCAAAGAGATACTATGATATATTGGAGGTTAGAAAGAAGCTACCCGTCTGGGAACAAAAGGAGGAGTTCTGCACCAAGCTCAGAGAGTCTCAAGTGCTCATCTTGGTCGGTGAGACTGGTTCAGGAAAGACTACACAGGTATGTACATTCAACTCATTCATTCATTCGACTCATTCAACTGAATCACGTGCTGACTCTCGAACTCAAACTTGGCAACTTTAGATCCCACAATTCGTAAATGATGCAGGCTTGGTCAAGCCTGGAACAATGGTGGCTGTCACTCAACCTCGTAGGGTGGCCGCACTTTCAGTCGCCAAGCGTGTGGCTGAGGAGATGGATGTTGAACTCGGACAGGAGGTCGGTTATTCGATCCGTTTCGAGGAACTCTCCTCGCCAAAGACATTCATGAAGTATTTGACCGATGGTATGCTGCTGAGAGAATCGATGAACGACCCAATGCTCAAGAGATACAGTGTGATCATTCTGGATGAGGCGCATGAGAGGACACTGTCCACCGATATCCTGTTTGGTCTGATCAAGGACATCATCAAGAGACGTCCAGACCTCAAGCTCGTGGTCATGTCTGCCACGCTCGATGCCAAGAAGTTCCAGGGCTACTTCCTGGACGCGCCATTGATGAAGGTGCCGGGCCGTCTGCACCCCGTCGAGATTTACTACACACAGGAACCAGAGAGCGACTACCTGGACGCGGCCGTCAGGACCGTGCTGTCCATCCACCAGGACGAGGGTCCGGGCGACATCCTCGTCTTCCTCACGGGAGAGGACGAGATTGAAGAGACATGCAATCGAGTGCAGCGCGAAGCCAGACAACAGCAGATGAAGCCGATCACCTGTCTGCCTCTCTACTCGTCGTTGCCAATGCAGCAGCAGTCCAAGATCTTTGACCTGTCACCACACCGCAAGTGCATCTTCTCGACCAACATTGCCGAGACTTCGCTGACAATCGACGGTATCGTCTACGTGGTGGACCCTGGCTTCTCCAAGCAAAAGACATACAACCCTCGCTCGCGAATCGAGTCACTGCTCGTGTCGCCCATCTCCAAGGCGAGCGCCAAGCAGCGCGCTGGTCGTGCCGGTCGTACGCGCCCCGGAAAGTGCTTCCGTTTGTACACTGAGCAGGCCTTCACCAAGGACCTGCCCAACCAGACACCACCAGAGATCCTGCGTTCCAACCTGTCCAGCGTCATCCTGCAGCTCAGGAAGCTGGGCGTGGAGGACCTTGTTCACTTTGACTTTATGGACCCACCCGCACCCGAAACCCTGATGCGTGCGCTCGAAGTCCTTCACTATCTTGGCGCGCTCAATGATGAGGGCGAGCTGACAGAGGATGGCAGCAAGATGGCTGAGTTCCCGCTGGACCCACAACTTTCCAAGATCCTAGTGACGAGCCCGCGACACAAGTGTTCCAACGAGATCCTCACGATCGCCGCCATGCTCTCTGTGCCCAACGTATTCCATCGACCAAAGGACAACAGACGCGAGGCAGATCAATGCAAGAAGAAGTTTGAACACATCGACGGCGACCACCTCACACTGCTCAACGTCTACCACACATTCAAGCAGGAGCACGAGGACGCCACATTTTGCTACAACAACTACCTGAACCACCGCGCGATCAAGCAGGCCAGCAAGGTTCGCGACCAGCTCGCCAGGATCATGACGCGATTCAACCTGCCTCTGGTGAGCGGTGACGTCAACGCCAGAGACTACTACATCAACATTCGCAAGTGCATCGTGTCTGGTTTCTTCATGCAAATAGGCCGTCTGGAGAAGAAGAACGAGTACTTCACGCTGGGCGACGAGCAAAAGGTGCTGTTGCATCCATCGTGCGGTCTGGAACGCCGTCCAGACTGGGTGCTGTACAATGAGCTGGTGCTCACCAGCACAAACTACATCCGAACCGTTATCGACGTCAAGTTTGATTGGCTCAATGAACTGGCGCCACACTACATTCAATCATTGACAGTTGGTGATGTGCCACCAAAGACCAAAGACACTGTTAGCAAGGCATTGCGATATTCCAATTCAGGCAGAAAGTGAAGTAAAGTAACTCGTACACCAACCCAACCCTCCTTCCTTCCTTCCTTCCTTCCTTCCTTCATTGTATTGTAATGGGTGATTGATTCAAAAGGATCTGTTATGTCAGGTCAAGCTAAGGCTTACAACGGATAGATGGATGGTTGGATGGATGGGGTCACATGATTCAATCACAATCATTCAAGTCAACAATAAAGAAAGGGAACTGATAGGTATGATGGGGGAGCCATAAATATCCCAACGACTATACACCATTGCTCCCCTGTTCAGGGGGGTTGGTTAGCGGGCAGGGTAGTAATGGGTAGTACTTGCAACACTTACTTACCTGTTTAGCAACTTGCAACTTTGTCCTTTAGTCCTGTTCACATGTCATTCGGTCGAAAGTGTACGATCATTTTTGGCTTACACGAGTTTGCAAAAAAGGAATGAAGAATGATCACATCTGTAAAGGTATAATTATTTAAATAAATAATTGAATGGCTACATATTATTATTGATATACTTATTATATTTATTTATTTATTTATTTATATATTCAACACTACCTACATTTATAGTCTATGCTCTTTGGAATTTACCGGTGTAATGGAATTTTGGATTGGATTTTGGAATCATTCCACCAACACTCGCCATCTAGTTTGTGGTATTTATTGAAAGATGTCAGCAACGTTGTCATAATTAATTTAAACAAATACTATTAATTATCCTTTTACAATCATAAACATTATAGGCTTCCCCGGATGCCCAGCCCATTCCACAATCCTATTTTAATGTGTACCAAGTTATATATCCCCTACCGAGGGCAGGTACTCATATTGTAGAATGGACTGGGCATCCGTCCCAACTGGGACCATTAAGTACTAACTATTCAATCATTCATTCCCAAATAGATTAATAAACCATGTTCACTTTATTTCCGCCTTTATCATACTTCACACTCATTCGTTCAATGAATTAATTGAAGAACTGGCTTACAATACCTGTTTGGTCCTCGCTGAGCAAAGGTGGAGCATGTCCAACACCGCTGATAATAACACCCTTGCCGTTCTCATGCTGTATCATTCTCTCGTAGACATCAGTAGTGAATGATGGGGATTTCTCTCCTATAATATTAATGTTAGCTTGATGATTGATTAAAGTAGAGCCAAGTAACACATACCTCTAATCACTAGGAACTTGGCTGATGAGGCAATCAAAGGCCAGTGCTCCCAAAGGTCATAAGGTCCAGTCATCTTGGCAAAGTTGAGTGCAACCTTGGTGTCATAGTGGAACTTGTAGAGTTGTTTGCCAATCTCGTCGTTGAAGGCCAAGAGTGCATGGGATGCAAATGTGTTCCATTGAGCCTCAGACAAATTTCCAAAGCCAGCATGCACCTGCTTCAACATTTGAAGACCCTCTTCAAAGGAGTTGAACCTGACCTCATGTCCAAGATAGCGACCAATCATTGTGATGCTCTCAAATGGGATGTAGGGACCAGTGTCGTTGAAAACAAACCTCTGGATGGGTGAGTCACCCTTGGCAATCATTGCAATCGTCATGCCAATCAGTGCACCCATCGATGTTCCGAGGAAGTCCACCTTTGCTCCTGGTGTGGCGGTGGCAGCAATCAATTTAAGAGCATCTTGGGCGTAGACAGGGAGGTCATAATCATCAGAGTTGAGTAGTGGTGCTGAGGCACCTCTGCCTGGTACATCAGGACAGATCACAACACGTTGTGGATCGGCAAGAATAAGATCCTGGGCCAAAGTATCATACTCGCGGGCATTGCCAACAAGACCATGATAGCAATAAACAAACTTGGATGGCTTACTAGCATCCAATGATTTGCTCTGCCATTGGTAGTAGACCATGGAGTGTTTATAACTTGTTGAGCCTACTTCGATCTCCAATCTTTGTGGTGGAAGTTAGGATCATGTTGATTGATGAATGGATGGATGATGGATGAAACATCATTGATAGTTGTACTTACGTATTAGTTTGGATTGAAATATTATTGTTTGTCTCGATCATTTTAATATATATTTATAAGTTTGAATTGAATATTATTATTTGTTTGAGGGTAGGGTAATGTAGTATTCTGATGATTGATTGATTGATCGAACTGATTGATCGAACTGTGATGGTGATGATGATAATCAGTCTACATGATAAACAACCTATTTATAAACAAGGTTATTTACTGGCTTAAGGCAACTGTCTGGTGGGGTGTCATCAGGGCAAAGAGATTGTTTCCCAAAGCTTCCGGTGTATTCCATCAAATATTTCGCAGCGTGCTGGGGGTGAGACTACCTTTGCCTCGTCGAAGATCACAAACACGCACCATCAGTGTGTGTTCCGGAACCTTGACCTTTGACCATCCAATGTTACCCCATTCACCCCAACACAAGTCATTGGGTCGTGGACTCGCCAACCCGAGATATTGGAACAATGTCCGCCACAACTTGTTGAGTTTGTATCCACCTCTTGGAATGAATGGATGTTGATTGTTTGAATGAATGGAACTGAGAGGAGGATTTGTGGAGAAATGGCTTTATTATTGAACAGCAGCTCAAACATCTTAGTTGGAGAAGGTGCGGGCTCTCTCGAACTTGTTGCCTGCAGAGCGAACGTATGGGCGAGCAGTGCTGCCTGGGAGACCTGGAGCACGACCGAAGTGCTTGTAGACGGTTCTGGCCTTGGTGACACCCTTGAGGAGGAAGGTGTTGTTGCCTCTTGGGCGAATGAGGGCGAACTGATCGAAAGTGAGAGCTCTGCCGCCAGCCTTGACGATGCGGGCACGAACAGACTCTGAGAATTTGAGGGCGACAATGGTCATGTTTGGAACGTCCAACAGTCTCTCGTCGTTGACGACTGGTCCAACAATGACGGCGATCTTGCCAGCCTTTCTGTCCTTCATGGCGTTGGCGATTCTAGAGATCGAAACAGCGACCTTGTTGGTTCTGGTCTGAACCAGGCGCTTCAAGACGATCTTGTTGAACTTGGAGCCAGTTCTGCGGGCAAGGAAAGTGTACAACTGTATTATCGTGTATGTGATATAGTCCAATGTTAATCATCTGTATCTTGTTGTTGTATTATGTATGTGTATCACATAGTCCAAGACATCGCACGAGTATCCAATATCCAACACCTGTGTTTCGCGATGCTGTCTAATCGCTACCCTGTGTGTCTGTTTCGATTGATCGATGATGTGAGTTGCTGATCCTATTAAGTCTTACCTTGACCAAGAGCGAGAGGTATGGGTTCTTGCTGACGAGGTGCTTTCTGCCGGTCTTGCGGGCGAATCTGTTTGATCTATCAACTGCCTATAAGTATCATTCATTGAGCGATGATTGATTGATCTGGTGTGTTAGATAGATAGGGGATATGATTGATCGATAGATTGATTCATTGACACTCATACCATTTCTATATAATGTTCCCAATAGAGAGATTGACGTTCTGGAGATGACAATGTGCGCTTGATAGTGCTCCTCTCACGAGGATGCACGACTCGCCAGACAAGTGGAGCAACAACCTCACACCCTAGAAACATTTTAAAAAATCAAAAAAATTCAAACTTGTAAAGGTCTCGTTACACTCAACTTTGATGTTAATGTGATTGGAGTACGAAGACGAAGACAAGACGAGTGAGACAGATGTATGAGGCGATGATAGAGTTTATTGTCAAGTGTGAACAGAGAAGACGATAGTCGCTGGCTGACTGAACTGGAATGAAATGGAATGGGGATGGCAACACCTCGTTGGATGGATTGGTCGTCGGTTAAATCAGAAATCAGACATCTCAAGTGCGTCTAGATTGTAACTAATTGGAAACGGACGATGTTGTTGGTGGTGGTGGAGGTGGCAATTGTGTTGATGGAGGTGGCGATGGAGAGAGTCTTGGAGGTGGGAGGGTCAAATCTCTAATATGTTGTTCTCTAGCATGTTGTTGCTGTTGCTGTTGTTGCTGCTGTTGCTGCTGCTGCTGCAGTTGTTGTTGCTGCTGCAGTTGCTGTTGTTGCTGTTGTTGTTGTTGCAGTTGTGGTTGTTGGGATTGTTCTCTAGCATGTTGTTGTTGTTGCTGTTGTTGCTGTGGCAGTTGGTTATTGTTGTTGGTCATGTTGTTAATGCTCATGTTGTTGTTGTTGTTATTAACGTTGTTGTTCACGTTGTTGTTTGGACTCTTTGGATTGGAGGCTGAGCTTCCACCTCCGCCCAACAACTTGGCAGTCTTGACTGGATTGACAATGTTGGGCTGACCACTAAAGTGTTGTTGGTTGTGGTAGAGTATATTGCAGTCATGATGTAGGATGATCATGCAACAGTGACAGACTGTGGTCGTTCTCTTGTCGTCACGATAGCAGTAGGAGTACTCGCACGGGTAGCGCTTGCGAGTGAACTTCTCGGGATAGTCACTGATCGAGTCCAACAGTGGCCAGATGGCCGGCGCTGAGACTGGATGAGCCAGGGCGATGCTGCCACCCGCTGCCGTCGATGTTGGCTGGGGCAGTAGCATGAGGTTGGAGGACGGGTTGCCAAACGATGGCGTGCCCTTGGACTTGGAGGAGGACGACGACTGGAGCGAGATGGGGGAGTCGTCGCGGTCGTCCAGCTCTGGGTACTCATTGTTGCGCAACACAAAGGTTGCGGTGAGCTCTGAGATTCGTCGATGGAGCTTGTGGTTCTCCTGCTTGAGCTCCTTGACGTTGGTGCGCAGCATGCCATTCTCGTGCTCGACGAGGTCCAAGCGAGACTGCAGGATGGTGGTCCTAGCCGTCAGTTCTTGCAGACGTAGATTGATCGAGGACATTGTGCCGCCCGAGATGGAGTCGGCGTCGTCGATTTCGTCCATCTCAATGAGGAGTGGCTGCTTCCTCTGTTGCTGCTGGATGATGAACTGTTGCTGCTGTATTTGTTGTTGATGCATCTGTTGTTGAAGTTGTTGCTGAAGCTGTGCTTGTTGCTGTAATGGTGTCTGCTGTCGATGATATATCTGATTCTTTGATGAGGTAGATGTTGAAGATGGTATGGATGAGGAGGAGGAAGATGATGTTGATGAGCCGCTGTTTGACCTGCGATAGACAAAGGCACCGCTGCCACCACTGCCGCCATCAGAGTGGGTTGGGCTGCTGCTGCCGGGAGGTGCGCCGCCTATGATGGGGATGATGTTGCTGGGCGGGCCGTCTTTTCGCCAGGATGAATCGGGAAGGAAGTCGTCCAGGATGGTCCTGGGCATGGGAGTCTTCCCTGTGGCGGTCAATTTTGGTGGATCCATAAGAGCAATCATACTGAGATGACCGTTTACTGGCAGTATGATATTATTATTACTTGTATATGTATTTGAACATATATAAAATTAAAACAACAAACAAAATATTAAGACAAACTAAAGCCTTCTTCTATCTTTGTATTGATTGAGAGTGCTTCTTGTCTTTTGATTGATTGATTGATTGATTGAATGAGTGATTGAATGAGTTTGAGAGTTAGTGATTGATTATATATATATATATAATGTTGTAGATGTTGTAGATGTTGTAATTGATCAGATTGATATAGACAGATAAGTTGTGTATTTGAATGAAGATGAAATGAAATAGAGAGGGAGAGAAAGAGAGAGAACAAACAAAACACAAGGTGGAGACCTTGACCTGGAGTGGAGTGACTGGACTGCTGTGTGTGTGTAGTGTGTGTACATGGCTGATGAGTGAAAGGGTACACTGCGCAGTAGGTGGTGGTGGTGGTGTGTGAGCGACAGTTGATTGAGGAAGAAGCACATCCATCCAAGCAAGTTGGTGGTGAAATCATGAGCTGCCATGTGTTTGGTTGTTGACGAATTTGTATAGGTCGTACCGCCATTGTGAGCAAGGTGACTGATGCGCATGGAGTAGATCCAATGAACATATAGTCAGGCAGGCAGGGCAGGTAGGTTGGATGGATGTATGGATGTATGGATGGATGATGGATTGAATTTAATTGGATGTGTATGTGTGTGGGATAAGCCTAATTGATATAAATAACAAGATAGGGTGATGATGTGATGATGTGTGAACCTTAAGATGGGTCTGTGTGTCCCCCCATCAGGTCCCATGAGCATGTACATCGGTTGAATATGCTAGAGTACTTGGTTTTTATGGAGATGAAGATGATGACCTACCCTAAATGTGTAATAATAATACTTCTTATTATTGATTGTAACTAAAGTGTGTTTATGTATGTGTTGGATGAATATTGATTGTTTGTTTGTTGTGAATGATTTAATGGTGATTGGAGATGATAGAGAGTACAATACAGTGTGTGTTTAACTTATTATTTTGAAAGAATGAATGAATTGAATGATACAAGGCCACATGGGAGTGACAGGGATTAAGTTTTGGCGAGGTGGAGAGCATGATGGAAGGGTCACAGGACCTATCCCTCCCCCACACTTTGGGATGTGCCCCCCCAGGCTGTACAACCTGTTAAGATCCCGCTGGACCCCCCAACAACGACCCCATCTGTCATTGATCAATGGTGGGTGTATCAGGTACTTTGCCTGATACAGCGGCGCAAAAAACACCCTGTTCAACCCCTAGCACATGACGATGTTTTAACATTCGTCGCATGAATGCCTCCGACAATGTGTTTCGCTCCCTACCAGCAAAGGAGTGCTCCCATGCACACTCATTCTTTACTATTGATGGTGTGGATCGCATCCATCGATTTCAATTCAAAGGAAACACATATCCAGCCAACCCATCAACCACACACATACACATACACAACTATCCAGGTGTTACTGCACAACACTTCGCCAATACGAGCCCATCACTCAACCAACTTACTATGTACAACATCGCAATTGCCATCGACTGGTGATGGTGCCAATGTTTGTTTGTATGTATTTGATTTGGAACGTTCCTCATTTAGGAATTTTAAACATGTGCATGTTTGTTGTCGTTGATGATGTTGTTGATCAGTTAGTTTGTTTGTTCGTCTCTGAGAGAGGGAATCATTCGGATACCCTTTGATGTGCACATAATTGATTGAGTTTGAAAAGAAGATGTTGTCATCGTTGTACAAGGCATTATCAGACTCCAAAGAGTGGCCAAGGAAAGTGTCGGGCGGGCACATGTCCAAAGGAATCCAAAACAAAGGGGAGACCACTTTGAAAAATAATAAATAGATTTTTAAAGTGATCAAAGATAAAGTAATAATGGAATTGATATTATGTTTGTAGATTTGTTTGTCTTTATGTTTTGGAAAGTAATAATCGAGATGTGCGTTCCTTGATTTAGAAGTAATAGTTGGTGATTATTCTTCATTGCCCAAAGATCATTCTCTCCCTCGCTCTTAATGATCAAATCCTCGATAAACGATATTGGATTTGTGGTAAAGAGCCGGTTCAACTGTAATTTTTACTAATGTTGTCTGATGAGCATATCATTTAAGACGAGTCATATTTTGTTTATGGTTCTCGTTCAGCCAAACTAATAAGACCCGCCAAAAAAAACTTACAGATAATCTTACAAAGATGTTCAATCATACAAAGATATATAATCTTATTATTATAAACAAGTTTATTACATTGTTCAATCAAATTAATCAATGACTATGACGATCCAACCGTGATGTACATTGTTGTCGAACGAACTAAACAACTACATGGTTAACTAGTTGTCTGCTGAGAATTTGCTTTGCTCACAAACATGGTTCAGACGCTTGGCATGATCAAACTTGTTGAACTGAGTCCTGCAGTTCTTGCCATAGTAGCAGTCTTCACGTGTCTGTGCATAGTCTGGAAGTTGATCCTTGGCAAGGTTCTTGCGGAAGGTGAACAGTGCTTGGCCAAACACAGAGCTGGTGCAATGATAGCATGCCCAGGAATCGGATGAGACTGTTGCGCCAGTGGTCGTGACGATCGACTCCTTGGGTATCTTGCCAGACTCAATGTCGGCCAGCACCTCGTGATAGATCTGATTGACATTCTTCTGACTCTTGACGACATAGTCGTTCATCACCTTGACCTCAAACTGATTGCCAGAGAATGCATTGTGTGGGATGTTGACCAAGGTTTGATTCTTGAGCAGGTCGACCTTGATCATCACGTTGGCCGAGCAGTTGCGGTAGTTGCCACAGAATGGTCTGGCACACAGGTCACACTTGTCCTTGACGGGCGAGGGCACTCTGAAGGGGAAGAGTTGGTGGCAACTGCCACAGACGTGGTGTCTGCTTCCTTCAGGGCAAGTGAATCCATCTGGCATTGGTGTCGTGCAGTTCTGACATTGAACGATCATTGGTTGAACATTGAATATTGAGTGATGATAATGCTTTGCCTTCTTCTTTACAAGTTGTCCATTCTTTAACTGTGGGAGTCATTGTTAGTGATTGTGAACGAGCGTGATGAATGATTGAGTGATGTGAACATACCATATCCTCAGTGATCTTGCACTTGGCATCCATGTTGGCCAGCTCTTCTGGGTCCCTCTTCTTCTCTGGATACATGCTCAGATAGGACTCTACTACGTTGTTGATGGCATGGTTCTTCTGGGCCATCTGGACATCACAGCGACATTGTGGACATACGTCAGACTTCTCATTCCAGTCTCCATAGCAAGATACACAAAAGTTGTGCATGCATGGTACAAGAGTGATGCACTTGTGAAGGATGTCCTGACAGATGCCACACATGAGGTTCTCCTCAAGTGCACCAAGTTCATTCAATGATTGAGCGACTATTGAGTCAGAGGAGGTGTCGGCACCAGAGTTGTTGTTGGTAGTACTTGATGTTGATGTAGTTGATATAGATGGGTATGGGAATAGCTCTTGGAGAGATGGCAATACGATTGATGGAGAAGAGGAGACATTAGCAAATACACTGTCAATGACAACAAAACTTGAATCAATTGCAGATGATGACGACGACGATTGAAAAACATCATCGATAGTGACAGCAGGTTGTGGAGATGATTGAATGATGCTTGAATTGATGGACAAGTCTTGGAAGATAAAGTCCATGGCACCTTGAGGAATGAATCCAACAATGCATCCATGTTCCAATTGAACAGTTGTTCCTTTGCCAACACGCTTTCCATTTACAAATATACCATTCTTGCTGTATAATATAATATTGATTGAGTTATCAGTTAGTATGTGATGATGAAGTGATCATTAGTTCAAACATTACTTACCTATAGTCATCTATGTAGAACTTTGAGTCCAAGATGTTTTGGCTCAACTTGCAATGAAGGGAACTGATACGTTTGTCTTGGAGAACAATGTCTGATTGTGGACGTCTTCCAACAATGTATTGTACACCATCCTTCATCTCAATCATATGTGGTATATGTTGGCAAGATGGATTCAAAGTAACCAAGCGAGCAATCACATTACATTGTTGTTGATGGAGAGACTCTGACAAACTGATATCCTCAGACAATGTCATACTCTCATCATCACTCATTGAGTCCATATTTTGATCCATTATTATAGTTAACATGTGTATATATATTAAAGTAGAGATATTATTATTATTAGTTATATTAGCAAAGGTATCATGTATGAAGGTTATAATTATGACTTTAGTAAATAATACAAGTTGGCGGACTAGTGAGGCAGGTCTCCTGGAAACACCTGTTTCCTCGAACAATCTATTTTGCAAATCGAACTTCGTGTGGTGCACTTTGAAGTTCGCGAACGGCTATGATTGAGCTGTCAGCTTGTTGTACTCCTCAATGACACGCCTCTTGGTTACTTCATAGTCGCCAGTGGTGTCAAAGATAACGTCGGCATGCTTCTCTCGCTCCTCGTTGCTAAGTTGTGAATTGATGCGCTTCAATGCATCCTCCTCGCTGAGGTTGTTTCTCGTCTTTAGTCGCTCCACTGCCACAGACTTGTCGATACGTGTCACCCAGACCTGATCGACTATATCTACAAAGCCAGCCTCGATCAGTACGGCAGCCTCCAGCACAACGACCTTCTCCTTGCGATTGAGCGACTCGGTGAACTCCTGCTCGATCAGAACTTGCATCGCGGGCCACACAATCGAGCATAACTTGTTCATTTGTTGTGCATCGCCAAAGACTATGGAGCCAACCTTGCGTCGATCAATCTCTCCATCATCGGCCACTATATCTTTGCCAAACGTATCAATGATGCGCAAGTATGCTGGTTCTCCCTTTCGATAGACTGCATGACCTAACTTGTCTGCATCAATACATCTAACTCCCAACTCTGTCAAGTACTTTAGTACTGTAGACTTTCCAGATGCAATACCTCCTGTCAATCCAATCTTTATCATCCTAATCTATCTATCTCTATTATCTTGATTGATTATATATTGCAAAGGTAAGATTGAATGAAGTTGAAATAAAGTCGAGATATTTTCATTTATTCAATCAATCACATTGTTGGAAGAAGACAGATAAAGATAAAGATAAAGTATGGATAGTATACCAAATATAATAATACAGAGAATAGTACAATATCTTGGATATGGGGAACCTATTGATGTTGTTTGTTTATCACTTACATGTAAAAGATTGAAGAAGTGTGCACTTGATTACTATGTTCACGATAATACAAGATCGTCAATGTCATTGACAAAGAGTGATGGTTCAAGAATACTACCATGGTTCAAGAAACATATAATGGATAAACATGACGATCCGGATACATTCCGCTTTGACACTCACTTCAATGCGCCACCAGACCTCTTGAGAAAGAGGTTGCTCAATCACAGTAATGTAGTGTTTGGATACTATTTCAATCAACTATTAATATCTGGTTCACTACCAGACAATGTGACCAGTCTGACTGTTGGGGACTCATTCGACCGTCCCATCCAACCAAACACTTTGCCACCGGCACTAAGAAAGCTACATTTTGGACATACCTTTGACCAACAGTTGTTGCCTGGAGGTCTTCCGAATTCAATCATTACGATCACATTTGACAGACTCTTCAATCAGGAGATTCCAGTCGGTTCCCTCCCTGCGTCATTGACCAGTTTAAGGCTAAGCCGTATGTTCAACAGAGCCTTTCTTGTTGGATCACTTCCAGAGACACTTATTGAGCTGGATGTGGGCGAAGACTTTAATCAACCCATCGATCCAGGTGCTCTTCCTGCCTCACTTATAAGGTTGAGGTTTGGTGAGATGTTCAACACCTCTTTGTACAAACAATCTCTGCCACTTGGTCTGTTGGAGCTCAAATTTGGACGCGTCTATTCAAAGAAGTTTGATCATCCACTGCCTCCAGCACTCAGAAAACTCAACTTATCTGGTTCATCCTACAATCATCCATTCGCATCTCGTATACTACCAAGTACACTTGATCATTTAATACTTGGACGTGATTTCAAATGTGACATCGAGGTGCCACTCCCATCCAGCATCACCAGATTGTCCTTTGGAGGTTTCGCCAGGCCATTGACAATTGATACACTGCCATCTTCGCTCCAAAGACTGACCTTTGGATCAGATTTCAATCATCCTGTGGAGCCAGGCATACTGCCAAGGTCTCTTACGAAACTATCATTTGGCAATCAATTCATATCTACATTCAACCCAGGCTTGCTACCCTCCCTAAGCGACCTCATCTTCACTGGCCAATTCAACCAACCCTTGTCTTTGGCCAATCTATTACCATCACTCACTTGCTTGACATTGTCCTGCAATTATGTACAGCCATTGGCAAGAAATATGTTCCCAGCCAGTCTACAGACATTGAAGTTTAAATTCGTGAACTCTAGAAAGAACATCAAGTCCCAGAGCGACGCTCCATACTGTCATGATCTGTTGGACTTTAGTAATGTCAACATCCATATAGTAATGTATTTAACAAGGGCCACATCGGCAACCATCAAAGAGCATGTTGGTAGACATCCACAAGTCCAACACTATGCCTTCCTTTGTAGTTGGCTCGAAGATCATATTATGTACCTGCGAGTCATGGATGACGACTACTCATTAATATTGTCTGACAACTTTGAAGGCAGGATTGTTAAGAACACAACAGTATTCGTAGACTAAATGATCATAAAGTAAGCAAGTAGACCAGTCCAAACATATGTGGACAGAAGTATCCATTGGGAATGAGTGAGAGGAGTATTCTTGTTATTGATATATATGTATAGAGTTGGAAAACAATACTGTGCGTCGGGGCTGGCTGTTGATGATGCTATTACAAAAGAGGAGGTGGTTCATCTCTCTTTCCAGTGGTACTGGCTGAGTTGTAGGCGGTGGCAGTGAGCAGGCCAACAGAGGTACTGGTGCCAGCGGTGAGTAGTCCAGCCGGACCAGATGCTGGACCGGTGATAAAGAGGTCGTGGCTCTGCAGCGCGTACGACGACCACAGGTCTGACTTTTCTAGAATGGCGGTGATCATTGGTCCGTGGACCATATCTCCCTCGAACACCTTGAGATAGTTTACAACGATGGCCTGGGTGGCTGGCGAGATGCCCTTGCCTCTCTCCAAAAGCTTGAGTGAGCTGTTGATAAAGTCGCTGCGGGTGGCCTGCTCGACGAGACATGTCTTCTCACAGCGGTTCAGCTTGAGCAGCTTGCCAATGCACTCGGCTGTCAGGGCCAGGTTGTCGTTGGGCAGAGTGATGATGCGAGACATGTTGCTCCAGAGCGAGCCTACCTTAGACAGATGGTCCACACACACCTGGCTGTCGCCCATCGAGTGGATGATGTTGATCATTAACGAACGAATCTGGGCTGTTGGATGGCCAAGAAGTGGGAGGATCTTCTCAATGTATCCGGTCGAGGGCAACTGATCAGAGATGACGTTGTGATGCTGGAACAGCGAGATGATGGCCAGTGACAGACTCTGGATCTTGGGGTCGTTGCCATTGCCGCTGCCTGCCAGCTTGATCAGCAGGTCGAACACCTCTAGCAGGAACTTCCTTGGGTTGCGGAGCGACCATCCGGGTTGTTTGAGGAACAGAGTTATGTATACACCTCCAATGAACAGCTCCTGTTCGCCCATCTCGTAACTGATCGAGAAGTCGTCTGAGATCTTCCATTGGTTGTTGAACGTGCCAGTGCTGACCAGCAGACTGAAGTACTGCTTCTCGAGGTTCTGGATCACGTCGCGGAACTGTGCTCTGGTGTTGTTGTTCCAGATGAGCTCGGGGTTCTCGTGGTCGGCGTCAAACACCATTACGGTCTGCTGTGGGTCCTCGCCCATAGTCGATGTGAACACCGGTGGCATGAACTTGCTCAATAGCAGCGATACCTTGGGTCCGTGCACCTTGTCCACGACCATTCTGCCCAGGACGGCGCAGGCCTTGACTCTGGACTCGAGCTGAATCTGATTGTTGGAGAAGATATCCAGCAGGTAGAGCATACCACAGTGGTTGATTGTGTCGATGACATGCTGGGGCATTGCGACCAGACAGTAGATGATCTTGAGCAACAGCTCCAGGGTCTCTGCCTTTGGCTTAGTGAGCATCTGCAGCAGGTATGGTAGCAGGTTGCCTTCCTTCTCGGCGCCGGCAGTTGAGACGTTGTTGATGCACTCCATGTTGGTGGTTGCTTGCAACAGGACCTCGAGGGCCAGCTTCTGGATCTTGAGGTTGTCCTCGTGGCGCAGGAATTGGAACAGCAATCTCATTCTGTTGTTGGTGTTCAGGTTGGTGGGCGACACCTTGCCGTACTGGATGACGTTGCGCAGGGCCTCCAACGCCATTGATATCTTGTATATATAGATGTCCCATAACTTCTGGTCTGGGTTTCTCGCTGGCACCTCGTTGGTGTTGCGCTCGTTGGCCAAGAAGTCGACCAGATGCACAAAGAGCTCGCCAATTGGTGTGGTGGAGTTGGTTGGTGCAGAGGGCGAGGCATTGTACACACGCAGGTAGTACTCGCCGACCTTGAGCTCGTTGGACAACGACTTGTAGGAGAAGCCGACAACTGAGTATGGGTCGACGGCTGTTGGGTTCCTGTGCATCTCCTCCAGCTTCTTGTTGAGGTACTCCATGAGATCGTTCAGAGTGGAGTTGTTCCAGATAAAGGCAGCAGTCTCGTGCTTGGTGTTGAGCTCTGTGAGCAACTTGTGGTAGTGCTTGCTTGGAATGGTTCCAATTGGCATCTTTAGACGGACAATAATGTGTGGAGTCAAGAATGCGTTGATCACAGCCTTGACCTTCTTGTTGGCCTCAGTCTCTGGTGTGTCGAGGAAAGCCTGCACGTCGACGGCTGGCTTCTTGGAGGCAGAGGCGGCAAACTGTGATGGCTTGGGGATGGTCTTTGCTGGGAGGGCCAAGCTTGTGCTGGTCGACTGTGGGCTGGCTGGCGATGCTGGCGAGGCAGTTGGTGGGGATGCTTGCTGTGCCTGTTGTGGGGAGGTGGCTGGCTGTGCTGGAGCAGGGGTTGGGGCAGCTGGGCCAGTGATGGTCAGGATGTTTGGATCGGCGACGGGCATGGCGATTGGACCAGATGGCTGCACAATCACTGGCTTCTTCTCCTCGACGGGCTTGTCAGAGGGCTCGGTGTATCCTTCGATATCTTCCTCGCTCTTGATGCCAGCGAAACGACGCAGGGCGCGTAGCGACATTCTGGCGTGCAAGTTGGAGATCATGATACGGTTGGAATCCAGGTTGACCTCGACTCCGCTGTTGACCAACGTATGATCGTAGCCAAACAGCAGTCTGAGCAAATGCCACACGACTCCAGCGGCGATCATGCACTCCTGGAGCTCGTCATCCACGCGAGAGTACTGGTAGATGGCCTCCAGGGCGTATGTGACAATGTGGGGATGGCTGTAGGACAGGTAGAGACACTTGCAAATGTTCTCTGTGATCTTGAGCGTGGCGTTGTTGGCAAACAATTGAGCACGTGAGCCTGGGAACTTGGCCATGACACCGACGGTGCGCAGCAATGAAGCGGCGACCTCACCTGGAACGTCGCACTCGCCCGAGTTGTCGTTGATGTTGAACTTGGACGTTGGGATCGTGATGAGCGCGGTGGACTGCTGGGCGGCAGCCTTCCTGTCCTCGTCGGACTTGGGCGACCTGCTGGGGTCGGAACCGCCGTTGCCATTGTTGAGGGGTACTGGCTCTGGGATGTCTCCCTTGATCTGCTTGCCAGAGAAGGTTGGCGAGATTGGCGTGGTCTGGATGATGAGGGTGGACATCTCCAGCTTCTCAAAGATGAGCGTGGTTGCCATGCCAAAGCACTTGCCAATGATTGGCACACCGTTGTTGCGCGTGATCTCCTCGGAGTTGAGTGGCGAAGCCTCGACGGTGAGGTAGAGCAAATGGGTGGCTGGCGAGATCAGTGGAGTCTTGTTGGTGCTGTCGAATGACTTCATGTTGTTCATGAGCTCGGTGATCAGCTTCCACAGTTGAGTGTATGCAGGGTACTTGAATGGACGGAACTGATCGAGGAAACGAGTGTACAGGATGACCTGGGTCAGGAGGATCAGCGAGATCTTCTTGTCACTGCCACGCTCGTTGTCGATGTTGTTGACGGTGGACAGCAGCTCGTATGCCTGTTGGATCTTCTCAAACATGTCACGTCCATCAGGGTTCTTGTCCGGATGGTACTTGGCGGCCAGCTTGTAGTATGCCTTACGGATCTCATCGTCTTTGTAGTTGTGAGCCTTGCCTCCGGTGGCCTTGTCCTTGTTTGGCTTGAGCTGGAGGATCTCCAGAGCCTCGTTGACGGACATGACCTGGGGTGCCTTGACCGACTCGTCGGCCCACACCAACAGCACGCTCTTGAACAGCTCCAGTGGCTGCTTGATGGGCCAGTTGGGGAAGCGCTTGGTGTCGCACAGACGAGACAGGTAGAAGGAGTGGCAGAACAGCTCTCCCTCGAGCTCCTCGTATACAATCTTGGGGATGGGCACGTACTCGTAGATGGTGGTCGTGTTGGAGTGCAGACGCTGTGGAAGACTGGCCAAGTGGAGCTCGATCTTCTCGCGCATCAGCTTCCTCATCTTGCTGTTCCAGATGGTCTCGGGATCGTCGTTGTCGCTCAGGAACTTTGTGGCAAAGTTCTCTGGCGTGTAGTTGTCGAGGTAGCAGATGAGCGCCTCGGGCAACAGAGGGTAGAGGATCGAGTGACGTGTGGCCTCCTCGGTGATAAGGTGCTGCTTGTTGTGGATGATCTGCAGCAGCTTGACCATTGGCATGATGTTGGAGTTGGGGTAGAGCATCATGAAGAAGAACGCACCAGTGAGATAGAACTTCGAGGTGAACACGGCGTTGTCCTGCAGGATGGACTCGAGCAGCAGACAGGTCTTCTCGACGAGCATGTCCTGACCGGCCAGCAACACTTGCACGACACGTGGCAGGTTGAGTGGCTCACAAATGATACGCTTGACGCGTGGCAATGGACGAACGACGGCTCCTGTAGTTGGATGTCTTGTGGGACGGAAGCTGCAGAGAGCGTTCATGACGTCAAGGATGACGCTGCCCAGCTCGGCCTTTGGCAGGACGCCACCGACGTTGCCGTGGGTGGAGCCGTTCATGATGGTCCATCTCAGCTCGGGGATCGCCTGCAGAGGCTTCCACTTCTCGCTGCCCTGTGCCCAGCATCTCGTAGACTTGTTGATCTTCTTTGTGTTGTACAGCTCGAGCAGCTCTGTCCTAGAGACGGGGCCGACGCGCTGTGCGGTGTTGGCGGCGCCACCTGCGTCGCCCGAGGACGAGGCCTCGACGGCGTAGTACCACTCCTGGAGCAGACGTCCCTCCTCGCCGTAGGTGTAATGAGTGTGCACCAGAGTGATAAGCTCCAGCAGACGGTAGATACCCTTGTTGTCAATGAAGATCTTGGCGTTGGTCTTGACCAGCAGCAGACTGCGTATGAACAAGATCAGACGGTCACGCAGGATGACGTCGAATGTGTTCTCGAGCAACTCGATCAAATGCGACAGGTTGGAGAATGGATGCACCATGCTTGGGTGACTGTTGTAGTGTGTGAACACCAGGGTCATGGCGCGGAGACACAGTGACTTCTGGTCGGGGCTCTCGTTGAGCAGGAAGTTCTGCCACAACTCGTTGAAGAAGTTGCCGGGGTTGGTGAGACGAACGCCCTTGCTGGTTCCATCGACCAACAGTGAGATGTAGTAGCCGCCGACGCAAATCTCCTTCTTGAGCGAGGGGTAGAGTACTTCAAAGTCCTCGTCGTTCCAGGCGACGACCTCACGGCCAGCCGCCTCCTGCTCGAGCTGGAAGAGACGAAGCTCGTTGTCCATTGACTCACGAAGCTCCTCACGTGTGGTGTGGTTCCAGATCAGGTTGGCGTCGCGGTGGTCGTTGCTAAACTGGTAGATGAACATGGGCCAGTTGTAGGTCTTGAGTGGCTTGGTCTCGCGCTTGGCACGGATGACAGCCTTGGCCATGGTCTCTCTAGTCTTGATGATCTTCTTCATACGCCAGTTGGCAAAGACGCCCATCTTGATGGCCTTGGGACCAGTGGTCTCCTGCTTGGCGAGGGCCTCTTGCTTGGGTGGCTCCTCTGTGCTGTCGAGGAACTGAACAAGGCCGCGAGGGAAGAGACGCTCCAATAGCTGGCGACAGATGTTGTTCTCGGCGGTCCACAGACTGACGAGCAGCTTGGACATCTCCTTCTTGGTGGAGTTTCTGATGTTGGCGGGTGTCACAACGCCTGGCTGCACCTTGAGGAACAGGGCATCGTGGAGGTGACGCAGCAAAGCGCCCTCAACCAACGAGATGACCTGCATCTGCTTGGCCATCGACTCCTCACCCTCATTGATCACGACGTTCATGAGCATACCGGCGTTCTTTGAGATCGATTGGCATGGATGCATGAACAGCTTGAAGAGGTCGCGACCCAGGCCGCCCACACGGGTCAGAAGGTCCTGGAAGATTGTCGAGTCTGTCGTCTCGCTGTATGGCTCGCACAGCAGCAGTGTCAGCAGCTCAATGGCAGCATTGAGCACCAGTGCACCTGTACCAGCCGATGAATGTCTCTGTATCAATTCAAATAGTGTCTTGTTCAAGTCCAAGCTGAGGAACAGCTCACGCTTGTTGAGCTGGCATTGGCCGGCCTCGTAGTCGCCGTCGAATGCGGGCTGAGTCAGGGCGATCATCAGCTCGAGACCATAGTAGGCGATGGTGTCCTCGACACATTGGATGGAGCGTCGCAGCAGGTTTAGCAGGGGGATCTTGCAGTGAGGGAAGTGAGTGAACAGCTCGAAGCCGACACGGGTGGCAACGACACGGCGCAGCATCTGGAGCACGACCGAGATCAGCTCGACATCAGTCTTCTCCTCGGCGCTAGTCGATAGCGTACGGACACCGCTCAAGATCTTCTGGATGGCGTTCAACACGACCTTTCCATTCCTCTCAGCAAACGTGTTGGACAGTCCAGAGTAAGGGATGTTGGAGATGAAGCCATCAAGACTGAGCGTGATCTGCGAAACATTCAAGTTCTCAAAGTCGAATGACTTTTGCTCAAACAGTCTAATGTATTGTTCTTGGACGTCCTGATTGATTGGGGATTGGTTGGGGATTGGTTAGAGAGGGGTCTACATTCAATCGATCAATCAAACGCATCAATGTGTAAGCTTACCTCTGGTGGAGTGATGTGATGTGGAGTGATCTTCATTCCTCTGACAATCTGTGATGTGAATACGGTGGCATTGTTGTTACCGGCGCCTCTACAAAAGTCGACGACACTGGCAATGAGCGCATCTCTGGAGGATGAAGTGTAGGTCTTTAGCAAGCCGTCCTTGTACTGGATAGACAGCTTCTGTGAGTCGGATTCGTATCGGACTACACAGGCTACAGTCGAGTAAGGTCTGGTCGTAATGATTGAGTAGTTGGCAATATCTCTCTCAACCAGTCTATGAATGAGTAAGTGAGCGAGGAAGAGATGTTAGTGTCTTCTGCACTTGATGTTTGAGCAATGATGATCAACACAACATACTTGGTTGTTGATAATGTTAACAATCTTGAAACTGGATTTGGATGTCTGTTGCTTATCTTGTTGACGTTGAAATCGATGATGGATACGAGAGTGTCATCATCGTCACGACCATGACGACGTAGACGGTGGTTGGGATAGTCGGAGAGGGGCGACGCAGACTTGGTCACCTTGATGTCGTGTCCCACGTACTTCTTGGAGAAGACGGTGACGTTCTCGATGAACTTTGGATCGTTGATGACAAAGAGGTCGCTGGCGTCGCTGTCGCTGCCCATGTAAAATAGATAGGCATTGGGGTTGTCTGCTAGACTCTCGATCTTGACACAGTCCTTAAAGAAGTAGGTGGCACGTATCTTGGTCTCCTTGATGGGCGATTGGTTGTTGCCGACGGCCGACGAGTCCTGCTCTTCGACCGAGCAGCTGCACACGGTCAGCACGACGTCGATCCAGTTGCCGGCACGCTTGAGCTTCTTGGCTGTGTAGCTCTTGTACATGCCCGTGGCCAGCTCACGCAAACTCATCTCGTAGACGTAGCCCGCGCGGCCCAAATGGCGATAGTTCAACGTGTCCACTGATTTGCCCTGCTTCTCGGCTGCCCGCACGACGGTCAGCGATCTCTGGAGGTCGGTCAGGAGCTCCGCGCGGTTGTCGGTCTCAAAGTGCAGCGTGTCCTTCTTCTTGCCGTCCTTCTTGGTGATGATGGTGATCATGCTGGAGCCCTTGTCTGAGGGGCCGACATCGGCGATGCCCGTCTCCCACTGCCACTGGTTGGTGTTCTCCCAGGTGGAAGTGTCGTGCGTGGTCAAGTTGATTGGGTCGATCGACATAAATCTCTTCTTCTTCTTCCACGAATGTTTAATCGTGTACCAAAGTGATAAAGATCTATGATGAGCTGATACAAACTCATCAATAGATGTACCTGGTGCAGCGTTACCAGATGACATCTTTGTTATTATTTAATTAAATACAAGTGAGAGTTATGATGTATCTATCTATGTATATATATATGTATGTATGTATGAATGAATATATATATGATAATATATATATTATATTATATTATATGATATAATGTAATTGTAGGTAGGGTCGATGAACACAACAACAAGGTCAACCCAACAAGATCATGCTTGCAAGCAAGAGGCCTAGTATGAGGTCCAAGTTTGAATTGAATTAGGTTGATGCAAGGTTGCTTCAACATGAGATATTTAATTTTATTTAAATAAATAAAAGTGTGTTGAACTTTTCTTTTTCATTCAAGACCCTCAGATGGTCCATCCCGGAAGTCCTCCAAAAGAGGTACCTCCCAGGCCTCGATCACTTTGGTATTATTTAGATTCAATGTCCAATTGTCCAATTCCAATTACAATCATTCAAACTTGACTTACATCATTCACTCACTTGATCAATCAAGATTTGAAGTACTTTGAAGGAATAATGTTTATGATGACGATTGTTCGGTATTGGATTCGCATGATGTGGATGTCGTTGGATCGACTCGCTCGATGGACTTGTATGAGACCATGAGTTTGGTCCAGGAGATTGATTGAATGGTCGCTACGACGTGATCACCAATCTCCAACTTGTTGGCACACACTGTTGTTGGAACTGAACTATCGGTGAAGTTATACTCTTCGAATCCAATAGTATATACATCCTTGACAGAATCGTGCTTAATGATCTTTCCATTCATCTTGGCAACGATGGGTGTGTCGCGTTGACCTGGAACGACTGCTGGCTCACCAGACTGCTGAGCCAGTTTATCCTTTAGCGCCACCAACCAGGAGTAAAATCTTCGGTCCCTGTGTATCTCGTGCAACTCGAATGATGGCGTGCCAATCTTATTGATCGACTCCATACTGAATATTGGCAGGTTGTATTGCCAGTACCAAGCCAGTTGCATCTGCATAATCATGTCGTCCACCTTCTCCAAAGGCATTGACAGCTTGGCCCTGAACTCCCTTGATGAGCTAGTCACAAACTGGAATGCATCAAAAAATGATATGCATGGCAGACCCTTGGCCTTAACATATTGTCCAAGTCCCTTGTCTTTGATTGATTGTGTATGAGTATGAGTTTGAGTATGAGTTTGAGGATTGAGTTTGAGTGATGGGATTGGACTTACCTGCAAGCTCGATTGCTGGCCTGAAGAATGAGCCAAGTGGATTGCGGCTGCGATTGTTTGTTCCACTCATTGGGAGAATGCGCTTGTCCTTTAGAGTCTTTAATACCTTGAACAAGTTGCGTGCGTCATTGTCCTTGATATCATCAATTGACTTCATATTATCCAGTGCCTCATTTGATGACAATGTGATCAACCTGGATGGAAGTGGAGCATTCGGTGTCAGTAAGTTGATTGGTTGAATGAGTGGAGTGACTTACTTTGCCTGGTCCATCAGTATTGGCTCCACACCAAAGTCCAACTGCTCCATGGTCTCCCTGTTTAGCTTGGTCCAACGAGTGATGCCAAATCTGAGGGGACGTTCGGTGACAGCCTTGACAAAGGCTTGGGGTAGAGTTGATACGCGAAGTCTGTCCATACCCTGTCTGTTGTCAGCCTGATAGAATGACATCTTGCTGAACAGTGCACTCTTGTAGAGTGTGTCATTGGGGCCGTCCTTGATGTATGGCGACACATCCATGCATGTGACATACAACGTGCACACCTTGTCCGAATCCATCACAACAGAGAACAAGCAGTTGCCCACGAATAACTTGTCATCGTCGGTGCGGTACACTTGGTACATGGGCTGTGTGAATGGCTTGCGAATGGACGCCAGGGGGTCGAACATGTCCTTGCCATTGTTGGCCTCCAAGCTCTTGGTGATGTTGTTCATCGCGACGGCCGTCTCGCGGGGACAGATGCCTGAGAGCACATCGCCCAGCTCGTAGTTGGGAATGGGATGCAGCTCCATGCCCAGCAAGCGCAGCACCTGTCTGGCGCCCTTATGCGAGAACTCCACGCCGAGCTTGTCGAGCACGATCTGAGCGAGATCCGAGTACTGGAACAGGTGCTTCTCGGGATGATTGATGAAGAGGTAGAGCAACACGACAAACTTGTTGTCGTCGTTGTTGAAGTGATCAAAGTACTTGGGCTTCTTGTCCATCGACTTAAAGGACTGCACGCGATCAATGAATGGCTGCATGTCCTCAAAGAGGCGCGACTCGATGCGGTAGCCGCCCGTCACCTCGTTGCGCGCGATGCTGCGATCGCTGTTGAGCAGACGGAATGTGTCGTACATGTTCTGCGGCGATGGCGATTGCGATGCCAAAGGCGAAGTTGGGTGGACGTCCAGCAGTGTCCTGCAGGCATTGAATGTGGTAAACTTGAAGGTCTGTGCGCCAAACTTGATGAAGGCTGCGTGGCGATCGGGTGCCAAGACAACCAAGTCGTTATGGTTGTTGTACAGCTGGAGCAAGTCTGTAGTGTTCAACCTGTAATAGTCCTGTGGCCAACATCCGAGCACGTCCCATATCTCCACCTTGGCGCCATTCACTACCACTGCACCACCTGGTCTATTGTGATCCAAGTACGACACCAACAAGTTGACGCCACTATGATAGTTCTGGATGATGCCCAAGTACATCACATTATTGAGCATGAACTCAATAGTAGTTCCAACAGGCTAAGTAGTGATTGATTGATTGATTGGGATAGTTCCAGTGAGTGGGTGCGTGCCAGTCCGACAACCCTGGCCGGATACTTACCAACATGGTCTTAATGGATGGGTAGACATCGTTAGGAGACTGGGGATAGACGTTGGTCCTCAACTTGAGAAGTTGAGCATGTGGTTTCTTGTTGTCATCAGCTTGACGAGTGATGTTAAGACGCTTGAGCATGTCATTGTAGGTGGATAGTTGTTTCATGTAGTCGATGTAGTCTTGCTTGGTGGTCGTGAATGGTAGGTTTGATGGGAGGTTGAGTGCAAACGACTGTTCGGTGATGCTGGCCAGAGTTATCTGATCAAACATGTTGTAGGGCTTGTGGACCTGGGGCGCATTTCCAGTCACTGGTGCCTTAAGATTCTGTTTCTTTTGATCCTTAGTTGTCGCTGTCGTTGTCGTTTTTGTCGTCTTTGTCTGATCGTTCTTTGAAGTTGTTGTTGTTGGCTTGACATTGGAAGTCTGTGCCTTGTTCGGGGTGTATTTCTTCTTCTCCTGTTGTTGCTGTTGCTGTGGTTGTTGCTTCTGATGCTGTTTCTTGTATGGTGTCTTTGTTGTTCCTTTTGTCGCTACTGCTGTTGCTGGGACATCAGTCTTCTCAGTCTTCACCTCAACTGGTACTTCAATTGATGTGGTCGAAGTTGCTGTCTCAGTTGGCTCAACTGATGCGGTGGTGGTGGTGGCCACCTGCTCAGTTGATGATGCACCCTCTGACTCTGTTGCTGAGGGTGTTGTTGTAGACGCTGCGACTGAAGTGGAATCAGTAGTTGAGTACCATCTCCTGAATGTTGTGGTTGTTGGAAGGAGTGATGGAGATGTGATCCTAGAGTTGAGTGTGGCTGGTGGGAAGGGTGTCCTCGAGATCAATCTTCCCGTACCAAGTGTCAGAGTTCGAGCAATATACATTGAAGCCATTGCTTGTTACTAAGTACTAAGTCTAGTCTATACTAAGTAATATCGAATGAGTGTTGGAGTCGAAGTGACGAATGATTGATTCATGTGCATCTTCTTGCAAGTGCACCCAAATCTGCCTTGGCTGAAAAAAGACGAAGAAACCGAATGAGGTTTGATCCAAATCAGGTAAACAACTAGAGAATGATCATAATCCTGGATTGACTAACTAGTACTACTACAAATATGATATTTATTCCATTTCCTTGACCTTACCCTGACTTTACACTAACCCTTGCCCTAACCCTTACCCTAACCCTAACCCTCGTTCAACCCTTCGCTCAAGTTCACCACACACAACTCGAAAGAAAGTCAACTTCACCTCACCTGTTCATTCATTCAACCAACTCTCATCATCATTGTATATACATAAGTTGAATGAACAATGAGACAAAGAAACGATAATAATCAATATGGCCAACAAGGCCAACAACAACAACAGCAACAACAAGGTAATAAGTATAGAGATCATAGAGATGGATTTGTTTCAAACCTACCCTTTGTCAGAAGTATACCTATCCCTACAAATCCATGGGCAAGACTACTATTCAGTATAGCATTGGACATTGCCGGTGTATTCTCACAGATCATCCCAGTGTTTGGAGTCGCCATGTTCCCAGCAATAAGCTCGTACCTCATCTACAGGTTATACGGCAGTACATTCGGAGTCATCCTAGCATTTGTAGAAGAGACTGTAAGCGTGTACAATCATTCATTTATATAGCATTGTACTAACACATCAACATTATTAGATACCTGGCCTTGGATTCATCCCGACTGCAACACTGTGTTGGTTGAATGAGCGATATGACTTGATGACCTGGGCAAACCAGAATGTACCAATGTTTAGACAGGCATCATCGGTTTTCTCAATGGTCAAGAGTGTCTGGTCCTATGTCAAAGTTGGTCTGATTGCTGCCGCATGTTTCATTGGTTATCGATTGGTATCATGGCTTGGATTCGGTGGTATTGGAGGTGGAGGTGGAGGCACGTATCCATCATCAACTGTGCCACCAGATTAAGCTGATCATTGTAGTGTACTACTCAACATAAATGGAATGTACAATACACAATATCTTGTCCACCTTTACTATAATTTCAACTCATTCAATTGATTCATTCCCTGCAAACCATTGACATGTTGCTTCCAGACTGTACAATGCCAGGTGCCAGGACATCCGCGGTCGCCTTTGAGTCCAAGTTCGAAAGATGTATAATTCCATTCGTCTCCAACTCTGGTGGCTCACTTGGATCATAAGGCGTGAAGCTAGAGTGTGGCAACAGTTAGTTCAATCAATCAATTGAGTCCAATCAATCAAGTTGACGATACATACTTTGCATAACGATAGACCCATTGATCACCAACCTTGTGGAAATACTTTGGCTCCCATTCAATATTCTTCTCCTTCCTGTCTTTGACGGATTGTCGTTGCGCATCCTCCAGCTTGATCTTCTCACTGGTGGCCTCTTTCTGATCTTTACGTATGATTGCCTTGGCCACATTGATCCAAAGTCTTTGTGATTCATTGATCTCTTGCTCCTCGAGTGGACGGATGTATCTGGCCGTTCTCTTTGCCGATTTACACTGCCAAAACACCTCTGTTGTCTTGGTCTTTACATTAGTGATGTCCAACTTATCATCCCATTTGCCGCCAAATGTGTACAATATATCTGTCGACTTTCTCTTTATCTTTCCAGTCATTGTATTATACTCCCCACCGATCCATGGCTAAATGTTTGATTGATTGAGCGAGTGAGCGAATGAGATGAGTGAAATGATTCAAAATGGACGATGATACTAACCTTGGCCTTGATATCCATCTCCACCTTTAGATTGGTGGCCTGACATGTGATCTGAGTGTTACCCGCAATCTCTGTGAGCAATGTACCAAAGAGGATGCCACGTGCATAGATGTTTGGGAAGTTGATGACGTATTGTTCATTGAGCTCGGGTAGATGTAGAGTGATCGATCCCTCCACAATGACAGCCAGCGATGTGCCAGTGAACTTGGAGCGAGGGTTGATGATGCCAGTGATCACATAGCCATCCTTGCGATTAGATATGTACAGGCAAGAGACGGGTGGATGATGTGAGATCTGCTCGGCTACCAAGTAGGCCGTGGTGCCAGCGTAGGTCCACTGCGACCTGAATATCTCGCCAAGAATTGGATTGTAGGGTTTCTTTACGCCCTTGGCCGGCTTGTAGGCAAAGGACGAGACGAACCAACGTGTGATGTTGTAGATGCGCTCGACGGGGTCGGCCAACTTGGACACGCCCGCCAACAAGTCGCAGTGTATCATAAAGTCGGTGAATTTCTCCAACAGTGATCGAGGCTCCAATATGAATGTTGGCAGTGGTACACGTGACAAGTCCATTCCAATCTTGACCTCTGACAACAATGAGAGCAACAAATTTCTTGGTTCCTCGTCCAACACTTCGGCATCACCACTTTTGATCACTTGATCATTATCCATCACCATTGATGATGATGATGTTTGAATTCCATTATCTGAGGCTTCATCAACTAATGTTGTGTCCATTTCTCAAATACTTAAAGTGAGCGGGTTGTGTCTTGATTGATTGAATGATTGATTTGGTCGAGTTGTGTTGATTGATTGAGTGAGATCGGGTATCTGATGTATCAGTGAGAGATCAGATGATTAAGATGCGGATGAAGTTGTAAATAATAATACAAGTTGTTGTTGTACTTGTTTGGCGTTTGTGACAATAGGTTCTAAACACGTTTGACAACCTCAACTTAATTTAATTCACAGTCTGGAATTGATCGGATTGATCTTGGGGGTTAGTTATTGGGGGGTCGTCATCTCACACCATCTTTGAACAAGTGATTGATTGCTTACACTGTCAGAACCCCAAATAAGACATGTAATAAGTTAGTTAGTTAAATAGGAAATAATGATAATTCATTCTAAATCATGATTGATTGATTGATTGACCATGTGCGCTTGTTTGTCCATGACCATGGATGTCTTGAGAGTTGCTGAAAGGAATGAGTGCCCTTGCCTGTGTGTATGTATATATATATGCATGTTGTTGTTCTAAGCTTCATTGCCATGATAGACCTCGTAGACAAGACGACTGAGTACTTGACTGATTGGTGTACCTCGTTGATCATTGGCAACGATGTGTGTGAGCATGTTGACGCGATCCTCTTTGGTGGCGCACGATTCATCGTAGGCAATGCGCAGTGAGTTCATTGTGGGGTAGCGATTGACGATAGCCAGTGCCTTGGCATCGGTCATGCTGTTGATGTTCAGCAGGAATCTGGCAAACGCGCTCTGTGTTGTGATTGGTGTGTGCTCGGCCTTGCTCACAAACTCCTCAAAGCACGTGTCTGTCAGATGCTTGAGAGGCTCGCGCAGTAGCATGTTATGGATGTTCTCCAACATCCGCACAGTGTCGTCCTCGTCCATTGTTGTCACTGGATGGAATCCATTGTTTATACTGGTCTCCACAAGACAGTTCTCCATGAACACCGGATCGATCTTCCTCTCAGTGTTGTCGCCCTCCACCAAGTAGAATACGCGCGTCAGGCCACAGCGCTCCAAACGATACTTCTGATCGGCGTAGCGTCCATCCGCTGAGCTCTCTTTGAGGTCAAAGAGTAGCTTTCGTTCGATGATCACGTTGAACACCACATCAAACATGGTCTTGTGCGGGTCATCGCTCATGTGCACCCTGGCCACCCAGAGGAAGTCGCCCAGTGGTAGCGAGCGCACCTCATATGGGATCTTCCTCAGTGATAGGGCTCGCAGAAGCTTTGAGTTGTCGATTCCTTTCTTGATCTCTCTATTGTCCACGAGCAGCAGCACACTGATGATGTTCATGCTCGCGTTGTGTATCGTCTCGGCCTGCTCGGCGGTGAGAGGTGTGTTGTTGAGCATAAAGTCGATAAGCTCAGTGTCGCTGTCACTCCAATCGTTCAATGAGTATATATCTTTGTCATTCGTGTCGTCGTACTGATCTGGATCGTCTGGCTGTTGAATGTTTTCGCCAGATGTGTCGCCCAAGTCCATGATGTCATCGATTGTGTCGTTGCCACTCTGTTGATCTTGTTCATCGTCTTCGTCATCAACGACTAGGTTCATAGTGCCATTGTCGTTGAGCTCGGTAACCTTTTTGGCCATCACTCGGCCCTTTGGTGACAGGTCGTAGCGCTCCGATCGCTTGCCAGTGATTTCGACCATATCACGTTTGATAAGTTGTGCCATGCCGCGCCACAGGTTGGCTTTGGAGGGAGACTCAAAATACTCCCTGGCCCTGGCAGTCAGCTCCTCTCGTGTGGGCGGCGTGTAGTCCATGCTCTCGGACGACATCTCGTATTTGTACAACGCAACGAGCAGTGCCCAAGCGGCGTTACGGAAATTGGGCACCCATTTATCCGCTTTGTCTGAGTCCAGTCTGATCTTGGCAAACCTGTTGCCGGTCCTGTGCTTCTTCTTCCTCTTCTCCTTGACCACATCGTCGTCGCCAGAGTACTGTTCATTATTGCTCTCATAATCCTCATCGTCCGACGAGGAAGCACGCTTCTTCTTGGTCTTCCTCTTGCGATTTACTTGTCTCGAGACGACCACGGGTGCATCATCCTCGTTGTCATCCTCTCCCACCGCCCCTTCATCCATGCTGCCATTATTATTATTATTATTGTTGTTGTTGTTGTTGTTGCTGTTGTTGCTTCCACTACTGCTATTCTCGCTATATTCTTGCCCCTGTCCATCCATCTGATCCTGACCCTGATCCTGATCCTGATCATTCTTGTTGGACATGCTGATGTGCAACAAAATGGCAACGCGATGCTTACACAATTGCTTGCCAGTTTGGTGTGGACATTCGCAGGTGGACTCCACTACCGTGCCATTGGGATGCAGTCTAATCATCACATTGTAGTTAGGACTCTCTCCAGTGTCTGAAGGTGATCCACTGATTTCCGCAGTGACGACACCCTCCTGGCTTGTGAAATCCATTCCTATTATGTTGTTAATTGTACCATACGCACGATTAAATACATCTATGTTGAGCCGTATACGTGTCATATCAGTCAGTCAGTCAGTCAGTGTCATTCATCATGGTCATGCGCATAAACACACATACCTTGTGAGCACAACTTCTTGATGTTGTCCACTTCAATGTGCGGCTGCGACGGCTCCAATCTTTGAGGCAGTTCCTCCATGTTATCCGATGGGTCTTGATCATTGGGCAACTTGATATTCCTTTCCTCCACGAATCGTTTAAGCTTGTCCACCTTGCTAAGGATGAGCTTGCGATGGCCATTTGGAAAGTCAGAACTAAAGTCGGAGGCCTCCATCAACATGATGCTCTCAAACTGATCGAATCCATTTGTTAAGAGGAATTCCTTGAATTTAGATATCTTTGCTATGTTGTCTATCCAATCTTCAACTGATAATGGCATCCTATCTATACCATCCATCCATTGATCGATTGATTGAATGATTGATTGGGTGAGTCAGTAGTGAGTGAGCGGTAGAAACCTCTCTGAAGCCATTGAATGAAGATCACATACAGTCATCAAACTCTGTGCTGTTGCCTTTTTTGTTTGTCTGATTGGCCTTATCTCTCAATATACCCTGGACAACCAACTGCAACTTTTCACCACATCCGCCGAGATTCTTGCAGTCTAGTAGGTAATGTATGTTGTTGTAAGCATGTATGTATTGATTGATCATCATGATCACTATTACAAATGAGCAAGCCTTCTTCCTCTTACTTACTGATTGAATCAACTTCACCAGGGTATCGTTTGATATTACTGATAAGTCTAATTATTGCATTAACATAATGACCAGTAGCTTTTTGCTGGTGCTTCTCCAACTCTGTGATTAAATAATGATTGTTATCATTCATGAATGTATATATAGTATTGATTGATTGGTGTCGTCTTCCTTCCTTCGCTACTAGAACTACACTACTACAACAACAACAAAGATGTTTGTTGATTGAATGAATAAATGAACTTGCAATACTCTTGACCTGATGGGTCTCGACCCTTGTGGTTTGACAAAACAAAGTGGTGGACTTTGGTTCATCTGCATCCAACATGAACAAGTTGGGACAACGCCAGAGATAAATGCTGGATAATAGATAGATAGTAACGTAAATACGATCCATTCTTTATTAGGTAGATAAGTAAGTAATGGTTTGTTGGTTTGTTGTAGACTGGGTTGTTGGGTTATTGTGTGGAGCGAAGGAGAATGTTGACGGATGGATGAGGAGGGGAGGCCTTCCACGTGATGGTTTGTGGACGGACGGTCGACGTTGATGCTGATGATGTAACATAATATCTATTCTTGGGGGTATGTGCTTATTGACGCACTCTTCCACCTCTATGTTGTTGAGGCTTGTTGCGCTGGTAGTGATGGTGGTCGCGATGCTGGCCGCCCTGGTGATGGCCATGGCTTCCACTGCCGCTGGCGCCACCGCCGACGACGTCGTCAAACTTCTTGTTGCGATAGCTGCCAAACTTGCTGTCGTAGATTCTCTCGTTCTGCTCGACAAAGTTGATCAGTGAGTCAGAGTAGTTGAGCGCCAGGTACTGCAGCTTGGTCTGCTCGGAGCGATGGAAGGTGATGGTCTCGGTCGAGTGCTCCCATGATGCTGATATCTCGTGGTTGGCCATCATCTTGGAGAGGATGGAGTGCACGTGGTTCTTGGGCAGGTCGAAGCGGGTGGCCAGCTCGTCCAGAAGCATTGTGCTGTAGTAGGCCGAGTAGGTGAACAGGTAGGTTTTCAGCGACACCTCTTGGATGATGCGGTTCAGACGCTCGCGAACGGCGTCGGCGTCGGCGATCATTGTCCAGAGCTTGAGGCCCGAGATGAGCTCGATGGTGGAGCGCCAGTTGCCAGTGGCCAGCTTCTTGGAGGCGGCGTAGATCACGTCTTTAAAGGTTTCGGCGGGTGGGATGAAGGTCTGCTTGTCGAGATGGTCCATATGACGCTGGTAGAACTTGCAGGTCTTGAACTTGTTGTCGAATGGGCGGGCGGCGTTCTGTGGCACGGCGATCAGCATGCCCGACAGCAGGTTGACTGTCTCGATCAGGTCGAATGGGATGTGCATATGTGCGGGCAGGATACGCTGCTTCTCGTCAATCTCCTTCAGCTGGTCCTTCTCCTGGTACTTGTTGACCATCGACACGCCCTGTGCAATCAACTCCTTGCGCAGACCCGAGTACTCGGCCAGACAGTTCTGAGCCTCCTGTATGTATCCGTTTCTAAAGGCGCACAGACCGACCTGCACGATGGAGCGGTTGAAGAGGATCTGTGTCGTGACGTCCATGAGCGTGGGGTTGTCCTGCAAATGAGACATCAACATCATGTCACGGGCGGCGTGGAAGTGGTTGTGGATGGCGCTGAAGTAGATGTTGAACAAGATGGTGCGGGCCTTGAGACGCTCATCACCGTACTGGTAGACGAAGCTGGACAGGTTCTTGAGCATGGCGGCGTTGGCAGCCTCCTGCTCAACGTTGACGCGGTAGTAGATGTGTGCCAGACGACGGACGGCAGCGCGAGACGCGCTGCTGAACTGGCGGTGGTCCTCCAGGTACTGCTGCACCTTGGTGCCAATGCTGAGCAGCACATCCTCGTCGGCAAGACGGGCGGTATAATCTGTGGATGGGTAGTTGTTGTTCATGTGCTGCAGACTCTTGACGTACTCCTCGTCCAACTTCTCGTACAGCGATAGCAGGTTGCCGCGCACCATGATCTGGCCCTCCTTCAGGTAGGACACCTCCTCGTGGTCGAGCAGCAACACAAAGTTCTTGTCAGTCTCGAGGATGTTGATCAGCTTGAGGATGTTCTGGCTGGTGGTCTTCCACACGGGGATTGGCAGCGATGTCTGGAGCGTTGGCGAGAGATCAAACTGTGAGTTGATGAGCGTGTAGAGGATGTCGAACGTGTCCTTCTCATTCTTGACCTGTGAGAGCAGGTTCTCGAGCTCCTCGATCTGCTTGGCGGGCGAAGTGCCCTTCTTGCCACGGTTCTTGTGCAAGTCCTTCAGCTTCTTGACGATCTCCTCGGCAGTGAGTGGACGCTGCTCGACGGCGGGTGCTGCAGCTCCGTCTGGGGTAGCCGAGGCATCGCCAGTCGCGGCCTCAACCGGCTTGACACGCTGCACTCTATCCTTTGGCTTGACAGCGGTGGCTGGTGCGGGCTTCTTGGCATCCTTCTTGATCCACTTGTTGTACGTGTCCTCATTACCATAATCACTTGATGAAGTGTCCGATTCATCCGAGTCGTCATCAAACTCTGAATCACTCTCCTCTGAATCATCATCTCCAGAGGATGAGAAATCCTGTCGTTGTTCATTCATGAATGTCATCAATACAATGTTAGTCATCTCTTCCATCACTCTCTCGCGACTGTATCAACAACATAAACATACACTGTCTTCTCCAATCTTCTTGAAACCTCCTGCAGGTGGCTTCTTGGCAGCTGCTGCTGCTGGCTTCTTTGGGACAGCAGCGACTGGCTTCTTGGGCTTCTCGTCCTCGGAGGACTCTGACTCTGACTCGGACTCTGACTCAGAGTCGGAGGCAGGGGCGGCAGCGGCAGGCTTGGCCTTGCCAGCGCCAATGCCGGCGAGCTCTGGGCTGTCCCTGTATTGCTTGATCTGCTTCTCGTAGGTTGGTGAAATAACCTTCTTGATCTTCTGCTTGAGGATAGTGACTGACTTGGTGTTTGTTGGTGACAACTTCTTCTTTGTGTCCATGTTGGCCAGTCCATGCTCAATCACAAACAGTATCTTAATAAAGGCAGGTGGAATACCTTCCTTTTGAATCAGGTTGGCTGACTTTTCAACCAACTTTATAGTCGCTTCGAAGCCTGTATATATCATTCGTTCATTGATTGATTGATTGATGACCTGTGTATTAGTTGTCTGTATCCACATCAATGATGTACTCTCTGTCGCTCGCTCGTCTGTTCACTTGTTTGTGATCACTCATTCAATCAATCAATCATTTGACTGAGATGATGTGATGTTGATGATGATTGATCTCGCTCGCTTGATGATGAACCATACCTGTTTGAACCTTGGTCCATTCGCTATCTTGAATTTGCTGTCTGGTCTCTGTGAGAGACTTCTCGAATTGATCGAACAGCTTGTCCTTTCCTGAACGTACGACACGCTTGACCTCAACCTCGTCTTCTGAAGATGAGACCTGACGTGCCTTTGTCTTTGGTACAACCTGGACATCTGAATCCGAGGATGATGAATCGCTATCCGACTCTGACGACGATGAAGATGCGTAGAAACGAGACATTGTTTTGTACTTCTGTTGTTCTTCTGTGTTCTGTACTTCTTTAATCTAAAATCCTTATTCGATTGCTACTACAATTACTATGTGTATATGTAATATAGAATATTGAATATTGATTAACAATAACTAAGTAAGTAAGAGATATATAAAGTCTCGCTTAAGTAATTGATTGATTGTGAGGGTGAGTTGAAGTGAGGGTTTGTTCAGTCAGTCAGTCGCGTGCAAGCATGAGAGAGTTGACAACTTCGCAAATGTTTAGTTCGAGCTTCACTTCTATCATGCTCACACACATCTTTGTGTGAAAAAAATAAACGGGGAATTACACACGAACTCCCAAGACCTGCCTCTCACTTATGCCCGGGCATTTAATTCTATTCATCAACCCCTCATCTATATTCAGTCAATCAATCATTTACAACTTGTAACATCTAATCTATTTATAACTTGTACTTATACATAATGTCAATATTAACAGGTAATATATTATCAATCAATCATAAAACAATACACTAACATGTAATTATAAATAGTTGAAGTTCAACTGTTTGCAAGTTCAACAACACCTTATGATCAGTTGTTGAATAAGGTGGAGGCGTACTTGGACGAGGATATTGTCACTTGTGGAGAGATAGTCAATAAGTTATATACATTTGGTTCATCGAATGAGGATGAATGCTTATCAATCGAGAGTGCACTACTCCCCGCAACATTATGCAAGGATGTTGAGTTGATCACATTGTTTGGATTGACTCGTCCAACTGCCTCTCAAGCATCTATAACATATTGTATTCAAATATATCAACTCAATCATGATGAGCCGGCAATGGAGGATGGTGACTCTGCGGAAGAAGCATCTCCATATCAATTGTACACATTGCCAAACATTCAATTCAAGTCATTATGGAGCAGTCTGATCTATGATGATCGTATCAAGTCCAATCTACTCCAATACCTCTCAACAATAGTCTTATTCTCCAAACATGATGTTGATTCAAACATTGTATCACATAACAAGTATGTTACAGTTCGATGTTTGATTGATTGTTCTTGAATACTAATGTGCCAGCCAACCTTTAGGATCGTCTTGTTGAATGGACCACCTGGCACTGGAAAGACATCATTGTGCAAGGCATTGGCACAGAAGATATCAATTCGATTCAATCATATATTCCACAGTTCAGTATTGATAGAGATCAACTCTCATAGTCTATTCAGCAAGTGGTTCTCAGAGAGTGGAAAGTTGGTGATGAAGGTTTTCGATCGTATTAGAGAGACGGCAGAGGATAGCGAATGCTTTGTGATCGTACTCATTGATGAGGTCGAGAGTTTGACCGCTGCCCGCAAGGCTGCACTCTCTGGAGCGGAGCCATCTGACTCCATTCGAGTGGTCAATGCATTCCTAACTCAACTGGATCGTCTCAAGACATACAAGAACGTCATTATCCTGACAACATCAAACTTGGTTGGAGCTGTTGGTAAGTCTTAAGATGAGGCTGGCAGCCTTGGAACAGACATCTGACCACCATCAATCAAACGTAGACATTGCATTCATAGACCGTGTGGATATCAAACAGTACATTGGTCTGCCATCACTTCAAGCACGTGCAGTAATATTCCGATCATGTATTGATGAGTTGATCAAGAAGGGTTTGATGAAGGGTGGCCATCAGGGCCATGATCAATCACTTCAAGAAGTAGCCAAGCTTGCTGAAGGTCTAAGTGGGAGATCACTGCGCAGAATACCATTCCTTACCTTCTCAAACATGTATTCCAAGGTATGCCATGTCATCTATCAATTAGGTCATATGATCAATCAATCAAACAACTTCTAACACATCACATCATGTAATAGTCTGCGCAGAGTGTACAGTATAATGAATATATGGATGCAATGAAGAGTACATTGGCTTTGGAATTGGCCAATACTAGTAAAATAGAGAAGCTATAACTTCCAATCAAATGGAAGTTACTTGTATTGTATACATATTGGGATGACGTACGCTACTTCTTCTGTTTTCCACCTTTTCCAGACTTCTTGGATGCACCTCCGCCACCTCCACCACCATCCTTTGGCTTGCCACCAATGGCATCCGAGTCGATCATATTGCTGTACATCAATTGCTCTGAAGGATCATCCTTTTCAATCATCTTATCCTTTGTCTTTTGTTGTTGTGGCGGTTGTTGTTGTTGTTGCTTTGGTTTCTTCTGTTGTTGCGACAACACTGGTCGATGTTCATTCTCCTCTTGTTGCAGTGCTCTCTCTTGCCGCAGTATCCTCTCCCTCTCTTTCTTCTCCTTCTGTTCTCTCTCCAGTCGCTCCTCCTTCAACTCCTGATGCTCCTTTAGTAGCTCCTTGTGTTTCTTTGCCTTCTCTCTTGTATTCTTAACAAACATAGTATTGATTTCCTTTGCCTCTTGCTTAGTGGCCTCGATCAGTGATGCATTCTCCTCTTTGAATCCAGCCTGCTGTCTCCTGAACTGATGGCGCATGGCCTCTGTCAACTCCTTCAGACGTCGATAGAGCTCGTCTGCACCATCGATCAGCAGCACGCCAAATGCACTGACCTTGATTTGAACATTGAGCAAACGTCCAATGATCCTGCGACTCAATGCGAATGTGTAGAGTGCCTGATTCGATCGACACTGACGGATGGTATGCTGTATGGACTCGTTCAATCCGCCTGGACATCCAACATCCTCGATATTTGGCGCAAAGATCACACATGCCAATGTGCCACACTCTGCAGCGCGTTGAATCTCTCTCATTCCCGTGATGTATCTCCTCTTTCGCTTCATATCTGCTCCTGGATTGTTTGCAGCATAGTTGTCCTGGAGTAACTTGATCTTCTTTATGAACTCCCTTGCCACCTCATCAATCTCTGGTGTACATGTTTGATTGATATAGTCCTGAGGTAACTCAATCTGTGTCTTTGATTGTTGTTGTTGAGTTGTCGTTGTGCCATTATCATTGCCATTGCCATTGTCATTGTCAATGTTATCCACGATCTGGTGAATGAGTGATCGAACAAAGTGCTCTGCTTCAGTGTGATTCTGTTGATCCAACTGTTGTTGGAGTGTGAGTGACTGATGCCGCAGAGCAAGTTGTTGCTCCTGTTCCGTTTTTGATGCAAGATATGATGATTTGAGTGATCGATACAACAATATGTTTCTCTTGAGCTTGGATGGTTTCTTCTTCTTGGGCACCTCCCTTGTGAATCCAATCTTCTTCCTTGACAATGACACTGCTGTGGTCGTCAGACCCTTGTTCGTCGTCTTTATAGATGATGCAACCAATGATGATGCAGTTGATGATGCAGATGATGGGATTGATGTGGGAGAGATTGAGAGTGATGTTAAAGACTTGGCCGGTTGATGTTGTTCCTTGTGTTGTTGCTTGGCAGAGAAAAGGTATTGAGTCCAATCGATTGGAGGTGGCTTGGTTGCCACTGGTTTGATGATGTTGTTGTTGTTTTTGTTTGGAGGGATCGGTGTTGTCTTCCCAGTTGGCTTCTTCTTTGTATCGATCTTTGCCTTCTTTGTTGTAGCGGCAGTGGTGGTAGTCGTTGATGTCTGCTTTTTCTTCTTCTCTTTCTTCATTACTGTAGTTGGAGTTGGTATGGGCTTTGGAGCAACCATACTTGCTGCAACATGTTGCGCCCAACTTGGTTTAGCCACTGCTACAGTTGGAGGAGCAACGACAACCGCACTAGTAGGTGTCATTGATGATGTTTGCCTTAAGTGTTTCTCATCCTTTGTCTTTAACGTTGTTGTTGAGGTTGAAGTTGAAGTTGTTGTTGTTGTTGTAGTTGTCGAGGTAGTTGGTGTCTTTGCATTTGGTTTAGGTTTAAGAAGTATTGGCAAGGAAGGTCTTGTTGGTAGACCTTGTTGTTGTTGTTGTTGCTTTTGTTTATGAGAGGCGGTTGAAGTCATCATTAATAACAACCATATTCTATCTCTAAATGTATAACCTAAACTCGATTGATTGACGGGAAGTGTCTTTGACCAATTCCATTATTCGGGGTTCACAAAAATCCTTTGCATATCGTGCGAGACAGAACCAGCTTGAGTTGTTTCATTCAACAACTCTTGTTTTACAATCTAAAGAATAATCAAATACAAACAGTGAGAACTCAACAATATCGTCACACTTCCCGATTTGGTATCTAAGGTATCAATAGTAAAATAGTAATAGTAGTTAGTTGTCGCGATCAACAAACCATTATGACAGTCAAAGGGTCTTTACCATCACATTGCCAAGTATGGAAATTTAAAAAAATCTTTCGAAAACATAAAGTCGGTCAGCCAAGGGTTGGTGAAACGGAACTCGTCGTCGTGGACTTTTTTATTTGTAGAGACATTACGTATTGGATGATCCTAGAGGGGCAAGTGATCGAAGTGAGGGAAACTGATTGATGTAACCTAAATGCGTAAGGCCTCATCCCACCCTAATCAATCAAGTGTAGAGATATCGAGATATAAAGATAGTTAGATAGTCAGACAGAGAGAGTTAGAGAGAGTTAGAGAGATATAAAGAGAATGATGATGTCTCACCATGATCTAACAGACATTGTTGTTGGTGGTTGTGATGATCAAGACTTTTTTCATCAACATCATCAACATCATCAACAACATCATCAACATCAACAACTTCATCAACTATTACATGATGATTACTCATCTTTTAGTTACAACAATATTGAGGATACAATTAATAATACAGACACCAACAACAACAACAACAACAACAATAATATAATGGATGATATGGAACCTGAACAAACACCAACTGTTGTTGAATATTTCGCTGATGAAGTTGTCAATAACTTTAGGAACAAAGAGATGATGATCAAATTGAAGATCGAACGTTTGACGAGATCACCATTTCACAACTTGTTTCAAACATTCCTGGACAAGGCTGTCAATGTCCAAGTGCAAGTGTCGCAAAGCCATGGCTTTGTTCAGCCCACGCGACCCCCACGCGGCATATTCCCTGCATTAGTCGAGCCCCCACGAGTCCATGCGCCACAACAACATGACTCTTCCACAACAAACAAGACAGAGTCCCTATCATCATCATCCTCGGCCTCTGCTGTTGAGCCTTCTGACCAACAGATACAGTTCAAGTTGGATAAGTTTATGATCGAGGAGAAGATAGACCGAGCCAATGAACTGGTCGTGATGAATATCGCACGTTTGATGACTCCGTATCTGGCAGAGATTGAACATACTTCACAACAGCTGGTTATGGCCTACTCACATGGATACAGCGTCCAATCATTGGTCGGATATCTGCGACCGCTGCTCAGTCTTGAACAATGGATCAAGCAAGAATGGATAAAGAAGCGTTTCCACATTATGATGTCACATCAAAAGTCATTGGCATGCGATTACATCCTGGAGGCAAGACGATTGTCCGGTGTGCTGAGGCCTGCACTCAAGCAATCTGGCGGCAGTAGTTCTGCGGCCACAGCATCTCAATCCAACGCCAATGCAAATGCCAACGCGGCATTGGGCAGAGGTCGACGTGTACTATCACGGAAACATCAAGATCTGATTAATGCGTGGTTCACCGAGAAGATAACATCCCCATTCCCCAACGATGATGAGAAGGTACTACTGGCTGCACTAGTCGATCTATCAAAATCACAGATAGAGAACTGGTTCGGTAATAGGCGTGTAAGAATGAGAAAGAGTTTAATAGCTGGTGTCAAAGAGGATACTTCTACTACAACAACTACCACTGCTGCTGCTGGAGGAGGTGGTGGTGGTGCAGTCGCAAACAACAACAACATAAGTATTAGTTAGTTAGTTCACCATACCATTATCGACTGTATATGTATAACTAGTAACAATAATAATCGTAACAACAATAAAGTATTTATAATTATAATATCCATCCATTATCTCCCTGTCGACCCCAAACTTCACAAATTATGTCTCAATGTGTGTTTCCTGAAAGTCATTTATCATTGACACCAAAGATACATGTGATATGACAAATAAATACACATACATGTATTATATGTATGTAGAGTAATAGATAAATATAGTACTTATATCTGTGTAAATAAAAGAAAGGAGTGAAGAAGAAGAAGAAACAGGGAATAGAACAAGCATGCTAAAGAGGAAGCATGAGTATGACGATGGCTCGGTCGGCCGAGTAGTAGAATCTGCTTACAAGAAATATAGAACAGTCTCTGATAAGATAGGTATACTATCTCTTCAAGATGAACACAATCATCGTCATCAAGCTGATGATAATATCATTCAATTGGATTCAACTTCATACGAAGACAGTCCAATGCTATTAGAACAAACAGACACTTCAACAAACAACAATAACATCGTTCAAAACAACAACATCGTCAACATCATCAACAACAACGTCAACAACAACAATAATACTATCAACAATTATAACACAAACAAGAATCAATCATTGGCAATTGTACCTATAGTTGATTATATCAATGATGCTAGACATATGGATCGATCAGATTTGGTAAAGAAGAAGGCACAGGGATGCGCAGCAGGTGGATACCAGTTGGCAACAGAGAGTTTGGGTCAGGTCATGGACATCCACAGCATATTGTACACACCATCACCATGCAATGATCTACCATTACCATTCTTCAACACCAATATGCATGAGCGTTCACTCATTCTCTACACAGAGCCCAGTCACATCATAAACGAGTCAATTAGGCGACATGTTGTAGGAGATGAGAAGAAGCAATTCAACTCACGGCCTAGAGTTGAAGAGTTGGACGAGCAAGATGACGATGCAATGGATATCACTGGTTGATCATTCATTCTTCATTCGTTCATTCATTCAATCATTCAATCAACCAGACGAACGATCACATGTACACAAAGAGAGAATGATCCACAACCATTTCACACGCAGGATGTCACTTGACACCAAGACCAGACAATACCATACCAATGCACAACAATCTTCTTAGAGTAGTAAAGACATCTTTACTTTTATAATAATATTATTACAAGTTTGAACGCTCCCAACATCTTGTTGGTGAGTGAGAATGAATGAATGAACAGCATCATGCATGGAAGTGAGATAGAGAGGACGTGCGCGTGTCCTCATTGAACAATGGACATCATGATGATGACGCTCAACGCCACACCTTGATTGAGTTATCCGCAGATCCACTGAATACACATCCACTGTGAACAACCAATGAGTCGACGGAGGAAGTGTGTCTGTTGAGCGTTTGGACACATATCAGTGAGTTGGCATCCCAGACCTTGATGGTCGAGTCGTAGGAGCCACTAAAGAATCGCTGACCAGACACGGCGAGTGTGTAGACGGCACCAATGTGTCCGCTGAGCTTGCTGATAATCTCGTACGTCTCGAGATCCCAGACCACGATCGTGTTCTCGTATGTGCCAGCCAGTAGCTTGCGATTGGCAACGGCCAACGAGTAGATACTGCCACATCCACCCTGTATCGTGTGAATGCATTCAAAGTCGCCGAGGTCCCAGATCTTGACCACACCGTACGCGCCACTGATCAGGAAGCCATTGGAGACGGTGAGTGCGCGCACCCAATGATTGTGACCTTTCAGAGACTGGACGCATTCGAATGTCGTCAAGTCCCAGACCTTGATGTGTTGATAGGAGCCAGAGAAGAGGTGTCCAGCAGTGACGACCAGCGCACACACCGTGTTGTCGTGATCGGTGAGCACGGCCAGACATTCGTAGGTCTCGAGGTCCCAAACGCGGATCGTCTGGTCGGACGAGCCCGAGAACAGTCTGTTTCCAATGACAGCGAGCGCATGGACGATGCCCGTGTGCCCAGACAACATCTGCTTGCACTTGAGCGTGGCCAAGTCCCACACCTTGATGGTCGTGTCGGACGAGCCACTGATGAGCATGCCGTTGGTGACGGTCATGCACCAGATGGGGCCGTTGTGGCCAGTGAATGTACCCTTACACTTGAGCTGCGGGATCTTTAGGTCGACAATCTCCACGCCCTCCATGTTAGTGTTCTTCTTGAGCACGCTCAGATCGATCATTGACTCGGACAGCTGATTCTGCGTGGCTTCGAGCGATGCCTGCAGATGTCTTAGATTGGCTTCGAACTTGTTGGTCTTGGCCTCGAGCTTCAGTGCCAGCTGATCGAATCGCGATGTCAGCTGAATGATACTCTTCTTTAAAAAGTCGTTCTCTGTATGTTTCTCATCAAGCTGTGTTCGCAGCATATTGATCTGCTCCTCATTGCGCTGTATATAGTCCTTGATGCTCTCGTATCCACATCCCAGGAGATGATCATCCAACTGTGCCTTTGTTCCTTCAAACGTACATCCAGCTGATCGATGTGGACAATGTATATGACTACATATTCTATGTTTGATTGATTGAATGAAGAGTGAGTTAGTGATTGAGTTGAGTGGCTCGCGAGTGATTCACCAACATACATCATGTGTTGCTTCATTTTGTATCGCTTCATTGGTGTACATGACTTGTTGTAGGGACATGAGATGATTGCATGATCGCAGGCCTTCTCGTGCTCGGCACGACTGCCTACTCTGATACGCTCGGTACAGCCAGAGTCATCGACAACCCATTCGCCATTGTGTGTTTTAAGTCCATAGCGACAGTATATCATTAGGTCGCTGATCTGTGCCGAGATGGCCAGGTTGGGGAAGAAGTCATTCTCGACGAGCTGTGTCTTGTCGATCGGACACTCGATACGTGCGTTGCTATTGGTGCGCGCCAACACGCAGTTGCGACAAAAGGTGTGACCGCACTTGGCAATGAACGGATCACGAAACAGACCATTGTGTATTGGACACATCAATGATGACGAAGGTGTCTGTACAAACAACTTTATATCATCAAAGTCTGCGCCGGTGCCAACCTGTGTGCCAGGAGGTGACAACACCATCATCATTGGTGATTGATGCTGATGATGATCAGTCGACACCGATGACGAGTTTGAGTGAGCTGCAATGACATTCATTTCATTTGTCTTGTCTCTCTGTAGGTCTTGTCTGTTTGTTTATCTCTTTATGTATAGTATATAGTATTGTAAAGTAGTATGAGTATGTATATTGGAACCTTATGCCATTCAAGGCCTACAATGTTGTATATGTTGTGTGTGTATCTCTAAGGTCGTCAATAAGTTTGATCATGTTGTTGGTGAGAACAACTCCTTCAAAGCCCAACACCCAAAAGTTATTTGCCGAAGAGAATTGAATGAATGGGGGAGGGGTAGTTGGTCACAAGGATCATTGGATCAACTGATTCATACACTCAATCAAGATAACATAAATTGTTGTTGTTATTAATAGGTATATATATATATACCGGTACAATGATATAATGGAACTATTCCAAACATTGTTAACAATATAATACATATGTTGTATCTCATAAAATAAAGACAGTTTATAATTATAAATACACACAAGTATACAGCATTTAATACATAAACAGATAAACAAACACATATATACATACACACACACACACACACACACACACATACAACACACAAATACATACAGATACTTTATCCACATCGACCATCTTTGTAAAGTGTTTGTCATTGGACGAGAAGGTGGTAGTCATTGTCTCCTCGTCAGCACGAATTAAACAGAGACGTAGATACGGAACTTACACATATTATATCATCTTCACTCACAATCAAATCGATGGCTGGCTGTTGACTGAACATGGAAGGATGACCAAACCAATGAATGTATGAAAAGGGATATGAGGAGGAGGTCTTGTCAGTGTTGTTGGATATCGGCAGAACATTCTAAACCTATATCAATAACTTAATATTAACTCGACATGACTAGTATATTCAGTAGTCCATCTATAATACCATTGATTGTGGAGAATGTATGTTCTGCAAACTATGTTCATGACTATTCACCAAAGGTAAACCAAAGAACTACTGGATGTTGATATTTTAACAATAATGTTCTAACATTTATTCCAGTCTCCAAGACTAAAGACAACGAGAGCGCCCAAGAGGAGACTATCATGGTCAAGAAAGTCAACAACCAAGAATGGACTGACCTATAAGAAGCTCTAGTCCATCAATTGCCAAATGGTTGTAGCATATTCCAAAACGAAGAATGATTGAATGAATGATTGAATAAAATGAATGAATGAATGATTGATTACCATCTTATTATTATTGGTTTATTTAAGAGTATTATCTCTTCCTCTTCTTGTCCATGCCCTTGCCACCTCTGCCACTGCCACCTCTGCCACCACCTCTGCCGCGACTTCCGCCACGACTTGGTGACCTGCCTCCTCTTCCTCCTCTACCCTTAAACTTTGCACTGCCGTCCCATTGCTCCTTGGCTGGTTGATGGCTCTCAAGCATCCTTTCAAACTCCTCGGCATCCATGAATGTTGACTTTCTCTTCTTTCCTGCTCTTCCTTTTTCCTCTTCGTCGTCCTCAATCTCGTCGTCATCGACCAGGTCGTCCTCGTCAAAGTCTGGCAACTCCATGTCGTCATCCTCATCGTCGTCCACGAGGCCATCACCATCGATCTCATCATCGTCCTCTCCATCCATGAGCATATCTGGATGATCGATCATTTCGTCGTCATCTTCCTCCTCGACCAACTCATCATCGTCCTCGAGGTCATCATCAATATCATCATCGTCTCCATCATCCTCGTCGACCTCTCCAGGTGCAGTTCTCTTCTTCTTCTTGGCCTCGCCAGTGAATGTCTCCTCATCCTCCTCAAAGTCATCAGCCTCCAAATCTGAATAGCTGTACTCTCCATCCTATATATCGAAACGATTGAATGTTAGATTAACTCATGATCGTGCCAACCATCATTATGTAACTTACAATATCACTCTCCTCGTGCTCTTCTTCTTCGCCGGCAAAGGTCTCGACTGGACGACCACCTTCCATACCAGCCATGGCACCCCTGAGGGCTTGCTCAAACTCGTCCTCATCATCAACGAAACCCTTTCTCTTGGTCTTGAGTCCGACTGGATTGGCTGGAGCACCATCATGATACATCCTAAAGTACTGATCATCCGGCAAAGCATCCTTGAACTTGCTCACCACCTGCTTGCTAGCATCAGTGATCGTCAATCCACCATTTGACTTGACCTTGTTTGATGGGTTGGAAACGCTGATTGATGAATGGAATGAGTGAGTTACCTTGTTTGAATGATTGATTGACTGGTGGATGGATGGATACTTACACAAACTTCTCGAGGAAGGCTGGCAGAGTGAAGGTGACAGATGGATTGCCCTTGAATGAGATTGGCTGCCTCTTGAGAAGGGTCTCGGAAAAGATCTGGACGGATGGATTGAAGTGATCTTTGAGCATGTTCAACTCCCAAAGACATGAGGTGTCTGCGTTGGCAAACTGTGGATCACGCTTGATTGGATCGTAACTATTCTTGCTGTCAGCATTATCCTCACCCTCGGTCTTGGTAGTGGCAGTTGCAGGCTTTGAGATCAAATTACCCAACTCTTGATTATGTTGTACCAATGTAGAGACGAGTAACAGAGTTCCAACGACGAATGAAGTCTTTTGAAGACTGGCAAACTGCAATGTTCTCTTGATCAACGCCATTGATCGTGCATTGTTCGAATCATTCTTGATTGACTTGTACAACAAATTGATCAAGGGTGTCTGATCAAACTGTCCAATGAACTCCCTCCTCGACATCAGCTCATACAACGCCTTGTAATACCTGTCCGAGATGTTCTATTGTCGCATTGATGAATTGGTATTAGTTGGATGGACATCCTTGGATTGTCCTAGAGTGGACGGGCGAGACACATACCTCATTGGTCTTCTTCATCTCGTATATGAGTGCCAGAGTCATGATGGCCTTGTTGAGTGAGGCATGATGGCTGACCATGAAGATTGAGTCGAGTTGGTCCTCGAATTGGGCGATGGGGATGCTGGTCAGGGTGATGACCTTACGGATGCCACGCAAGATGGTGGCAATGATGGTGGAGTTGATCTGACGCTTGGTAACCAACAGGTTGAAGTACATGAGATAGATGGAGATGAGCTTGGCCGCGACCTCCTTGTCGGCCTCCTCCTCCTCACTAAGATGGATGTTGGCCAGCAGTCTCATGGCGTTGAACTGTGAGATGTGAGACACGTTGGAACGATACAAGAACTGCTCGACCTCCTTGACGACCACCAACTTCATGCCTGGATGCTCGCGAAGCACCTCGCCCATAAGCTCGGGCACCTTTGATGCGTTCTTGCGCTCGTTGTCTCCCAGCTTGTTGACCAGCAGTGCTAGAAGTACGTCCTCCTGCTCGGGCTTCTTGATCAACAATGTATGGATGACCTGCACGGCCTTGATCCTGACCTTGGCATCAGTGTCACGTGCCAGCTTCTCCAAAGTCTGGATGAACATAGTATAGCGCGACTTTAGCAAGTCTTCGAAGAACCATTGAACCAGATCATCATCCTCTGCATCCTTTGGTACTGGCTTGCGATCGATGAAACGTCTGTTTGAGTGAATGTTAGTGGGGTCGTAGTCATGGACATCTTGATAAGTAAACATACTTCAGCTTGTTGTCCGGCAGCAGTGAGCCAACGAACAGATCCTTGAGTGTGGTCAGGGCGAGCTCACGCTCACGTTGTGACTTCTTTTGTACCAATGTCAACAGGATGTCAAGACTGCTGAGTCTGAACATTGGGGCCTGTTGGATCAACAATGTAATCGAAGACACTCTATCATTAGTGGTACCAGTATGTTGCAACTTCTCTCTCCATTGATCATCCTTGTTGCCTCTCTTCTTGAAATCTGTTGTTGTTGCTATGTTAGTCTCGCCTCGCAAATCAATCAATTATGTACAATATAACATACCTCTCAAGTATGACTCGCATCTGTCGGTGTATAACTTTGAAGCTTTGTTATATATGTCTTGTACGTCGCTTATGGCTGGAGTTGTGGCTGGTGCCTCGACAGCAACAGCAGCAGCAGTGCCATTCTCCTTCTTTGTCTCGGGAACAGTCTTTGTCTTATCTTTCTTTGGTCCAGCCTTTGCCTTTGTCTTCTCTTGACGTGGCTTTTGCTTTGTTGTCTTCTCGTTCTTGTTGTCTGTGGTGGTGGTAGTTGTCGTAGTTGTAGCTGTGGCTGCTGGTGTGGCTGCAGCTGTAGTGGCAGTCTTTGGCTTCTGTGATTGCTTGGCAGGCTTGTCACCAACCTTCTTGTCGTTGTTGTCGTTTGTCTTTGCTGCAACTGTTTGTTTAGTGTCCTTATCCTTGGGTGTGACAGCAGCCTTTGGAGCAGCCTTTGCGGGCTTGTCTGTCTTAGTCGCTGGGACTGCAGCAACAGCAGTATCAGTCTTAGTCTTCTTTGTTGACGTGCTGACCATGACTTAATATATAAATATTTATTTAAGATGTATTCAAAATGTAATAATAATCAATTTGATTCACATCCCTCTGATCATGCCGACTCGTTCGTTTTTTTGTTTCAAATTACTCAATAATGAATGAAAACGAACTTCTTTTTTTGATGTTTTGGGAACTGGAAGTAGGAGTAATCGACTCCAACATGTCGTGACCAAAGAGTTGATAGTTTATAAGTTGGTGAATGATTGATTGATTGTGATCGATCGAGCACCAGGGTGATCGTGAATCAATGGAATGCACCCCATTGGATCATTGATTATATGATGTGTTACTGCCTGATTGACAACCAGCTCCGGTGTAGCCAGAGTAACAATCACATTTTAGTACATTTCCATTCACATCGATTGTGGCAACACCATGCACACATACTCCACTTGCTCCATAAACTCTCCAAGTTGGCTATTATAAGTGTTAGTGTTTGATTACTTGACTGATTGACTGATCCATTGATTTGAATACTTACGAATGCATTCTCATAGACCTGAGGAAGTGTACATCCATCCACAACAGAAGTAATATTTACAATGTTCAGCTGACCAAGTGATTGACTCCAAAATGTTCCAGAGGCCCTAAATGAATTCCAATGTTAGTGAATAATCGATTGATCGGCGGTACAATATACTTTACTCTTTACTGCTGCAGTACTCAAACAAACCTTGATTGACCTGCTTTGGATAGCTATTGAAGTATATACCACCACCATACTGACCAGCCTGGTTATCAATGAACAATGCACCAGTGAGATTGAGTATATTAATACTAACATGTGGTCTAAAGTACTATTGAGATGAAAGTTATTAATACTATTCCATCTTCATAATAATCTTAATTAACATACGATTGCACCTCCATTGCCATTGGCCATGTTGTCCAAGAATTGGTTTGTGGAGAAGTCGAAGTTACCATTTTGGTATCCACCCTCGCCCATCACATACTAATTGATTGATTATGATGATGAAGTGAGCCATTGATTGTCCATAATTGATCATTGATTATCACTTACGATTGCACCACCATCACCATCCTCTGCAACATAGTTGCCAGAGAATATATTGTTATAGAGATGTAGTCTTGAGTTGTTTGAGAAGATTGCACCACCACCATCACCAGCATTGATCTGATTGTCCATGAATGATGAGTTTGATACAACTCCATAACTTCCATCTGGCATGTATAAAGCACCTCCAGCAAAGTCAGCTCTTTGATTGAATTTGATAGTGTGAGTGAGTGAATGAGTGACCGGGCTTGGTGATGGACTTACGAGTTGGACATGAATGTACATTGATTGAACTGCATAGATAGGCCAATGGCAGCACCTCCATAGACAAAGGCAGAGTTGCTGTCGAATGTACAGTTGATGGCTGACATTTGGGTCATGCCAGAGAAGACTCCACCGGCATTGTGAGCATGGTTCTTCTCAAACACACTGTTGATCAACATGGTAGGTGTGATTGATAATAGTACTCCAGCAGATTGTGCCGATGTACAGTTTGTAACAGTAGTGTTTACAATTGTTACATTGTAACCAAATGATGCCATGAAGCCTCCATTACCATATGACTTGCAGAAACTGACATTACAATTGGATACTGTAATATCCAGAATATTGCTTGATGGCATATTATCATTGTTCAATTGGATACATCCACCATCCTGCTCATTCGTTCCAGACGTAATAGTTATAGAGTCCAATATGATTGTTGATTGTTGATTACCAGTTGGTGTAACATTGATCACTTTTGATTGATTGAGTGTGTCAGTGATTGATTGGGTTGGAATGATTCCATAGTGTGTGGATCACTAGACTTACCAATGAATGTAGAGTTATTACAATCAAATATTGGATTGTCGGATGGGGATGTTGAAGTGATGGTCAGTGATCCGAGTGGTACTGGGACTGATCCAGGACAATCCAATTGGTTATACTGATCAGGTGTCACCAAAACAGTGTTGTTGAGTTGTCCTTGTTTGATAAGTTGTTTCAAACATAATGATATTGATGTACATCTAATATTGTTGTATGTAAGTATAAGTATATCCTATCCTTCCATCAACCAATACATCAATCAGAGACATACATTAGTGGGTTTGTTTGACATTCCGATGATGTGATTGACTTGTCAACTACACAAGTGTTGGCAGCACATGTGTAAGTCACTTCATTCAATAACAATATGAATGCAAGAACCATCCATACAGATGTTGAGTTATTGTTGTACCTGTTCATTTTGTTGTCTTTTTGTTGTAGTTGTGCCTTTTGATGTTTGTTGTTGTGTTTTGAAACAAGGTCCTTTGGACAATGTCCATTTTTGATCAAAAATCCAAAAGACACTTCCTTGGAGTATTCTTCATTTACGATGATGATGTAAGCTTATAACTTAAAATATTTAGTAAATATCTTCCTAACAATATCTAATCCTAAACTTCTAAACGAAGAACAACAACCTGACCTAATAAAGAATCATTCTTTAAGATCTTTATAAAGAAGGAGAAAACAAAACAATCAGTCAAGGGATCATTCCAAATAACCTGAGGATGCCAAATCGATTAGATATTCTAATTTAGTTTATTATTAATTATATTCTATTATTGAGAATCCATCAATTGGAGGTGGATTCATTCATATCTGGTCATGGAATCAATCACACTTTGTTGTTGAAAACACACTAAGATCAATCAAACTAGATAGATTTATAAAGATAGATATGATGGACACAGATAGCGATGATGACTCTGATGACTTCCAACCAAGAGCATTCCAGGTCGATGGTGAGTTCATACCAGGTGAAAATGATGAGGAACCATTAACAGGTGAGGAGTATCTAAGGCGTGTAAGGTATGTATGTAGAATGTATTCGACCGATCACATGTACAATCAATCAACTAACTCATAGTATTACTATTATTAGATGGGCCGCCAATAGATGTCCAAAGGTGGTAGTAGCCAACATTGACTACTCAAAGATCAATAATAGACCTTCGAGCAAGTACTTTACGCCACCACCAAAGTTAACAAAGTGTAGAGAGGAGCTGATGCCAAGTGCTGAATGGGAGACACACTTCTTGGCCTCATTCTCAGAGTATAGACAACGACTACAGTATCAGTTGAGCAATAATCAACCATCAATCAATCAATCAACTCATTCAATCAAGTTGCCACATCTCAATGATAAGAAGTCATGGTCAGTCTATTGCTTTGGTTCAACGCCCTCTTCATCTTCATCTTCATCGTCATCGTCGGCATCAGCACAGTCACCACCTGCTGCCAATATTACTACTTCATCAGTTGGCAATCAACCTAGCACTGGTGCACTTGGTCAAATGGATCACTTGATGATCGTTCAATTGATTGAATATCATGTCGAATGGTTGGAGGCAAAGGAACTTAGCAAAGAGAGATCATCATGGTTGTACACACTTCTATCACTACTTGAGAAACCAATCGATGCTGACACAAGTGCAAATCTAAGATCATTACTACGTCGTCTAGCAGTACTTCGTTCAAAGATTGTAAGTATCTCATTCATTGCTAATTGATTCATTGATTGATTGTTACTAACCGACTCCATAATCTTCACTTTAGGACGATGTCAATGATCCGATACTACCATCAATCAATATTCTAATCACTATCGTTGCAAAGTACTTCAATCAATTGGAACCTGATGATTCATAGACTGCAACATGGTCATCATCATATCATCTCCCCCTCTTCATCATTGTTGAACATGGTCTCTCATTGTACATTCGCGAACTGTTTGGACACATGGTACACTCATGCAGTAGACTACTCCTATGAGGTACACTGGACGATGTACAAGTAAGGTCGGGTCCAATATCCCTCCCTCTCTCTCTCTCGACCACATCGTTGAGTGACCTTCAAGGTTACTCATCATCAAGATACAAGTATAAAGTTACATTGACATATAATGATGATGATGATTGTTTATTGGATAGTGTTCCAGTGTGATAGCTGGACAGCGAGATTGGATGATTGAATGAGGCGGGTGGATGGTGTACTCATCATCAGGCTTAATCAAAGCCGTCAAAACCACCAAAGCCTCCACATCCACAGCCACCACCAATACCTCCTCCAACAAAGATGTTGATGTTCACTCTTCTTCTCCTTCCACACTCCAAGTGGTTGCTGGACTGGACTGAGCTGGCACCCTGGGACGAGGCAACTGACTGGGCTTGTTGGATGGCAACCATTGGCTGGCCCATGCTTCTCAAGTTGGCTACATTAATGTTGAGTTAGATACATCCCAATGGGTGGATTGATGAATACATACCAATAATAGTCATTGTTGGTTGATAGATTGATTGATTGAAAGGTAAAGAGATAAGTTAAGTTGTATTACTACTTGTTGATTGATTGATGATGTGATTGTAGTTGTCCATTCACTGGCTATTTATACCAGATGGTGGACCAAAGGTGACTCTGGATATGGTAATGGATACCATCTTTGGTCAATTATCCCATTTAGTATCAATAGACATTTAAGGAGTATTGTATATATAAGGTAATGATATCCGTTTATGGTAATGTTAATGATCATACCAACTCAATAACACCACCACTACTACTATTACTACTTGTAGTAGTGATGATGTTGTTGTTGCTGTTGATCGTGTTGGTAGGCGGTACACTTCCAGTATTGGTATCATTGTTGCTGCTGTTGTTCATGTGGAATATGTTCTGTTTCCACTTGGACATCAACGAACGGAACTCATTGAACTTGATCGGTTTGGAAAGGTAGTCATCCATGCCACTGTTCAAACACTTTAACTGATCCTCTTTGAAGGCATTTGCTGTCATGGCAATGATTGGTATCCTCTTGGTCTTGTGCATGATCTCTCGCTCTCTGATCTCCTTGGCCACTTGGAATCCATCCATGTCGGGCATCATAATGTCCAAGAACACCATGTCATAGGGCGTGGCGTCCAGACATTCCAAAGCCTCCAGACCACTAGATACCATATCTACAACACATCCGATTGATTGTAGCATCCTATGCGCCACCTGTTGGTTCACAGTATTATCATCCACAACCAGCACTCTAATGACCAAGCTGTCATGTGGACTATGTATCACCTGTACTGCAGGGGAGTTCATTGTACGCTCCTTCCTTTGTCGAAGCTAGTTTGTTTGATTGTTTGTTTTGTTAGTGAGTGGACTGAACAATTGTGATGACGATAGGGTACTTACACCTGTGAGTGAAATAAGACTGTCGAGGAGGTTGGACATGCGTATGGGCTTGGTGACGATCTCACCAATGCCGGATCGCCTGGCCTCTTCTTCGAGTGAGGGTGAGCGCATCTTGAGTGGAAGGAGGAGGAGCAGAGGAAGGACAACTCCAATGGACTTGGCATGACCTGTGAACTTTTGTGCGAGGAAGAATGCATCGGTACCCACTGATGACAGGTCCATAATGATCATTGAATAGGGTATTGATGCCGCAACGGATTGATCCCACATTTGTATGGCCTTGGTAATGTCATCGGTCGAGTCCAGGATGATGTTCCACACGGAGAACTGTTGTGTGAGGAATTTACATTGGTTCATATTGCGCTCAATAAGTAGCATGCGTGATCCACGGAAGTTGGGAGGGTTCTCGCTGCTCACTGTGTAGTCGACGAGCATTGCGGTGGCGTCCCCACTCACGCCCACACCCTGGTCGATCGATTGAATGATCATTGGCTCGGACCGATCCGAACCCAGCATTTGGAGCGTGAGCATGGGTAGGATGGTCGTCGAGGATGCTGAGCGCAGTGATTTGAATGTCAGTACGGTCCAGAATGTGCTGCCAACTCCATATTGACTGTCCACTCCAATGTCGCCGTTGAAGGCCAACTGTGCCAACTCCTTGCAGATGGCAAGACCCAGGCCGCTGCCTGCGTACTGTCTTGCAATGCTGCCCTCTGCTTGTGTGAATGCCTTGAACAACAATGGCAAAGCCTCCTTCTTGATACCAATTCCAGTGTCCTTGACCTCAATCCTCAGAGTGATATTCTCATCCGTGAAGCTGACCATATTACAAACAACTATAATCTCTCCATTGTCTGTAAACTTGACAGAGTTGCCAAGCTATGTATATATGGCATGTCGTCGTGGCGGCTTGTTAGTTGGCTCATTCTTTCATTCGATTGGTTGATAGAGTGTATACATACAAGGTTGGTAAATATTTGCTTTAGTCTACTCGAGTCGCCAATCAACTTCTGGGGCACTGATGGGTGGACGAATGCCATGAGGTTCAGGGCCTTTGTCTGGGCTCGCTCACCCATAAGCTCACAAACATCTTCGAGGGTCTCTCTAAAGTCAAACTCGATATTATCTATTTCTAGTTTGCCTGCCTCGATCTGGGATTGATTGATTGATGGGTTAGTGATTGAACGAGTTGGGCCCAGCCATGACCATGGACATAACATACCTTTGAGATATCCAATAGATCATTGATTATGTTGAGCAATGTGTTTGATGAGCCTTTGATGATGTCCAGGTAGTGTTTCTGTTGAGAGTCCATTGTTGTTTCGGATAGAAGGTCTGTCATGCCGATGATGCCATTCATTGGAGTTCGTATGTCATGACTCATCATGCTTAGACGTAACCTTGACTTTTGTAATGTCTTCTCATGCTCTGCTGTTCTTGACTCCTCATCGATGCGCTTCTGTGTAACATCGCGCTTGGAGCAATTATAATATAGCAGTTTTTGTGATTGGTCGTGTACAGGTGAAATGTTTGTTTCCTGGATTGATCGATTGATTGTTTGGGTTGGGTCAGTGATGTGATCGATTGATTGATTATTGGTAGTAGATGGACTTACGAAATAAATAGTAGTTCCATTTGAATGCTTCGTCCTGATGAAGCCATTCCAGGTCTTTCCGCCAGTGATTGTTGCCCACATCTGAGGGATAATCTCTTGGTTGTCGATGAGGAAAGAAAACTCCTTGTTGAGCAACTCCCATCTTGAGTATCCAACTGATGTGGAGATTGAGTAGTTCAAGTATTTGATCTGGCCAGTCGAGCTCCAAATCTCCATTCCATCACTGCTATATTCGATGCAGGATACTATTCGTTTGGCGCTATCATAGAGCTCGTCGGCCTTGGTCAGACATTGGTGATCGTTGACCATTCGCTCGGCACAGTTTAATCGCACGTCCAACAACACCGACGATAGTGGATGCGGTATGTAATCGTTTGCACCAGCGTCGATGATTGATGAGAACTCGATCGGGTTGTCACTGGCCGTCACAACGATGATGACGCAGTATGGTCCGACAATCTCTCTGAGTGTGCGTATGAACTCCAAGCTGTTGACGTAGCTTGGTGGTGTGCTGCCTCCGCCGCCCATGGCCGACGCACCATTGATGTGAACGTCATTGTAGCCAGTGATCTGCGTTGGGTGATCGATGCCGCAGCTGCGGGAGAACTGTGGCATGCCGTCGCTGCTGCTGTTGCTGGCAGGTTGGAATGTGAACATGTTGGTGTCGACGCTGTGCTCGCCTGCGATGCCATTGGGCGCGGCGGTGTGAATGTCCACAGGGATGACCGAGTCATCGCTGGCCGATGATCGTTGATTGTATATGAATAGTGAGAATGGGTCTTGATTGTGAAGGTGATGAATCAGAGTGACATCACAGGGTGAATTGACGACGGTGTGGCCGCGACGCATAAGCGTGTTGGTCAGGATATGACGATCGGGCGAGTTCTGGTTCTGAATGAGAAGCGTCTTGTACTTGCTGCAGTGTGTGAGACCGCTGCCCGTGCCCGGACGCAAGCCCGACGACACCTTGGTGTGGAACTGAAGTGCCTCAGACGACTTGAGCACGTCGTAGAGGATGGAGAACTCGTTCTTGAGATTCTTTGAGCGTGAGGCCACCATTGAGAGCTCAGACACGCGAGCGTCTGTGTTTGACTCGCCGACCGTCCAGCTGAATGACTTGAAGCGCTCGCGTGGACGTGGGGGCAAGTTGCTTGAGTTGTTTGGCGAATGGTTTGGGGGAGGAGAGATAGGTGGGTTGGTCGGCACTGGTTGATGAAGCAATGAGTTTGGGTGGATGGGTGGCAAGTGATTGGATGCGACGGCTGGTGCGCGGTGGGTTCGACCAGGTGACAATGGTGCATCTCCAAGCATCTGTACATATGATTGTCGTGCATGGTCACTCAGATGTGTCAAGTCAAGTGATCTCCTGGTTGGTCTAACACTTCCATTGCCATTGCCATTGCCATTGTTGCTGCTGCCACTGCTGCTGCTGCTACTGTTCTGATGGAATGAGTGATCAAACATTATTGTCCCATGAGTCTTGAATGAATAATAATTTGATTGATTGATTGAGTGATCGAGTGAGTGCGTGAGTGAGTGAGGTAACAACTATTGGTTTGGTTGTTGATGTGAAGGTATATATCTGTGGCAGTCAAAGGAAACTAATGTTCGAGAAGTGTTAGTCAAGTCCAACTAGTAATGTGGGTCAATGAATGAATGAAGGCGATCTTGGACGTATGTGACTGAGATGATGATGATGATCAGTCAGTCAGTTGGTTTGGTTGGTTGGTTTGGTTGGATGTGATGGTCTCAATGTTCTTAGTCTTGTAGCGGGCGATAGATAGATTGAGCCTGAACATTGGGAATGCAATGAATGAATGGGTAGAATACAAACGCGTGTGTTTAGTTTAGTTTTGTGGTTATTGGACAACAACCAACCACACACACTCACTGAACAACAGCTGACAACACACGCCCAAACACAATGACAAACATGAAGAAACAATATCCAAGAAGATTGTGGTAGAACATGTACATGTTCTTAGCTTCACTTACAATTCACAAAAAGAATCAGTAATCTATATAAATGATTTATTAATTGTAAATGATATGATAGTATTAGTAATAGTAATTAATGTATGTATGTGTATAATAAAGGTTATTGTCTTTCTTTAATAACTAGTTAATGATGATGTATATGTGAGAGAGGTGGGCAGGGAAACAATAACCTTTCGAAACGAGAGGTTGTGGTGTGGCTATTCAATTGAGGTCATTGCCACCGTCACTCACTCATACACTTCAAAACCAATGGATGGTCAGAATTAAGTCACCTCGCTCATCTCCCTCAACAACAATAAAGAATAAACCCAGGGTTATAATTGTTAATAATAAAAAAGAAAAACCAGATGTTTTGGTTTTGTTTAGTGTCACGAAAAAGATCCATAAAAGATACTTCGACATAAAAGGAAATACTGGTCCAACGAACGGGACTGAAAAACGTGTTTTTTGTTATGATTAACTGATTCACCCACATCGAAAAAGTCACTTGCTGTCTCATCCTCAGAGCGTCGATTAATCATAAATCCAAACAAGTCATTTGGGCGCGGCAATAAGTGTCCACATGTTTGAATCTGGTTACTTACCATCATCATTCGCTTAATGACTCTATCATCATTCCAACATGGTCCCTGCCTGGCCTGGTCTGGACCTGTCTGGCCTGGAAGGTGGCAATGGCAAGGCATTCATCTCTGGTAGTCTATGTTGGGCGATTTATTCAACGGTTTATGAGACAAGGCGAATGGATGGACTCTAACTGACAAGATTAGACACATCCAGAAATGGGCATCAAGCTTGGAGTTTCAACAGTAGTTATAATCTACTTGATTAATGGATAGGTAGATAGGAAGGTAGATTGGTGGAAGAAAGAGGATGAATATTAATTGGTTGGTTAGTAAACCATACATCACTGATGGATGATCGTACTTAAAACAGGTAGTAACTGTTTTAAAAGTTCTGATTGAATGTCAATGCCACTGAATGCGCAGGTATAACCACATTCATTGACTGTCAACGCTAGTGGCTACCAACCTACCCACCTGTCTAACTATCCATTCATTGAGTAGTAGGGGGTGATATATGATTGATGGATGGATATTTATTATTCTTTGTTAGTTCCAACTTGATCATAATAATTATCAGAGAGTGGGGGCCGAGGGTTCCATGTCTCTCTCGCCCAAGAGTGACCGTCCTTCACCCTATCATACAACTCCTCTACTTTAAAAGTACTGTCGCCACTCCATCAATGAATCGACGGACAATAATTGATAATCTTTAAAGATTGGTTGATCAATCAATCAAATCAACAGTCGAACTTAAACCTACCAAACATCGGAGTGCGTTTGAATCGGTATAGTGGTAGAATGGTAGAATGTCGCGAACACCTAAAGCAATAGGTGATAGCGCATACAACTACGCATTCATTATTCTCCCATGTCCCCATCATTCAACACACAGCTCGTCCTTATATCGCCACCTTGACCAATAGGAGTTCATGTTGTTCTCATCAGCTCGGGAAGGTCTTCATATCATATGATGTTGTTTGTTAGTTGTTGTTGGCAACAGCAGTCTTTGTATGTGTGTATGTATATGTGTGTGTGTATGGATGTATGTAGAGAATGACCAAGTCAACACTGTTTGGTGTCAATGAATTAGTTGGTAACCTTCATGATTGAAGGGGTGAGTGTGGGATCGATGCAATGTGAGGGAGTAGTTGTTGACGGTCCATCCATATACTACCTCACAGCACATATTGAGTGGACCAATCGTCATCATCAAGAAACAAACACACAACAAACCAACTGGGTTCCATCAGCACACTACTTCTTTGTCAATTAATGATGATTGATGTTGAATACTTTAAAGCAACATAACAGCGATCCATCGTCATCTGATCTTTATCAACCATAATAATGGGTGGGTAATTCAATTGATTGTTATTGCATTGCATCAAGCTGTTGGAGGCTAAACCCAACCTGCCTCCCCACAAACAATATTGCACGTTCTCGATCAATTAAAAGAGAATGAGAGAGAGATGGGGCAGCTGACATTCATATTAAGGTCACCGAGCACACCAAGATCTTGAAGGAAGCAGTATCTCAATGTGTGGCACTATTTTGAGAAGTGTGTCGGTTGACAAAGCATTGTAACAACAAACAACACAACAACAAATTGAAAACATTGACAAATTGCTGTTGTTGAACAGCACCTGAAACTTAGGATTGGTGTGTTTGGATTGTAACCACAGGTGTTCTCAGTACACACTAGTAGCTACTCAAGGTTTCGTGGGTGGTCGCGACATTCAAGTCTCAAGTCCCGCGATCTGTCCTAGATTGCTTGCATGAACTTGTGCGGACGCCTCTGGAATGGCGCCGCCAATTGTATATATTTGTATGTAGATTGGCCACCATAACTGCAACACGAGCCTGGACAACAGCCACCAAGCACACTAGCATGTATCTACACTCTACCCCACTACTCAGAGCCTATTTAAAACACACATCATCTAGCTCATCACCTCCTAGAAGGAAGTGTCTCTTGGCGCCCCTGGCAACATCAGTAGCTTATTTAATCCTCTAGGTCATTGACAAACCGGATCATCATCATCATCAACAACCTTCCAATCTATCTTTTTTTCCAACCAACTAACAATCTAACAATCTAACTTATCCATCCCTTATCTATCTCTTTTACCTCTTTTGTATTATTATTATTATTAATATATATTCATTTTTAAATTAATAACCTCATACCTGCACCTATTCAATCACCAAGGTGTCACTGACTCACAAGGACAAGTCAATCCAAATACCAACAACCAATCCCTTTTTATCTCCTCTACACTCCACACTTTTTCAATCAATCTATCAATCTACAACTTAATCAATCAAACAATCACATGCTTGTATAATATAACTGTATAATTTTAAACAATAATGTAGGTACCAACATCCACTCCACTCCAATGCAGCCAAACATACAACATCCAATGTTTCCACTACTACAACATCATCACATCATTGTCAGTTATTGGTCTCATGGAACAATAATGACTTCACTATCATCATAACTTGCCCACCAAGTTCCATGTGGACTTGACTTGTGGGCACTGCTACTCCACCAACAACAACCATAATTATGTTGCCCAACAACCAACCTCCGACAACAACCAACATCTCATTCCACTCAAGCCCAAAGCAAAACATTGCTGCCAAGGCAATGAGCTTGGCAAGGCAAACGCCACCCATCAAAACCCGTGCCGCGGCCATCCGGCTCATGCAAGCGATGGTCGATGGGTGGTGATATGCCCGGTCAGGGCCAATTTGCCTTGGCTTACATCCACACACAAATCTAGAAGAACCATCAAAACTTGCGGCTTATTGCCCGAGACCTCACTAGCCCCCACTCGGTCCACCCGATCCCAAAGCATCTGCATGTTTTTTGTTTGCTTTTTTGCCCCTATCTTGTTTTTCGTTTTGGGCCACCACACTCAGATCACCTGCCATGCCTGGTGACCAGATGTATCTCCATAATTAGATGCAGATCACAACACAATTGGTGTGGTTAGTGTGTGTGAGTTTGTGGTGGTGATAATCTGTGTTGCCGTTGACAAGAGATCAGGTGATCTCACACTTAGCACCCAACAAAGTAACACACACGGCCCAACCAAGATATTTATAATCAAGTGCACTCACAGAGGCACCAACAACCAACAACTACACATTGCTATTGCCGCTATTGATTGCTTATTATTATTATTACAATCATACACACAAATACTGGATTCAATATATATATATAAACATATAATATATATATATATATAATATAACTTATATACACTTCACATTCATTCATTCACTCATTTACATATTCACATATTCATTCATTCACATGATTCATAAGAATCAATAAGACTGACTTTATATAACTCCTACCTCCTATAGTACCCTCCTTCCTCTTAAATACTATATACCTACCTCCTCCTCCTCCTTTTTTTTTTTACCCTACCCTACCAATCATTCAATCAATCAATTACCGATTCACAGCTTGATATACTGAAACATATCAAACATCCTATCAACTCCTTTTTTTTAAGTCCACAAGACTACCTACCTATATATACCTTTTTTTTTTCCCTCCTCCCTCCTTCCTTCCCTCTCTACCCTACCTCCTCCTTTTTTTTTCCACCTCCAACAAATATAATTACAATACAATGGACAACAACAACCAACAATCAAGACAGAGCGCCTACCAGAGAATGTTCAAGCGTCTGCTCCAACAACGCGCACTTCTCCAAACCAAGCCAATGATGGCCGAGAGAATCATCGCTTCATACAAAGTCTACGGATGGTTGATCCAACACGATCCAGCCTACGAGTCCACCGCCTTCAAGCGTGAGGTTCTCGTTGCCATCGACGAGATCTTTGACATCGTTATGGCCATCCTAGACATGATGAAGTGCTCATCAAACTTGCTGGTGCCCATCATCATCTACGCCGATAAATTTGTACATAGAAGTGGAATCAAACACAATCAACTCTTCAACCTCCTCCTCACAAGGTATGTACATCATCCAATGATGACTCCAAGAGCAATTATCTAACATTGATCAATCACACATTACAGCACTGTCGTCACACTCAAGTTCTGGTCAGAGTCAACTCAAGTCAACAACGCCATCATTGCTGAGATCTTCAACTTCTCCCTCAAGGACATCAACCTGATGGAGAGAAGATTCTTGTCTGGTGTTGAGTACAACTTGTTCCTGACCTCCGACGACGTCAATGCCTACGTGCTCAGCCTCTACGAGCATCAGTACTCCTTCTTTTCCATGTTCAAGCACCCATTCGAGAACGCCCCACACGTGCTCAGGAAGCCACTGGAGCTGCTGCAGTTCCAGCAGCAGATGCAGTTGAAGCAGCAGCAACAAGAGTTGCTCATGCTCCAGCAGCAGCAGCAGCAACAGCTGCTCCATGCTCTCCAGTTCCACTCCCAAGCAACCCCCGCTGCACCAACCTCTGCCGACTCGTCGCCAGTCTACCAAGTGGACTCGTACGCCCAGTCCATCTACCAGCCCCGCATGGTTTCACCAATGTGCTAAGTGCATGTGTTTGGCGTGGCCTTTGCGTCGCGCAAGTTTGTGTGTACAGCCTGGACACTGGCAATGACGACGACGAGTCGTCTCTGCCGTCTATCCATCCCCAACCCCCTCTTTCCATATACCAACCAACCACCCTCTCACTCTCTATCTCTATCCATATATATCCATATATCTATCACTATATACCTACCTTCCTACCTACCTTTTCATTTATATATTTATATATCCATCTCTATTACCTTTATCGATTGAATCTCTATGTCGATTCATCCCTCCTCCTTCTCTCTCTCTCCCCCTCCTTCAAGGCCAGGCTGTCTTCCTCTGGTATTTTTTCAACCTTTGGGAAACACCTGGTCACCTACCTCTACCACTTGCCTCTGCCTAGTGTCTGGATCAGGCCACTGACTGGACATTTAATAGTCCAGCCAAACACCTCCTCCAACACTGACACTGGCGTGCCTCCTTTTTTTTTAACTATATAACCAAACCAGAGTAATAATAATAAAGTCTGTTATTACCTATCCAAATACCAATGTTGTGAACTCTATCTTCTTCTGATTGACTCGATGATTGATCACCATTCACTCACTCACTAACTCACTTGTCTTGTTGATTCAATTGAGTAGTGATTTCAATTGATCGTTTGGACAAGGCCTTGGCTTCCTCGAGAGTACTGGTGTTGCAGTAGTTCCTGAGCCTGGTCTCAATGGCCATCAACTCGAATGACACCTTCTTGAGCCTCTCCAGCTTCTCCTTGAGCTGTGTGTTCAACTGCTCAATGTCCCTCTTGAACTCTAAACTCTTTAGGAATTCGCCGACTTGTGAATAGGGATCATTGTTGTTGTAGTTGTTGTTGCTGTGTTTCGGTTTCTTGTCAGCACTTTGAAGTGTGATGGGTATTAGTTATGTCGATGTCCACCTCGAGCAACAGAGGCATTCAACATACTGTTGAGTAGAGCCTTTGTGATATGGAACTTTGAAAACTGGATCTTGAGGTCCTCCTTGGCTCATTTTCCTCTTCTGTTGATCCATCCTGCCCACTTGAACCTGTCCTTGACCTTGTCCACCACTTATTGATTGCATTGCAACAGACATAGGTGATTGTGGCAATACCTGCATCTGAGGGGTGGCAGGTGCTGGTGATTGAGGTAGATAACGATCCATTCAATTTGAATAATATTGTTTCCAATCCAATCCAATCCTATACAATTGGGAAAGTGATACTATGATTGATGCTATCCTATATATAAATATCTCTGTTTATTACTTGGATTGTTCACAGGTTATAAGAGATAATCCAAGATACCTATTTGTTTGTTTGTTTGTTGATGTGATTGAATAAGTGAAGGATGAGTATGTGTGCATCTCCGAGACACAAGATGAGTGTACTTACGAGGAAACAAGCAAAGGATGGCATGAAGCCTTCCTGGAACAACTCCCACTTGGTATCAGCATCCTCAACCTCGAGGAACTTGGAGTAATAAATCGTAGTGAAGCCTGCGTTGACAATGAAGAATCTGAATCAAGATCGTGTCCATATTAGTAAGTGAGTTGGATGTGAGTCAGTGTGTGATGTTCAACAACACAAGATGTGATGTTATACATACCCTGCCAGACCATAGAGGCCCTTGACTGGGATAAGACCAAAGAGTATACCTATCAGTACAGCAATGATTTGTCTGAGCCAATGTACATTGTTACGCATCTCTTTCTATAGTATGTGCGTGTGTTGTGTGTGATTGTTGTTGTAGTTGCATGTCATTACTATATTAGTACATACAGATGGCATGCGTGCATTGCACACACATCTTGGTGTAGTTCAACACGCATCACGTGTCTACTCATACTACTTACAGTAGTGAACTCTATATCAGTGTTGAAAGCATTCCTTAATAGGAACAATTGAGATCTCTCAACAATCTCTTTCTTATCTGATGATGATGATGATGTTGATTTCATTGTCTGTCTCTATTTGTTTGTTTGTGAAGTTGTTATAGTAGTTGTATGTGTACGTCTATCGATTGATTGATTGATTAGTTGATCGAATGCAAGGGTGCGAATGGGAATGAATGAAAAGGTGGAAGTTCCAATGAAATGTTTAAAATATTTAAAAAGATGTGTAATTTCAACTTTGTGAACATCATCAAGTGTGAGATCAATCACACAATCAACTTCATTATTACATTCTTACTTTTATTACATTTATATATACATAATTATATTTATATTAATATTGAAGAGATGGAGGAGTTGGGATTAACCAAGGTATGAATACGAACATTGATTGAATGAATGATTCACAAAAGAAGAACAACAACAACAGGGAATAGAACACTGATAATAATAAGTAATGTTTTAGACTTCAACTACCACTACAACTTCAACAACAGCCGCCTCTAGACATGCTGACTCGCATGGCCTCTCCGATCACGACTTGTACATCAAGATGAAGGGTCTTGAGAGCAAATTGGATTTCTTCAATATACAAGAAGAGTACATCAAGTATGAGTACAAGAATCTCAAGAGAGAGTTGCTCCACGCACAAGAGGAGGTCAAGCGTATTCGTTCAGTACCATTGGTTATTGGACAACTGCTTGAGATGGTTGACACCAACAATGGGTATAGTATCAAGTTATTGGGATAGAGACTCACATCATCATCACATACTTACTTTATAATATTTAGTATCGTCCAATCAACATCAGGATCAACACTATGTGTTAGAATTCTCAGTACTATTGACAGAGAGTTGTTGAAACCATCGGCATCAGTTGCCTTGCAGCGTTACTCAAATGCACTGGTAGACACTTTGCCACCCGAATCAGACTCGAGCATCCATCTGTTAGGCGCCGATGAGAAGCCGTCCGAGAGCTACTCTGACATTGGAGGCAGTGATATCCAGAAGCAAGAGATGCGTGAGGCTGTCGAGCTTCCTCTAACACATCACAACCTATATAAGCAGATCGGTATCGATCCACCCAGAGGTGTATTGTTGTACGGTCCACCAGGAACTGGCAAGGTAATAATCAATTCATTCAATTCAGTCAATCAATCAATCATCCAAACATATATCCTAATACTCTATGATATCCACCAATTATAGACTATGCTGGCCAAGGCAGTCGCACATCATACCAGTGCTTCATTCATTCGTGTCGTAGGATCAGAGTTTGTACAGAAATATCTAGGTGAGGGTCCACGTTTGGTGCGTGACGTCTTTAGACTGGCCAGAGAGAATGCTCCAGCCATCATCTTTATCGATGAGATTGACGCCATTGCCACCAAGCGTTTCGATGCACAGACTGGAGCCGATCGTGAGGTACAACGTATTCTCATGGAGTTGCTGAACCAGATGGACGGTTTCGATGTCTCTGTAAATGTCAAAGTGATCATGGCCACCAACAGACAGGATACTCTGGACCCTGCCCTCCTGCGTCCCGGTCGTCTGGATCGTAAGATCGAGTTCCCATTGCCAGACCGTCGTCAAAAGAGACTCATCTTCCAGGTCATCACCTCAAAGATGAACTTGGCCGATGAGGTCGACCTTGAAGATTGTAAGTAACTCAATATCATATTCCAATTAAGTGATGGAGATGACCATGCTAACATACATCATCCTCCTTCAATGAATGATAGTTGTATCGAGACCTGACAAGCTGAGTGGTGCAGAGATTACATCCATTTGTCAAGAGGCTGGTATGCATGCCATCAGGAAGAACCGTTATGTTATCCTGTCAAAGGACTTTGAGAAGGGTTACAAGTCAGCGATCAAGAAGAACACTCAAGAGTTTGGATTCTACCAGATATAATGAGTTGGTCCGCGACCAGTCTGACTCCTTCCTCTTGTCTATTCGCCTCACCTACAATTCCCAACAAAAATGTTCATATCATCATACAGACAACCAAACCAACCAACCAACCCATAGTATATTATTACCCTGCTGGCATTGACACCATAACATGGCATGCCTTTGACATCTGTTACTGCTACCTCCAAGTTGATACCAGATACATCAAACAAAAAGAATAAACACCTCTCTCAACCCAACCAACTTATCCACATGTGCGCCAAATATTAATGATGAATGACAAACAGATAGACAGATATAATAAGAACAACAAGAATGAATACAATAGAGTTTCAATGGAGAATACATAGTCAACATCCAATGTGTGCTGCAGTAGTTATTGAGATCATCAAGCACCTACTATACATGAGAGGTCAGATAAGTTGGTAAGTCATATTAGTCGTGAATTGAATAGTCGATCGACTAATGCAATCAATCATTCAATCACAGTCCATTCAATAGTATAGCGTCTGAACAACAACAACAACAGTCATCATCATCATCATCTAGAAGGACAACAAAACAGGATAGATTGATACAACAATGTAATGAACTATTTGAACATTTGATGAAAGAGTTTAGTCGAAGGAGTAATATTGGTATAGTCTGCTTGGTACTTGGTAGCTCTGTAATGTCTCCAAAGGAGGTCTACCTGATAAGATTGTCAGATGATGGTCCTGCACCAGGAGATGCCACCAAAGACATTGGACATGTACTCAGAGATGTTATTAGAACTCTGATAATCAATCAACCAGACAGCTTCTCCGAGCCTTCCGCACCAACCAAACTACATACTTTACTATTTGCATCAAGATCATTGGATGGAATAGAGGTGCCTGGCAGTGATGGAGGCAGTGGTGGGCACTTCGTACCCAAACAGTTGATGAAGTACTTGACCATGAGAAGGTCGACCAAGCTTACAATGTTTGACTTTGGAGGTGTGTCGGGGCAGTCCCCTGACTCAACATCCTCACCAGACTTGACAAACCCAAGCATCATAGATATCCAAATCCAAAAGAACAAACTTACCATCCAATCAAGTCATCAATGTCCAGTGACGTCACTGGATCAACAACAAATCAACAAAGGTGATGATGACATGGATATGGACATGGACTTGGACACAGACACTTTGTCATCATTATCTGTACCTCACAATGATCGATTGTGGTTTCAATATTATGCCCCAATACAAGGAGGAAGATAGATAATAAGATAGATATATTATTATTTATATAAATAATAGATCTTTGCCGAGATATCCAATCGGGTCGATAAATCAGATCATTGAACAGACAGTTTTCAAATAATTTTCATTGTTGTCAACTGCCCTTTTTTACTTTTTGATCACAAAACAATGATTGAGTTCATAACATCATGGGCTTGGGGTGTCAATCATAACTTACTTATACACATACATACAGATAAATATAAAATAATGCAGGTATGGATAATGTCGAACAAGTTGATTGATTTATTGATTGATGAGTATGATTGAAGTCCAATCATGAACAAGTTTATTGATATACAACCTTAAATTGATGAATATAGAACACAGCAGAGAAGGAAGAGTTCAAGAACTACTTGGAGAAGAGTGGTGTCATTGATGCCATGACAAAGGTGCTCGTTGGTCTATATGAAGAGTCAGAGAAGCCATCAGATGCTCTAGAGTATGTTGTTTGTTTTCTAAATGTTGATTCGAATCAATCATCCTTGATATACTAATCTAACTTGTCACCTTCAGGTTCATTAAGAAGCATCTTGGAAACTCACTGGGTATTGACGTTGATGCCCTGAAGCAAGAGAATGTTGAGCTCAAGGCTGAGGTCGGTGCCCTCACACAGAGAATTGAGGAGTTGACCAAGAAGGTATGTTGTCGTAATAGAATGAATGAATGGTTGGTGATCTAACTCACTAACTCGTACACGTGTACCCAATCAGTTGGAGGCCGTTCAGAAGGGTTTGTAAATGACGACGTTATTGACTTTTTGATGTAAATGCAGGTCATATACTCAATGATATCGATGTGCTCTTTCAATGGACACCACCCTCGCGACACTACAACCTACTACTACCACTATGAGGATGGACACCCTGGAATTGTAGCATAATGTATTACTTGGAATAAACTGTACAATATGTTGATCAATGCATATACCAGCAACACCAAACAATAACGACAACTTATTCAATGTGATATGGATAAACCTTTAATTGAATGTACTGGCCTAGATGAGATATAAGTTGCAGTGGCATTGCATGCGACTCCAAGTCGCTCCTTGAGTGCGGTGAATCAGGCTTGACCAACCATCGCCCTCCACCTTGGACCCATGATCCAGGTCCTCAAAATGATCGTGATCATTTTGAACTTGATGATGAACAACAAGATGACATCACAAACAGATAATAATATGGATATGACGTTACCTCATCTTATTGAACATAAGATAGCGGCAATGCTATGGAGGGGCAATGCTGGACTTGGTCAAGGCACTGTATCAAGAAGATGGAGACTATCTATGAATCTTGTCTCAAAGAGATGGCACTCATACATTTTATCACTCAATGATACCGTTCACATTCGAATACCATACCAAGGTTCATCATTGACACTCTCAGCGATGCAACTGTACTCCAACAACAAAAAGAACAACAACAACATGGCTACATTTGATATTACACCCTACAGTCTACCTTGCAATATAATACGAATAGACACTCTCAATGGATCAGGTTACTATAAGCCTCTAGATGCAGAGACTGACAGGCATCTGATATCTCCGGACTTGGGCTCATATTATGGCCCTCTCGATGTATTCGCGTCGTTGAAAAGCGGACAAATACAACAGCATCAACAACTCTTTCAACCTCATACACTGGGCTTGGTCATCTACGTGGACAATCACAGGAGTGGAAAGGGTCTGGCAATGCTTGAGAGCGCCAAACCAATGTTTGCCAAAGTTCGTAGTCTAACATTGGTTGTGCTTACCGCTGACCTGGAGACAACATTCATTGACCCGCTCATCTTTAGTGGATGCTTCAACAACATCACAAAACTCAACCTGTTTGATAACTATTACTACGATAATGAATGCTCGTATTTCGTCCAGAGATTGATGCTACAGCACAAACAACTGTTTGATGGATTGGCCTGCATGCCCCAGCTGCGCTGGCTCGGCATCTACCTGCCTCTGGTCGATTGGGATCTCCAAGAGATGATTATTGAATCCGATTTCTTGAGCTCACTCCATCAATACCTGGTCAACAACAGGTCGTTGGACACATTCAAGTTCCCCAAGCAAGCACTTGGCGATCAAACATTGGACTACTTATTGTCTGGTGGTGATGGCCACAAGATAACCAAACTCTCGATTGCACTGCGTGGCCATATTCCAATCATTACAAGACCACTTCGTAAACTGATGTTCTCAACACCTTGGCTGCTCAATGATCCATTGCCTGCAGAGTGTTCACCATCACTAAACTCATTCATTCAATCATCATTGGTCAATGTACAGCATATCAAGTTAATTGACGTTCCACTCAATTACTTTATTCCATTCATTGGACAATATCAGTCAACAACAATATCAATATCGTTCAATTTTGAATTATTATTATCATCAAATAATGTTCAAGGTGACTTTGATTTAACAACACTGTTGATTGAACAATTGAATAGGAATAGATATTTATTATATTTATATAATATACAACCATTTTCCAATAATATATTCAATCGAATATCAATTTCAAATGATATCCAATCAGAACCAGAATTCGACAAACTTAGACAATGTATCCAAGATCATCCAACAATTCAAAACAAGTCAACATGGTTCTGGGACAAGAGACACAAAGAATAAATAATAATAATTTTGGATTAATGTTATATATATTTGGTACTGGGTCAATATATTTATTACTATTAGTAATGTTAAAGCTTTGATTTAAAATGTACTGGGACCAAAATCTTGTTATCCATTGAGGTTGTGACCAACAATGAATCATCGACGGCTTGGCTCCATTTGCTATCCTTCAAGGCTGCCTCAACAATATTGGTCCTCTCCTCAAAGTTGTTGTATGACCACTTTTTATGTTTGATTGATTGAGTGATGTATATATGAGTTAGCACGATCGAACAAGCCAAGAGCCAGGAGACTTAACATAACATACCAGCTGGAATACAGTGTTTAACTTTCCAATCTCACTGTAGAACATTCCATTGGGTAATGAGTGCTTCTTCCTGGTATCGATACCTTTGGATATGGCATCACTCCATTTACCAACATTACCTGGTTTAATTGAGAAACTTGACAACTCCCAGACATTGTTTGATTCCAATTGATTGGGTGACATTGATAATGGACACCAATTGAACTCTCTCAATACAATATTATCCTGTTTCAATACGTATGGTTTCATATTGACCATATACTTCTCATTCCACTCCTTATCGAATCTTAGATTATAACGTACTTTAGCACGGTCATCCAATGATGAGTACTCCCATAAGTGTACCACTTCATTTATACCACCAAGCTCAGACATCTAAGTTGAGTAGAATGAGTTAGGAAAGCGAGCCATTCATACTTTCCAGGTATTGTACATACCCAATAGCCACATAGTTTAGAATGTTTTGTCCTCAGATGAATGTGGTCTTGAGTCAATGCGATAAAGTTGTTCCAGTTCTCAAGTGATATTGAATAAGTTCTAAGTTCCTGGATGTTTTGTTTGATCAATTATTTAGTTTGGATAATCCAATGCACCGATGAATGAATGAATGAATGAATACATACATAGACCTTATTCATATTACCATTAAGTTGTTGTGTACTATATTGTCTTGAGAACAAAGAAATAACATTCTTTGTTATTGATGATGTACTTGATCTCACTAGGTTCATTTGTTATTCATATAAGTTGTGATGTGACAATGAAAGTCTAAACTAAACGAATGAGTGATTGACTCATGTGTCGTTTATGAATCAAGACGGTCAGAAACATTGTGCATTGCATTGTATTGAAGGTAAGATTGATGGTTAGATCACTACCTTGAATATATCAGATATTTTATTTTTTAATTTTTTTTAATTATTTATTCATTTTCAAACAAAGAAACACTTTCATTCAAAAAATCAAAGACGAACGATTACATGTCCTTGACACTACAACTCATAACGGATATTAATATATCATACATATGTTTACTTTAACACTTCAACAGTGAGAGTCAATGTATAATAACATACTTAAACGTATTGCATTTAAGAAAAGAATGTATCAACCATATCATCAACAAACGAACCAACAACAACTGGATCTTCCGATACAACAACCTATACAACATCAGTCACAGCCACAACAACAACAACAACAACCATATCACCCTTATCAACAACAACAACAACAACAACAACAATACTATCCTCAACAACAACAACAACAACAACAATATCAACAACAGGAATATAATACATCATATCGTCCAACCCAACGCCATCCTCCTCAACAACAGCCTCAATCTCCTCCATATCGACCATATCAACTTCAACAACAACCTCAACAACAGTACCATGTCAACAACTACAACGCCCCAATAGACTATAGCAACAGATACAATGACAACAACAACAACAACAACAACAACAGATACAATGATCAAAGTAACACAAGATACAATGACAGATCATCAGACAGATACAACAAAGATGACACCAATAACAACAACAGATATAAAGATTACAACAMAAAAGCAGCAATAGTAGTAATAGAAACAGTGGTGGACGTAGTAACAATTACAACAACAACAACAGTTATGGAGGTGGGAGTAGGAACAACAGGAGCAGTCCCAATGACTATGGATATGACTATGATTACAGACAACCCTATAATCGCGGTCCACCACCACCTCCTCCTGCAGAGCTGTACCAACAACAAAGATATCAATATGACAACAACAACATTAATGGCTATGGTGGACCACCAGCCCCGCACTACCAAGACACCTACAACTATCGCGGTGGTCCCAACCATTTTGCTGGACATCCATCATTCAACAACAACAACAACTACTATGACCAAAGCATGGGCATGCAGCAGCATGTTGTTGGCCAACAACAACAACAACAACACACCAACTATGCCGTGGGCGGTGCTGGTGCTGGTGGTGTTCATCATCCTTACAACGACACAGGAAGCAGAAGACAACAGCCTCAGACAGGACCTTTCCTCGAAGAGATGTACAAGAAAGATATGAAGTTAATGGAGATACCACCGTCAATCGATGCATACTTCAAAGCTGCTGGTGTACTCGTGTACACTGAGCATGACAACACAATCAAGGTGCTCATGGGCTGTGAGGATAGATCTGCAAAGAAGAGACATCCATCAGATCCAGCGACACTCTTCCTGCCGTTTGGTGGCAAGGTTGAGAAGGGCGAGACGGCTGTCGACACGGCCACTCGCGAGTTCAACGAGGAGACAGCCTTTATCTTTGGCGACCGAATCGACAGTGTGCGATCAAACTTTCAATCAGACACTGTTCCCAAGTTCTGGTTTCCTCGATCAAAGTACATGTTGTTCGTTTTGAAGATTGACTCTATGACGAAGGTCTGCCGCAACGCTTCCTCGATGTGGATAAGAACGAGATGTCTAATGTCGACCAGCTGTACCTCGAGTGGATCGATCTCAAAGAGATATTCGGACAGCGACAGCAACAGTTCGCACGACCCAATGGCGAGACTGGTCATCTGATATCATTCTTCTTGCCAATGCTTGGACAGCTCAAGGCTCACTTCAGGACTGAGTATCCATCAATCGACTTGTTCTCTGCTGTACAACTAAGACAATCATCAAACAGCTCAGAGGGTGATGGACCAGCCCATCTGTCAATGTCAATAGACGGCAACAACAACAACAACAGTAGTACTGATGATACCAATCAACTTAACGTGAGCTTAGATCGCGAGCAAGTCGACCTGGCGAATGAACAGAGCAATGCTCATGTGCAACAGCAGCAACATCAGTGTATAGACGACAAGATTGGCGACGATAACTTAGGCACGACCAAGCCACATTAATGTATTTATTATTACCAATGTACAATAACATATGAATGCTGCTATGTTGTTGCTTTAGCAACATGGTCCTATTCCACCATCGATAAACTTCCTAAGTGACTTGCGACAGTAGTATGGTCGTTCAGCTGATCCATCATTGCGCTCACAATCCTCACAGAAGCACAACAACATTGTATCGATGGCCATGTCATACACTGACATAAAGCCACCAGATATAAAGAATGCAATGAATCCAATCAGCTGCATTGAATTGGTTGATTGATTGAGGATGAGTCAGTGACAAAGAATCTCGAAAGAAGAGTTGAATCAACTTACGATAACTGGAGCAATGTAGAATCCATCATGATCCACTTCCATGAATAGGTAGAGTGAAGCTCCAACTGTCAACACTGTAATAAACACTCGTCCTAGAAACAATATGAACGAGCTGATTACTCCAACTGCTGCCACTCTCAACACATTGCTAACAATCAATGAGAATCCTCTTCTTGCACCTTTACAGAATGAATATCCATAGATTGCAATCTAAATGTTGAAGTGATGATTGTTAGGATTGGTCGGCACAACACGTCATCAATCATACTTACCATGATGTAGGCATTCTTGTCCAAGAACTTGATGAACCTTTCAAAGCAGCCGAATATGCAGTTGAGACATGACACGACGAACCTTGCCAGGAATGCTTCTTTACCCTTGAACTTCTTCTCCAATAAACGAAGCATCCATCTGATGAATTGGACAATGGCAAGTATCATTGAACCAAGTGCCAATGAACCAAGGTGATACCTGAGCACTCTGTAGAAGGACTTCCACACTGGGAAGTATGGTGTATCACTCTTGTCCTGTACCCAATACCATAATGATATTGAACCTGCGATTGTACATTGATTGACTGCCATCAGGAAAGCATAAGTCCACAATAGACCAAAGAAATGATACAATTGGAAGTATGTAAGTGTCTTGTTCTCCTTGAATCCTTCAAACAATCCTTCCGTAGTGTAACTAGCTGTTCCACTGGTGGCCAGATACCTTGTAGTTGTGGGTTGGTATTAATTTCAGTCATCAAACAACTCTTTGAATGTAATCAACTTACAATCCAACAAATGTCCAGTAGACCAAGAAAGCTGCTAGAATGGCAAAGATGAATATTGGAAAGACAAAGATTGATGGCATGATACCAATGGCTTTGCTTGTCTCCTTGATGATACCAACTGCAAGTCTAATCCTTGAGAACATGGCCAATACAATGAGTGCAAGTATACCTGATATACAACAAAGAACAATAAATATAACTTTGAGTGCAATCACATTATCATACTGGATGGATAATCTTTGATTGGGAGGTATCTGATCATATGTATGTTGTGCCTTTTGCCCTATATTTGTTTGATTGATTGATGTTAGTACTGTCTCACCATGGTAGACCAACAAATACACATACATTGATAGTAGAGTTGGTAACAGAGTAGTCCCAAGCATGCCAAGACACCAAGTACTGTTCCCCAAGTGATCAAACCAGCAAAGAATCGCATAAGGAATATCCAAAGAAGTCCTAGACCCATCGCTATCAGTGCTCCATATACAATGATTCGCCAATGTTCTGCGATTGAACTGAATATCTTGTTGGCAATACTTCCAAAGTTGACACTGATCAAATTGAATATTTTGTCTATGATTGTGGCTGTTGCTTCCTCCAACTGTGATGGAACACATCTATTGAGGAATGGTGCCGATGATATTGTACCCATACATGTTCCATTTGGGAATATTGCATCCATCGATGGTACTGTATCATAGGCACATATCAGTTGTGTCTCATTTGTCGGCTCCAAATATGTTTCAGTAGGGCACCTGTCCACACAAATAGTTCTATAAGATGCCAATGCAGTATAATAAATAAAGTAGAGGTACTTCTCATTTGTGAAGTCCTTGGATTCGTTTGTCGGTAGACTGCCAATATTGTTAATGCCACATGTGTTGCCTTGGTAATCTGTTCCATATATCAATCTATGATTATAATTAGAATGTAGACCATCTCTCTACATTAGGACATACCTCTTGGGGTTTCCAGACCTTATGGCAAACTGTGCAACTACTATCATGCCTCCCCAGAATGCCAAGAAGAGAAGGAGGAAGAGTACATCACGGCACTTTCGATGCTGGTAGACACCTCTGTTTAGGATTACCTGCTTGGATTTTTTGATATGACCCTCAGAGTTATGGTGTGTCATTGTATTGTTTGTATCTAGAGATGTGTAATAAAGTTTGGTCTTGAAATAATGACACTGATTGTGATTGAAGTATGGGTTAATGATTGGTTGCAGGTGATCGATCACTGGTTTTTACCTGAATGTAACTCGGTTGGGGTTAGACTATCACATTTATTCATACCCCACTTTCACACAAATAATAGTCAATCAATCAGTCAATCACACCAGGTCACCATCTGATGGAAAGTGGCAATCGCGATTACAGTCTGAAGAGACTCTCTGAACCTTGAAACTAATAATGAGAATGAATTGAACACGCAGTAAGAAGTTGATCCAATGAAATATGAGGGTTTATTGGATAGGGTTGTTGGCTGGGAAGTTACTGGCCACCACGGAGACGGAGCACCAAGTGGAGAGTTGACTCCTTCTGGATGTTGTAGTCAGAGAGGGTACGGCCGTCCTCCAACTGCTTTCCAGCGAAAATGAGACGCTGCTGGTCGGGTGGGATTCCCTCCTTGTCTTGGATCTTGGTCTTGACATTCTCGATGGTGTCAGAGCCCTCAACCTCAAGGGTGATGGTCTTGCCAGTCAAGGTCTTGACGAAAATCTGCATACCTCCACGCAGACGGAGCACCAAGTGAAGGGTGGACTCCTTCTGGATGTTGTAGTCAGAGAGAGTGCGGCCATCCTCGAGCTGCTTGCCGGCAAAGATCAGACGCTGTTGGTCGGGTGGGATACCCTCCTTGTCTTGGATCTTGGTCTTGACGTTCTCAATGGTGTCAGAGCCCTCGACCTCAAGAGTAATGGTCTTGCCGGTCAGAGTCTTGACGAAGATCTGCATACCTCCACGGAGTCTCAACACCAAGTGGAGTGTGGACTCCTTTTGGATGTTGTAGTCGGAGAGGGTGCGACCATCCTCCAACTGCTTGCCGGCAAAGATGAGACGCTGCTGGTCAGGTGGATTCCCTCCTTGTCTGGATTCTTGGTCTTTACGTTCTCGATGGTGTCAGAGCCCTCGACCTCCAAGGTGATGGTCTTGCCAGTCAAGGTCTTGACAAAGATCTGCATACCTCCACGGAGACGGAGGACGAGATGGAGAGTTGACTCCTTCTGGATGTTGTAGTCGGAAAGGGTACGGCCGTCCTCCAACTGCTTGCCGGCAAAGATCAGACGCTGTTGGTCAGGTGGGATACCCTCCTTGTCTTGAATCTTGGTCTTGACGTTCTCGATGGTGTCAGAACCCTCGACCTCAAGAGTAATGGTCTTGCCAGTCAAGGTCTTGACGAAAATCTGCATACCTCCACGCAGACGGAGCACCAAGTGGAGAGTTGACTCCTTCTGGATGTTGTAGTCAGAGAGGGTACGGCCGTCCTCCAACTGCTTTCCAGCGAAAATGAGACGCTGCTGGTCGGGTGGGATTCCCTCCTTGTCTTGGATCTTGGTCTTAACGTTCTCGATGGTGTCGGAACCCTCAACCTCCAGAGTGATGGTCTTGCCGGTCAGAGTCTTGACGAAGATCTGCATACCTCCACGGAGACGGAGGACGAGATGGAGAGTTGACTCCTTTTGAATGTTGTAGTCGGAAAGGGTACGGCCATCCTCGAGTTGCTTTCCGGCGAAAATAAGACGTTGTTGGTCGGGTGGGATTCCCTCCTTGTCTTGGATCTTGGTCTTKACGTTCTCGATGGTGTCAGAGCCCTCGACCTCCAGTGTGATGGTCTTGCCCGTGAGTGTCTTCACAAAAATTTGCATGATATTGTTGTTGTAATTAAATTAAAGAATGTGTACAATAGTAGGTTTAGAGATATCTATTAGATAAGTATACAAATAATTAAACAGGTAGGTAGTAGAATAATGAAGTGAGCAAGGAGTTGAGGGGTTTATATTATTGTTGTTGAGCTGGGTTGGTGAAAGGTGAGTAGTTGAGTGTGGGAGAGAAGGTGAGAGTGCACAGATTGTTGAGAACTTGTCTTTGTAAATTAAATTTAATTTATTTTCACCCCCTCTTCCTCACATCTCTTCCAATCACCCACTCAAAAATTCGAATTTAATTGTTTGAAATTCAATCCTCATTCCAAATTGGGAATTTAGCCAACATCAACTTTGGCTGAGTCACATCTTCAACCGCCAAACATTGGCGCCTCATTGTCCACGTGTAGAAGGCATCGACAGTGCCTTCCTTTTACTCACTTTGACGTGTTGTCTACGCATGATAATGCTTGTGTATGTGTCCTAAACTTGCAAGTTTAGGTTTGCAAGAATGAATGAAAGAATGAATGAAAGAATGAATGAAAGAATGAATGAAAGAAGAAAGAGATAATAAGGAATGAATGAATAATGGTCGTAGTTTAATATATTATCTCAATGGTTCCATTGTTGTTTTCATAGCCATTGGCTATCTCTTGTGAATTGTTGTTGTTGTTGACTCTCCTGCCCTCATAGCTTCTGTTCAACTTCGGTAGGTTGTACAACTTGTGTTGTTGTTGATGTTGCATTAGTGGACTACTACCACTGGATGATAGAGTTGGTGATGAAATTGGAGAGTATGAGGATGATAGTGATGATAAATATGATAGAGTCGATAGTGATGATAATGATGAAGTTGGTGATGACGATCGAGTTGAAGTCTGATACTTGCCACCGGTCATATTGTCCGATGGTTTAAAATATTGGTATTGTTGTTGATATTGTTGTTGTTGATAATATTGTTGTTGTAGTTGATGTTGGTATTGTTGTCTATGATATTGTTGTTGTTGTTGATGTTGGTGTGCAGGACTCAACTTATATATATCCTTGTTGCTCGTGGCAGTCTTTGGAACTAGGGTACGGGTTGAATGTGTTGGTTCAACTTGGTCATAGTAATGAGCTCGGCTATGTCTGGCCATCGACATTGGCATTACAGGGCTTGTAGATGTGGATGTTGGCGAACTTGGAACAACAGGTACTTGATCTTGACTGCTTATTAGACTCTTTGGAGATGATGTAGATGATGACAATGGCGAAGAGGATGAAGGTCTGGACTTCTTCTTTCCCTTCTCACTACTCCTCATTTTAATGTTTGCCATCAAGTAGTTGTAGTAGGCAACTGAGGATAGATCACGTTGAACGGTGTCAGACATAGTATTATATATTGTGTAGTATTACTAATTAACTAAGTAACTTATTAATTAAGTCTTTGTTTGGTTTGAATACCAAGTTGGATGATGAATGATGAAGATGTTGCTGTTGTTGGATGGACTGACTAACAGTTGAATCAATCAATCATTGATGATCTGGACCTTACTTCCCTACACCTCCCTCATCACTCTAATCACTCTCTCTCTCAGTTACTCTATCTATTACTAGATTGGGTGGGAGTGGACCTCTTCGCATCCAATCATTGTATTGGTTGTTTAAGACTGATCAGAGTGGGATGCACAGTATACACTTCGGGGGAGCATAAGAGGCCAAGGTGCCACCAACAATAGTAACAGCCCCCAATTTCTTTATCCATCATTAAGGACACCCCCAAACAGGTGCAATAGTGCACTCACTCGATGATTACATCAGATCGACCTGACCCCCACCCGAATGATGGTGTGCAATTTTGATTGGGGGATCACTGGTGATATCGATCAGCTGGTCGGTTGTGGGCACTCACATGCCCAATGTACATCATTCCGGAGTGCATTGATGGGTGGACACACTACTGTACATGTCCCCAAACCCCCACGAGTGATGTGATTGATTACCAAGAGACACTTCTACAGCGAACCGCCTCTCTCTCTAGCCGGGGTTGGACTTGTACTGCAAGCGGTTTGTTTGGTTGTACCCTTGGACAGAGCTCGGAGCAGGTCTTGGTGATACTATCTAATGGATACAGGACATTGCCTCACCCTTTGCTTTGTTGTCCAAGCCATCTGTGATGTGATGTGATGTGACTGATCATTGAAATAATCATCGAATAATATTAATGTTATTGAAATGATTCGATGTGGTCCACATTAATACTATTGCCACTACTATTGTTGCTGCTACTGCTGCGAGGGTCGGTCGTGGTCTCGGCGCCATTGGCAGGATTAACCACCTTCTTGGTGGCGGTTATAAAGACGTCGAATCTTGTGTCGGATGAGGAATAATGTGTGTCGATACCAATGATTGGCGCTACTGTTTTGGGCTTCTTCCAGACGATACGTTTCTGTGCAATACGTTTGGATAGCGCAAAGAGAAGTTTGGACTCTCTGTCGCCACCCACCAGCTTCCTGATGGCCCTGATGTCCTTCTTGGAGAGCGCTCGCGCTTGCTTGGCACTGTCCGACTTGGACAGATACATTGGATCCATGTAGATGACGTCGGGCTGCTCTGATGGTTCGCGATTGATTATTGAACAAAGATACTCAACAGAGTCGGCCTTGATCAATGTGATGCGTGCGGCAATGTCTTTGGTCGCGGGATTCTTCCTCGCCTTGTCCAATGCACACTCCAAGAAGTAATGTAGAATAGGGTTGCGCTCGACCACTGTGACCTTGCTTCCAAACGATGCGATCACCCATGCGTCCTTGCCTAGGCCGCCCGTGACATCGAGCACGGTGGCGGGCACCTCGGGACAGCGCACAGAGCGCACCATTGGCGACTTGGCAAATGTCCTCTCCTTGATCTTGTAGAATAGCTCGCCAGAGGTGAAGTCCAGTGTGACCTCGCAGGTCATCTTGCGACGGATACCGCCTGACTTGCCCTCGTACAGCTCGAGGTCGTTCAGACTGAGGCGGCCGCTGGCCACTGCCAGCGCGAGCTGATATGTGAACAATTGTTGTGGCATGGTCTGTAGTTGGTGGAGGGGCACGTAGTCGAGACCAAAGCGCACCGCCAGTTCGTTGGCCTGGCTGACGTCGGCGGCGTCGGTGCCACTCGTCACCACGACCTGTTGTCTATTCACCAGTGACAGTGCGGGATTGATTGATATGCCTGGTGCCACCTCTTTATAATACTGCTCGTCCTTTGACTCGTGCAACTCTCTCTCCTCCTGCTCCTTCTGATATCGCTCTCTCTTGCTCTCGATTGTTACACGCTCAATCTCTTGTGTGACATCCACCACTCCTCCTGCTCCTGGCGCACCTCTCTGGCTAGGCGGCAGTTTGCTAAACTCTATCTTGTCGGCCCTTGTACTCTTTGACATGGCGGTGTTCTTGCCATGATCCCTCTTTGCAATCTTTTGTCGCAGTTTGGTCATCTCTTCTGGACTCAAACTTTCGCGCTTCGCTTTCAGAGTTCGATTGATCTCACTGTCGCCATCCCTGAGATCAGCCATCGCTCGTGCCATATGTGTCTTATCCTTATTCGATTTCTTTAGTCTCTGCCATTGTTCAGCTGCCACCTTGTCATCATCATCATTGTCAGCAATCTTTGATGATGATGATGAATATGTTGATATACTATATATGAATGGGGATAATAATGATGTTGTAGGTCTTATTGTATATCCTCTATTACCCAACAATAATAAACGATTGGATAAATGTAACATCATTTGTGTATATGTATGATGAATGAGCGAAGACTATAAATTAAGTGTCAAATCGAGCACTTGTTTGACGACTCGTCTTTTTGGTTGTTGGACAACTACACACACAAGCACTCAATCCAGGTTGTCCAGATTGAACCAACCAACAAACAATCAATCAATCAATCAATCAATGATATCTCTATTAAATTATATAATCTAACCCTCACAATGATATTATATATATATATTATATATTATATTATATTATATTCCAAACCATATATATACTGTTTACTTTTTTTACATTCCACCTAGTTTAATGGTATTTTATCCATTACTGATATATCATATGAACTCACGTGAATCATATTGAACCAACTCACACAAGTTTTAAATGTACATTTATCTGTCTCTCTCGACACTAGGTGTATGAACACATCACATGTCAGCTATGGAGTTGTGAATGTGTTGGTGAAAAGACTAATTAATTTTGATTGTTGCCTCAACAGAATCACACACACACCAAGAGGCAGTTGGGACCAACTTGAATGATCAGTTGCAACTCACATCTCTACTACTCTATCTATTTCTATCTCAAACAAACAAACAAATACTTTGTTGTGTATAATAATAATAATAATAATAATATAAACTAATACTATACTACTTATATCACTCATTCACACACTCCATAACAATATAAATAATGGACTCTGCTAATCAAATGAACATGACTCTTGGTATGTATAATATATTATATTTATGATGATGTGTATTTGTATACTAACTAACAAACAAACAAACAAACAAATATAAACAGACCAGATCATCAAGGACTCCAAGAAAACAGTAAGAACTTAAACTTCAACTCATTGCCTCCAACCTACAACCCTATGATAAGGACTGGCTTTATATATATCTATATATCATGATGTGATGCATTCATTCATTCGTGTGTGGCAGTGCAGCGGTGTGTCTGCAGTGACAACGATCAAAAGACAGACAGCCTTGATTGGCAAACGGACGACGATCACTGGACGATGCCCCACTCGTCAAATGCGTCATTCAATCAGTCAGTCAACTGGCTGCAGTGGCGGGTGTCAGTCAGTATAGCACAAATGCATGATTAACATGGTTATCAGCCACTTTGTCTATGTACATCATATGATGTTGTTGTTGATCGTCGTCATCAATCATCATCATTCATAATCACATTGCAGCACTGCTTTTCATTTGCCATTGTCATCATAGGGTGTAAAGGCCACCATCAGACAGGGCACTAACAAGTGGACGTCCCAACTCATTCTCTCATCTCCCAATCCTTCCCTACCCGTGAAGAACAAGAGCAACAACAATAACAACAAAAAGAACTCCAATGATCAAGGAGGAAAGCCAAAGAGCAGAGCCGCCACCAACTCGAGAAGAGGCAGAAGAGGCGGAAGAGGCGGTAATGACAACAACAACAGCAACAACAATGGCAACAAAAACAACAATAACAACGGAAACAACAATAACAACAATAGCAATGGAAGATCAAGAAGAGGACTGACCAGAGGAAACACCGCCACTACAGCCAAGGTCGCCAAGACCGGAAGCAAGTCAGTCAAGACTGCCGCCAAGTATGTCTCCACATGAATGCCAACAAGCCTCCTCCTCAACATCTCATACTCACATTACTCAACCTCTTCTTCATTCTCTATCATCACAGGCCCATCAGCCCAGACAAGATCAAGATCCAAATCACAAAGTTAGTATTGTTGATATGTAGCACATGTATTCCACTTGACATTATACTTACATCTCCATAACAATCATTCAGCAGTGGTAGCTCTTCGTCATCATCATCCACAAGCGGTGGCCTCAGAACAAGCAGACTGGGTGCCAAGAGCCTCAGGTTGGGAGGTACTTCCAGTTTGAGGACCAGAAATAGTTTGAGGACCAGTGCCATCGCTGCATCCCCAAAGAGAGCATTGACCACAGCCATTAAGAAGCCAGCAAGACTTGTAGAGGTTGTTGTAAGTATATCCTCTTGTATGTGTATGATGTTCATAGCTAACCTCAACCTTCTTCTCGTTCTCCTTCTACTGCACAACAGAGACAGAAAACCATTTCCACCGCCAGGAAGACTGTGGCTGACCGTGACCAGAGACCAAGGACCCTGAATGACAGATTCAGCAGGAAGTAAACCAACACTCAATCAATCCATTGGTGATTGATGTGATGGAGTGTAGTTGTGTCATTGTAAGGCGAGCAGCAATATAGTCTGCACATTGTAGAGCAAGAATAAATCATTCAGAGTTTATACTGTAAACTAGGTCTCAATCAAGTGTGTCCAATCACATGGACATGTGTGATGGAAGTATCAAGGAAGTGAGCGAAACAATAATAGAGAGAGAGATGATGTAAGAGTGTGATTATGCACCACATGTCGTTTAGTTCTGTGCGGCGTTGTCAGAGGCAACTGGGAACTCGAAGACGACGTCCTTTCCGGTCAACTTGTGGTAGACGGCGGAGAAGGAATCCAACTTGTGACCAGTGACGGTGATCTCCTTACGGTCCAAATAGATCTTGTGGAGCTTGGAGCCATCGAGTCTGTATCTAAGTCTACGGCCAACGATGTTGGTTGGGAACACGAGGTCCTCCAACATGGCGTCGTGGACAGCCTTGATGGTACGCGAGATTGGGACCTTCTGCTGCTTGACCTTGTTGGTGGAGGAGACCTGGTGGATGATTCTGCGCTGAGCAATGATCATAACGTTCTTGCTGCCGAACTTCTTCTCCAACTCCCAAACCAACTTTTGCTGGATCTATAATGTTGTCGTCGATTGATTGATTGGTGAGTGAGTATGTTGTGTTCACCTGTATGATCGCTCGCTATCATCTGTTTGTGTTGGTTCATTCATACCTTGTTGTAAGCCTTGAGCTGACGGAATGGAACAAAGACAACGATGGCCTTCTTTCCCTCAGAGACGTCGAACTCCTTGGCGGAGACGATCTGGAGGTTCTTCAACTCCTTGAAGTCGTTGGAGTTCTCCAAATCCAAGAGAGCCTGAGCAACAGAGTTCTCGAGCTCAGTTGGCTCTTTGCCGGGTGGCTTAACAATCTTCTTCTTGGTGGTAAGCATCTTGATTCTGTATGGATTGATGATTCCAACAAGTTAGATTCTGTTCATTCCCTGATTGTCGATTGGATTGATTGATGGATTGATGCTGTTATCGCATAGTTCATACATACAGGTATCACTGTGATCTCGATTGAACAAAAAGGAAGAGACAAGTATCGTGTATCACTCTTATCACATGCACACTGAGTATCGCACGAGGACTCGCGAGTCAGAGCACAGACCTCTCGCACGCACTCCTCACCCAACCATCACACTGAAAAATCAAAATAAAATAAAAATATTTCTTTTCGCTAAAACAATCAGAAGTTCCGTCGTGAATGATGGACTCGGCTGGATTGGATTGCTTGGGATGAATCCACACTTTACTTTATGATGATGGAGATGTAAGGAATGATAGACACTTCTCCAAGTCCACATTGCCTCCAGTGATGACAAGTCCAATCCTCTTGACCTTGCCATCGTTGCCATACTTCTCCTTGAACTTCTCGCTCAGTACAACTGCCAAAACAGTGGCTGATGATGGCTCGATGATTATCTTCATTCTATCCCATACCAACTACATTATGATGTTATTGATGTTAGTTACTCATGGTTGTAATCCATGGATCGTTGATGGATGATGATGATGGACACGTACCTTCATTGCAGCCTTGATCTCGTTGTCGTCGACAGTGATAATGGAGTGGACATGTGACTTGATGATTGGGAATGTGAGATCACCAACAGTTGTGAGTAGACCATCGGCGATAGTGTTTGGATTGTTATCACGATGTGGAAGCTTCACACCCTTCTCGAATGATCTAAATGCATCATCTGCACCCAATGGCTCAGCTCCAATGATCTTAATATCTGGATTGATGGTCTTGGCAGCGATCGTTACACCTGACATCTTGATTGATTGTTTGTTTGAGTCAGTTCCAAGTCCATCACATCGATCCAATCAATCAATCAATCAAACTTACAACACCACCTCCACCAATTGGAACAATGATGGCATCAAGGTTCTCAACTTGAGAGAGGAGCTCAATGGCAACAGTTCCTTGACCAGCAATGACATCGGCATTGTCAAATGGATGGATCATCTTGCAGCCATGTTGAGCGATCAATGCCTCAACACCAGACTCTCTTGCCTGTAGTGTTGGCTCACAAAGATGTACGTTGGCACCATAGCCAATGATGGCGTCTAATTTGATCTTTGGAGCATTCTTTGGCACTACAACATAAGCAGTTGTATTCCTCATCCTGGCAGCCAATGCCAATGCCTGACCATGATTTCCACTGCTATGTGTTGTGACTCCACGCTTCAAATCATCCTCACTCAGCTTGAACACAGAGTTGCATGCGCCTCTAAACTTGAATGCACCGACCTACTCAACGAATGATTGGTTAGGTGTGATTGATCAATCAATCAAGAGGTATACATACCTTTTGGAAGTTCTCACATTTGAAGAACAACTCCTTGCCTGCTATCTCATTGATGCTTTGACATGTTAGGACTGGAGTCTTGTGGATGTGTGGTTTGATCCTCTCATAGGCTTCCTTGATATCATTGAATGAGACAGCAAAGCCACTTGTTCCAACTTCATTAGTTGGGTAACCATTGATTGATGATTCCAAATTACTCATCTTCTCTATCTCTCTCTCTACCTCTCTTGTCTTTGCAATTACAAAGGTTCATCAAAACACGTGGATTCATAAGATCAAACAAATATCTGGACACTTTCATTCACTCTCACGAATTCACAAGTGCCCACTCACTTCCTTTCGAACTTGAACATTGAATTGAATGAAGTTGAATGCATACAAGTACTCGATCGTTATACCTATCGTCAATGTAACCTAGAGAGAGATAATAGTAGTAGGTTTATTCAGATACTTGAAGTAGTATCTGTTGTGTGAGGGTCTGAAAGATACCTTGTCTCACTCACTCACTCACCAGGTTACAGCCCTGGAGAGTTGAATGAACATTTGCCTTTTCATTAAGTTACACAGTTCAGAGAAGTAATCAAACACTACCTTTCCATAACATTACTAACAAACAATACAACAAGTAACAAACAGTTGTAGATAAGATATATAGATACTTTGTAAATATCATCCAATCACATCGAATCAAATTTACGAGTTGTTGTTCGTGTAGCCGAGATTTCGATGTTGTGGGCGTTGGGTGCCAGGATGAGGAACTTGTCAATTCAAAGCGTTGGCATCCTAGGTACCTCTTTAGTCTAAAGATCATCACATCACATCACCCTGGTGGTCTAAACTACTGTAGGATCTTAAGTGGAGGGAGGACTAGGCTTTGGTTTTATTACAAAGTTCAAAGGAAAGGTTTAAACTTATTATTATCCAATGGATATTATAATAATCATCTTGATGGTATCAAGCATACTAGTCTCCGAGCCATGGAGAACAACATCAAGTTGTCCAATCGATAACTATAAATACCCAATCATAACAACAACTTCAATCAAACAACTAATTAATCAATCAAAAAATAATAATAATGGCCAAATATAACATAATATTGGTTGCAACCATTGTGTTGGCCACCATGATCAATACATCAAGAGCTGTAAGTACCAACCTCCTCTTCATGTACCCAACTCAACTACAACTCATAGTAACATTCCATCCACATCCACTTGACAACTTCCAAAAGGCCAACCTTGATTGTTCCCAAATGCAATCACTCACTCAACAATACTTTGGCACTGGACAAGAGGCCACCAACTTCATTTGTATTGCTTACTACGAGTCATCATGGAACACTGATGCCCAGAATCCATCGGGTGCATCAGGTCTCTGGCAGATATTACCAGAGCACTGTGGTGAGATTTGCCAAGGCTGTTCAGACCCATCTGATTTGTTCAATCCAAATGTAAATGCTCAATGTGCATTGGATGTCTACAATGCTCAGGGATATGATGCTTGGACTACCTGGGCCAGTGGTGACTGCACTGGTTGGACTCAATGTGACTCAACTTCCAGCTCAACTACCTCTACATCTGCATCTACTGGAAAGACTGGAGGATCGAGCAGTGGCAAGACTGGAGGATCCAGTTCGGGCAAGACCGGAGGATCAAGTTCTGGCAAGTCCACCACTCAATCAGGCACCACCAGTGGTACTACAAGTGGAACAACCAGTGCAACTAGTGGCACTACAAGTGGTACCACAAGTGCGACATCTGGAACTACCAGTGGCACGACTGCATCATCAGGTACAACTACCTCTGGCACAACTGCCACAACAGGTACATCTGCTACCAACACCGCAACTGATTCAACTGCCTCAACTGGAGGTGCCAGCTCTTCAACCGGTGGTGCATCCTCAGCAAGCTCATCAACTGGTGGTGCATCATCATCAGGTGGATCTGGCGGCTCTGGCGGTTCAGGAGGTTCAGGTGGCTCAGGAGGTTCTGGCGGCTCTGGTGGTTCAGGAGGTTCAGGTGGTGGCTCTGGTGGATCAGGACTCTACAAGACCAAGTAGATCACTCACTCACCCAATCATTCCATCAATCAATTAATGACCATCCCATACTCTAACAAATATTATTGATATATCATTGTATTTAATTATATTTGATTACTTTCTAAACATCTTTCTCAGCTCCTTGTCTCTCATATGTCTCTTCACAAGGAACACTGTCAGTCCAACAAGTGCTGCCAATCCCACCACTGATGGAACAACAATGGCTGGAATCAACCACTTCATCCTCTGTCTATTCGCCTCAGCCGCTCTTTGGTTGAGTAAATCGGTCACTATGTTGATTAAATGAGTAGATATGATTGTTAGTATAATGATTGATAGATAGATGGATGGATGATGATGACTTACAATCATATTTGAATATCTCATTGCTACCTGTCTGTCCACCAACAGTGACATTGACAAAGAGTGTACCTTCGGGAACAGTTTCATCTCCGAATGGCCAAGCAGGGAGATCACAAACAACATCAGTGTTGTAAGCATCACTTATAACAGGATTGTTACAATCCAATTGACCAACTGTAATATTAATAGGTACACCAAGTGATGATCCACGAATGGTAATAGTGCCACCATTTTGAGTACATGTCTGTAATATCTCAGAGACCGTTGGAGCTAAATTTTATGTTTGATTGATTGAGTGAAGTTAGTTAGTGGTCGAACATAGATTGGATCGATAAAGAGTACTTACCCTCATAACTAAAGTATACGATTGGATCAAAGATTGAGGTGGTCAAGTTGCTGATACTTAGATTGACTGGGAAGTCCTTGCCAACTCCTGGAATGACATTACAAAGTATGGTGGTGTTGTCAAGTAGGACAACATTGTGACAAGAATACTTATCACCAAGTGCAATTGAATATTTCGATTCATCAATAACATCACTGATGGTTTCGTTGAATCCTGGTGTCCTCTTAAAGTGTAACATTGATCCTACTATTGTGACAATACCTCCAGTTGTTTGAACTTTGGTAATTGATGTGATTGATGGAAGGATCAACACTTGTATCTCGCTAGATACCTGATTGTCAATGGCCACTGTGACATCATAGATATCGATAGCAGTCTCTTTACCCATGGCCAATTCGATCACTGATGAGTTGGTGACGGTAACTGAGTCATAAGTCATGTTGCCAGCGTGGAGAACGAGGGATGAAGCATCTGGACCAAAGTTATCACCAAAGAGATAGAGAGTACTACCATTCTGTTTGGCTGACTGCAGCAATGGTGCATTGAAGGAGAATGTATGGCCACCCAAAGATGACACACCATCAATTGTGATGGTGGTGGGATGATTAGCTCCAACACCTGCTGGTATATCACAAAGTAGTTGGGCGTAGGTGGTATCTGGGTTCCTTGGATTGGCGCATTGCAATACTGTTGTGTTGATCACTACTGCTTGTGGTGCACCTGTGATGTCTGTAGTCGAAAGGAATTGACCAGAGATGGTGATGGTCGATCCCATCGTAGGGGAAGATGAGATTGAGTCGACAGAGGGGATCATGCTCAGACGGTATGGCTGGGACTTCTGGGCGCTAACAGTAACATAGATGTTGCCATTCCTCAAGGTGGATGGCATGGTGAAGACAGCCTTCTCAGCATTGTCATAAACCAGGCTTGGATGGAGGACGGTTCCATCAGCAAATATGATACCGGTGTTGACATCACCGAAACTACTTCCGACAAGGGTCACGGCAGCACCATTCTGGATATTGGATGTGATCTGAGGGATACCATATGAGAACAGGACATTATTGGTCGAGTTTACGCCATTGATATTCACGATGACTTGCTTGTCCTTGCCAGATCCTTCGGGCATCTTACATGTTAGCTTGGTATTGTCGGTACCCACACTAGTTGGGTTGATACAGTTGATACCTCCAACATTGACATATGATTGAGCCGCAGAACCATCACTCTTTAGAAGGTTCAATAATGCACCGGTTATAGTAATTGTTCCACCGGATGTAGGTACTGAGGTAACAGCAGTCACTAATGGAGCAAAGTTGTAACTGAAGGCTGATCCAACATTTTCACCAACTGTGATGACAATTGACTTTACACCTGGGTATGCCAAATCGGGGGTGACTGGAATGGCAATATAGGTATGATTGAGGAGTACATTGGGGTCTCTATCAACTGTTACTCCATTAATAGTAACCTTCAACTTTGCTCCATCCTTTCCAAAACTTGTTCCTTCTATACCATAACTATAACTATCAACAATGTTGATTGCCTTGATTGTTGGGGCTAACATGGGGGGCAGTGGTTAGGTCTCTAGCCTCACTTAATCAATCAGTTCATGAATCAAATACATACCAACAAAGGAATATAGTCCATTCCAACCTCTGTTTTCACATGGGTTTCCATTGATGTAGATGTAGGCGGCTAGGTTGTAGCCAGAATAGTTGTCATTCATGTTGACTAGGACTTTGGATCCAGATGGATCAATTGTTAAGGCACCATCAAGTGGTACATCAACACCAGCAAGAGTGAATTGAGAGAAGAAGTCGCCAGGTTGGAAGAACTTTCCAACGAATGTGATCACTCCACCTTGTGTTGGAATAGAGTTTACACTGAAGACGAATTGAGTCGTTGTTTTGAATGCTACGGACTTGCAATTACCAGGACCACACACCATGATTTTGGCCGTGCCACCTTGAGAGTATGAACTTAGACTAACATATAATAATGTTGAATTGAATAATGTTATACCTGATGGATATTGCATCGAATCCTTCAATATAGTTGCATTGATTGCTGTATCCAATGCTGTACCAACTACTGTGATATATGTCTCATTGAATGTCACCTGGACAATATCAAGAGGGGCAGCTGAACATTGACTAGGTCCATTGAACATCAACACTCCAAGTGTTAATATCACCAAGAGTATGGATATCCTCATTTCTAATTATTATTATATTATATTATTTGTTGTAATTATTATTATTGATTATTATTATTATTGATTATTAATAATATAAATGTGGTATGAGTTGTTGATTGGACAACAAGAGATGGATGTCAATTAGACTGATTAATTAATTATTATTATTAAGTGTTACAACAACATCAACAACATAAAAGATAAGGAAATAATAACTTAGTTCGCCAAATCAATCACCCTATGTTCCACAGTTTTGGTGAGTGTGAATCATTGATTGATTGATTGATTGATTGTGTTTGTTTGTTCTTATCTCTATGTGTGTGTGTTTGAGTGTGTGTGATCACCTGATCATTATATCGAATGTGTTAATGTGTGAGTGTGTGAATCGTCCAATCAATAACACACACTACAATCAATCACAAACACACACTAACACACTTAATACATATATTGATCTGTGATGGAGGGAGGGATGTATATGGGGCCAGGCATATTAACATTTATAACAAGTATAAGTACATACTTGGATTGATTTTATACATAACCCGAGTACATTTATACCTATATTTAACCAAACAATGGCATTTGAGTTAGTGTGAGAGTAGATGATCGCACTTGAACCTGATCACAATCACACACCAACTTGTGGCTGTTGGGGTTGGGTTACTTTGTAATTGACAAGGTTGTTGTTGTTGTGGGTGTGATCACATGTTTGAAAGAGAGAGGCGCAATATGGTTGACACACATTGTATTGAACTGACCAATCAATGATAAGTTAGTGAATGAGTTATTGATGTGTTGTACATTTATGTCATGGCCTGGCCACGCCTATCTTTATTTACGAGTCTAGTTCGAGGTCCAATCAATCAATCAAACATACCATGGTAGTGTGGTAGGATGTTGATGATGATGTTGATGATGCTGTTGTTGGGGGAAGAGGAGGATGAGGAAGAGGAGCACAGTTCATTGGTTTAGGACTACGATCCAATTGATGGTTGAGATCATATTTTGGACCTCATCAAATGTGAGGTAGAAATTACAATCGTGTACAATATGTCTACGGCCACCAGGTGTATTCCTATAATCTGGATTAGTACTGAACCAATAATAATATTCATCATATTTCTGCAATTGTCCACGAAGACAAATATTATAGAGTTCATGCTTTGGTGGATTGGAAATTATTATTCTCTGATTGAATTGATTGGAATGGATGATGGTCAGTCAGACTCTGGTACCTTGCGGGGGAGGAGGAGGAATGGTACTTACATGGTAGAGAGCAGTAAGTTTTGGCATCCTGCAGTTGAGGAATACTTCACTTTGTTTGACAAGTTCGTTGATCTGTGCTATTGTCAGTTTTGTCATGTTGGTAGGCATTGGCAAGAGTGTTTCGTCTGGTCTCGATAATGGAATGACTATCTTAGGTTGTTGTAGTGGCTGTTGCTGAGGCCTTGGTCGAATAGGTCTCTGATATTGAGGTTGATATTGGGGTTGGGGCCGAGGTTGAGATTGAGGTTGTCGGGGTTGTTCATCGTCAAATATTGTCAGTTCAATGGCCGAATGGTCTCCATTATCCTCTTGATTAACATCTTTTGATGAAGATTGATTATCTTTCTCATTGTTCCTATTACTCTTATTGTTGTTGTTCTTCTTCTTGTCATCTTCCTTATTCTTGTCTTTGCTTTCTCCATCCTTGTTCTTGTTCTTTGTCCTCTTGCATAAGTTGAAGCAACCACAGCCACATCCACAACAGGAAATGATCTTCTTAATTAAAAATATTCCTACTATGAGTAGTATAATCGCAATTATGATGACTCCAAACACAATGATGTTAGTTCTACACTGTTCATACATCAAACAATAAAACTTGCTAAAATATATTTATATTATTATGTTAGTTAATCAATCAATCAAACAATTCAAATTGGAGTTGTTCAGGTCCAAAGTACTTACTTGTCATTTGTACAGACATCTGAGCATGACTGTTTGGAGGTGGTATCGATTACCTTTGGATCGTAGGGATCGGTGTAGTTGTTGCTTTTGATGATGGTTGCCGTCGTGTTGAAGTAGACAATCCTCCAGTCTAAAACTCTACCATCATCTCCGGTTAAACTAACCTTGCAATGGTACTGGGATAGGTCGGTGGACTTTGTGTGAACCTTGAACGTCAAGACTTTGATCTCACTGGGATCCATTGTGAACACCTGCGCGGGCATCGGGGTGATGCCTGGAGAGCAATCATCCGCAAAGACATAGTACCGGGATATGAGTGTTCCATTGTTGGTCGCCACCACCTTGAGTATGCCATCATTGGACATGGCCCCAAATGTTTCGAGGCCAGTTCCTTCGAGAATCTTGCCGGGACTTTGATTGATGTAGAGTGTGAGGCCGTCTGTAGCGGCCTTGATCGTCAAAAATGAATTATGGATGGTAGTGATGGGTATGTTCAACATTAGGTTTCCATTGGCGTTTATCAACTTGGAGTCGGGATTGAAAGTTGACAGCAAGTACTGGGTGGCCTTGCTCGCGTCCTTCTTTGCCATGTCCTCTTTCCAGTAGTCGTCGATTTGTCCGTCTATACATGACCCAGCCTCGGCCATACAGAAGTTGGGCTGTGTGTAGTAGGCCTTGTAGCCAGTGCCAATCTTACTACAAACTGAGGAGGACGAGGTAAAGTATCCATTGGGGAGTACCAAGCTGGAGGTGGCCATTGGCATGCTGTGGCGTGGGTTGCTGGGGTCGGTTTTGGGGTCTGGAACAACAAAGATGCTGCTCTCAAACGTCCTGTACACTTGGGGTGGGGAAAAGTCACCTTCGAGCTTGATGACAATACCCTCGGCAGAGATGACTGGGTTGCTTGGCGAGATGATATACTCGTTGGATACCTTGTAGCCATTGACATCGGTGTAGTTCATTGTGACAGTGATGGTATAGAATACAATGGGTGGCTCGATCTTGTAGGCTTGGTACTGAAGTTGACTCATGCGCATGCAGTTGGCGGCGGCGGACTGACTGCCAAAGAGGTCGCACTTGAGGTTGGCGCGTGAACGTTGTGTGTAGCCAAAAGTTGGCATTAGTCCACAGCTGCAGCATGTTCCCTCGCTGTATGGCACCTGCTTGCCAGTGTCCAGATCGATCACTGTGGGACAAGTGTGTACATCTGGACGGTCGCGACATGAGTCCGTGACTAAATAGTCGGTGCCGAAGATGGTGTACTCATCCAAACCAGAAGGGAAGTTGGACCAGTAGACCAATGAACCCTGCAGACTGGCCTGTATCTTGCTCAATGACAAAGAGACATCGCTCATCACAGTCATACTTTGACCTGTGCTTTTGTTGAGTAATGTCACATTTTTGAATGTCACGCTTTCAGTGGACTATAAATAAATCAATTGTTAGTATCATATGATCAATTAATTAATCAACTCAATGAAAGAGACCAATAAAATGGGGTGCATATAAACATACCTTTCCACTCTCAATCGTGAGTTCAACAACCATCATGGTCTTGCATCCTCCTGGTACATCTGGATCACCACTCTGTGTGCATTGTTCAAGATGAGTAGCGCCAATAATGCTTGCCAACAATGACGGTGTGAGCATATGAAGGAACAATGACAACACTATCAATACTGATGTGTATCGCATTGTTGAAATTGAATATTATCTTGCTGATTATAATTAATTGATTATTTGATTGATTGATTGATTGATTGAATTGATTGTGGACCCACAAGATATGTGACCAACTTTTGCAAACTCCTGGGCCTGATTCCGATTTGCAAAATTTTGCAAAGACATGCGTGTCAAATCACACGTGATCATCGATTTTGGATGTGACACAGTGCGACAGTGAACTCTCCATTCACTCCAATCAATCTTGTTTGGTCAACCCATATGCCTCGCTTGATTAGGAACAGTTGTAATGGCGCACCTATCATCTCCACTTTGATCACACCGGCAACACCTGGTCCTCCTGCATTGGCATCGTAGACTAGGAAGCCTACCTCTGACTTGGGCCCTGCAAGGTACTTTCGCTTCTTGGTCGATAGCTCCAGTTGGAAGAATGTATCGGCCAGGATGTACAGCGTGTCCTTGCCATCGAAGCAACATGAATGAATCTGATCCTTCTCAACATTGAGGTCCTTGACAAACACGGAACTTCTAAGCTTCTTGAGATCAAACGTTATGATCTGTGCAGTCTCTTTGTAATCAGTATAGTATCCACCAACTATATATACATTGTTTTGATGTACAAAGCTGAATGGCTTGGCCAATGAACAATGTATGTTGCCAACTGAAGTGAACCTTTGTGTCTGGAGATCAAACGCATCGATCCTGTTCTGGTACTTGCGTTCGCTACCCATTGGATTGTGCTTGCCACCCACAAGATAGATGGTCTTATCACCATCATAGCATGTGGATATATCAAATCCACCTTCAATACCAATGATTGGCGTGCCAAGATACCATGATCTCTGAGAGATTGAGTAGCGGCCGTATCTAACTTGGTCAACTCCGCCGCCAAAGAAATATACACTGCCCTTGGCGTATATAATAGAGGACTCTGATCCAAGTCTATGAGGGATTGGACCCAGCCTTGTGTCCACCGCCGGTTGATCCGAGGTGGGATTGAGTGAGGTAATATAGCATTGATCTGATCCAATTATGAAGGCCATCGAGGGTTGATCCCAACATGATTCATCGATTACAATGGATTGACGGGCATGCTCACTGAGGGCACTCTTTATCGAGTCATTGATTGATCCCGTCACACGATAAGGATGGGTGAGTTGGAAGAATGATTGATTGATCCGTCCAATAGTGTCTACAACGGCGATCATGAGGTTGATGTCGGCATCAGACTGGGGTAGTGGTGGGTCTGGAGGAGAAGGGGCAGAGATAGACCTTGACCTTGACCTAGTCCTAGACTTGCAATGCTCCTTGATGAACTCATTCATTGAATGACATTGCAGAATCCTTGATACCAATGCGTCAGCCTCAATGTCTGTGGATATTGAGTCCATGTGTTCCGAGGAGATGTCGCGAGGCGGGACCAATGGTGGTGCGGTTGAATGTGTGTGGGGAATGTTGTACACGGCAGCTGACTCGATATGATCAAACTCTTTGATGATCGATGTTATCATGGTCATTGTAAGTTCCAACTCAGTGATGATTGGAACCTTTGCACGATGTTCTTCCACCATCAATGTCACATGCATCTCTCTGAACCTCTCTGTAATATCCAAACATGTTTGTTGCAACGTCTGATAAGTCGATGCCAACTGTGGCAACAACGACCACAAGTGTCTCATCCTTGCAATGAATCCAGAGTTGTCATTATTCTGCCAATCATCATCAACATCATCATCATCACAATCATCATCATCATCCTTATCACACTTCTTCTTCTTGTTGCTGTTGCTGTTGTAAAGTGATTTGATTGATTGTCTAATGTTGTCTACGTTGTCCAAGTCATGATGACGATGTTTGATATCACAATCAGCAACAACATGTAATAATTGATTATAATACTTGATTGGTATTATTATTGACTCATGATCATCCAATGCTGATGACGACGATGATGATGTTCTCAACAACAAACTATCCAATGACAACAGTTTGATACAATCTAAACATATAATATGTGGCAATCTATTACGATCACATTCATTCTCTGATGATGCCTCTGCTGATGCTATTGTTGATATTGATATTGAATCATTGGACATGGTCAAGTGTTGTGTATAAGTATACTTGTATAACTGTCAATGTGGAATGAATGAACATCCCGAAGGTGTTGTTGACTTTCAAAGAATAAACACGTTGCAAAGATGAAGGTGGTGGTTCAACTTGGAGATATTACTTCATTTATTAATAGAGTTAGTGTTGAGATAGAGAGATAAGTAATAGATATAGTAATAATGACAGGTAATAAGACAAGTATATTTAAAGGTAATGAGCCAAAGGATAGTAATCAAACAAATAGTCTTGATGAAACAAAGTATGACTCTACAAATAAGACTGTATCACTCATTGTGATCGGATGTGGTAGTAGAGGTTATGTCTACACTCTATACGCTGCTGAGAAGCCAAATAGATTAAAGGTATTGATTGATTGAACATGAATGATTGAATGGATGACTGAATAGAGTGACTAACAATGACCTTTGAAGGTGGCAGCTGTATGTGACCCTATCAAGTTCAGAAGAGAGAAGATGGCCAAGGACTTCTCTTTGGACAGCAGCATGATGTATGATGATTGGAAGGCGATTGCTGCAAAGGACAAGGTATGTGAATGAATGACCTTGGCACATGAACATGTCGCTCACTCAATCACTCCATGAATGAAGTTTGCCGATGCAGTACTCATTGCAACACCAGATCAATTGCATGCCGAACCAACTATTGCCTTTGCCAACAAAGGTTATCACATCTTGGTCGAGAAGCCAATGGCTGTGTCACAGGAGGATTGTGATAGAATGGTGGCCGCTGCCAAGAATAACAATGTTATCTTTGCAGTTTGCCATGTTCTAAGATACACGCCATACAACCTAAAGATCAAGTCATTGATTGAGGAAGGCTATATTGGTGAGGTGATGAATATCCAACACCTGGAGCCCGTTGGATACTATCATCAGGCTCATTCATACGTCCGAGGCAACTGGAAACGTGAAGATACCTCATCATTCATGTTGATGACCAAGTCCTGTCATGATCTGGATCTTATCAATTTCTTTATGAACAAGAAGTGCAAGTATGTTATCCAATGTTTGTTCAAGCATGGTTGGTTGATACTCACACAATAATGATATAATAGGAAGATATCGTCCTTTGGATCGCTCACACATTTCTCCAAGGAGCACAAGCCAGAGGCTGCTGGAGATGCCAAGAGATGTCTAGATTGTAAAATTAATGGTATGTAGTTTGATTGAGTGATTGGATGAATGAGTGATTGGTATCGATTGACTGACCTTGGAACAATCCCCAGACGTGTGTCCATATTCTGCCAAGACAATATACTTGACACATTATCCTTGGAAGAGAGATTGTCTTGTTCCTGACAAAGAGCCAACCAAAGAGAATGTCAGAGATGCCCTTAAGGAGGGACCTTATGGAGTGTATGTACCTGATCAATCTTTGTTCTTGGATCCTCGGATACTCATTCAATCAATCATTCAATCAATCAAGATGTGCATATGAGAGTGACAATGATGTAGTCGATCAACAAGTTGTCAACATGGAGTTTGAGGGCGGCAAGACTTGCTCATTCTCAATGGTGGCATTCACTGAAGAGATATGTGTCCGAAAGACAAGGGTATTCGGTACACATGGTCAACTGGATTGTAATGGACACACGATCATTTGGGATGACTTTAGACATGGTGACAAGGAGATATTCAAGCCAGAGCTGGTCAGTGGCACCAAGATGACAGGTCACAACTGTGCCGACTATTACCTGATGCGAGCATTTGTTTATGCCGTAGCCACCAACGACCCAAGTCAGATCCTGTCCGGTCCAGACGACACACTTCTCAGTCACACCCTTGTGTTCAAGGCTGAGCAAGCAAGACTTGAGAATAGAGTAGTAATGCTCTAATGCATCCCAATGATGGTGATGTTCGTAAGAATGAAGTTGTTAGCTCCCTCATCTCGCTATGCGAGATATGTCCATGGTCCATCCGTGGATGGACCGTGTAGGTCAGATTGATCAGTCGAGTGGTGCGCGTGTGGGTGTTGTGGTGGGGGTCATGATTGATGGTGGTAACGTCACGTGTGTGATGTTAATTAATTGGGATGAGGGGTGATTGATGTCCGACATCACACCACTTGTCTAATGACAGGTCGGTGAAGTTTGACACCTGTTTATTCATTCAATTCATTCATTCATCATTCATTCACTCATTCACTCATTCAGACATACATACATACATTATTACATACATTTATACATATATACAACAATATCATCAACAACGTCGTCAATTCACAACTTCATTCCCAATCTGCACCAGGTCAACCGTCAGTCTGTCTGGTTAGATGTTGTGGTAGTCAGTCAGTCCCTCATTGCGACACCACACATCACTCACACAACACGCTCATCAACACTCACTCTTTCATTCATTCATTCAATTCATTCATTCAAGAAAAGAGATAGATAGAGATAGAGATAGAGTATGTACTCTGGTACTCCTATACTAAAAGGATGAACTATGAGTATATAGACAATATATACAATAACAACAACAATAATAATTATAATAATAATATCAACCGAAGAAATATGGATGATGATCAATCATCTACGACGACAATGACTTCAACAGCTTCTTCATCTGCAGCTGCCTCAATGAACAATCGCCAACAGGTTACATCACCACCTCAATCTCAATCTCAATCTCAACCTCAACCATTGATGATCAGTCCAACTACAATGTTATCCAATGCCATCAGTAGTCTGAGCTTTGATGAGCGTTGTATACGTCTGTTGAACAACAGCAGCAGTGGAGTAGGTGGTGGTCATCAAGGCTCATCATCATTGCAACGTATAGATCATGGTCGAAGCCACAGTGATGGTGTGTTCTCTCCTCCGTCACACTATCTCACTCATCACATGTTCAACAGCAACTCGATTGGCAACCTTATACATCCGGTCAATGTCAATGACGTCAGTCCTCCATCATCATCATCAATGATCTTTCATCACTATACCACGACTACCAACTCATCAACGTCCGCTGGCACTCTTTCGCCATCATCATCATCAAGTGGTGCAGCTGCATTTACCGCTTCACTCCCTCCAATGTATATACTCGAGCAACAACATCAACAACAACAGCATCCACAGCATCCACAGCATCCACAGCAACAACAACAACAACAACAGAGAATAGATGGTAGTCTACATCATATTATTTCACCGCAGCACGTTGAGCTGCATTCACTTATATCAACTCCCCTGACACAGACGTCAACAACATCAACCACCTCCACATCATCATCATCATTCAACAACAACAATACCAACAACAATGTGTTATACATGCCACCACCAGTCAACGCCAGAGAGAGGATCAATGAGTTTAGAAAGGTACGAGTCATTGGCACTGGATCATTTGGATACGTCTATTTGGTGCAGCACATGATGGACCACAACTACTACGCACTTAAGTGTCTGCTAAAGTCGGATGTGGTCAAGCAGAACCAGGTGGAACACTTGCACTCGGAGAAGTCCATCCTGTCGACCATCCACCATCCATTCATCGTCAATCTCTATCAATCGTTCCAGGACGAATCCCGGATCTACCTGTTGTTTGAGTACGTGGCCGGAGGCGAGGTGTTCAAACACCTGCGCGACGCCCGCGTCTTTTCCAACGACATGGCCAAGTTCTACGCAGCCGAGATAGTGCTGGCCTTTGAATATCTACACAGGAACAATATAGCCTATCGGGATTTGAAGCCCGAGAACCTGTTGATCGACAGCCAGGGACATATCAAGATCACCGACTTTGGATTCGCCAAACGTGTCACCGATCGGACATTCACCCTATGCGGCACGCCCGAGTATCTGGCACCGGAAATCATCCAAGGTACTGGACATGGCAAGGCAGTCGATTGGTGGGCACTTGGCATACTTATATTCGAAATGCTGGCAGGGTATGTTACGAGCATGCATGCGTGTAGTGTGTCCGCATGACTGACATCCAATCAATCCATATAGCTTCCCACCCTTCTACGATGATGATACTCACAATATATATCAAAAGATATTGGCTGGACGTATCGCTTTCCCGGTTCACTTTGATCCTTTGGCCAAAGACCTGGTAAAGAAGTTACTGACAACTGATCGCTCCAACAGACTTGGTGCACTAAGGGTATGTTATGAATGAATGAGTGAATGGATGAATGGATGAATGATTGATTGGATGAATACTTACGCTGACACTCACTCACTCAATCAATCAATCCAATGTCCAATGTGCAGAATGGTGCTCAAGATGTAAAGGAACATCGTTGGTTCGAAGGTATCATCTGGACCAATCTGTACAATAGAACTACACCAGGACCTTTCATTCCAAATATCCAACATGAAGGGGACTCTCATTACTTTGAGCAATACATGCAGGATGACAAGTATGAGGACCCTCCACCAGGTTACGTCGACCCATATCGTAGACACTTTCAAGATTTCTAATCCAAAGACAGAGAAAGGGGAAGAGAAAGAGAGAATAGCAAAGAATACGCCCATCTGTGTCTGAATAGGCAACAACACTCGACTGTCCGACAGACCGACGCCACATACCTCTTGGGAGTGATGGTTTCGATTCTTCAAGTTCACCTTCGGAGGCAGGACTGGACGATGACCACAACACACACAAGTAAAGGTTGGACCAACTCCTTGGCCCTTTGGGAGGCTACTACAACATCATAGTGTCTATGCTCTCCACATCATAACGCGTACATCACGTGAACAAGGCTGTAACCCAAGTCATCAAAATATCTGATGTTTTGATGATCAAAGGCAACGTCCGAACACATAAAAGGCGATCTWTCTTTTGCAAACACTTTGATCGTTCGTTCCATCTGATTGTTTTACAACATATATTGTATCTCTCTCTCCTCTGCACTATCTATCCACTTACTCTCTATCTATCTATTTCCCCTATATACACATATACACATATATACACATATACAATGATGAAGTCAATCATTATCGTTTTGATTGCTTTGGCTACATTGGCCAACGCTTACTACTTGGAGTATGAGAAGGTAAGACTGGTGGACCACACCCCAGTTCTGTCCAATGGTCACACCAACTACCTCTTCAGAGGCAATGAGCCAAAGATCGCTGTCCATGGTAATGATCCCTCCTACCCTACACTTCTGAACCCTTTCCTCTCCTTTCCCCTCTCTCTTCCCTCTCATCTCTCTTTCATTCACCAAAGTAGTAGTTGCACATATTAATCCTATCGACATTATCACTTCCTTGTATCTCTCTCTACTCTCTATCTCTATCTCTACTTCTACCTCTATCTCTACCTCCATTCTATTCTATTCTCCTTCTTGTCTCCCCTCTCTCCCTTTTGTTCCATTCTCTTCTCTTCTCCCACAAACACAAACACAAACACAAACTCAAACACATAAGGCCAGGATGAGTTTGCCTACGACGAGTTGGTTGAGTACATGAGAAACGTTTCAAAGGCTGACGGTGTTATCATGCCAGAGCAATTCTTGATCTATGATATCAAACTGATCTATGGTGTGGCTGAGGAGATGGCCGATGTCCACCTCGAGCAATGGTACTTTGGCAACAACACCGATCACGGAATGTTTGCCATCAACATCACCCTCGGTGACATCACCAACCCAAAGGATATCAGCAAGACTCTCCGTGACAGCATGGCCAAGACACTCCCAGACTGGCAGAAGGATGATTGTAAGTACACTCATTCAATCACATCAGTCTCCAATCAATCAATCACTCACTAATTCAATCATAACTATACACAGTGCCAAGCAGAATGGCAATGTACCGCGACATCCTATACACTCCATATGATCTCCCAATCGCTCTTTACATTCATTGTGAGTGTGGTTGTGATAGAACTGGAGAGGTGTTTGCCTCGTACGTCATGAAGTACTTGGGCTGGGACTACAAGAAGGCTATGGAGTGGGATGATCAGGTTGCTGGTCGTCCAATCCTCCCCAACCATCAATGGTCGGTCCAATGGTACTGCCTCTACCTCTCACTCGGTGAGAAGATGAACATTGATTGCACTGGTGCCTATTAATCATACAATCAATGAATCATATAATTATATAAGTATCTCAATATATAACTCTCCGGAAATTTCAACAACAATATCGAATGTTGGCGCAATCCACTTCACTTTAGATTCACATTCTTTGGGGTATCTCGGTGCCAAACACTCTCATCTCCTTTCAATCATTCCATTCGCGCACGCATAGGGCCTACACGAGCGTTGGACTTTGGCAATCAGCAATATCAAATATCTTTGGATCACTCCAAATGACATGATCAGGCACTTACTGCCGTGTGTGTTGGTAATCAATCAAGTCGGCGATTGGCAGCGTGTGTGTGTATGACATTGTACATACTTTGTGTGTGTTAGTGTCGATGATCATACACGATTGATTGGTTGATTAATTGACATACTTCATTCTTTATATTCATCATATTCATTATATACATATTTATAGTTATTATTACTATGTCGTTAAATAGATCATCATTGTTGTTGGGATTGATTGTCTCTTGTGCTGTTCTGTGTTGCAGTGCAGAGTACTTGGAGTATGAGAAGGTACGTTTGGTTGACACTGCCACCTTCTCCGATGGTACTTCAAACTACTTGTTCAGAGGCAATGAGCCAAAGTTAAAAGTAAATGGTATGTAGCATAGTAGTACATTCACTCGATCAAACTCAATCATTCAAACTAACCATCAATCAATCAACTATTAAGGTGTCGATGAGTTTGCTTATGACACATTGGTAGAGTATATGAAGAAGAATGCCGCTACATTCAATGTTACAATGCCAGACAACTTCTTGATATTCGATATTAAGCTCATCTATGGATGGGCCGATGAGATGGGCGACGTACATATCGAGCAATGGTTCTTTGGAAACAACACCGACAAGGGACAGTTTGCCCGTCAACATCACTCTTGGCGACGTTGTCGACCCCAACCTGGTCGAGGTCAAGATTCGCGACGACATGGCAAAGGATCTGGCTCACTGGCAAAAGGACGACCTGCCCAGCCGCATCCCCTACTACCATCAGCTGCTCAACACCCAGCAGTCTCAGCCCACCGCCTTCTACATCCATTGTGAGTGTGGCTGCGATCGCACTGGCGAGGTGTTTGCCTCGTACGTCATGAAGTACCTGAACTACTCGTTCAACCAGGCCATCACCTGGGACGACAGTGTTGCCGGTCGTATCATCATGCCCAACCATCAATGGGCTGCTCAATGGTACTGTCTCTACATGCAGTTGGTCGAGGGATTGAACATTGATTGTTATAGACCATAAAGGGGTCTTGCCTCAACTAAGACTATGTCTTGCCATTAATAAAGACCAACGATCTAATGTCGTTCGTTTGTTTACTCGATGTATGTTGATTGAATGATTGATTGATTGGCCAATAAATAGTGTCGATGTGAGGCAGTTGATACTGGACTGCCTCAAGGGGATGGGATGTATGAGTACAAGATTGATGAATGATTGATTGAGATTGAATGAATGAATGAGTTATGGACAACCAAAGTAGATGCCATCAGGTCGCAGACAGAAGGGTTCCACTTGTTGGAATTCGCCACAATCATCGCATAGCTTGTCCTTGCAACTTGATTGATAGAGAAGACCATTGACACACTTCATGTTGGTCTTCATGTAGTCAAAGCAGACAGTGTCGGGTGATGCGATCATCTTGAATAGAGTGCCACTACAGTAGCCTTGCGAATAGAAGGAGATCACTGTCATGCCCTTGATCATCTGTTCGACTTGTGTAGAGTTGGCGCACGAGGCCTGCATGCTGTTGCCACCCATCTCGTCGCATTGATTGAGTGTGATGGTCTCCTTGTCCTTTGAGTTCTTGCATTCAGAGTCGCCAAAGTCGACGCGCACAGCCTGCTGATCGCTCTGACAGCTGACCTGTGATGAATGATAGTCATAGTCCATCAAACAGTAGTCTGTCATCACAATGTCTATCTCTCCCAGTTCACTTGGACTGCACGATGATGAGTTATACCATTGACTATAAAAGTATTCATTGTTGTTCTGAGCATCAGTGGCAGCAATGATGCACAATAGTATTGCCAACAGTGTTGTCTTGTACATCATTGTTGTTTGTAGTTGTTGAAGTTGTAGTATTTGTAAGAAGTAGTAGTTCGACGACTTAAGTATTTGTGCAAATCAAAAGATCAACAACTTGAGTGTCTTTGGTTCCAGATCCAAGTCTGTTCCAGAAATGGAAATTTGGGATCTTCTGTTGTGGATCTAGCCAACATTGTTCATTCAATTTATTCATTCATTCATTCATTCAAACATTCATTATTTGTTTGATTAGTACATGTATAGATAGAGATACAAACATATACTGATATTCAAAGATAGTTAGAAAGAACGTGAATCAATCATTGAGTTGAGTTATCAAGGTTGTGAATGAGATGGATCTGAATAAGTTTAGATTTACACCTAGAGGTGATGGTAATGGTAATACTAATGCTAAAGGTACTACTACTACACCAATGAGTGTATCCAATTCAACTTTGACAAAGGCAACTCCTGTTACAACCTCAACAACAACTACGAATACACTGGGTAGGAATACACCTATATCAGGAAATGCAGTTAATATGAAGCAAACTTTGACGACTGGGATAGGTACTAGATTCGGTTCATTGAAGTTATCCACAATGACACCGACGACAACTGGAAATCAGAATAATACAAATAGTTTGGTTACTCCAATGACAAAGAAGAGAATACAACAGGAATTGGATGAGCTTGAGGACTTGGATGATGACTTCTCCACTCCTCATGGTCAAGGAGTTGGAGTAGGTGGGCGAGGATCAACCACTAGCAACAAAATAGTTACCAACAATGCTGGGAGACCGAATATGACTTCTATACCAAAGCAGATCACTTTGGATACCAAGCAATCAACTTCCTCCGCCACTACACCATCCTTGCTAATGAACAATTTGAGGACTCCTACTATACTTCCAACAAAGAATACTCCATCAACATTACCATCTTCAGTTCGTACCAACACCCTCAAGACACCCAAGTCAACAACCGCAGCCGGGTACAACAACCACATCAACAATGAAGACACCATCTCGACCAAAGGACATATTCTATATTGCCATCACGGAGAACCGATCAAGAGAGATCGGATACGCCTCCTACAACACCATCACAGGCGAGATTGAGATTGGACAGTTCTGCGACTCACAAACTTATGTACATTTGTACACCAAGTTATTCATACTCAATGCATCCTTGGTATGTACCAATAGGCGTTCGATCGATCTATATCCTTGCATTGTAACTAACTATTTACAAACAATAGGTGATCACTCCACCAATGGGAGAGGACTCTCAACTGATCAAGATGATCATTAATAGATTTCCAAACATTGAGTTTGCACCAATACCTCGCAAGGTGTTCAGTGAGAACAATGGCATGCTACTGGTTCGACAGTACTCAATACCGGACAAACTCAACCTATTGGAGAGACACATGGAGTCCAAGTATCTTGCACAGGCTGCACTGTCCGCCATCATCAAATATCTAGAGGGAAGCCAAGATATTACGTTTGCCAACGGTTGTGTCAGAGTGAGTATAAGTAACTCATTCATTCATTTATGGACAACTGACCGACTGACTATCCATCCTCAGATACTGTACTCTGGTTCAGAAAGAACAATGCAAATTGATGCTGAGACTATTAGGAACCTGGAACTTGTACACAACTCAATGGATGGAAGCAGAACATGTACATTGTTCTCTTCGTTAAACTACACAAAGACATCACAAGGTTCAAGACTACTAGTTAGCAACATTGTCCAACCTCCAAATGGTATGAATGACTATACATTGTCTCAACCATGTGATCTAACCATGTTTGTTGTACACCATAGACATTGGTACCATCAAGTTGAGACAAGAATCAATCAGAGAGCTACTCAAGAATGAGAGGAACTTCTTGTCTATTGGTCCTGTACTTGCCAAACTCTGTGATCTTGATAAGATATTGGTGTACTTCTCACAGAGGATAGACTTCCACAAGTTTGGAGTAACAAAGATACAAAAGACACTGAAGTCAATCGTAAGTATGATTGATTGATTGATTGGATGTGACCAATTCTAATACTAGTAATACAATCACAGATTGATATCAAGAATACCATTGAGTTGCTACCAAAGTTGAGTTCACATTTGGCAACAGTGGCATCACCATTGATCAAGGCAATATCCAACAACATTACACTACCTGCCATTCAAGATATTAGGAATGAGATCATCAAGTACATCGACGAGAAACCCCTGATTGCTGCCAAGCTCACAATGTCAAACATTGTAAGTTATCACAATGGACACTCAATCACACCTACTAACCATCATTGATGAATAGATTGTCCATTCAATCAAAGGTGGAATCAATGGATTGCTTGATGTATGCAAGAAGGCATACAATGAATCATTGTCTGACATCAATAAGTTGGTGGAGTACTACAAGGACCATTTCAAATTGCCAAACATTAGATTGCATCAGAGCGGCAACAAGGGATATTACCTATCTATACAGTGCAAGAACAAGTCATTGCTACACCTACCATCAATATTCATCGGAGTCAAACACAAGAGTGGAAAGTGCGAGTTCAATAGTGAGGACTTGATATCATTGTCAAGGAGGAACAAAGAGGTGTTTGAGGAGGTACTCATGTTGACCTCACTATCGGTTGGATCATTGGTGGACTACATGCGAGATCGTATCTCAATCCTATACAATGTCTCTGAATCAATCGCATTGTTGGACTATATCTACTCATTATCAACGTTCGTCTCAATGAATGATTGTGGTAAGTAACATACTAAGTGGAGTTGGAGTTCATACTAACTTGATTGATTGGATAGTATGTCCACAGTTCTATGAGAAGGGACCAATTGCCATCAAGAAGGGTTGTCATCCTTATAGGCTACAATCAAACAAGAACAATATGCCTGGATCGGCCTTTGTTGCTGTAAGTATCGAGCTGACTATTGATGGAAGAGTCATTAATGACTAACATTGATTCATCATAGAATGATACTCTTCTCACTGAGACATCATACTTCCAGATGCTCAATGGTCCAAACATGGTAAGTATCTTCATTTAACGTCATTCCATTCAAACATAATATCAATTATTCAATCAATCAATCAGAGTGGCAAGACAACATATATTGAACAGGTGGCACTGTTGACTATTATGGCTCATATTGGTAGTTATATTCCAGCTCAGTTTGCATCACTACCAATCGGTATGTATCATATCAAACAAAGGAATGATTGATTGATTACTAATAATCATCAATATAAAGTGGATAAGATTATCAGTAGGATAGGTACATCAGATAATCTACAATCCAATGCCAGTACGTTTATGACAGAGATGACAGAGATTTCATTTATATTGGAATGTGCCACCAACAAGTCTTTGGTCATTGTAGATGAACTTGGAAGAGGAACATCCAACATCGATGGTTCCTCAATTGCCTGGGCAATCAGTGAGAAGATCGCAACAATCGGTTGCTTTACACTCTTTGTGACTCATTACAAGGGTAAGTAAGTCCATTGCATTGCACGGACCAGCAACTGACTCATGGTCATCGTGTAGAATTGTTGTCAATGACATACATGTACCCAACATTTAGGAACTATCACATGAATGTATCCAAAGAGGATGATGTACTGAAGTACTTGTACACCTTTAGTGAGGGTGTAACACAGATATCAAACTATGGTATTGATATTGCAGCCATTGCTGGAGTGGATGATGATGTTGTACAACATGCTAGATCCATCCGTGAGCATCTTGACGATCAGACCTTGCTATCCAAACAATTCCAAACTGATCATCCATCCAAGTCTGCCTTTGACCTCGTACAGAAGCTATTGAACCTTGAGCACTCCAACCTCAGCGACAAGCAACTCGAGACCTACATCAAGACTCTCAAAGAGCAATACCGATATGTAGATGGTGGTCCAACTTCAATGCACTTTGATACACAAGACTCCTGAGCCAATCAATCAAGTTGAATGAACTCTTTCTTGTTGTATGTTGTATGTGATGGTCACATTGTTTGATGTTGATTGTAAGGCCTTTATGTCCCAGGTAACCACACTCGAATGAGTCGGTTTGATCATTCTTGCACAGGGTCTTGTCTGTTTTTGGTTGGGTCAGATCGCGATTTGACTTAGAATGCATGCAAAACAGCATCTTCTTCCAATCCATATACACTCCATTCATCTTAGTTATACAAGTTGTTCAACAACCAACAACAACACTTGTTATACATATCTACTATTACAACAACACTACCATTACAACAACAGAACAACAAGGGATCATACATTCATTCAATCACACAACCTCATCATCATCATCATCAATCAAATAAGATCCCTAAAGACAAGTCATTGGAGAACAAACTATGACAAGCACTCCTTCAAATGGCAATCACAGCAGCAGCAGCAGCAGCAATGTGTTTGTTGAGGGCACTGCAGTATGGGTACCGGATGCTCAGTTGGAATGGGTCGCAGCAGATGTGATGTCAGTGTCGGAGAATGAACTGAGCGTCATGGTACGAATAAGGGATGATGATAGAGAGTTGTCATTCCATCGCGATAAAGTATTCTTGCAGAATCCCGAGATACTTGAGGGCATCGATGATTTGGCTGGCCTGTCTCATCTGCACGAAGCGGCCATCCTGCACAACCTGCATCATCGATACAACATCAATACGATCTACACATACATTGGTAAGATCCTCATTGCCATCAACCCATATACATCACTGCCGCTGTACGGACGCGAGATGATCTCTGCCTACTATGGCAAACAGCTGGGCGCGCTCGAGCCGCACGTCTACGCCGTGGCCGAGGACGCCTTCAAGGACATGCGTTACGACGGCTCTAGTCAATCGATTCTGGTCAGTGGCGAATCTGGTGCCGGCAAGACCGAGACCACCAAGTTCCTGCTTCAATACTTTGCTGCCATGGGCAACATGATCAAGACCAGTGGCAGTGCCTCCAACCTTGCCGACACTCTTCGCAAGTCCACCACAGACAAATCAATCGAGGAGCGTGTTCTCGAGAGCACTCCCCTGCTCGAAGCATTTGGAAATGCCAAGACACTTCGCAATGTATGTTGGTTGGCGTCAACATCAATGCCAAGCTCGTGACAATCACATGTTCACTCATCACTCAATCAATCACAACAGGATAACTCTTCTCGATTCGGCAAGTTCATAGAGATACACTTTAACGACTCTGGCTCCATCATTGGTGCCAAGATCCTCACCTACCTCTTGGAGAAGTCTAGACTGGTCAGACAGGTCTTCAATGAGAGGAACTACCACATCTTCTATCAGGTAGGTTCATCAACATCATGATGGGACACACAAGGACGCGAATCGACGAAACTGACCCAACAACTCATTCATAGTTACTTGTTGGAGCCTCAGACGAGATGAGAGAAAGACTATTCCTTGGTAGTCCACAGGACTATCACTATCTTAACCAAAGCCAATGCTTTGAGATTGAAGGCGTTGACGACGATGCAACATTTTTGAAGACCTGCCATGCAATGTCAGTGGCGGGCATATCGATGCAGGAGCAAGAGAACGTATTCAAGATCATCAGTATAGTTTTACATCTTGGAAACATCGAGTTTGTCGATCAGGGCGATGACAGCAGCAGCATTGGACAGGATGAGCCGCTTGAGAAGGCAGCCACACTCATTGGCTGTCCAAAGGAGGAGCTGGCCAAGACATTCCTGACGCGCAAGGTCGTCACGGGCAAGGAGTCATTCGTCGCCACCAACACAAAGGAGCGTGCAGAGAATGCCCGAGACTCGTTGGCCATGCTGTTATATGGCCTGATGTTTGAGTGGCTCGTGGTCAAGATCAACTCGTCCATGTCGGTGCAGCAGAAGTCCAAATCCTTCATTGGCATTCTGGACATCTACGGCTTTGAGTCGTTCGAAGTCAATGGCTTTGAGCAGTTCTGCATCAACTATGCCAACGAGAAGCTGCAACAGGTGTTCAATCAGCATGTGTTCAAGGAGGAGCAGCAAGAGTACATCAAGGAGAAGATCGACTGGTCTTACATCGACTTTAATGACAATCAGGACACGCTGGACCTCATCGAGAAGCGTCCAATGTGTATCCTCTCACTGCTGGACGAGGAGTCCATGTTCCCCAAGGCCACACCACAGACCTTTGCCACAAAGCTCTACTCCAAGCTGGCGTCACATGTCAAGTTTGAGAAGCCTCGTTTCTCCCATACAGCCTTCACTGTGCAGCATTACGCCGGTAAGGTCACCTACGAGACTGACCAGTTCCTGGACAAGAACAAGGACTTTATCATTCCAGAGCAGATCGCCGTACTCCAAAAGGCCTCGTTCGCCTTCATCAAGACAGTGCTGGGAGGCAGTGAGCGATTGGGCGCCGGCGGCCCACAACCATCCAACAAGCAAGCGTCAGCATCAGCATCATCCTCAATGAAATTCTCCTCCGTTGGCTCACAGTTCTCTGCGTCACTGGCAACATTGATGAAGACGATCGGCACGACCACTCCACATTACATCAGGTGCATCAAGCCCAACCCCGACAAGCAGCCACAGAACTTCAACAAGCACGACGTCATCCACCAGCTGCGTTGCGGTGGTGTCATGGAGTCGGTAAGGATCTGTTGTGCTGGCTTCCCCACACGTCGTCCTCTTGGCGAGTTCTACGCGCGCTACAAGCTGCTCTACACCAAGTCACAGACGAAGCGCGGTGCCGCCAAGGATCCACGCACTCAGGTACAGACCATGCTCGAGGGTATCCAACTCTCGGATGACAAGTACAAGCTGGGTATCTCCAAGGTATTCCTGCGTGCTGGTCAACTGGCTGCACTGGAGAACCAACGCATGGGCAAGCTCAATCACAGTGCCACAGTCATCCAATCATTCTGGCGCGGTTATCATTGCCGCAAGCAGTACAGACTTCAAAGGTCCGCCGCCCTGGTCATTCAAACGCGCATCCGAGCACAGATGGCCAAGAACAAGATGCAGTTCATGAGGAGGATCAACGCAGCCACACTCATACAGAAGGTGTTCCGCGGCTACAGGTGTCGCAACGCCTACAAGAAGAGGTTGAACAGTGCCAAGCTACTTCAATGTGCCATCAGGAAGTCAGTGGCCAAGTCTGTTATGCAGGTGGAGATGTTTGAGCACGCAGCTATTCAGTTGCAGACTGTGATCAGAGCCGCCACGGCCAAGAAGAAGCTGAAGAGCAACATCCGTGGCATCATTCTCATACAGGCAAAGTGGAGAGGAAAGATGGCACGCAAGCTTTACAGCGAGATGAGAGCAGAGGCGCGCTCACTGCGCTCCGTGCAAGATGCCAAAAACAAGCTGCAGGAGAAGCTGGAGGAGATACAATGGCGACTCACCGCAGAGCAGCGTGGCAAGCAACATCTGGAGGAGACCAAGCAACGACTGGAGGTCAAGCTCGATGAGGCCACTGACGCCAAGGACCGTCTGGAGATGCAGGTGTCAGACCTGCAGCATCGAGCAACAAAGTTCGAAGCGGGTAACAAGGCTTTGGAGGCCGAGGTTGCCACGCTTGGCACGAACTTACAAGAGAAGACACAGCAACTGGAGCAAATGACATCGGACAAGAAGCGTCTAGACGTTGAGCGTTCAGAGTTGCTCACTCGCACACAAAACAATCAGGTCCAGATCGAACAGATGAGCAGCGAGCTCAAACAGGAACATGAGGACAATGCTCGACTATCAGAGGAGTTGCGCGTTCACAAGGCAGAGACAAGTGATCGCATCAAGTCACTCGAGTCACAGCTGGCGGCCAAGTCGCACGAGCTTGAGGTGTATGCCCAGGAGCTCACCAGCACCAAGAAGAAGCTGGACCGCGTTGAGGAGAACAATCTCACTCTCAACAGTCTCAAGGACACGCTGCAGAGCTCGTTCAATCAGTTGGTTGAGGAGAATGGCGACATCAAGGAGCAAGTCGCCAAGTCGAATGAGACCAATGTGCGTCTGGAGACTGCCAGCAAGATGCTCGAGACAGAGCTCGCCCGCCTGAAGGAACTTTCCGACCGCCTCGAGCGTCAGCTCGACGAGACGACCAAGAAGTACCAACAGGAGCAGATGCAATGGAAGATGACCGAAGAGTCCACAAAGCTTCAGATTATCTCATTGAACAGCAATGCTGAGGACCTCAAGTCCAAGCTACAGCAGAAGGACACACAGATGGGAGAGATGTCGGAGAAGTTCAAGAAGATCAAGAACAAGCTGGAGTCGGTGCAGGAGGACAAAAAAGCTACCACTGGCGACTATGACAAGGTCAAGGCTATCAAGCAGGCGCTCGAGGAGGAGAAGAACCAGCTCAACCAACAAATCACAATAATCAAGCAAGAGAAGGACCAGTCAGTTTCCAACAATCAGCAACTCAAGGAGAAGCTGTCTAACACCAAGAGCACCCTAGAATCCACACTCAACGAGGCTAGCAGGCTGAGAAACGATATTGCCGCTAAGGATGAGCAGGTCAGCAGGATGAACACTGAGCTTCAAGAGCTCAGAGTAACCTCGCTAAGACAGGCCAAGGAGCTGGTGGATGTGTCGTCCACACTGCAGATCGAGAAGACCAAGGGAGAGATTGCCATCACACAGAACGAGCGACAGATCGACAGTCTGAAAGCTGACGGCGACAGACTCCAACAGCAGCTAAAGCAATCAGAGCGCGACCTGTCTAATGCCCGCGAGACCACTGGCCGACTCGAGTTGGAGATCAAGCAGCTGAACAATCTAAAGGAGAGATTCGAGAGCGAGTTCTTTGTGGCAAAGGAGAAGAGCACGACCACTGCACAGGAGTCACTCTATCTCAAGGAGGTCACCTCGCAGATGCAGCAGAGTCAGGACCGCCTGGAGAAAGAGTCGCTCGAGAGGAAGCAAATGGTGGAGCGCTTGGAGGACGAGAAGGACCTGCTCAAGAAGCAGGTGGAGAAGTTGACCATCCAGGGCGATCAGACTGCCCTGCAGCTACAGACCACTCAGATGCAGATGGAAGCTGCCACCAAGAAGAGACATGAGAACAAGGAGAAGGTAACCAAGCTGAGCGCACAGCTCGAGCAACTCAACACAGACCTTGCCCAACTCAAGAACAACAATGCCACGCTTCAGTCCAGTCTGGCCGAGGCAGACATGGAGCGAAAGAAGCTCAAGGACAAGAGCTCAAAGACCAAGCAACAGTACCAGGAGCTCAGGGAGACGAGTGTCAAGCAAGAGACCGAGCTGACAATGACCAAGAGCAAGATGGAGTGGGTCGAGAACTCGTATGGCGAGCTCAAACAGAGGAACCAAGATTTGTCCGAGCTGTACCAGATGGCCAAGTCACAACATGGTGGTCAGGCGACCGAATGGGAGAGGATCAAGGAGGCCAAGGACGAGGAGCTGCAACAACTGCGCAGTCAGGTACAGGTGCTCAAGGATGGCCAGGCATCGCAGGAGAATGTGCAGAAGGAGAGGAGTGGGGAGTTGGAGAGCAAGCTGCTGAGCATGCAAGAGGAGATCCTTCGCATGTCCACCGCCAACAAGCAGCTTGAGGAGCAATCGTCAAGTCTTACGAGCCAGCTGCAGGAGCAGCGTGTCGAGAACCAGGGCCTCAAGCAACAGGCATTCGAGTACAAGAAGAACAATAGGAAGTCGATTGAGGTGCAACAGTTCCTCGAGGATACAAAGAGCAACCAACTCAATGAGATACAGACGTTGAAGAACACAATCGAAGAGTTGCGACTGCAACAGGCCGCATCATCCGAGTGGCAGATGGAGCGTGAGCGCATGGCCAAACAGATCGAGCAGTTGATGCGAGAGCGTCAACAGACCGACATGTCCAGACAACAGATGGCCACTCGCTTCAGCGAAGCATCTTTCAGACTGGGCTCACTGGGCCGTCTCGAGGAGATAATGGACCGCAAGGAGAACGACTGGGAGAAGCTCGCGCGAAGCGTGGGCAATCAGGAGAAGCAGACCAGACTTCTGAGCGATTACCTGCTGTCCTGCAAGCTGGAGCACTCGACGCTCGCCGGACAGATGTGGTTCCACCAGATCACCTATTGGCAGGCATTCGAGATTGAGAGCTCCAAGATCTTCAAGGGCATCATCATGTCGATCGCCAGCTTCTCACACACGCACTTTGAAGACATTGATCTGACCAGTTACCTGCTGGCCAGCAGCTCGTTGCTGCTCTATGTCTTCCAGAGCAAGCTCCCCAAGGGCAGTGTGGCCATCACCGCGAGCATCCCAACGATGGCCGAGTTGGAGGACATTGAGACATCACTGGACACAATGCCATCAATGGCTGGCAATCAGTTCATCATCCATTTGCAACAGTCCATTGGTAGATCATATGGCTTGTTGTTCAGCATCGTAACAACTCGTCTGCAATCAATCATAGACTCTGTTATCTTGAACGAGAACTATAACAAGAAGACAGCGGCCAATGGTGCGAGCAGCAATTTGAACAGCATCGAGATGCTCACCAACTACCTGCAATCAGTCATTGGCGTGTTCCAGCCACGAATGATCCACTTTGAGCTGTCACAACAGTTCTTCAACCAAGTTTTCTCATGGATGTCCGCTGTGATACTGAACGCCTTCTTCCTGCGCTCGGTGTTCTGCACGGAGCCATTTGCCAATCACACCAAGGCACGCATCGACACGCTGCTGAGGTGGGCCAATGAGACTGGCGACGTATGGGTTGGCAACGTGGACAAGTCATTCGACATGATCAAGGAGGTGATTGCCGTGCTCACGATCAAGGACAAGGAGAAGCTGGCCGAGGAGAAGGTGCGCAAGCAGACCTGTCCCAGTCTGAACCCCTACCAGCTGAGACAGGTGCTGGCGCACTACAATCCCGGCGAGAATGGCTTTGGCAAGAAGGTCACGGCCAAGACTATCACATTGATCTGTCCACCAAGTCGTCCATCTGCTCCATACGTAGTGGATGAGAAGAAGCTCAACTACATACCAATCAAATCGTTGCATTACTATGAGGATCAAGACATCAAACATATCTCATTGCCAGGTTCAATCAAATTCTCCATTGAGAATGAGATCAAGACAATCATTGCACAATGCAATCAAGAACAACAACAGAGGCAACAACTTCAATTACAACAGCAGCAGCAACAACAGCAACAACAATAAAGGTGTCGTGTCGTGTCATTGTAATTGTATTGACATTTGATTGATTGATAACAACGAACTACATTAAATAGATATTCAAAGATTGATCTTGGAGTTCAAGATGGGGGTCTGAATTTGACCTTGATCTGTTCATAAGAATGAAAACCCTTGGTGTGTGAGACAAAAGAAGACTTTCGCACCAAAGTGGATCGACACCATCAAGCCCAAACACAATGCAATCATCACATCCAACCAACACACACACAAATAACATCAACCACCCTGGACTCACATGTGACCTTCAGAAGCACTCCATGCATTCAGGCAACGGCAACTAGAGCATACTTCAGACATTGATCAAGGCCTTCGATAGAACCAAACGACTGCCAGTCACTCACTCCCTCTCTCTCTCTATGCACATCAATCAATCAATCATTCAATCAATCACTGGGTGGGTGTCACAGAACTGGACATTATGCAGCCAGGGATTTCCAGCTAGCTTAGAGGTTGTGAAACGTATGAATGTGTGCTAGGCAGTAATGAATGAAGATGAATGAATGAATGAATGTAAGACACCCATCTCGATGGAGACCACCAACTAACAAGGCCACAAGTTATTTAAAGAACAACCTTATTGTCCATTGATTGAATCAATCTAAATCATTCACTTTGCTTAATATCATTCATTCATTCATTCAATGACACTCTATTGTACTTATTATTATCTGTAGTAGTATCATAGTATAACTAAAGTCAATCAATCAACTCAATTATCAATCAATATTATTATCAGATCTCCGATCAAATATCTCAATAACAAAGAGAGAGAATGACTGGACATAATAATGATAATAGTATCACACCAATGTCTGTTGAAATAGACATGAAGCCATTGGGCGGTGGAGATGAGGGTGCCTCTGGAGAGCTCTCAATAAATTTACCATCATCCTCGTCGCCAGATGGTGGAAATGACAATAATAATAATGGAAGACCACTGTCAAGTAGTTTGGAGTTGCCACGCGAAACCACTGAGGTCAACATCAGATCAGTGACAACCACCACCAACTCGAATGACTATCGCAAGTCATTCAGAACGCCACTGCGTCGCCAACTCTTTGACGCACCCACAGGAGAGGAAATTGACAAGGCTCGCGCCAAGGAAGAGAACTACAGGAAGACCCTCGAGCGCAAGAAAGAGGGACAGAAGCCCATCCAAGCCATCCTCGAGGAGCTCAAGGCCAACTCCAATGGTCTGACCAATGCCGAAGTTGCAGAGAGGTATGTATTTTGCTCCCTTTGAGTGATCATTCATAACTAACTCAATCAATCGTTCCAGGACCGCACAATATGGACCAAACCAGATTCCAGATGTCAAGAGATACCCTATTCTAGAGTTCTTGTCATTCATGTGGAATCCATTGTCATGGACAATGGAGATTGCCGCTATTGTATCGATTATCTTGTTGGACTATGCCGACTTTGCCCTGATCTGTGGTCTGTTGTTGATGAACGCCACAATTGGTTACTTTGAGGAGCATACTGCCGGTAACGCCGTCGAGGCATTGAAGAACTCACTGGTGTCCAGCTCAAGAGTACTGCGAGAGGGCAAATGGGAAGCGGTACCGAGCACGACGCTGGTACCTGGCGATGTGATCATGCTCAAGATAGGTGCTGTCATCCCTGCCGACTGTCGTGTGATGCAGTGCGAGGCCGTCAAGGTCGACCAGTCATCACTGACAGGCGAGTCCCTACCCGTCAACAAGAACGTCGGCGATGAGGTCTACTCCGGCTCATCAATGAAGCAAGGTGAAGCCACCTGTGTTGTCACCTCCACTGGAGTCAACACCTTCTTTGGTCGTGCTGCCAACCTCGTCCAGGAGACCGAGAGCCACGGACATCTCCAGATCGTCCTGCGAAACATTGGTGTGTTCTGTATCACCTTCATCGTCGTTTGGGTCATCATCGAGCTGGTCGTCCAGTTTGTCGCACGCAAGGCACCCTGCAGCGGCATCCGTGACTGTGAGACCATCAGCAATGCCCTGGTCCTGTTGGTGGGTGGCATTCCAATTGCCATGCCTACTGTGCTCTCTGTGACAATGGCCATTGGTGCCACTCAGCTGTCCAAGAAACAGGCCATCGTCTCTAGACTGACTGCCATCGAGGAGTTGGCCGGCATGGACATCCTGTGCTCCGACAAGACCGGCACACTCACCCTCAACGTGCTCACAGTTGACACTCCAATCTGCTTTGGCGGTGCCACAGTTGAGGAAGCAGTGTTTGCGGCCTACCTGGCGTGCTCTGAAGGAGATGACCGCGACGCCATCGATGTGGCCACCACCAACTATGCCCACGAGAACTTCCAATCACTCAACTACGCCGAGCACAAGATCATCAAGCATTACCCATTCAACCCAGTCGACAAGAAGGCCATGGGACTGGTCGAGGGTCCAGAGGGCAAGCAATACAAGACGGCCAAGGGTGCCCCACAGATCATCCTGGACCAATCATACAACAAGGGCGAGCTGGGCGACGACATTAACAAGGCCATCGACGACTTGGCCGAGCGTGGATACAGATCACTGGGTGTGTCGCGTGCAGATGATGCGCCAGAGTTCAAGAACTGGAGATTCATTGCGTTAATTCCCTTGTTTGATCCACCCCGCCACGACACTGAGGACACCATCAAGCGTGCCCTTGAGATGGGTGTGCGTGTCAAGATGATCACTGGTGATCAGTTGGCCATCGCCAAGGAGACCGCACGTCGTCTAGGAATGGGTGGCAACCTGTTCACCGTGCCATCACTCAAGAACAATGACCTGGGCATGAAGGGATCCGACCTGATCGAGATGGCCGATGGTTTCGCCGAGATGTGGCCAGAGCACAAGTACAAGGTCGTTCACTCGTTGCAGAAGCGCAAGCACGTCGTTGGTATGACTGGCGATGGTGTGAACGACGCACCCGCACTCAAGAAGGCCGACATTGGTATCGCTGTCGCTGGCGCCACCGATGCTGCCCGCTCCGTATCCGACATTGTCCTGACCTCTGCCGGTCTGAGTGTGATCATTGACGCCATCATCTCATCGCGTAAGATCTTCCAGCGTATGAGGAACTACGTCATCTACTCTGTGTCGGCCACCGTGAGAATCTGTCTGACCTTTGGCATCCTTACCATTGGCTGGGGCTTCCTCTTCCCCACGCTGGCAACTGTCATCATCGCCATCTTAAACGACGGTACCATGCTCACGATCGCCAAGGATCGTGTGAGACCCAGGAACACACCCGATCGCTGGGACCTCAAGGAGATCTTCATCATGGCGCTGTCCTACGGCGTGTACCTGATGGTGTCCTCGATCGTCTTCTTTGCCATTCTCAACAACTCGACCTGGTTCCAAGACCACTTTGGCCTCGTCAAGCTCACTGCCGACGAGCTGCGTGGCATCATGTACCTGCAAGTGTCCATCAGTGGTCTGGCGACGATCTTTGTGTCGCGTTCACAGGGCTTCTGCTACTTTGAGCGTCCAGGCGCACTCATGTCCATCGCCTTTGTGCTGAGCCAGGTCGTGGCCACATTCATTGGCGTGTACGGCTTCAATGGCTATCCACACAATGGCCAGACCGACTTTAGAGGCTGTGGCTGGGGCTATGCACTTGCCACATGGATCTGGTGCATCATCTGGTTCATCCCAATGGACTTTATCAAGCTGGCCATCACCAGAATACTTCGTGGTGATGTCAAATTCCACAACAAGGCCTACCATCGCAACCTCGGAGGATTCTTCAGGAAGGGCAAGAAACCAGTTGGTTCAGCCAATCAGCTCTAAAGATCATGCACATGCATTGTCCACAAAAGGAAAGAAATGTATTAATTAAAGTTATATTATAACAACACCATCATTGTTATAATCTACAAATATTATTGTTGACTTAATTCAGTCAATGTGTCGTCCGATGATCAACTTTTGGTCCATCAGTTTTTGAATCAAAATCAAAAAATATCCCATTTTTTGGAGTTTCTTCTTTTTCCTTTGAATCCTCATGAAAGAGGAGATGTTGCTGACCACCTTGCACTCAACTAATAAGTCTGGTCAAAGTCATACTCTCATTCATTCATTTGTATTTGTATAACATAACTTTATATATATCTCTTTTTATTATATATATATATATAACTTGTTCTGATATAGTCTATCAAACAAACTAATTTAATATGTTTGAGAGAACTTTAGCAGACCTCGTTAGAGGCATTCGTAATCACAAGAAGAATGAGGAGAAGTTCATCAGCACCTGCATTCAAGAGATCAAACAAGAGTTGAGAGGTGATATGACCAAGAAGACATTGGCCGTCCAGAAGTTGACCTATGTATGATTCATTCAATCATTCATTCAATCAATCATTCAATCAATCATATAACTAACAAACAACAAACATATATAGCTTTCAATGTTAGGATATGATATTGGATGGGCATCATTCAATGTTGTCGAGGTGATGAGCAGCATTAAGTTCTCATCAAAGAGAATTGGTTATTTGGCAGCATCACAGTCATTCAATGAAGGTACTGAGGTCATTACATTGGCCACCAACCAGATTAGGAAGGACTTCTTGTCACAGAACCAATACGAGGCATACCTCGCATTGAACTGTCTGTCAAACATCTGTACACCAGACCTCGCACGTGACTTGGCCAACGATCTCGTCACACTCATGTCCACCCAAAAGACACACATCCTCAAGCGCTCCATCACCGTCATGTACAAGGTGTTCCTGCGCTACCCCGAGTCACTAAGACCAGCATTCCCCAAGCTCAAGGAGAAGCTCGAGGACCCAGAGCCATCAGTTGTATCCTGTGCAGTGAACGTGATATGCGAGCTCGCAAGGAAGAACCCAAAGAACTACCTTACCCTCGCACCAGTACTCTTCAAGATATTGACAAACAGCACGACCAACTATTGGATGTTCATCAAGATTGTCAAGTTGTTCGCCGCGTTGATCCCACTCGAGCCTAGACTCGCCAAGAAGTTGGTCGACCCACTGACCAACATCATCAACACCTCGTCGTCCATGTCTCTCCTTTTCGAGTGCATCCAGACCTCGATCACTGGCATCAGCGACAACATCCCCCTGATGAAGCTCTGTATCTCCAAGCTCAGAACGTTGATTGAGCACCACGACCCCAACCTCAAGTACCTGGGTCTGCTCGCTCTGAACAACATCATGAAGATCCATCCCAAGGCCGTGTCGGAGCACCGCGAGCTCGTGCTCAACTGTCTCGACGACGAGGATATGTCGATCCGTGTTCGTGCACTCGACCTGCTCTCAGGAATGGTCAACAAGAAGAACATCCACGAGATTGTCATCAAGCTGCTCAACCACATCGAGACGTCCGAGGGCACATACAAGGACAAGATCGTCGAGAAGGTCATCGAGCTCTGCTCGCTCGGCACCTACCAGTACATCACCGACTTTGAGTGGTACATCAACGTGCTCTGCAAGTTGTCCGAGATCACCGAGACCCTGCACGGCAAGCTGATCGCCTCGCAGATCCTCGACGTGGTGATCCGTGTCAAGGTGGTGCGTGCCTACGCCGCCAAGGCCATGATCAACCTGCTCAAGAACCCCAAGCTGATGGCCAATCCCAAGGAGGACGGCATCTGTGAGGTGTTGTACGCCGCCGCCTGGATCGTTGGAGAGTTTGCCAACTACGTCAACGAGCCACTGGCCTCACTCGAGGCCTTCTTGCAGCCCCGTGTCTCTGTCTTGCCCGCCCACATCCAGAGCGTGTACATGCAGAACACTCTCAAGATCTTTGCCCACGCTATCGCTTCGGCCAGCAGCGAGGACGTTGCTGTCGACTTCTCCGAGCAGACCACCACCTTTGAGGTCGAGCCAATCTCCCAAGAGACCGTGGATCAGTGCGTCAACGTGCTGCAGACCAGACTGCCCCTGTTCACCCAGAGCATCCACATCGACGTTCAGGAGCGCGCTTGTCTTGTCAATGAGATCTTGAAGTTCTACCTCACCACCAAGGACCAAGGCACCAACATTGCCAGCGAGCTCGTCTCTTTGTTCACCGAGGCACTCAACCCAGTGGCACCAAAGGCTCAGCGCAAGGTACCAGTACCCGAGGGACTGGACCTGGACGCTTGGATCAACGATCCCAAGCTGCAAGAGATGGAGGAGAGCGACGAGTCAGACAGCGAGATCTTTGGCAAGTACGCCGACTCGGACGATGAGACCGCCTCCAACAAGTCATTCAACAAGGACGACTTGGAGAAGCAGAAAGAGGAGAGACTCAAGAGACAGGCAAACAACCCATACATGCTTGGCAACCGCGGTTCAGCCAAGTCATCGCCTCACATGGACCCAGATGAGCCCACTCACATTCCAGTGGCCAAGCTCCCAGAGAACTTGGGACCAGTCATTGTTGGAGGACGTCTTGACTCGCTCGAGAAGAAGAAGACCTCAAGGAAGAAGCAGCAGGTGTTCAACATTGACACCACCACCGAGATGCCTGAGGGCGCCAAGGATTCGGACAGCGAGGAGGATCGTCGCCAGAAGGCCAAGACCGATGCACTGAGTGCCATCAGCTTGGATGAACCATTGAGCGCCAGCGACGTGCTACCCGTCAACCGTCATCGCACCGATATCATCAGAGACCGTGAGCGCGAGAGAGAGGCCGCCGATAGAGCCAAGAAGCAGGCCAGCAGACAGGCACCAAACTACACTGAGCTCACATCACCAGAGGTGAAGGGTCCACGTGGAGCCGATGGAAAGAGAACAAAGAAGGGTGCCAAGGGTGCTGCCGCTGGCGAGCAAAAACCAGCTGCACCAGCTGCCCCCGCCAAGAAGCCATTGACCTTTGTACCAGTTGCCAACCTCTCAGAGAACGAGTTCTTCACCATCACCAACGACTTGCGCGCTGGTGACAACCCACAACAACTCAAACTTACACTCAAGCTGCTGAACAAGAGCGACGAAGACATGTCCGATGTGAAGCTGGTCGTCACACCAACCGAGGGAGTGACCGTCAACAACACAGAGAACGATGTTGGTGTGCTCGAGGCTGGATCCTCGACCGTCGTCAACCTTGTGCTCACCGTTTCCAACATCATCAATGCCGGCCTCCACAACGTGGCCTTTACACTCACCGCCACCCCATCATCCTCGCCCGACGTCAGCGTCACATTCGAAGTGTCCACTCCCATCCAGCTGTTCATCGTCGGCGTCAAGCTGTCCAAGGACAAGTTTGCCGAGATACTCCAGAAAGAGTCTGCCCAGCTGTTCCCCAGCTCGGTCAAGGTTCCAGGCGTCGCACTCCAGGTTTGCATCGATCGTCTGCACGAGCGCATGCAGTTCGAGGTGGTGCAGATGCATGCCTCTGGATCCACCGTGTCGTTCTATGCCAAGACGACAGCGTCACAGCACATTGCCATGTTGGTCAAAGAGAGAGATGGCGTGGCCTGTTTCGATGTCAAGTCCTCTGACGCACAGCTGTCTGGACTCGTGACCAAAGAGATCAAGGCTCTCTTTGCCTAAAACAAGCGATTGTAAGATGATACCGTTCATGACTGACACAAGTTGTAGTAGTTGTAGTAGCAGCATGCACTGGTAGTAGTAACCATCTATCCCCTTTGCATTGGACTTTGCCAACACCATCATCACACATCCCTCCGTCCACACACACACACACCGTGTCGTTCTTCCTTATCCATCAAAAAACATGGACCAACACAACAACAATAAAGTTCAAAACAAACTCCTCGACCCAATCCCTTGAAAAAAGACCATAAAAAGGAATAAGTTTGATTTAGAACGGTGGTGTGTGGGGGGAGTGCTCCCCTCATTGAGCACACACAATACACACAGACACATTCACCTTATCCTCAAAAGGGGTAGTTGGTTGTGTACATATATGTACATAAACATTCATCTCTTCTCTCTCTCTTTCTCTCTCTATCGCAATAAATAGATAATTGAAAAACATACACACATACAAGTAGTAGGGGTGTTTGTAGTTAATTCCAAACAGCACACACTCAACAGAGATTAATTATTTGATGTAGGTTGTTGGACTGAATAATACCCCTCTCACTCAGTCACCGAGCGAACAATCAATCAATCAATCTATACCAAGGTGATCACTTGTCATCATCATCATCAACATCAACATCATCATCACAATCAACAATATCATACCCACACACATCGGGTGTAAACAAACCAACAAACAAACAATAATTATACAACTACTACGACCCTAATTAATCAATGCAAGAACAAGATGAATAATGATGTACTCACACACACTTCACTTTACAATCAATACCCTGGATGGCCTGGTATATCGTTGATTGACCAATCTCATCATTTAGATTCTTCTTTCCAAAGACATACACTCAGATAGAGATAAGAAAAGAAAAGAGTGTATTTATTATTTATATAAATACTATGTACAGAGTCTAAATCACAAGACGACAAAATAACAAAGATAAATAGACAACACTCCATCCTCACCTTGGGTCAGCAGCAGCATCAGCGACATCCAGCAACCAGCATAATACATACCACCCACACACACAAGGACAGGAGTAAATAGATGTCCCAAGAAGACAACTGGAAAATGAAAATGACAACTGGATCTAATCAACAAGCGACAGAGAAGGCGAATAGTACAACAGGGGGAGGCGACGGTGAACATCACCACAATGGAGATAATATAATTAGAAAGAGGAGAGGCGCCATCAGTAGTGAGCCACTCGGCGACAAACCCGTTGGAACCATCACAAACGTGCCAAAGTCGGGTGAGACACAGCAGCGTTTGCAACAGGCGCTGCAAAAGAACATCCTATTCAATCATCTGGAGGAGGAGGAACGCAACTCTGTGTTTGCCGCAATGTTTGAGGTCAACTATAAGGCTGGCGATGTAATCATACGTCAGGGCGACAAGGGTGACAACTTCTACGTCGTGGACATTGGCCAATGCGACATCTATGTGAACCAACAGAATCAACCACCACTCCACGTAATGGATGTTTACGAAGGCGGTAGCTTTGGTGAGCTGGCTTTGATCTATGGTAGTCCAAGAGCTGCAACAGTAATTGTAAGTTATGTTGTTGTAGGCCCTGCCCCTGACCCTCTCACTAACTCAACAACTACAACTACATTAGGCAAGAACAGATTGTAGACTTTGGGCCATTGATAGGATATCCTATAGAACAATCTTGATGGACACTACAATGAGAAAGAGAAGACTGTATGAGGAGTTCTTGGAGCATGTGTCAATATTGAAACATCTGGAGAAGTATGAACGTGTTAGTTTGGCCGATGCACTGGAGCCCTGTACATTCCAGAGTGGCGAGATCATTGTACGGGAGGGCGACTCGGGCGACAAGTTCTACATCATTGTCGAGGGCGAGGTCAAGGTGACCAAGAAGAAGGGAGATGTCGAGGAAGAGGTCTCAAGACGATTGCACAGTGGCGACTACTTTGGAGAGATTGCCCTTTTACTGGATCGTCCGCGTGCGGCCACCGTCACGTCGGTCGGTGTCACCAAGTGTGTCGAGATGGATAGACAACGATTTAACCGGCTGCTTGGACCATGTGAGGATATATTACGAAGGAACATGGAGATGTACAATCAATTTATGACTTCCAAGGCCAATGATATCCATTAGTATCTATGGTACCTTATGTCAACTCCAACAACAACAACATCAACAACAACATCATCATCACAAGTCCAACCAGCCAAACAACAACAACAACAAGTAGTCAACCTCTATTGGTCAACGTTAAGTCTTGACAACCTAGCAAATGCTAATAGGGATACTTCAAATGAACTAAATGTAAACCATTCCTCTCATTCAACTTGGGTCTTGCTGCTTGATGTTACTTATAACATGTCCATCCGGATGTGGACATTTAATGGAGGATGCAATGCGTATATAATATAGATTGATTAGTCGATACCTTGCAGGCCTTGGGGAGGTCCTAGAACCTTTGGTTCTGGGAGTACTTCATCAGTTGACTCTTGAAGTCGTCGACTGGCGTGGGCTGGAGTATGCGGCTGGTGGGTGAGGTTGATGGCGATGTGGACAATGGCGTCAGGTTGGGCGACTCGGGCGATGTGCTGCTCTTCTTGCGGTTGATCGATATCGAGAATCGTCTCGACTTCTTGCGCTCGTGCGACGACGTTGACGATGTTGAAGAGACAGAGCCAATCACTGGTTGTGGTGGTTGTTGTTGTTGTTGTTGTTGATTGCTAAGCAGCAATGACTGTGGTGGCGATGATGATCTTGATGTTGACGAGGACAGTGGCGAAGGTACACTGTTCCTGCTCTCCTCTGTATCCTTGACACGATCGATTAGCTTATTCTTTTTGAATCTATCCATCTCTACACCACCACCTCCGCCAGCATTGTTGTTGTTGTTGTTGTTATCATTCTGTTGTTGTTGCTGCGATTGAAGTATCTTCTGCTTCAGTGCCTGCTTCTGCTGTGTTGTAATATGTGATTTAGGTGAAGCTGCGTCCTGATACTTCAGGTCGGCACCACCAGGCGATGCTCCTGAGGATGATGTATGTACAGAGGAGATGATGTCCTTCTCGTCGATATGCTCATAGTTCAATCTATAGTTCTTGATCGTCGAGAATCCTTGGAAGGAAACTGTGAAGCCAATAGAGTCCAACACTGGGAACAATGCAAACTCGGTGATGGCAACGAATATCACTATAATATCCACTAAGAAGAATGCATGGAATAGTGCCTGTGTCTTATCCTACATGTCCAGATGTGTCGTGTCAGTCTCTCAATCCTACCTATTTTGCTATCAATCAATCATTCTTGAAATGACTTACCTGGATCTTGAGGACAAAGACAAGTATACGTATGACTATCTCCAGAGGTGGAAGTACTACAAAGCATGCAGAGGAAAGTCTAACTCTGCTGATGAGGTTCTTGTTCATCAGTGATCGCGTGAACCTGCTTGATATTAATACTTTGATTGATTGATTGATTGATCGATGGAGAGTTAGTGAATGAGCGAATGAATGAATGATGATAGTAAGTTAACGACCTACAGAAGAAGAATAGAAAGATGGCATAGAATATGGCAAAGACTGCAGTTGATATGATTGGAACGACGCACTTTGATTCGCTGTCGCTGTACGAGTTCCAAAACTCGGACGATGGCGATGTGACGCCAGCAGATGCAATGATCAGAATGGCAATGTGCGCCACAGTCACTGGAATCGTAGCCAATATCGACCTCTTCATAACATAATAGTTTGGATCGTCAATATACAATGAACTCCTTTTGTAGCTATTGGATTGGCTGGATCAGATCAGTATAAATATTTTGGGGTCAGATCATATGATTGGTTGATTAGATTGATTGATTGAATGTTACACATACCTCGTCTTTGACATAAACATGAATAGGAATACAACAAAGAACAGTGGCTCAAAGCTGCCAACTGTAAAGAATAGGTGTAGACTACACAGGTACTTGTACTTGTCTGTGCTGGATCCAAATAGACCTCCATCCGGAAGCCAAAGGAATTGATTACCTAGAAGCAATGCAAGCTATAATGTCCAGACAATGTATGAGTGAGTGATGGAAGATGGAAGGAATGAGACGAGATGATGAGACGAGATGACATACCACCCAGATGAAACCAGCTCCACTGACCAATGTCCTAGACCTCCAGTACTTGTTGAACTCTAGATGTCTATACTTGGCTATAACATAGATGACAAAGCCTATGAAGATGAGCACCAGCAGTGCCAAGATGAATTCAATCCATCCTAGTATGCGTAGCCATGACTCCATAACTGTCGGGTGTATATGTGTATATGTATATGTGTGTTCCTACTCCCTGTTTCTACTCTTTCTCGTTTGAATATTCGTCGTTGTTGTCAATTATTGCAACACTTTATCATATATCTCGATCGATTGATCAGTCTGATTGATTGATTAATTGAGGTGAGTGAGTGAGTGAGTGAGTGAAGATGAGGTAGTGGCAATAGAGTAGTAGTAATAGTAATGATAGTAATGGTAAATAATTGTAGTAATAGTAGAAGGGATGAATGTGGAACAGAGTGGGCAGGCATCAAAAGTTGCCTCGTGATGGAGGTGGGTCCTGTAAACAATCAAATTCAAACAAATACTCAGTGCAAAAATCATTAAAAATGTGTGTGTTTGGGTAACTTCCCCAACGGAAACAAGTCTTCCCCCACCATCAAACACAACACAAAACACACATTATCGCTTTCAAGGCCCCGATCGATGTTACCCCCCCAACACACTGTATAAATGTCGGTCCATTAAGGACATTGTTTGATGTTAATGTTATTAATATATATATGATATGATACGATTACTTCTTGACAATCTCACCAATACTCTCTCCAAGTATAACAGTTTGACCTGGAGTTAGATTGAATTCAAACTTTTGGTTCTTTGGCACTTCGAATATCATCACCACTGTCGAACCCATCTTGAAGAATGCCAACTCCTCTCCCTTCTTCTGTTGAATAGGTCTGCTGAATGATCTATGATAATAATAAGTTCCAGTTGCCTTGTCCTTTTGATCATTCGTCATCAACTCCTAAAATATACATGTGATTGTGTCAGTGAGTGAGCACTCAATCAATCAAATCCAATCAATCAAATCAATTCAATCAATAATTACCTTATCAAAGTCCATTACAATGGTACCAACATTGGATGCACCAACTGGAGTGAGCGAGAAGTATCCATGCTTCCAACGACCTCCGAGGACGACACGCTCATTGAGTGCAAAGAGTCCTTTGATGTTGTCAACGGCGAATTTGGCAACGGGGAAGAGGTAGCCTGGATAGTGGTATCTGTTGTCTATGGTCCACTCGCATGGACTGTGGATGCCGTGGTAGTCGCCAGGCGACAGGTAGATGCCGACGTGATACAGGTTCTTGTCCTTGAGTGTCTTCATCTCGTCATCGCCCAGGAATTGGCGCAGCGAGTATGAGATGCCCTTGACCTGCTCCAGCGTGTCGTCGTTGACCTCGCCATAATAGATGACCTTGCCGTCGACTGGACTGGTCAGTGGTGCCTTGTAGTCAATGTGTCTTGCGCCTGGCTTTAGTCGTCGGCAAAAGAACTCTGCCAGACATGGATACTCCTTCATTGGCTTCTCAGCCTCATCGATCTTGACTCCAAACAACCTTGAATAAGTTCCATAAATTGGTTCTCTCAATGACATTGGCAAGTGAATATTAGCAATCTTGCCCCAGATATGTGATGTGAATCTGAATGGAATACGTTTCAAATATTCAAACTAATTGATTGATTGATTGTTTGGAATAGTTCCAGTGTGTGTGGAGGAAGTGGGAGTCCATGTTAGCGCCACTTACTCGTTCAATCAATCAATAAATCATACTACGCACCTTGATGTCGCGACCATTGTATGAGAGGTAGGCGAATGAAGAGATGAAGGCAGCACCAGAGAGCATGAGGATGGTCCTTGTGAATGAGAATGGCTTCTTGACTGTCTCAGTCTGTCCTTCTTGATCCTGTTGTTGCTGTTGCTCCTGTTTCTGATCCTTCTGCTCCTCCTTCTGTTGCTGCTGTTGCTTTGGAGGCTGCTGTTGCTCCACACCAGTGGAATAGAATCTTGCATTTGAATCGCGACTGCTGAAACTGTAGAGTTGATAGTCCTTTAGATAGTTGGCCTGAGTGAGTGAGAATGGCAAAGTGGATGTGATCATCGGTGATTGTGATGATCTCATTGACTCGGCTGTCACATTTCCAATAATATTTGATATATTGCTGTTGCTGCTGCTGTTGCTGCTGCCAACATTGTTGTTGTTATTCAATCTCAATGCAGAGATTGCAAAGCGTCCAACAGAGTTTGAAGCAACAACAGTTGGCTTCAACGTTGGTGATAGTCTCAGCAATGGTGACAACATAGTTTTATATCTATGAACCAATGATTGAATGTATGAATGAATGAACTAATGATGAATGTTTGAATGAATGATGATTGAATGAAACACTCGCACACAACTCAACGCAACCCCTCCAACACACACTTTACGCGTGTTCACCATTACACACTGACGAATGTGTGTGAGTGTGTGTAGATATTTGATTGATCACAACGAAGAATAAATGAAACATTATTTCAGGGTTGTACTATTCTTATTATATATGTCTATCCTATGATAATAATAAATAATATCTGGGTATAAAAATTTATATTACCTGGGTAAGGTAATAATTTATATTATCTGGGTAAGGTAATATAAATTTTTATTATTGTGTTTGACTTTGTCTGACTTTCCAAATGATCTCACTAATCGATTGAACGTCTCTGATGTCAGTTGGCTGAATCATAACTTTGCAACATTCTTTTTTATCATTTTGCTTCAATGATCTCAGATTGGGACCACCTCACACATCCAACCAGGTGGCAACTGAAACAGAAACAGAAGTGTCCAACTCTCAAACAGAGTGTGATACCGACGGACTCCGTCCAAACAACAACAACCATTACATTATTTTCAACTATTATTAATTATATATATATATATTGTATTATTAGTTGTCATCTATATTATTAAATAACAACAATGGACAAGATATTCGAGATTGGCAATAGCATGTTCGAGGCAGCGTCGGAGAAGATCAACACATTGAATCTGGCAGAGAAGAAGAGATACTTGTCAGAGCGTGCCGGTAATATGTTGGGTGTCTCTGGAAATGTCTACGAGATCAATGGTCGAAGATATACTGAGCGTACAAAGATTGCTGAAGGTGGCTTTGGTCTAGTCTATCTAGTCCGTGATGACTACAACAAAGAGTACGCACTAAAGAGAATGTTTGTACACGAGAAAGAGCGTCTACATTGTATTCAAAATGAGATCAATGTAATGGTATGTATCGATATTGATTGATTGATTGAATTGAATGATGATGAGACATGCTAACAACATCCATCATCAACGTTGGCAACAGAGATCATTGAAACATAATAGGAACATTGTACGATTGGAAGAACATAAGATTAGTGAGAATAGAGAGAAGAGAGAGACAGAGGTGTTGATGCTGCTGGAGTTCTGCTCAGGTGGTAGTGTATTGGATATAATGAACAATAGAGGTGAACGTAATGGTCTGTCCGAGCGTGAGATCCTCGCCATCTTTGCCGACACAGTCTGCGCCGTAATGGAGCTGCACAATCAGAATCCTCCAATCGCTCACAGAGATCTCAAGGTAACATCCATCACCTCATTGATTGAATGAATGAATGACTAACGAGCAATCAAACGACCAAATAGATTGAGAACATATTGTATTGCGAGAACTCTGGATGCTATAAGTTGTGTGACTTTGGTTCAGCGACTACAAAGGTGTTTGATTGCTCGGTGGACACGGAGAGAGTTAGGGCCGAGGACGATATCAACACATTCACAACACTGTTCTATAGAGCGCCAGAGATGGTCGACCTGTACCAGAGACAGTTGATCAATGAGAAGGTGGACATCTGGGCTTTGGGCTGTCTGTTGTTCAAGATGGCCTTCTTTGTCGATCCGTTCGAGAGCTCGTTGGCCATCATGAACATCAGATATCAGATCCCAAACAACTCGAGATTCTCACCTGCCTTCCACAGTCTAATCGAGTACCTGTTGACACCGGACCCCACTCAACGTCCATCCATCCATGATGTCATGGGCAGAGTCGAGGAAATGAGAGGAGGTGGAAGTGGCGGTGCCAGACGCAAGGGATTGCAAACATTCTCCAATGCTCCAAGGAGTGGCGGCAACAATCCACAGCGACCACTTTCACAATCAGACCCATCAACTCGTCCAATGTCCAACAACTCCACTCCATCGTATCAATCACCTTCCACTTCAAACACCTCTTCACCTGCCTCCACACCAACACCATCGCGCAAGCAGAACCTCTTTGATATGGTCGAGTGGAATGACAATGGTTCATCATCATCTGGACAGTCGACATCATCTCAATCATCATCAAGACAGCAACAGTCTCAGCAGCAGCCCCAGCAACAGCAACAACAACCAAAACAGAGTCTCATTGATGACTTTGATTGGACACCAAAGGGTGCTGTCTCATCACCACCAGCCACTCAGCAACAGAGAGGCCTGGGTGGCAGTGCGCCACAGGCAACATCCAACAACAACACATCATCATTCAAAGATGAGTTTGATGACTTTATATCAGCGCCTTCAACGGCCAACCAACAGAAGAAGGCAGCAAACATTGACGAGATATCATTTGATAAGATTGACCTCTTCACTGCTACACCATCCACAACTCAAGGAAGGACTCAACAGCAACAACAACAACCATTCCAACAACAAGCATCTCCAATGCAACAGCAAACATTCCAGCAGCAGCCAATGCAGCAGCAGCCATTCCAAAGACCCCAGCAGCCAATGCAACAGCCAATGCAGCAGCAACCATTCCAACCAATGTTCCAGCAGCCACAGCAGCAAAAGCAGTTCCAACAGCAACAGCCACAGTTCCAGCAACAGCAACCAATGCAACAACAACAACAACAGAAGCAGCAGCCACAGCAGCAACAGAAAGGCAATGATTTCGACTTTACATGGTCTTCAGTGCCAGCAGCTTCAACAACAACAGCTACTCGTCCAATGAATAGTGGCGTAAACAACACACAGCAACCTCAACCTCAGCCTCCAAAGGATTACTTTGATCAGCTCCTGAAGCCAACCACCTCCAATACTGGTGGTCCACAGACACCATCGAACAAGAGCACTGGCGCTGCTGGCCAGCAGTCGACTACATCACCATCGGCAGTCTACTCCAAACCAAACTACAACATCGACCTGAACTCCTATTCCCAAACGAATGGCAATGGTACCAACCAACCCAATGCCGCGAACAGCAAGACCAACAAGAACCCTGCATTCAACTTCAATGGCTATTAAACCTATTCGATATCAAACAATTAATCAATATAGTGAATGTCATCGCTGTCATTGTTGTCGTCTTTGTTTATGTACATATTGAATGAATGGAATGTATCAACCCAAGTGCATCTCATTCTCATCTGGATGTTGTGCCACGATGTAGAACTCTACCAAATGACATCGCTTCTCCTCGAACAATAGTTGATGCTCGAAATGTAGTAGACCACCAGTGTTCATCGTCATCCTCGTCTTGTTGGTGACGGCCAATGCACGAATGGCAGGCTGTATCAGTGATAATGGGAAGCTATGTGATATTGTCTGCTTGCAGTCCTTGAATTCGAACAAGTCTTCGTTGTACTCCACTGTATATTGTCCAGATGTACCATTGGTTGCCAACTTGAACATTGGTGGTGAGCCACCATCCCTATTATGCTCTGATGTCTCTGACAGTATGATGGTGACAGTCTGCGATGAATAGTCCAACTCACCGAATGCCTCCAAAAGGTTGTCGCTCTATGTTTGAGTGATTGAGTGTCAGTATCAACGTGCATCAGCCTTGACAAGGTGTCAACTACTTACAGATACCAAGACTCTGTTGAATGGTGAAGAGTCGATCTCAAAGAGCAAAGGGTTGTCACAACTCATTGTCTTGAGTGAGCAACTTGTTTGAACTCCATTCTCCTCCAGAAGTATAGTGAAGGGATGTCCACTGCGCTGAATGATTGTGATGGCGGTGAATGAGTTGTTGTTTGAACCAAACATGCTTAGACAGTCCATTAGGATGGAGAGGTTGATCTTGAATACAATGGCATCCTCCTCGGGTGGTGGATTAAACATATACTCTGCAAACAATGACTTCTTTAGCAGTGCCGTCGCCTGATACTGTCTTCCAACCTCGACAGTGAACCTAATGCCTTGTTGACTCAGTGTAACTATCGCCAATATCTTGATTCATATCAGATAGATAGTGTCAGTGTCAGTGTTTGCTAATAAGTACAATGAATGATGTTGGTATACATACAACTTGGCCATCCTTTCGTCTTGATTCCTCTCCTTTGGGTAGTATGGTGTTGAGCACTGATGCGATGACCTTTGCATTGTCATGCTTGGCAACAAGATTGGCGTAATCAGGTGGTGATGTTGTAGTGTTTGTTCCTGTTCCACTTTGATTATTGGCTGTATTTGTTCCAGTTGCAACTGATGATTGATATGACATTGTATTATTATGTGTATAGATTTAGAGATAAAGAAGGACTTAAAATGACATATCATGTCTCAAAAGGGATACTTATCACTATAAAATTTGGAAGTTCCAAGAATTCCAAATGATGCTGCCCCAGCCCACCCACCAAAAAACACGCTACAAAAAAATTATTAATATCATTAAATAATATAATATAATATATATTTTTTCATTATATACGTTCTTTATTCTTTCAAGATGGATATATGGATAATGTATCTCAGCAATATAGATCCAGCAAGGTTGGTAATAGATAAATCATTATTTTGTGTTGATGATGTCAAGGATGCAATTGTTTCAAATACGAATACAGTCAAGATGTATATTGGAAAGGGAAAGGAGACATTTGGTCTTGAACAATTGAGTTTGTCAAGTGAGGGCTTGGAGACTGCAGTCAAACTGGAATCAGACACACTACTATCTACCCTCTAACCATCTTACAATGGTCGAATCAGACTTCGCATTTATCATAATGAACCCAATGATTTACAACAATCAATCCCAACATTATTCTGCATTAATAGTGCAATAGAGATAAATGAACGCAACACAAGATACTTTTACGTGGAGAGGACCATTGACATCTCACGATTGGCTCAGAAGATACACAATAGAGAGTTTATCCTCTATCATGGTCCAAAGTCATCTGGAAAGACTACCAACATTCTGACAACACGACACATACTACAACAGGAGGGATATCTTCCAATTTAGTAAGTAGTCTGTCTGTCATTCCGCCACCATTACTTATTTGGCCTCTCTCCAAACAGTTTCTCCTTCGATGGAACTTTCTCTTTCACGGATATCGATTTGTTCTGGCATAGATTTGTGTCAGCTATCAACATTGTATTGAACTCTGATTTCACTACACATATCGGCATGTTCAACCGAAATGAACATTCAATTCGTTGGTTCCAAGGAAATCGTATAGTAATATTCATCGACGAGTTTGATCACATCCTCAAGGCAGATTCTGTATTCAGGAGTGCAGTACTTGGTCAGTTCCGAGATTGGAAACAGAACAAACAAGATCTCATGTTATGGGTCAGTACCGACTAGGCATGGACATTTGATTACTCTAAAGGGATGAGTTACTAACTATCCACTTACATTCAGAGCTGTGTCACCATCGGACCGTTCAACATATTAGGCGCAGGAATCACAGGAATTGACTTTGTGTGGCCATTCACAGATCAAGTCCCTTTAACGGATTTTACCAAAGAAGAAGTGTTCAAGTTGATGGACCAGTTCGAGAGAAAAAGAAAGGTTAGAGTGGACCCGGCCATTATAGAGGACATCTTCACAATCTCTAATGGGTAAGTTATTATAATTCTCAATTGTCTCCCAAGGGGACACATTCTAACTCGTCCCTTGATCAACAGTCATGCTGGTTTAACAAACCTTTGTGGAAGGGTGCTCGACAACAATCTTCTTACACCAACAATGATCGTCGAACTCGATCAATGGCAACAATTCAAAGCTCACAGCCTAGTCCCTTTAGTTCTCTCTTATCCGACCGTACAAACCAAGATGGAATACATTATGCAGGCCCCCGATGAACAGAAGATGTTGCTACTCCAATATGTTCGGTGCTTCCCTCATGTCAAGATCTTTGATCAACTTGATCCTGCAACCACATCCTTGATATCTCAAGGTTTCCTGCAACCCAACCAAAGAGAGATTGGTGGACAACTTGTGATCGTCTCCTGTGTCCTAAAGTCACAACTCCTTAGAAATTGTATATTATCAATGTTGGGGGATCTGATCAAGAGTGGGGTTCCAGATCAACCATTCCCATCAGATGGAAGCACATCCCCAGATGGTTACCAACCTATTCAGTGATGGATATGAATCGTGTTTATGTAAATGATTAAACTCCAAGACATTGATCAAACAATTGTGAGGTAACACCAAAGACTTCACATGTCCACTTCTTGCGACAGGCATCATCACATGTTGACTTGAATGGCGAGTTGGCAAGATGCTTGTAGTAGTTGTCAAACAGGGTGGCATTGGTCTTGAACTCCTGGGCAACATTCCACCAGGACTGTGGCGACAGGTCGGGCATGTCAAACAACTCCTTGGCACTGTACGCCACTGTGAACGTCAGGTTGCCGCCGGGCTCGTTGGCCTGCGACAGGTTGGCGTGGTACTGGTAGTAGTTGGTGACCTCGTACGTGTCAAAGTCAAACTCGTACAGACGGAACGAGGGCTCGTGATGCATGTAGGTGGTCATGCTGGGCGCCACGTAGTTCATGCCAGTTGGCTTGGTGTGAGTGGCCGTGTCCGAGAAGACGACAAGCTGGTCGTAGTGAGTGTGGCCGTAGAACTGGGCAGTGATCACCTGGGAGAAGCGCTCCACGATCGCCTGGTAAACCTCGCACCAATGGTCGTTGGGGTCAGACTTGAGCGTGCATGGGATGTGTCCAATGACGATGACCTTCTCGTTGTTAGCCTCAGCCTGCTCCAGGACGTTGATGAACCAATCGGTTTGGTTGTTCTTGATGTCCATGTTGGAGTGCTTGAGCAAGTTGTAAAAGTTGAGGATGTCTGCGTCGAATGTGTTGAGCGAGATGACACGCAGACCAGTCTGGAGCAGCGTGGTGTAGTAGCCGGCCTTCTTGACAGACTCGAGCTCCGCGTCGTCGAGGAAGGGAGTCCAGCAAGAGTGAAGGGTGTCGAGCAGCCACTGCTTCTTGGGCAGGATGTACTCGTCGGAGGGCCACGACTCGTGGTTGCCGACGCTGGGCAGCACGATTGTGTCGGGGAAGTAAGTGCTGATCAGACTGGCCAACACGTCGGTCGATGAGATCTGGCGGGCCTCATCCTGCATCCAGACGTCGTGGGGTGGGTTGTCACCAGTGTGCACGACGAAGCGGATGGGCATGGTCTTGCCAATCTCGAGGATCTGCTCAAAGATCGCCTTGACAGTGTGCAGGGGGATGTCGCAAGAGTAGTCGCCATAGAATCCGGCGCTACCAGTGCCATTGCGGCAACAGAGTGGCTTGCCACACAGTGGGTCGGAGCCCTCGAGGTAGTATGGGTCGTAGTGAATGTCTGTCAGCTGGAGGATATAGCCAATGCCAGTGTAAGGTGTGTCCATCTTTGGCTTTTGCAACTTTGTGTCCTTGTAGTTTGGCTTGGTCTGGAGAAGTGCAGCCATTGAAGCTACCTGATTCAACTCGTTATAATGTTGCATCTTGCTCTCGGTACTAGTACAGAATCTAAGCTTGTGGCACATCACTGTTGGTGTCAAATCAGTCTCGATCAATACTTGATAAACTATTGGTGCGTAGGCAAACATGATGCCAGCGCACTGATTGATTGATTGATCGATCACATGGAAGTTAGTATGTGCGATGTTTACACGCGTTCCTTCGATCAAACATACCACGTCAGGTTGTTGGATCTTCATCGCTGAGCATATATCTGTTGATGTTTTGATGACCTCTTCAACTGATGCATTTCTCTGATGTGGGGTGGAATGATACCAGGTGTGTTAGACAACTCCGAACTCAAACTCAATCTCCGAACTCAGACTCCAACTCAACTATGATACATACCTCGAGGAAACCATCAAAGAGTACAGCACCAACCTCACATAGTTCACATGAGATCTTTGCAGAAAGAGATGATATCTTTTGTAACTTCTCCACTACTTCATTGTCAATATGATGGTTGTTCTCGTGTGCAATAATACATTGATTGACAACGAACAACACCAGCAGAACTGATGTCAAATATTTGATTGACATCTCTGTTTAGTAGTAGTTATATATGTATTTGTATAAATAAGTAATGTTATGTATTAATAATAACTTTGTTAACTAATGTATTTCATAGTTGACTTGAAGGTTTAACGCTTTCAAGATACTTCGATGGAAAAGGGTTCAACAACAACAAAGAAGAAAGCAAATAAGGTCTATGACCCTTGTTGGGCATCACTGTCTTTGTTTTTTTGGTGCAAGTAGGGGTGATCTTTCGTCTTTCAAAGTGCACTCGGATACATTTGTGTTGGAGTCTGCAAAGATCACCACTCGTTCAATCTCAGAGGGGTATCAGATAATACTACTGCCTACCACTTTGATCATAATGATCAGTGTAGTTTATAACTCCGATCAACTTCATATTTAAATATTATTATACAAGGGTTCTATTACAACCTTGATTGATGGATAGATAGTGACAGGTTAGTAAACCAAACATACTAAACAAGCGAGTGATGATTGATACTACCTGTTCTAGTACTAGTACAGACGATGACATCATAGAGGAGGAGATGGGATGGAAATGGAAATAGAGATAGAGATGTATAACAAAGAATGAATGAATGAATGAATGAGTGAATGAATGAGTTGACCAATTTTCAACAAATGGGTGCGAGGCAACGACTTCACTTTCGCTTGCAAGCACGTGATTACTTTGAATCAGAACTGGATTCAATCTAGATTGATCACATTATATACATACAAAGATAGATAGAGAGAAAGGAGAATGAGTAGTCAGAGCAACAACAATGGTGATGGTGGTCGAAAGTATGAAGACGATGACGATGATTATATAGCAATGCGTGAAAGGAACAAGCAAAGAGAGATTGAAAAGATTGTAAAGGAGAAGGCTGGTGAACGAGATAGATATGGTGATAGAGAAAGACGTGTAAATGAAAGAGACTATGATAGAGAACGTGAAAGAAGGGATACTGGCCATCAAAGAGATAGAGGCGGAGATCGAGGTGGAGACAGAGGTGGAAGATATAATGATCGAGACAACAGAGATAACAGAGACAACAACAATAGAGATAGAAACAACAGAGACAATAGAGATAATGATAGAGATGGTGATAGAGGAGGAGATAGAGGTAGAGAAACGAGGAAGAGGTGGTGGTCGTGGTGGTCCCAGGAAGAGGTGGATATCGCGATAACAATGGTGGTGGAGACAGAAGAGATCGCAAGAGGAGTAGAAGTAGAAGCACCAGTAGAAGTAGGAGTAGGAGTAATGAAAGAGATCGTAAGAAAGAACGTGTCACACCACAAAAGTACCAATCATCCTCTTCGAGTAAGACTGATTCATCATCATCATCAAAGAGCAATGATAAGAAACAAGGCGGCGATCTCTCCACTACACCAGTACCCTTGCCAGAGGACTCTGGTTTGGATCAAGAGGAGGCAGAACTAATGAGACAGATGGGTATACCTTTTGACTTTGGCTCAACAAAGGGACAAAAAGTGGATGGCAACAGTCAAGGTGGAGTCACAGCAAGTTTCAAGAGACAGTACAAGCAATTCATGAACAAGAGAGTTGTTGTAAGAGAAGGTGGCGGTGGTGGCTTTGACGGAGGCGGAGGCGGCGGTGGCGGCTTTGGCCGAGATGGTGGCGGAGGCGGTGGACGTGGCGGAGGACGAGGTGGCGGTGGTGGCTTTGGCCGGGATGGTGGCGGTGGCTCATGGTGATGAAAGAGAGCGATCAATCTATCATCAAGACAACACACACAATGGCCGACATGCCATTCATTCATTCAATCAACGAGCCAGTAAGCCAGACGACCAGCAAGAACGCAAGCAAACAAGACGACAAAAGCATATCAAAAGCTATTCAACATATTAAGTTTATTGCTCGCTTAATGGAAGTCTTAAGAAACGCTCAGACTCCTCCTCTCGTGAGTACTGACGACGTCTCCTGACAAAGTAGATCACTCCAGTGATGAGTACCAATACACCCAAAGTGATCAGTGCCGCACCAACTATTATCTTCTTGTTTTTACTATCCTTTGCCTTCTCTGGACATTCGTTTCCAGGTCCTCCACATACTCCACATCGATCAATCACTCCATCACAATCTGTTAAAAGGGTTATCAGCAGGGGTTGATTAGTTGATTGATTGATTGATTGAGTGATTGGAATCATTCCAAAAGCGGGTGATACTTACACTTGTTAGCGATATCAACAGTCAATGTATCATTGATGATGGTATCCTCGAATTGAGCACAGACGTAGACGAATCCGTAGACGTCCTTGGCACAATGACCTCCACGTTGGATGCATGGGGCGGCACATCCAACTCGGGGGAACTGGCAGAACTGGCCGTAGTAGTTGGGCGAGCAGTAGCATTCATAATTGTAGCAACCTCCATGTCCGGAGCACTTGACCGTGGAGCAATTGGCACTGGCGCTGATCTTTTGAATGTAGTTGGATGCCAACCATGTGTTGAGTATGCCGTAGCCAGTCTTTAGATTGGCCGCGGTCGAGTTGGAGCCGGTCGAGAGCACTGCCGTGCGAACTTGTGTTGGCGTCCACAATGGGTTGCGTTGCATGATCAATGCAATGGCACCGGCGGTCAGCGGACACGAGAAACTTGTGCCAGACATACGAGCGTAGCATGTATCGCAGGCCTGGTCGGCGATGAAGTTCTGAAGACCCAGAGCAGAGATCTCGGGCTTAATGCGTCCGTCTGCAGATGGGCCGAGCGATGAGAAGGACGTCACCATGCCCTTGTTATCGATAGCGCCCACAGCAATCACATTGATGCCGTCGGCTGGTGCACCAATTCCCTTGGCACCATCGTTGCCAGCACTGTTCACCATCACCATGCCCTTGTCAAATGCAGTGTCGGCGGCCTTTGATATCCTGGAGCTAGCGTTCATGTTAGAGTAATTGTACCAGAGCGTGTAGCCTAGTGAGCTTGTGACCAGCTCGGCACCATTCTCCTCTCCCCACTCCATGGCCGCCATCCAGTTGTCCTCCTCCTGGATATAGTCCTCACCAACAGCGTCCTCGGTGGCGGCAATCAAATAGGTTGCGTTGTAGGCGGGGCCGACCATGATGCCAGGGTAGTATCCACCAACTGTTGAGAGTGTTGCAGTGCCATGTCTGTTCTGCGCGGGGTTGGTGGAGGTGACATTCTTGGTGCCATTGAGGACGAAGTTCTTTGTGTCCTTGATGGTCATGTTCTGGAACACCTGATGAGTGAGAACAAAGCCAGTGTCTGTGATCAATATAGTGACACCCTTTCCATCGTATCCGTTGTCATGTGCCTCTACCGCATTGATCTGCAACAATGAGTTGTAGGTGTTGTTGTAGAACCAATTGGAAGTGTTACCAACGGCGGTGGGCACCTCATCCAATGACTGTAAAGTACGTGATGGATTGACGGCGGCCTGTGCGTTCATATCCTCCTCAACCTCAAGGTTGTCGTCATCTTGATGGGTTGGAATTGTGCGAGTGTATCTCGCAACCATGTCCAACTTATCAACGAATGGGTATGATGTGATACAATGGAGGATGGTGCTGAGGATATGGTCTTGCTCGCCAAGGTCGATAGCAATCGATATGGCATTGAGCCACTTTGATCGCTGTCCAAGGGTGATGTGCTGTCTGTTCATGATCAAACCACAGCTCTGAACGGCATCGATGAGTGATTGCTGGACGGGCAGGTCGTTCTCGTCGACCAGATCAGCAGACTCACGACGTCTCTGTCTTCGTGACACTGATGACTGTGACAAGCCCAGTGAGCTGGACACCAGTGACTCATGCATCGATTGCAAGTCAAGTGAATGATGGGCTGACCAATGTCCATCCTCCATGTATCTCTTTGAATTAAAGAATACCCATACTCTAGTGTTTGAGTTTATGTTGTTATCATTATTGTGTATATGAATAGACTCTGACAACTTATGTACTGATGCAACATTGCCACTATGTAATATATTTGTTGCAGCACTAACTAATGATATTGTTGTTATAGTTGTTGATAGACATAACAACAACATTATTGTCATCGTCAATGACATTATTGTTTGTAGTTGTTGTATCTTCATTATTTGTACTATTTACACAAATCTATATTAATATATTAATAGTAATACAAGTTGTTTAGCTCATTTGAAAGTAACTGTTTAATGTCACATGCGTGTCGTGATGAAATAGTGTCCACGACACGTTTTTGAAATATCCACACGCTTTGTGGGTCGATCAAACAACAATTACAGACTTTGTGCAACTCCACAAACACCCAATCAATCATTCAATCAACTAATCCAATTCAATCCATTCCAATCCATTACATGATCATGACCATTGCAAAGACTATTCCAATTCCAATCCAACACCAATGATATCTATCTATATTATTGTTATGACACTTATCTTTGTCTTTAATAAGTGTCCTGTATGTACACTGGACTTAGTCCAATTATTAGATTAATAAGGCGTGTATCTTGGATTACGTGTTGATGTAGATGTTGAATACCTTGAGGATCCGCCTCTATCTCCACCACCTCTATCTCCGCCACCTCTATCTCCACCACCTCTATCTCCACCTCCACCTCCACCGCGGTATGAACTACCGCCTCCACCTCCGCCACCACGACCACCACGACCACCAGAAGAGTATGAACCACGAGTTGATGATGATGATGGATGATAGTAGGGCCATGCTCCTTCGGGGGCTAGTCCCCATCCTCCACCACCCATATCATATGCAGCCATCGATGTCATTGCAATTGGTAGTGCTGTGGATGGTGTATAGTAGGGATCAGTACTACCGATAGTTGGTGGCACCATTCTGGGATTAGTTCGTCGTGATGGTGCACCGGCGGGTTGGTGAGGATAGGCCAACGCTGCAGCTGCTTGTGGACCGTACAAGTATTCGGCAGGGTATGCCATACTCAAGAACTGGCTATAGTCTGCGAGGTAGGGCTCGCCACCAATGCCCACCATTCGATGTTTGTTCTTGGGCAGACCCCAGGTCATACTGATCTTGCGTCCTTGGAACTCAAAGCCAGTGTCCTGGTACTTGTCCATCAATGTCTTTGAGTCGTCTATTGTATGACAGTATACGAATGCGTGTCCAAGTGGCACTCTCTTCTCCGAGTCCAATGGGACGACTACCTTGTCAACATATTCAGGACCAAGTTGCATCCTAAGTTGTTCGCCCTCCTCCTTGCTCCTGACTGTCTTTACAAACAGTACTTTAGTCGAAGTGGTCTGTTGTATTGGTAGTGGAATAGGGTATCCTGGTTGTTGTTGTTGGAGCCAATACTGTCTCTCGTCTACTGCAGGTGCACTTGGGTGTGTAGTGGCACTGATTGAAGATGTTAGTCCAATGACGACGGATAGTCCCATTCATCCATTCATTCGCACAGTACTCACGCCTTTTTTGTCAGAGTGGCGGTATAGCTTGACTTTTGAATGAGCTTGATGGCCTTGATGGCTGTGTCGTGATCCTTGAAGTATGCCCATCCATAGTGTTTACTTGAGCTATCAAACTCGAATGACTTGATTGTACACTACGGCGGAGTGATGTCGTTGATTGAGCTTCAATGTCAGAGACAGCAAAGATTGATTGATTGTATTACACATACATCTGATATATCCTCCAACTCCTTCTTGATCTCTTGTCCATCTTTGTCCTTTGGTAAATGTCCAATGTACAATGAGTTCTTCTTCTCAGCCAGTGTTATCTTTACCTTTAGACTGAGATGATGTTGATTTTGTTGATGTTGTTCGTTGTCGTTGTCGTTGTCATTTACATGTTGATTGGTTGATTGAAGTATATATAATATCAATGATTAATGATTAATGATTAGTATATTAAGTTGTGTTGCTGTTGTTGATTGAATGATCGAATGATTGATTGATGAGGAGCGAGGGAGGGAGAGAGAGTGAGATTGGATACTGTACAGTTTACCGGTAACTGAGTCTTTAAAGGATGGTGCATCTGATCCCCATTGACAAGCATCGTGACAGTCTGATTCATTGTAGAACTTGACGAATCCATATCCCTTTGTCTCACCAGAGTGCTTGTTCTTGACTACAATCGCCTCTGCCACTTCGCCTATTGCTTCAAACGACTCCTTTAGCATCTCATCGGTAACACCTCGAGCTATATCGCTCTGCGTATCGTATCGTATTGTATTTAACATAGAGAGTTAGTCCAATGACTTATTCATTCGTCGGACTATGTCGCTGGCAAGGTAGGTACATACAACAAACACTCCACATTCATTTCCTTGATCTTTCGACGATGACATAATGTATGTACTGATTGATTGATTGGTTCAACTAACTACACTCTACTCTTATACATGTATGTATAGGTAGGGTAGTGTAGTGTGTTGTAATTAATGAATGAATGAATGAAGTTGAAGTTGAAATGATTGTCAAAGTGTGAGGGTGGTTGTTGCTCAGTTTCCGCACTCATTAGACAAGTGTGGCGGCAAGGGTAGGGTAACAATGTTGAGTCGTCGTCGTTTACTTTATTAATTGTATTGAACAATCTCTGTCTCTAGTCATTGGCAATTGTAGTAGTCGTAGTGGATGTTGTTGTTGTTGTGGTCGTCGTTGAGCTTGATGATGTTGTTGAATTGTTCAATGTTGGTTGATAGGAGAACAACCTGTCCAGGAGAACGACACGGTCTGAATGACCGAATGGTAGTATCTTGCTCTGCATGAGATTCTGCAATAGAAGCTTGGAACGATAGACTCGGTCGAGGTTGTGTATCAGAAGACCGAGCAGCTCGTATTGGAACATTGGTTGTTGTTCGGTGTGCTTGGATTGAATGTAATGTACAAGTATTGAAGAGACTTCTTCGACGAAGGTCTTGACCTCGCCAAGACGTCGACGGTCGATCGCCATTGAATCGCCGACGTCCGCCACCAGATCCACGAGCACACGTGACTTGTTCCTGTCCTCCGAGTCGCCATACGCTGCCGAGGGCAGGTCGAGCAGCAGGTCCCTGATCTCTGCACGCTCCTTTGGCTCGCTAATAGAGCATGAGTATAGAACTCGCAGGAATTCAATCCATTGATCGGCATTGATTGTTGCACGGGGTAATGGTCCCCTCAATATAGCCTTGAAGTGATCGACCACGACATTGACTAGCAGGTACTTGACTCGTACATTCTCCAACGTTGAGAGCAATGTTGTCATTAGACTATATAGATCGGATTCTTGCTCTGGTGATGAGATTGTTTGTACAATGCTACCAATGATCGCTTCATCATTCATCTGTTTCAAACCAAGATAATCAAGTATCTGTCGTTTGTATACACTATAACTTATTGCTTCCTTCTGATCGATGTTCTTATATACATTGGTTGTCTTTGGTTGAGCTGGAGTTGGTTGAGTTGGTTGTGTTGGAGGTGTATGAGTTGTATGAGTTGTAGTAGTATTTGGTTGATCTGGTTGTACTATTGCTATTGTTATTTGTTCTTGTTGTTGTTGTTGTGCTGCATGTAGTTGTTGATTATTGTTGACATTTGTGATCAAATGTTGTTGATCTCTTTGGACAAAGATTGATATTATCCAAATGTAAACTGCAACTATGATATCCTTTATACTCATTGTTGTTGTTTATGTAAAAATATATAAATATATTAAGGATGAATAAAGTAATGTAATATTCACTTTCGTTGTGTCAATCAATCAATGAGTCATATGAGTTATCTTCAAAATGAAATTCCCCTCAAGAGCCCATCAATAATAAGTTCCCTTCAATATCAAAACAAATCATCAAAACAACAATACATGTATTCAATCATTCTTTTTATACACAGATACAGTTTTAAACATATCTTGAGATAATTATTACATACAACAACAAGGTAGCGAAGGACCCTTCTTGGCTGAAACTTCCACCTCATGGCAATCATTGTCAACTACGTTAGCCAAGCTCAGCATCACATCCTTCAAGTCCCTCCTCCGCCAGGAGTGGCGTTACCTCATGTCCACGCTAAGAGTCACATCCTGGCCGGACGACCAGCCAACATCAAGAATGAGATGGCCGAGTTCACTATCAAGTGGGAGTTCAGAACTCGCAACAGCGACATTCGTCTTCCTCTGCTGGCAACTATCTTTACGAACTTCCGGAAGTTTCCAGATGTCAAAAAGTGCTCGGACCAGGAATCGAACCTGGGCTAGAAGAGCCACAATCTTATGTACTACCACTATACGATCCGAGCGAATGGATGATGCCCACAACCCCAATCTTTTGTTTTTATACCCGTTGGCCGGTATAAAAACAGAAGTGAAATCGATTGTTCTTTTGTTGCTTTTAAGCTAAAAATAGCACGATTTTTTCCCAAAAAGGTGGCCTTTAGTCTGAAAGACTTCTGTAACTCGTCAAAAAAAACAAACATTGGGCAAAAAGGAACTCTAGTGGAAGTTCTAGTTCATAAACTTGATTGAACAAGTTGTCCAAAAAAAGGTGTCCACTGGACTACACTTCACTCTTGTATCATTTTCCTTTCCAGCATTTTTATAATAATTATTGAACATTATACTTATCAACTATGAACAAATTATTATTAAATTTAACTTTCTTGTTCCTATTAGTTTGATATAACTTTGCTTTTTATCTTCCAATCCCCTCTATTATTGGTAAGATCTGCAAAGTTGAACCAATGCACGTCAATCTGGATACTGGTAACGTCGGTGCCTATGAAATTACCCTCGAGAGGTTGGAGAACAATATCTTACAGAGAACCGAGACGGCTGTACTAGTGAAAGGTGGAAGCGTTGCACTGAACAGCAAAGACATCATTATATACCACCTTGGAGAGATTATTGGTAAACTACAAGTTCATTGTTGGAAAGTTGTCATCTTATGTGTTCGAGACCTGTGACAACACCGAGTATATCGACATTCTCCCCAATGTCCAAACCTCAATTGTATTTGCCCAGTACGACAAAGGTGTTGCAACTACCGCCACCTATAATATCCATATGAGGCCAAAAGTTTAATTGTTGATTGGCCACATTCCATCATCTCTAGAGCTAAAATAAAAGATAAACTTCCTACAACAGGAACACTCTCCAGAGTATCTACCTTAATCGCCAAGGTAATTTCCATTGACTAGTCGCCAGGTTAAAGAATGTGTATATTAATAATTATTTAATTTATTAAAGAAATATATATTAAGAAGAGAAGATGGAGTATGGACAGCGAGAGATATATATATATATTGAGCAACCTGTTACTTTGGTAACCCAGCAGCGCAGCTTACATTGATGACTCCCAAGGCACGGCTTCTCCAGTGTACTGGTACTCCTTGAAGGAGATCTGGTTCCTGTCGTAGTAGTCGTCGGTCACTGGATTGCTAATGTTGGACAGGTAGTGTACCCAGGACTTGACCGAGTGGAAGCCCATGGTCTTCATCGTGTGCGTCATCATCCACTGGAAGTCACCATTCAGCAGCAGACGAGCACCAAATGCGCGGTACAACATCTTGATCACACCAGCCATCTGGTAGAAGTGTGTCCAGATCATGTACTTGTGCAGGTTGAGACGCTTGTGGCCGTACATGCACATTGAGATGCAGTGCTCATAGTCCCAGGACGAAGTGGGGCAGAACGATCCGATCAGCTGGCCACCGCGATGGTTGTCCATGAAGCCGACGTTCTGGCCCTGCTGGCCGATGTAGTCCATCAGGTTGAGCAGGCGGTCGCGGAACTCGATCAGACGCCAGTTGTTGTCGGCAAACTCGTGGCCAAAGATGGGACACAAATGGTACTTGCCAATGTAGGCCGGCAGCAAGATACCAAAGTAGGAGAGCGACTCGAGGTAGATACGCCATGACATGATCGATGCATTGCCCAGATGGTCAGAGTGCTTCTTGATCAGATGGCAGTTGGTCTGAGTGATGGCGCGGATCAACTTGTCGTAGGCTTGCTGACGGGTCTTTGTGGCGCACTTGTCGCCACTCAGACGGTACTTGGTCAACTCGGTCAGACACTCGACCTCCATGGCAATCATCACCATTCCAGTTGAGTAGAATGGATCAAAGATTGCAGCGGCATCACCGAGCACACACCAGTTGTCCTCAGACACAAACACCTTTGAAGTGTGTGCCAATCTCGGCCATCTATGGAAGTCAACAATCTCACCACTCTTGATGATGTTGTACAGTACCTTCTGGTTGGTCTCAAGGAAGGCCATGAACTTGTCCAAGCTAAGTATTTGATTGATTGATTTAGTGAGTTAGTTTATATGTTTGGAATGATTCCAAGTGAAGTGAATGAATGAATGAATACATACCTGTTGAACTCACTTGGATCATACTTGTCACGGTGATAGGAGACACCGATGGAGAAGTCGTGGGTAGCACGCTCGATGGGGATCATCCAGATCCAGTAGCCTGGGCCGAAGAAGTGGTTTGTGGCATAGTACCAACTGGAAGTCACGCTCTGATCGTTGAAGTCAAAGTACTTCTTGTCGGTGTTCTTGACACGCAGCCATGTAGAAGCGTTCTGCAGACCAAACAGATGCTTGGGGTCCTTGAGCACATTGTCGGTACGCGTGCCAATGATAAAGTTACGGCCACTGGCGTCGGCGATGTAGTCGGTGGTGATGTTGATCCTCTCCAGCGGCTTCTGATCGTCAAAGTTGACCTCCTCCGAGAGCATCTGGATGTCGATGGTCTTGACGGCGTCGCCCATGCCAATGTCGACGTCCTTCACACGGCCGTGGTAGTAGACGGCACCTTGGTCGATGACCATCTGCAGCAGGTCCTTCTCCATCTTGGAGCGGTTGAGCTGGAACGCCTGGATGTCGGGGTTCTTGACGGCCCAGGTGCTGTGGTAGTCGTCCATCGAGTCGGTCTTGTCCACCTTCTTGGGCCAGTGGAACTGGAGCGAGAACTTGGGTGGCTGGTTCTCGATCAGGTAGTCCTGGAGCTCGAGCTCGCGGGCAAAGAACATGCCCGAGATCTCGACGGTCGACTCGCCGACCTTGTAGTCCTCGAGCAGGTTGTTCCTGATGCTGCTGCGGGGGTCGATCACAGCAACGCGGTTGGCTCTCAGCTCGGGGATCTTCAGGAGCAGATGGCGGACGGCGGACAGACCAGCAATTCCAGCGCCGATCACCACGACGTCATAATGCTTGTTGCCAACAGCTTCCATTGTTGAGCCGGATGGTGTGGAGCAGTTCTTACGTGCTCCAAACAACTTGTCCTTCAAGTCTGATTGGATATCCGTTGGATCCATGTTTTGGATTGATTGTTGTAGTTATATTATACAATGATTGATTGATCGATTGAGTGAATGAATGGATGTGATTGATGGGATTGATTGATATAAATAATATACTGTTTGATTGAATGATTGAATGATTGTTTGATTGTACTGGATGATTGGAAATGAATGAAGACTCGTGTCTATTTATATTAGTAGTCACTTAGAGGTCCAACGACAACTCTGATGGTTGCCAGTGGTTGGTTGGTTGGAGTCGGGGCAGTAGATGTGGGGGCAGGGCAGGGGCTACGATGGTCTATGATGGTGGGGTGGGGTAGTGAACTAAGATGATGATGAACACACACACTCAACTTATGAGATGACGACTGTGATGACTGTATGTATATATGATGATGGTGGTGATGTACGATGTAGAGTAGTAGTTGAGAGATATTATTCTGTCATTAATCCCAGGAGGCACATTGACATTCAGCAGTAGGCACTGGAAGCATCATTGAAGAGCAGCCGCAAGTACTTTAGGAAGTGAGAACACTGAGTGGTGTCGGTGGAGTTCTCTTAACATGTGGAGAGACTAAAACAACAAACATCGTTGTTGTTGCCTCAGTCAGTCAGTCATATGTTTCATTCATTCATTCATACATGTAATGTGGCGTGAGATGAGAGGTCAACAATCTAAACATCTTGCGTAAGCAACTGCAAAGGCCTACAGCACACACAGTCTACTCAATCAAGGGCCATCGACACATTTGAGTTAGTAAGTGATGGGTTGTGATTGGTGGGTGTTGTTGTGGTGTGTACCTTCCACTTCAGGTTATTTATATCTTTGAACTTGTTGGACCACATGACGTCCATCTTCACATCATGTCTGTTTTGTTTGTGCAGCTTGACAACATAAATGAGTCGCGCGAGTGAATGAATGTGGGTGAGTGTCTATTGTTGATTGGTCAATGTTAATGTGTGTTTGAGTGTGTGTGTGTGTGTTGCAGATGCAACAACAATGAGCAGCAACATGACTAACACCATTCTGAACCTACACTTTGCATTTCTCAAACGACAACTCACACCCACCTTTTGACAACAAATAAAAGAAGATGTGTGTATGTGTAGGAGTGATTTGAAAAGTGATCGACCACATAATACAAACTGAAAGATGGGGTGATACACACTCACCCAATGTGATTGAGTGTGTGTTCGATGCCACTTAAACTGATTGCCCAAAGATGTCCTTCTTTGTGAATGTAGGTTGTATGCTTGGAACATGGTCAGAATATTGGGAAGACCTGACACACACCAATCAAGAAATCAATCAAACAACAACTTCGACTCGCTGCCTCGACCGACCGACTCAGTTAAAGAGAGTGCCAACGACTGAATGACCCGCAGTGCTGCGGTGTGTTTGTTCTATGAACAGTGTTCGATGAGTGAGTGAGTGGCTGAGTTAGTGTAACTTCAGTTTGATATTTGGGACCCTTTACTTTTGATGATGGTCCATTGATTGGTCGCCGCCCAGTGTGTGTGGAGACATAGTTGGTGATGCGATTTGCAAACCTATCATCATTCTAAACGTCATATATAGGGTAAGGCTATATTGACATATACTCAGCCTCCCCTGGCCACATTCGTCTTTAACTGCGCATCTACAAACTGTGACCGAGTGATTGATTGAGTGAGTGAGTGTATGAGAGTGAGTGTCTTTCAGTACCACCATCCATCTCCTCGGACTCACTGTTGACTTGACTGACTGGCAACATCGTTGAATGCCAACCTAGCCACCTTCTGCAACTATTATCAGAGGATATCTTTCAGATTAATGAAGTTAGGTTACTGATGATGAAACGACCCCGACATCTAATTGTTCCACCACCACCACCTGTGGCGGAGTCGATGACACCAACCTCATTGAATGATTGATTGCCTCTGTCTTGCTTGGACGACACCCGAGTTGTTTATCGATGTAATAAATAGACATTCAATCAATCAAACAACCAATCAATCACAAGTTCCCAAAGACTTGATAAACAAATATATATACACTTATATTAAATTATCTCCAATCATACATAATCATTCATTCGATTATTATTATTATTACATTGTTTGAGCCTTAACCTTACTATTATATCATCAAGGCCGCCCTTCATTCTTTTCACTCTTTCAATCATTCATTCATTCATTCAATTATTTAAATTTGAGTGGAACTATCCCAAACAATCAATCAATCAATTAATTATTAGTATTATTATAATCTATACCATTACCATCTTATAATATATAATTATATTTCCAATATTTGTAAGTATCAAATTATCTGATTGGAATCATTCCAGTATCAATCAAAATATTAATAAATAATTATTTTCCCTTTATATAGTCACAATGAGCAGAAATCAACAACCTATCGCTATTATTGGAGTTGGTTGCAAGTTCCCAGGAGACATCACCAACATTGATGAGTTCTGGAATGTTGTTGCCAATGGAGGAGACTGTTTGACAAGGATACCTGCCGATCGCTGGGATGCCGACGCCATTGCACAGAAGGAGTTCAAGCTCAACAACAGACAAGGTGGATTCATTTCCGATCTTGACAAGTTCGATCCACAATTCTTTGGCATGTCTCCCAAGGAAGCCGCTCAGATCGATCCACAACAGAGACTAATTCTTCAAGTATGTAATTCTTAATTTATGGGACTTCCCCACATTTGTCAACTTTGTGAAGTTGTTCTAGCTCATTCATTCGTTCATTCAATCAATCATACATATACAAACATACATATACAATGTATACTAATACTAAACAACAATATATAGGTCGCTATGGAAGCATTGGAGGATGCAAAGTTGTCTTTTAAACAAGTAAAGGGCACTTCTGCTGGTGTGTTCATTGGTTCTAGCTCATCAGACTATCAGAGAACGATGGGTCAGACTGAGATCAACCAGTTCTCAACACAGGGATGCAACTCTTCATTCCTTTCTAACCGTCTGTCCTACTTCTTGGACATTGCCGGCCCAAGCATGACTGTCAACACTGCTTGCTCTTCATCGCTCGTCGCCATTCATCTGGGCGCCAACAGCATCTGGCGCGATGAGTGCAAGGTTGCCATCGTCGGAGGTGTCAACGTCGTTGCCTCACCCTTACAATCGCTCGACTATGGCAAGGCTGGTCTGCTCTCGACTGAGCCCAACGGACGCTGCTACAGTTTCGACGACCGCGCTAGCGGATACGTTCGCGCTGAAGGTGCTGGTGTTCTCATCCTAAAGAACCTCACCGATGCCATCAGAGACAAGGACGAGATCTACTCTGTCATCCTCAACACTGTTACCAATCAAGTATGTAGTTGTAGTTGTATACATCAATCACTCATTCGCCTAACTCATTATCAATCAATCACAAACAGAATGGTCAGACACCAAGTGGTATCACTGCCCCACGTGCTATCCAACAGGAGGCTTTGTTGTGCCGTCTGCTCGATGGCGCCAACGTCCTGCCAAATGAGATTGGCTACTTTGAGTGCCACGGCACTGGCACCCAGATGGGTGATGCCAACGAGCTTGAGGCCATCGGTATGTCGATTGGCGCTCACCGCGAGACACCCCTGCCCATTGGCAGTGTCAAGTCCAACCTTGGACATTTGGAGGGTGCCTCTGGCATCTGTGGTCTCATCAAGACCATGGCCTGCTTGAAGCACAAGCTGATCGCCCCAATCGCTCCAGCCGGCTTCAAGAACCTCAACCCCAAGATCCCATTCGACACTCTCAACCTCTCAGTGCCAACCGCTGTCACTGCCTGGGCTGACGAGCGTCGCTTGGCCATCGTCAACTCATTCGGTGTTGGTGGTTCAAACGCCAGCATCCTGATCTCCAACTACATGCCCAAGACATCGAGCGACTCGTCCGATGGAGAGGAGGCCGCTGTCACTTCATCCAAGCATCTCGAGGTGTTCACCGTCTCGACCAACCTCAACGATCAGCACGCCCTCAAGCAGCGTTGCCAGGATATGGTTGACTTTATCGAGGAGAGTGGCGAGAAGCACTCAATCAAGGATCTGTGCTACTCATCGACTGTGCGCACCAACCATCTGGCTAACCGTGTGTCCTTCCTTGTGGACTCAGTCGATGACCTGGTCGCCAAGTTGAAGAACTTTGTCGGTGATGCCAACTCTGAGGATGTGTCCAACACTTTCCAGCGTGATGACAATGCCGCCAACACATTCGACAAGAAGAAGATCGCCTTTGTCTGCTCCGGCCAGGGCCAGCAATGGATCTCCATGGGCAAGGAGCTGTTTGAGGGTAACTTCATCTTCCGCAACGAGTTCAAGAAGTGCTCCAGCCTGTTCCACGCTCTGTCTGGCTGGTCGATCATCGACAAGCTGTTTGACCCACGCAACACTGAGGCCATCCACGACACCTGGTTGGCCCAGCCATCAATCTTTGCCACTCAGGTCGGTATCTGTGCCGTGCTCAAGGCTGCTGGCGTTCGCCCAGCCTCTGTTATTGGTCACTCACTTGGTGAGGTCGTCGCTGCCCACGTCGCTGGCGTTCTCTCACTCGAGGACTCGATCAAGTTGATGTGGACTCGCTCCCACCTCCAGAACAAGACCACTGGCACTGGCAAGATGTGCATCACCGTCTCATCCAAGGAGGACATCCTTGCCCTGGTCGACAAGTACGGCCTCACTGGCAAGATCGTCATCGCTGGCAACAACTCTTCAAAGTCTGTTGGCATCAGTGGCAGCAACGCCTACATGGACTCGTTCATGAGCATCATGAAGGACGAGCACGTGGCCTTCAAGCCCATCAGGATCAATGCAGGTTTCCACTCATACTTGATGGACACAATCAAGGACGAGTTCTACAGCACCTTCCCACGCATCACTCACAACGAGCCTTTGGTACCATTCTACTCCACCACTCTGGGCAAGCTGATCGATGCCAACAACTACAAGCATCTGCTCAACGTCGACTACTGGTGGTCGAACCTTCGCGAGACCGTCATGTTCAAGGAGGCCCTGTCTGAGCTGGTGCGTCTCGAGGAGTTTGACTGCTACATCGAGGTGTCTGCACACCCAATCATCTCGTTCTTTGTCAACCACATGATCAGGGAGCGCAGCAGCAACCACATCATCTTCCCAACAATGTCGCGTGATGCACCAAACTTCACCACGATCATGGAGACCCTGTCCAAGCTCTACGTCAACGGCTTTGACATCAACTGGGAGGCTTTGTACCGTCGTCGCGTGCACACTGCCATCCGCTTGCCAGCTCGTCGTTGGAACCTCGACTCTTACTGGATCGAATCCAACCAATCTATTCAGGACCGTGTCGGTCTCCCCAAGCGTGCTTCTCTCTCGCGTCGCCTCGTCTCGGCCACCCCATCCTTTGAGGTCAGCCTTGACTCGACCCGCTTCCGTTACTTGGCCGACCACAAGATCCAGAACGTTGCCATCGTACCATACGCCTTCTTCCTTGAGGTCGTCTACTCTGCAATGGATGAGCTGCGCGCCGAGCTGCCCTCACCAAACTTTGAGGTGTCCAACTTTGAGATCAAGACCGCTCTCGAGATCGACGCCAAGTTCAACAACACCATCCAGATCAACTTCAACTCATCGCTCACTCAGTTTGAGATTGCCAGTATCTCTGACCCCACTACTGTGCCAGTCAAGTGGACCGTGCATGCCAACGGAAAGGTCGTGCCCTCAGCCAACGAGACCCTTCCAGCCTTTGCTGTTCCCTCCACCAGCGGCCAAAAGGTCGTCTCTGGCGCAGACTTCTACGCCAACATTTCTAAACTGGGCTACAACTACGGCCCAAGCTTCCAGGGTCTTCAGAAGTACATCGCCATCGACAACCACAGCCAAGTGTCTGAGATCCAGCTGCCTGCCACCACCGATCTCCAGCTCCACGCCACCCAGGACTTTGCCCTGTTGCATCCATCAGTATTGGACGCTGTGTTCCAATCATGCTTTGCTCCAATTGAGGATGCCAAGCAAGGTCTCTGGATCCCTCAGTCGTTCGACAAGTTGATCAGCAGCACCCCACAGCAGGTCGGTGACTTGCGTGCCACCCTCTACTCTTGCACCACAATCACCAATCACAAGGACAAAACCACATTCGTCTGTGACATCACTGTCACCAAGCAGAATGGACAAGTCGTGTGCCAGTTCAAGAACATGACCATGAAGTGCATTGCCAGAAGTGCATCAACCGGTGCAGTCGACGCCGTCGAGTCTGTCGCCAAGCTGAACGAGCAGCTCTACAGCTATGAGTGGTCCATCACCAGCGAGGGCCAAATCGTCAAGGATGCTCGCTTCGAGAACCTCATCGTCTTCACCGACGACGAGTCATCCGAGCTCACCAAGCAGCTCTTGGACACTCTCAACAAGAAGGTCATCAACCTCGTCATTGTCAAGCAGACCGAGGAGTCCTTCGCCGTGTCCTCTGCTGGAGGCGCCCACATCATCAATCTCCCCCTCAACGACAACTGTCCAAAGGCCCTGTTCGCCGCGCTCAACAGCGTCGTAAACACCAAGAACTGGAACACAATCGTGTTGCCAGGCTTCTTCCAATCTAACAATGCCACCAACGAGACTACTATGTTGGTTGAGCGCGCCTACTCGCGTCTCTTGCTGCTCCTCCAGGAGGCCATCGCCTGTGAGTGGACTGGTCGCTTCACCCTGGTCACCCAGGGCGGCCAGAGCATCCTCAAGTCAGACGTGTTGGACTACACTCAATACTCTGTGGTCGGCCTGTTGCGTGTGTTCACCAACGAGTACAGCCCACTGCACTGCTCAATGATCGACATTGATCACACCACCGACGCCTCCACCCTGTTTGTCGAGCTCTCCAAGTCTGACTGCAGCTGGGAGGTTGCCTTCAGAGCCGGCAAACGCTACACCTACCAGCTCAAGAACCAGACCGTCCTGGCTGAGGACGCTCCAAGCATCTCATCAAACAACCGAAGTGAGCGTCGCTACCAGGTTGAGATCAGTGACAATGGTGTCATCTCGGACATGGCCATCGTCGAGACCCCAAGACACAAGCCACGCGCCAACGAGGTTGAGGTCAAGGTCGAGATCACCTCCCTCAACTTTAGAGATATCCTTAAGACTTTGGGCCGCGACTACGATCCCAACCATCTCACCACAATCGGAGATGAGTTTGCTGGTGTCATCACTGCCGTCGGTGACAACGTCTCGCAGTTCCAGGTTGGCGATCAAGTGTTTGGTATGCACATGGCCCGCTCAATGTGCTCGCACATCACCTGTCCCACCGACTTGGTCTTCCCAATGCCAAAGGGCCTGACCGCCGCCGAGGCCACCACCATCCCAATCACCTTCCTCACCGCCTGGTACTCCATCGTCGTGCAGGCCAAGCTCCAGAAGGGCGAGAAGATCCTCATTCACTCTGCCGCTGGAGGTGTTGGTCTCTCTGCCGTGCAGATTGCTCAGTACCTGGGCGCCGAGGTCTTTGTCACAGTCGGCACCAAGGACAAGAGACAGTACTTGCAATCCACCGTTGGCATCCCAGCCGACCACATCTACAACTCTCGCAATGGCAGCTTCCTCGAGGAGATCCTCGCCGCCACCAACGGACAAGGTGTGGACGTTGTTCTCAACTCTCTCTCTGGCGAGCTCATCGACAAGAGCATCTTGGCACTTGCCAACTATGGTCGCTTCGTCGAGATTGGCAAGAAGGACATCTACTCAGACTCAAAGATTGGACTGCTGCCCTTCAGGAACAACCTGTCCTACCTCGCTGTTGACGTCGCACAGATGACCGTCAACCGTCGCCAGTACCTCTCCAAGATGATGCTGGACACACTGATCCCATTGTTTGAGTCAAAGGACCTCAAGCCACTGCCATTCACAGCATTCAGCATCAGCAACGTCGTGCAGTCTGTGCGCCACATGTCCACTGGCAACCACATTGGCAAGAACTTGGTCAGCTGGGTCGAGCTTGACAAGGCCACCACCAAGGACCTCACCCTCCAGCTCAACGCCAATGCCACCTACCTGATCACCGGTCTGGGAGGTCTTGCCATGACTTTGGCCAAGAAGCTGATCGCCATGGGAGCTACCGAGCTCGTCTTTGCCTCCAAGCGCGGCGCTGACACCATGCAGAAGCAGGTGTTCCTTCAGTCGATCGTTGAGAAGCACAACATCAGCTTCGTTGTCGAGACTTGCGATCTGACCAGCGCCAGCCAGGTCAGCGCACTTGTGTCCAAGTACGCCAACCTCAAGGGTATCTTCCACACTGCCGGTCTGCTCAGCGATCGTCGCATCGTCGAGCAAACTGTAGACAGCTTCAACACAGCCTTCCACTCCAAAGCCACCAGTGCCATCAACCTGCACAACGCCTCGCTCAACCTCCAGCTGGACTACTTTGTCACAATTGGATCGGCCATCACTGCCCTTGGAAACCCAGGACAGGCCAATTACGCTACTGGCAACAGATTCGTTGAGGCACTCACTCATCAGCGTATCAACAGTGGACTCAAGGCCAGCTGTCTCCATCTGGCACCAATCCCTGAGATTGGTATGTCTGCTGACGAGAAGGTCACTTTCATTCTCAGCAACATGGGCTTCACACCATACGCCAGCCTCAACTCAATGGCTGAGGGACTGGCTCAGTGTCTCAGCAACAAGAGCAAGGAGTCAGTGATCCACTACTGCGACTTCAAGTTTGCCAAGTGGCTCGCATCCGTTCCAGGCTTCAGAGGTCAGAGCTGCTTCAGCATTGAGGAGACTGTTGACATTGTCGCCGAGGACAATGAGACTGTTGGTGCTGACGCCTCCGAGTCATCGGACCAATCATCCGCCGACATTGAGCAATCACTCAAGGAGATCCTGTCCAACATCATGGAGATCAAGATTGAGAAGATCGATGCCAACTCTGCCTTTAAGGACCTTGGTCTGGATTCATTGCTCGCTTCCGAGCTCTCCAACTCGATCCACAAGAAGTTCAGCGTCTTTGTTCCATCGCTCTCACTTCTCGATCCCAAGGCCTCGATCAGCAAGATCATCAGCAAGATCAACCCATCTGCAGGTCCATCTGCCAAGAAGACTGCCGAGGACTACGAGAGCGAGGTGATCAAGGCCACCATCGAGTCAATCAAGCCAAGAAACAGATTGGCCGACCAGAAGAAGGCCGTTGCCAATGCCCTTTTGCCAAAGGTCGACACCATCTCGCTGGCCGTGCCAACAGTCCGCGTCAACAAGGCCAAGGTGATCGTGGAGAAGCAACAGATTGCCCCACCATCCTACTTCACTCCCCTCAGCTCAGCTGCCACCACACCAGTCTCTCCACTGTCCCCACGCGGCAACTCCCCAACCAAGACCATCTCCATGCCACCATCGCCCAAGTCGGATTCGGCCAAGCCAATGCTTCCCGCCGTCGATCTCACTCCTGCCGACTTTGCCACTGCTATCTACGCCATTGAGCCACTCTCTGCTCCATATCCAACCACTCAGAAGCACGTGTTTGACTCATACAAGGACCACACTAAGGAGTTGACCTTCATGACCAACGTCTACAAGAACTGCAAGATCAAGGAGCGCTACATGTTTGTTGACACCAAGGACCACATGACTCTCAACGCCATGTCCACTTCCGAGAAGAACATGATGTTCCCAACTATCATCCACAAGACCATCGTGGAGGCTGGTGAGCGCATCATCCAGAAGAACAACGTCGACCGATCATTGATCTCACATGTTGTCGGTGTCACATCCACTGGTATCCTTGCACCATCAATCGATGCCACTCTCTGTCGCGCACTCAACCTTGAGCAGACAGTTGGCAGAACAATGATCAACTTTATGGGCTGTGGTGCTGCAGTCATTGCCCTTAGAACAGCTGCCGTCCACGCCAGAAACAGACCAGGTACCTACGTTCTTGTGATGGCCGTCGAGTCGTCCACCACCAACATGGACATTGATCCCAACGAGAAGGGTGACATTGTCTCTGGCTGCATCTTCTCCGATGGTTGTGCCGCTGCATTGGTCACATGCCAGCCAAAGGCCAACCTCGTTGGCAAGCTTCAGGTGGTCGACGACATCTCTTTCCTCATGAAGGACTCTGGAGACGCACTCTTCATGCACATGGGCAACAGAGGTATCGATCTTACTCTCAGACCAACACTCTCAACTGCCATCGAGAAGAGCATCAAGTCCACCATGGACTCATTCTTGGGTGGTCACGAGCTGGAAGTCAGCGACATGGAGTTCTGGGCTGTCCATCCAGGTGGACGTAAGATCTTGGAGGCCGTGCACCAGGGTCTCAACTTGGGTGCCGAGGAGTTGGCTGAGTCATACGAGGTGATGAAGTGGTACGGAAACATGGTGTCGTGCTCTGCACTCTACGTACTCAAGCGTATCCTCGAGAAGATCAAGGTACTCAAGATCGAGAATGGAAAGGGATTGCAACAAGGTGTAGTCATGGCATTCAGTCCAGGTGCTTCCATCGAAGCAATGTTGCTCAGAATGATCAATGCCGAATAAGGCACCAATCGCATCATTGGTTGTATTAATAATAAATCACGAGTTACTTTAAAGTATTTGTCAATTCACTTTTATTGGTTGTTTGACTGGTCGTCCAATCTTTCCATTGAGAAAGATTACTATTACATACGTATATCTATATTCTCAAGTGCAATAATTTTGGTGGAGTGATACTCCTCGATGGCTTGGATGGCTGCAACACTCTCGGTTAAACTTACAGCCTTTCCTGTGCGACCAATGCGACTTGTTCTACCAACACGGAGGAGATAGGTCTCTGGATCAACTGGCATATCGTAGTTGATGACCAATTTACCGACCTCCACGTCTGGGCTACCAGCAAGAACATCTGTTGTGATGAGAATACGGCTGTTGAGTAGGTTCATGGGTAGGAGATATCGGTTAGGGTACGAGGGAAAGGGAATTGATAAATGTCAGGTGGTAGGGTACATACTGTTGACCACTTTTGAAGGAAACCAATCTCATTGAACGTGTCTGCTGATCGGTACCACTATGGATATAGGTGGTTGGAACACCGTCGGCGCCGTACTTGGCGTATACCTCCTCAACAGTTGCTTCAGAGTTGCAGTATACTATCACAAAAGACAAAGTGTGGTGATCGGTAATATCCTTCAACACACTATACTTGGTCTTTGGGTCATTCACCGAGTAATACTGATCGACGCCATCGAGATACCTGGCATTATGAGTCAAGATCTTGACTGGATTTTTCATCAACTTCTCTATCATTGCATCGACGTCTTTGTTCATCACATTGGGCATCAAGACAACCTGGGTTGTTGACTTCAAATGACCGTAGATCTCGTAGACAACATCTGAATTTTTATGGAGAATCATTTCGTCTGGCTCATTCAGAACCAACATATTGACATTCTCTGTCTTCATTGAGAACCTGTCGATGAGAGTGAGGACACGGCCGGGGAGACCACAGACAATGTGCACACCAGCCTCGAGACGACTGGTATCATTGCTCGTGGGCTTGTCGATGGCAGCAAGAACTTGAACCTTTGTGGAGGCTCCAAATGAGGTCAAAGTCGTCATTGTCTGCAAGGCAGACTCGCGTGTAGGAGATAGGATGATCACCTGGGTGGACATGTTGCTCTGATCCACAACTTGCAGCGCAGAGATTGATAGAACGGCTATCCTGTCTGAGGAAACGGGTGTCTGTACAACATAGTCGCCTCCCTTGATGATGGGAAGAATGGAACGCTGTTGTAAGTCTGTTGGGCTCTGGAGACCAGAGTTATGAATACCCTTCAACAGTTCAGCTTGCAAGTTCATCTCCTCAAATGTTGAGAATACTTGAGAGCGAGAGGAGAGTGATTGTGAGTGTATTTTGTGTAAGTTAGTTTGTCTAGTTGACCATTTGTAGTTTGATTGTCAAACATACCATTGGTTTCGGTCATTTTATTGAATGATTAAGTTATGTTATTGATTAGATAGTTATATAATATATGTTTGATTAATTAACTTATGATTGATATTGATAATGTTACTTTGGGGCAAGTCGATGACTAGATCATTAGGATCATTGACTTTATTAATTGAAATCAGTTAATATCATCAAGGTAGAGCCGGGTAGGCCCTTGTCGTCAGTAAAACAAGTGATGCAAAGATTCGAAGAGGGCCATTTTGATTTTGTAGTCTGACTATCTTTGCACCGGGATATTTCTGAAGTGTGGTGAACAGGGGATAATGGTACGATTCCAAAGTTTTGTTTTATTTATTTTATGTTGTCGTTCTTGTTAATCTTTGTTGGTGGCTGTTGTTGAATGGTTGTGTTATCGACTTGGCTATCTCCGCTACTTCCTCCTCGGCCTCTCTTCTTGTTCATTGCTTGTTGCTCCTTGTACTGTGTGAATATTGATTGAATGATTGTGTCCGACTTGAATTGAGTGCATGTTTTGACACCTTTTAGTTGGAGAGCGGCACCAATATCCAATAAATACTGTAACATTAAATGATCTTGTCGTCTGACCAAATCCATGGTGAACAGAGGAAGAATGGTTGATTTGATTCGTTCCAAGACCTCTTGACCAAAGTGTTTGAGTATACATTCCAACAATGAGATACGATTCACATTGTCATTCAAGAGTACCTTCTTCAAAATCAGGTACATGGTATCGTCCTCGTGACCATTCTCAAAGACACTTGATACGCTAGTCTTTTTGACATAATTTCTAAAGTTGATTGACACTGGTGCCAATCCAAAAATCATTTCGACTTGTTCCACGTTTCCACACTCAACGGTGTATTGACGGTAGCTAATTGGTGATATCAAAGTTGGATGATTGGTATTCATGTGCGTGATGAGATGTGTCTGATTCTCCAAGATCGCTTGCCTCATCATTTGATCGACACCTTCACGAATTGACACCAATGCTTCCACAACTTTCGGACGACGGCCGTACTCAATGGCCATGTCAATGTCTCCAATCTCTCCGATTCTCGCCCAGTACGATGTGCTGGTTGTGAGGTGGCTGTCCATGAGGTACTTGAGCATGGCATACTTTGGTCGACCAGTAATTGTCATTTCAAACAACCACTCTCTCTGGATGTTGATAATGTTGGAGAATGTACTCGACCATGTCGAATCAATTGAGAGCCACAGCAAGTCGCAACTGATCCTGATGGTGGATCAATGATGGTGCATTGTTGATCATGTACTCCCATCGCTGGGTATCAACGAACAGTAACTTGAACTTGTTCAGGTCAGAGATGAGGAACTCGAGCATGTCCATCGATCCTGTAAACACTGTGAACTTTAAATGTGTTTGGAATTTGATGTTGTGCTGATTGAGTAGCTTGAGCAACTCAAGTTTGAAAGCACAATTGTGATCACTCGTCATGAACATTTTGTAGAGTTGATAATCGTCGAGATTGTAATTCTGCTTGGCCTGATCCACGACACCAGTGACCATGAACTCAATGAGTAGCTTGGCCTGTGTCAGTGTACCATTTTGGACGATTCTGCGAAGCAAGGAAACATCACGGCCACTGTGTGTAGCTAGGTGTTGAATGAGAATGCAATCACCTGTTGCTATGTAATGGTCCAATCCAAAGCTGAGATCCCACCTCGAGGATGACCAATGTTTGTCTAAGTAAAAAAAGTACTTGACGACGGCCAGTCGGTACTCATCATTGATGATGGTCACCTCCGGTACAGTTCTTCCAAAACTCGCCATCGCTCTCATTGCATGCCCTCTTGACTTTGACAGAAATATAGTGGCTTTTTGATCGCTGATTGGATGATTGATGCCCAACACCTTGTATTTGATCATGAGCTCAATATGTGCCATTTGTTTATCCAATGTAACATTGTACAAGAGGTCAAAATCACCAATATTTGAGGGTATGTATGTTCCATCTTTGGGCGGTTGATGGCTTGACACCAACTCATCGATAAGTTGTTGGTCGCCAGTGAGGTGGACATACTTGACATGATCGTGAGCCAATGAGCGGACAAGATTAGGCAGCTCCTTTGGAAGGAATGACAAGGATGATGCGTCTAAAACTGATCTGATGAACTTGCTCGAACGAGTATAGAAGACATGTCGAACAATTTCCGATTGATCAATGTTGCTTGACCATGTGAGATGTCCATGTTCCAGAAGGTACTTGACCATCTCGATATTCTTGCTCCCGATAGCTGACGCCCAGATCCACTTTTGATCAATGGTGTTGAACTTGATTGGTTGTGATTGGTTGATCAGTGTATGAGCGATATGGACGTTGCCGGCTTTGATCGAGCACTCCAAAAAGTTATCAGAGTTGAAACTGGTTTGAAAGCGACTGTAAACCATGTCGAATGTTTCCTTGTCAATGTCACTGCTGAGCATATCGAGGAGGACCCCCTTGTCAGGCGTGTCAATATGCATGTTGCGTTTGATACGATCACGCAATAGACCATAATTTCGTCCATTTAACATCTCTTTGCAGCTTGTCCAATGTCTATAATTTAGACGACTCCTATATATATTTTGGATTGAGTCCCACTTGTTTGACGATTCACTATTGATCAGTTTGACCAGTGTTCTTTGATGTTGAGCATCGTGTATCTTTTGAATCTCATTCACAATCGATCTAAATAGTACTCTATTGGTAAGTACTGATATTATTAATTTGGTATTATTTGTTGTAGTTGTATCTTTATCTGTATATGTCATCTTGGCAAAAGTTGAAAATGTTTGGGAATCCAGGCATGACACATGTCAAACTATGTTCGTTTCCCGCATTTAGAAGATTTATTTCGTCTATCTCCATAACTCTGAACTTCCTTAGTACTTCTTTGGAAGGCCTCTTATGGCCTTCTTCTTGTTGATTGCTTGTTGCTCCTTGTATCGTTTGAATATTGATTGAATGATTGTGTTGGACATGTAATGGGCACATGATGTCACTGTGTGATTGACTTGGAATGTTGCACCAATATCCAACAGGTGTTGCAACATCACATCATCCTCTTCTTTGACAAGATCCATTGTGAACACTGGAAGAATGATTGATTTGATCCCAGCCAAGTCCTTTTGATCAAAATGTTTGAGTATACAATCCAACAGAGCGATGCCATTCATATTGCCAATGAGTACCTTCTTCAATATAATGTACATGGTATCAATCTCATAGAGTGAGCTTGACTTTTGAGTATAGATATTCAAGTCAATTGACACTGGTACCATCTCAAGGAAGATGTCGATCTGCTCCGTGTTGCCACACTCAATGGCGTATTGACGGCAGCTGAATGGTGATATCAAAGTTGGATGATCGGTCATCATGTGCCTGACGAGATGTGTCTGATTATCTTTGATCGCTCGTCTCATCATCTGATGGACACATTCATGTATTGATACCGCGGCAGCCAACAACTGTGGATGACTGACGTACTCAATGGCCATCTCTGCAATGTCAATGTCTCCACTCGCTCCGATCCTGTCCCAGTACCGTGTGTCGGTTGTTATGTGATTCTCCATGAGGTACTTGATCATCGCATACCTTGGTCGTCCAGACAATGTCATCTCGAACAACCATTGTCGATGTTGATAGTGTTGGAGGATGTACTCGACCATGTCGAATCGATTGAGCGTCACGGCAAGTAGCAGTTGATCGTGATGGTGGATCAATGATGGTGCATTGTTGATCATGTACTCCCATCGCTCCGTGTCGACGAACAGTAAGTCGAACTTTGCTACCTTGTTCAAGTCTGAGATGAGGAATGCAAGGATGTCTATTGACTCTTCAAACACTATGAACCTTCGACGCCTTTCGAATGCGATATTGTATCGGTTGAGTAACTTGAGAAACTCGAGTTTGATCGTCGAGTTGTATTCTCTCTTTATGAACATGATGTAGAGTTGATCATCGACATTGCTTTGATTGACCAACTTCTCAATGATGCCACGGTGCTCTGTGGCAAAGCACTCAAGTATCTTGGCTTGTGTCAGTGTGCCAATTTGGATGATCCTACGGATCAAGGCAATATCACGGCCATACCTATGTGTGGCCAGGAATGGAATGAGTACGCAATCACCAGTAGCAATGTAATGGTCTAACAACCCAAAGATGGACGTGCTCTTTGAGTTTGATCGATGATTGGCCAGATATTGCACGAGTTTGACAACTGCCAATCTATAATCATCACTGATGATCACCTCTGGTTCTAAGATTGCACCTCTCGACATCTTTCTAACTCTCATTACATGCTCATTTGAGTCTGACAGTAGTATGTTTGCTTGTTGATCAGTGATTGGCTTTAGGTTCAACACTTTGAATTTGATCATCTGCTCAATGTATGCCACCTGTTGTTCTAATGTAGCATTGCACAAGAGGTCACCATCATCGATATATTGAGATATGTATTCTCCGTACTTGGGTTGTCTAGGTTGATGGTTTGACACCAACTCATCGATAAGTTGTTGGTCGCCAGTGAGGTGGACATACTGGACGTGATCATGAGCGAGTGAGCGGACAAGAGCTGGCAGCTCCTTTGGAAGGAATGACAGGGATGATGCGTCCAACAATGATCTGATGAACTTGCTCGAACAAGTGTTGAAGATAAGTCCAACAATCTTTGAATAATTTATCTTGCTTGTCCATTTGATGTATCCACTTACTACAAGGTACTTGATCATCTCGATACTCTTGCTCTGAATGGCCGACGTCCAGATCGACTCTTTGGTAATGAGATAGGACTTGATTTGATGTCTATGCTTGAACAGAGTCTGACATTGTAAATATTGACTTTTGGTAATGTTGTTGAAGATGATTGTTGTTGTATATATGTTGTTAATGTTGAGGTTGTGTCTGTCATCTTGGAAAAGTGAGGATGTTGAATAATGGTTGGACAATGAAGTGGGTCGATGTTGTAAGTTGGTATTGTAATAACAGCATTGTTTCCAGGAATTGTTGACATGTCACGAGAGTATTGAAGTCATGCATGCGATGTTGACCAAGTTAAGTTGGTAAGTGTTGACACTATATATGTAAATCGATCAATCAATCTTAGTGACTTTAGTAGGTTGGTGTTCATCATCATCATTGACTTGTTGTTGTTGGACTGATGCCTCTTCTTCTCCATCGACGCTGTCTCGAACTCTCTTCTTATTGTTGTTCATTGCTTGTCGTTCCTTGTATTGTTTGATTATTGATTGAATGGGTGCACTGGACTTGTAGGCTGAACATGATGCTACACCTTTAAGTTGGAACGTTGCTCCAATGTCCAAGAGATGTTGTAACATCACAATATCATTCTTCTTGATCAAATCAATTGTGTATAATGGGAGTACTATTGACTTGATTCCAGCTCTGACCTCTTCACTCACATGCTTGAGTATGCAATCCAATATTGGCCGGCCATCTTTATGATCCACAATCGCTGTCTTCAAATCACTATAATGTGCACAACTATTAATAGCTGAGTTGTTGGGGAATTCGATCTTTAGAGGTTCCATTCCAAGTAGGATGGAGAGTTGCTCCAAGTTGCCCTTCACAATGGCCAATCCATGATATTTCTCAAAGTTGGTAGTGATCAAACATCGATGATTGTAGTACAAGTGAGTGAGAGTTGGGTCTGATTGAATTTGATTGCCTGTTTAAACATTAAGGATACACGTTCATCCAATGATTTGGTCTCGTTGGATGATCGTTGAACATACTCGATGGCCATGTCTGCCATCCTAGTGTCACCAATCTGACCAATCCGCTCAAAGTATGTTGTTGATTTGGAAGTGTGATGATCCATCAGCCATTGGAACATGTCATAATCTGGACGGCCAGCCATTGTCAGTTCAAACAACCATTCACGATTGTAAAATTGCCTGAGTCCATAGATGAGTTGGACAATGTCATGTTGACCAAGCATCACAGCAAGTTGAAGTTGTTGAGTGTGATTGATCAATGATGGTGACTTGTCGAGAACATACTCCAAGTGTTTGATATCGATGAACATGGAGTGAACTTGACGATCTTGTTGCGGTCGGACACCAGGAACTCGAGCATGTCCATCGAGCCTTCGAATATCGATTGACTATTGGTTGCTTTGTCCAAATGAATATTGTGATCGTTGAACATCATGAGCACTTCCAGTTTGAGTGAGCTGTTGTGTGATGTCATGAACACAGGGTAGAGTCGATTATCAATACTGGGGTATTTGCCGAGGTCTTGGAACAAAGACGTAAGCTCTGGTTTGGATGGTGTTGATGAGGAGTGTGAAGTTGATGAAGAAAGGGTGGATGAAGTGGAATCTGATGACATTGAACTCATCGCAGACACAGAAGTAGACTATTTTAAATAATTGCAATTGATTAATTGTAATCATTATCAACCCTCCTTGGAACTGGGCGTCGTTTATCATGTGCCAACACATGCCATCTTCCTGGTGTTGGTTCATCGTCTTCAATCTCGATCACTTTTGGGGGTTGAGCTTTTCTTTTTGGACTGTTTGCTTGTGTTGGAATCGCCTCATCAACATCAACAATCTCATGACCTCTTAAAACACTCAATGGTGGTTTCTCTTCATCATTATGTACAACTTGTAATTGATTCTTTGTGTAATAGATCTTACTACCTTCAACTTTGTACAATGGTGGATATCCAGGTATCAGCAGCAATCTCTCAATAATCTTGACAACAGGATTCCATTTAATATCACCAGCTCTGAAGTTACCAAACACTCTCTTCCTAGTCGTATAATCAATAGGTTCATCCAACTTAACACGCACTTTCATTCCTTCATTCAACAAATCACAACTGTCACCAGAACAAACAACATCATCACTAACAGGCTTCTTCTTCTTTGGGTCAACCTTGAATCTCTCATTCATTGCTTTGATTATCTTTGGCAAGTCTTCAATCCAATGTTTACTTGTCTCACCTGTCAACATCTCTTGTGCAGTCATCCTCTTCATCAACACAGCACCCAGGGTCTTATTCCTTGACTCAACTATTGCTTGCATACGATGTCTATCAGGTACACCATATTTTATATACACACCTTTATCCTCAAAGTACTTCTTTGTCTCACCTTTGAACTCACTTCCAGGATCCATTTGTATTTCTTTTGGAATTACCAACATTCCCCTTCGATAAATTTCCATAAAAGCATCCTTGACAGCAGCACTACCCTTGGTCTTCAATGGTTCAGCATCTGTAACACGATTACCAAGATCAACAACAAGTTGTCAACAACCAGTGCATATTTGTATCCATTATCATCTGGAAGGAACAACAGATCAGCTTGTTGTTTCAATCCAGTCTTAAACACTTGGATATGTGGCATGTTCAGACCTTTGTCTTTCTTTGGTTGTTTGTATAGTTTGTACAACTCCTGTTTGTCCAAATACGCTTTGCTCGCTTTGATGTCCTTAACCTTCTTCAGACCATAAGTTTGGTAATATTCATTAGACATATATATGGATTGGGATGAAATTAGAGAAAGAATACATAGACAGGACAGAGCAGCGAACAAAAGATGGGAGAGAGAGAATATTCGCAATCGTACAAAGAAGACTAAAAGAACAGAACCAACGGAAAAGGTAAGGAAGGAGTTTGAATATAGAATCAAAAACTCAAGTGGAGATTATTATTATCCAGCTTACCAAAAACAATACAGAGAGGATAAATCAGAATACTTCAAACAATACAGGCAACAACGTAAGGATCGTTTAAAGAATAACCAATAATTATAAATGTCCTACATTGACTTATTCAATGATTTTGAAACCACAGACATTACAATCCTAGATAGTCTTATTCTAACTGGTCAACTCAACATGGAAGTAAACACAAATCAGATTACATTTGGCGTTGAGGACCAAGTTACACTCAATGTTAACACAGACAACAAATCAGTAATCACTCTTCCATCATTCACTCCAAGTGCCAATATCATCATCTCAGAGACAGATCAAACAATCAATGGAGTCAAGTCATTCATGGATGGTATTCTCCTTGGTGATTCATATGAACCATTAAAGAATTATGGAACATACAGAACGATATTTAATTGGGTATATGGAAATCAAGTAGTTGAAGGAAGTGCGATCATTCAAAGGATTGGTAACTTGGTATCATACACAGAAATAACATTCCCTGCATCTACATCAAATGACTTTATTAGGTCCGCTCCATTCATTTCATTTGATATCTGGGGAAAGACAACAATTCCTATGTTCTATCAAATTAACGTTCCAATACTTGGAAGGATGTTATGTCAGAATGGACAATTGATTATTACTGCTCAAGATGGATCATCAATACGTACTACTGATCAAGTGTTGATAGTACATCCAACAACAGTGAGTTATGTGTTAGATAAATGATATTAATCAATCTCATTTATCGTTTAGTCTTACGTTTGCCTCCTGTCTTTGCCTTTCGTTTGCCACCCCCATCAATTCCATAAGAGGTACCTCCAGATTGTCTCTTGCGTCTTGGTTTCTTTCCATATCCAAGTGACTCTGCAGCAGTACCAGCAGTACCAGCAAATGGTACACCTGCTACATCCAACGCTTTGGCAGCTCTACTAATAAGCTTGTGTTCTTTAACAGCCGCGTGTGCTTTCTTGATCCAGTCAAAGAACCCGTCCCCGTGTTGCCCAAATGGCAATGGTTGTCCTCCAAGACTTGTATGTCGTTGATGATGCAAATCACTAATCATTCCACCACGATGATGATGTCGACCTGATCCATATGCGTCTATCATTGCCGCCTGATGATGTAAAACCGGATGTGAACAGTACATGTATATTAATTGAGAATAAATTGTTGATTGAAGTCTTGTCTAAAATCATTTCCATTCCTGGATATATACAAGAAGTGATACATCTCCCTAGTGGCTGTGTTATACATGTCAACAAACTTCTTAAGTGGCATTGTTAAAGACAACTCATTGTATATTGTCTTCAATGTGTCATCACTCAAGTTCTTAAACAACAACACATAATCTAAATTGCCTGTCCTTATTGACCTTGCAGTGTCTTTCCATGATTGTGTACTGATGATGATCTTGCTCCTGAAATGTCGATGAATCTTCATCAACCGGGGTATAGATGGGTCTTTCAACTCATTGGACAAGTCATCAAATATAATAATATATTCTGGAGCAACCGCTTTGGGTTTCTTTGGTGGTCCTTGTGGCTCATCAAATGAAGTATCTGTACCAAGTGGAACAGATGATGGACCGATCAATGTTGTCTTGATCATTGGCATACCAACAGGCCTTAATGGTGTCGCTTTTGGAACACCTATTGATGCAATTGGTGCTTGAGGACCTTGTAAAGAATTGATCAATGCATCCAAGTAATTCACTTTTCCATCCTTGATGCTTACAAATGTCTGGAATGGTATTCCTCTTTTTGTCATTTCAGCTTGAATTGCCAACCATGCAGCATCATTATTAACCGTTGCACAAAATATGATTACCTTGGTATTCTCACCAGTACAATCATCAATAATCTTCTTGATTGTAACAGTCTTGCCACTATTCTTAGGAGCTGTTATTAATATGTTGGCACTCACTTGATCAAACAATTTCGAACCTTTGATCAACTTTGGTTTCTTTGGTAGTTTGATTGGCTCCACCTCCACATTATTGATTGTCTTGAGTGATATCATTATATTAATACTTTACAAACTCCAAAGCAAATGTTACAGGTACATTGTTAACCATCCTGTTTCCTTTATGATCAACACATTCAAAATAATATGAACCTTGAATGAACCTCTCACTCTTATTTATGTATTTGTAATTGGGTGCCATGAAGTTGACTTGTTCAGTTGAACAAAACATAATATTGTCAGGAATAAGATTGGTTCTAATTACAGCAATATTATCTCCAGGTGCATTAAATATATAAGCATAGGATTTTAAAATTATTAGATCCGGAACAAAATCAATATTAATTGGTACCAATACCTTACCGTCTCCACCTTCTGGTGGATCACCTTGAGTTCCAGGTAGAATTAAATTAACAAACACCGTCTTTACGCACATTGATTTAGAGTAACCCATTTATATTATGTATTTATTAATAAATAATATTAGACAAGGACAATACCATTGGGAGTAATAACCATCTTACGTTTACAAACAACTGTACTCTGATGTGTCAAATTGGTTGCTGCACTGAGGAATCCAACAAAGTCCCACTTCTGTTCTCCAAGGTTCAGATCAATACCAGTGATTGCATTGTCCTTATTAAAGTTAGAAGTTCCATCACCAAACTCCTCAATCCAACACCAGTTCCTTTTACTAATTTGTGGATTTAATATTGTAGAATCCTTGAGGATCCATCGTAAAGCCATGTAATCATCATTTGGCAACAAATAGTAGTCATATTGCATTAGCCTGTTGTTATTGAGGTTAGTGTAATAGTGGTCAAGATTGGTTGCACGCCAGTTGTTGTTGTAAATTGCAGTGTTGATAGCCGTTGCTGTAAGGAATAGACTGTGATAGATCCTTTCCAATGTCATTCCATTCTGCCTATTTACACGCAGGGTTACTGATTGATTTTGTCCAGTTAAAGATGCTTGGTAAGAATAACAGTATGGAATCATAAATGAAAATCCTTCTGGACTTTGAATCTTTGATTGTAATTCATTTACAATTGCCAAGTTCTTCTCAACAGCAAGGTAGATAGCCATATCAGTAATATTGAAATTTGCTGGTGCTGGGATGGGAGCTGGACCTGTTGTTGGATTGGGGAATGGGTTAGGTTGAATGGCTGGTGATGGATCTGGAAGAGCTCCAGGTGGATCAGCAGCGAAAGCAATGTTGGACAACTCAGACCAAACGAATCTAACCAATAGTGTCTCATTCAACATAATGTCTTTGTCAACTGAAAGAACAGACTCGTAAAGTTCATTGAATGGTATTGTCACTGTTACATTGGCAGCTTGGGATGCAGTGATAAAATATCTTACCTCAGTCTGAGGCACAACTCCTTCTTGTCCCAGACTGTTTGGATTGTAGATTAAGTCACCTCGATAAGCAATTGGCGATTGTGATGACACACACGGTATAATGTATTGATCATCACCTGCAGTGTAACTGGCAAATGTATTCTCTGTTTCAACCAATGGTTTGTTCCTCATTGTAACCATCTTTGCGTGCAAATGGAAGTTGGTATGATCCATCAGATACAGTCCTCCTCTTGTGAACACCTGAATCTGTCTAAAGAATGGACAAAAGTCAGCAAACATCAACTGATTCTTGTTAGCTATACCAGGTAAGTTGAATATGAACCTAAAGAATGATCTAGACAAGTTGTATGCTTTGGAAGGTGGAATCTCAAAGATTGTATCATTGCCACCTGCATAGACAGTTGTTTGAGTTGTTCCTGACTGAGGAAACAGTCTTGTGTATTCGTACTCTGGTTCTGCAACTAGCAAAGGTGTATAGTCAAGTTCTTTCGATACTACGTTCTCCATATGTATATATTAACCGATTATATATTTCTATCGACTTCAATGCTCTCGTGATCTTTGACCAGCAAGTAGTTAATGTATTGTCTTGTCAAGTCATAGATGTCGTTGTGTCTGAACAATATGATCGTCAGGTTCATGTCAACACCATTGAGGAATATTTCTACACCATCCTTGTCTGTCAAGTAGATGTAGAATGTCTTCTTTGTCTTTGACACTAGCTGTTTGGAGTATGCTTCAAGGTTATGATTAGTCCAATTGACATATGCAAAGTCAGGTACACCAGCTGAACATACTTCTTGTAGAACATCATCTGATCCATTGCTGCACAGATCTGAATGAATGTACAATATGTTCTCGATCTGTAGATCAATGACATTGGTGCTAACAAGTGCTCCATCCACGAAATAGTTTGTCGAGTCTTGTTCAAAGCCTAAATGATGGAATAGGTCTTCACACAAGAACGTGTACTTGCCTGTGTTTGGTTGTTTTGATGTTGGCCATGTGATAGAGTATGTGTACTTTCCTGGCGATGCAGCATTGAGTAACGATGTAATCGTGTCTTGTAAAGACAGTCTGCTGTAGTTGCCAACAGGCACAGTTATTAGTGCACTCACGTCATACTCTATCAATGTGAATGTGTTTCTATTCCTTGGCACTGTGTAGAATGACTTGGGAATGCATGCTTGTAACACTGCAACACGATCGAACTCATCATACTCATAAGTCTCAAGTGAAGTTGTGAAGTGCGAGATCGTACCACTCGATCTGTTCAATGAATTGACATAAAATATCCTCTTGTGGGTTATGAGACTCATTTATTATAATTAAATATATATAATGACATCATCAAAGAAAGGTTACGCTGGATCAGCTGCCAATCTTGCCAAATGGAGAGAAGAACAGAAAGCATTGAAAGAGTCTGAGTATGTTATTTTTGATTCAGATGATGAAGATACAGATAAAGAACAAGTGGCTGCACCAGAACCAGCGCCTGTCGTCAAACCAATCAGACCATACAAGCCTCGTGCACCTAAAGCAACGCAAGCTGACAAGACAGTGCAACTAGAGAAGAAGCTCGATGACTTAATGTCACAGTTCACAACGTTCATGTCAAAGCCAGCAGAGGTACCAATACCAGGACCATCACAACCAATACCAATCCCACAACCTGATCTTGTACAACAATATCAACAACAACGTCCAAGGTACTTACAATCAGACATACTCAAACACAAGTTGCTTACCAAATTCTAACAATCGTCTAACTATCATGTATACATCATGGTTAAACACAATGTACATCTAGAGGTGCGAACAGACAAGGGCAAGCTACGTGTCCACATCAAGAAGGTCAGACCTGCGCGATTGCGACGTGACAGCAAAGGGAGATACATCAGGAACAAAGGACAGAAGAAGTACATCAACTCACGCAAGTCTGATTTGGAGCTGATCAAGAAGTTGATTGCCGAGGCACGATCAGTTGGTAAGACAGTTCATCCAGTCAGCAGTGGTCCAGCTATCAGTACTAACGAGGCTGCATACATCAAATCAATACAGGACTCCAATTACAGAGAGGCACTGTTGAAGAATGCAAAGGACTTGGAACAACAAACCAGAGCAAAGATTGATGCGATCCAGGTGCCAGCACCACAGTTGGCGTTGCCAGCACCTATCGTTCCTTTGGCAATACAAGGACCAGCACCTGAACCCATTGAGCAAGATATACCACAAGCATATGTCGAACAACAGGACCGGGCGAACGAACTCAATAGAGTGACACATGGCATGGTCAAGAACATACAGGGCGCACTCAATCAACGTCTACAGGAGGACCTCCAGCGATTCGAGTTGGACAAACAACACAGAGAGCAGTTGTTGCAGGCCAAGGAACAACGTCGACAAGAGAAGATTGAGTATGAACGATCAATGACACAACATCAAATTGATGTCCTCAACAGTCAGAAGGAGATTCTTGCACGACTACCTATATGGCCAGGTGAAAAGCAGGTAGAGGTTGAGAAAGAGAAGGAAGACATCAACATTGGTATTCACCTACTACAAGCACAACAGGAACAGAGAGAACTCGAAGCACAGATCAAGATTGAAAAAGATAAAGAAGCGGTCGAGAGGATCAATACAATGGAGGAGAAGAGTCTACAACGAATGGCTGATGTATCAACACCAGCAAGTCCTCTCAAGAAGAACTGGCCTGCTGAGCACAAGGCGAGTGTCGGTAGAGAGATTGATACCAAGAAGAAGATGACAGGTATGGACCCAACGACAGAGGAGTTCAGTGACTTGCGAGAGAAGCTGTTCACTGAGGAGGCCAAGCGACAGACCATGCCCACTAACAACAAGGCATACGATCCAGCACTCGCAGCAAAGTACAAGGGCAAGGCAGACAAAGCATTGGAGAATGGTGATGATAATAGAGCCAACAGGTACATGGACATGTTGACAGCGGAACAGCGCAAGAGGCCAAAGACAACGAGCAAGATACCAATGCGAACAACAACATCACCAATACCAAAAGTCAAAGAGGAGCAGTCATCACCTTACGCATCACCTCCACTCACATCGACACCAGTCATGCCAACAACCAGTCTCAAGTCACTTAAGAAAGTACCAGAATCAATCTCACCAAAGGTAGCAGCGAGTGTACAGAGTCATTTAGCTTCAGACAAACCGATTGCCAACCTCAACTATCAACTGATCAAGGACATGAAGGATACACCAATTGACAAACGTGGAATCATTATGAAGGATATACTCACAGAGACAGAGAAGGCAAGGATGATACAAGCATTACCATCATTAAAGATTGTGTCAGCAGCAGCACAGCCGACAGTGTTGTCATTGTTACAACAGTACTTTGATGGTGATCTTGGTACCAAACAACTACAACAAGAGATGACCAAGGCGCTCAAGAAGGAGAAGAACAAGTTCACTCTTCACGACAGCATTATCAACGAGGCACATCAGTTGCATAAGAAGTTACAGATTGGTCATGGTCGCGATGACAACAAAGGACTGTATGATTATGAGATTGAGAAGTTGATGGAGCCATATCATAAGGATGGATTCGAGGGCGTGATTGCCAGTGATGAGTTAGATACATTGAAGCCAATGGACCGTATGTCGTTTATAATGAATCTGGACAAGTCCAATCAACCTGGATCGCATTGGGTCATCTTGCGCCCTCTGCTCAGCAAAAACGGCATCAACCGAGCGAATGGTGTATTGAACATATCTATATTGTCAACTGCTCTGACCATGATGTGTCCATTGACTGTTGGTGTTATCCGATCCATAGAGTAGTTTTCTGGTAGTTTGAGATCGTATGATCGTGTTGTTAGTGTTGCGCCACCCTTGAGCTGTCTCACTTCATCATGACCATTGACTGTGATGCATCTCTTGACCTTATTTCGCTTGGACAATGCACCCCAAAGTCGTTGGTATAATTCCTTAGAACGTGGAACTCCAGCCTTGATCCAGCCGAGCACCTGATCGATGTAGTCACCAAACAGCGTGACAGAGTACATCCTACACTCTGGACCATAGACAAGTGCATTTGGCTTGTTGTCGATCTTGAGGTTGTACGTCAATCCAAGTTCTGTCGCCAGTGCTAGATCATAGTTGGTGTAGTAGTTGTGTTTGTTAGTCTTGAATGCTCGGTGTTCTCCATTGATGATCGCTCGATATATACCGAATGGTGGATGGGTCATGTCGTTGTCTGTCAATTGTTTGAACTCACCACGCTTCATTGGGACCATGAAGTTGCTGTTCTTGAGAATACACGCATACATCTTACACACGTCATACTTGTAGAGAGGACCAATATAGCCACCTTCGACTGCAAAAACCAATGGTCCACATGATGCCTTTGATATCCACTCGCCTTCGTCCTGCTGTATGTGTTCTGGATACACTGCTTTGTTGTAGGAGAGGAAGTGTGAGATGGCTGCCTTGTTGATGTTGTGACCAGTGTAATACATGTCGATGATTCCATTCGTACCTTGTTTGAGAGCATCAGCATCGGCGATGAATGATTGTAGTGTCTCCTCCAATGTCTTGCCTGATAGTATCTTGACAAACATGTATTGTGATTCGAACTTGAGTCTCCTCTTCTCTTTGATGAAGTCATCCATGCTCATTGTGCTGTGGGTCACTCCATCATAGAGATGAACGTTCTGGTCATCATATTTGAATGCCACTGGTTTCATCACTCTATCCTGCTTCTTGATTGCAACACCTTTGAGTTGGTATGTGTCTGTCGTGTCAAGTGTGTAGTGGCCATTGGTTAGCTTGAGTCTGATCTCTCTCGGGAAGGTCTTAATCGATGTGAAGATGTGATCACCTCGCACATATATACGCACCTTGAACTTGTCTTCGACTCTCGAGAGCATGTTGATTTGGACAGGGTCCTTTGCATCCAGATTGAGGAACTTCTTCAGTCGAAGAGGTGCATTGCAAGTGTTGACAATGTCTGGGTAGCATTGCTTGATGCAGTGATAGAGACAGTTATTCCATTCACTGCTGCATCCACCTGCTTTGGGATTGGCCTTCTGTACGAATATGCTGAATGATTGGAATGTGTCAGGCTCATCGATTGGAGCACCGTCATAGTCATGAGGATGGAACATGTCAATACGCTCACCTACCTTTGTGAATCTACCTGATCTGAACTGATTGCCTGGATATCTCAGGACGACTTCGACTCTAGTGTTTGGATTGGCACCCTTGTTGTAGAAGGCGTTGCTGTATCTCTGAGCGATGTTGGCAATATGCTCACGCGTGTAGTTGCCATTGTATCTGTATTGTTTGAAGCCGATGCTGTTGAGTCTGTTGCGATCCATTGTTATATATATCTAATTGATAAATTAATTATATATTATTATTTGTTTGTTGCTCCATCAACTGTTTGTGAATGTTGCCTTGTCTGTGGCGATGGATGTTTGTTATCCCAATTGGGAAGCCACACTCACACAGGACTTTTTGACGAAGATAGGCTTTGTGTTTCTCTCGGAACTCCGGATCAGATTGGTATTTGATCTTGAATGAACTCATTTATATTATATTACTATATTATTTTAATTATTATATATTTTATCATGGATCATCAAATTTCTTCTATTACTAGTTCTTAAATACAATTAACTGTCATCATAATCCAATTTATTGTATAAATATTTATACAGTGAGGAGGTCGGCCTCTTATTAAAAATATCTGAATAATAAAAGTACTTCTTATTACCTCTTACGACCAATCTTTACCAACTTTCTTCTGATTCCATTAATATAATCACAAGCGGTTTGGAATACTTTATTGTTTTTTCTGAATCCCACCCCTTGATTTACTCTAATGACTGAGACATGACTTTGATTGTCACTTCAATACCACTAGCAATATCTTCAGAATATCCATCACGAATAGCCATATCCATAAAAGCTATTAATCCATTTGTTGAAGATCTAAATATGTTAAAATTAAGATTAGAATAATTTAATTTGTAATTTCTTCAGACAGCTCACCTTAGAACTCCAGAAATCTTTAGCGCATAGGGAAATCTCTCATGTGATGGTTTCCCACAAAAACTAACAATTTGATTTGCTAGAGAATCTGCCTTTCCTTTTATAATACTAAACGATTCCTGGTCTGGATTTCCATTACAAAAGGTATTATCAATGAATATTAAGAATTCCCTTTTGAAGATAATAAAATTAATATATTATTGGTTAATAATTAGGTTACTAATGGTGATTTTTAGATGTACTCATACCTTAAAGTAGGAACTATTTGGGTAGAAAATTCAGATTTGACTAAATCTTCCATTTTGATAATTATTTATATTCTCTCTATTGTAACTCTAATACATATATCACCAATATCTTGAAGAAGTAGGTAAAAATCATCCTACAACAGTGGCATCAACAACAAATCGAGAAGAAACACCGGGCTAGTGTTGGAGGGTGTCTGGATTGGTGAGAATAATTGAAGAAATAGATCATATACCGACATACACTACAAATAATAACTCGCTTACAAATTTCCAAATAAACACACCCCTATCCTCAGTACTCCCACTTATTGTTAGTTAATGATTCTTTTTATAATTCTTTTTTTTATCATTCTATCTCTATTTCTCTATTCAATAAAAATAATAAATATATTAATAAGGAGGTATTGAGTGAAGAATGGAAATCGCGAAGCGATTGGAATGAGAATTGAAGGCCTCCGCCTTCACGCCACCCACACACGTGATGAAGACCACATCAAAACTCATGACACTTGATCACTGAACTTAAACTCTTTCCAATCACATAATCACTTTAATTGTATTATTATCTGTCATTGTGGAAGTTGAATAACTCAGTTCTTGACTTATAACATGTCAACAGCTACAGGAACATCCTTTAGAATAGACATCGCTTGATTCTGATAACCAAGAATACCAAAATCAATGAGAGATATATCTTAAAGAATAACATCATGTATGAGAGAGCATTCTCTCTACACTGCTCATACATTATACAGAGGAGAAAGCTAAAGGTATACATATTTTATGTATATCAGTCAGTCTATCAATCAAACAATCTAATGGATGGGATACAATTTGGATGAACAGACATCGTGGCACCTGGAGGAGAGAGCGATGTTGTGTGGAGGCACGTACGGGTCGATGTTGTGTCTGATCTTCGTTTCTTTGGTCTGAAAATGGACGACCACAAAGTCAAACAAAGTTCCATAACTTCCAATCAGACTAACGTTGCATTGGTACTGTGATTCATAGGGGCTCCTAGTTATTATATCGAAWTGTAACTTCTTTCATCTCCTTTTGTCCAATATTGAATGTCTTGGCAAGAACAGGACTGACGTTGTCATCCTTGTTGGAAGAGGAGCACCCATCCACAAATAAGTAGTATTGTGCTTTCATGGTTCCAATGTTGACGACTTTAACCTTCAACTTTGCATCTTTTGACATTGGTTCAAATATATTGATTCCAATACCATCCCTAATGATTATTCCTGGACTCTCCATACTCTCTCTCCTACTCCAGACTTCATGGGTCTCATCGTCAACCAAATGTTGTTGAATGGTACTTGATCCAAAGACGGTTGTCAAAAGCACTATGATGATTATAATTAAGTTGTACCGCATAGTTTCTTGTTTGATTATATGATTGATTATTTTATTGATCGTGTAAATGATTGATGGATTGATCATTGATTGAGTATGTTTGTTGTGTCATGTGACCTTTTTTTGCAAACTCCATCCAGAGACTTTGCAAAGTTTTGCAAACAAATAGAGTATTTATTTGGTCTTATTTATCTTTGAAGGTTGTTGATCATCCTCAGGATCAGTTGTGTCATTGACTTGTTGTTGGACTGAAGTCTCTTGATTGTCTTCGACACTATCTCTACCTCTCTTCTTATTGTTGTTCATTGCTTGTCGTTCCTTGTATTGTTTGATTATTGATTGAATGGGTGCACTGGACTTGTAGGCTGAACATGTCGTCACACCTTTAAGTTGGAACGTTGCTCCAATGTCCAAGAGATGTTGTAACATTACAATATCATTCTTCTTGATCAAATCAATTGTGTACAATGGTAGTACTACTGACTTGATTCCGGTTCTGACTGTGTCACTCGCATGCTTGAGTACGCAATCCAATATTGGCCGGCCATCTTTATGATCAAAGATCACTTTCTTTATAGTCTTGTAGAAACTGCTATGATATGCACCATTATAGCAAACTGCCTTATTGAATACGAAGAAGGAGATCTCTAGAGGTACCATTCCAAGTAAGATTGCCAGTTGCTCCAAGTTGCCTTTGAGAATGGCCAATTCATGATATTTCTCAAAGTTGGTAGTGAACAAACATCGATGGTTTTTGTAGAAATGAGTGAGCAGTTGGGTCTGATTGAATTTGATCGCTTGTTCAAACATTAAGGAGACAGGCACTTCCAATGATTTGGTCTGGTTGGATGATGATCGTTGAACATACTCGATGGCCATGTCTGCCATCCTAGTGTCACCAATCTGACCAATCCGCTCAAAGTATGTTGTTGATTTGGAAGTGTGATGATCCATCAGCCATTGGAACATGTCATAATCTGGACGGCCAGCCATTGTCAGTTCAAACAACAATTCACGATTGTTAAATTTCCTGAGTCCATAGATGAGTTGGACAATGTCATGTTGACCAAGCATCACAGCAAGTTGAAGTTGTTGAGTGTGACTGATCAATGATGGTGACTTGTCGAGAACATACTCCAAGTGTTTGATATCGATGAACAATGGAGTGAACTTGACGATCTTGTTGCGGTCTGAAACCAGGAACTCAAGCAGGTCCATTGAACCTTCGAATAACCATGGTCTACTATCCGATGATTTGTCAAACTGAATATTGTGATCGTTGAACATCATGAGCACTTCCAGTTTGAGTGAGCTGTTGTATGATGTCATGAACCCAGCATAGAGTCGCCCCTCTGACATTCGAGCACGGTATGTTCCAAGGCTGTTGAACAATGATTGAAGAATTGGTTTGGATGCCATATATTGAATGAGTAACTTGGCTTGGGCTAGTGTGCCATGCTCTACTATGCAGAAGATCAATGAAACAGTTTCATCATATTCAATGGATGCCAAGAATGGTATTAGTGCCAGGTCTCCAGTTGACAGGTAATTGTTCAACTTCCGAATTATGAGCTTGTCCGTATCAACGTCAATCTGAGGCTTGATAAAGAGTAGGAGCTTGATCATTGCCAAAAGGTATTTGTCATCACAGGTGCCCAAGCTGTTGTCATATCCAACCATTCTCCTAATGTCCTCTTTCGACTTGGTGAGCGAGTCCATGGCTTGTTCGTCAGTGATTGTTTGTCGTTTGATGATCACCTTGTAATCGATCAATCGCTCAAAATGTGTAACGTGCTCCTCCACTGATGCATTGATTTGAAGGAGTAGGTCGTTTATCAAGTGATAAAGACGATGAGGACTCTTCAATTCATCGATGTTGAGGTTTGGCAACAAGTCATCAATGAGACTCTGATCACCAGTCTTTAGGATAAAGTACTTGAGCTCTGGTATGAGTGCGCGGGCCACCTCTGAGACTTGAGTTGATACTGATAATGTACTGGAAGAGGATGTTGAAGTTGAAGAGGATGGAGATGATGATTTGGGAGCTCCAGTCACCAATCTGATCAATTCACTGGAATGAGACATGATGATCCTGGTGAGAAAATCGGTTTGTTTGGCGTCTGACGATACAAAGTATGGATTCTCCAAGAGGAATTTGATGATGTCGACTCTCTCTTTTTGAATGGCGATGTCAAGAATCGAGTAAAACCTATGTCGATCAATATTTACCTTGACCGGATTTGATTGATTGAACAATGTCTGAGCGATATGAATGTTACCACTTTGGATTGACCATCTCAGGCTGCATTCTTGATCGAAGTAGCTTTGAAATCGAGTGTAGAACAAGTCGAATGTATCATTATCCATATGGTTGTTGATGGTCAATATATCTTCGGGTTGATCGAGGTGTAGGCCACGTTTGATTCTGTCACGCAACAGACCAAAATGTCCATTCAACACTATATCTTTACAGTTGGTCCAATGTCCATATTTGTGTTTGCTCCACATATATGTGTACCAACTTGATGAGTTCACTTTGTTAACATGACCAATAACTGCTCTACGATTATCATGTATCTTATGGACTTCTGACAAGATAGACTTGATTAATAATCTGTTTTTGAATACAGACATAAACACATTCGTTGTTGTACTATTATCACTCATATTTAACGTTTAATTATTAATGTAAATATATATTATTTGTTTGTTTGAAACTTTGCACTTGTCATTCAAACAAACAGGCCAACGAGAAACGGGAACATATTGATCAACTCGTGACCACTCGTTCTATGAAAAATTTCCAGAAATAGGTTGCCCCACCAAACAATTATTATTATTATTTGTTTAAACTCTTGGACTTGTTGGATTGATCCAGTTCGCTTTGGTAAAGACAATTACTATTATTGCCTCTGCTTGAGTGATTGGTGCTGTTCCTTGTATTGAGTGAATATTCACTGGATGATTAGGTTGGTGACGTAGTTTCCCCACACTGTAATTGATTGCCGTTCTAACCATACATTGGAATGTGATTGATACTTGGATTTCTTTTTGATTCCAATCTAAACGCACACAACATTGTTTATTTCTTGGAACGCCTTTTCACTTTGACTGGAAGTATGGTATTGGTCTGCATTACCCTTGATCTCTTGAGTGTTGTGATGATTGGACCATGCCTTTGTTGATATTGATCAATGATTGATTGTAGGACTGGTATGCCAGTTGATACCACGCCATCAAGGTCCAAGGTCGCCCCAATGTCCACCAGATGTTGTAGTGTTGAGTAGTCATGTTGTTCAATCAGATTTGTTGTGTATCTTGATATTACATTTGATTTGATATACTCTCTAGCTACTTCATTAACATGTCTAAGTGCACAATCCAGTTCCAGGATCTTGGAACTGTTTGTTGGTCTGGTTTGAGGCTGTACCAGGATAGATGAAAAGATATCATAAAGTGAAGAGATTGAATTTTTCCAATTAATTGGTAATGGATAAGTGCCAAAGTAATACTCCATCAACTCAATGTTATGTTGTTCAATCACTTGTTGATGAAGTTTGTGTAATGCCAATTCTTCATGATGATATTTATCAAGTTGTTTGATAAACTCTGTTTGATTGGCCTTGATCGCCTCTGTCACTAGATCTCGTATCATATCCAGTGATGGCTTTAGTTCGTTCATAACCAATGCATAGGCCATGTTGTCTCCACACCTTGCGATTCTGTTCAACGTAAGACCAATTGGGAATGATGAATGATAGTTTTGGTGAGTCAGGATCCATTTGAAGATTGAGTACTGGGGACGCCCACACATAGCTGTCTCGAGAATATGGATAGAATATTGAATGTGATGATCATGATTGAAAAGTAATTGGACCATGTCAAGCTTTCCGAGCATCACTGCCATCTGCATCTGAACAGCTGGTTGTAGGAGTTCAGGTCGGATGGCGAGCAAGTGTTCCAAGTGTCTAGTGTCAACGGGCAGTGGTCTTACTTTGATCAACATATTCGTGTCTGATAAGAGACACTCTAGAATCTCGGTGGTGCCTTGGAAGGGCAAGGACATGCCCTGCCAGAGTGTTCTGGAGCTGATGGCAATGACCTTGTTGAGATAATTGAGGATATCAATTTTGTTGAATGAGTTGTTGTTGTTCGTGAACACAACCTTTAGCTCATCACTCATGTAGAGTGATACATGATTTAATCCTATGGTACTGTTGTTCAACAGTGCCATCGCCATCTCTGCCTGGGCAATAGTACCATGCTCAACAATGTTTGCGAAGATGAGGTGTCGGTTGTCATACAGATTGGCTGGATACATCATAATGAGAGGGATGAGCATGCAGTCTCCAGTGGAGACGTATTCACGGAGCAAACTCCGCATGATGCTCTGGCCCAGGCATAGCTTGGACTGCTTCAACAGCTTGACATACACCAGTCTTTGTTCGTCACTGATGCAATCCAACGCCTGTACTTTGACTTTGGCCCCTAGGGCATTGTTCACAAGTGCCTTTGACTCGGCCATTGCTTCTTTGGCACGATGTAGTGTGTTACCATCACCTGGCGCTAACAACTTGTACTTGATCAACAACTCCACATGTCTCCATTGTTGTTCCATTGTTGCTTCCTCTGAGAGTAACTGCTTGTTGGTTATAATTGAATATGGCTTATGTCGGTACTTGACACCAATGTCATCAACAGCAATCAACTCATCAATCAGTTGTTGATCACCTGTCAATAGGATATCCACAATGAACATGTGAGCATTTGATCGCACCAAGTCGATCATCTCGGATGGGTAGCTGAGAGGGTCGAGCACTGACCTGATCACCCTACTCGATCGACTGGCGAATAGATTGGACAGATCAACTCCCTTTTCACTCAACGTCGACCTGTTGATATAATCATTCTGAAACAAGTAACTGATCATCTTGGTCTTCCTAAAGTCGATTGGTATGTTTGAGAATATACGTTGATCAGTGTCCAATGAGATGGGCTCGTTTGTCTGCTTGTCGCCAATGAGCGACTCCAAGATATGTAAGTTGCCCGAGTCGACCGACCACTTGAGCATATCCTTGCGCACACTGGATGTGATGTGAAAGCGCTTGCAGAGCAGGTCAAAGGTGTCACGATCAATGTCACTCTGACATATTGCCATAAGATCGCTTTTGGTTGGTAGGTTGATGTGTTTGTTGTTTTTGAGCCGATCATGTAATAGACCAAGATGACGATTATTGATGATAGCTTCAATACCTGTCCAATGTCTGTACTTGTAGCGAATATGATCTTCATTCCAATAGGGTTCTGATTCTCTCAGTCTATTCCTTATCTTCTTAATGACCCTTTCATAGTAATGTCTATCATGTATAACACTGACAGCTGACATTATGATCCTCACCAACAATCTGTTTGTCAGTACTCTAATGAATGGTGTATCGCGCACATATAGTGTACGATCTAGAGTAGCATCATTGTTGTTGTCTGTATCTGTTATCATTGTTTGTGTGTATGTGTTTGAATGAATGAATGAATGGGTCTGTTTCTTAAAGTTTGGTTTGCCAAACACTGATTCCAGGAAATAGTATTGTTATAGTTGATCAAACATTGTTTAATGTTGATAGGGTTTATTGAGATAATCATTCTTATTATCTCCTCATTGTCTCTTACATTACACCAAGATAGATAGAACTAGAGTGGCAATGAGAATGCCAGGATACACATTAGCTTGTGTGGTGGCCAATGCTATTTTAAGAGTAAGTATGCTTATGATTGAGCGAATGAATGAATGATTGAATTAATGAACTACTTACAATGGTATTGATTATCACCCATGACTGATTGTCTGGCAAGACAATCTTGGTCTTGATTATTGCAGAGGGTAGCATCCTGTCCAACATGGGTCGATGATTGTTTGGTAGTAGACCATGAGCTGATGGTATGGCCGGTAGTGGTCTTTGCAGTGGTCGAGTGACCAGATGCTGTTGTGGAGTGCTCAGAGGTTGATTGGGCTGTGGTACCCTGCTGAGTTGAAGACATCTCGGTGGTGGTATCAGTCGAGCTCGATGAACTGGAGGTTGTGGAGGTGACCCCCATTGGCATGGCCGTAGTATCACCTGTAGATCTACCTGATCCTGTGATATAGCCAGTGGTGGTGTTTGGAGCTGGAGTGCCAGTAGTTATTCCTCCAGTGGTCCAGTTGCCAGTCGAAGGATTGCCCGTAGTCGATGTAACACCCATTGGCATGGCGGTGGTATCAGCGGTTGAGAGACCACCAGTGGTATAGTTTCCAGTTGAGGGATTGGTAGTGGTCGAAGTAACTCCCATTGGCATTGCAGTGGTATCAGCAGTTGAGAGACCACCAGTGGTGTAGTTGCCAGTCGAGGGATTTGTTGTGGTCGATGTAACACCCATCGGCATGGCAGTGGTAGCACTTGTCGTTTTACCTGGTCCTGTGATATGTCCTGTTGTGGTTGGAGATGGAGTGCCAGTGCTACCGGTGGTTGAGGTCCTTCCAGTTGTGTCAGCGGTAGTCGTTGAGTCTCTAGAACCACTTCCAGTTGAGTGATGGGTCGTAGATGGTCGATGAGTTGGTCTTTCCACTTCCATAGCCATTGAGCTGACAGCCAAAAGAATGATTAGGACTTGGATAAAAAATTTAGAACCCATTGTTGGATAGTTAATTTATTATTATTAATAAGTAAATATTATTATTATTATTATTATTTGAATTGATTGTGTAGTAATTGATGTTCTCTAGGTATCCTGATCAATCATCCTTAAATATTATTTTGATTAAGTCCGGCAACACTCAAGTCTAGAACCAAAGCATTGACTTTACTTTGATTCTACAATTTAATTACCCGAGACTCTGACATGAGTATCCATGGGGGTTATGTTCAACGAAACTAGTCAAAGAGTTACATGTCTATGACTTGTAGTGTTAAGAATTCAAAGATGAAGTCAACATATCACAGCCAAAACAATCAAAAAACATCTCAAAAAACATCGTTTTGATCAAAAAACACCCTTTTCTTTGATCAGAGGACCTCCCTGGTTTGTGCCCTTCACTGAAGAGTCTTTCTAGAATTAGTGTGAGTGAGTCTAGACTCCGTCCAATCAATCAAAACGAACGAAAGGACAAACAGGTCAATAAATAGGTACTATTTATATGTACATAGTTGTTAACAACTGGAATCATTTGACTAACTTGAAGAGATGATCAAGTAAGAGGACTTTCCTACTCTTGTCCAAATTGCCGATGCACACTGGAAGGACAATCGATTTGAAACGTGATCTGTCTGTATCGGTCATGTGATTGATGATGTAGTCTAGCGCTGCAATCACCTGATGCACACATGTTCGTTCAAACAGTCTGTTGATTGCATTGATCAATTTTAACAAGGGGTCATCATTGATGTAGTTACCCATTGTGAATGGTTCAGCCTTGAATATAATATCAATGATATCAATGTTACCTTGCTTGATGGCTTGCAAATAGAATTGAAGGCCCTTTGTGATCAACACTGAATGATAAACTGTGTACATCAGTTTGATAAACTGTATCTGATCCTCTTTGATCGCCGACTTGATCATTGCGCGAATGTTGGAGATGGTTGGGTTGAGATGCTCCATTGCCAAGCCTACAATGGTGTCAAATCCCCTGTCTCCTATTCGTTTCCAGAGAGTGTTGGAGACAGATATACGACTGTCAAAAGATGGACTATCGAGCAGCAATCTAAAGATTGATGGCTGTGGTCGCCAGCACAACGACATCTCCAACACTTCTTGCAGATCTACACCAAGATCGGGGAGTGGGTTGTGTAGTAGAGGGAGTTGTTGTAGTAGTAGTTGAAGAAGGTCCATCCTGCCAATCACCACAGCCAACTCGAATTGAAGCTCAGGCTGGATAATGTCGGGTTGATGGTCAAGCACATACTTGAGGTGATCAAACTCAGACAGCAATGGATTGACCGTGATGATAACGTTGTTGGGGGACAGGAGGAATTGAAGCATTTCCATTGAGCCTCGAAATATCGTATATCTCCCTATCCTATTGTTGATACCACAACCATTGAGATACTTGATTATCTCCAACTTGTTGATCGAGTTGTTGCTCTCCATGATGCGATAACCCAGGCCCAATGCAAGGTTTATATATCTTTCGTGTCTATCATTCGAGGCGAAGTGAATGACCAACATGGCCTGCCATACTGTACCATGTTCGGCAATCCAACTAAGTAGTTGATCACCATATTTGAATCTAAAGGATGGAAGATCGATGATCAGGGGAATGAGCATTCCATCACCTGTCGCCAAGTATTGGGACATTATACTGTAGATTACATCCCAATTGCTGGAGATAGTAGGTATCTGCAGCATCCTAACATATTGCATTCTTTCTACATTACTTAAATGGTCAACATCGTACAATGTTAACTGTTTCTCTTCTTGTTGTTGTTGTTCAATCATTTTCTTGACATTTCTGATGGACTGGTCGATTGACTTTTCCATCTCTTCTTGTAATGGAGTGTAAATGTTCCAGGGCAACTGCTTGTATTGATACAAACGATCGAAATGTGCCATTTGTTGACTGACTGATTGATCAAGAGGCAGGAGCATATCTTGTCTGATCTCGCCAGAGTCCATTGGTCCCATTACAAATGTTTGATCTCTTGGTATCAGCTCATCAATGATTGTTTGATCACCTGTGAGCAAGATATCCAATACGTGCAGATATGCACGTGAGCGTAGTAAGTCTGAGAGTTGCTCGGGGAGGCATGGGTCGAGCACTGCCCCGATCATACTACTCGATCGAGATGTGTATATTAACTCTGTAGTTGATTCTGAATATCCATCAATCATTGTTGATAACTCAATGTATTGATGATCGATGAGGTAATTGAGCATGCCAACCTTCATCTCATCAATGGCCTCAAACCAGAGTTGCTCTTGTTTATACTCAAACTTGACAGGATATGTCTGATGAAGCAGTGTTTGAGCGATGTGTATGTTGCCCGAGCCAACTGCACTGTAGAGTAGGCAAGTATCATTGAATGAACTTTGGTAGGCATTGTAGAGCATGTCGAATGTGTCGTTATCAATGCCACTGCCGCAAGCATAGCATAGGTCATCGATTGAGTTAACATTGATGTGTAGGTTGAGTTTGAGACGATCGCGCAATAGGGCATAATGTCCATTATCCACGATCATCTTCAAGTCTGTCCAGTGATGGTACTTGAAGCGAAAAGGCTCGATCTTATCGAATACATATTCTTCATTGTCGTATGAATACTCTGATAACCTATCGATCAGTCTCGATTGTGTCAGACGATCATGAATCTCTCTAACAAACATTATGACCATCCTAAACAACAACCTATTCGATATCACTTCTTTGAATGATGCTGATGTTATTGGAATTGTTGTAGTCATGTTTGTATTTATTGATTGTTATAATGATTGATTGAAGAAATGATCTGAATCAATGAGTCTGAGCTCGAGGTCAAATTGCCTCGAAGTGTGAGGCCTCGATATATCATTGATCAAAAGTCCTTTAAATATCCGAGACGATGAACTCAATGAAGAATACCTTTGTATAATCATCCAATACATCAGCTGGGATACGATCACTATCAACATACTTGGAGTCTTTTGATGGACGAGTGTATAGTGTGAAGGTCATGGTGTCGTTGACATTGTACTTCTCAGTCTGAGTGAATCCACTGGTCCACTTGGTGTTGACCTCGCCCAACATGGGATCAACAATCTCCATCAATGGAACTATTCCAATGGCCTCTTGCACTGGCTCCAACTCGGCTGGTGGCGGCAAGATGATACCATTTGAAACAACAACCTTGCCGACCGTGTGATGGTATTGACCAAAGAGACGAACACGCACCTTGCGACCACGTTTCAACTTGATGGTGATCGATGGCTTGCGATAGTAGAAGGTTCCATCACATTGAGTGATCGGGTCCTTGGGGAGGGTCAGACGACGGCCTTTAGGTTCGTGTGGGTCTGGTCCCATGGATGCACCGTCCACGCGGTAGATGTAGGGGTAGGGATGGTCGGGTAGCTCAATCACTGGTGTCTCTGAACTGGTGAACAAGTTGGCGAGCTTGGGATGGTTACCAATGATCAAAGGGATGGGATAGTAGTAGAGATCACTGTTGAGGATCAAGTTGGCATTCTCAATACCCTTACACTCGCCAGAATGTCTATCATAGTTGTTCCATCCATCGGCCATAGTCTTGAGTGCCTCCACAGTATGATTGTGCAGCTTCTCTCTGAACGACTGTACGGCCGAGAACTGGCCAGAAGCAGGCTTTCCAGTCACGTATATCTGATCAAACTTCATCTGATACCAGTATGCCTAGAGTCATCAATTGATTGATTGATTGATCAAGATATCAGTATGTGATTGATCGATTGAATGATTCAATCAATGGGATACATACATCAGTGTTGATCACCGACATTTGGTAAAGGAGGGTTGCCTGGATAAAGAACTTGTAGACGTACTTGACATAGTTGGGATGTCCAGCGAATGCCATCATCTGCTTACAGTAATGACGCAACTCTTTGATACTCTCATGGAGCTTGGAGAAAAATAGGAAGTTGGAGAGGCTCTGAGTGTCGGAATCAGTCCTCTCAGAGATCTTGTGCTGCCACATAGAGATTGCCTCTCTGTACTCCTCGATAAAGGAACCAAGACCCTTGAGTTGAGACTCACTTTGCTCGATCCACTGCTTGATCTCACTATCTTTGATCTTCTCACCAATCAACACGAGGATCTCCTCTTTAAACTCCTTCAACCTTCTCTCCAAGTCTGCCTTGGTGACCTTCTCTTCCTCAGGGTTGGCGCGACGCCAATACATTGTGAAGACACCTTGGAGTAATGGTCCAACAACTGGAATACATCCACTATTATGATTGATTGATTGATATGTATGAGTATGATTGATTGATTGATTGAGTGTAGCAATCGAGTTGATACTTACATTACTGAACATACCATGATACCAATGTCCTCCTTGTCTGGTTCAAAGTTTGCGATGACTTCGATTGGGTCCTTGATACCAATGGCGGCACAACACATGTTGATTGGAATCAAAGCGAATGGATCCTTTGACACCTTGTCCTTCACTCTCGCCAATGCGCTATCGAATGATAGATCAGTTGGAAGTTGATGGCTTGTCTCTTTGGTACTCATTATTATTATTATTTATTATTATTATATAAATTATACATGTACAAATGATGGATAGATTGGTTGTATTGATCAATACTTTAAGGAAATGACTAGTCAGGTCATCTTCTTACCTTCCCAACACGAGTGTGTCCAGCAGTTTGTAGTTTGTCCAAGAAAGAAAGTATCTTTTGTGTGTTTGTCGACCTCTGAGTGACCATTTTACAAACGACAAAGTTAGATAGAGAATTGGAGAACAGTAATATTTATTAGATTAGATATCAGATACAATGAACTCAATGAATAGTGCTCTTGAATATCCTTGTCGGACATAGGATGGTGTTTTGTCCTCAGGAGGGTACTGTTCCTCAACATCATCAAACTCTCCTTGAGGGCAAAGCGTGAACGTCAAATCAGACTCGACATCAAACTTCTCGGTCTGAGTGAATCCACTGCTCCACTTCACATTGGAATAGTCGTCGTTCATGTCGTCTTCCTTCCTTGTAAACACTGGAAGTGTGCCGACGGCATCCTGCACAGGGGTCAGATTGACTTGGGATAGATTCGCGCCTCCGTCATCAGTGCCGATCGAGTATTTGAAGATGATCTGGGAGACCTCATTGTGGACGGTGCCAAAGATACGGACACGCACCTTGCGAGATCGGGTCAACTTGATCTTTAGCGATGGAATGGAATGGTAGAGCACACCGATGCAACCAGAGACTGGCTCCTTTGGGTACACTTGGCGACATCCATGAAAATCCTCATTGGTCGGTTCTGGTCTCATGCAGGAGGCATCGACACGGTAGATGTATGGATACTTGTGGTTGGGCAGAGTGATCACTGGAGTCGAGTATTTGTCAGCTAACAGGTCTCCAGAGTTGTTGGCAACCGATGGTTGGGGATGGTCTCCAATGATCAGTGGGATTGGGTAGTAGTAGAGATCGTTCCTGAGGATCATGTTAACGTTGGCAGTACCCTTTGGTTGTTCTCCATTGTGTCTGTCTGAATGGGACCATCCATTGGCCATTGTCCTCAAAGCATCAACAGTATGCTTGTGCAACTTCTCTCTAAATGAGTAGACCGCTGGGATGGTTGCAGTGGCAGGCTTGCCAAGCACATACACCTGATCAAACTTCATCTGATACCAGTAGGCCTAAGTGATTGATTGAGTCATGTTGGTATCTTTGATTGATTGATTGAATAACATGATAAGGAGTGAGACATACTTCAGCGTTGATCATGGATACTTGGTAGACGATAACAGCTTGGATGAATAACTCGTAGACGTACTTGACGTAGTTGGGGTGTCCACAGAATGCCATCATATTCTTGCAGTAATGACGCAATTCCTTGATACTCTCATGGAGCCTGCTGATGAACTTGTCATCCAACTCCTTCTTCTCAGAGATCCTGTGCATCTACAGTGCGATACACTCACGGTACTCCTCGGCAAAGGTGGCAAGACCAGCCAGCTTGGTCTCACTCTGCTCGACCCATTGCTTGATCTCACTCTCCTGGATCTTCTCGGCAATCAACTTGCGGATCTCGGTCTTGAAGTCCTTCAACCTCACCTCGAGGTCTTGCTTTCTGAATGGCTCCTCACCTGGGTTGGCACGACGCCAGTACATGGTAAATATACCTTGGAGAATTGGTCCGATGATTGGAACACATCCACTTATTATGATTGATCGAAGGATATGTTAGAATTTGATTGATTGAAAGGATGTTCGAATGATACATACATTACGGAATTGACCATGATACCAATATCCTCCTTGTCTGGTTCAAAGTTTGCGATGACCTCAAATGGATCCTTGACACCAATGGCGGCACAACAAAGGTTGGTTGGAATCAATGCGAATGGATCCTCATTGAGCTTGGCCTTGACTCTCTCCATTGCACTATCAATAGATAGATCAGTTGGAAGTTGGTGGCTTGTCTCCTTGATATCAGAAACAGACATATAACTCATTTTTGTTTGTTTAATTAATTAATTAATTATTAATATATATATATATATTATTTGTAGTTGATTGAATAGACTTAGGTTAAACTTTAAAGTTTATTTAATACTTTCTTTCAAAACTTTCCAAGCGGCCTCCGTTGACCACAACACATGGTCAACATCAACTTGTAAGATGTCCAAGTGTGAAAGTTTGTGAATGAACCCAATCAATCCAAAGAATCCAGGTTTGTGTTTGTTTGTATGTTGTTAGACTTTATTACATTCACTCGCGCGCGATCCAAGTGTGCACCAATGACGAATGGTGATGATGAATGAAAAGACGACTTTGAAAGACCATAATCAATCAGTCGGTCAATTCAATCAGAGCTGCTTCAGTCGATGCTTTTGCTGCTGCTTCAGTGTAAGTTCTTGTTGGATTCGCGTGTCAATGTCAATGAGACTGGACAGTGTGATGATCTTGTAGCCCTCAGACACGAGGTATGGAAGCATTGTACGCAATGCATCCAGTGTGTAGTCGCGGTCGTGTAGGATGATGACGGAGCCTGGCGATACTGTGCTCGTGACGTACCATGAGTTGACGGCGGGTATGCGGATGAAGGGGTCGTGTGGATAGACATTGCCCAGACACAGTTGGTAGCCATGTTGCTTGATGCTGTCCAACATATTACGATTGAAGAATCCTGAGCCTGGTCTGAACAGCTTGCGTCGTCTAGCATTGCAATAAGTGTTGGCGTAGAACTGCTGATCGTCCAAATTCAAACTTAGGTTCTCTATATTGTTGTTATCATACTCTTCGCTCTCGCTCTTGCTCATGCTCTCGTCCTCGCCATCACTCTGGCTCTGGCTGCTCGCAACACCATCTTTAGCAGTACTGTCACTCATCGCCAGACTGTTGCTGTCCACTGCTTGAGTTGATGAGTCTTGTAGTATACTCTTAACATTGTTATTACTATTATTATTACTATTACTACTGCTCTTAATACTACTACTACTACCATCATCAATGATTGGATCTATATGTTGTTCACTTCCTATACTACTGCTGCCAATTGGTGCGTCCATACTGGATGTTGGGTCGGCATTCTGTCGCTCAACAACAAGCTTAGCATCACCTTGTAGACGTTGTACTTCGACAGACTTGATTGTTCTTTGACTGTGACTGGGTGACGCTGGCAGAGATGACAAGTCTTCTCCTCCATCACCAACATTGGCGCACATTGTATAGTATGAGTAACGCTTCTCCAGTGTGGAGACACGTGATCGTTCGTAGTACTTGGTGTAGGTGTTGTTGATCATCTGATCGACCTCGAGCAGCTGACGTTCAAACTCTTCCGGCTCCAAGCTGATCGATGGCTCGTCCTGCCACATGTGGTTGCCAATCTCGTGGCCCTGCTCCAGCATGCGATCGAGGACTCGTTGACTGTTTGTGTTGCGCACGATGTTCTTGCCGATGAGGAAGAAGGTCGCCTTGACGTCATACTCGGCCAGTATGTCCAAGATGTCCATGGTGTTCTCTGAGGGTGCGTCGTCGATGGTGAGCGCCACCAGTTTGTGTCTGGTGACGTCCATCCTGTTGTCGGCGTAGAAGAACACCTCGCCGTCAAAGTGATTGGAGATGGCGCGCACGAGGAAGTTGGGCAGGAAGTAAATCATGAGCAGAATGGAGACCGTGAGGAAGAGGATGACCAGTGCGATGTACCACCACAAGCCAAAGGGGTAGCGGAGGAAGTATCCATCGAGCGTTGTCATCTTCTTGCGATGATCAATCTCGTCGTCTTCCTCAAGCAACTGGTATTGATTCTGTTGTTGTGATTGTGACTGTGATTGTGATTGTGGTAGTGATTGTGATTGTGACAGTGGCGATTGTTGCTGTTGTTGTTGTTGTAGTTGTGTAGCTGTTGGGAATTGAAGTAGAGTTGTTGGTGGACGTCTCTCACGAGCGTTTGTTTGTGTAGCAGCCTGTTTATAATTCATCGATGATGGTATCTCTGATTGATTCCAACCAAACATGTTTGGTTGGTTTGATTCGTTGTCTCCCTAAAACGTCGTTTCAAAGTTATATCCTATAATAATACTATATTGATTTGATTTGATGACGATGACAACATAGTTGTTGTTTCGTTCATTGTTGATGTTAGTACTGATCATTCATTCATTCATTCATTTATTCATTGTTCATACTCAATATGATGTCATTCGCTATCACTTACATCTAATAATACTAATATTATATGTTTGTTTATGTTACAATGTTTGATTGATTGGTCAATTGATTGGATTGAGCATTAGATATTGTTAATTGAATCGCTCAGATAGCCAGCCAATACACGTCTCTCTCTTCGTCTTTGAAAAGTATCTGTCTTTGTGTATGTGTGTATGTGTGTGTATGTGTAGGGTGTTGTTGTTGTTTGTTTGAATAGTCTAACCTCATAGACGTGTCTTTGGGGATGAAGACAAGGTCACAAAACGTCATGTCAACCACAATTTCCAGATTTTTGTTCGAACACTTACCCTACCCTCGCTTACGATACCCTCTCCTTCATCGCCCTCACTTCATATGATCTTGTCCGATAATAATAATATTAATAATAATACTATGTATTATATGTTTGTTTATGTTACAATGATGATTGGATTATGGTTATTTAGAGAGTTTGATGAATAGATTCCGATTCTTACGATTCAAACATAGATATGAACGATTGTCTATTGTTCTTAGGTTGATTGGATTGTAGCCGGTCTCTAATTGGATGGTCGTGACGTTTGGTGACATTCCCAGTACTGAATCAATCAATTGTCTTTCTTCTCTTTGATTGGCAACTGTCTGTTTCATATTGATGAAATGAATACATAACTCTTTCAACTTGGACACGGTACCAATCATCTTGCCACTTGTCCAATGAGTGGTTGCTGATATTCTGACTGACTCTAATGATGGTCGATTGATCTTGTCGACCCATGACAAGTCAATACCTCGCATCGACCTAATTATCTTCTTGATGTTTGATGGGAACGATACTTCATATCCATATCCAAGTGCAATGTCTGTGATGGAGTCGGGAAGTGCTCCGGGTGGGATGAGCAGGTCGTAGCTTCGACCCAAGATCAGACGTGTGAGCGAGCTGGGTAGACCGCCCGGCACCAGTCGGCGTGAGAAGTACTGTCCGAGATTCAAGTCGAGCAAAGTGTTGGGAAGCAATCCAGGTGTGATGGGAAGATCGAAGCCTCCACCGAATATCAGTTGAGTGAGCGTCTCTGGGAATACATCGAGAGCAATGTCTCGATTCCGTATCGTGTTTAAGTATAACAATGTCAATGATGATGGAAGCACGCCTCTTGTAAATGGTTCGTTAAACTGGCTATTGAATACTAGTGATGTGATTGACGACGGTAAGGCGCCCGGCTCAAAGGGTGTGGGGAAGCCACCTCCAAGCGTCAATGAATGCAGTGACTTTGACGGGAGTACTCCCGGTCTGATGTGACATGTGTATCCATCGCCCAAGTTCAGATACCTGAGGGACGTGGGCAAGACATCGGGATCAAGAGCATGGTTGAATAGATTGCCCAGGCAAAGATGTGTGAGGGATGGAGGAAGCACTCCAATGGCAATGGGTTGTTCATAGCCACTTGTGAACACAAGGCTTCTGAGTGATGCAGGCAGGACTCCAGGTGGTATGCTACTGCTTATCCGTCCAAGTGTCAAGTTTGTTAGCGAAGGGGGGAGGACTCGCTCGCCCAACACGTGATGGTAGGGCTGATCACTGGTCATGTGAAGCGAGGTGAGGGACTCTGGGAGCACGCCAGGCGCAAGGGGTTGGTTGAACTTGCCAGAGAGCTTGAGCATCGTGAGTGACGGTGGCAACTCACCCTGCCCTATCGGTAGATTAAAGTCGAAACTGAGATTGATCTGTTCGACTGTATCGGGAATGGATGGTGGCGCCAATGTCTGATTGAATGTATGACCAAACGTGAGAACGGTGTTGTCTTTGCTGTAATGTAGTTGGTCATCGTATGGCACACGTGGTAGGGCCCTGTTGATGTTGTTGTTGTTACGTTGTTGATCCAAATATTCAAAGATGTACCAATACCTCTTGCAACTCAATGCAAAGCATATAGCATTGACATCATTGGTTGGTAGCAGGTCAAAGATCACCTTGATAATGAGGTCAGGTAGTGAGTCCATCATCCATCCAATATTTGATTGATTGATTGAAAGAGATAATAATAATGAAGTTGAAGTATGATCACCACCCCAAGGACTTTCTCAAAGCTACATGAGTAATGGGCGGGAATTGATCGTCCAAAAGGCCACCTGGAAACATTGGGTATGCATCCAATCCAATCCCCTATCAATCGCACCTGATGATAGGTCACACCAACTCCAGGGAATGTGTCTTGTTGTCAAACTCTTTATTTATGGGATTGTTTGAACTTCCAGCTGGATGAAGGTGTGTGGGGCGGTCAGATGATCGCAATCGGTACGATCAGATGACAATTGTATGTTGGTCGGTGGTACATGAATTAAGGGACGAGGGTGGTATGCCGGGGAATCAGATAGACGACCCTGGCTGAAGTTGGCAAGGAAGGGGTGGAGGGAGGGAGGGAGGCTGATGTTGGTGAATGATGTCCTCTGGAGGATATACCCGCCAATGCGCCTACAATGTCCATTGGATGCTGTCGGACACACATGTACAGCCACAGACAGGTACACCTCGGTAGAAGACATCTACGATCACCCTGAACGGTGTCAGGGCGACGCCAGGGTCCAGGGAGAGGGATAGTGCCACGGTTGCCCGACCACCAATGTCTAGATACCTAAAACTATAGTGGTCGGGAATGCGGATGCCCTCGTTGCCAACGATGGAGAGTTGCAAGTAGTGTTCTCTGAGAGGACGCCTGCGCGCACGGCGACCCAATATGATCTGCTTCTGGAGCACGCCACCATTGACTTGAACCACAAAGGGCCCGGGTGCCCCATTCTCTAGTGAGAAAGTGTTTGGCTGATTCACAATGCGGATCGATGATGGCTTCATGGACTGGACCGGCACATCCGAACCCAGGCGGCCGCTGGGCGGGAGTGGGGGTTCGGGCAAGGCATATTTGTTGCGGGTGCGTCTCCTTGATACAACGACTTCGCCCGAGCGTTTTGCCAATGGTTTGGCTCTTGGCTCTGGTATTGGACTATGCTTAATGAGTTCGTTCTCCTTGGGCACTCGGGGTGGTGATGACAATGACGTAGATGACTCCTCGAATTTTCTTTGCCATTCATTCGACAATATGTTCGGGTTGACTCTGCCTTGATAATACTGTTGGGGAGTATTGCCAGTGAGTAGCTCACTCATACCAGGGTAAAGGTGAGCTCCCTTTTTAAGGGTGCTTGGATCACCTTGCTTATTTGCCCAAAGCATCATTCTCTGGAATATAAGTATATAAATAAATATAAAGTAAATAACAATATATATATATATAAGAAGTAAAGTACCTTACAACAACAACAATAATACAATAATATTTAAATAATTTATATATATATGTATTTATATAAGTTTGAACAAATAATAATAAGGAAGGAAGGAAGTAAGGATTATCGAATGAATGAAGAATTGGAGGAGAGTGTGAAAGTGAGTGAGAGAGTGAAGGGAGTGTTTTGAAGAGGTATTGTTCATAATGTTTCAGATCACAGACGGACATGCTCACACATGGGGCATGCAATTAATCCACCTGTTCATTCCAGCCCCTCATTATCCTAGTTACTCTCGGTGAGCTCATCTGCTATTGGCAGTCCACCAAAATTTCAGAATGAAATGATGTATGAGTGCAACATGTGTCAGGTGCCTAATACAATTTCATAACAAACAACACGATGTTCTAACCCCTAAAAGACCAGGATTCCTGCCCCGAGAGTCCAAACCCGACAACCCCCCATCCACACTGTGGAGCGATCAATACCATCAAAAGTGAATTTGTGATTATTACTCATCAAACAAAGTCATCGACATCAAGTAAGAACGTTTTGTCTGATTGATTTTTGATTCCATCTTCCATGGCCCCAATAAAAATATTAAGTATCCTAATTGTTTTAAAATAAAAGCGGAAAAACACAACCAAAATGTGATCATCATGTTTAATTAGGGACATCCTCAATAAATACTTTAAACACAATCATCATCAACACAATCAATCAAACATCAATCATACAAACAATCAATCATACACACAAACAATGTCCATTCCAACTCTATACTATGTAAGTATTCAATCAAACAAACAATCAATATCATTCGCTCACTCACTCACTCACTCAATCATTCAATCAATCAAATAGTTTGACGGTCGTGCTCGTGGAGAGTGCTCTAGATTGTTATATGTCTATTCTGGCAAGCAATTCAATGATGCTCGTCAACCATGGCCTATTAAGGATGACATGAAGACATTGGCCACATTCGGTCAGTTGCCATACTTGGAGGACGGCGATGTCCATCTGGCTCAAACCGTTGCCATCGAGTACTACATCGCTGAGCAATGCAACCTGTTGGGAAGCACACCCGCCGAGCGCGCTCAGGTCCTCCAGTTTGCATGCCTGCCCGCCGACCTCTACAACCCCTACTTCCTGTGCTACCTCAACAAGGATGAGGTCAACATGGCCAAGTTCAGAACTGAGAAGGCACCATTCGTTCTCAAGAAGTTGGAGGCTGCTGTGATCAAGGCTGGTGGCGAGCATCTGGTCGGAAAGACAATCACCTGGGCCGATATCACCATCTTCAACGTCCTGGACTTCTTCTACCAACAGCCATACAACCTGATTGAGGTTCTCCAGCCATTCCCCGCTTTGATTGAGTTCCACAAGAAGATCGGTGCCATCCCACAGATTGCAGAGTACTTGAAGAATAGACCAAAGTCAATATTCTAAATCAATCAGTCCTACATTCAATCATTCACTTATTCATTCAATCAATATAATATGATATTGATCAAACACATCGGATTCGTTTTCAGTGCGCAATAATGATCATCAGTGTGATGATCTTGTACACATTGTTCGCACTCATCTGAATGACACCTTGTAGACACGTATATCACGCTATTACTATTACTACTTAGTATCTATCACAAAAGATATATATTTAGATGTCGTCTTTGAGTGTGTGGTGATTGATGATCACACACCCACACCCGACTACTGTAGTTATAATTAATCACACACATATAATAATACAGATACAAACACACACAATGAATGAATCAAACAATCAAGTGATATAATTGACTTCACCATTCCAACTACCAACTTCCACACACTCACACAAACACACTCACTCAGGTGATGTGTGATGAGGAAGTGGAGCGCACATGACAGGTGCCGCAATGGTTGGTGTATTGTCGACCAAACAACTATAACCAGCCACCCACCTAGCCAGCTCGCCCATTCATTACTACTACTACTACTACTACATAATGGACTTTGGACTGCTTTGATTGATTGATGGATTGATTGATTGAATTAATGGATTGATGGATTGATGGAATGGATTGGACTGGATTTGGATGGCTAGCTGGCTGAATGACTAGCCAACAGATCGACCTGTCCGTCCCACCCTTGATTGATTGATTGATTGATTGGCTGACTGGTTGGCTGGCTGTGTCTGTATCTGTGTCCATACCATATCCCCTGCCAGCAATAGCAACACCAACCTAGTGTGTAGCAGTGACAGTCCTCTTCCTCTTCCTCTTCCTCCACCATTACTATCACTTTCATCCAACACAAGGTCAATCAACAGCATACCTACAATCATCTTCCTTCCTTCGTTCCTTCATTTACTCTATAGTGCACAACTCTAGACTCTAGACTCTTCAACAACCAATCCTATATTGTTACACAACATCCAACAACACTCAAGCAACAACAATGGACGCGACATCAGCGCTAGCACTACTCAATCAGAAGTTTCCAGTTGCCGACTCTATAGCCGGAACAAAGTGCGAGAGAGCAATAAAGTGAGTACCATCAATCACTCACTCACCTCGTCGCTCATTCACTAACCATTCACTCAATCATAGATGGGAGTTGACGATTGGCGATGACCTCAGTCCACATTGGAATCATAGTATTGTCTGTGTGTCGATTGAGAAGACACCATTTGCCAAGGGCAGTTGTAGAACGGCACATAAGTTGAAGGACTGGTCAAAGCCAGGTATGGAACTCGTGGGCAAGTTCTCATCGAATAAGAAGACGACGCGAGACTCCTACTTCACCGATGTGCTGATGCAGACCTTCTGCTCCAAATGGGCCGAGAAGTTCAATGAGTCCAAGCCACCCAAGCCCATCACCTTCCTACCCACCTACGTCTACGAGTTGCTCGACCATCCCCCTCCCTATCCCGTATGTGGCGGCGAGCCATTCATTGCTGGAGAGTATAAGTATGTTTGATTAATGTGATGTGATGTGATGTCCATGGACTAACCTTGTGCGCCACACCCATCCTTCAACCTCCGCCAACTTTAGGAAACACAACAACAACAGCGGATACGTCAACTCAGAGTCGAGGAACACGCCACAGGCATTCAGCCACTTCTCGTATGAGAACTCGAATCATGAGTTGCTGATCGTGGACATACAAGGAGTCAACGACTTCTACACAGACCCTCAGATACATACAAAGAATGGACAGGGCTTTGGCGAGGGTAACCTGGGCGAGACAGGCTTCCACAAGTTCCTGCAGTCGCACAAGTGCAATGCAGTGTGTGACTTTCTCAAGCTGCAGCAGATCAATCAAAGCAAGCGAACTCTGTTGCGTGGCACGCTACCAGTTGTGCAGCTCATGGAGTTCCACGAGGCCATTGGTATCAATCAGCAGGGTCAGCCACAGGGTGCTCCATCTGGCAACTATGATATGGCCTACTTCCAGTCTGGTGCCAGCACACCCGTGTCCTTGGATGATGAGGAGAAACAGTTACAAGAGCAGTTGGAGAGGATCAGAGCCCAACAAAAGGCCAAACAAGCCCCAGTTCCCACGCCACAAGTTTCCGCGCCACAAGTAGCCGCACCACAAGTTGCCGCGCCACATGTTTCCGCTCCACATGTTACCGCGCCACATGTTGCCGTACCACAGGTGGTCCAACCACCAAACAGACCAATCAGTACTGGAGTGTCAGTGAAGCCAGCTGCTGCAGTCGCTTCGCCACCTGTGATCAAACCAGTGGTCTTGTCACCTGGAAAGGTTGTGTCACCAGGTAATGCATTGTCGGCACACGCCACACCCAATGCTCTGTCGCCACCAATGAACTCGCCACATTCAAACACCTCACCTCATGTACAGACAGCAGTAGCCCAGCCCTCCACTCCAACCTCATCATCCAACGCATCATCGTCACAATCATCACCAGCAGTCAGACCGTCATCAGTCGTATCGCCGTCAAGTGAGGCTGGCATCAGTGTACCACCTCCTTCTAGGCCAGTTCCACCAACTCCAACCAATGCCATGTCCACCCCTCCACATCATCAGGCGCCGTCGCCTGTCTCAAAGCCCTTGCCTCCACCTGTACAACAACACACATCGATATCATTCGAGGCCAGGTCCAGTCCACCGCCACAATCAATCTTTGGATCGCCATCACCATCACCATCACAATCACATGGGCCATCTCATCCAGCCCCACAACAACAGCAACAACAAGCTCAAGCTGCTCAACTACCGGACAAAGCTTCATCCGAGAAGTGGGACCTCAAGAACACGCGTAACCTCGATACTATACGCGGCCTACAATCAGAATGCATGGTGGGCAATGAGAGCCGAATGTTCACGGGCTCCAACGATGGCAACCTTGGAATATGGGACGCCGACCAGATGAAGCACATTAGCAACGTCAAGGCGCACGGCAAATCGATACGCTCGGTGGCGCTGTCGGCCAAGGGCACGCTGCTGACGGGTGGCGCAGACTCGTACATCAAGGAGTGGGACCTCAACACGATGACCATGCTCAAGGAGATCAAGGACTCGAACGAGATCAACTCGGTCTTCATCCAGGACAACCTGATGTTCACTGGCTCCAACGACAAGACCGTCAAGATATGGGACATGCGTACATACCAATGCACGCAGACGCTGCAAGGCCACACTCGAGCAATCAAGGCTGTGTGCGCGCTGGGCAACTTGATGTTCTCGGGCTCCAATGATCAACAGATCTTTGTCTGGAGTCTACAGAACAATCGAGTGTTGACCAACTTCCAGGGACACGAGGGCTGGGTCAAGTCGTTGTACGCGCACAACAACACATTGTACAGCGCATCGCATGATGAGACGGTCAAGGTATGGGACCTCAAGACGACAAAGTGCACCAACACATTGAAATGTAAGGATCGCGTCGAGTCGGTGATGGTCACCAACCAGGGCATATTCGCTGGTGCCGGAGATTACCTTCAAATATTCGACACGGCCTCGCACGACCCTCTGGCCACGATCAACACGCGATCCAGCATTCTCTGTCTGTGGAGGAAGCAGAACAAGCTGTTCACGGGCTCACTCGCAAGTAACCTCAAGGTGTGGACGTGGGACACTCTCTGATTGAACGAGTCCACGTCCAGTCCTCCAATCAAATGTGAATAAATCCAATCATTGTATCCATGACATTGACAAGGCTAAAGGGTATAAGGGTAAGAGTTTATTCCCCTCGCGCTAGCGGGGGAGTTGGTCGTCAATCGAATGCATCGATCTTAGTTGGTGAGTGCTGGGGGCTGGAGAAGGATCTTGCCAGCTGATTGACGGCTTTCGAGGATCTCGTGAGCCTGAGAGGCGCTGTCCAGTGGGAGGACGGTCTTGGAGGAGAGAGTCAGCTTGCCATCGGCAATCCACTGGAAGATCTCTGTACATCTCTGTTGCATCTCGCCTGGCTCGCGCAGATAGTCGACCAATGTTGGTCGGGTGATGAAAAGTGATCCATTGGCACTGAGCAACAATGGGTCGATGGCTGGCACGGGGCCTGAAGCATTGCCCACCAAACAGAGACATCCGAGTGTGCGCAGTGACTTGAGTGATTGGAACCAGGTCGATGCGCCGACACCGTCGTACACGACATCAACACCCTTGCCGCCGGTGAGCTCGCGCACCTTGCTGGAGAACTCGGGCAAGTCCTTGTAGTTGATGACGTGGTCGGCACCCAATGAGCGCACCAACGCCTCCTTCTCTGGGGTCGACACGGTCGTGATGACCTTGGCACCAATGATCTTGGCCATCTGGATCAAGGCCTGGCCCAAACCGCCAGCGCCAGCCTGGATAAGACAGGTGTGCTTGCTCTCGAGCTTGAAGGTGGAGCGCACGAGGTAGTGAGCAGTGAGACCCTGAAGAGTGTAGGCAGCGGCAGACTCATAGTCGACGGTGGGTGGCAGACAGAACACGCTGCTCTCGGGCACAGCGGTGAACTGTGCGTATGATGCTGGGCTAAAGTATGTGACACGATCGCCGACCTTGAGCTGCGACTTGAGGGCATCGCCGACAGCCACAACCTTTCCGGCTGCCTCGCGACCAAGAGTTGCTGGTAACTCGAGCTTGTAGAGACCAGTTCTATGGTATGTATCGATGAAGTTGACACCAATAACCTCATTCTGTACCAGCACCTCGTTTGACTTGACTGAAGGCACTGCAACATCCTCAAAAACGAGTTGTCTTGGTCCACCAGGTGCATGCAATCTAATCGCCTTCATTGTCTTTGTTAATAATGAGCTCATTCTATTATTATGTTATTTATCTAGTATAATACTTGATGTTGTTGTTGTTGAATGAATGAACAATGTAGTGTTGTAGTTGTTGTTGTTGTTGTTGCGAAGGAAGTGCATTCCAAAGATACTTCTTTTTGTTTTTTTCCATTTTTGTCAATTTCCTTTTAAGGCTCTATTGTTGATCATTGCTTCTACAAGTGTAATAACTTTGTTTGAGTATTAATCAATCAATCCAACTAAACTCCACTTTTGGTATTGATCACAAATGACGACACAACATATTATTTGTTTGATTTCAAATGTGGTGTATCTGTTTGAAAAAGATATTTCAATTGGTCATTCTTCGAATTCAAGATCTCACAAATGACACCTCACGCACAAACTGAATGAGGCAAACCTTCATCGCCATCATCATTCAAACTTTGGTTGTGTAATTTATATAACTCAAACACATACATACACATAAGCAACATAAACGATATATAATATGGCATCTGTATCAGGAGGAGGATCAGCTGATCAACAGTTATTATCAATGGCACCTTTAAATTGTGTGTCATTGGATCCAACTGTTACATATTGTTCCAGCGAGAGTGAGGTTCATAAAGCGAATAATACATTGTTAGGAGATACATTCAGAGTGTGGCAGAGTGCAGATGCTACTACTCAAGCGACAATCGAGTATCAATTCGATCGTCCACATTACATCCGTGCAATCGATGTCACCAACGCTGGTTCAGCATTCATCGAGATACTTGTTGGTCAAGCCACATGGGAGCCCAAAGAGTTTCAGGTATGTATGATTGATTGTCCGACATCATGATGATCATGACTACTCACTCAATCAATCAATGCATCAGGTCATGGTACAAATGACAACATTCATGACACAGAGTGATAGCAAGGATATGACGAATAAGGCGAGGATAAAGAGATTCGATGGTGCCAAGTTGAACTCTCAAACTACACATAGACGTTGGGAAAAGGTTAGAGTGGTCTGCATGCAGCCATTCAATCCGGCACACATTGGCATTGCCAACATCAAGTTCTACACTAAACAAGTGACCACTGAGAAGCTGAACAGGAGCACTGAGGCATCCGCGATGATGCTGACCACGCCCACCAAGTCAAAGTCAAGGTTGTCGTCATCGACACCAACATCTCTGCTGAGGACACCATCCCAGTCGTTGCGCACACCAGAGAAGGAGAACAACAACAACTTCACCGATACAACAGACCCAGATATCTCAATGACTGACATCGAGACAACGCCCACCAAGTTGATGAGCGATGCTACTGAGCCTGATCTCTCGCTGCACGTCAACACCACACCCAAGCCAGAGAGATCCCGCACGACGATGAGCTCGTCAATCGCCAGCAATATACCACCTGGCGAGTTCCTGGTCGTCTCCAAGAAGTCCACCACCTCACTCCTGCAGAACACACCAAGGAAGGGGTCGACCATCTCAAACGATGACTCCAAGGTACCCATGGACACTGACAAGCCATCCAAGGCCAGCTCCAAGTTAGTTGAGCCGCAATTGAACGATGATGACACTGACTGCGAGGATGATGTTCAATCCATTGTTGAGCCCAAGAAGGAGGGCAAGTACAATATACCATTCAATCAGTTGTTGGTAAGTATGGAGTGATTGATTGGATGATTGATTAGATGAGTGACTAACTTCTGGTTCCAAACAATGTAGAAAGGTGTAGTTATAGTCATTGGAGGTATAGTCAACCCTGAGAAGGCACAGCTGCGAGTCAAGGCATTGGAGATGGGAGCGGACTATAAGCCAGACTGGTGTAAAGAGGCCACTCACCTCATCACTCCATTCATTGGCACGCCCAAGTCCAATGGTATGTTCACCAATCACAATCAATCCAATCTCATCGTTCTAACATCCGACCCTACCTCCGCCCAACAGCTTGTGATGGTGCCATCGTCTTACCAACATGGATAAATGATTGTTATAAGATGAAGACTAGATTGCCAATCAAGTCATACCAGGTGACAGAGACATTCAAACCAAAGACAAAGGATTCAGAACAATCATCATCGTCATCATCAAAGAAGAGCAGTGACAAGCCTGGCAAGAGCATTAGTACTGCCCCATCAAAGAAGAAGAAGAAGGGAAAGAAGACAAAGAATGTGTTGGATCCGAGTGATAGTGAGGACGAGGATGACGGACTGCCCAACGCCTACGACCTCAACGACGACTTTATCGACAATGAGTTTGACGGATCGGCATCGTCTGGCGACGAGGAGGACAGTGACCTTGACCTGGCCTATGACGAAGACACTCGTCTCAAGAGTGCACGCGAGCAAGAGGACGTCAATGACCTGTTCCGCGATGCCAAGGACTTCCTGGACAGGACATACGGCAATGACAAACTGGTCAAGCAGTTCTACAACAAGCACACTGGAAAGAATGGTAGCTCGCCTAGCTCAAGGGACAAGAGGAAAGCTGGCGATCAACGCACACCGGACAAGCCAGCCAAGAAGCTGTCGTACACCGCACAACCGTTTGAGACTGCCAAGGTGCCATCTGAGCCGCTGTTTGATCAAGAGATGCTGTTCAGTGGTGATGGTACACAAGAGATATCGCCAGAGCAAATCAAGAGTGAGCTGGAGAGGGTCATTGTTCCTCAAAAGTCAAAGGTCAAGTCTCCAACCATGGCATCAAAGCAAACAGATGTTGACATGTCCACAGACGAGGAGGAAGATGTATTGCCAGAGCACTTTGTATCAATAGACAATATCAACAACAACAACACCAGCAGTAGTACAACAACATCAACATCTGCCAAACCATCATCATCCAGCAAACAGACAACCACCACAACAACAACAACGACAACTTCAACTTCATCAACATCAACAAGCAATAAGAATGGAACAACGAACAAGGACACAAAGAGCACGGCCAAGAGCACAAGCGAACCACCAAAGACCATTGTCAAGGGAAAAGAGTGTATGTATTGTCTTCCGACTCTGCTGGCCAGTCTCGGACTTGATTGAATGATTGGACCACCACATCTAACCTTGGCCTCGTCACCTTCACGCGATCGATCAAACACAGACATTTTGAATCCATTGCCAACGTTCTTTGATGGCGTTGAGTTCTACCTCAGTCTTAAGGATGAGTCACTTAGGAAGCAGGTCCAACGATACATTGTAGCATATAAAGGGTAGGTTCCAGCTGGAATGGATGATTGATTGGATGAATGAATGACTAACCATAAATGGCACGAAACAGATCAATCAAGAGCATGCCAACAGCCACAACAAAGTACATCATTACGGATAAGGACTGGGACAAGCTGTTTGATATCACACAGAAGAAATACGCAAGTGTTGTATTCTTGAAGCCATCATTCATCATGAAGTCGCACAACTATCAAAAGATTGCGCCAATCGATGGACATGTAATTTCCAAGGCTTGATTGGACCAAGCCACCATCATACAATCATTGCAACATCATCATCATTACCATCATCATCATAATTCGAATACCACCATTATTACTACTATTAAATCAAACACAGACAAGTGAATGACCAAGCATTCTCCGAGTGTGTGTGGATGACACAACAAATCATCTTTGATGATGAACTTAACAAGCTCCAACTTTGTCATGGACCTGGTGAATGGACCAACAACAACAACAACTAAGTTTCAGGTAAACAAAAGTTGATGATTTCAACATTGTCGCGAATTTATTTATAACTCAAGCGAGGGGTGTGATGGATGCCCGTTGCCAACTGCTTCGATGGTTTGCCCAATCAGACAAAACCCCATCAACGCCCTTTCGATCAAAAGACCACATCTTTTTTTAACTCAAATCTTACACCCTGTCTTGATGGGTTGTGCATCATTTATCACTCCACATCCATTCTGATCGACTGTGTGTCTTGGTGTGTGTGAATGAGTATTGATCTTTGTTGACCAATAACATCTGCCTAGGTATGTGTGAATGGATGGATGTTAGACTACTTGACCTTGCTCACTCACTCGCTCTCTCTCTCTTACCAAGATGTGTGTTCGTGCAACGCATCATTATGATGACAGTAGATACACACTGTGACGAGACATGCAGACGGCTATGTGCACCATCCATTGTGATCGTGTGGACAATGGTACCTTTGTTGATTGGTTGACTAGGGTTGGCCTAAGGTAGGGTATATATGATATAACTCACACACTAGCCCCATCTATTTGTCTGCGCTGCCTGGCATGCATTCATTCAGGCAAGTCGTCGCCGTCGACGATACAATCGCGCTGGCGCATTAATCAGATTCTGCAAGTACTCATTTAATGCTTCCATTCCCTTCCCTTCCCTTCCAACTTCATAACCTGTTACATCAACCGTCAATTCAATCAATAATATTCATTCATACATACATTCTATTTATATAACTTATAACTATAACTTTAATAATATTTAATAATATTTAATAACATTACTATACCCTACAATATAATACAATACTATTCAATCATATCATATAATACAATATAATATATAGTTAAGATCATTCTAATAACACTAACTTATAAGGATGAACTTGTCGGCATCTCAAAGAATGGAAGGAGGTGATAGCGGCAGTGGAGGAGGTGTTGGTGGTGTGAACATGGAGGAGTTCTCAAAGACAGTAAATCCAAAGAATGGAATGTACGTCGTTGCTAAAGGACTCACATCAACAATAGGTTCTGCAAAGAAAAAGACAGAGAAGAATATATTACAAGACTTGAGTTTCTTCCTCAAGGTATGTTTGTTTGTTGGCGCGTGTTGCCACGCGGAAACACACACCGAAACACACGGAAACACGCGGAAACACGCGGAAACACAATGACTAACTTTTGCCTTCAAATACATCTTTATAGCCTGGTTCAATGGTTTTGATGCTAGGATCACCAGGTTGTGGAAAGACATCAGTGTTTAAAGCATTGGCACATCAGACACATGATGAGAGATTGTCTGGCACATTGTTGTTCAATGGCCAGCCGGCACATGATGACACTCACCATCATGATGTGTCTTATGTTGTACAGGAGGATAACCATATGGCTCCATTCACAGTGCGTGAGACTTTCAAATTCAGTGCCGACTTGCAGATGAAGCCAGGCACCACAGATCGCGAGAAGGAGGAGCGTGTCAGCAGCATTCTAAAGACACTGGGTCTCGTCTCACAGGCAGACACCATCGTCGGTAATGAATTCCTTCGTGGAATCTCTGGTGGACAAAAGAAGCGTGTTACAATCGGTGTGGAGATGGTCAAGGATTCCAACCTTATCCTGATGGACGAGCCCACAACTGGCCTCGACTCGGCAACCTCCCTCGAGCTGATGGAGTACCTCAAGCAAAAGATCACCACAGACAACATATCATGTCTGATCGCTCTTCTTCAACCCGGTGTGGAGATCACCAAACTGTTTGACTTCCTCATGATCCTGAGCGAGGGCCAGATGGCCTACTTTGGACCCATGAACTCTGCCATCCCCTACTTTGAGTCTATGGGCTTCCAACTGCCCTCGCATCACAACCCCGCCGAGTTCTTCCAAGAGATCGTCGACGAGCCCGAGCTCTACTACCAGGGCGAGGGTCAGCCACCCCTCCGTGGCACCGCCGACTTTGTCTCGGCCTACAAGAACTCGGACATCTACCGCGCGGTCATCAACGACATTGACCACAACCAGGTGGACCCATCACATTTCAAGGACCACTCAGACCTGCCGTGCTACTCGACTCCCATGCACTACCAGATCCGACTGACCACCCAACGTGCCTTCAAGATGTTGGTCAGCAACCCTATCTCACTGCGTGTTCGTGTGGCCAAGTCCATTGTCATGGGCCTGATCCTCGGATCACTTTACTATCAAATGGGACTCACTCAAACCGATGGCAACAACAGGTCTGGTCTGATATTCTTTGCTCTGCTCTTTGTGGTCTTTGGAGGTTTTGGTGCAATCACAGTTCTGTTTGAACAGCGAGGCGTGTTCTACATACAGAAAGACGGCAAATACTATCACACGTTTGCCTTCTTCATGTCACTGATCTTCTCCGAGCTGCCCATTGCCTTGCTAGAATCTGTCGTCTTCTCCGCCTTTGTCTACTGGATGTGTGGGCTGCAACACGACGCCGTCAAGTTCATCTACTTTGTCTTGATGATCTTTGCGTCAGACTTGGCAGCACAATCATTCTTCAAGATGGTGTCAACATTCACGCCCAACGCAACGATCGCTTCGGTTCTCGCCCCTGCCGTGCTGGCCCCACTCATCTTGTTTGCTGGCTTCATGATTCCTCACCCATCGATTCCAAACTGGTGGATCTGGATGTACTGGATCTCACCAATTCACTATTCATTCGAGGGTCTCATGTCCAACGAGCATCATGGACTCAACTACCATTGCAATGGTGGCGAGCTGGTCCCACCATCATTCATTGCCGACGTCCTGTTCAACGGCACTCAGGTGTGCCCCATCACCCATGGCGATCAATTCCTCGACATCCTCGGCTTTGCTAAGAACGACTGGTTCAAATGGATTGATCTGGCAATCGTCTGCGCCTTTGCCATCTTGTGGAGTGCTATGATGTACTTGTTCCTCGTCAAGGTGCACTATGACCCACGCGCCAACAATGCCGCCGCAGAGAAACTCAATCAGAAGCGTATGAAGCGTGCCAATGCCGCAGCGCTCAAGGAGCACAAGGTCAAGGTACACCATGATCACGAGCACAAGCACGCCAGAGTCAAGAAGGACATCCCGATTGGTTGTTACATGCAGTGGAAGGATCTGGTCTACGAGGTCGATGTCAAGAAGGGTCGCAAGACTCAGCGTCTCAGACTGTTGGACCGCATCAATGGATACGTCAAGCCCGGAATGCTCCTGGCACTTATGGGACCATCTGGCGCTGGAAAGTCAACCCTGCTCGATGTCTTGGCCAACAGGAAGACTGGCGGCCACATCAAGGGTGACATTCTGATCAACGGTGCAGAGCGTACCAAGTTCTTCACTCGTAACTCGGCCTATGTCGAGCAGATGGATGTGTTGCCACCAACACAAACAGTGCGCGAGGCCATCCAATTCTCTGCAAAGACTCGTCTTCCCAGTGATATGCCAATGGAGGAGAAGTTGGCCTTTGTTGAGACCATCTTGGAAACACTCAGTCTCCTAAAGATCGCCAACAAGGTCATTGGAAAGGGTGATGAGGGTCTGTCTCTGTCCCAGCGCAAGCGTGTCAACATTGGTATCGAGCTGGCCTCTGATCCCCAGTTGATTTTCTTGGACGAGCCAACATCTGGCCTGGACTCATCTGCCGCACTCAAGGTTATGAACCTGATCAAGAAGATCGCCATGAGTGGACGATCAATCATTTGTACAATCCATCAGCCATCTACATCCATCTTCAAGCAGTTTGACCATCTCCTCCTCCTCAAGAAGGGTGGAGAGACTGTGTTCTTTGGACCAACTGGAGAGAAGAGTGCTGTCGTCCTTGAGTACTTTGCACACCATGGACTGATCTGTGACCCATTGATGAACCCAGCAGACTTCATTCTTGATGTAACAGAGGATGAGATCCAAGTTGTGCTCGATGGAGAGTCAAGCATGTTCCATCCAGTCGAGGCATTCAGAGAGTCGCCACTCAACGCTGCGTTGATGGAGCAAGTCAATCAAGGAGTCATGCCACCAGGCACCCCTGTTCCCGAGTTCCACGGCAAGTACTCCAGCACGATCGGTACTCAGTTCCATGTTCTGTTCAGACGTGCATGGCTCGCACAGATCCGTCGTACCCAAGACATCAGATCACGTTGTGGCCGTTCAATTATCCTTGGTGTGATCTTTGGCACACTCTTCCTTCAGATGGACAAGAACCAAGCTGGCATTTACAATCGTATATCACTTCTATTCTTCTCATTGGTCTTTGGTGGTATGGCCGGTATGAGTACCATCCCCATCGTCAACACAGAGCGTGGTGTGTTCTACCGTGAACAATCAGCTGGCATGTACCGCATTTGGATCTGGCTGTTGACATTTATCATTACCGATCTGCCCTGGGTGCTCCTGTCCGCCCTGCTCTACACCATCCCCGTGTACTTCATCTCTGGCCTGTACCTGGGCGCACATGGCGCACCATTCTTCTACCACTGCTTCATCTCATTTACTACCTATCTTAACTTCTCGTTGGTGGCCATGCTGTTTGCCATGATCTTCCCAACTGATGAGGTGGCGCAGTCGATGGGTGGAGTGCTGCTGTCTATCACAGCACTGTTTGCAGGTTTCATGATTCCCCCTGGCTCCATACCCAATGGCTGGAAGTGGCTCTACCATCTGGACTTTATCAAGTACCCACTCGAGGTGTTCTTGGTCAATGAGTTCCGCGACATCTCATTCGGCTGTCCAAACAACGAGGGCGCTGTTCCAGTTGTCCCAGGTGGATTCTTTTGTCCAATCACCAAGGGTACCATCATCCTAAACCGATACGAGATGAAGGAGGACCATCTCTACACCAACATCGCCATCATCTTTGGCTTCAGTATATTCTTTACCCTGTGCAGTTACCTTGCTCTCAGGGTCATTAGACATCAAGTTAAATAAATCGATATTTATATTATTATGTATGTAACAAAGAAGTCCAACATCGTTTGATTGATTGATTGATGTGATTAGATAGAGTACATGTGTAATTGTTTAATTAGTTGTATCCTCCAAGGAAGGGGTTCTTGTTGGACATGGACGAGTTGCCATTGCTATAGTTGTTGTTGATCATGATGTTGCTGTTGTTGAGATTAATGCTGCTATTGTTGTTATTGATGTTGTTGATATTGTTGATGCTATTGATGTTGTTGTTGCTGATGCTGTTGTTGTTGGCATTCGTATTGTTGTTGTTTAGAGTGTTCAGATTATTCTGACTGACGCTGTTCTTTAGAGAGGCCTGTTGGTTCTGGAAACAGACATAATGTATTGCCACACCATTGGGCTGTGCAGCAAATGCATTCGTTCCAACAAATCTCTTGTTGCAGTATGGACAAATCAGATCATCGGTGATCTTGATGACGCCAGCACGCAGATGAATGAGCTCTTCTTTAATCTGTTGTTGTTGGGAGTTTGATTGATTGGTTAGCCGTGCTCGCTCACTAGTTTGGCTTCTGTAAAGTCTTACCTTGGCGTGTTCTGCCTTGAGCAGATTCTTTACAACTTGACTCTCTCTCTTGATACGAGTGTTGTCCCTGATGACAGCCTCAAAGAATGGATAGAGCTCCTGGATTGGGATGTTGAGTGGTAGTAGACCTAGGGCCTTGGGTGTATCAATCGATCGATAGTGCTTGTTCAATAGCTTCAATGCTGGCTCGATCTGAGGCTTGATGGAAGCCTCTGGCTTCAAGTAGACATTGAGAAGTGACAAGTAGACATCCTTCGATTCGTCCTTGTCCTTGTTGTAGTTCCTGTCACAGTACTCTTCAGCCATCTTAAAGTTCATCAACTTGTGCGCGTAGATGGCCAATGCCTGGTCGTGTCTGCTGATCCTGCTCAAGAGAATGGCTCTCTCCTCGTACAAGTCGTTGGTAGGGAATCTGCTCAGCAGCTTCTCGGGAAGGTAGTACTTGGAGGTCTGGAGGAAGTTGATGAGCTTGGTGCGCAGTTGACCAAGCAAGCCTGGTTCAGATCCAGCCACAGTCTCGCCTGGCACTCTTGGTACAAGTGATCCTTGGATCAACGTCATGATCTTGCTTTGATACTCAAGGATCAAGCTGTTATGATATATCGGGGCCTTGTCCTGTTGGAATATGAGTGGCTTGTCCTGTGGCGTTGGAAGTCCCTGTGCTGCTGCTTGCGCTGCTGCCTGAGCAGTAGCCTGTACCTGGGCAAACTGTCTATTGATAATATACTCGAGATACTCCATCAAGTGATTGGAGGCATACTTCTCCAGATGTGCGATCACCTGGTCAGGTGGGAGTTCTTCCTTACGCTCTGTAGTGAATATCTTTTGATTGACAGTGTCAGTTGAATGATCGATCAATCAGTCTTGGTCAGCAGACGACACTTACAAACATAGCATCCTGAGTTGACTTTTGCAAGACCCATTTAGAGTGCTCCAAGATGACTGAGAGATGTTGTGGACCCAGTTGACAGAGATAGTTGATCGTCTCCTTTGCATCGCCATTCTTTGCCAGCAATGTCAGTGCCTCCCTATGCATTGCCTTTGATTGATAGAACAATACCAACTCAGCGAATTTCTTTGATTGATGAGGATGTGGTTGTTAGTACTTTGTCCCGACCGTCCTGTCCAGTCCCTTGGATACATACCCTCTCCTCTTTTAGAACTCTCTGTGACTCCTCGATGTGTAGACAGTTCTTCAGATTGAAGAAGATGGAGATAAGGTTGGGCTTGAGCTTGATGTAGATCTTAAGGATGGTCGTATCGATCAGTGTTGGTAGGTCGTAGCCAGAGTTGGCAAGCTCTGGTGGGTTCAGGTTGTAGGGTGGCTTCTCAGGCTTCTGTAACTCCTTGCGAATGCCCACCAAGAAGGTCTCCAGAGCACTCAGTGCTGTGTCATTCTTCTCAATGTCCTTGACTTGAGTCGTGATGGCAATCTTGTCTTGAAGGAGGGGTGGCAGGAAGCCAGGGTACTGAGCGATCACTTTGAGTGGATCAAACTGTGCGGCAAGGAAAAGTTCCATGGCACTGGCATACTGCTCACGGGCAAAGTGTGCGTGGGCGGCATTGATCCTGGTCTTTGCCAGCTTCTCGCGCTTGCCCGCCAGAGTGTCTGGTGCAATGTTCAACACATTGATGGCAGTCTCAAACTCTTGATTGGCCACGAGCTGGTCGACAAGGTCCAGCGTGGGCACAGGGTTCAGTCTCCAAACAGTCGAGGTGGAGGCCACGTATATATCATGCTTGGCAGCGATCGATTTGCAGCCTTGCAAGAACATCGTCTGTGATATACCCTTTGACTCGGGAACGATCTGGACCTCAATCTGCTTTGGTTCAATCGATATAATGAATGGATACTTGATCGTCAAGCTCACTGGCGAGTCAGACCATGTGAGTCCATACTTCCTATTCGGCTTGCCGTCCACACAATTGATAAAGAATGCCAAGTCTATAATTGATTGAATGAGTGAGTGAGTGATGGGAGTGATGGGCGCGACACGACAAGACGCTACATACTGTGCTTGACGATGAGGAACTCCTTGTCTTGGAAGAAGGTGAGGAAGGAGATCTTGTCAGTGTCAGAGTTGAAGACACTGCCATCTATGGTGTTGATGATGTTGTAGGACTTTTTGAAACCGACGACGATGTAGTTGTCACGGTAGTCGATGGTCTTGGGTGTGTCGGGTATGTTGAACTCCTTGGCCTCGACAAAGTCGGTGCCATCCCAAGCGTAAGTGATCAGCTTCTTCTTGACGGCGGCACACAACGATGTGTACGAACCGTTCTGACTGATGGCGTAGAGACTGCATCCTTTTGCCTTGTTGAGTGGTGCCTTCTGATTATAGTTGTTCACCAAGTCAAACACCTTTATCTCACCATCCGTCAATATAACCAATGCATTATAAGGCTCCAACACATTCATCTGTGATATTGGCTTCTTTGACAATGCCTTTGTATCAAACAACTTCATTGACACTATCGTGTTGTCATTGTCATTGCGTTGGTCATTGCGTTGGTCAGTCACTGTGTCCTGTGCACTCATTCAATCAATCAAACATACCATTGCCAGGTGTTTCATGCGCATTGTATGTCATCTTCTCGGCAACTTCATAGACGATGACTAAACCTTCATAAGTTCCAAGCAGGAGCTTCTTCCTGTCCTTGTAATCTGTGTTTGTGTGATTCATTGGAAGTTGGAACATGGTCAGTCAATCAAGTCCTCAACTCGTTCATTGATCATTCAAATCACATCACATCACTGACATACCCCAAGTATCTATACATTCAATCTTCTGATTGATCTTATCGATCACATTGATCGACGTGAATGAGTTCATCGCGTTGAATGTAAATGAGTGATTATGTCAATGTAATCTATCTATCTGTCAGTCTGTCTGGTATGATCGAATTGTTATACTTGTATATGTATGATATATGTATGTATATATGTAAACAATTACAACCCTGTATTGGAGATATGAACGTCAATGCACACCTTCACTCATTCATTCTTTCATTTCAATCCATCACATCAAAACATCTAAATATCGATTTTGGAAGGTTTCGCAAGAAAGATCTCAAACCCCACCCTTTCTTTCATTCAATCTTCTGAATTTATGGGTTATCAATCCATTATTATTAATTCAACTCTGGACAATCAGCCAGTTTAATGTCCACCTGCTGTCATGGCCGGTGACAACACTGGCAGGGTGTCCTTGATCTTGAGGTACTCGACCACTTGTGTGTATCCATTGGCTGTTGCTGATGCAATGGCCTTGGAAGTGCATGGCGCACGTCTGTGATGGTGAAGGAACTTGACTACCTCGAGGTATCCATTCTGACTGGCCAGGTCCATGGCATCAGTGGTGCAGCCCTCAGTGCGATTGTGATGAAGGAATTGTACCATTGCAAGGTGTCCATTTGCTGCGGCCAGGTCCATTGCCTTGGGTGAGCAGCCTTCCGTTCTATTATGATGGAGGAACTCGACGACGACGACGTTGAGGTGACCAGCTTGTGACGCCATGTTCATAGCAAACTCGCTACATCCTTCAGTCCTATTCTCATGTAGGAAGCGGACTACCTCCAAGTGTCCATGTTGCGCGGCAAAGTCCATCGCTCGTAAATGTGCCGGTGCTGTCGTGTTGTTGTGTAAGAACTGGATCACATCCAAGTGACCACCCTTGGCAGCCTCTGTGATGGCCCACATCTTGCAGCCTTCTGTACGATTGTGATGGAGGAACTGGACCACATCAAGGTGTCCCTTTGCTGCAGCAAAGTCCATAGCACTTGTCGAGCATGCGACCTTGATCTCATGTAGGTACTTGATCAGATCCAACCATCCTTTGCCAGCAATCTCGTCCATTGATATCGGTGATATTGATTCACTCCAATTATGAATCATAAACTTGACTACGTCATAGTGCCCCTTGCTCACGGCCATCCTCAATGCCCAAGCAGCACCATCAAGTTGCCTGAGGTTGTGATGAATGTACTTGACCACTTCCAAATGATTGTTTGATGCTGCCCATTGCAGGGCCAGCTTGGTACATCCTTCAGTTCGATTGGTATGTAGAAAGTCCACTACTTCAAGGTTGCCCTTCTTTGCCGCTTTGTTCATAGCCGTGTTATCACAGCCCTCTGTTCGATTGTAATGAAGGTACTTGACTACATCCAAATGATTGTTTTGTGATGCCCTGTTCATTGCCTTGACTGTACATCCTTCAGTGCGATACTCATGAAGATATTGTAAGATGTCAAGTCTACCATGCTTGGCCGCATGGTCCATCGCAATAGCTGAGCATCCTTCAGTACGATGAGTATGAAGGAACTTGACGATGTCGAATGTCGGGGCATAGTCCATCGCGTTGATTGAGGCCTTGGCATCTTTGAATGTATTATGTACAAACAATACCATGTCGATACATCCAATGTTTGCCATAACATCAAGTATAGGTGATTGAATGAATGTGGATGGCGAGGTGATACTGAGATGTTTGATGATCTCTCGATGACCTTGATATGATGTGAATGAGTCTGTTATACGGAATCGAATAGCTTTCAAATCTTCATCAGCAAGGTAGTATGTATCCACACACTGCAGCCAATGATCGACCAACATATTCCATGTCAATGTCTTTAACCATTTTGATCTATTTGATGATGTTGTTGTACTTGTCGTTTCCAGATCAATCCTATTCAACAACCTAATATGTCCAGATACAACAGTTAATATCCATCTATTATTTACAATGTGTTTAAATAATATTGTATTATTATTATTATTATTATTATTATTATATATATTATCCATTATTATTATCTATTTGATTGTGAAGTTGAATCATTGATCTTTGAATGGCATCAAAACACACTCACATATCTGATGATCAAACTTAGCCCTGGGGTGATCAGATCTATTTTTAGATGTAAAAATATCTGATCAATCAAACAGATAAAGGTTCATCTTCATCCATGACAATTCAAGAAATGGATATTGAACATATCTTGGACTCCTGGGAAGGGCGAGGGCGAGGGCAAGTGATGAACTTAATTTAACAATATATTTATTATTAGATGAATATATTATTATACGATTCGATCATATACCTCTGGACAGGTGATAAGCTTTGGATCGGCCGAGGAATTCTTCCTTCGGAATGTATCCATGTGATTTGAGAATTTAAGATATAGATGGAATAGGTCACACATTGGATCATTATAACTAAATACTGATCCCCAACGCTTGACCACTTCGATATCCTCTCGCCATGCAAAGTATTTATGATACTCTTCGACGTTCTGGTCCAGGTATATCAGATGATCGACCAACTGCTGTGTTGTGTTGAATTGCTTGACGTCAATGTATGAACCAGGTGGCAGGTATTGAAGTGTAGTCTCGTGACCCATATACACAGGCACGATACCATGGAACAGACATTGTTGAACCTTCTCCGTGATGTAGTATGGACAATTACTGTTCTCCAATGCAAAGTAGAACTTGTAAGGATTGATAATTTTGCTCTTTGTACTGAATGGGTCGAGGCCCGAACGATCAGCGCCAGCTGGCAAGTCCTTGTTATGTAAACATGATCCATAGCTATCGACGTGCATCTTCTCCATGACCCTTCGCATAAAGCGATTACGATCACTCTCCTCTATGTTGTCGACGACTGAATTGCATGAGCTGCTCATCCATGATGCCACCTTGCCATTCTCCTTGAAAGCCATCACATCGGTGGTGAAGTTGAATGGATTCTTCTGTTGCTCCTCCAAGAATATGTCGTAACCCTGTTTGTGGAGGTACGACTCCCTGATATCGTTGAGGGGCACGGGCATGTATCCGATGGTCCAGTTGAAGTACTCGATGCAGCTGGGTGTCCTGACGCACCAAGCTAGATAGCTTGGCGGTGATTCTAGGTAGTACAACACTGTGACACCCTTGTACCAGTCTGGCAATTTGATCTTCCAACTCTCGTCACCCTCTGCCATGTCCGAAGCAAAGAATATAATACCATCGGCTTCGTTCAATCTAGACATATCATTTGAAGCAACAAATGCATCCCTGTTCGTACCACATGAATAATTACCAGCTCTCCCAGATGGTTCAAACCATTCAGTGTTACCAAACAGGAACAGGAATGACTTGTTGGATTCTCCTTCCGACATTGATTGTGATTGTGATTGAGTTGGATCTTGTGATGACGACGAGTCCTTGTCCTTGTCCTTGCTATGGCTCGAGTCCTCCTTGTGATGGCTCGAGTCCTCCTTGTGCTGGCTATCCGTGTTGTTCTGGACTGATGGGCCAGTGTCTGTGTGACTGGAACTACTTGATGAGTGGTGATCACTATCGCTGTCATTATAATTGGCTCCTCTCTCTTTAGATTGAGAACCAGAACCAGAGTTCTTATTATGAGATGAGGTGTGCTCGTCAGAGTCCAATTGACCATCAGTGACACCTTTTTCCAATGAACCAAGTATAATGCCACTATCTTTGTCTCTATTAAACAAGCTCACCATCTCATATGTGAACCACAGTGATATAAAGAACAGAACAACAAGAAATAACTTATATTTAGTTGTTCTTAACATTGTTAATGTTTGTTGTTATAATAATTATTACATGTAAGTAATTATAAATATATATCTTTACCATATATGGTAAGTAATAAGTTATTATTATTATTATTACTGTGTTGTTGTTGTTGTTGAATTGAGGGTTTAATGAGCTCAGCTGACGTGTTGTTGTCAGGAGGTGTAACTGAGTTACATGACATAACTCCAGGACACTTGTTTGGTGATGTTTGGGGTGGGTTGAGTCCACAAGTTTAGTTTTGTTTTGTTTCGAAGTGTTATGGGTTTGAAACCAAGTCCATTGTCCATCTTGACAACCAAACATTAGTTTGTAATATTGTTAAGTATGAATGACATCTAATATATAAATATAACTCCTTGACATTTATCTGTTTAATAATACTTAATGGTGAATGTATCCAATTTTGGTATTCACCAATCACTTATCAATCAATCATTCAATCAAAGTCAAAGAAAGACTTGACTTTTGTTTTTTTTTTGCTGTTTGATTGATTTTTGTTGTCAAAAATGGTGGTGATGATGAACATCGCATTCTCATTCAAGGTCTTGACCCTCAACAAAGAGTCACCTCAATCATTTATTACAATCAAACTTGATTGATCGATCATACATAATATATATATATATAGATATAATAATAATAATATATTTAAAAACAATGAATGCATTATTAGAATTACCATTCAGATTCATTAGAGTGCCAAGGATGAGACTGAGAGTGCCACATATTGAGCCACCCTCACCAATGGTCGTCTTTGCCTTTATCTTCTTCACGTACTTCTTGGTCAGCAGTGGCCTCATCTACGATCTGATCGTCGAGCCACCCTCAATCGGTTACGAGCCCGATGGAAAGGGTAACAGCAGACCACAGGTGTTCCAGATGTATCGTATCAACGGACAGTACATCATCGAGGGTCTCTCTGCCGGCTTTGTCTTTGCGCTGGGCGCCATTGGCTTCATCATACTCGATCTCAACAAGAAGAAGAACAACAACTACCTCTTTATCGCTGGTCTCGTAATGATCGTTGCCACCTACAACATTGCCATCGTCTTTATCAGAATGAAGATCCCTGGTTATGGTTACTTCTAGAAAGATGTGTCGCGAACAACTCAACAACAACATCAACGACAAGCAGCAACGCAGCAACAGGACATAATAGCTATAACAAAGTTGACCAAGTATCGATGACAAGATGATCCTCAATCACTCAAGCCTCCCTCATCTCAACATCAAGGCGCGATCTCCATCCCTCACTCACTCACTCACTCACTCAATCATCGCCATCAACTCAATAAACCAGTACTGATCAACTATGTATCATTAACAAGATGCAAGGCAAGATACACTTTATTGGCCGCAGCGGCCAAGTCCAAGGCCAAAGCCAAGAACGGGAACAGAGACGTCTTATTCCTCAGGTTGATCGAGGGTACCATCATAACCTTCATCAACCGTGTACAATTGATCGTCGTTCAGTGATACGTAGTCACCATGAGCAAAGTGATTGAATGGATAACGGATGGATGGGTAGGTCTCTGGACACCAATATTGTAGATTGTGTCCAAGATCTTGGAAGAATGAGTGGACGGGTCCTTGGTTATGGTATATGAAAGGCCAATCACATGTTCCATAATAGCTATCATAGTTGTCGTCAAAGTTGGATGTTATGAAGTTATAAAACTCCTCTCTGTTGATGTTTGGGCCATAGGGTAGTGTGCTCCTGCAGGTCCTGGCGCAGAGTGATTCGAATATGTTATTGTCTCTTTTGGCCGAGATCAATAACTCCAATCCATGTCCTTTTTCCACTGGCTTCACCATCTTGTTGATCTGATCGGTGATGGCTGGTGTTGGGAAGTATGCAATGCCAAAGCCACGCAGGACATACTTGATCAGACGTCTTGGATACTGGTCCTCACCTCTTATCCTCTGGCCATAGTCCGTGGCAAAGTTGTGGCGATAGTTCATAGCCATGACTCCACGTTGAGTTGTCCATACATTATGGCCATCGTAGGCAAAGCATGTACAATCAATATCAACGCCCATCAAGATATGTTCGATTGATTCATACTTGTGTAAGTTGATCTGGATGTGACGGTAGGGATGGTGTCTTGACAATATTATCATATGTTGATCACAAGTGATCGTGTACTGACTAATGTCGCCGAGTGTCTCCATCAGCTGCTCCACCTTGTTGCTCAACTCTGTGATGCTCTGTAGGCCATGGAAACAAATATCAATGTCAGCCTGTTCATAACCTTTGGTCTGGGCACCGATTAGACAATGAGTCATGCCACCACCAATGAACACTATGTTGTTCCAATGATTATCCGTCAAGTCTTTGAATCGATCGGATGTGAACACATCAAAGTTCTTCAGGAATGATTCCATATCCACGATTGATGGTGAGCCTGGAGTGAGCTGGGCTGGCTCTCTGGCACCCATGAGTACATTGCCAACCGGTATCTGCTTGAACTTGAGCTTTTGATGATGTTTGTTGTTCTGATCATATACATTGATCAATGGTATCATTCCCAAGGGTTGGGCAACCATGCTTGATTCGTTAATCCAATTCAGGTCTTGCTTAATGTTGAATATATGAAGGTGTCTTCTCATCATTGATTGAACAAACAAGTTGAATGGGAATAGTTCCTCAACTATCTGATCCACAACAACCAGTTGTGTTGATAACAAGTACTCGGCCACCTCATAGCCTTGAGGCCTTGGGTCTTCCAGACATGAATGGCAGAACTCCTTCAACACATCATATGACAAATGGCACACCTTAGAGTTGAAGTCGTCCCTATCACTATATCATGGCGCCATCAGTGTTAGAAGTTGATTGGTTGATTGATTGAGTGAGCGAATGGCGAGGAGTTGGCTTACACAAAGTAGAGTGCTTGGAGTAAGGAGTAACAAAGTTGTTTGAGAGGTGGTATCTTGTGTCTCAATGGAAGTAGGGTGGAGTAGTGACCAAAGTATCCATCCTTTGGTTTGATCAGTACATCTTGCTCCATCTCATGATTGGTCAGCTCCTTGAATACTTGGCTCACCATAATCTTAGCCTCGCTCAATGAGCTTGCTGGCTCTTGATTAACGATCTCAATCTGGAAGTCCTTCTCACCGACTATTTGGTGTTAGTTAGTTTGATCGATTGATTGATTGAGTGAATGATTGAATGAACGATTGAGTGAATCATTAATCTAACTTACTGATGTGCGTCTCCTTTGATACATTGTATAACATGTAGTTGGAAGGAGCATGATTGATCAATAAACAGACAACTTCAACATTATTGTCTGGTGTGTAACGTGCAAGATAAGTCTCGGCAGGTCCAGCAACATAATGGTATGGTCTTGGGTAGTCATATGCTCTTGTCTGTTGTTGTAATTAGGTAAGTTAGAGAGACAACATTAACTAGTTACAATGAACATACATTGTTCCTGAGGAATGAGCGGTACACTTTAAATACTTCACCAACGCGATCATAACACTTGAGCTCATTGAAGGAGCAGTGTAAGCTTGAGATTGAGTTGTAACGCAGGGCAAAGATGTTAAAGACTAAGCCTGGGTAACAACCATTGGCTATGAGCTTGGGCAACACATCACATGTATTGACTGAGCCAGGTACAGTTGTTAACTTCTCTGGTCTCTTAATGATCACTTGATTGGCATGCAATGGGAATTGTACAATCACATCACCACTGATGCATATATTATATTGTTGTTGTTGTTCTAGGTCTTGTTCTTGTTGATGCTGTTGTCCTCGTTTGGCATCATAGTCGTCTCTGACTTGGTCTACCTTGCGCTGGAAGAATGCTCTAATATCTGTTGACATTGTTTTTGAATGATCATCAGCAGAGGCCTTGCTTGAATAAGTTCCAGGTCCTGGGGTTAGGGTTCCAGGAGTCCTGGAAACAAAATGGAAATTGGGATGATGACTGGAAAGGGCAGGCTTAATAGGACTTGAGGGCAATACCAATGGATGGGTCACTCTGTAACAAGGATGCTTGGTCCTCTGGAGACAACTGACCAAAGATTAAGTCCATAATATCATATTGTTGCCTGTACTGACATTGCTTGATCAGTTCCTTGTCTTGGGCAATGTCCCTTTCATTGGGTTTGGATGCCAGGCCATCGTAGAAGTACTTGACCATTGTGTACAGGCCAACGATGACATAACCTTTCATATGAGCGTATGTTATGGGTATGTTGTATCTCTCCGACGCATATATCAAAACACTGGCATCTGGATGTGTGTAGCCGTATACCCTGTTGTTCATGAACAGCTTGACAGCCTCTAATGGCACGCCATTGCTATCAAGTTCATACACTGTCTTGCTATCTTGTTTGGCAAACAGGTTCATCACGACATAATCAAATATAGCTGGGGCCATGTAGTTATAAGCATGAGTTGATGGCATTGACTTGGTGCTTATCGCTCCAGACTTAAACACATAGTTGATGATGTCTAAGTTACCTCCAATCAGTATCCTAGATTGATTGATTGTGTGAGTTGATGTGATCGACTGTGTGATTGAGTGATCGATCACTCAAGACAACAACATACGATTTGGTGAGTGAGGCCGAGAGGATTGGAGGCTTGTTGTTGTAGAGCAAATGTATGTACTCTTTGAATGTGTCAAGGCCCTTGGTGTATCCAACTCGCAATAGGTAATCAATACCATCATTGCCAAGATTTGATATGCTGATTGGTGATGTCTTGCACTTGAGTTGCTCGATGACATAGTTGGCCATCGTTCGATCATTGACTATCACGAGGAATGGTATGTCTGGACAGTGCTTGAGCATTGCCTTCAACAAAGAGTGACTGTCCACTCTGTAAAAGGTGATCTTCTTGCGCATTGTATCGCCAGGGACCAGGTCAAGGATTGCTTCGATTGAATGCTCATTCTTGTTTGTGAACAGCTTGGGCAGGTCCAGCAAGTCCTCCTGCGAGTTGTTCTGAAGATACCTCATTACAACGCGCACCTGGTCAGGTGTACCAGCGCCAAAGACTTGTGATGAGACTCGTTTGCAGTATGACCTCTTTCTCATGAGGTAGGGGATGGCTCGAAGTGAGCCCGTGGCAACAATATTATTGAACAGTTGTTGGTATGAAGTGTAGTTCGCCACAGGCTTCTGATCTGACCTGGTATCCCATGTGTCCAGTAGTTCGAGGAGAAGGAGATCAGGCATGAGATCGACTTGGCACGTGTCGTCGCCATCATATATCTGTTGGAGATCTATGGTGGCCTGAGCCAGTAACTCGCCAATATATGTTTGGTATCGATCAATGTCCAGATCGACCTTCCACTTCTTCTTCCAAACATAGCTAATGGCCTCGATGATGTTTGTGATGACATTGCCAACGTAGCCCTCGACGATGTTGTATATGAAGTCTCCCTTGCCATGATGACGTGCTGCGATGTACATGTCCATCAGCTCGATATCACCCATTGCAACGATGTTGTGAATGTGAGAGTGAGCTTGCATTGCGAGGGCATCGTGGTAGATCTTGGGCAGTCTCTTGAGTACGCGCTTGACATCAGTTGGATTACGCGATGTAAACAGATGCTTGGCGCGATCCTTTGGATCGACCTTGTCATGAAGGGGCTGTCCAAGGTGATTGCGATTGTCCACCTCAAAGAAGTAGAGGTAGATGTCAAAGTGACGCTCGTTCCAGGCCTGCTCCAGTACACTCTCCTTGGCCAACGGGGGCTCGCGTGGGAATGCTATAGGCTCTCGTTGGGCAGCAAGTATCTTTACAATCTCCAATGATCCAGTTGAGATGGCCTGCCACAACAGGTTTGGATTGTCAAAGTACCTTCTCTTTCTATTGTATAGTGCACGGAATGCAACTACATTCCTTGATTGTATCAAATAATTGATATTCTCTTGTATTATCGTCAATGGCTTATTGATCTTTAACTTATCAATTAAAAGTCCAGGTTTGTTATAGAATAGTATCATATAAAGATTATTCCATTGATGATAATATCTACGTTCATTGAATATATAATATATACTATCACTAGCTAGTATTGTTCTAATCAATGTTCTATTTGTTAGAACTATATATATTACTTTATTCTTATCATTCTCTCTACTATTATGTATCACATATTTGTTATTATTGTTGTTGTTGTTGTTGTTCTTGTTATTATTTGGATTAAATCTAAACTCTCTCCTTGACTTGGCCATATATAACTATGTACATAGATATCTATCTTTAAATCATATATTGATTCATTCATTCATTCAATCTTTCATTATCTGTATCTAGCTGGTCCATTGAAAGTGAGTTCAAAGTGAGAAGCATCAAATTCCCACAACATCTTTTTGTTCAACGAATGGACCATTTCTTGAGAATATAACCTGTCTGTCTCATGATCAATGTAGATAACATAACCCTTGAATACAGATAACAGTTAACAGATATATATATATTACTCAACCATCAATCTTATTTCGAAAGATATATAAAGACAAGGATGGTATACATGAACCAAATGAGAGCTTATTCTCATGATCTTTTCCGAACTTTGGTCGTTACAGTTAGTGTGAATGAAAAAACGACCGAAAGGAAAGTGATGTGTCAATGATGAGTTATTAGTATACAGGACATACATTCAGTTATCTCTATCTCTATTTGTATAATCAATAACAATGTTTGGTGGAGTACGTCTATTCAAATATGCTAGTTGCAAGAGTAGCAGCATCAATAGCAGCAGATATCTCTACAACAATGTATCAATTACAACATCACTCAATCAGAGTGTAGCCAGACTCTACAGCACTGTCAACAACAACACTGCACCACTACCCAAGATGAGGAACATCCTCAAGCAGTTCTACCTACTAGTTCATCCAGACACATTGACCCATCATCCAGAGGAGAAGGTAACATCTGATGATTGATTGAATGAATGATTGAGCGAACGAGTACTTACGCGTCAACCTTGGATCAATCAAACAGAAAGTCAACTCTCACAACATGAAGATTATAATGGGAGTGATTGATCAGTTCAAGAAGAGACCAATGCCAGATCCAAATACTCAACCTATATCACATGCTTTGACATTCTTCATTCCAGAGAAGGATGTACTAAAGGCTACAACACAGCCATTGCGTCGCGTTGATATTGAGGTCATTGAGAACTCGCGCAACCCTAATCACGTGCCCGATCAGCTGGCACTGCTCTTTGGTCAATGTGAGCTGCCGACGCGCTTCATCACCGAGATCAATCAGGTCGACAACTTCAAGCAGCCCAAGATCAACGGCTCCATCAAGGATTTCTTGCTGGACAACCGCCAGTTTGCGCGTCAGATGAGCACGGATGCGCAGAAGGAGCGCCGCGACCTCGAGGGCATGCTGAGGAAGCTACGTCGCGAGCTCGAGGTCAACGTCACGATGAACGTCGACCCCGTCGAATCGACCTTCACCTTCCAGGAGAACTACACGGCGCTGCAGGACTTTGCCGATATCTACCAAGAGTGGAAGGCCGCGGTCAGCCCCGCGTACAAGCGTCTGGTCAGCTCGATGCAGTTCAACCTCAACTACTCTGAGACCAACTACACGTCGAACGACCCAACCGTCTACCTGGACCGCGCGTCCCCGGAGTCGTGGAAGGGATACCTGTCGCGCATGGATCTTCGCGAGCTGGAGGACCAGGTGAAGCAGGAGCGCGAGGAGGGTCAGAAGAAGATGGCCTCATTCACCAAACACAAGAAGGAGTTTGATAACAACTCAAGAGAGTTGACCAAGTTACTCAAAGTACGCGCAGTCAACTGGCGATTCCACGACGATCCCAGCGATGACCCACACGCCCACCTTGGCCAGAATGATCAAATGGAGCTCTGTGAGAGTTTCTCCGCCATGCTCCTCAAGAACAAGGTGCAGATACAAAAGATAGTGCGAACAAAGTAAGTGATGACGTTGACGTGGTGGTGGCTGATGCTGAGGCTGAGGCTGGAACGATTCCAGGACTTACCATTTTTGGACATCAACTAACAATCAATCAAACGTTCAATCAAACAGCAATTATAGACTGAATGGATTGAATATTGGAATATCTCCAAACTTGAAGAAGGCAGACTATTACATTGACATGGATGGAACATTGAAGATATCGACAAGATGCTCAGTCAATCAGTTCATGGAGATCATTGGCGCACACCACGAGGAGGCGCTAAAGGTGCAGAAGGAGAGTGATCGCATCGAGCAACTGCGTGACTATGTCCAGGTGCGTCTTGGATTGAAGGAGCTGACGACGATCAACGCATTCGTCTACGCCGAGGGCTACGACAAGGTGTTCAAGGCATACCAAAAGCTGCACGAGGAGTCTGAGAAGCTCAGGAATCTGGAGCTCAATGGACTATGTCTGATCATTGCCGACTATTACAGTATATCAAGAGCTGGTGAGATATTCATCAAGTGGGACTTCTCTGTGGAGGACTTTATCGCTGCACTGTCTGCGCCCAAAGAGGAGGCAGCTGTTCCAGAGCAATCATCATCACTGGAACAAGACGATGGCACCGAGTCATCGACCTCAAAGTCACAAGCCATTTAAATATATAATATTATTCTTTGTCATTCAATCAAAAGAATGATTGGTCGTCAATTGGACTGCACAGAGATAGTATCTGTAGACGAAAGGGGTGTCAGGCCACACAACGATTTTGATCAAAACCAGATCCGATCTTTCATCACATTCACACACACTCTCACACACATAAAGACAACTGTGATCATTCATTGTTCATCACAATCAATCAATCAGTCATACTTATAATACATACATCTGAAGGGGATACCTTTATATACTTGATCAAGACTACTACTCTTGTTCTCTGTTGTACATTATTTCATAAATATCCACCTTCAATCATTTAATCAATCAGATTACAGTGCAGTGCGTTCACTATCAAACCAATCAATCAGACTATCAATCAACTGATCGATCATTCAATCTAGACACTTAACAAGCGAAACAAACAATCTTCGATACATTCATTCATACATACATTACATACATACAAGATATATACAGTCATGTCAAAGTCAGCCATTCAGAGAGATTGGGAAGAGAGAGAGTTCATCGAAGGCATCACCATCAACATTCAAAAGATCATTGACTTTTTGAACAAGTTTGGTATGTAGTCTAAAGAGAGAGAGAGAGAGCCAAGCATTCAAGCAAACAAGTATACTTACCCAGTGCCAATCAATCAATCAATCTAAAACTACGAATGTTCTTAGAACTGTCAACAAGAAATAAGCTGGCGACTGTTAATGAGAAGCTGTCGATATTGGAGAGACAGGTGGACTATCTAGAGGCATCGATGAAGACTGTAGCAGAATAAACAATAACAATAACAACAACAAAATACACCGATCTGTGTATCTTCCCTATCCCCAGCTGTTGGAATGGCATGCCTGCCTGCCCATTACAATTCTTAGCCGCTACTCAAGTGGTGGTTGGTTTCGGCAAAAGGACGCGAGTGGACCAATGCCAATGCTATTGACAGTCCCTCGATCTCTCTCATTCACTTACTCAAACATCAACTTACAAACTAACAAAGATAGGAGGGAGAAGGGAAGCTTGGCAAATGGTAAGCCTGGATGGCCAACAGGTAGACTAAAGTAAAGAAGAAGAATAAGAGTATTGTAAAAGAAGAGAAAGAGTTATTAGAGGATGGATATAAGGATGCCCAAAGATATAGATGAGGAAGTACCAGGCAATAGATGTCTTGCTGGAGATGTTATTGTCTGGTTTCCATTGCATCCTAAACAGGTACAGGAGGAGAAGCATGTTGTCTCACAGACAATAGAGAACAAGTTGATTGAGAAATGCCAATATTCACACGAGTTCCCGACCATATTAGCATACGGTCCACATCACAAGAGTGTACTTGAATGGATATCGAACATATGGTCATATGGAGGAGTGACTCATTGGTCAATCAATCAATTGATCAGCTACTGCAAAGTCTCAAAAGACATGCTAAACACCTTTAACTCATATATGTATAAGGTAAGTAAGTGTATGAACTACAAAACATCATCCATCACTAACTTTGTTTGATTGGAAATACTTAGTATAAATCAATAAACTCCAAGAGAGAAAACTATTCCGCGCCTTATCATTATCCAAGACCTTTCCACAACAATGTTGATTGGAGTTATGGCCAGTATCCAGAGATGGCGCAATTGGCACGCTATGATAATGATGGCAATGTTGAAGTCATGTACCTGGCAATTATGAAGGACAGGGGCTACAGTGACTCAGGAATATCTAACTATCTTGTCATCAAGGAGTATCATATAAGTAAGTAATATTACACACAAATATAATTAAACATATTACTTATTTATTCCAATCAAAAAATTCATGAATGATTGTAGTGGGCGAGCCAGAGTACCATAAGAGGATAAGCAATCATAGATCAGTAGAAGATACATTGTTCACATTCAAGGTTCACTACCAAGAACTGACCAATCAGGAATATATCCCTGGAAATGAGATTCCACCTTCAGGATCATATTATGACCACTACTCCACAATGTTGCCAATACGTCCACGCATACCTTCATTGAAACAGATCTGTTTCTCAGTCCTCAAGGAGTTATTCATCATGTATGTATACCATTCATTCAATAAATATCAATCCATTACTTACCAATCCTCAGTGATAGGGATGATTTCAATCAGAAGTTTCGAGGATTGCCAATGGACCTATTGCCAGAGTTCTGCTCGTCCTGTTTGAAAGATAGAAGACCCGTTGGCCATCAGCTATCAGAGTACCTGTTGGCAACTGTACCAAGTATGCCAGAGTTTGAAGGTGTCAATATCGTCGAGCTACTACCCTTCCAACCAATGGTTGAAGCAATGTTCAATCGACATCTATACAGTCTATTCATCAAGTGTGATCAAGTACCTCGCCATCTACTTAATCCTGCAGTGCTCGACAATCTACTCATTGATGTCTATGACAACATTCATCTATTCAAGTCAACACCATTGCCTCCCGACAATGTCCTGTTTCCTCCATCATCCCACATTAGCAAGGCACCTGGTGATACATCAATCGTTGACTATGACACATTCCTCAAGAACTTCACCGAGTACACGTCCAGCCAGTTCTCCAGTCTCACATCGGAGGATTGGGAGAACATTGTAATCTTTGGTGGAGCACTTACTTCATCTCTAATCGGGGCAACCAAGGGCTTCGAGGTGGCAGACATTGATGTCTGTATCTATGGCCTTTCAGACCCGAAAGCGGGACAGTCAAAGGTCGCCAATATCATGCGTACACTTGGTGTTTTCAATAATGATGACTACAGCTTGACAATCGACCAGACCTCTGCTACATTCTCAAGACACTATCCATATCGTCATATCCAGTTCATGCTGCAGCACCAACCTACACTCCAGGATGTGCTGCTTAATGTCGATGTTGACTGTGCTTGCTTTACCTTTGACGGAAAGAGAGTGTGGACTACACAACGTGGTGTGATGGCGATGAACCATCGCAGCAACTTGGCAACACAGTATGGAGCAACACTAACCCTGGACTGGCACTACCAGAGGAAATTAATTAGATACAGACGACGTGGCTTTGGTATTGGCTACCTTCCAACCAAGGTGATACTCCAAGAGATGGCAACTCTCAATCATGGAGTTAGGGCTAATGGAATATGGTCACTACTCTCAGCCAAGGAGGATGTCGTGACATTGATGCAACTGACAAGACATGTGATGAGGAATGTACGTTGGCCTTATGGACAAAAGTATGATAAAAAGGCGTACGACATCAAAGTGGACGACAATCATACTCGTCATGACGATCATTACAACTTCTGTACATGGCCCAATTTATTAATGGTTCAGCCTGGTTCACTATCAGTTGGAAAGTGGCGACGTCACGAACTACCGGCCTACACTGGTGTTCATTCATTCAATGATAATATAGAAAGCAGTTCTAAATCGTTCGATGAAGAGAAAGATGAGACATTCAGCGATGACAGTCTAAGTTGCTACAGTGATGTAGAAGATGACTATGATGACTTTGATAACTATGATGATGATGATGATTTTGATGAAGTTGATATTACAACTCAAACATACTCTCATTCATTAACTTCGACCACAACAACAACAACAACTACTCTTGGGGATCTGTAAGTCCACAAAAGGAAATGGTACTGTTTAATCACACACAACACAATAACAACATCATTTATTAATCATTCCAAGAACATTAAGAGAGCCTAGATTCATTCTTTAATTCATTCTTTCTTTCATTATCTCATTTATTATTTGTTCTATTTTTATTTGTATATTTATTTATTTGTTCTTATCAATATCATGTTCCAATATCAACAACAACACCTACTTCCAACTCTGGGACAATTCCAGAATATTCCTATCGACCAAAGATTGTTGTCAAGGGAGTTGGAGAATGAATTCTTAAAGAAGAGATTGACATCTTCAGAAGAGGGTAGGTAATTAACAATCCATTATTTATATTAATACTAATAAACTGAGTGATAAAGAGAACCAGAAATTGTTGAATCTTGTTGGGGAGTTCAAAAAGACAATAGTACTGTTCCAGAACTATCCAATCACTATTGGTGATATGGAGAGGAGACAAGTTGAACTAGAGAATGAGAAGAAGAACTTGGCTGAGGTGAGTAATTTACTTATTGTTTGATTCATTTACATGTGTACTAACTTGATTGAAATAGAAAATTGAAGAGTCCAAGACATACTATGAACAACGTTTGAAAGATATAGAGTCCAAGTTATCCAACCAACACAAGTCCAATGATCAATCGATCCAGAAACTACAATCCATTATAGAATCATTAACCAATGATGCCAACTTCCATACCACTGACTTCCAACACCAGTTGTTGGACTTGAAGTCACAGAATGAAGAACTGTCTTCATTCAACAAGAAGTGTAAGGACTTCACCAACTCCATTATATCAAATTGAATAATGACTGACCATCTATTTGATCATAGTCCTTGAGAGAGAGAATCAATACAAGGAGACCATTGAGAGGAAGATGAATGAGATCAAGGAACTCAAACAAGACATCTCCATGCAGTTGAAAGTCAAGACTGAGGAGAGTGCCCTCCATGAGACCAAGATCAAGGACCTGGAGAGATTGGTTCTTGAACAATCAAAGTACCAAACACAGTTGGACTCTTGTAAGAAGTTGTTGTCTTCTCAAAAGGTGAGTGATTGGTTATGAACATCAAAGTCTGATGATGGCACTACATGTTTAACTTACTAGCTATTGATTGATTTGTAGCAAACCTTTGAGAAACAGGTGGACCTCCTAAAGAAGAGATTGGCCGAGACTGAGGACCAACATCACCACCATCAACAATACGTACAGGCCCAGATCGGAGGACCCAAACGTATTGGCTCTGCGATGTTCCCTTCAACCACATCATCATCATCATCGTCGTCATCTACATCTGGCAGGAAGCCCCTTCCTTTTTAGACTTTGTCGTCTCCTGCCAAACCACCAGGCAGTCGGACAGTGTGAGTGTGTTTGTATTGTAGTCTGTATAAAGGTACCTGTTTGTATGGTTTATTGTGGCTCCTGGTCGAAGAGCTTGTCCAACTCACTCTTGTCAGAGATTCTGAGCTTGATCATCCATCCATCCTTCTCTGCACTCTTGTTGATGAGACTTGGCTCAGCAGAGGCCTGGTCGTTGACCTCGATGACCTCACCAGAGACTGGGCTGTATATATCTGAAGCGGCTTTGGTACTCTCGATGACTCCGAAAGATGAAGCAGCACTGACGACGGTTCCAACGGCTGGCAACTCCAAGAAGACGATGTCACCCAGCTGGTTCTGAGCGCTATCTGTGATGCCAACAGTTCCAGTGGTGCCACTAACATTGATCCACTCGTGGGTCTTGGTGAAGTAGGTCTTGGAGCTGTACATTCTGAGGCCTCCATAAGTCCTCAATGGGTTGACAGCGAGTCTAGCAATTGATCTTGCGAACATTCTGTTGTATATGTGTATATATGTAGTATGATTGATTGTTTGACAATGAGTGTAGTGATGATGAAACAAACAGTCGCTTTCAACCCAAGCAAAGCGACGATCATTCATTTTCATCCATTTTTGATCAAAAAATCCAAAGAAAAAAAAAAACAAGAGGTTCGTCATTGATGGACTGGTCCCAGGCACTCCGATACCATCGTCTTGGAACCCATTGACATAATCATTCATTCGGACTCCATTGATCACCATTGAATTATACTCAATCAAACATATGAGTTTTATTGATCGATCAATAAACGAGATACTTTGATCGGTAACTCGGTTTAGCCTCTGATGACACAGTCATTTCCTTCAGTTGATTGATAATCTCTGGATATTCTCTGTAGCGCTTGTATATGTTCTCCATGTCTTTGGACTCGGGTGGGAACCCTCGCTCCACCATCTCCTTTGCCAACTTCAAACATGTGTTGGCGTAGCCAACCTTTGTTGTTCCATACATCATAATCCTGGTAGTGGAAATGATAGAGTTAGTGATTGATTGAGTGATATGATCCAGTGAGTTGTACATACTTATATAACTTGTAGTCTGGCTGAATACCTTGCTCCCTCATCTGTTGGAATAGCTTCTGGGCCTTTTCAAAGCGTCGGGTGTTGCAATAGAGACTGATCATGATGCTGTAGGAGACAACGTCTGGAACAACGCCATACTGCTTGTACTTCTCCTCAAAGAACTTCTCGCATGTGTTGACCTTGTTGGAGTAGGCATACGCCTTTAGGTATTGATCAAGTGGGTACTTGGTCATGGGCACCTCCAGACGCTCCATGTCGGCCAGGATCTGATCGACTCGCTCCAAGTTGGGCTTCATATTGGCCTTGTACTTGGTCTTGGCGGCATCGATCTGGTTCTTTGCGTATGTTCCAATCATCAGAGAGAAGACACGATCGTCTGGCTTCTTGGGGAACAGATCCTTTCGCTCCAATATATCTGCGTATAACTTCTCCACGACGCTAATCTCACCTCTTACCGAGGCAGCTCTCATCAATGATGTGTATGTAATGATATCCGGTTGGTAGTTGAACATGGACATTTGTTGGAACATTTCAAATGCCTTTAAGTAGTAGTCTATTATTGATTGGACATGGTACGTGTTAGTTTGGATTGAGTGGATGGATTGATTGATTGATTGAATAGTTACAGTTATCGGATCTCTTGGCACATGCATTGATCAATGAGTTGAAGGTCACCTCGGTTGGTGGCAGGTTCAGATATTTAAACTCATCAAAGTAGTTGAATGCCTTCTCCACTCGGTCATCCTTGGCACAGACATCAATCATTGCGGTCAAAGTGATACTGTCTGGATCCATTCCCTTCACCTTTGCATCCGAGAACAACTCAATCGCTGTGTCAATCTGACCATTCTTTGCCAATCCTTTGATCATTGTAGTGTAGTTAACCTGTTGTTTGTATGATGTACTCTTGGTCAGTCAATCAATCAAAAGTGATGTCGTGATGTGTAAACATACATGATCTGGAACCAGATTGTATTTGTCCTCCATAGATTGAAGGATCTTGAATGCGTCGTCAACCTTGGCGGCGTTCAGGTGAGCGTTAAGAACACCATCAAACATGTGCACTGTTGGCTTGACCTTCTCGGTAAGCAATCGCTCAAACACTGCCAATGCACCATCAACATCACCAGCGATTCCAAGTGCCCTCAGTACCAATGAGTATATAGCAGGATCAATCTCCAAGTTCTTCTCCTACATTGTGATGTGATTTGATGTTAGGGGGACACTCACGATCAATCAATCAATCCTCTTCTACGTACATCAAGGTATTTCAAACAATCCATGACAATGTCGGCGTGTCCAAGTAGTCCCATCCTGCTCATGTACTTGAGCACGTTCTGTAGGGTCAGCTGCTTGTTGGAAAAGTAGACGTCGGGTGTGATGCGGTCTGTGCTCATCTCGTAGAGGTGCTGCTTGCCCTTGCCAGTGATGGGGAATCGCTTGTGTGCAAACATCGAGTCGTAGGCAGCACTCATTGTGGGATCGGACAGTGGCGACGATGAAGCCGGCAGCATCCTAGCATACTCCTTCTCCTCAGGTGTGAAGTCGTCGTCATTAAACACACTCTCTGGCATCACTGCCAGAGGTATCTGTTTCTGTTGCTGTTCCTTCTGTTGTGTGAATATAATCTTATTTGGGTTGCTAACTGATTCTGTTATACTATTATTGTTGTTATTGTTGTTATTGATGTTATTGTTGTTGTTTGTTCGTGGTGATGTATTGTCCTTCTTGTCGGTCACTGTGAAGGATTGATCAGTTGTTTGATCCCTGTTGAATGTGATTCTCGCGTTCTTTGATACATTGGTGTCTGTTGTTGTTGTTGATGTCGTTGATGTTGATGATGTTGATGATGATGAAGTTGTGTCTTGATCATCAGGTTTGAATGAAATCTTTCTTGGATTACTACGCTTCGTCTTTGTCGATGATGATGTCCCTGATGTTGATGTTGTTGTAATATATCTATATAGAGCACTTGAGTATGTTGTTGATGTCGATGATGATGATTGTGTCAAATATGTTTGACTATATGATGGTGATCTTGATCCAACAAGGCTCATTAACCTAATCCTACAAAGATCCTTGAGTAGCAATCCACCTGTATAGGTGAGCCGCAAGTTTGATGACATCACTCTCTCTCTATATCTCTTTTAAATATATGTATAATGTGTGTCTAACTCTTTAGCCCACTCAATCAATTGTTTAGTCTTTGTAATAATTTGAAAATAAACGAACGAGGTCCATGAAAGACGAACGAAAAGTTCAAATGTGCATGTGTGGGTTGGGCTCGAGTATTAGGATCAACCTCATGAGATAATGATGATGTTGGGAAACAGGATATCTAAACACTTTTGTAATTTATTATTGTTATTCAATACTTCTTTATAACATACATACAGATAAACATACACATACATATATTTTATAAGATGCACGGAACAGTACCAGATGACATTGATTACATCAATGATACTCCAACAGTACAGGAGTATAAGAAGTTGAAGAGAGTTATGAAGATTATGGTCAAGTTCTACGAGGGTGGCAGTGCAACCAAGTTGCAACAGGCCGAGCACTTTGAGTCAGAGTTGAAGAAGGTCACCGACGACGAGGCAATGGTGCTGGCCCAACTCGAGTCGCTCAAGACATTCCCCCTGCATCCCAAGCGCAGAGAGTACGAGGAGGAGCTCACCGAGGAGATCGAGAAGCTGCAGTCGCACAAGAAGAAGTTCGCCGTCAAGGCCGACGAGTTCCGTCGTCTGCACGTCTGGAGCAACGGCATCGTCGACGTCACCAAGTGGCTCGAGGAGGGCCTCGACGACTACTGCGTCAACCACCTCAAGATGGACCTGGGCATCACCGTCACCGCCCCAGAGAAGCTGACACGCGAGCAATACATATACTTCAAGGAGGGTCTCGACGAGATCACCTACAATCTGCAAGAGTCACAGGACTTCTTCTGCGCCTCACTGGACGGCCGTCTGCGTCAGTACCACGGCATCGAGAAGTCCATGATCGAGGCCCAGATCGAGACCGTTAAGAAGTTCGACGCCGAGAACCCACGCCAGCAGCACATCGTGGCCGAACTCGAGGCCGACCTTCAGTACGTCATCACCAACATGACTGAGGACCCCTCGTCGCTCGCCAAGCGCAAGCGCATGCTCGAGATGCACAGCGACTTCTTCAAGGTGCTGCGCTGGTACAAGGACAAGATGAAGGTGCTCGGAGATGAGTACGGCATCGTCGATCAGGACAAGCGTTCCGAGGAGGAGAAGATCAAGAGTGCCATGTCCACTCAGGTCGAGTTCATGTCCAACCTGACACCAGAGAACACCCCAGAGCTGGAAGCCCTGAAGAAGATGCATCTCGAGGCCTAAGCCTTGTCCTGATGTCATCCCTCTAGGAACCATTCCTTTATGTTCTCAATAAACTCACACTCAAGGACTATCGTTCGTTCAATCAATGACTCAATCATCATGCATGGGATATGTTGTCAACGTACATAGTATATGCTTTATTGACGGGGATGGGACAGTCAGTCTGTTGGGATGTGTGTTGGGCTTGGAGTTGGCTATCTGTCGGGCCAGATAGGTTTGTTCGTTCGATCGAGGAGGATGAGGAGTATGGCCTTGTTTGACATGGCTCATGAATGTGTTTGTGTTCGACCCAGTATCGCATCGCCAACTCGCTGTCTATTGTTATTATGTGTATGTCGCGTGCCAGCAACATGTTGTTGCTGTTTGAATCTTGTAATGTTGAATGAATGAATGACGTTCGCTCGCTAGCTCAATGGCTTAGTTGCTCTCCATCAAACCAAGGATCTCATTCTCGTTGAGGATCTCACAATCGACACCGTTGACATTGATCTTCTCGCCAACTGTCTCGTTGAGGAGAACGCGATCACCCTTCTTGAGGAAAGATGGGACGACGCCACCAGCAGCAGTTCTTCTGCCAGTGCCAATCTCGACGACAACACCCTCGTTCATCTTATTAGACACCTTGTCTGGCAAGTAAATACCGCCCATAGTCTTCAACTCGGTCTTGTTGATCCTCTGAATGAGGACACGGTCAAAGAGTGGCTTGAATGATCTGATTGAACTCTGAGTGATTGATTGAGATTGAGTGTAAATGAGTGAGTGATCAAGACGATAGAACGACATGCTGTTCTCTTGATCTTCACTACTTACCATCTTATTATATGTATATGAATGTTAAGTATCTTTGTTGAATGCGATTGATGACGAATGATTACTTTGGGTTAGACTTAAAATTGTGAAGGGGGTATCACATTCTGGTTCGAACTTCATCACTCTTTTGATAGACTCGTTTTCCCTCACTAAAAGAGTGATCGTAAGATCTTCCAAAGGCAGACGAATCATCCATTTGTAAAACAAACATTGTATCCATCATATATATATATAATCAGATAACATAGTCCATCATTCAATCAATCAAATCAATCATGGAAGTTCGACACATTCTAAATATATTTATACTTGGTTTGATTCTATACTTGTACGGATCATTATCAATGATATTATTTAATATAACTACAAATCTAATCAACACTACAACTACTCCATCATTCTATACATCAGTACAAGCATTATACAACATTAGTGATCAATTGAATCAGAATGTTTTATACTTTCTAATCATATCCATATCACTGATCATTATCATTATATATTATTTAATCAAATCATTTGTTGGATATAAATTCTTCTCAACAACACCGTTTGTATCAAAGTGGAATCGATCATCTGATAAAGGTCTTATCAATGCATTTATGTTATGTTCATTGTTTGTTTATCTCAATCCACCATTCAATTCCAAACAACTATTTCAAAGACGTCATCCAGAGATCAAAAACTATTTCATCGTATTCAATCATTACATTTCCAATCCCTTCTTATATCAAATCTATCCGCGTATAATCACTCTATATATCCTCACCAGACTACTCTATATGATCAACAAACAACCCAAAACAACTTCAAACCCAACTCAAACTCAAATTCAAACTCAAACACCAGAGGATCATACATCAGATGATCAATCTCAAACTCAAACATCAGATGATCAATCTCAAACTCAAACTCCAGAGGATCAAACATCAGATGATCAAACTCAAACTCAAACATCAGATGGTCAATATCAAACTCAAGAACCAACACCAACACCAACACCAACACCAACACAAACACAAACTCAAACTCAAACTCAATCTCAAACTCGACTTCAAAGATGGATCGGTTGGATATTTAACTTTTTGATATGGCTTAATTTGGTTGATTTGATAATATCAACAATTAATGCGTTGAGGATATCGATGGAATTCTTGATTGATTACCCTCCATTGGTGACATACCTTGACCTCATTGATATGAACAGACCAAGATTCAGTCACCAATCATTGGAGGAATCATACTTTATACCTATTATGGTGTTTATCTTTCAACTCCCTATACTTAAACTCATCAAGATAAGACATCAAGGAGGATTACGATCAACAATGTCCATCACAATTGGCTATATTCAACTCAATCTCCTAATGTTCATTTACCTTCAACTTTGTATCTACCTGCGCTCACTGGCCTATGAGGAGTCCAATTCAGATCCAATCAATAGTCATGACTACTCGACTGGAACATTCATAATCAACTTACTATTGGTACCAATCTACATGTGGTCACAATCATACTCACAGTCATCATCTCAATCGATCACAATGAGAATGATCATCAAAAGGAATTCAAAGAATCGACTTCTAAGTGTAGCATTCTTCCTCTCCATTGTTCAATCAATCATCGGTGTATCAACAAAGCTTATCATGAACATCACTGATTGCGATCGATTTGTGATGCCCTTGATCATATGCTACTCATTCATATTTTACAAAATGATCAGATGCTATCGATTCAGATGTGATCAATGGGATGACAACAATCAAGAGTTGGATCAAATCGTAACAGACAAGTCTGCAAGGTCAAGACCAATACCTTTGATAATATTCAGAGGTTGGATGTATTCTTTATACTTTCCAAGGTGGACATTATTATTTTATAATATCATTGGTATTATAACCATCCTTTTATTTGCTGAGCTACCATTTGACAATCTTATTCAACTCTGGATTCAACTCATTCCACTATTATTCACAAATGAAATGTTATACCAGTGTTCAGTAGCATTCCAAAGAATAAATATTAACTTTGGATAATAAAATAATTTATTATTATTCTAATATCATGAATTCTCTAACAGATAATATAAAATTATTGATGTGTTAAGTCTGTCCAAGGTGAATCTCCATCCTTGTGTACCTCGTTAATATACTTCCCAAGATCTTTGAGCCACCAGTATTCTGTTCAGCTTCAGTCTCCTTTGAAGATTTCGATCAATTCTCAACAGAGATGCCAGCTTACCTCCTCCCAAGTTCAGAGAACATCGATGACTATTACTTCGCCAGCCTATCACAAGAACAACAACATTTGGCTCTCTCCTATGGGTGTTTACCTTATTGCCCTGAGGATTGATAACCAGGTTCTCAACTACATTCTAGATCATCTTCATTCTTTCAGACTCTCAAAATGGCTAACTTCAAGTTTAGGGAATTTATTTGTTTTATTTTCATTTTGACCAGGTTCATCAAACATCCCTCAATTCAGACCCTTTACTGTTTTGTCAGATGAATGAACCCATTGAATAAAAATAACTCAATTAACTATCAACTAATAATATATCTATCAATTATGAGATTAATTTCAAGGTTAAATATATTGATCACTGGTGTGATCTCATACTTTTATGAATCATTATCAATTATATTTGTTGGTTTATTTATCAATCTAATTAACTATACAGCACTATCATTCTTTTCATCAATCCAAGTAATATTATACTACAATAATATTGATCAATATGTTAAACTATTTATTTCAATATCTCTATTAATGGTCATCATCATAATGACCATGATATACAAATCATTAATTGAATATATATCCTTCACAACATCAACAACATCAACATCATCAGCATCATCAGCATCATCAACATCATCATCATCATCAATAACAAATTGGTATTCATTCATACTTTGTTCAACATTTATATTCTTTAATCCACCATTCGATTCAGAACAACTTTTAGGCAATCGCCATCCTGAAGTCAACATTTATTATATCGTATTCAATCAATATATCGCCAATCCCTTCTTATATCAAATATATCCACGCATAGCATGTCTATATCTACTCTCCAGACTACAATATATAATCAACAAACATCCCAGAACAACTCCATCCCCAACTGAAACATCAACTCAAACATCAACTCTAACAACACTAGCACCTCAAGTACAACTATGGATCGACAGGATGCAACTGTGGATCCAGTGGATAGTCAACATTGTTATATGCCTTGGATTGGTATATTTGATCAAAAAGATGATATATGCCAACAAGATAATAATGGACTTCTTGATTGAATACCCACCCTTGGTAACATATATGGAGCATAAGTTCAACAGAGATAGATATATCTTTACAATGGAGACATCATACCCAATGCTTTACATGGTGTTCATCATTGATTTCCTTATACTACAATGTTTCAAGATTAGACAACATCAAGGTGGAGGAAGATTCAAAATGGTAGTCTCATATGGAAATCTTCTACGCTATATCCTATTATCATTATTCATTCAATTGATTTGGAATCTTGGCACTGAGTTCCCATTTTTGTCAAACAAGATCTATGCACTTTAAGTCGATGCAGTTGGAAGTCACGAATATATGTTTTTGATATACTATATCATCTTCTTTTTGGTACTATTCTTAGGTTGGCATGGGTCACTTTCCAAACCAATCTCAAAGAGATCAATACTCAAAAAGAATGGCCAATCTATTCCATTTAATCTATTATTGATCATCTCAATTGTTTACCTGAATATCAAAGTGATATCAACACTGATCATGAATGTCAATGTTTGGATTGGAACATCCAATGTACTTTTCCTGGTACTCTACTACTCAATATTCTTATATTTATTATTTAGATATTATCAAATCAGCAGTGATAATTTATATTCATATGATATCAATGGTTTGGACATGGAGTCAATACCCACCAGTTCAAATCCAATACCTTTTATAACATATAATGGATGGATATATTCATTATACACTCCAAGAGGACATATCATTGTATGTTTATCATTCCTTTTATTAATTCGACTTCAACAACTCTTTGGAATTATATTATCACTCCAATTCCTAAATGAACTCTTATTCCTTAGTTCTATATCATACCAAAGAATAAATATCAACTTGATTGAATGACCTGATTCAGTCAGTTAGTCATCCCAATTATTCATTCAGACCACGTATACATAGTTCAGAAAACTATTATCACGATGGAATAAATATCATCTGGAGAGATTTGTATCAATCCTTTTTCATGAAGTTGGACCACATCATCTACATCGCTGACTCACCCTACCAATCTCATCTCAGTCAATCACACCATTAGAGTGTTAACCCTGTTGTTTGAATCGAATGTCATCATGGGTGGGAATACTACAATTCAGCACGATCTACCCCAATCGATTAAGACATATTCTCACTTAATATCTTTGACAAATATTATGTTATAAATACTTTGAATATTTCCATAAGATTATTATTTATTTAAATAACTATCATACCATCTCTAATCTACTCTTTCCAATATATACTATATATATTATATAATTAAATAATGAATTATAAGACTATTATTTCTTTCATGGTATTGGCTGCCTTGGTCATCAATACTGTAGAGTCATGTGAATCTGTTTGTAGTTTGCTTAATTCAGATAAAACTAAATGTGTCTACCAGTGTCGTGCAGGATGTGATATGTCCGATATTGATCATAGAAGAAACACACTTAGATTCCTCAAAGAGGATGGATATGACAAGTGTTACGCTGCCCAAAGCAACAGAATCGTTTGTCCTTTAGCAGGTAAATTGACCAACTGTGATGATATCCATGCCAAATGTGGTGATGATTGTTAAATCAATCAGTCAGTTAATCTTTCAATTAATAAATAACATCTTTACTTTGAATCTAAATAAATAATAATAATTTTATTCCATTTTTTATTCATCTAATCAATCACTTAAGTCTCTTGAGTGTATTCAAATTCAAATTCAAATTTACGCGGTTATTTTCTAACGGTCGTTTTGAATCAGGAGAGACCCACACACTTCAATCTCACTCAATCAAGGTCACACAACAATAACAAGACAGATACAATTTAGACATATTATATATATATATATATATTTCATCATACAGATATGTTGACCAACAACAAACCAGCTGTTGTGTCGACAGCTGGAACAGCATCATCCTCTTCATCATCATCATCGATGCTAAAGAACAAGGAGAACTACTACTCGACTCACTCTGTCTCTGGCCTAGGCAAGACATATGTACCATCCGCCGTATCCAATGCGATTACAAAGGTGACATCAACGGCTCCTGGCCACAAGGACGGAGGCGCGTCATCCAAGGTCATGCCTTCATACACCTCCACAGCAACAGTAGTGCCAAAGTCAAAGATCATGGCACCAAGTGGCAACCTACCACAACATCATCAAGCGCCGACCGTCACCACAAAGCCTGTTACCTCATCAGCTGCTGTTGCTACTGCTCCATCGGCCGCACCACCAGTTCAAGCACCAGCTGCCAGTGCCCCAGTCACAAAGCCATCGGCGGCCCCAGCATCCTTTTCCGCCCCTCAGCCACCCGCATCCCAGCAAGAGTACGTATCAACGCTACCATCACACTGACTCCACTCACTCACTCATTCATTCGATCAATCAATCAAACAAACAGGAAGAGAAGATGGGTCATCTCTGACTTTGATATTGGAAAGCCACTGGGCAAGGGCCGCTTTGGTAATGTGTACCTGGCAAGGGAGAAGTCCAGCAAGTTCATTGTGGCACTCAAGGTGTTGTTCAAGTCACAGTTGCAGATGGCCAAGATTGAGCACCAACTGCGCAGAGAGATCGAGATCCAGTCGCACCTGCGCCATCCCAACATCCTGCGCCTCTACGGCTACTTTTACGACGAGCAACGCGTCTACCTCATCATCGAGTTTGCCAAGGGTGGCGAGTGCTTCAAGACCCTGCAGATGGTGGGCCGCTTCCCCGAGTGCCAGGCCGCCACCTACACGCTGCAGATCGCCGACGCCCTGCGCTACTGCCACTCCAAGCACGTGATCCATCGCGACATCAAGCCAGAGAACCTGTTGATTGGCGAGAATGGAGACATCAAGATCGCCGACTTTGGCTGGTCAGTCCACGCGCCAGACAGAAAGCGCAACACCTTCTGTGGCACTCCAGAGTACCTTCCACCCGAAGTCATCAACAAGGAGGACTACAACCAATACGTCGATGTCTGGAGTCTTGGTATATTAATCTATGAGTTACTCGCTGGATTGTAAGTGTTATATATATATAATGATTGATTGATTGATGGAATGATCCCTTCTGACCATCACATACCAGCTCACCATTCAAGGGAGAGGATGAAAGAGAGATCTTTGACAATATCAAGGAGAACCGTGTTCATTTCCCCGAGCACTTCTCATTAGAGTCCAGGAACCTTATCCTTGGTGTAAGTACCAGAGTACATGCCTTGTTCATCACTGATTGGATATCAATGCTAACTCATTCAATGAATCACAGTTGCTCCAGAAGAATCCAGCCGAGAGAATTACTTTGACCGATGTGATCAATCATCCTTGGATCAAGAAGTTTGCTCATCCAGAGGCACTGAAGCGTATGTATATTCCATTCATTCAATCAATCAATGGTTCCTAACATTGATTCATTCAAACCTCAAACATCTTTAGCTGGCATTGACTTGAAACCATGGTATGCCAACAACCAACAATATCAACAAAGCAACAGGATACTGGATTTCTGAAGTTAGTAGTATTTGTCTATTCTATTCTATTCTCCAGTAGTCAAGCTAAGCTTCCACCATTCGAATGTATATATATCTATATCACTGCCTGACCCTTGCGCGCACCAAACCTTGTTCACTCTCTTGTCACCGCACCTCCAAACAACCAAACAACGAATTCTTTTCTGTCCTCAGGTTATTCCACGACTACCAATAAATGAATGAATGAGTGAATGTAACTCAGTTACTCATTTCTCCAACAACTAGACAATCTAATATCTCTTTCATTTGCAACATGTTATGAAGAGTGCACCACACACCAATCAAAATGCCCTTGCCCTTCATTCATTGGGCTAAGTACTTACTCTGAAGGTGAACAGACAGACAGACCTGACTTACTTATTGTTGTTGGTTGCCCAACTACAAATGTGTTTATGTTTGTGTGTGTCTCTTCATTTACAACTTCACTTTGTTGGGCTACTACGACTCTGTTGTTGGTCTTAGATGTGCCCCCAATGAAAGTGTTGGCGTGGGGTGGGTGACCGTGAACAACAGCAATCTCACAGTCTTTAATGTATCTTAGAGAGGTGGTGGAAGATAGGATAGAATGGGGTAGGGCTGTCGCCATTCGTACTCTGTTATTTACATTGGTCAATCACTTGATGGCTGGCTTGCTCTTACAACTAACAAACAAACAAACAAACAAAGCACACTCTTATTAGACTTGGTGTGACTCATGACCATAATAGGGGCTCGGTCAATAACAATACCTTTGTTGGGTCAGGCCAGCCACTTAGCTTCACTGTACCCTGAGCCAGATGGCATCATTCTCTCGAATCATTCATTCATTAATGATCTGTTGTTGTTGTTCATTATTGATTGTCTATTTATAAGTTATAACAAGGAGAGAGAGTTATTAACTAAACCATGTCATCATCCACTGCCACTAGACAAAGATCTACTGGTGGTACCAGCGGCAGTAGCAGCAGCGGCAGCAGCACTAATGCTGCCAGCAGCCAACAACAACCACAACAACAACAAAATGATCCAAACTCAAATGTCACTGCACTCATTGACAAATACCAGACTCTATCGCGTCTATATGACTACTCTTTAGTCAACAGTGCAGTCAACAGCTCGTTGAACCTCTACAACTATGCCAAGAGCTACACACTGCTCAGAGTATGTATTGATGAATCCCTAACTACCAACACTCATGTTAACCAATTGTCTACTTAGATGCCCATGGAGCTATCAGAGACAACCATTGGTATAGTGGCCAAACCCATCTATAGCACATGTGAGCCAGTGCTCAACTATGCTGATAGGTTCAGCGTTGACAAGTTGGACAAACTAGAGACAACTGTCAAGAAGGCAACAGAGTATGTGAACGAAGTGACACACCCAGCCAGAGACTATGCCATCACCAAGGTGACCGAAACCATCAACACTGTTGACGTCACACTGGACAATGTCCTGGAGTATGGTCATAAACAACTTCAAGGATCGCCTTTGGCCGACCTAGTTGACAAGTCTGAGACCGTTGCCGAGAGCATCGTCGATACGATATTGCCACCACCAACCGACCAGAAGGACCAGAAGCCAGAAGATGACTCTCAGCTCTACCACCTAGAGAAGAGGTTCCCAGTGCTCCACATGATCAGGAGCAGAGTGAATTATGAGTCCGTCAAGCAAATTCCAAAGAACACCTACAATGGTATCTCGAGCATGGCCCAAGTTAAGCCAATCAACGTCATCATTGATCTGCTAGAGTCCACCTCCAACAAGATCAGGAACATGACAATGTCCGACGTCAAGGAGGAGGTATCCAAGAAGACCATCGAACAACTCTACGTCTACCTTGACTCGACTGCCGCCACCATCGGTTCATTCGCGCTCTGGGTTCGTCGTGCCAACCCATCAGACGCCTTGAACAAGATCATGGAGCTGACCGAAATGATCAAAGCTTCCAAGGAGGCCGTACTCCAGATTGCCGACAAGGATGAGAGAATCCATGTATGTTTAAATCATCGATCAATCAATCAATCAATCAACTGACATCATCATTGTACAGAAATTCAAAGAGGACTGTTCCAACATCATTCAGAAGGCCTCTGCTATCTTGAGAGAGCAGGTGGACAATGGATTCGTCAAGATTGAGGAGTGGAAGAGGTCTGACTATAGCGTGTTGAGACACACAATCTACATGATTGAGAATGCCGTCCAGAACATACTCACAACTATTCCAGCTATCCTCCTCGTTCCAACACAAATCGTTGATATGATTGGCAACAAGTACAAGGAGCTCAAGGGTGAGGGACAGGCATCATCTTCCTCGTCCACCCCAATGGAGGGAGACTCGCCCACCGCCACCCCAAGCCAGCCGACCCAATAGACCAGGGTCGTTTCCATTTCCCCTCAGTCAGGTGTTCTTGTTACCTACCCACTCAAACATACTTATCTAAACATCTTCTTACATCTTCTATATCTATACATGTTGCCGCAGCCAGCCATCAATGGTCTATTGGCTCTGCACTTTATTCTGGTCCTCACCTTCATGAGTCACCTGTATCAAGAAGTTCTTGTACTTCTTTAGTATCTTATTCAAGTCGTCTCTGGATATGTTCTCTCGCCACATGATCTCTTCCAGATGATGTTGTCCTCTAAAGTATGGAACGAGTCTGAGGCATTGTGAATGAGTTAGTAAGGTCACTCTGGAAACTCTTCCAATCAATCAATCAATCAATCATACCTCTTTAGCAGTTGGTACGACTTGGTTTGGTCGTCAATTCGTTCAATGAAGTTGGCCTCGTGTGGCAACAATGGCGATGGGGCCATTGGGAAGTGTTGTATCTCGTATAGCTGTGGCGTGTTTGGTGATGATGCCGATGGCTGTTGGAGATCAGTGATCATCAGGTGAATGTATGTGTGGAGCTGTGTGATCAGTCCTTTTTCCAGAAGCCAGCAGACCACCGAGAGGAACATGACATGGTAGCTCTGGTGGAACTTTGAGATGTGCTCGGCTAGTGGCCTCGCGACGGAGAACCGCAGCAAGATGTCCTGTAGCATAAAGTCGGGGAATGCCTGCGTGAACTTGTTGCCCAGCTCCAGGTAGTTGATCTTTTGTTCGCCAGATATTGGCGTTAGGATGTAGACGTTGTTCTTTGTGAGCATGTTGATGATCTTGGCCTTGCGCCAGTAGACCAGGTGAGAGGACAGGCGATATAGTAGTGACAGAGGCAGGTCGGTCTCGAGCTGGAGGTCGCGGAAACTCTTGGTCGGCTTGGTCACCTCGAGCAGTCGCTGGAGCGCGGGCGACGAGTCGCCGGGCGGGACTGGCAGCGAGTCTGAGTAGATCAACAGGGCGTGATAAGGTCGCATTGGATAGTCAGAGTAGTAGTCCACGTTGTTAATGTTCAAATGTAGATTGATCCAGCCATTGATTCGGATGCTGGACGGTGCGTTGTTGCCATTGAGTGAGTCGAACAGCAACTTGATCTCTGGTCCCAGTTTACTTGACTTTAGTATCCTATTCGTCAGCTCTTGATGGTTTGGCTTGTCATCGATCGTGTCCAACGTATGCTCTGTCAGCCATCCATCCCTAATAGCAAAGATATCATGTACTTGCTTGGATATATAGTTACACCTTCATTCATTGATTGATTGAGAGGAGTGAGTATGATAGTGGTGTCGATCCGCTGGACGACTGGACATACCTTTGTTGCTCATGCCTAAAGGCTGATGCTATCTTGAGAGCAGACCTCTTGAGACTGTCGTCTCTTCGATCGTTTGCCTCGCCAATGTTGGACGAGAGTACAAAGACAAAGTTGAACATGGTGATCTCATCATGTCCATCTTTTGAAGACTTGACACTACTGCTACTGCTGTTGACGCTTCTGCTGTTTACACTACTGCTCGATGAGTTCATGTCTGACTTGTTGTTGAGATGTGTTGTTTGATTGTGTTGATGTCCATTGCTTCCACCTCCTCCTGCTCCTCCACCAGCACCGGCGCCAGCCTTTGAACTATTCCTCGCTCCACTGGCCATGCTCTTTCCCTTGCACTGTGGGTCGCCATTATGATGCTGATCATCGTCGTCGTCATCCTCATTGTCATCACTATCATCGTTTGACAACATTATTGGATGTCCAATGAACTTGGTGTTCTCGATCATCAATTCGAAAGGCTTGTCGCATAGTGTAGTCTTGGGTGTGAGGATAGGCGTCAAGATCTCTGACGACAGGTTGTATATATAATAGGGATCATTTAGATTGGCAGAGTTTGGATTGATCGATTGGTCCTGTCCAGCCTTGTTATCGCTCTCATTGGTCACACCACCTGGAACAGCTCCACCTCCACCAGGTTTACTCGGTGTCATTATAGGATGTTGTTGTCTGAATGCCATCATCGTCTCATCGCTGACCTTTGCACGAGTGACTGCCGGGTATCTAAACACCAACTTATCACCACCAATACTGGTGTGTACAACAAAGATGACTCCAAGCATCATTCGTTGCTACCTCTTCCTTCTTCTTCTTCTTCTTCTTTAGTATGTGTTGTATATAGTATCTTCGAGTTGAGTGATAATGAAGTTGATTGAATGAGTTTGAAGTTGAATTGATGTGAGGGGGGTATCATGAAAAAACGATGAAGTCTTTGAAGGACGTCATTGACACGATTCATTCAATCAATCAATTATTGATACTTATACATATACATAATATACATACAATGGGATACTTTAGTAATCTACTTGGTGGTGGCAGCAACAGCAACAAAGATAACAAAGACAACAACAAAGACACACATAATGATGATGACCTAACAGATAATTCAACAACTTCTACTTCATCAACAACTACAACTTCAGATAACAAACAACATAAACAACAACAACAACATAAGACAACAACAAAGAAGAAGAAGAATGTACAAGAGGTAGAGGAATCAGAGGAGAAGAAACAAATGAGAGAGCAATACAGAAAATATCAAGAGATGGAGATGAGAAAGCAAGAGCTTCTGATCGTCGCAAGGAGGGCACCAGAGCATCTGGAGAATGTTCATCGTAAAGAGTACAACAAGATGATGTTGGGCGACTTGAACACTCCAAACCCCGACTCGGCATTGTGGCTGTCCGGCACGGTGACGGGAGTCATGGGCTTCCTCATTGCCAACAGCTTCGTCAAGAACAACCCGATTCGCGGCCTCAGGATGTTTGTCGTGGTCGGCACGACCTTTGCCACGGGATACTGGGGCGCCAACACATACTACAAGGCTCGCGGTGACGAGATCGAGGAATTCAGATCACGAAAGATGGACTATGAGGACGAGCAGACATTCATCAAGACGGCCGTCCAACCAAAGATGTACAAGAACGTACTGAATGCAATGGAGAAGGACTTGGACGATCGCATAGCTGCCGAACAGCAGAATAGCATGGCGAATCAATAATCAATCAATAACCAACTAATATATTATATAACAACATAGACGACAAGTCTCAAGGGCCGGACTCATATTCATTCAATCATTCATTCATTCATTCACTACTCCTTGGGTCTCGCTCAAGCGTGTGGCCACTGCAATGAACAACTCATTGATGTTCTGACCTGTCAATGCTGATGTCTCCATTATGATTGCATTGGCACCTATCTCGGCTGCAACACAATTAACCTCTTCCTCGCAAACACCACGATCAGGTAGGTCAATCTTATTTCCAACGATGGCCAATACCAATGCCTTCTTTGTAGTATCCTGTACCTCTTTTGCCCATCTCTGTAGTCTAAACAATGACATCTTAGTGTTGTTGTTGATTAGCACTTGGATAATGATGATGTTGGTTACCAATAATGCACTTACCCTATTAGTCACATCATATACAAGGATGGCAGCTGACGCACCTCTATAAAACATTGGCATCATACTGTTGAACCTCTCTTGACCTGTTGTATCCCATAAATCCAACATTACCTTGTTACCACTGGCAATAACAACAGAATGTCTACTGTATGCCGCACTAACATGATTGATTGAGTGAGTGATTGGGCCATTGTTCAGTCCAGGGTTTACTAATTACTTACCCTAAGGTTACACTTGTATTCTTTGTGAACCTATTCTTTACGGCACGTTCAACAATACATGTCTTTCCAGTTACACTATCACCAATTAATACAATCTTGAATGGTTTAGGTTCCTTTGATTGTTTACTATTTAGAGTTCTAAGTCTATCATTCTTCCAAGTTGTATTATTCTTTGATCCATCTTTATTAGAATGTTTTCCAACAATATTTGAACAACTACAATTGGACATAATATTATTTATATAAAAAAATATATATATATACATAATTGATATCTACTTATATCATTTATATAACCTTCTCCTTGATCTTACAATTATTAAATATTAATTATTTATATAAAGCTGGCATTCCTAACAATTCAATGACAATGATCATGATACTTTCGTAATCCGAAAACTTAAGTTCTCGATGCCACCATCCATCAACTATTTTCATCGTCATTCGTTGAATGATTGCACTACAATCTTTAAGTTAAAGGGAACCGAATGTAACCCGGTGAGTCGACAAATAAAATAGATATCCATTCTGATGTCTCTAAGATTGTAATAATAACGATATTTAAATATATATTCTACATATTTATGTACAACTACATCCATCTCATCCATCTGAACACTATATCATGCATGACTATAGTGAATGGAATTGATTTGTCTCCACTATAACCTTTGAAAGTGATGCAAATAGCTCTTGAATGTTCTGGCCAGTCAGTGCTGAAGTCTCCATTACAATGGCGTCACTGTCAATCTCTGCTGCCAACCTCTTGGCATCCTCAATGCTAACTCTTCTATTTGGTAGATCTGCTTTGTTTCCAACGAATGCCAATACCAAGTCTGGAGGGGCATGTCGCTGCACCTCCTTGACCCATACCTTGAGTACATCAAATGTATTCTATGTTGTTGCAATGTAATGTTAGTACAACATTCCTTCCAACTTGTGTTTACAAGTTATAAACCTTACCATATTGGTTGTATCGTATACTAGGACTGCTGCCGAGGCTCCTCTATAATACATTGGCAGCATACTTCTAAATCTCTCTTGTCCGGCTGTATCCCATAATTGAAGTTTAACATTTGTACCATCTTCCAGTATAACCGTATGCTTTATAAACGTTGCTCTATTGGGAGAGTATGTGTAAGTACACTCAGGTGCCAATGCCAATGACGACTAGACATAGAAATACCTACCCTATGGTTGCATTATGATCCTGAGCGAATCTATTCATAACCAATCGCTCTACTATACATGTCTTGCCTGTGAAATAATCGCCTACAATCACAATCTTTGCACCATTCTCAATTGGATTGACATCTGTTCGAGTTGTACGAGCTAAGTTTGAATCAATAGTGACAATAAGGTTAACATTGACATTGCTCATGTATGTGTACCGTATGGTTGATCAGTTGATTAATTCAATGTGACATACGATTGCGTTGCTCCTCCTGAGCCTGAACTTTGTATCCACCACAACAATATGACATATCTTTAAAAATACTAACTATATGTTTATTTATATATATATATTTATTATATGTTTAAATAATGATGATTGTAAGTTGTTTAAATGTTCATTGAACATTAATATTAATAACTTGCTTCCCCCAGGACAAAATTGAATGATCACGTAGTGAATACAGCTTCTTCTCGTGGTCTTGTTTTTTTGGGAACAATCAATAACTCAATTGAAAACTTATTTGATGGTGATGATTAATTGATATCAATTTCTAAATCTATTGATTAAAAGTTAATTAAAAAATGCCTAAATTTTTTTAGAAATATAATGGTAACAATATGATGTCACTAAAAAACGGACAGCTTAGCCAAGTGGTTACGGCGTTTGACTTGAAATCAAATCCCTTCGGGGGCGCAGGTTCGAACCCTGCAGTTGTCGAAACCTTTTAGTTTGTGAAGAGCAGGAAATGGGGCCATTTGAGGGTGAAACTCCCTGCCGCCTAGTTGCCCAGGTGGTTACAAATGTAATTGGTAGACAGAAAGTTGCACTGATGAATGTAGAAAATCTCTCATTCGAAAGTATAACGAGTACAATGTATGGGCTAGGAATTACGTAACAATTCTCCAAAGTATCAAACTAGGAGCAAAGGATATGCCTAAATCATACTATGACTATGTAGCATTTATAAGTGGAGAGATGGATGATGAAAATGGACCAGGTGGATCTAAACAGTTTGAGGACACATTCCTCAGCAGCCCCTTGACAAAGGAGGACTACAAGAAGAATTGGATGGCTTGGATGATCCCTACACTAGAATTGAACAACTCTAGAGGCAATTGGAGAATGCTGTTGTGGCTTTCTGTCACAAGCGAAAGCGCGAGGAAGATCAAGATTAAAAGTAAAATGGATAATCAAACCAAATACAAATTATCTGGTGATTTGCCTATTATTAATAACGGGAATTGGTTAATGATGGAATACAACAACCTCGGGATTCGAATGTTCCAAACAAACAGAGTAAAGATGCTAAACAAAAGCAGACAGGTGTGGATTCGAAAGAAGGCATCAGAAGAAGCAGGTGAAATGCTTTATGTATTAAATTACATCAAGTTGATTTGTGTTTGTTTGTTGTTGAGTGTGAGGTAACAAAGGACGATGACGACAACCAGCATTGGACAGAAGACATTCATATGAATGTCCTACTACTAATCCTCGCTGGTTCCAATGTTTGATGGATGGTTTGATGGATGATTGTTTGGATGTCCTCCCATGTTGGACGATTGCATGCCTGGATGATGGTAGGGTGACGTCTGATGGCTCATGCTCCATTGTGCAGAGGGATGGCCCTCCATCTGTTGGCCACCCTGGCCAGGGTACATCCAGCCGCCGCCCGGATGCATCTGTGGCGATGGGTCATCCGAGTTGATCGGCGCTGGCGGCACCTGCTGAGGCGCATTCTCACTGATCATCAATGGCGATGGATGGTGCATGCTAAAGTAGGGATTCACCATCGAACCGTTGTGGTCGAGTCGGCGGTAGTCGTAGGGTGGCGGTCTGGGTGGCCAAAGGTTGCCAAATGGCGAACCCATCATCATCTGGGGCGAGCCAGCCGTCATGTAGGCCGGCAGGTTGGGACTGTACATCGAAGATGGCGACGAGCACTGCTGCGGCAGCAGCTCGTGCTTAATACTGAGTGGTGGTGGGCCTCTCGGCGTCTTCTTGCCAAAGCTTGGTGATCGCGAGAGGTGAGTCGGTGAGGTTGGTTCGGGTGTGTTGTAATTGGAGTTGGTGGATGTCACGCCATTCACCTGGGCGTGGAAATTGGATTGTTGTTGCTGTTGTTGTTGTTGTTGTTGTGTTGTTGAAGAAGAAGTATTGGAATTGGAATTTGATGTGGATGTTGAGGTGGAAGTGGATGAGTTATTGCTGTTGTTTGTGTTGTTGTTGTTGTTACCACTATTGTTGTTGCCTCTTGGCGAACATAGTGGACTCTGATGTGATGGACCGTCCTTCTTCTTGTTGACGGCACCTTGGAAGGCCTTGTAGACCATCTCAATCATCTCGATTGAGTGGCTTTGAATAAAGTTTTCCTTTAGCAGCTTAAATAAAGTATGTGTCTGGGAGTTGATTGATTGTGATTGATTGTTAGTTACCATAACAGCCATTATGGAGTGTTGAGTGATTGGGATACATACATCTTCTTGGTCAATGAAGGATATCAATCCTCTTGAGAAGTGATCATAGTCAACTGCGGTAAATGTTGGTGGCAATGAAGCCAGCACTTGTTCTTTGTACAGGAGGGCATTCTTGGCTTGTGCCGCGGTAATGAAGACGGGCTCGCGCTTTCTCTTGATGTTTGGGGAGCTGATACCTCCACCGCCACCTCCAGCGCCAACGCCGCCACCACCACCGCCAACACCGGCGCCAATGCTAATGTTATTGCCAAATGGGTTGCTACCCATCATGGTTGGCGAGAGGTTGGGACTGCCGCCATCCTCGTCATAGTCCAGGAGCCAGTCAGTGTCATTCTTGTCGTCTCTGTCAAATGCCGAGTCCTTGTTCTCCAACTTGCGCTGACGCTCGCGGTCGATGCGCAGAAAGTACTTCTGGGCATGCGTGCGCACCTGTGTAGAGTTACGAGAGCCAACAAAAGCCGCGATGGACTTGACATCGCGATGGCCAAACTTGCTGAGCGCCTCCAAGAAGCGATGGTGCTCCTCTGGCGTCCAATAGCGGCTCTGCTTCTTCTTGTCCTGGCGTTCCTGCTCGTACTTGGACAGCTGGAACTGCAGACCGTCGATGGTCTCCTTCTTGCGGTTGATCTCCTCCTCGAGATACTGTATGCGGCCGAGGTAGCGCTGTGCCTGCTCGTACATGACCATGCGGTCCACGTGCTCCTCGTCGGCGGCTGCCGCTGGTGCTGGCTCCACTGTGAAGCGGCCTGGATAGTGGTAGGCCGGGTACATTGGCCGGAAGACTGGCGAGTACATGTTGGGCGTGGACGGTGATGAGTGGACGTTGTAGTCGTACGGATGGGATTCTGGATAGCCGCGCAACTGATGTGGATTCATCATACGGATGATATGTTGATCAACTTGTGTGTATGTCTATGCGTATGTTGGTATGTGTATGTGTATGTGTATGTGTGGCTAGCTGAAGGTTATGGACTGGCTGGCGCGTCCTTGAGATTAGTGTTGGTGGATTGACTCCTTGCTGGGCTTGTTGTTGACTACAAGGTTTGTGAATGGGTTTGACTATGAGTACAATTTGTTGTTGTTTGATTGTTGGATAATGATGTGGATATGTTTGGATTGATTGATGTTGAGTTTAAAAATGGAAAGATGATGATGGCAATAAATAGTCGTTCTGTTGGATATTCATTAATAATTTAAATAAAAACAATAATTAATAATTAATAATAATCTAAAATGATTGGTTGATTGATGGCCAGGTATTTAGTTAGTATTAGTTCCATTGAGGACCAAACATGTTTGGACATGTCGGATGTGTTGTGGACATCCATTGCCATGCCATGCCATGCCAACAAAGACAAAAATAGGGTCATTGGATGACATCTGGATTTGACAAATGACGATGGTGATCAATCATACATGTTTGTGGAAGATGGATGGCGATTGACAAGCATCAACCAGAGGGAGAGCGTGAGACAGATAGAGAGAATCGAAGATAGAGATAGTACATGTATCTATCTGAGAGTGCACTTAGTCGAGATGTGATTGTGAATTTGACCAATTGGAGGCTTGGGGCCTTGGAGGTCCTTCTCGAGAATCGAATGTGTGTGTGTGAGAGTTCGTGATAGTGGTGGTAACTTGGTCCCAACCAAGCTAGCTAAATAGCAACTGTTTGTTTGTTTGGTTGATGATTATGATTGAATGAATGTCATAAAGTAGCGGGACTTGGATGACTGGTGTGTGTGTGTTTGTGTTTGTGGATGTGCTTCAATCAGCCAGCCCCACTACAAAAGATGAGTGAGCTAACATTCTACATCATGTTTGTTTGTAATGTGTTGACAAATAGACAACACATTCTCGTAACGATGAATGGTACCAACCAAGTTCAACGCACACACATCAAACAGTTGTTTGTTGTCTCTGATGTTTGTTGGTGAGGTGTGTTGTGTGTGTGAGGTCCACAGGTCGTGACCCGATAAACAATGGTGTGAGTGCTTTGTTTGTGATTGTGTGTGTTTGTTTGAGGCCTTGACGTCGTTTGAAAGCTCCACATTTGTCTACAAGATGATCAAACTACAACTGGGCGAGCCCAGATTGATGGTGAGATATATATTGATTGCCAAGTTGGTTACATACTTTCATCATATCACCTTGATATATACAAGAGAGATGGAAGGTCAAGTAAAGTAGGTTGGTTCTGTTGTTGAGAATGTGAATGTGAATGTGAATGAGAATGAGAATGAGAATGGATGGACTTGCGAGAGAAGGGCAAGGGTTGGTCGAATGATTGGTGATTGACAGAGTGAAAAGAGGAGGTAGAGATAAGTGTAGGACTAGGTTAGGATAGGATAGGATAGGATAGGATTGGATTTGAGGATGATGTGGAGGTGGTTGTTGATTTGATAGACTGACTGGTTGATTGATTGATTGATTGATTGATTGAGTGATTGATTGGTTTAATTAAAGAAATGGTGACGGAGGAGGATGAGCCAGTCTCCCTTTCTCAAAGTGCATAGCAGGACAGGAAAAGGAGGTTGGGCGGGCACCTGTTAATCCTGCTCCTTTTTGGTGTGTTGGTTTGCTGTTTGATTGCTTTGGTGTTGTTGGTGTCCTGCCCTTTCTCTCTATTTCTCTGCAGAAATGATGATGATGGTGATGGCGTGGTTGAAATGAAAGGATGCTCTTGTGAAAGGAGTGACACAAACAACAAARGGGATCTGATGTTAATGTGGATGATGATATATCAAACAATTTTAAAAGGTGATCAAGATGAGTTGGTGATAGATGCCTGCTCACACTTCACCACCCTTTGCCTAGATTGCCAAGCAAGCCACCAGTGTATCGGGGCAGGGCGGTGGAGATTCTCAGAATGGGCATGTACCATGTTTGTACAAAAGTGGTGGTTTTTGATCAGTGTGAAGGCTCCACAAAACACAAAGCTCGGGGCCATAGCCCCCACAACGGTGTTTAGTTGGGTGTGATTGGTCAATCAGGCCAAGTGGGGTTGGGTCTCACTCTGATCAAAAGAAGAAGAAGAGACTGGTGATGGGCAATGCATAACCCATTGACAGGCTGGCATTAATGGAATGGAGAATATCTGTGGTGTCCGATGGTCATCGAATGTCGCTGGGGACTGCTCGATCACCCTGGAGCATGGTGAGGTGGAAGCTCATCTGTCGAGAGCAGCCAGACATGTGGATGATGATCGTGTCGGCGTTGTGCAATCTACATGTACTAAGCTAAAGGTTGATGCAAAGACCAAACACTTTGGACTCAAAGAGACCCGTCAATGTGATGATCGATAGGAAATAGGATCTGTCCTAAAAAAAGGTAGATTGACAAGTCGAAGATGCTGATAGATAGTTGAGTAGGAATGGTAGGGTATGGTAGGATAGGATAGGGTAGGGTAGGGTAGGAAAGCCAGGTAGGCAGGAAGGTTGGATAGCCATAGCCAGGATATATACAAGATATATAGATTGATAGATGTCGTTGATGAAAAGATGGATATAATGTTCCAGAGTCGCTTTGTGACCTGATCCTTACATTGAGATGAACGAGGTTCTTGTTCTGTTGTTATATTGTTTAGTTCTTTATGTCCACTTCTCTTGAAGACTCTTATTCTGTGTGCTCAAAGGCTGGATATATATATAAGTCCACTGATATATCCTCTTAAGAATGTCAATGTAGTTGTTGTAGTTTGGTGTAATATATGTATGTATAAGTGATGGTCAATGTGATTGCTCGATTGATTGGTTGGATGGTGGAACCGAGAAGTGTTGTGAATAAGTGTTGTTGTTGTTGTTGTTTAGATTTGTGATGTTGGAAGGCGAGTAATGACCTGGTCTTTGACTTTTGAGGCGAGAGGTCCTAACAGCTAAGTTGGATGTATTGATGGATGACGCCGGCGCCCTGATTTGATTTGTGTGTTTCTTTCTCCTTTAAGAGTGTATATTTTAAAACTTTATGTTGTTGTTATTCCCTTCATGAATGTCCAAGCGATGCGTGACACTTAAACTCAACATTAAGGCCCTACTCCACCCTGCTCCATTTACACCGCCTCACATTCTCGACTCCTCTGATGCACTCACTCTGCTGCTGACAGAGCAAGGATTGAAAGATGTGCTTCTAATTGTTGGATGCGGGGGCGCCACGGCCAAAATACATTGCAGGCACGAATGGATGATGTTGTTGGCGGTGATGCTGATCAGATATTTCCCCGACGTCGTAGTGTTGCCCAATCAAGGGAATGCCTTGCCTTGGCTGTGATTGGCCCACCAAAAACTGCACGCTCACGAATGCCTTGATTTGGAGAAATCTGGTCCTTGGGTGATGAAGGGGGCAGGTGGGCGTCCAAAGTCTGGACCAATGGGATTCCAACCTATTCTTGTGCCAAAACACAAAACTTAGATATGTGAGTGATTGTTGTGAATCACTGGATCGTGCGGTCACGGCCTTCATTGAAGTATGTTTGACCATGGTGTGTTTGTGATCAGGTTGTAATTATAAGTTGTTTGTTCGTTGTTTTGTTTGTTGGGGCTTGTCCTTGTCTCGCTTTGCAGATCGATCGTAATCAGTTTAGTTTTCTTCTTCCTCGTTGACTTTTTCCTTCCATTTGATAACGTTATCGTTTTTTCTTTAACTATTTTTCAACTTGTTTTTGATTCGTTTCCACCATGACCAACGATGTGCGCCTCAGTCAAGATGAGGCATTCAAGTTAACTTCATTCTTCAATAACTCTAACCTAATTGTAAGTAATAATAATAATATTTTAGTTTGTTTGACAATGAATGGAATTATTGAATGATTGAATGATTGAATGAATGAATGAATGAATGAGTGAAGTTATTATGATGATACATTCTTTAATCTTTGAGATCCTAAGAGACCAGCAATCTCATTCAAAATATGTGGACTCCAATTAAAACGTCTGATTATGACTTCCTCGTTCATTCATCATCATCTGGATCAATCAATCATTCGTCAGCAACATCAACCACTTCAACTTCATTTCATCATCATTCTAACATCTCTCTTCTCTCACACTCTACAGATTTTGGAACATACATCTATCTCATGTTTACTTCTTATTATCACAACATCACATATCTAAATAAACAATACAACATTGCATTGCATCTATTCTCTCATATATATTACAATGGACTACTACTAACAATCAATCATTCAATCACAACCTCTCATCACAACTGATGCCACCAAAGCACACCTCCCTCACTTACCCCAAACCACCACCTCCTTTCACCCTTTTCACACCTCTATGCCCATTCTTTGCTTCCGACGTGACGACGTTCAAGATTACAGCTGACCCTCAAGGTCACCTATTAACCTTGTGTGTTATTGCATCACAGCCTCAATCTTCATTCATATTTACATATACATACACATACACATATACATACACATATATACAACATATATATATTATTTATAACATTCACTTCATTTCCATCAATAATGGTAATGAGATAGTCTCATCCTTGAACAAGAACATATTAGAATCAAAGACAAGGACAAGAACAAGAACAAGAACAACTACAACAACAAAAACATATACCCATCATGATTCACATCGAGCCAATTGAGATTGATGAGCGATCATCAAAGATGATGCTACATTATCTAAAGAGGAAACATTATATTATATTGGGATCAGGATTCATATTCCTATATATTATCTTTCTGATATTAGGCCTAGCCGGACCAACCTTTTATATTAAAGAGACGACACAACTCTCAATATGTCCAGATGGATTAACATGCATCAACAATCCACCAAACTCCACAACACTTCACTGGACTGGTTCCACTGGCGGCCTCACCAAATCGAATCGCCTATTAAATGTCTATGCTATCCCACATCTGAACGACCTTCAGAGCAATCCAAATACATCAAGTATGCTTATAATCATGTCCTTGGCCCACCGCTACGATGAACTGACTGACTGACACAACTCAATCTACCAAACAGTTCACAGTATCACTCTTCAAATACATGTTAACCTTGTTGGCTCAGAGTATGAAGAGGTCAAGAACATAAGCTCGATCGATAGGATATTCTATGGATCGTGTAAAGGTGATAGATGTGAGGCTCTTTTACTGGCCTCGGAGCTGGGCATCGACTTCCCCACATATTCGATCACTGTTGACATTGACCCATCATCAAACTCCAATCTAACATACGTGGATCACATCACTTTCGACCTGATGTACGTCAATGGTGCATTCGCCCTGCTCGAGATGATCAGTCGATTGCTCTTTGTTATCATCACAGCTGGTGTGATCGCTGGCTTCATCTACTCTCTGCGCAAACTTAACTATCGCATCTGGACACTCGAGCAACAGTTTGTTGTCATCTTACTTGGTGCACTATTCTTCTTTAACAGTAAGTCACTGGTACCAATGCCCTGCGCGATCCATGTCTCACATATGCCCATTCTTAATCTAGATCCAATCTTCTTGCTTAGTCTCATTACATCGGGAGCAGGATTCAGGACGATCGATGACTTCTTCACTGATCTGTTCGTCACCATCCTATTCTATTTCTGGTTCGTCATCTTTGATGGTATTCGAAAGAATGGAACAGAGTTGAAGTTTACCAAGTTCTACTTGCCCAAGATCATCCTGACATCATTATTCTTCATTTCATCACTGATTACAATGAGCTCCCTTGAGCACGGCCTCAAGACTGACCCGTTGGCAGACCCAACAGGTTTGGCAGATGTATGTTTCCAACATCACCGGCCCCTACTCTCCAATCACTCACTCATCCTCCCTCATTCTTAATAGGTATTCGCATTGGTATCAGTGATCATGTTGGTAATATTCCTATTCTACTTGGTGTATCTGATTGCCAAGGGATGGGTTATGACCAAGACACTGCCATTCATCAATATCCGTCTGCGATTATTATTGTTGCTCAGTGTGATTGTGGTCACTGTACTGGCATTTGGCGTGATGTTCAGTCTTATTGGCTCGGGTGGTCGGTCCTCCCTTACATTCTTCTCCTTCTACGGTCTGGCCAATCTCTATATCTTTGCCCTCACCATCCTATATCTACCACATCCAAACTCTGATATACTTTACCAATCCACAATGTTAAGGTATGTTATGTTCGATACTGGATTGATTGATTGATTGATTGCTTGGTACTAACACTTACTTGAACAACCTAATAGGGATGGAGCAGAGATGCCACACCTTAAGCTTACCGAGCGTGAAGAGGAAGAGTTCAATGAAGTCTACCTGTAATTAGTTAATTAATCATAATAATATAATGCAAGCTCATAATTAAAGAGCGGCAAGGAGATGTTGGCCAAATAGTGCTGACATCTCATCCATCCATCCATCAATCAAACTATCAATCCATCCATCTTTGATCGATCGATCGTGGTACTTGAGTGTGGTTGTTGCCCATGAGTGGCGTGGCAACACGCAACACAATTGCCTTTCAATCTCAATCATGAGATCATTGAATACTTGTTTGTTCATTAAATACAAATAGATGATTATTATTAGTATCAACTGATGGAGAAGCAACAGGACCCTCCCGACCCATACTTCATTCTCAGAGGCCACAGATACTTCATCAACTCAATATGCTTTGATAGAACAAATGATAACCTATTGTTCTCAGGGTATGTATGATCATGTGATCAATCACTCAACACAATCTCTTACTCATTCAATCAATCAATCAATCATGTACCTATCGTAGGTCAGGCGATGGTGAGCTTAGACTTTGGAACATTGAGGACAAGAGATGTTTGAAGGTTGTACAACATGCACATCCAGAGGGAGGTGTATTCTCTCTACACTCTGTGCCTGGTCAGAATGCATTGGTGTCACAGGGTAGAGATGGAACGGTTAAGGTGTGGACATTGGATCAGTCAGGTCTGACTCTACTCAACAAACTAGAGACCAACTCAATCTCACTGGGCAAGTGTTCTCCACTCGTAACCAACATCTCTTCAATAATCAATGCGCCACCAAGGTCAACAGAGCCCGCACTACCCAATCTAGACTCGTTATCACTTGGTACCAACAACAACAACAATATGCCAGCGATCAATGCAATCGAAAACCTTGTCGCGATATCATCTGATGAAGTGCCGTCACAGATTGAGCTGTGGGACATGACACGAGGCGAGTGCGTGATGAAAGTGCGCGCCGACCTGTCCACAGCAGGCATGCCTGGCTCTAGTCAGAACATTGGCGAGCGCTTCGGAATGGCAATGTGCATGAAGTTGTGGAGAGACACAGACGGTCGTCTCAAGCTATGCTCTGGCTTTGAGAATGGTGGCATGTGTCTGTGGGATCTGAGCAATCCCCAGCAATGCCTTGCAATGTCCAAGCTTAGCACCGAACCTCTGCTCTCCTTTGCACTCAACGGAGACTGTGGAGTATCAGGCTCAGGTGATGATCGTATCGTAGAGTTCAAGATCAACTATGAGAGTGTAAGTATGGGTGGTCGACCTTGGTCTGTATCCGTGATCATTGACTGACATGTCATGTCCACCCCAAACATTAGCGCCAGTTCGACAAGATAGTGGATCATAAGTTAAACAACAATGGTATAGCCGATGTAAAGATTAGGGATGATGGCAAGATATTCGCTACGGCCGGATGGGATAGACGTGTCAGGATATTCAACGCCAGGAAGCATACGCCACTCGCAATCCTCAAGTATCACACCGAGAGTATATACTCAATTGATTTCAATCGCCAGAATGTCCTGGCATCAGCGTCAAAGGATCTAAAGATAGCTCTATGGTCCATATACAAATGAATGAATGAAGGTCAATCATGGACCATTGTATTAATAATAGAGTTTATTGATTGATCGATCAGCCATATCTATAGTTGAAGGCGTTCGATGCCAGGTCGCGTAATGAGCCCATGATACTGTTGCCACAGTTATTGTTGCCGCCATTGTGAGTGCCACCAACACCATTTGCCCTGTACTCCATTGCTCGATTGCTTGAACCAAGTTGTCGCATGCGTTGTGGAGGCTGGGGTTGAGAGGCACCATGATAATGGGAGGTGTTGGGCAAATGATGTTGTCGATTGGCAGTGTCTTGTCTATTTCCACGTGATAGTGTTCCTCGCAATAGATGTCTTGTGCCAAAGTAGATGACTGTGCACCAGATGATCACTGGTGCCATCTTGCGCAGCCAGTGCATGTCCAATGTCTTGGCCTTCTTGGCCCAGTTCTTGACACGCATCATGAACACAGCCAGTCTCTTTGACAATGCCGTTAGCCATTTCTTATATCCAAACTGCTTCAAATATGTGATCAATGCATGTATACTATATCGGCTAATGTTCTTGTTGTCTAGTCCTGTTGGGCTTGGCTTGGTCAGCTTGTTGTTGCCATTGGTCTCGACCAGATCGACTGGCGAGTTGTGTTGTTGTTGTTGTTGTTGCTGTTGCTGTTGTAGTTGTTTCTGCTTGAGGATCGCTTGATTGATCTCTTGTTCCCTGATCTGAACCATTTCCTCGAGTGACTTGGTGAACCCTTCACGCTTCCACTGAGGCAGATTGGAGCATTGAAGGAATGCCCTGGCCTCATCAATCTCCTCGATTCTAAAGAGGATGTGGAACACGAGTAGTTCCGCCAACTGATCATACTCCTCTTGAGTTATATTATGATTGACATTGAATGACGTAGATATCTGTGACTCTGGCTCTGTGACAATGGGTCGATGGTTGAGACAGTTGATCACTGTACCTTTGGCCTCATGATAGCTCTTCATGTATACCAATAGATGGATACTGTATGTAGTATGTATGGATGGAAGTGAGTTAGAAATTTGTGAGTGAGTCGTCCAGACGATGGATGATGAGTCGGTCGGGACACTTACCAAAGTGTCAATATGTTGATTGGAGCGAATGTGAGACCACCTTGATAGAACTTGTTGACTAGTTTGAGTGCTTCTGATGACTTGCCAACTTCATATAATGATTGAACTAGTATCTCCAACATCCATTGACATTGACACAACTCAGAGTGTGAGCATAAATGTGATGCATTTCCAAGCATTGCCATTATCATTGTATTATTATCATTGAGTGATGTTGATGTCGAGGTCGTAGTAGTTGTAGTTGTTGTTGTAGTAGTAGTTGTTGCATTTGATGACGATGATGATGATGTAAGGTTGTCACCAAAGCATTGTAACATCAATCTTAAAGTGTCTGTTATTACATGTTCAAATCTTTGAAATAAGAACAATGTCTCTATTCTCTCTCTTTCTTCTTTTGAAACAGTGCCATGACCATCATGATGATGATTATTCATGATATTATGATTGTTTGTCAATACCTGCATGCTCTATCTCTATCTATCTATTTGTACATGTATTCTCCAAGATTAATGAATGAGTCATTCAAGCATCCTCTACTTTTTCAATGTTTTCAAAGATTGAAGTTTGAAGTTGAGTCATTCACTTTCACTCCATTACACCTACACCTACACATATTATATACACATATACTATTCTTGACATCAGTTCGATGCTTGATCCTATAACAACTATCTCCTTCTCTTCCTCCTCATCTGTTCATTCATCGTTTGTTTGTTTGCATACCATTCGCATTACATTATCATCTCGTTGCTGTACACTTGAGAGAGAAGAAACAAACAGATTGATTGTTGATTGAACTTGGTGACTCAGTAGCAACAACGAACGAACAAACAACAACAGCAGCAGTAACAGTAGCATCAACAGTAACAGCATCTATTCACATACACCAGAGACATGTCATCGAGAGGTACTCTAGAATCATGGGAAGATGAGACATTTGATACAACATTGCAGCCAGAGAAGCAACAACAGGAGCGTGAGCAGAGAAAGGGATTGATCAACCTGCCATCAGAGCACGAGCTAAACCATGAGGATGCTCCAACTCATCAAGGATACTCATTAGAGACTATTCATCCATACTTTGAATCAAAGCCAACATTCAGTAAGTAAGATTGATCATGATTGAGAGCATGTACATGTTCGCTCACTCACACTCATCACTCAATCACAGAGATACTCGCAAGGAAGAAAGAGACAACTACTACTGAAGTAGCACCTGTAAATATAATTATCACATTGATTGAGATACATGTATGGATGACTCTAACTCATTGATCATACGTACATAACAGCAAAAGCAACCTACAAAGACATTGGAGGAAAGGGAAAAGGATTATCAAAGAGCAAGAGCACTGTATTTAGGTAGCGAGGATAATACCATCACTACTACATCAACTACTAATACTACTGGATCATCAACAACAACAACTGGAAGTGGAAGTGGAAATAATAGTCCAATTTATAACAGTCCAAAGAATACGACGAGGGATCGTTCAAATGTTTATTCGCCAGGTTCACTCAAGAAGAGTGCACCTGCTGGAAAGGGTGTTGGTGTCACTCAATCATCAACTGAACAACAACAATCCAATAACAGTGGCAACAGCAGTGGCAGCAACACTTCACATCGACAACCTGTTGGACCTGATGGATCAACGAGAGGATTCAGTGGTCGAGGTAGCAGGCGACATCCAAACAGTAGCAGCAGCAACAATTAAAGTTCATTCATTCAATCATTCAATCAATCAAGATTGTCAACAACAACAACAACAACATCTTATGCCAGCTACTGGAGTAGTTGGTGTGGCATCATTGGATCGACAAAAGGGGTTCGGTCCTCGGATTGTCTCTGGGGTGTCGTTTGTTCCAAAAAAGGAATGTTCTGTCGTTTTTTTGCAGGTCAAAAGAAGTGTTCAGAATCGTTTTTCATTCAATTTAGAGATAGAGTTGATAAACTTAACAAGTCAGATCATAGATTGAGATATTGATACAGTTATAAATATATACACATACAGATAGAGATAAATAATGGAGACAGATAGAATGACAATGTTGAACAATGTTTTGGAGCAGTGGAAGGGTATTCCAGGCTTTGACAATGAATTCTTCAAGTACCTTGAGATGGGAACATATAACCACGAGAAGAAGATACTCACAATGACAATGGTCGTACCTCAAGAACTGTGTAATGTTCTGTCTACACTACATGGCGGTGCAATGGCCACTCTAGTTGGTATGTTGTTGAATGTGAACGGGACGGGACATTCAATCACTCACTCAATCAATCAGACATACTAACATTGATATCCTAGATGTTGTAAGCTCTATTGCTATCATTGCTTCTGATCCAGAGAGGATGCCACCTTCGGTGAGCGTTGATCTGTCAGTCAGCTATGCAGCAACAGCACCAGTTGGCGAGAAAATCACTATAGAGTCCACAGTGCTCAAGATTGGAAAGAACTTGGCATTCACAGACACTGCCATCTATAACAATCACAACAAGATAGTATGCAAAGGATCACATACCAAGTTCATCCATCGCAAGGCTGCACTGTAGGTGTAGATGTAGGATATAGGTCGGCCTCACTCGGCCCACCCTTAGGCCTTGGGTCCAAGTCCGACAAAAAGGTTCCAAAGCCGATTGTGTAAAATAAACTGTGATGAATGATCGTCGTAAGGCATCAGTCAAGAGTTAATAGCGCATACATATAGATAGATAGATAGGATAGATAGATACTTATTCATTCATGTCTGATCAATCAACTTATGTCTCGATGATTGAGCGAATCAAGGCCGGCTCAAACTCATCAACATGTACATCGCCTGCAATCATTTGCTTGGAGTCTGGCAACAAGGTGGACGTGTACAGACACTTTAGCATTGGAGATATCATAGAGAGATCGACATTGATGAGCGAACAGCTGTCCAAGCATTTAAATGATAAGTTTGTCGCATTGTTCATGACAAACACCTTTGACTCATTATGTCTGTTGCTTGCACTTGAATTTGTTGGTGCATCAGTTGTACTGTTTGGAGCCAACCTCAAACCTTCCGAGACACTCTCCTTGCTTGACCGTGCCCGCACACCATACATCATTGTGCCCGCAGGCATTCAGCTTGCAGAGGGCTCATTGCCTACAACTGCTTTGGTGTGCCAGTATGACAGATACAGAGTACTAAGGACTGAGTGGACAGATGTCAACCGTATCAGAGAGGTCACGGACCAACCAAGTGTCTGTCAATTGACCAGTGGATCAACATCTCGTTCATCAAAGATATCCATTCGATCATGGCCAGGCATTGTTGGTGAGGCTGTGGCCGTCGCCTCAGTGTTGGATATGAAGCGCGAGGATGTAGTACTTGTCAACTCTGCAATCTCTCACTCATACGGTCTTGTTGGAGGCATCATATCATCACTACTATGTCAATCTCTAATTGTATTGCCAATGTCTTCTCTTTCAGATCTCGACGTCATTGAGAAGCTACATCCAAACCTGTTGATCAACTTAATGTTTAGTGTTCGCAACTCTTATCTTTGGTTAAGTCAACAGCAACAACTGGCAAACTGTATCAACAACAAACATCTACGAATGGCAATGTGCGCAGGTGCTCCATTGTTGGCTGATCTCGGTCAAGCACTACAGGATAAACATGGCATTAGATTGAGAGCAAACTATGGTACAACAGAGACTGGTACTATCACAATCGACGTCGTCTCTGACTCTACCTCTGTCATTGGGCATCCAGTGCCACTTGGTCCACTGCTACCATTCTTCGAGAGTAGACTTGAGGACATCACAACAAGCATGTCTTCTGGCGCTACAGGTCAAAGTGACGCTCCTCGAGAGTTGTGGCTGAGGTCACCTTACTCATCCCTCGGATACCTTGGTGACAATGGAGACATTCGCCAGGCAGTAGACGCAGAAGGTTGGTTCCACACGAAGGATGCTGTGTCGACTACAACAACAACTGCACTCACACGCATTGACACACTATGGTATCATCATCGCATTCGAATGGTCAACATCTCTTCCAATAATGGCAATGATGATGAAGAGGTGGTGGTGGATCTGAATGCAATTGAAGGATATATCCTTCAGAAGTTTGGACATCATAGTAGTGGTGGTGGTGTGGTGAAGGATGTAGTTCTAGTCGACGATAACAACACACTTACATTGCATGTTGTAGTGGTTGTTGCGGATAACATCCAGATCCATGACAAGGCAACTCGTACTTTACCTAATCAGGACGATCTCTTGGATCATATAAGGCAATGTCTTGACAGCCTACTTCTCCGATTTACACATTCAAAGGCGACCATTCCCACTTCGGTAGTGTTTGATGCCCACCTGCCATACAGTCCTGCTGGCAAACTATTACTTAAATATATATGATCTATTCGTCCTAATAAGTCCATTCATTGTTTATCTCTTTTCCATCACCTACCATTACTACTTCCTTAAATGTACGAACAGATTCACTATGGATAGGATAAGTATAAATAGGACTCATTATCCCTCCTCCTAGTCTATTCAACTCAGTTGTCCAATTATCTCTACATATATACTCTATCCACTTATCCAATAAAGTTATCCAAAGTATTCCAATCATGTTGATCCGTAAGTACTCTCCCCATCCTCCCTCTCTTTCAACCATGTCCTAACATTACCCTTCTACTTCTCTCCTTTCATTCTCCAACACCAAGAGAACCTTATGAACCTCGGCCATCCATCATCGTCAATTGCCAAGGACCACTCTGTGATCGAATCCAAGACAGGTGTCCAAGACCTCCAAATGGAGAATGACACTGCTCGTTGGCGAAGATGCAGAAGATACCACTGGGGTTACTGCTGCCGCTATGGCCATGGTGGCTTCTGATCATTGGGTTGTCCCTCGCCTTCGTCCAAGCCCCAACAACACCACATACATCCGTCCAAGCTGAGTCCAGGTCTACCGGATGCCAAGGTCCTTCCTCCCTGCTCCCTACACTCGGTGTTGTTGTTGTCTTCCATACCAATCCAATAAATTTATTGGGTTCACTGCCATGTACATAGCACATATCGTCTTTGGTCCTAATATCGCCTATTTAGAACCTCTTAATATTCTTTGTTGGTCTCCAGTCTGTGATTGGATGAGTTGATTCATTCTAAAGATATGATGGTAAGTTGGTGTTAGTAACGCTCAAAGTATGTATAACATCCATGTTATATACATACAGCCTCTTCGTCCTCTTTGTATATCTTTATCGTCTTATCGGCCTCGCATGTAATCAAACGTGTTCCAGTGCGATCGAATGACATTGCAAAAATGCCTGCTTCACTGTCAAGTGAGCCTGGCTGTACTGTTGTCTGTGCCTTCTGGAAGCAATAGCCAGTCTTCCAGTCCCAGAACTGCATCGATCCATTGTCACCACCAGACACCAACACATTGTCCTGGTTCAAAGCCATACAGTTGACGATTGCGTTGTGACCCGAGAGGTTCTTGATGAACTGACCCTCTGGCAGCTTCCATTGCTTCAAGTTGTCTGCACTGCCCGATGCGAATGAGAACCTGATTGATGAAGTACATTAAACAATGTTAGTCGGTGACAGACAGACAAGACATCATGGTGTAATACTTACTCTTTCTCATGCATGACCATTGCTCTGACTGACTTCTTGTGATTGGTAAGTGTTACAGCGGTGCCTCCAGTGGCAAGATCCCACAGTCTGATCGTGCTGTCCATTGAACCAGAGATGAGTTGAGGATCAGGTGATTGAGAGAGCAGCGAGCAGACAGTATCCTTGTGGCCTGTCAACGAGAAGATCTCAGACTTGGTGCGCATGTCCCATACTTTGACCGTCGAGTCTCTGCCTCCAGAGAACAGTAGATCGAGTGTAGGATGCAGTGCCAGTGAGTACACTCCATTCTTGTGTCCATAGTAGTGTCTAATCGGCCTGTTGGCCTCGAGGTCCCAACAGATGACCTTGTTGTCCTCACCAACGGAGAACAGATAGGGATGGCGCTGAGACACCTGAAGTGCGCGCACTGGACCAACGTGATAGACCAGCGTCAGCTTGAGCTCGCCAGAGGCCAAGTCCCAGACCTTAATCGTGTTGTCTGTTGCACCTGTCACAAAGAACTCGTTGTTTACATCGACCGACACTGCGCGCACCCATCCAGTGTGTCCACTGATAACTCGCATCAACTTCCAGGGTGGGTGCCAAGCTGGCTTTGTGAATGTAAGAGAGTGTCCTCCTGTCGTCGTCGCCAGTTGATTGGACTGATTGTTTGAGTTTGTTGATAATACGATGCTCATATTGCCATCTGCTAACTTTCTACGTTTATCACTGTGTGTTTGTTGAATGTTAGCGATGATGTAGACAATGAGATTGATGAATGAGTCATAAGTAGAGACATACTCTTGTGTGTTTGGTAATGAACTTATAATGCTGTCTATATCCTTTGATGTATGATCGATGTTCATTGGTGTGCTCTGTTGTTTATGTGTTGATGTTGATGTTGATGTTGTAGATGATTCTAATGATGTAGATTGTGATGCTGGCATGTCCTTTACTTGAGAGTATTCATCAACAATCTTTGAGTAGACCTTGATTCTTCTGCTCTCAGAGTCATCGCCTAGTAGTGAAGCGTATTGAACTGTGGAGGGATGTGCATGATTGTAAAGCTTGTGTGTATTGATTAACGACTGTTTACAAAACTGCTCAATGAACTGATCATTGACAGAGTTGTTGTTGATGTTGTTGTTGTTGCCCAACATATGTTCTACGCTTTCTACCATCAGGTATATGTTTAATTATTATAATATGTGTAATGTATCGATTAAAGATTGTATGAATGTAAGTTAGTGATGAACAAACAAATGACTAGGAAGACTAAAATCATGATTGCAGCTTTTTCAAGAGTGGGTGGTTTATTGGCTGATGGCAGGGATTGGAGGAACTTTGGTTGTATCTTCCAATTGTTCGTTAGTTGGTAATGTCCTTTGGTTCTTTAAGGAAAAGAGGTTTTCTATCTTTGCAATGAAAATTTCCTGTTCATTCCTTATTTGATCACTTTCTTTTAAGTCTTTTGAGAGTCTTTCAATGACTTTGTTGGCAGATTCCAGGGTTTCTTTGAATAACCGTTCATTATTGGTGAATTTATCATGATCTGCTTGGAAAAGCCTTACTTTGTCTTCCATCATTATCGTATATTCTCCATGCACTTGCCTAAATCTTGCCAGTTCAACCCTGGCTTCATCACTTTCTTTGACCAATGTTTCTGCTAGATATTGGTGTAATGCCACAGAGAGTGCGAGGACTATAATTGCCATCACTAGGTAGAGGGCGATTGATTTGTAGTTGATCTTTCCAGGTAGGTCTCGACCACCATTTCCTTTGGCCTTGGTGTCATACACGTGTCCCCAATCGTAAGTGTTGCTCCTTGTGATTAACTCGATGTTAAACTCTAGCTCACGGGTGCTCAGTGACTGACAGATGACCGTTGCTCCTTTGCACTTGAAGAGATTGAGGAACTTGTCATTGTTTTGTATCGTCGAGGTGAATGTCTCGATGACACATGGTTGTGTGTAGGTGTCTGTGACAATCAGTAAACCAAACAAAGGTCTCCTTTGAGATACCATATCAAGACGCTCTACCAAGTAGGACAGTATCGTCTGGATCATATCATCTCGGCGTCCCGCAAGTAAATCATTGATGGATTGTTCATCATAATACAAGCAAAGTACTCCGGCATTACTGATTGAACAAGGGTGAGTGAGTCATTGAGTAAGTGAGTTCCCATTTGATCGAACAGCATGATCGTATAATGCTTACATATTGGTATTCAGATTTGATAGTGTAGCATGGAGACTGTTGACATCGGATGGTTCTGCAATCACTTCGTACATAGTAGGATTCATGTGTTTGGCGCTCTCCAACAGATTGCTGGATTTATGATCAAAGACTACCAAGGTTGACATATATATTTACAATTGTAATTGATTGAGAGTTTTGAATGAGTTGAGTAGAGATTAGTAAGTAGTTTGATATCTCTTTAATAGTATATGAAGAGGTATTAGAATGAATGATTGTAAATATGAGTCATCCATTCATTTAACTTGCAAGACCAATCAAACATGAAATGAAAGGGCACCAGTATCACAAACTTGGATTCCAAAGTTGGTCATCAATCACACAAACTTTCAAACTCAAAGCCAACAAGAATTGATCACTTAATTAAGTAATGATACCTATCTATGTTAATGTAGTACATATACGGACATTCAACTTTGATAACCAAGTCCAATGATGAGTGCACTCACTATCATCATTAGCCTATAATGATGATAATGTATACATTGTTCTATCATCAATATACAATTATTCAATCATTCATCAATGTTTATTGAGTTATTACATCATCATCAAATATGGTACTAATTGTCTATTAGATAACATGATATACTACTAAGGATGTATGTATTACAAATGGGACTTTGGTAACAAAAAGTACTAAATGTTATTGTAATATTACATCACAGGATAGTTGATATATCAATAAAAATTGTATATAATTAGATTGATAGCAATCGCAATGACACTGGATTAAATAATAAGATGTACAAACTACATACGAGTACCTATTAATATCATTTGTGATACAATTGATTCCTTAACAAAGTCAGTGAAGTTGATCCATCGCTTGTCAATCTCATCAAAGTATCAAGTGCTTCTAAACTTGGTAACCAATTTACCTAACCTATTGGAGAGAAGTCTGTACAATCATTACTATCTATTGCCCATCACACTCATACTGATGACAGAGCACGGACATGTATTGATAAATACATACTTGCATATATCTTAATTTAGACATTGTCCACACCCGATTGATCAATCACTTTCCCCACCACACACACTCACACTATCCATCAATCAATCAAACATACAGATACACTTAATAAATCAAACCACATGAAATTGCCTGCTACAGAGCGGGATGGACTGGGGAGCGTTGGAATCCATCGGTGGTGGAGGGGTGAGCTCAGGTCATTACCAAACAGACGCTTAGCATCTTTGGTGGTCGTGAATGAATGGTGTTGTTGTTGATGTTGACAACCTGATTGGTGAGTCGTGATTCGTATCCGACCAACTGTTTATCCTCCTGTCAACAACACCATCAATTCCGATCTAAACTATAATTAATTAATAATATCAATCAATCAATATTATTTGACCTAGGTTGGTGTCTAACAGCAGCAACATCAGTTAGTGTGAGTTTGATTGAGTGATCGGTATGTTCCTTTCCACGCAACACATCACATCATATCACATAACATAAGTCAGTGCGACTGACTGTCTGTCTGTCAGGAAATATAGTACATCACCGATATCAACTGCTTAACCCGAGGTTATATATTGTACAACACCTCTTTGAATCACACACGGCATAAGGCAAGCGATGTTTGGCAGCTTGACAGGCGAAGGATTATATATATGTTCAACAATAATATACATCTAATATTCCACAACAACGGTCCAATCAATCAATCACCCATCCAACTTTCCATACATCAATCCGGCCAATACAATACAATTCACTCACTCCTAAACCTGGATCAATCCAGTTTATCTCCAGCCTGTATTAGTACTCACTGATTGATCGGTGGTTTAACATAGTATCATTCATTCCATCCAAACTATAGAGTTTAGAAGCATTCAATCAGTCAATCCATCAAGTCTTTCAACCTTTCTTGGATTTGTCGAACAGCAAACAAGAAAAGGAAGATGAAGCACTTCATCAAAGGTAGCATCACTACCAGCTTACACAAGACATATGATATTGGAAACCAACTTGGAACGTAGGTAGTCACTGTTGACCATGATGATGGTACATTTGGATCACTTAGTCTAATTCCAAACACTTAGCGGAAAGTTCTCGGTTGTAAAGTCAGCAACAGAGCGCAACACTGGCAAGCCATGGGCAATGAAGATAATGAAGAAGTCGGTGGTACATGAACAGAACTTGATAAGAGAGGTGGAAATAATGCAGGATATCAAACATAAGAATATCATTTCGTTGCATGAGATATACGAGACGGAGGGCGATGTAGTCCTGGTCCTGGAACTGGTCACTGGTGGCGAGTTATTCGACAAGATTGTAGAGCGCAATAGTTATACGGAAGAAGATGCCGCCAAGCTGGTCAACACATTGACTCGTGTCATTCATTATATTCACTCCAAAGACATTGTCCATTGCGATCTGAAACCAGAGAACCTGTTGTACTCGGACAATTCCGACTCGGCCATCATCAAACTATGTGATTTCGGCCTTTCACAACGCTGTACACATGGAGAGAAGCTCCGCTCACTGGTTGGCACGGCAACATTCATGGCCCCAGAGATAATGACTGGCAATGGCTATAGCAAGGAGGTGGACATGTGGTCGCTAGGTGTAATTATTTATATTCTGTAAGTTGTCTTGATCTTATTGATTGATTGATTTCCTGGACGTCCAACTGATCATTATTATCCAATAGGTTGTGTGGATTCCCTCCATTCGATGAGACAACTGGTTATAACTTGGAGTTCCCATCACCAGAGTGGGACAATATATCAGAGTCTGCCAAGGGTCTAATCAGGTCTTTGCTGACCGTCGATCCTTCAAAGAGGCCAGTTGCCGCTCAAGCTTTGAAGCATGTTTGGGTCACTGTAAGTACTCGCACATTGATTGAATGATTGACAGACAGACTCCTAACGCGTTGAACAGGGCGAGTCATGTAGCAAACAATCGATCATTGGTACATTGAAGACATTGAGAGAGTTCAATACTCTGAGGAGAGCTGGTACGACTATGGGCCACAACAAGTCTGCCAGTAGGAGTACGGTGTTTGAGTTGTTTCCGTCTTTGTCATCAGCGACAATTGGAAAATCCTCGACGTCTTCATTCCGCCCTCCACTGCCTTCGCGACTCTCGCAGCACCACATCGAGTTCACCAAGAGCAACAGTTGCTTCCTGGACGACAGGAGCGCACAGTCCCGTGACCGTTTCAATCTGGAGCTCAACTTTAACAGTGAGGCGTTTGCCGCGGCGTTGATGTCGCGCGAGAGCAAGGAGGAGCAGGCTGGCGGCCACAGCAACAACAGCAGCAGTAGGAGTGACATTAGCAACAGCACAAACAGCAGCAGTAGCAGTCTGCTGAAGGAGCTGGACCAGGAGACGACCGAGTTCCAGTCGACACTACGGAGATCATTGATGAGCTACTCACAAGAGGAAAAAGATGACGCGCTGAACGAGATGGCGCCAGAGATCCAAGCTGGCGACGTGTCGGTGCTGGAGAAGGAGAGGCTGCGACTGCTCGAGCAGTTGCGCCGAGAGCGCGAGGTGAATGCCAAGCTGATGCGGGAGCTCGACGAGGCGCGCAAGAAGGCAGGTGAGAGACCAGCGTCCACGGCAGCCACCACATCATCGCTCATGATCAATGGCAGTCACATCTATTTGAACGGCGCCAACAACGATGGTGTGGCCTCGCCCTCATTGGTGTCATCGTCCGAGACTTCATCATCATCGTCTTCATCATCATCGCTAAACAACAAGAAGGACAAGTCCAAGAATGGTGTCGATCGCATTGTACACGACTTGCAACAAGAGTTTGATCGCATAGGTTTGTCCAAAGATGTGAATGAGCGATTGAATACAGTGATGACATTGTATCGCATCAAGAACCAAGACAAATCATTGCGAGTGCAACTAGACAAGAAGCGAGAGAAGTGCAAGCGACTGAAAGCACAGCTCCTATTATCCGGCTCCAATCCCAAGACCAAGTCCTCTATAACTGTTTCGAAATAATACCATACTATATTATACTATATTCATTCATTCATCTTTTGTGTTTGTGTGTGTATGTATTATCTCTATTAATCTTATGTGTTTGTTTGAGTGAGTACATGTCAGTTTGAAAAAAATTGTTCACTTTGTTGTATTTTGAGTTGAGGTTGTCGAAAGTAAGTGAATGTGAGTGGTCACAAACAACGCGCGCAACTTTGTTCACTCACACTACTTCTTCTTCAACCACATGCTCAGCAACAAACAGATACAGTAAAAAGAGATAGAGGTAGAGATAGAGATAGAGAGTGTTATTTGACAAGTAATAACACATTCATTCGATATCATTCATCACCCATCACTATCACTCGAGTAACACAACAAAGACAAGAGACAAGAGACAAGAGACAAAGACATTCATTTCTGGTCATTGGGTTCAATGGACATATAACAACTCTTTTGGTGTCACTCTCAAGCTTGTGAAACAAACTGTATACCTTTTAAATTGGACACGTTAATATCAACATCTTAGACGACAACAACTACATACTCTCGAGAGTACCGATAAGATAGAGAGACGACAGTTCATTGAGTGTGCGCAGAATGAGCGTCGTCAACAGCAATGGAGTGTATAGAGGCAATGCTCCACATAATCATCATGGTGACGGCTTAGCTGCGTCATATGACAGGTATGTACATCAATGTACTCATTCATTCAATGTATTCGTTCAATCAATGAACTAACACAATTACATTAGGAATGCAAGGCCCTATCAAGATAGATACTCTTATCGAGATCGTGAGATGCAGTTACAACAACTGCGTGATAGAGATAGAGAACGTGAACGAGAAAGAGAACGCGATAGAGATAGAGAGCGTGAACGTGAACGAGAGCGCGATAGAGATAATAGAGATACGAGAGATACTAGAGATAATAGAGAGAGGGATACTAGAAATGGAGGAAATAGTAGTAATAGTAATGGTGACTGGGATTATCGCAATGGTACATCTACTGCTGTTGTCAACAATAATGGAGGAGGACCTCAATCGAATAACATCAACAACAACAATAACAACAACTCTGGTGGTCGTAGCTCTCAGTCGACAAACAATAACAACAACAACAACGGCGCCGCACCTTGGGAAAGAACCGATGATGATCGTTATCAAAGTGACGCCATGAAGCGAAGAAGAACAAAGGATGGCCGCATAGATGTCGAACCGGGCGAGCTAGAGTCAACGGGTGGAGGTGGATACCCACCACCTCCAACACGACCAAGCTATCAAAGACAACGATCTCAATCGCCTCCATCAAGTCGGTCAGCGCCTCACTTTGACTCGCCTCCGCCGCAGTTGCTGCCGCCTCTCAACAACAAACGTTCAAGGTCGAGGTCACCGCATCGGCAACA